AGAAGCAATAAAGGGACATACCACAACAAGAATTGTGACCAGGAAGATAGCAATGAAGACACCCGGATTGACCTTGTCTCGTGGACACCAGTACTGAATGACCAAGGCGGCAGCCGTCAACTGGTTCGGAGTGGTAATGATGTACTTGAACCAATATCTTGAATCGCCGTTAGCAAGCCCACAAACTGTCGCATATAAAAAACCACGACCCGAAACTTACGTCCAACCAAGAGCGAATCCAAGAGACGGGTGGCAGTATCGCGTCGCGTAGCCTGTAAATCCAGCACTCATAGGCAGCCAAGCGGCCATTTCTCCCAGAGATGCCATGACACCGTAGACGAGAATTCCAACGAAACAGTACGAGATGAGCAGCGAGCCGGGGCCGGCCTGGGCGAGAGCCTTTCCGGTACCAATGATGAGACCAGTGCCGAGCGCACCACCAATGGCAATCATGGAAATATGGCGCGCCTTGAGACCGCGGTGCAGAGACGTCTCGGGCGAAGTCTCCAGACCACGGATGCGGACATTCTCATAGTTACCGATTCTCGCGCTGCTTTTCTCGACATCGTTGCCGTAGCCAGTCGGGTTAGGACGGTAAGCGTAGAGCCCGTCGTCGTCACTCATGGCGGCGAGATGCCCGGAGGACTTTGCCTTGAAAGTAGGGAGAAGACGGGGATGAAAAGGGTGCTCTACACCACTAGGCGACGAATGTCTCAAACGGAACAGAGACGCGCCAGACCGTCGAAATCGTAAAGATACGATAAGGGACGACGGGTAGATGAAGAGATGGCAAGGAGGAGAGGTGGCGGACTAAAAAAGAAAAAGAAAAGCTGTCTTACGGAGGAGGCAGCTTCTCTGGGCTATAAATGTTTGCCCTACTTGCCAGCCTTGGAGCTGCTGGGATGGCATCCATCCCGGCCTGTACTTTTATGGAGTCTGAGACTTTGTGCCTGTCACGCCGTTGGGTTCAGTTACATGCCGCAACCAGACCTGAGGTGCAACTGTACGAGTGCATGTTCGGGTGAGGTAGACAGACATGGGATCCCCGAGGCTAAGCACGCACCAAGACGTGGAGATGGGCCTCTCCATGTCCTTAGCCGTGCTGCGTATCTCGACTCCTCCACGGTCAGCCTATCACCGCACTGGGTCTCGAGTAAGAACCAGCAAAAAGCCCGAACCTGGGGCCTCAGCAGTGGAGAAGCAAGCTGAGAGAGGCAAGGAACATGGCCTCATGGTCTGCACGGACCGGGGCGAGGTCTCTGAGGCTAGGCCAGCAGATTGAGATTGGGGAAAGATGCTCCTTCTGGGCAGTTGGTGTGACCGCATTTTCCCGCAGCTTCTGGCGCGTCTGCCAAGGGAGCTAGCTGCCATATTAGCTCAATGAATGGCCATCAATACCTAATTGTATGTTATTAGCAGGCTGAGGCTTTCTTGGTATGGATCCGGTGCTTCGTTGGAGAAAATCGGGGACCGACAATCACACCTCGCTGGGGAGGCGGATGCTCGTGGTTGTGTGGGGTTGCGATGATCCCTGTATTTTTGTCTCTTTCTTCTCTTTACAGCATCCCACTTACATCCATCAGAGCTGATTATCTGCAGGCAAGAATCTCTAGTCGACTCCTTAGACAGGCTTGGCGGTGTTGGTTCAGGACATGTTCCTCATCTTGGTCGTGATGTTTTGACTCGTGCGCCCTCCCCCCTGTTCTCCAGCCAGAAACATTAAGTAGATGGAGGCTGTACTGAGTATTCGTATGACAAACGCCATGACATTGGATCCTGGCAGAATACGGCAGACTGCTTGTAGCACGACAAGGCTTCTGCAAGCCTCGTTTGCTTGCATGGCGGATGGCCGACCAGTGTGCCTACTCGCCTCACTCGGGGCCAGCTAGTCTCGTCACAAGCGAACCGTCGCCTAGCGATGGGCACAGAGGGGAACGTGAGCCGATGACATTTCGGAGGAACCCTAATAGCGCGTGTACTCGTAGTTTGCCACAAGACTGGGGTCATAGCGTTTCTGGTTGTAGCAGAGTTGAGATATCGTGTTATCTTGCCCCGCTTGTACCACGGCGGTTGGCAGTTTATTTGCTCGGCTGACGCTGTCAATCAACAATACGAGTACTCCGTACAGTACAGTAGATGGTAGCTGATCTCGCTATAAGCAGTCAATGTCTCAAGTCCTCAGCCTCACTCATCCTGCGTCTCCTCGGGCTCGTCTCGGTGTCTCATCCATAGTGCCAACATAATAGGTAGCAAGGGGAGTTCTGGTATGGGGAATGAGCCCCAGAGGTACCGGCATGAGCGAGTGAATATTAGCAGACGGCCTCTCTGAATAGATAGCCCGGCCCATTCATCAGGCGATCCAAGACATCGACGAGAAACGCTGGTGCCTAGGCAAGTGATTGTTGGTTGACTTGGTGGCGGAGAAAAAGGACGAAAATGATAAGCGGCCGAGAAGCTAGAAAACGCCACACGTTGATTCGAAGCAAATGGCGCGGAAGAGTTCTAGAAGGGCGAGCTAGCAAGAATAAGCACCGCGCTTGGGGCATTTAGAGCCTGGGGAGGCGGATTTTCACTGTAAGTCGGGGGCGTTTAGTGGTCAGTGGTAGCGAGGGTCCGGCACCTGATTCTGGGCGCCGACGAGCACAGATGGGTTGTTATCTTACTGCTTACCTTATCTTTATCCTTATCTTTAGTCGGCAACCTTACTTTTTCTCTCCTGTCAGGATTAACATCCATACTTGTACATTGACGATGGCAGATAACAACTTCCCAGCTTCAAACAACTTCACATCCACCTGTCGAACAAACCACCTCCGCCTCCAGTCAGTCAACAACTCTCAACAACACCTCCATTCTCGCGACGACCCCCTCCCTCTCCTCCTCCTCTCTCCTCCTCTCTCCAAATGCCCGCACTAGTCAGGCATCGTCCGCTTTTGTGGGCTTCCTGGTTCTAGGTTATCTTAAGGTTGTTAGACCCGCCACACCACACGGCTTCTGATTTTCCCATTTGTCGGCATCCAGGGATAAGCATTCCGACCTGCCTATTTCGGGCCTTGACGTGATTTACCCCAGTCCTTAGGTCAAGGGCCAGCCGGTGGCACGTTCCTATGCATAAATGGAAAGGAGCGGATAAAATGAAGCAGCTTGCGCAGTTGGGAGGTTGGGATCGATCTCGCTGTCATTCGGTTCGCCCTGGCCGAGGCTTTCCTCCAGGTGCAACGTGGTTGCGTGGCTACACGATGCAAGATCAACAAAAAAAAACATACAAAACAGACCAGAAGTCTGGCGTTTTGAGCCTCATCCTCTCTCGGCCCCTCGGCCAGTACGAGAAGCGTCAAGCGTATCTTGGCTCCCGCAGCCACAGACGCGCCCTTACGCCTTTCCATCTACAAATATCGCCATCGGCTAGTCGCTTGTAGATGACATGCGTTGGTTCCGGTAGCCGTGGAAAACCCGTTTGAATGCCTCTCATGACAAGCATCGTCGCCAAAGACCATACAATATCTGAGTGACCACAGGCGCAAAATCTCCACGTGCGGTATAATTCGTGTCTGTTCCCGGATCAATACAAGTCCTTTCTGGGGTGCTTGAATGTCTACGCCGTCATATTCTCCTAGTGCAAACCCGACATTTGCGCGTTTACTGATACCTTTTTTTCTCCGCCATTATCAGTTTGTGGGAACGCTCCCGGAGCACAGGCATGAAAGGAGGCCGGATCGGGTGAATGAGCAATGAAGTCTTCTCTTTTTCTTTATTTTATCAAATCACACCGTCTTTTCTCCACGTCTGGATGTCGAGCGGGGATACCGCCAAGGCTCTTATCACTTCTCCAACATGGGCATCGAGACTATTCCTGTGGCATCGTATCAGCGTAGTAACACTTAGTCACGCCAAAAGCAGAGATCAACGTCTGGATCTTGGCATAAGCTTCTAGAACTTGCACCAACCCTGTGCTTTGCACTGCCTTGACCAGCCCTGGATTGGGCCTGCTCAGGAGAGGCGCGTGCGACTCCGGCGACGCAATCTCAGATGCTACACAAAATCTCCCAGAAACCGCCTAGCAGCAGCGTATCTGCATAGGTAGGATTTCGCACTGGTACCTGCTGTTGGGCCATGGTCGATCACTTTGTTAACGTGTTTTGCATAGACGGCCAGCCCGCTCTCCTGCAGACTAGAGTCGATTGCGGGAGAGCCAAATGCGACGCTGCATCTTTACTTTATTCACCATGTTGGGTCTAGCAAACCTAGGTTGCCAAAGGCCGGGACATCGCTCCACAGACGCGAATCCTCGGAATACACCGTGTACTACGGCTTCTATCGGGACCTCGGGGCTTGTCTTGATTGCCTGGCTCAGCTCACGGACCAAGTGAGCACTGCCATCTTTTGGTGTCTCTCCTCGGGCCTAAATTTGGCAAAGAGGCACATGAGCGTGTCTCGAAGTGGGTGTCTTTTCACCGTAGCTGCTTGACTGCCTTGGGATGCGACGGCGGTGTTACGATGATGAGTAGATCCTTTTGATTCTGTGTTTACACTCACCTACACACTCGTACACACGTCTATCAGTAGTCACACGTTGTATTAGTCTATATAGCCGCATGTAGATGTGTGCACCGTGGCTTCACCGAACCCCTAGTAGCCTCATGACCAATTCCTGTAGGATCTAGCGCTACTACCATGAGTAGTATAATTGCTGCCGAGGTACTCCATAGAAGCGGCAGACCTTTGACTTGTGTTGGACCAGAACGTCAGTTTGCTACATTCTTTTTTTAACCTCTCCACCAGCCTTTCGCTAATAAGGGGGTATTTGTCTGTGGATACTGCAGGAGGCATACTCTCGTCTCGAAGCACACATGTCCAAGGAGAGTCTCTTCAGCTAGGAATATGTTGATGATCTTTGAGTGAAAGCTCAGCCAAAAAGAGAAACAAAACGGTAGGATGCCAAACATATGAACGCTCTCATAATGATCGAATCTATACACATCTAGCCTCCAAAACTACCACTACGCCCTCAGCAAGTCGTCCAAAACTTTGCCTATAGCCAACACCTTCTCCTCTTCTAACCTCCCTCCAACAATCTGTACCCCAACCGGAAGCCCCATTTCAGCCATCTCCTCTTTGCGATCCCTCCAAACGCTACCAATCCACTCATCCGCCTCATTTCGTGGAGCGTAGTCCCACTGCGCAGCACAATCAGCACCCTCAACTTTACCCCCGGGAAGAGCCAGCGCCACATAATCGAGCAAGTTCCAGACTTTGGTGTAGCCCGTCCACCGGGTTGCTTGGTGAGGGACTGCTGAGTGAGGCATAACTGGCATCAGTATCGCATCCACAGTCCTGCCCGTCGTGGGCGACTTGACGGTTGTCCACTTTTCGAGATGGGCTTGTCGTAGGTTGGCCTTGCGCTTGTTGAGCTGCCAGTAGTCGTGCAGGGAGATGGCCTCACCGGCGTTGACGAGACTTTCTATCGCGGGAATATAGGGCTCGCCTCCCGCCTCGACATCACGGCGAATGTCTTGTCCGCCATCGACGGTAAAGAACTCGTCCATCAATTCAATGGTTTCAGCGTGGAGATCCAGTGGCCATTCAATGACTTCATGGCCTGCGGCTCTTAGAGCTGCTGCTGCCTGTTGCAATGCTCTGGTAACTGGTGGGTGAGGTCTTACCATGCCGTCATCAAGGAAAAGACCGATTGTCAACTTCTTGGTGGAATATTCTTCGTACATGGATTGTCGCCATGCAACGGGGGAAACATAGTAGTCGCTCTGCCAAGGCTCGCGGAGAATGATTTCCTTCATTGCATGCTGGATGGTGGAGAGCGAGCGAGCAAGAGGACCGACGGATGACGGCGAATGTTCTTGGCCAACTGTCGAGACAAGACATCCCCGGTGCGGTAATCTGGAGTTCTGCGACGTGTTAGCCGTCTTTTGTACCACTGGAAGAAGCATCTTCGTGGACATACGCTGCATCTAAGACCGTAGACACCCATCATGTGGCTTGGAATGCGAACGCTTCCGCCAATGTCTGTTCCCCATCCCAAGATGCTGCCATTCATGTATAATGCCGCGGCTTCACCACCAGTTGAGCCACCTGGAGTGTAATCTGCATTCATGGGGTTTGTAGTCAGTCCATAAAGCGGGTTGTCTGTCTCTCCCCACTGTCTGTTGTTAGAAACATCGCTCTACAATTTCCTTTCGCTATCGTTTGTTAACTTGATATATCGCTTACCATGATACTCTGAGGGACGTTTGTCTTGGCTATGGTAACTGCGCCCATTGATCGCAGCATTTTGACTAGAACGGCATCTTCAGAAGCAGGTTTGAGCGCCCTCACGGTGTATCCAAGTGTGGTATCATAGCCTTTGATATTAAACTGGTCTTTAAGCGTCATTGGGACTCCGTGGAAGGGGCCAATAGGTTTCCCGTTGACTCGAAGGTACTCATCCAGCCTTTTAGCGTCTTGAATAGCTTCGGAGAATAACATCTCTGTGAGGCTGTGTCACTGGAGAATTAGCTGTTTGTTATCCAATTCCATTAAAGCAGCAAGTTCAGTAAGAGGGGGCTTGCCAGTTCGTCTGTTCTCAACAAGGTTAGATATCTGTAGCACACCCTTGACACAAGTCATACAAATTCACCTTTTTATGAGCTTCAATAGCTCTGCAGTTGCCACAATGTCAGTAAAGCCAATGGGAATCTGCATGTATGAGGACGCCACCTTGTAATATATGCCCTTGTCACATCTTCACTCTTCAGTTCTCCTGTAGCCAGCAGCCTCGAAAGAAGAACGGTGTCGTCGATTGCGGTGATTTTCTCTGTCAAGGCCGGATCTTGATCAGCGATGAAGGCGTCGATGTTTGACTGCCTTTGCTGCTGCTTTGCTGCGACGGTCTGTCGCCAGTCATGTTGTGCGCTCATCGTGTGGTTACTGAGTCAATTGTTGCTGTACGTGCTCGGAATAGCCTCAACACTCAATCTCTCTACCCAGACGCCTTTCGTAGATTCTAACCGCCTCAAAGATTATGCACTCAGCAAAGGCAACTAACTCGACTCCATTATTGCTCGGTCTTATGCTGATTAATTTGTCGTTAGCATGCTGTCCGTCACGGAACCGGCTTCGGGGGTTCTCCGCTAACGGAATCTTCCGTGGATGTGAACGGCGGCAACCCGGTCATGCATGAGAAGGAAGTAGCCGATTCCGTGATAATAAAACTGCCGGTCATTGCCTTGTGTCTTTATTGTAGACTGCTTTTGTAAACGATTTTGAGCATATTTGCTTCGAGGGAACAAACTGGTACCCAAGTAGAAGTCGGTTCCATTAGCGCATGGCCAAAATGCTTGTAGACAGCTTATTACAGCAGACGAAGATATGTATCAAGGATTTAATAATCTAGACTTTAACACAATAAACCTGAAAACCATAGAATTTATGGACATGTCTATATACATCACGAACTTTACACAGTAGCGCTTCGATATCCAACAATTAGTAGATGCCATCGAAGTTGTCAGTTCAGTATGGAGTATATTCCGCAATTAAATCCAAGCTCAGTGCAAACAATCCAGGTACTGCAAGTTACCACCAGACGCGAATCACATTGAAAAGTCTACCAAGTCAAGAAACGTTAATGTAATGGCGTGCTAGCCTCTATCAGCATTTCCTTGGATTTGCTCAATTTACTGTATGTTATGATTCGTTTCGGAGCACTTCTAGTTACAAACTAGAAGTGCACAGTGGAAAGTTTTAGCGATTGCCTCTTTGGAAACGAATTTGGCGACGTAAGCGACCCTAGCTAGTCCGTCAACAAGGCTGGACCTTTCCCACAAAGCTTTCATTAAACATGCCGGGCGTCAACCGGATCCAATAAGACTCTTGTAACAGAACTTTTGAAGTACCTATGCTGGTATTGCTAGTAATTAAGTGTTGAGCGGAAATACAAGAGAGAGTATGGACCTGCTTGTCGTGATGGACTTGATTGAGTGGATGCTCAATGTTGAACCTCGTGTTTACCAAGTATATATGTCTGCAACTTTGGGGATCAATCCTTGCTTGTTCAACTATCTATCCATCTTGAGCTCGCTGATTCCAACTATTCTATGCCTCCTTTCATCTGCATCGCTACATAAAACCACAGCTTCTGTCAACAACCCGGAGAAGAAACACTTATCAGGTTCGCGTTGAACTTCTTTATGCCATGAAAGATGACGACCAGGAGCAAGAACAGGAAAAAGAATTTACTATTGTGGAATATACGGACGCAAGGTTACCTTCTGACCCGGCCATCCGCAATGTGATCAGACGGCATGCTATGCGTAATGTCGCAGAAACACGACGGCAAAGAGACAATTACGGCAGACACAGCCCAAAAAATCCTCCTACATTGACCTTTGAAGCAATCCCAAAAGCTTCAAGCTCTACTCAACCCTCTTCCTCAGAAGCAGTATCTGCTGGTCATGTTGATGCACCAGCCAAGGCTATTGCTCCCATCACATGGAAATATCTAGCCGGCCCCACGGCTCCATTGCCAATGAGCACTCCAGAGGCCACTATTGCGGAGAACTTTGCAATTTTGCATCTGGTAGAGTCTCTTTCTGGACTTCACCTCGGTGTCAATGCTCAAGCATCTTCTATCCCGAGACTTGGGTTGCACAAATTGCAGCTTCCTCAAAGCAAAACGCTACTATCCTTTATTCCATCTCGATACGGACACGTCACGCCGTTGACTTGTGCAGTGGACTGCCTTGTAGCCCGCGTTCGGCAGATTACGCTCAAAGATGATGGATTCTCGGAAGACCGGTGCTTAGAAGTTTTGCATCTATACGACAAGGCGTTAAAGGCTCTTCAAGAAGCTATCAATGATGATGAGGAGCGGAAGACGCCAGAAACACTCTGCGCGGCAGAATTACTGGGATTCTTTGAGGTATTGAGGACATTACGGTTCAATCGTTGATATCGGATGCCCTTTACTGACATATCATTTCAGCTTTTGGATGGCAAGTCAAGGGCAGCGCATTCTTGGACACGGCATGCTGCGGGCGTGGCTCAACTTATACAACATCAGGGAGCTGATCACTTCCGGACAGACTTTGAGTTGGCATTGATTGCGGCCTACGTTGGCCCACTTGTAAGTGCCTATTGTGCATCGCTGACACTTTAAACTCGCTCTGACAACGTACCCCTATTCAAGGTACACGAAGCGTTTCTTAATCACAGGATGTGTTTTTTTAGTAGAGGATGGATGGAAAAGAGTGATACGAGAGGCAATATGTGGTAACTCATCCAGCTCAATGGATGATAGCAATACCGTGCTCTCTCTATGGTCGCATCTTATAGAGGGGCCGAATCTCTTCAAGAAGGTTGCCCAGATGGTCCTATCCCAAAACCCAGTTCCACCCGAAGCTATCCAAAGTGTTGAAGAAGGTCTCATGGCTGATTTGCAAGAGATACATGGATGGTTGGGCATGGAGTACGACATACACAATACCAATGATCCCCCACAAGGTACAAACGGTAATTTCCTTACATGGCATATCAACTTCAGACAGTCCATCGTCAGCCTATAACAACAAAGATACGCCAGCTGGCCAATCTTTCAAGGAGCATGCATCACATCCTGGCTCATGAGAGCACGCCTTTTCACGGCACTATCGCCTTATCGGTTCCGTGACCTGGAGACTGTGAGCCAAAAGTTCGCCTAACGACATCAAGAGCTGGAGGATGAATGCGAGTTCTCTGGTAAACGAAGGCTTGCTGGGCGGCTTGTTCATGTGGCAGACTGTCTGTGCGGGGAGAGTGAATTACAAAACGAATGCAATCTGGACCGAGGGCTGGTCTATTGGGGCTCATGGACGGGATCGAAAACTAGGGGGTATGATTGAGAGGGAGAAGTTTGAGGCGTGGTGTGAGGCGATTGGGATAGATGTTTGTCGAGAGGGGTGAAGACGAGACTTGAATACATGGCGGCATTCATATCAGTTTTATGTGTAAAGGGGATAGACAAGATTATACATAATACTACATCTCGATTATATCATTTCGCGTAATATATGAAGAGTTTGAAGATTGATGTTGTCCCAGAACTGTTTTTGGCCTGAACTGGGATTCCAATGCATTTACTCCTGTCACTTTCGAGGAGAGTTTCACGTAAAGGGCATTCCAGCAATATCATGCTCCAATATTCTCTCTTCTGTTCATCACAAGCTTGTCGTATTAGTACATATAAGCATAATTTTATATAAACCTGGACAGCTGCAGACCTAAGAAGCGCACAATAGAGAGGACAAAAGTCAGCTTAGAGGTGGTTTAGGTAGACTCAGCCTTATTCTAGCCATGAAATTGGACTGCAAGATTCTCTAACCCCGCTCAAGAGCCCCTCATACGATATGCGACATCACAACTTGCGTACAACATGAAACTTCAACCAATCGCAAACGGGAGCTTAGCCAGCAGCGGAGACAGCTCGGAAATGATATCGTGATCTACGTACCAACAATTTCAGTTTATTCTAATCATTCATTAAATGAGTTTTGAGTTTGACAAATGGTGTCTTGGGATTAGTGATGGCCTCATTGAGAGTTTAGTAATCTACAGCATAGTACTAATGCTTACTTGTAGATTTTTCATCAAATAATATTGACAACCAACCCATTTTGGAAGTTGATCAAGACTTGGGGCTAAATGGGTAAAATGTGCATACTCTATACAAAAACGCTAATAGTGGTACTAGATATTACAAACAATTGCACAAGTAGAACTGTGTGAGCACATAGCCATCAAGATGTGAATGCATAGCCGCCCAACTTGGCGTACATGAATCTAAAATCCATACCTGGATTCTTCTCCAGCACGTCAGCCGTCATCAACGCGGAGCCCATATTCCCAGACGCAGCCATATACCGCATCGTGCGAATCGCCCACATGCGCAGTTCGGGGTTTCTTGACGCACTTCCGGCTGTGTACAGGGCCGGAAGAAGGATGCCGCATTTCAGCACCTGGACGCTGGAGAATGGGATAGTGTTGCTATTTAGGTGGGCAGCGGGGATGACAAACTGGGGTACCGAGGCACAAACATCCTCTGCAAAGCGTTCCGTGCGGCGAAGTGATTCTGAGAGAGTGTTGCTTGACTCGTCCGAGCCGTCATCCTCCAAATGTGTTTGGATGTAGCACTGAAGTTGAAGGTGCATTATTCGAACAGTGTTACGCACTTGCGTTGTGAAATGGTCTTTGTAAACATGGTAATAATCTCCAAAGATGAGAGATCGGTGGGCTGGGTCTTCCTCTTCTGCCATGACTTGCCTAGGCTGCCATCGCTGGGACACGGTATCTTCAATTTCGCGATATGCATCATGGAGACTCTTTGCCTTTGCAACAATCTCACGGTTGGATAGTTTCCCTTCGGCGATGTCGATTCGAAAGTTGATCATTTGTACATTCATTTTGGAAAGGCGCCACTTGGCATCGTCCTTGTCGTGATATATATCGAGCCTCCGACCTAATTCTGACACGCCCTCAGGTATACGGTGAGCAGCAATGAAGCAACTGATGAGCAGGGTTGTAAAGAGTTTGTTGGCCAAAGTTATGCTAACTTCGCTTCTCGTCATGTCATTGTAGCCACGAGCCTTGATTAGTGCCAGAGCCCCAGTCAGGTGTGCCAGCCAAGGGGCCTCCGCCGTAAGGTCACGGCCCATGATCTTCTCATAGAGGTCGAGAAGCAGCACCGACTGCAGCGTTGAATCGGCGCTCGAGAGTTCTTGATTAGAGAGAGCTGCATTGACTCGCCGTAGGGCGATCATATATTGTTGAGCTGCTAGCCGAAACAGTTCCTTTGAGTCTGGCGAATTCTTATTTGCCGCAAAGGCAAGACTGGCGGCGTCCACACTAGCAGACAAGTGATCATCCGCTCTTGCCTTTGCGTACAAGGAAGGCAGGATACTATAACTGCTAGATAGGCCAAACACATAATGAGCAAAGAAATCATGGCGAGCGCGCACATTCCACGGCATCTGCGGCTGTGGGATGAGGCTGTTGGCTTTGGGCAGGATGACATGATTCAGAGTGCCAAACTGCAAAGACACCGTCGCTGCCTTGGACGCCAGCATCTTCCGCTCAACGCTGCGTGTCTGGTCACGGAAGACGAGCTCGTTTGTGTCCCGGTAGCCAAAGCACGAGATGCTGGCCCGCAAACACTGGCCGCATCCATCCTTGCGCAGGTCGCACTAGAAGCCCCCATTTCCGCGTTAGCCAGGTGAATCTCAGGTGACCAATGATGGTGTATAGGCGGGATCCGTACTTTGAGCTTGCGCTTTCTGCAGGGCAAGCAGTCTTTGGAGGGTCCCCGATAGACCATTATGTCGAGTCCAGAGTCTAGTAGTCTATGATGTATGAGGACCAGGTACGACACCAGACCCCTGTTCTGCTGTTCTGCTGTGCGCTGACGAATGACAAATCGGTTGGGCACTAAGAGAGGGTATCAAGGCGCTAAACGGCGATTCCATGTCCTCCATACAGTCGATGGCCTTGTCGAAAGATGAAGCTTCATTGTGCAGTTTGTCTGCAGCAGGTGTTGCATCTTGGGGCTAAAGTCGCGTCTCGGGTTCGCCGCCGGAGACGGGCTACGTAACAGCGGGCGCTAGGCCGACCAGGGCTAGCGTTCCGGAGTTTTAGATCGATGGACCCGTGCCTGCCCCTTACGGATGATGCACGTATTTTGCCCTGTGCCCTGTGGATCGATCCTTCAGGCGGAGTTTACAAACACCGAACCGCCTTGTTTCTTTTTCCAGGTCATTTTTTTTTTACTCGCTATAGATCAAGATGCCGGTATTAAAACAAGTTCAAGCAGCGAAGTCAAGGCCAAGTCATTGCATGATTTCTACTGCATCTGCGAGTGGTTCTAGCCCTCATCTGCGGCTAGTGTTCCGGAAGACAAAATATGGGCCGCTCCGTTTGGCCCCCTGCAAGCCGTTGGAAAGCCATTGATGCGGTTCGTGATGACTTCATTGGACTACAGCGTGGTGTGGCTTAGGCTCGGAGAAAATAACTCCGGCATTCGTGCTTCATCTAGTTGCTAACTCCGAGAACCTCAATATCCTTATAAGAAGCTGCTTGAACCAACTCAGTCGAAACATGAAGAAACCACAGAAGCAGTGCAAGGCAGCTCACAAACCAGACTTAATTCCACATTCCATCGACAAACATAGACAAAAATGGTCTTCCAGTACAAACGCGTTCTCCTCGTCGGTGCCACCGCTGGCATCGGCGCTGCCATGGCAGACAAGCTCATTGAAGAAGGATCCAATGTCATCGCTGTTGGCCGTCGCCAGGAGCGGCTTGATGCCTTTGTTGCCAAGCACGGCGCAGAGCGTGCCAGCGGCATTAGATTTGATGTCACCGACAGGGCTGGTCTCGACGCTTTTGTCAACAAGTGAGCATGATTTCCGCCATAGACATACTGCATTAAGGAGCAAAGACTGATGCGCAGCTGAATTACAGGGTTGTCCAGACATACCCCGACTTGGACTGCGTCTTCCTCAACTCAGGCATTCAGACCCAGACCAAACTTACTCGCCCAGAAGAAATTGATCTCGACGCTTTCCACCACGAATTCAACGTCAACTACACGTCAATCGTGAACCTCACCATCAAGTTTCTGCCTCACCTCCTGAAGAAGGATTACCCCACCAGCGTAATCGTCACAGGGTCGATCCTGGGCCTGATTCCCGCCTTTGTCATGCCGGCATACAGCGCGTCCAAGGCTGCTCTCCGCTCCTTTTTTGAATCTCTTCGACGACAGAACCAAGGCTTCTCAAAGGTCAAGTTTATTGAGCTTTTGCCTCCCGCTGTGCAAAGTAGGTGTTCTACCTTCTAACATCCCTGTGTGAGTGCTTGATGAGGGACAGACTGACGTATTTATTAGCTGAACTTCATGATTACATGGGTGTTGAACGCGGCCGAGCTCTAGGCATGCCCATCGACGAGTTCACCGAGAAAGCGTACGCTCAGCTTGCGGCAGGCGAGGAGGTAATCATCATCGGAAACCTTCACGGCTCTACCCCTGAGGGTACGCGGGAGTTCTTTGAGAAGAGAGACGGGCTGTTCAATGCTATTTCTAGCGCTTTGTCAGTTCATTTCCAGCCCTAAGGAGATGGAGGTTGGACAGTTTATACAAGATATTTAAGAGCAAGCGAACAATGAATATGTATTAAAGAGAAACTTGCTTTGCCATGCCTAGTTGTGCAGTCAGTGTTTGTATGACATCCCAGCGTCTGACTGCCAGAGCATTTCATCCATCGCATCTCTTCTCTAATACTGCCATAGATAGGCGAAGTATACATGTATAGTCGAAGTAAGCTCATCCTCTTCCGGACCAAAAGCTTATTGTCCGGGAACTGTGGGGCATCGGCATGAGTGGAGTCCCGGCGACCTCGGAGCTGTCATCGAGCTATTATCCATCTTCAACCATCTGCCATCAAGGGACCATGCCGATGGAATGTTGGAAAGTGATACGGACTTCGGCAGAGTTTGCACATTGCCTTATTCTACCGCGTTCAAATTGTGCGCGTCTAATCTCTTGTCAAAAGCCGGGCGATGGCGCAAACTTTAATGAGCTGTCCGGATGCAGAAATCTCCTGATCCGCCCACTCAAGCACCGCCGACGTCACGGAAACGTAGTTGGGGCTTCGAAAGCAAGCCGGAAAGAGTTCCGTTTTGGGGTCTCAAGAAATCTTGGAGAACTTGGGATTTTGAAAGATTTTTCATCACACGAATTTCAAACAACTCCTTGCTCATTAACAGCAATCGATCCCAGGTACACCACTGTTTAGGGAATGCTCTCATACATCTATACCATGACTCCCCCCACGAAAGTCTTCTTTCCCGCGTTTCAGCTACAAATCTGCGGGGAGCTCTTCGTGCCGGAGCCAGGATCACCAAATCGCATGGGTGCGGCGGTTGTCATAAGCCATCCGATGACAGGCGTCAAGGAACAAACGTCAACGGATTACGCCAAGGTCCTCTCCAAGGCTGGCTTCTACGCACTCACCTTTGACGCCGGGTACCAAGGCGAGAGCAGCGGCGAGCCTCGCGGGCTGGAAGACCCCCACCAGCGCGTGGAGGACATCAAGGCGGCGGTGAGCTACCTGACGACGCTGAGCGGCCGAGTGGACGCCGAAAAGATCGGGCTCCTGGGCATCTGCGCGTCTGGAGGATACGCCTCGTATGCGACACAGTCAGACAGTCGCATCAAGTGCCTGGCCACGGTGAGCGCAGCCTGTGTCGGGCGCATGACACGCAACGGCGGCGTCCATCCGCACCACAGAGAGAACCCCCTGGCCATCGCCACGGCGCTCGAGGCCGCAGGCCAATGGCGGTTCAGCGCTGCAAAGAACCCGACGTCCAAGCCCGAAGCGCCCGTCATGTTCGAGACGGACCCATCCAAGGTGGCCGAAGGCGCGGATACCTTCTTCAGGGATGCAGCCGCATACTACGGCACCAAGCGCGGGAAGCACGAACGAAGTACCCAAAAGGTCCCGCCGCAGAGCTACGACCTCATGGTCAGCTACGACTCCTTCGTCTTCCAGCATCTGATAGCGCCCAGGCCGCTGTTGATGATTGCGGGATCAGAGGCGCAGACGTTACATTACAGCCAGGCGGCCATTGATGCGGCGAGGCGGCCCAAGGAGCTGTTTGTGGTGCCGGGCAAGAATCACTTTGATTTGTACGACGACTTGCGGGAGACGGGACCAAAAGTGGTGGACTTTTTCGCCAGCGGCTTGGAATGAAACCTTAGAAAGAGACAGAGAGGGAGGGAGACAGAAGAGCGTACTCTGTACATTACATTGCGTCACAAGCTGTGGTTTTGGGATTTGACGTGAATAGTAATCAGGCGGGTTCATGCTGTGCTGGTCTCGAGCAGCTGGAGCCAGCAATTGTTTCCGGGCGAGTGTTGAGTAATCGGAACGGAGTCGAGTCGTGCTAGCATGTTTTTTTGTCCAACAGGCCTCGAACAAGAAGTCAATCATGTCCAACACAGCATCACGAGGATCTGTCATTAAAGAGACTGGGGTCATGTCATTTTGATACTAGAGAATCTCGCGGGCCGCGCTTGGGGAGGTGTTATTTCCGGCTCAGGGCGAATGCCGACGCGGACGGCTTAGGTATGATGAAGCAAGAATTGATTCCACCTGTTTGCCAGAGGAGAGCCATTATTCCACCAACCGAACTTGAGCATACATTTATTTGTCAGTGGTGATAAGACGGGATAGAAAAGAACAAGAGAGGCCCAACATGTTGGAGCCCGCTTACGGCTTAGTCTCCGGCGTATGATCTGCAGCCGTTTAATACCTGTAGGTAGCTCCAGATGGCCATGCAAACCGATGCTTCTGGACAGTGATTTGTTTTGTCGACGCACGGCATTTCTGAGTCTGCTTCAGCTCGACTAACACCAGACTTCCGGAAAGGGGGCGGTCCACCGAAAGCCTACACTGGCCTAGCTAGAGGAGTGCGGAAGTCGATATTAATCAGGCCGGGCATTCCCAGTGTTTAGTTTTGGTTTCCCAATCGCACCTTTTCTTTTTCCTCTTCTCTTCCCCTTTCCCCTCACTTTTTTTCTTTCCTTTTTATTATTCGCCATTATTACTACTACTGCTGCTATTATTCAGCCCACCCTGGTTGCCCCTCCCGCTTCTCACTCAGAATCCGACGAGCTGTTCCCTGCACGCCTCGGCTGTGACGCAGCGTCTGACTAGATGCGCGACGCCATAACGTCAGTCACTTAGTCAGCCGCTTCAGGTCCCAAATCACCCTTCAAGCCACTTTCTGATTTCCTTTCGCGACACCAACAAAACAAAACAAAACAAACATTGACAGGTCATTTCATCTGCTCAGGTCCAGCATCGCCGTGGATTCTTTCTCAGGCCAGCCGAGCCAAGGCCTCTCATCTCGCTCAGCCGCACGAGATGCCCCTGCGAATGCCCTCCCTGCCTTGATAGCAAACAAACCAGTGACAGCTGACATAGCCTCCTTGCATTCAACTGAGACAAACTCGATCGCTTCAATTGGTCCGAGTCCGAGTTTAATGAGTCAGCTGCTTTACTGGTGCATTGTTAGTAGGCCAGGTTGTGCCCATTTAAAAGATGCTGCCATTCCCCTCTTCGCCGCCTTCTCGCCGTTCCATCTCGCCATCTCATTTACTTGAACGACCAATGGATTCAGACCAGGAGTCAGACCCCTTTACCAACCATTCTTCAGAAATCGAGGCCGAGATATTCGAGGGCTTCGCAAATGTCGCCACTGTGCCTGAGGGCGAGGAACTCGAGAGCGAGACGCAGGCCTACCATTCTCTAGTCAACGAAGGAGGCCGGCCATCACATCCGTTGAGCCTCGTTGAGAGCATCATCTCTGCACCCGGCCAATATCGCGACATCCTGGCCTTCTGGCAAGAGCAGACGGACGAATGGCAGGTCTTTACCAAGCAGCTGTCAAGGTGGAAGATGTTCCTGTCTCACCAGAAAACATCTCGGCACAACGGCCGATACCCCAGTCACCTCGAAGAGCTCACTGAGCGACTGGAACGCCACGGCTTTGCGCTCCCCCCTGGCTTTGATAAAGCTTCGAATGGATTCTGCAGACAGATAGAGAAGCAGAACAAGTTGGCAACATGGATTGAATACATCAACTATGAGCTTACCCGGCGTGACGAGTACGACAAATGGCTCGAGACTTGCCAGCCGGGTTATGATGCAGCACTCGCCCAACTCATGGACGCACAAGTTTTGGGCCCGTTCGAGCAGGTCAGGACGCCAACCAGTGACATTTGCCGCCCATCCAGCCTCGAAATTGCCAGGCTAAGGGACGAACGTCGCAGGGCAGAGGAAGCATGTGAGACAGCCAAGGACCGGTTAAGCTGGAGAGATCCCCGTAGAGGGCCTCGAACTGCCCAGCAAATGGAACGAGAGCAACGTCTATTTACAGAGGCTAGAGAACGGTTAAGGATGATTAATAAAAGGGGCTACGTCATCTCCGACTTTGCTCGCAAAACACATGCCTACCGCTTTGCCCAGGATAGATCGGAGCGCCACGAACTGCTCCTGCGTTGGGCCATGGATCAGATTCCCTTAATCGAGGATGAGCTTAGGAAGGAAGACCAGTCGGCCTTCGTTGCTGATCTCCGTGGTGTTCCGCCCAATCAAGACCAAGTGGTGGAACGGTCTTTTCCGATTTTCCAGCAGCTCCCACCCGAGATTCGACATCGCATCTGGGGCGAGCTGATTCCGAGGAGTCCAAGCGTACACTTTTTCGACGTGTTGAATCATCAGCGCAGACGCCATCTGGCTTCCTACTGGTCCACCGAGGAGTTTCGCGTGCGTGCCACCACTTCGCGCGACTCTGGCTATCTATCCGTGTACACTCTCCTGGCGACTTGTCGAGAGTCACGACACGTTGTCGAGACGTACTACATGTGTCGACGGCGCGGCATAAAGTGCCCTCTATCAGGTGGCAGTATCACCTTCTCCGAGCAGCCACCGGATTTCAGGACATTTGACTGGATCCCGTATGACGATATGATCGTCTTAAACTTCCCACCCAAGCAGGTTACCCATCTCCCGGCAGGAAATGCGTTTACCTTGTCTCCTGGGCCGGGCCAAGCCGCACGGCGCATTGGAGCGTGCGTGCCAGCGGAGCTTTTGACCATGAACCAGTTTAGCCCCGCCGATGAGGGCGAGGGCGATGATGATGCTGCACAAATAGCCTTAATCCCATATTTCATCAATAAGCTACACAGGCCTGTTCACCCTGACCATGAAACGGACAGCGTTAGCCAGGGGATCTGGAAGCTGTACCTCGTCATCGAAGGCTGGGTAGTGAACCACGTGTTGATGCAGCTATCCATGGGCCTCGACACCAACATACCACTAGAGAGGTGGTCAAGCGATCCTGTGGCCTGGCTCTGCCAATCAGCAAGGAAGGAAGAGAGAACGCAACTCTGGAGAGGCATAATGGAGGTGAACCCGGAGGACGCGCCCCCTCCCGGAGAGCCCATCGACCGTCAGCTATGGTGGCTGGGGTCGGGAGATTCCGCGCTGTCATCCATCGACCTCGGTGATGCTGCTCAAAAGGGCCCTGGGGAAAAGCTGCGCGAGTTCATGGAGACGCTTGCTCAGGAGTGTGACTTGCTGCCGTGGCACAAGGGCTTTGAGGGCGTCGAAGCCCTGGGCTGGATGGAGCCCGCGGGCATGGATATCGGGAGGGCGAATCCGTGGGATCTAGTTGATGCTATTAGGAACCGGGGTGGACGTCCGCTTGCCTTGTGAAGGGGCCGAGGACAATGTTCGAACTGAGGCAGTAGGTTGATGATTTTCACTAAAGGGGAGAAAGAAGACGAGACAGGTCTTCTTCTGATGATAATGAGCAGGAGCACCATATTGGAATTATGATGAAAAGTTTGGCCATCCAAGTTGAAGCTGAGATACCCCCCAGGTCTATTACACACATTCATCTTTGTATATATACTTTCTTCGTTGCCTTTATAAGGCCCCTCTAGGATACGGTTCATTTAGGTACAGGCGCTATCATAACGCGCAGGATATAAAATCTAAATCCATTCATACCATGTATACGAAGCCAATTTCCTTGTCTATTTGTTCATGTCCATGAAGATCTGTCATAGTGATGCCTGATTGCAGCTATTGAGCTCAGGGCTCGTAAGATTTGTTTCGCAAACGAAGCTGGAGCCTTCGCCATACTCTATGAGAAGCGTGAGGTTTCTGAGAATTAACCTAGCGCTATGTTGCTCTTATGAGGTAGCCTAAATAATCCTCCCTTGGCAAAGAGACCGACATTCCCCGACGCCGCGCTCTCGAGCTCAGCAGTGTGAGCTACCGCCAGGAACGCTAGCACAGAGGAAGCGGTGTGGTGGAATGCCCGTAAACCAGCAAGACATATCCAACTCAATGTGCAGTCGGCTTTTTGGACTTTAAGATTCCTATAACGCTGACGCGGGTCAGAGCGGAAAGGGCCAGGCCGACGGCATCTCCCGTCAATAGGATGGAGTCCCATGGAGTAAATTTCCGGAATCAATCGGGGAAATGAGTGTACCGGAAAAGAGCGAGCACAGTATCTGATGCATTTGGGCTTCATTTAGAAGCTTTGCTGTGTCTTTTCATCGTTTCCGGTACCTGGTTGAACAAGTGTGGCTTCCAAGGCAGGCGATGGTAATTACCACCCAATTGTTGGGCCGTAGCTCGAGTGTCATGCCAGCATCCGCCTCTCCTGAGTTATACCCCAAGGAGCCGCATCTTCAGCATGTCGTCTTGTGTCTCGACCAGCAATTGCTCGATAAAGGGGCATCCCTTCGTCTGTAATACAGAAAAGTCGGTCAAGCTGCCGCAGGCTGTGGATTGTTGCCAACCGTCTTGTAGAGATCCCTCAGCTCAAACTCCTCGTGCGCACCATCAGGCAACTCGCCCACAACGCGCCCCGGCTGACCAGCCACTATGGAAAAGCTCGGAATGACCATGTTCGCAGGGACAATCGTGCCATCCAGGACTTTGACATAGTCCTTGATGATGGCAAACTCGTTGATGACGCATCCATTCCCGATATAGACGTGATTCCCGATGCTCGCCGCCTGCACCACCGTCCCCTGGCCGATGAAGACGTGATCTCCGATCCTCAGCGGCATATACGTGAAGACGCCCTTGTAGATGCGGCCCGGCGGCCGCAGCAGCACGGCGCGCGAGAGGAAGCAGTAACGGCCGATGGCGACGGCGGTGGTATTTGGCGGCGCGGCGTTTCCGCCAGACGAGGGCGGCGGAGCTGCGGTGCGGACGAGGTCACCGCGGATCATGACTTCGGGCTGGATGACGGTCTTGCCGCCGAGCATGATGTTCTGGGTGCCGACGAGGACGGCCTTGCGGGCGACCTTGTTGCCGGTGTCCTGGAGGGGTGATGATGATGCCACGTTAGTAGGTGAGGCTTCTTCTTATTGTAGCCAAGACAAATGCAATTCTTTGATTATGGCTACTAGAAGGGGGTTGCTCTCTTACTGTTTCGATATAGTCTCCTTTTGCTGGACGGCGCGACATGTTGGGCGTTGCGAGACGAGTTTGGTTGCTAAGCTGGTGCAAGTTGCAGATCGATCACGAATTGCCGGCCTGTACTCGTAGGCGTTCTTGGGCAAGTTTTGGTGGGGGCGGCTGGAGCTTGAGCACTGACCACCGCCAACAGCACAGCAACAACAGCCGCAGCAACAACAGCAGCAACACAAGCTACTGGGAATACGACATGACTTTTAATCTCGATCCATGGCCATTTACAGCTCATGGCTAAGCCATCTGACACGCCATTCGCTATTCAACACGGACTGCTTCGGTGAATCATGCAACAACCGGGAAATCAGGATTCATCAGGTGCTGCGCTGCATAATGCCTTAGACCGAATCCCGTCAAATCCTTCAAGTCGGAACTGCATCCCCGCCATCACTTTTTAGCCCTCCAGCTCGTTCGCCCAATCCAACGCCTCCCAGCTCCCTGTCAAACGAACAGCTGCGGCCTTAGTTTTCGGATTAGTCTGGCATCCAGACCCTTTTCCTGCCCCCAACTTGCCCTCCTTTGGCCTGGAGCGGATGGATATTTATGCCATTTCCGCGCGCGCTGCGTGAGGCTATGGCTCGATTCATGGTGAAATGGGCGAGGAGCCGCAGCCTGGGCTGCCTCGTGTCGATTTAGCTGCAAGGGCATCGGGATTTCGTCGAGGCGCCCCAGTGAATATTTGTATTTATTTCCGTCGGTCCTCGTGGTGTTATTTATATATTATGTTCATGCAAGTTCAGTTCCTGCGGCGTTGTCGTTCTCCCGACCCTCTTCTCTTTGCAGTCTTACGGTTCTCGCTGTCGCCATGAAGAAAGGCGTTCCTTGACGCAAACACAGTATTGTGGCAATACTTGGTATTCGCCGCGGCCATGCGACTTGGACCATTTCTTGCAACTCGCTCTTTAAAAAACGCCGCAACTCCAACTAAGGAAACTTCGCAGCAGACGGCTCATCCAGTATTCGAGCCCACAACTCAGCCAGCGGTAGCGCGAGACTTTTCGAATGTGCCAAGTCCTACGCCGACAGATCAACTGCCTAGCCAAGCAAATAGCACGCAAACAAACAACACACAAACAAGCAATGGCCTTGACGCAGCGACCAAGATCGGCCTGGAATCCGGCATCACTCTGGGCATTCTGGTCTTGATAGTGGCGATAGGGCTCTGCGTATATGCCTTTAGTGGCCGAAAACCGGATAGAGAGGCGGATGAAGACGCGGAAATCAGAAGCTGCGTAGTAGAGCCAGGTACACCACATGATTCAATACCGGAGCTTTCCACTTCGCAAATGTATCAAACTGGTAGGCATCGATATGAGCCACTACCGAACAACATGAACCCTACATTCTCGCAAGTCCCGATCTTGCCAGCAGTTCCTCAGAGGGTTCCTGTTATGCTTGACCGATGGGGAAGGCCAGATTATAGCTCGCAGCCTTTAATGAATGCTGCCGAGTTGGAGGATGGATATACTTGGAACAGACACCCCAGAATGTCGGAACTGAATCCGACTCCATCTACCTACAGAAAATCAGTGTATTCACGACCGGCCGAGTTGGATAATAGCCATGCTGGAACTCCAGCTGGAAATCCAAAAGCCGTACATTTGATCCCCCGGAAGCAGGTTGGAAGCCATGCAAAGCTGCCACGGTCAGAGCCATACTTGGGCCCGACATGAACTGGGCACGCACATGACACCAATATGGATTTGATGGCTATTTGTAGAGGGTTATCGAGCATCCCAGATTGAAAGGGAACTGTTGGATGACCTATCTACCTGCACACCTCTTATTAGCTATGGCATTTTGAGATATGGGAAAATGGCAGCGATATTGTCAGGATTTATTCGTTATCAGTTCATATTATTACCAGATCATAGCAGCAGCTACGTATATATATGTATTAAGACTGTTCAAGAGCTGAGTCTGTTTCCAGAGATGCGGTGTATACATGTACAACTCAAGGAAGGACTGTAGTCTCTCAGTAAGACATAGACGGGCGAAATAGACAGCTTATCAATGCAGATATATGTGAATCTATAGCTAACCACGTTCATCTTAATTTAGACAGATGAATAATGCTGAAGCTAGATTAAGCGAGCTGTCGACGAACCGGTAGCTCGGCACTGGTCCCATTTATCCTCAATAGGCATGTAGCCCGTTGTTGGCACAAGTGCAGGTGATTTATCGCATCCTTCGCTACGTGTCAGTGCCTTTCCTAGTAGATTCAAGTGCCGCTAATGCAACCAGTGTGTTGGATGGATCGAGGATGCATGTGGCCATGGCTGGTCTAGAGAATGGCCGATCCAATCCTTCACCAACCAGTACAACAAAATGGGTCTTTGCGATCCAACAGAGGATTTCTATACTGTCTGTGAGGCTAAATCATTGGTAGATGAACAATATTCAGCCCAAGGAGCGGTTAGCAATCATCGTGGCCGCCGTTGGTTTCAACTGTCCGAGCGCGCTTGTTCAAGGCAGACTCATACTCGTACATGTAGTCAAGCTTTGGTCATTTCTGCGACCCAACAGCTAAGCCAATGTGTTATAGCGAGGGTCAAACCGCAAATCTTGACTGCGAAAGTGAAATCCAATCCGAGAGACGCAGGATACAGGATGCAAGATCAAAGACAAGAATTGCCAAATAAAGACAAAATTACATAAACCACCTCGCCCAAGTAGGAGGATGCTGAGGATCCAGGATCGAGAAGTCATTTACACTAGCCTCATCCTAGTCCTTTAGGGTGACAAAACACCCTCCATCACCGCCTTTGTCATTCATGCAGATTTGGAAGAGGAGCTTTGAGTCTACATGGATTGAAGCAAGAAACTTGGAATCAGGTTCCACGGCGTCAATTAGCTACATAAACTCGCAATTTCATTTTGGGCCCGGCGCCGTTCGTTAATCTGACCGCTGACAGGTGGAGAGGCTTTATAAGCCGAAAAAAAGGCCCATACTTGACGTCGTAGAGCGTCTAAAAATAGCCCGGCATGTGGGCACATCAGGCAAGATGGCAAAAAGGTCCGTTTTTGGGAGGAGAATGTTGATGCGGAACGTGGTTGGTCCGAGGACTGGAGTTGCGAGACGAGGACTCAATATTGTACATTGGAATCAATGGGCTTGGCTTGAGGCCTGTGCTGCGTTACCTGGACACAAACCAGTTGAGGCCAAGGAAAGGAGATTGAAGTCGAGTACAAAGCAGATTCAGTGCAACAGTGTGTACACACGAGTGCGTGTATTACATACGGTGAATGACAAATTCAAGCCGATGCAGTAAGAGTTGAGGCTTCGTTTAGCATGTGAACCATCAATAGGGAGCATGTTCATATACCCGTCAACTGTCGATCTCGCATGAACACCCAAAATGACCCCCAAATCAAGCCAGACAGCAAAAAACGAAGAAAAGAAAAGAACCAGAACTCACCACCAACCAAAAACTCAGCCCATTGGCCTGCCCTCAGCGCCATGTGGCGGTGCCGCGGGTATCAAACTTTCCGCTCAATCTCACCCGCGCCATGGCGTTTTGGAATCCAAGCCAGCCTTGCGCCTTTGAGCCTAGGCAGAGCAGCACCACCCCATGCTAAGCCCTGCATCTTTGCAAGCGCGAACTAGGGCAGGGATTTTGTTTTGTTCAGAGTCCATGGATTGTTTTGTTTCTCACAGTACAGTGTCCAAGATTCCAGTTGAGGCACGTCACTTTCTGCTTTTGCAAGCGAATGACGAAGGGGGGAAGCGAGGGAACAAGAGGATTCGCTTCCCTTGTTCTTCTTCCTTTGGCTAAAACCTGCTAACAAAGCACCTAGTTGAAGCCAGTCAGCATTCTATTCTCGACGGGGTCTTCCATTGTTGCTTGTGTGGCCGGAAAAGAGCATCCCGGAGGACTGGATGACCGCCTCCCATGACGGCAATGACATGAACGAGTAATGAATGACACGGCCGGACAGGCGGGTTGCCGCCCAGCTCGAGACGTCATGTTATCCAATTGCCCAAGTCTGCGATACACTCAAAGCAGCAGGACGGTAATAGAAGTCGTAGCGTAACTGAAAGGGCCACTCGATTTTGCCGCCCGCCAAGAATCTTGGTTCTACAGTCCATCGTCGAGTCAAACGATGCAAATCAACCAAGAAGCGCCCCATCTCTCGGCTCAGCAAGGCAACACACGCGGTCGTACGACAAAGAGCAGGGAAATTCACAGCTGCACGTACCCGCATCTGGTCTCATCGCAATCTTCAGTGGGCGCCTCAGACACATTCCGAGTGGGATTGCAGCTGGGGTGTGTTGATCCGGATGCAACCAGCCGAGGAGCGAAGAGGAGGGAGACAAAGCCAGATGCTACCCTGCCCCGTCCAGCCACACGGATCCCTGGTTCTTACTTGCATGAGCGGCATACTGAGAGAGGGCTTGGATCCCGATTTCCCGGCCACTGCGCACTACAGAATCTCATCTCAGCCCAACGTCTCAGATGGCGAATCCATGCGCGTTTGTCTTGGACGGAGCCAATTCGCCGCCAACTCGCCTCCCCATCGATCCCGAGACAGAACAGAACAAGTCGCCCCAAAAAAGAACATTACAGCCATTATTGTCATCATAACCACAATAAGGAAAAAACGAAAAAATAATTCCCGGATCTCGCAACAATCCGGCCAGAATCGCAAAAATACCACGGACCGCACTACTGCAGCCCGCCGCTCTAAGCGCCCAAGCGGAGACACCCTGGGCCATGCTGCTCGACCACACCCATCCGTGATCCTAGCTTGGATTTCTATTTCCATTCTCTTTGCTGCCTTTTTTAGCCTCTGGTCTGCATGAGCTAGCTTTGCTTTGCTTATAACTATCCCGAGCTTCCCCAACTCTGGGGGGATTCCGGATTCATTACCAGCTCTCTTCACCAATAACATCCTCCTTCACTCTCTCCCTCCCTCATCTCTCTCCTCCTTTACTTCCAACGAACATCATCGTCTGCAAACATGCTCGGCAAATCTCTTCTCGTCCTCGCCTCGGCCGCTCTGGCCCTTGGCACACCTGTCGAAAGGACTGTCAGCTGCCGAGCTCCGATGGCTGACCCTCCTCTGCCCTTGACCGGCGGTGGTAAGTGCCAATTCACTTACACGTACACTTACATACAACACACACAAGAACCCAACTAACATCTTCTCTCTTCCAGCCGCCGAACTGCCCCCCGTCCCCGAAGGCCTCAGCCTCAAGGTCATCGCCCTGGGCCTCGGTATCCAGAACTACTCGTGCGCCTCCGTCGGCGCCACTGCCGCCTCGACCGGTGCCCTGGCCATGTTCTACGACATGAGCCTGCTGTATCCCGACTCCGGCCCCAACTCCCTCACCATTGAAAAGTTCAACCAGCTGCCGGCCTTTGCCCTCAACCACCACGCCATCCCCCTCCACTTCAACGACTCCACCGTCGGCCGCGTCGAGGTGTCCTCCCCCGGAGCCTCTCTCAAGCGCCCCTTTACTCGCGCTGCTCCTCTCGACCTCGGCGAGTACGGCAAGCTGCCCTTCCTCGGCCACCACTTCTTCAACACCGACGGCGCCCCGACCTTCATCCTCGCCCGCGGCAGCTTCAACGTCGTCGCCGCGAAGAAGGCCTCCGTCCCGGCCCCCGGCAGCTCCGACCCCGGCCCAATGGGCACCGGCGCCGTTGCCTGGCTCGCTCTCGACGCCAACCAGAACTCGCACGGCGCAACTCTCGTCTACCGTGTCGAGACTGCTGGTGGCAACTCTCACGGCTGCTCCAAGGCTGCTGGCCAGGACAGCACGAGCTATGCTGCTCAGTACTGGTTCTACGGTCCCTAAGCGGCTGGTTTAGAATCACTGGCTCTTTTTCTACTTTTTATCTTTTTTTTTTCAGTATTAATTTCTTTTTTCCCTCCTTGTTTCAACTTTCTTGCTTTAAAAAGGAGCTTTTTAGACGAGGGAGTTGGAAAGAGTCTAAGAAAGAAGACATATTTTCTTTTCTCGGTTCAACATACACTATTCGGGTTTCTCGTGGGTAAACAGGAATGACAATTGGGTACCAATACGAAATTCTAGGCAGGCAGGCAGGCAAATGTACATTTTTTTTTCGGTCATATTATTCCCCCTACTTTCGCACTTCATTGCATAGTTCAGGTTGTTTAGGAGTTTGTTTGCTTTCAAAGCGCATAGACAGAATTAGCTATTGGGGGGAAGGGGGGATATTCTTAACTCGTCTTTACAAATGCATTACTATTACTACATTTCCTAAAAAGTTGAAAGGGTCGCAGTGCTCCAAAAATATATGGCGTTGCATAATCCGTGAATAACAACTACGCAAACCCACCGCCGCCCTAGTGATTCGCTGATTCGTAACTAGGCGTTCCCCCCCCATCTATTGCGTTAAAATCTCACAGCCCTTTGCAAGGAATGCCAATCTCGTCAAGCCCAAGTTTAGTTCTTACGCATCAGCTCCGTAATATCTCAAAGGGCACCTTTTCCCACACTATATGACTTGATTGACTTTGCCAGTTTGCGATTAGGTTGACCGCTAGAATGAAGGACGCATTCGCAACTCGAACTCGCACGGCGTTTCGGGTACATGCAGTTGCGACAACTCGGAGTCAGCCTCGCTTGTTGAAAGAATCTTAACCGACAACGATCAGAAAACAAGAACAGGCAGTACAGAAGGTACCTTTATCATTCAGAAAATTATACTGGTATGCGCCATGTAGAGTGTATTGTATACAGCATTCGTCGATTGTAGTAATTTTGCCTCGTTCCAACGCGCATTCTCGCTTCACTAATACCCATATCCAGCGTCAAGAAATACTCTTCCTAATGTAATAAACTCCTTTTGTTTTGCTTAATTCCTCCTTCTCTTTGCTCTTCCATATCATGATGAGGGAATGTGTGGCATTCAGTATAGACTTTTTCATCCGTGTTTGCTTCCACCATAAATTGCACAAGGGACGCAAACAGAAAGTCATTCCAACCCTGCTCTTTTGCGCTCTACACGCGGATTTACCTCCTAATGTCCATGCCCGCCTGGAGATCCTGCTCAAGTCCGTTGGGGTGTCCCATGTATTCCTGTGGTCGCGGATCCTCTGCTGTCCATTGGCCACCAGCTGACGGCATGGGGACTTGCATCTGCTGAGCCGCGCCTTGGTTGCCGGATGCAGGAGCAGTGCGCACAAGCTGTCGGAAGCGCAGCACCTCGTCCAGAATCATCTTTCGCATCTCACCGACATCCTCGACGACTTCAAAGTCGAAGTTGAACGTCGTGGGGCAGTCCGGCTCGTCAGAAGCATCATGCCAGATGTGGAGGTATGGGTGCTCAAGCGCCTGCTCGACGCTGATACGCTGTGAAGGGTCAAAGGCAAGCATCTTGTCGAGGAGGTCGAGGGCGTCGGGGTTGGCGTCGGGGAAGAGAGCTGGGAAAGGCTTCTTGGGCATGAATGGCAGGTTGCGGACGTATTCTTGGGCACGGGGAGATCCTATGCGGCGGAGGGTTTCTTCGTTCGGAGTTCCGAGAATATGCAAGATCTGGTTAAGCTGGTCGACATAGTCTCGGCCCTTGAAGAATGGCCGGCCACCCAGAAGCTCGGCAAGAATGCAGCCGACAGACCAAACGTCAACTATCAAGTGTGTCAGTGTTTGTGAATTCCCGAACAGGGAAGAGCAAGTCTTGAAGCCTTGCAATTGGCAACGTACTGGCTTTGGTGTAGCTCTGGAAGCTCAGCATAATCTCGGGCGCACGGTACCATCTTGTGGCAACGTACTCCGTCATGTATCCCGCATTCTCCTCGGGGTCGACAGAGAAGCCACGGGCAAGACCAAAATCGCAAATCTTCAGCTCGCAGTCGGCGTTGACAAGCAAGTTTCCGGGCTTCAAATCTCGGTGGAGGACGTTGGCGGAATGGATATACTTGAGACCGCACAGGATCTGGTAGATGAAGGACTGGAAGTGAGCGTCGGTCAAAGGCTGGCCGGAACGGATGATAGCTGCCAAGTCGCATTCCATCAACTCTGCGTAGAATCGTTAGCCTCGTCATGCTTTCTCTGGCTGTGCTGGCCCCTATTGTCATGGGCAACGGCACTGCGCGGCCGTGTCGGCAATACTGACCCTCGTATAGGTACGTCTCGTTGAAGTTATCAGGTCTCGGGATGTCCATATCATAGAGACATGTGATCTGGGATTTTCCACAGACGTTAGTCTTTTATCAACATAGCTCGTCGGGTCGGGCTGTCACTCACGTTGCGATGGCCGCGGAAGTGCTGCAGCAGCTTGATCTCGCGCAGGGCGCGCTTGGCGAGAATCTTCTTGCTGAAGACATTGGTGACCTTCTTGATGGCGACGCCCTCGTTCGTCTGGTTGTTGACGGCAGCGCTGTTGTTGTTGCCCCAATTAGGAGCTGGTCGTTAGCAAGCCGAGCTGTTGATGGTATCGTGCCGGCGGGGGGTTCGCAAAGTGGCAGACAAGCGGGGTGCAATGCCATGGCTATGGCTCGGACGGGATAGCGATGGCGCTAGAAACTCACCAGACAATGCCGTAGGCTCCCTGGCCCAGCTCCTTGGTGACGGTGTAGCGCTCGTCAACCACAAAGTCCTGGTTGAAGACCTTGAATACCTTTCGTCCTTGGAGATCCGCCATGGCTGCGCTTGAGTAGTTGCGTGAAGTGGCCTTGGATTTCTCACTGTGGGTGTGGGGGAGAAGAGGGGTTTATGTTCTGCTGAGCCGCTGTGGGCAGGGTGCTTGTAGGGGGCGGTACAGCGCTGTCAAGTGCCTAGAAGGCTGGCTGGCACAACAAAGAAAGAAAAAAAAAAGAGATGCAGGACGGCTCAACAAGAAACAAGGACACGGGCTGATGTTGGTGGTCGCACAGGACGCTGGAAGAGCTGTGCTGGTTCTGAGATGAATTCAAAAGGGAAACAAGAGAGAAACAAGAGAGGAGGACAGGAAGAAGAAAAAGAGGAAACGCTGGTGGTTCAGGAGAAGAGGAAGAGCAAGCTGCGGCGTGATCAGGGAGACGCGGCCACCACAAACCGCTGAATATACTCTCCAGCTCCCAAACAGGACGAGCCGTGGTTGGCTGCTCCGTACAGCAGAAGACATTTGATCCATCAGCTCTGCGCCGCTAACGGGGAGTGGATACGAACGAGAACCAACAAGCTCGATTCTCTTTGGCCTCCGCAGCTGGGCTGAGCGACGTGGAGCGCAGCCAATCGCATTTTACCCCAAGATGTGATGGGCTCTAGCCGCGCGCAATAAGGGCGATATAATACTGCGTGCCAGTTTCGTGTATCAGCCCCTTCTCCTTGGCATCTCGCGAAGGGTCTGTACGAGTACTCGCACAATGTGCAATTCTGTTTGCGACGGTCTTTTAGCAAACAACATGAAGGACTCGGCTGCATCGTTTGGCGGGAGGAGGCTGTGTCACATGCTATTATCTGATAGTTGCTTCATTACTATATAGTAGCCCGTATTAGTAGGCAGTCTAGATTACAGCCATCTGTCAAGCCTTGTCTCTCTTTTGGTTAAGCTGCATTAGGCCAGCCGTAGGGCCGCGGTTCAATGTTACACGAACGGCCAAAAGAGGAGCGAGAGCTGTACTCTGTACTCATACATTATTGATGTCAATTACGTGTACGAGTAATACTCTCATCTTGACTGATGGACGGCAAGGCGGCTCATGCATCAGCAGTCTGGAGCCACTAACAGCTGATTTCTTCAGGCTCTTATTGTGGCGCGGAGTGGGCCGAGACGAGCGGCAGCAGCGGTCAGTATCTGTAAGAAGAAAGTCAGTGCAGTATTTGGCATTGGCGGCTTCAACGTAAGCGATGCGGGATAGACAGCTTTTCCGGTTGCCTGTCCAAAGAAGAGTGTTTCAGAGTTCTCAATTGCAGACTTTATGCGGGCAATGTTTAGGCAATGCTTGGGCACAAGAGTCTGTTTCTGTCTGCATTGCCCTTGTCCTTGTCGCCCATTCCAGCGACTGCAGCCACTCCCGAGACCCGCATCCCAGACCGGCACATCACTATCGCATCACCCTGTCGCAGACAAGGGCTAATCGCTGCTGTTCCTATAAATACTCGTAAGCCCGGCATCAGCCCTTTATAGATGAGCTGGATTGGCCGGCAATGGGCTGTCTGTGCCCGTATGAGTATATGAGTATATACATACAAGGTAGTACAGGATATCGGCGGAAAGGAGGCCCTCAATCTCAGCTCAGGCACAAGGGTAATACTCGGTAATTTAACCCACCGCTCGCCAGCGCCTTTCCTCCAATAATGTGGGGTGTTGTTATGCCATATTCCATGCACGGAGTCGATGGTTTGTATTTGTATTATTAAGATTAAAGACGCCCAACTTGACGGGCCAAACGTCAATCTTTTCAATCCTCAACCTTCCTTTTACACTTCCCCTCTTGCTAACAGGCCCCCTTTTCTTTCTTTTGTCTTTTGTTATTTTCCTTCTCTATTATCATTCGACTTGGTTGAGTGCGATTCCGACCTTCGACGACCAAAAACCCAGCAAATGTTTCCCGTACGGCCGAACCGGACAGCGTCTTTTGCCGCGCAGCAGCAAAACAAGAGACACAGCAGCATGCCCAGCATGACTAGATTGCCCGGCCAGCCCGTTTCCGTCTTGTTTGTGTGCTTGGGCAACATTTGCCGGTCGACAATGGCCGAAGGAATATTCCGCGATTTGGCAAAGCAGCCGCAGTTCAAGGACAAGATTGGCGACATTGATTCTTGCGGAACGGGTTAGTAGCAGCAATGGCGGCTAGCACACGTGGTAACGAGATTCTGGGCGATATACTAACCATGAGACAATGCCCGTGTAGCTGCGTATCATGCCGGCGACCCGCCGGACTCACGAACACTCGAGACGCTAGAGAGCCACGAGATTTTCGACTACGACCACGATGCGCGCCGCGTAAGTTTGGACCTTTTTCAACCTGGGGCTCCTTGAATGTTTGAAGCTATGTGGAGGCATTAGCTGACGGATCATTTGTGCCCAGATTACAAGAAGCGACTTTGAAAGGTTCGACTACATCTTCGCCATGGACCTCTCCAACCTGTCGGACCTCGAGCGTCTCAAGCGCGAGAACAAGGACTCCAAGGCCAAGGTGATGCTGTTTGGCGAATACAGCGGCACGAAGAAGCCAGAAGTGGTTAGCGACCCCTATTACGGTGGCCAGGATGGCTTCGACAAGGCATTCGAGCAATGCTCTCGCTTTGCCAAGAACTTCCTGCAGGAGGTGGTGATGAACGAGTAAACGGGGGCAAACAGACGGGGGAGAGGCCGGCAACATTACGATATTTTTGATGACAATCGGAGTAGATGGACCTTGGGACGGGATTTGATACCCAACACTTGATATCTCCCTCTGGGGATACGCGGATTATACAAGCAACTAATACGCCTAGAATCGTGTCTAGAACATACACAATATTTTGGGGTTGGTAGATAGCACACGGCATTAATCTTGAATTTAGACGTTCTTTAATTTAGCAGGAGAGGCCAAACGCGTTTTGGCATAATTAATGGTATTTATAAGTCGGGTTGTGAATAGATACTGAAGAAGCAATCAATCACATTAATGTACGTACTTGGGTAGTAGACAAAACGACACCACAAGAACTTCGCATCCAATTATAGATTTATAGCATCTAATCTTGGTATCAAAAAGAAAGGCCACCAGCGGCATTCTAGAATCCGCACCCCCAAAGCTTCTAGAACCCTGCCCACAGCTTCTAGACGCGCTTCGGCCAAATATAGCACCGGAATCTCATGGATTAGCACTGCGTCATTGATTTTGGCTGAAAGCGCACAATCGTCGGAGCTGTGAGGCGAATGCATCCAGTCGGTTAGCTGTTTTATACAAGTATATCAAGCAACAATTAAAGACTTGCGAGTAGAGACGGCAGTAGAAGCCCAGGGGGTGCTTTGGCCAGCGCCAGGGTTGCTGAAGAGACATTGCCATATCTGTTTATTTACTTCATTGATCAGCTCGTGGCCCTTTGAAGTAGTTGATGGAAAGGAAAGAAAAGGAGAGACTTACACAATTTGGCCAACTTTTGTGCAGGTATATGGATCGCCAGTGAATGCCCAGCTGTCTCCTGTGTGCGCTGGCTTATTGTATAGTAGCACCTGTCTTTTGTAGTAGATATTGCTATGATGGTTTAATTGGTAGAGAGTATAGAAATAGACTTATGTTTTGTATATCTTGACCGTTGACGGCAGTGAATGCCAATGCTACGATGCAAGGACGCAGTGTAGAGAGATGCATTCTCACGAGAAATCACGATTCAATAGGTTGGACAGGTGGTTACAACAATTGTAAGAGAGAATTATGAGCAAGTAATTTGGTAATAGTGGCAGTCTTGTCGATAATACGGAATACATACACCAAACGTATCCCATTTGCATACATGTACCTGCGATGCCATCTGTCACCTGATGAAGAGCCTAGTTGTCTCATATGGCGTAGATCATCTCAACAGCCTTCACGAATGGGATTTCTATTACAAGAGACATCTCGGGGGAGTGATGACGCGCTCTTCCGATATTGGTTATGATAGGTCAGCATCACATACGCATACCACTCGCCGAAACGATATATCGAGTCTTGGAGTCCAGAGGGATCAAAGCGGACAGCCGGCGTATACGTGGAAACGACAAACTTGGTGAGCTCATATAGGAGACAGCAATCCCAGCCTACTATATTAATCTAGATCGGAAACATGGCAACCAGGCTGTATTGAAGTGTCATTCATCACAGCATGCATCCTCAACCTCGAGATACACCATAAGAACAGTCCAGTAACTCGCCACACGTCAAGCTAGAAGATCGTCCACTGTACTTCCGGGATCACCCTCCGGATCGACGTCCTAGTATGAAGCGGTCTGTGTAGCATCAACCTTGTTTAAACGGTGTCTTACATGAGAGGTCAAGCTTTCTCTTCTCCCCCCTTACCCACTGAGAAACAACATTACATCACGCCACATATTTGATAAATGTTAATAATTTTTATTGCTTTTCGCTGTCTTGACTCAATTCAAGAGAGGGGATGTCACACATTTTTCCTACTGCGTGACTCGGTACGCGTGAATTTTCCTCCTCGGCGCCGCAGCACTCGGCTGCAGCCATTCCGTGAACCTCATGACGCCGTTGAAAAGAAAAACAACCCGAGTAAAAACACAGAGCGCCATGCTAAGAGAAAAGAAAAGAGTGGTAATATACATGTAGGGGTACAAGTTGCGTTATCATGAAAGCTGGTGTTGCGTGAGGGCGATATCCGTCCCGCCCCGGTTGGTTGCATTCAACCCGGCACACCGCTCCTTGTTTTCTTTTTCTTCCTTCATTCGTACAGGTTTCTTTTGTTACATGGCCGCAGCTTGTCTCTGGCGCTCTTGGCGGAGTTTTTCCATGACTCCGATGACTCCGCCGTTGCGAAGGCGCTCGAGAACAAGCCGCATGCCGTCACGGCTCTTGCTGAGCTGATCGATGGTCTTGGTGGAGGCGAGGCTCTCAATGCTGCGCTGAATGCCCTTGGCGCCGAGTCCGCCAAGGAATCCGGGCAGCCATCCACTGCTCTCCTGGGCCTGGCCAATCTTTCCTCTGATTTTCTCTCCGAGTCTTGACTTGAACATGACACTAGAGTTGACGTCGGTCTCGTTCCTGGCAACAGCCTCAAGCGAGCTGGGGACTTTGAAGTGTTGCTTTTCGACAACGGAAAGTACACCAGTGAAGTTGAGATTGCGACTCTCCGTCTTCATCCATCCTTCCTTGATGTCCACAACACTGGTCTCGAGAATGTATGAGGCCTTCTCGCCAGAGGTACCACCCGAGACGCTTGCGGGCAGCAATTTGTATACTGCGCTGGGCATGCGGCTCTTCTTCAGGTGGATGCGAGTGGTGTAGAGGCGCTGGGTTTTCGGGTCGACATGGCTAGAGATGGTGTCGGTGCTGAGGACATGGGCGGCGAAAGGATTAAGCTGAGGGGAAGAGTATCGCAGGAAGTAGGCGAGGGTGACGGTCGGGAAAGGGTGGGAGTAGGTGTGGTTGGTGGAGTGCGTGAGAACCATTGTGAATATTGTTACAGTAGTCGTTGAACAAGAAGATGAAGAATGCTGTATGGCTCAATGCTGCTGCGGTTGCGGAAATCCAGAGGCTCAGCGGTCAAAGACGTCAGATTTATGTTGTGCTTGAAATCAGAGGCTCGGCTCTGGCTTGGTCGCTTGAATTGCTAAGCCGGCAATCCGCATGTTCCGAGCAACGGGCGGACAAGTCAATCGTGACAAGAAAAGGGACAGGAAAATGGAAAGGAGAAAGCCAGGAGGGCGGAAAGGCAATCAATCCAAAGCCTCTGGCAAGAGGAGAGGAATCGACTGACGGCGATGGCAGTGGCACGAGCATCAACTTTTTTGCCGGTTATAAGCACGCGGCCAGCGGGGCTGTGATTGGCCACCGGTGAGGGGAAATGCTGCAGCGGCCTCAATCTGGGGTTGCAGCTTCACGTGACGCGAGGCAATCCGGCGTATGAGAAGCTGCGAGCTCTACCCCACCACAGCTTTTTGGGTGATGACAGGGCCATTTGTCACACTGACTTGGACATCCTTCACGAACGACTAAGGCCGGATAATGTGGCAAATGGCCAATCCAATTGCAGTCGATGTTGCTGGACACCCAATCACACTGTTTTGTTGCAGTACAGTACATGTTCTATCTGTATATGTGCGCATCTTGTATTACAAGGAGTATCCAAAAACCCAGAAAAAGACAAGCGTCGGCGAATTCTATCCCGCTGCTCCGAAGAAGCCCCTCGGCGATACTACAGTACAGGTAGGTATATACGTGTATACCATGCTTCTCACGACCGGGTTATATCAGGAACTCTTCGCCAGCAAAGTGCCTCAGAATCACCCATCCCTCGTTGAACGTCTTCTTCTCAAATCGCACAATGACGGCGGCGTGAGTGTGTCTATCGTTTTGGATCCATACAGGGTACTTCCTCCACTTGAGAGAGTTTAGTGATCGGATCATTTCGAATTGGCATGGTGCCAAGGCAAGGGTTGGCTGCGTCGGGATCGAGAGCCGCCTCTCCCGGGCCATTGTGCTTCTGTCTTCGGCATTCATGCCTGTCTCTTCATCCTCGTCCTCATCCGCCAGATACTCTTGGTTCTGCGAATTGTTCAGCGCCTCGTAGACGTGCTCGACCTCTTCACGAAGCGACTTGATCAGGATCGGCACCCGGTACTCTGCAACATTGATGCCTGCTAGGCCGCCCTCATGTAGCTTAATGCGCTTCGTGCTTCGTATGGTTTGGAAGACCGAGTTGATAAGATAGGCCACCACGCCAATAGGAACCAGCACTGACACCGTAATCATGAACGGGATTCCTCTCATCCACCGCACGCTCGCTTCGGTGACGGATGACAGAGTGATCGGTGCGGGAACCCTGGGCCGTGGAGAGAACGGATGTGCCGCATCTAACAGGACACCTTCTCCATCCTTTTTAAGAAAGTTGACTTTGATCCGATCTATTTCCTTGTAGGGATCGGTCTTTTCTATGCAGGTCGTGTAATATACCGCGCTTCGATCATTAACGATGTTGCTGTATAATGTATGTCTCCTGAACTTTTGCAGCCCCAGCATAAAGATGGACTGGGGATCGGCCATGACGGATAGGAGGGGCCGACCGGTATCTCGGAAATTATCAATCGTGAACAGTTGGCTCCCTGACATGGACAACGTCCTCGCGCCTAGCACGTTCCACATATGGTTGTGCCATCCTTTGAGGGGAGTCCGTACGCCGAGATGTGGCGAGGCAAAGGTCGCAAAGTTCTGTTTTCCGGCATCAGCAGTGGCCCTGTCTCAACCTAGAGAAGCATGTGCTTACCACGCACTCAACCGAGTCCAAGATGCCCTTTGCGTAGAGCAGACCAACGGCATACCGCGACACCAGGCCGCCGAGAGAGTATCCCACAACGCTCAGCTTCCTGATCTTGCCGCCATTGTTCTCTATCGTCTTGATTTCCTCTATAATCTCGGCGCAGACTCGCTCGCCGCCAAGCTCGATGCCGTCGTATGTGAAGCTGCCGCTGTTTCGCTTGGCCAGCAGGAGGTAGAGGTCGTCAGGGGAATGTTGGGCCCGCAGCGTCTTTGCGATGTTGTTCATGTGGTTCGGATTCCCCCATAGCTGTAGTTTGACGAGTTAGCTCAATAACACGCAGAGAAGCCCTCAGGATGTCCAGATACTCACTCCGTGAACCAGGACGCAGAGGTGATCTGCCTTGGTGCTTCCGCCGGCAAAATCCATCCTGAACGCTGCGCCTAGGAGTCGCGAGCCAGCCAAGCGAGCAGACATTGGCTGCGGGAGAGGCTATTGTGACTCGTCGAAAGGGGCGCAAGCAGGTATTTATTACATGGGGGACGCATTACGTAGGTCGTCCGAGGCAAATTGATAAGGAAGTCCACGTTTGGTTTTTGGCTCCCAATCGAGTAAAAAGCGTAATCGTAATGCCAGAGTCGCCGGCCCCGTATTTGCCGGAGCGCTAAAGGTAGTAGTGGGCTGATATCCACATGCACGCAGAGGGCGATGTGATTGATGGAGGAGAGGCTGTTGTACGTGTATTGGGCTTGTGCGATTAATCTCTTTGATGAAAAGCGTCGTCATCAACTCCCTTTATTCATTTATCCTTTGTATCAGGTAGAAGAAATTGGTAAGCTCATTATGCAAGAGCTGTGTTCTTCAAGCAAGCGATTTCTTACCCTGTATGTTGCGTAACCAGTTGTAAACTTGGAAAATACAGCACCCAGTTGGCAATAATGCTATCTAGTTGATAAAGAAAATTAGCATGGACTATTGCAGTAAATGGTTAAAGAGCTTGGTTCTCATTCTACACTTGTTGAGATGGACATGTTGAAGAATACATAGTACCAGATGGTATTCAGCTTCTTCATTGGAAATACCAAACCTAGGTATGAAGGTCATGGGGAGACATGAGCTCTTCGTTGTGCTTACCATGCAAAACAGGCTCAGGATGTAGTCATCTTTGGAAAGAATTATGAACAACAATTGCCTCGGGAAACTACAATAAATACTCGAGAATCTTTGTTTAATGCAATTCTCTCCCCTATTCCACCAATGTTCTAGCTGTTCGTCTTCAGGTACTGAGCAACAGTGCCCCATCCTGCTGCTTTAGCGCCCTTAGCGGCCCTGTCATGCCTACACTCGGCAGCCTCACGCCTAAATATCGGCCTTAGCGCCCCTGGCTCGCCCCTGCAGTACGACCGGCCAGGAAATAGGTGCCTGCTGTAACGTGTATCCATGCTTGCTTCATCAAAACAACCCGAGCTTCTCAGATCTCTATCAAACAACCAGCCCGTCTCTTGGCCGCTTGCTTTGCGGGGAGATGCAACGCATTGTTCCGCCCGTACCGATGATTGCTTAGTACGCAGACCAACTCTTGCTCAGCAGATACTGACCGCGCATCACTTCCCTCTCACTTTGATCGGGCTCTGCTCCCGCTAGGCCGCCATGAGCCTCTCACTCAAGCACATCCCCTGCCCGGCAGGCAACAGATGCACCGCTTTCCAGTGCATCTTCGGCCACGAAAAGGACAATTTGAAGATCAATGAAGAGAGCACTGGCGAGCTAGAAAAGGATGAAGCATTGCCACCTCCAGATAACGATCGCCCAAGCAAGCGCTTAAAGGTCGACGCAGAGAACCCTTCCCTCTCATCGCAAACTGGTGTAGCCTCTGATGGTCGGACGGGGCAAAAGCCTGCCGGGAATCAGAAACAAACTCTATTGCAGAGTGTTACGCGTCCAATCTCACCTCCTCCACTGAAGAGGAAGGCTGCTGCTTCCACTCAGAGCGCAAACGCTGCCACCACCAAGAATCAGCAGCCGACTACGAAGCCAGGTGCTTCCAGCTCCAAGACGACTGTGCCAGCGAAGCTGAAGAAAGCCGAGTCACTCAATCCTCGATTACTCAAAAGCTCTCCAGCAAGTCATGAAATACGATTAAAGCTACTCAGGCTTGTCCACCAGGAATTCAAGCGTCTAAACGAGGAACTAAAGAAGACTGTAACCGACCAAGAGAAGAAGCTGCTTTTATCCGACCAAGATCTCATTATCCGAGCTCTCGACGAAGAGCAAGCTTGCGCCATTGAAAAGCCAGCCGTGTATTCCAACGTCATGAAGAACAAAGTTATGCAGTACAAGCGCATGACGCCAGCTCAGTGGAAAGAAACCAGAGCTAAAGAGAAGCAGGAAGCTCAAAAGAAGCTTCAAAAAGACGACATGATTGATGGAGAGCCTAGAAAGATTGAGACTGGTCTCACGCACGCGCAGGAAGTGGAGCTATTAAAACGTATCCTTACACCACTTGACGATATGGGGAATCACGGTTATGTCCCTGCAGTTCCGACACAGGAACAAATCAAGTCGGCCGTGGATGGTATGGAGGCAGCAAAAGGATGGGAGAAGTGCGACCGCTGCCAGCAACGATTTCAAGTCTTCCCTGGTCGGAGAGAAGAGGATGGCGCCCTTACAACGGGAGGAGCATGCAAGTTTCACTGGGGCAAGACTTACGTCCCAAGCAAGGCACCTGGTGATAAAACAAGAGTACCCAAACGCTACCACTGCTGTGGTCAAGAAGTCGGCGACTCAGCTGGATGCTTCACCCACGAGCATCATGTGTTTAAAGCGAGCGATGCAAAGAGATTGGCCGCCGTTCTCAACTTTGCAGAGACGCCGGAGAATCCACTCGCGCCTAAGGACAGGGCCGTCTGTTTTGACTGCGAAATGTGCTACACGGTCCACGGGCTTGAGTTGGTGCGCCTGACGGCTACCTCGTGGCCGACGGGAGAGGACTTGCTGGATGTCTTAGTCCAGCCTCTGGGTGAAATCCTGGATCTCAACTCTCGTTTTTCTGGCGTCTGGCCTGAGGACCTCGCCGCAGCCGAATCGTGGTCCGTCAACGACGATCTCAAGCCATCTAAGGACAGCGATGAGACGGGAAGTGAGGACGGCGAGCTAAAGTCTAAGAAGAAGAAGCTCAAAATCGTCTCTTCCCCCGAAGTCGCGCGAGACCTCCTCTTCTCGCTCATATCGCCAACAACACCCCTCATCGGACATGGCTTGGAGAATGATCTTAATGCTATGCGAATCGTTCACCCAACCATCATTGATTCCGTCCTGCTCTACCCGCACAAAATGGGCTTGCCATATCGCCATGGCCTAAAGACGCTGATGAATGTTCACATGAACCGCAAGATCCAGCAAGACACGGGACCAAAGATGCTTGGCCACGACTCTGGCGAAGACGCTAGGGCAGCTGGGGATTTGGTTCGCTTGCGGGTCATGGATGTGTGGAATGATATGAAGAGAGTCGGCTGGCGGGTTGTTGATGGTGAGGTTACCCCTCCTGAGGGCGAAGGAGGTGGTTTGACGGAAGCGTTTATCGAGGGAAGCAATTAAGCTGGCTTGAAGCTGGACAGGGAGGTAACTGAGAATGATTATGGGATGGTGTCCTCTGGGGTGAAAGAAGACCCGCCATTGGCATTGGCCGTCGTTAATAAATTTGAATATCTGGTTTCACGCTCTACGCATACTCTTTCTTATATTAGGTCAAGCAGACTTTTCATCGGGCGAGCTTTACAATACATACGCCAAGGATTAGAGCATATAGTTTTGTTTTCACATAAGGCTTCTATTGGCCTTCCATGGCTAAAAGTACAAGATTCTCGTGATTGGGGATTTCTTTTCCCCCCTCATATCCCAGCAATGAGCGGGGTGGTCTCCATGCTTCCGTTTTCATTATTCCTACAATCCACTTCACGCCCTGCCTACAGACAGCAGAAGCTGGCTGCCGTTGCCTCCCTTTCCTCCTGAAGGCAGATACGCCACATTGGGGTTCGATGACAGGGCCTGCGCAATCTCTCTGCTGGCCTCAATCTTTCGAATCTTCACCAACCCGTCGCCGGACTTGGCAATGGCCTTGCTGATGGTTTCTGCGCTCTCGGCTTCACCCTCTGCGCGGATGACGCTGGCCTGGCGCTCCTGCTCGGCCTTTTCGACGATGAATCGTGCGCGCTCGGCGTCCTGCTGGGCAATCTGCTTCTGCTCGACGGCCTTTGTGAATTCACGGCCAAACGTCATATGGGTGATGGACACGTCCTCGAGGGCAATGTTGAACTCGGCGGCACGGCGGGTAAGGTCGCTGCGGATGCGCTGCGAGACGGCCTCACGCTGGGTGATGAGCTCGGCGGCGTCGAACTGGGCGACGATGGCCTTGAGGACTTCGTTGCCGATGGAGGGGAGGACTCTCTCGTCGTAGTCTGCGCCGAGGTTCTGTCATTGTAGTTAGCTTTGACTGTAGCTCTGGATGTTCTGGGAATAGATGCTTACCTGGTAAATCTTTGGCAATGCCTTGACATCTGGTCGGTGCAGGACTCGCAGCGTCAAGCTGACCATCTGAAGATCCTTGCTGCCGGTGGTCGTGGCAATGTTCCTGGGCTTTGTCCGCACGTCAAAGATGACGCTCCTCTGCAGCCAAGGGATCAAAAAGTGCGTTCCCTCGTTGACGACATCCTCCTTGACACCGGACAACCTGTCGAAAATCACGGCTCTTGTGCCGCCCCGAACGTCGTAGATGGACTGTGTGATGAGGAATGCGCCGGCAGAGGCCGGGATGGCCATGCGGTACATCAGGTTGAGGGTTCGCGCAAACGCCGCCATGTTGAGTCGCTGCTTCAGCAAGAAAGCCCCGGGATCCTCGAAAAGTCAGCTGCTGAATTTCCCACAGGCGAAACTTCTCGTTGCGACTGGGTTCTGCGGATTATGAAGCTTGTCCTGCCTGCTGAACTGAAGGTGTCCCGCAGTTGGTGCTTGATTTTCCGTCCGACGAGGGCGCTAGGCCGGTTACGGCAAGCTCGGCTAGACCCGCGAGGATGCTCTGCGTTTTCACCAATTCCGAACCCGAACTCATTCCACCTCTACCTCTTCCCGCATCGAAAAGGATAATCGCAACACCGAGATCCTGCTGAATCAGACACAATGAGACCTACTCAGGTTCGTCTGGGCGGTGGCGCCCCTCAACCCAAGACCGGCCAGTATGTACAACCTCTCCCGGGCGGCGGATGCGGCATCGTACCACCGAGTTGCGGCTTTTCCACGAGATGCGAAAGTCGAGTTCGATGGATGAGGATGCGGCCTCTGCGCGACGATGTTTGAAGAATTGGTGCTGATGCTAATCTTGCTTAATAGCTGGCTCGGTGACTGGGGCTCCTTTGGTGAGTTTACTCTTCTTTTCGAACGATTGCAACGGACCACTCGCGAAAAAGACTTTGAGGACGCAAGAAGCCGGATGGTGGGGGGTTGGAAGGATGATTCAATCGGTTGATTCCTCGACGCAACGAAAGCAATTGGAATGGAATACGGTGAACGGGTTACGGGGCAACAATTGGATCGGGGATTGCGTCGAAGGACTCGCTGGGACGAACTGCGAAGATTGAAGGAGTCACTCGCATGCTAACACATGATGCTATAGGTGGTGCCAAGCAGAAGGGCATTATCGACTACGGCCTGTCTGCTAACCGTCAGAACCCCTTTGCCGGCGCTGCCCACGATGCCCTCTTCAACACCTTCCGCCGCACCAAGTCCCAGGTGTTCTACTGGCTCCCTCCTATGATCATTGGTTACTACCTGATGAACTGGGCTACCGAGCGGTACGTCGACCAAGTGAAATACGCTACTACTGGTACTGGATTCAGGGCTAACTTGTAATAATAGCAACCACTACCTCAACTCCAAGGCTGGCCGTGCTGAGTTTGCTGAGTCGGAGGAGTAAAATGGTGCACGACTATGTTGAATTATGGGTGTCCAGGGGACCCAGTGTATATCAGCGTCTAGATCAGGAGAAAACAATAGAAACGGTTGGCTCTACGAGATATTTGATCCTGTCCCTCGTGAAGAGGTTAATGCTCCGGTTTGATATGCGGAAGTGGCTTTGTAGTGTGAAAGAGAGGCCCAGGAGAAATAATTAGCGAGGATGAGTGCTTATACTCTATATCGAGTGATATTCTACGACTTTACGGCACTCAATTTGAAAGACTTTTCATCATAAGCTTCATACCTACGTCTGCCATCACACCAGCATAAAAACTCTCGTGAGCCCATGCTCCATTAGGTCATCCAAATCTTGACCGACATGATAGGCTGATATATAATCACGTGACCGAGCAGTAGAGTTCTCGGCGTCGGCACTACAAAACGCCGAAAATTTTAAGAGGGTCCCTCACCGAGAAAAAAGTTCAGGTTGAGTAGGAAATTTTTGAAGCGCCTCAATCGTGGGAGGACGACAGACATTGAAAAAACGCGACCAAGTTGCGCAAGACGTCCAATTGGTGCACCAAAGGCAGTTTGGATTCTGTCTGGTCGATTGAGCCCTTTTATACTTATAATAAGCTTTCAATCATCCATTTGACACATTAATTTGGTCTTTTTTGCTTCCCTGTTTTACTTCTTCCTCGCATTCAAACCATCCAGACAGCAGCCATGGCCGCCGAAAGATCCGACAAGAAGGACAAGAAGGAGAAGAAGGAGAAGCGAAGCGAAGAGTCTGGCGTGAGCAAGTCCAAGAAGGAGAAGAAGGACAAGAAGGACAAGAAGGACAAGCTTGCTTCTGCTCTGGACGAGAAGCTCCAGCAGGATGTCGCTGCGCAGAGTGCCGTGAAGGTCTCTGAGGAGGCGTCCGATATGGACGAGGACAAGACCCCTGAGGTGGCTCTTGAGCGAAAGGTTGTGCCGTTTGCGGTTCCTCTGGCCGATGAGAAGGGCCAGAAGAAGATTTGCAAGACCATCCGAAAAGGTAGGTTGCTTCACCCACGCTGCCTTGCGCAGGTTGCCTCATGATCTTTCCTTTGGCTTTTTCTCCCTCTCCTCTCTCTACTCCATTCAAATTAAGCTATTAGAACTAGTTTACTAACGGCGAAACTCTTTCACAGCCGCCAAGAATGGTACTCTCAAGCGTGGTGTCAAGGAAGTTGTCAAGACTCTGCGAAAGTCTCCCCCCAGCGCCCCCGGCTACACCTCATTCCCCGGTGTTGTCATCATTGCCGGCGATATCTCTCCCATGGACGTCATCTCACACCTCCCCGTGCTGTGCGAGGACCACAACGTCCCCTTCATCTTCGTCACATCGCGCGCTGAGCTGGGTGCCGCTGCCAAGACCAAGCGACCTACTAGTGTGGTCATGATCATGGAGAAGGCTGAGGGAAAGAAGAAGCCCGCTAAGGAGGCTGACAAGGACGATGACGAGGACAGCGGCGAGGCTTATAGCGAGACCTACGCTTCCTTGGTCAAGCTTGTCCAGAAGGAGGGCAGCAAGCAGGCGTTCTGGACAAAGGGTGAATCGAAGGCGTAAAGAAAAAAAAAATAGGGGGCAAGACGAGGTGCAGTATCTGACCCGAGTGTCAGAAACTGGTGTTGGGAGAATGATGTTGATGCGAAGCGCTTAATCTGGGTGTACATTAACCATACCAGAGGGATTGTCTTGCAGCAAGACTTTGTTGGGGCAACGGCGGCGTTCAGGCTATATAAAGTACTGCATTGATCAATGGAATATGTTTGGCTTTCTACTATACGGCTATTGGCTCTGAGTTTCTGATTTGATGTGGCTTGGAGCGGCGAAGTTGGGTCACAGAGGTGGAAGTTGCAGATATTCCGAACTGAATTTGACTAATATAGGTTTGATGTTATACAACAAAGACCATCAGATGTGATGGCTTTACATGATATGTCACGGATTCCCCATCCAACTCCTGAAAACCAGCCTCAGGAAAAGAATTACTGAGAGACATCCCGTTTACTCAAAGGGATTGGTCCTAGTTCCCCACCAGTTGAGGACCAAGGACAGGCCAATTGTCTCGAGCAGCTTGGCAGCGACATTGACGCCGACAGTGTCAAGAGGCCTCTTTTCGCTAAAGACCTGAGAGAGGAACTACAACACCCAAAGTCAGTCAGTCCCGAGAACAAACCGAAAAGCACATCAAACAGGGCAAAAAAACATACCCCAGGAGCCGACGTCGCCGCAAAGATCAAGGCGCCCAGATACGCAGCGCCCTTGTGACTCAAGGTGCCCGTGGCATTGAGCAGGGCGCCCACGCCGTAGCTCTGCAAGGCAGAGCCGACAAAGGAAGTGCCCCAGGCGACGGCGGCGCCGCTGGCCTCGCGGGAGCGGATGAACTCCTCCTTTGTGTTGGAGGCCTTGGCGCGGTGGTAGGTCTGGCCGAAGACGGGAGCGAGGACGACGAGTTCGACGCCGTGGTTGAAGAAGGTGCCGAGGGCGATAGCGGATGGTTTGACGGGGGGGAAGTCTGTTTTTGTGTGATTAGTTTGTGAATTGGGAGTTGGGAGTTGGAGGTTGTGAGTGGCAAAGTGAGTGTGAGCGAGGTTTGAGACTCACATTGGAGAGACATGATGATTGTTATGAGGATATGAGGAGATGAGAAGACAATTCTCTGCTATGAGCTGATTTACAGATCAGATTCAGCAACTACTAATACAATGATATTCGTAGTATCTGTGCCGTCACAGGAAGTAGTTCCAGTCCATTTCAAAGGCAGCAACCGTCACGGTATTTGTACTTGTCCCCTTGCATCATCACAAGCCACCTCTCGGTTCAAAACCGCATCTATTACGTCTTGCCCCCTCTAATCTCGATCCGCGCCAAAAGTCTATCCCATATTCTCTCGCTACTCGTATGTTTTTGGCCCTGAAAGCAACTCCGCTTGGGAGTGAGAGAGTCCTGGCGAAACCATTTCGTCACTGTGATGATGATGTCACCACTACGCCCTCTATTTTTTTTTGAGGGTCATGTTTGTTACGAGCCCCGGATGAGGAAATTCATTTTTTCCAGAAAGACGGACTCCACAAGTTTGAAGTCAATTTGACGACTTGGATTCATTTTTAAAGGGAATTTCGGATCATTGCTAGTGCCTTGGTAGGTGGTTTGGCACTTCGGTTTTACGTGGTGCTTGTCAACCTTCGTTTTTTGACGGCTTTGGCAGGTCGAGGTCTTATTATGTAATGGCGCGGGCTCTTCACGCCAAACCTTGCTCGGAACATGTCATGTCTTCTTCATGTATGTAATGAATGCATGCGTCCTAGAACGAAACCTTGGTTGCCGGATTGTCTGCAGGGCGTCGGAACAAATGCACGTTTTCTCCAGACGGCGATCTTTTCTTCTAAAACCCAGAAAACCTCGGCACAGAAAATCCCCAGGAGTGAGATTTTAAACGAGACGGTTAAAAACCACCTCCTCACGCACATACATATAGTACAAGTAGAAACAAATCGCTTAACCCGGAAGCTGACACGCACACGGACCTTTTGAGCCACACCAGATGCGAGACGATGCAAAAGCCGCGAAGCTCATCCGATTTTCCCAACATATTTTAAAGCAGCATGGACGGAGGAGACGACCAAGATTTCTATTGCTTGGGGCCTTTCTCCACTGCGGGGAATGTTCGTCTTCGGGTTTGAGGCGTGGGGCAGGTTTTGGTGTGAATGCCAAACTTGGGGTCGTTCTGTTTTTTGAGTGAAGCTGGGCGACAAGTGGTGGCATAGGGATTATATGACGGTTTAAATACTAACAGTCAGGTAGAGAAATTGTGTATAATGACTATTTATTCAGGAGAATAGTACTTCGTTCCTTTGTAGAGGCATATCACGGCGGAGCGCTGGCGAGCCACTCCCATAAATCACTTCACATTCATAAAGACACAAGCAGAGAGGCATGCAAATCATCTTTGCAAAAAAACTGGCAGTCTCCATATTGGCTTGAATCAACGTTGCCCATAACCATAAGCCATCTCCCGCTCTCATCATGCCCATCCTCATCAACCCAGAATGTAAAACCAAATGCCGTATTATAAAAACATTGATCCCGCTTCCTCTTCGCCGCTTTGTTGAAAAACCCATGTGTTACTCATGCCATCCAGCAGAATATGTAAAAAAAAAAAAAAGAAAAGAAAAGAAAACTCCCATAACGTCCTTTCCTCGTATATTATCCCGTACAAGGTGCGCTTTTGTTTCACTTTTTGAAAAAAAGGATCCAGGCTGGTCTCAACCGTGTACTCTCTCTTCCATGAGCTTCCCTTTCACGCTTCGTCACTCGTCTTCTGGCCTCAGAGACTGCCAATTGTTTTTGCCCAGTTTTGCATTATGTGTTTAAAAAGCTGAGATGATAATAATGAAAAGAGAAAAAAAAAAGCCAAATAACAAATCTTTGCCGTGTGAATGTTCCCATAACCCTCTATGCTTGGAGATGGCCATACTCGCCGCTGCGTAACCCTAATAAAGCTCTAACATCATGAACGTACTGGAGACCTTCCAGTAGAGGTACTAAATGCATCAAGTCGCCATCTGTCGGGTCGTTGATCCAGCCTTGGATCGGTATGGCGTTATCTATCAGATCGAGTTAGCCTGGGCGGTTGCGCTCTCTACCACAAAGTCGGCAACGTACCTTCATGGAACAAATAGCTCAGCGGGCTATTGTCCAGAATCATCACTTTACTCAGATCCGGCTCAACAGAACTCAAGTCTTTAATGTAGGCTCCTTGTCGATATGTGCAGTGTTGACGATAATATCTTGCTGAGAAGAACTTTCTTTCCGTTTCCAGCCAATCAATCACCGGGTCGGCGTACTCCTGGACTGATGCGGTAAAGACAACCAAGTTGAACCACTTGCACACTCTACGGAGAAACTCGTCGCAAAAGGGTCGCTTGTTGACCCAATACAAGATGGGGTGCTGTGCAGCGCTGCTCTGTCCACTCATTCCCAAAGTCGCAGTGTTGAGCTGGACCTCTATCATATGACCGCTGTTCATCCGCCCTCCTTTAGACATGCTGTGGATGAGCGTTTCGTCGAGATCTAGGATAAGCGTCTTCTGTTGCTTTCGTGAAGGCTCAAGAAGATTCAGGTACGATGGTTGTCGTCGGGGGATCAATGGTCGTGGTGGCGCAGGTGTCTTCGGGTACTTGGTCAGGGCGGCAATCGGAGATGTTGGAGACTTGAGTTGCGCAGACAAGTCGCCCCGACTGAGGTCACCCTTGCCATGAGAGGCGGTAGATTGTGACTTTCTATGTTTTCGCTGCTCTTCGTCGTTTAGTTTTATTCGAATAGAGCGCCGAGCCGCGCCCGTTTCATCACTGGATTTGGCTGATTTGGAGCGAGTATGCCGGCTCTTGGCGGCACGGGGTTCGTCTTCGGACTCGGAGGATAGACCAGACGATGAGGTGCTGGAGGAATGAAACGATTTGGCCGGGACTCCGAGATGCCGTGAATTTCGACCGGCCTTGTTCGCCTTTTCGGGAGAACCATACAGACTATCCGTGCCCAAATCGCCGCTGTGGAAGCCAAACAGCTTTTTCAGCTGTGTCATTGGCGCAAACTTGCCAAAGTCGTCGTAGAAGCAGGAGATGAGGTAGTATCCGGGCGCAGTCAGCGTAGCAAACAGCCACTGAATGGTGCTGATGATGCTGGAGGCGATGCCCCGAGGCAGCACATGCCACCATCTCGAGCGCTTCCCATCCGGCTTGGATTCGCAAAAGAGCGGCGTCTCCTCGGTGGCAAAAGCCGCTTCGCCGTCGGCGCCGTATCGCTTCTCGGAAAGGGAGCCCGAGCCCTCGGCGGTCAAGGGCTGGGTCTCGTGTCCATCCGCCTTGTCGTCGGACACGTCGAGGTCGAGCGCCTTGTCGTCGAGGCCGGCGCTGATGCTGTTGGATCGGGAGTGGGTTGGGCTCGGCGGCGGCGACACGCGCGCGGTGATGATGTTGAGCGAGTTCATGACGAACAAGGAGAGCACTCCATGGGACATCGGAGGCGGCTTCGGGGCGGGATGGCAGATGCCCACGACGTGGAGGGAGCGAAAGGGAGCGTCGCAGCAGATGCCGAGGCGTTCGAGGCCGCTTCCGGCTCTCTAGGATGCTGCCAATGGCCCTGCAACGCGCTCCAGGGGGGTTAAAATGAGCCTCCGCAGGGCGCGCGGGAAACGAGTGTCATGAGTGAGTCGCTTCCAAGGGGGGGAGAGGAGGTGAGAGAAGAGGCGGGAGAGAGGCGGCGGCAGCGATGGATGCGATGCAGAGACACGGCGAGACGAGGCAGAGAGAAGAAATGACGCTACGAGCGAGCCACAGAAAATCTAAGGTTCGACTTCCGAGGGGGAATGTCTTAATGAAACAAGCACCAGACAGCCCGTCTAGCAGTGCAGTAGTACAAGTACTCGTACAAGTACTTGGCCAACATAAGCGTTGAGGCCAAAAATCCCCCCAAAGGAAATCGGGCCAGGTCGTCATCATGGCTAGCCATAGCGGGCCAAGGCCGCTGGGAGGTCAGATGCCGCCCACGCTAGGGCGGTTTTTGGGGGGGTTTGCAGCAGAATCAGCAGGGCTGTTGGGGGAGCCCTATTGTGTCCGTGGCCCAATGCGCTGCTCTGCTTGGAGCCCGTTTCCGGGAGAGTGCCGAGGGAAGCGGTATCGATACAAGGAGTGAGCGTGCATCGTATCATGCAGCATGCAGCCGAGGATGATTATGCTGGATATCTATGGAATACTACCTGGTGGATGGTATATACAAGGTAGTACAGTAGCTCCCCAGTAGAGATGGTCAGAACAACAAAATAGCGGCATCAAAACTTTGTCTTAGTACTGCTTCTTCTTCTCTTTAGTTCTTCTTTTTCTCTAGAGTTCGAATCTACTGTATGTATATCCTCGTATTGTTAGGCCGTGCGCTAGCAAAATGTCAAATCAGCCCATGCCGAACTTTGAACTTATTCTTGTCCCCTGGCCACTAAATCAGAAACATGCAAGGCCGGGGTAAGAGAAACGGAACGTAAAAGAAGAAGAAAAAAAAGAGTACAGATTTACAAAAATACAAAAGTCCTTGGTCTGACTGCAGGGCAGTGGCCCAAAGTACCGGTACCTGTACAAAGTTGTGTGTGCTCTGCATTCAGGTATCGGGGCAGTTCCTCTCGCGCTAACTGGCAATCTTACATTAGTGCATAGTGGGCTGCATTAAACTGAATGTACGAAATTCTTTGTCGCCAATCCGAGCAGCCTCGCATGTTGAGTCACGATCTCGAGCAACTCTTTTTGCGCCCACAAACCAAACCAACCCCGCTCACCTCACCACACCCATTCCGGCTTCTCTGAGACTGAGACAGCACAGAACGCCCCTTTAGCATCACTTGACAGCATCACGGCCATCTTTTTCGCTTGTGCTTCAACCAGAGTCGAGCCCAGTCGCACCCTTATAGCCACTTGCACGCCGCCCTCTGTCGCACAAATTTCGAGTCATAGCGCCAGACGACATCCCACCGACCATCGGCCCCTCGATAACCGCACCAAAGGCAAAACAAACCACCGCGTCGCCTACGATGCCCTCCGTTTCCACGGGCCACGCGCTCGACCTGGAAAAATTCCTCAAATCTCTCAAGGGACAGCCATTGGAAGCTTCCGTCAACAGCTTGATATCGTATGTGATTTATCAGGATTCGCAATGCGGGGCACGATAAGATTGTCGCATGGCGGCATGACATTATTGGCCGTGATGCGATAAGGAGTGGGCAAGGCAATATACTGACCGGCACTCATTGCAGCCTTCTCAAGCGAAGACAGATCAAGGGATCCGAGCCTTGCGCCATCGCCACCGCCCACATCCTCCTCCAGGTCGTCGCCCGCTCAAAATGGCACGATGTGGACAGCCTCTTGATCAACGTCTCAAGAACCGGCCGTAAGCTGGTAGACGCCCAGCCCAACGAGCTTGTCATTGGCAACATTGTGCGTCGAGTCCTCGGCCTGATCCGAGACGAAGCTTCCGAGGATCGAGGCGACACCGCCGACGAGTCTGCGAGCGAGGCGCCAACCCCGACCGATATCGTCCCGCCAACATCCATCAGCCAGCAGTGGACGACAAAGCGCTTCGAGTCGGCCAACACCGCAGCCCCGCCTGTGCGCCCTCCCATCGTCTCTTCTTATAGCTCCATCAATCCTCCCAAATCGCTGTTTCATCTCTTGTCGACGTCTCCGCCCGCCAATGGAGATGTGTCGCCCTTTAAGACCTCGGGAGCGTCGACGCCCACGTGGAGGGGTAACTCGGGCCAGATCCACGCGCTGCGCTCCGAGGTCATTGATGGAATCGAGGAAATCAAGGACGAGATCAGCCAAGTCGACGACCAGATCGCTGCCTCGGCTGAAGTGCAGATTCACCCTGGAGACTTGGTGCTGGTCCACCAGCCATCGACGACAGTCGAACGATTTATTCTCCGCGCGGCGCAGAAGCGCAAGTTTACCGTGCTAATCGCCATGGCACCACCGAGAAGACACTCAGCCGAAAACCAGCATGCGACATTTAGGAAGAAGCTGTCGGCAGCCGGCATCACAGTGGTCAACGTCATGAATGGCGGGCTCATGGCCTACATGTCACGGGTCAACAAGGTCATTATTGGAGCTAGAGCGATTGTTGCTACTGGTGGTGTTGTAGCGGATGCCGGCTCGGCGGCTATTGCCCGAGCTGCCAAGGAACAGGGTACCGCCGTCGTCGTGCTCAGCGGCGTCTACAAGCTTAGCCCGGAGAGCCCATTTGACGAGAGCTCGCTGATTGAATGGGGCGACTCGTCCACCTTTGTGAGCTTCGCGGATGGCCCCATGGTGTGTGGCGCCGAGATTCGAACGGCACTCACCGAGCTGATTCCGCCGGAGCTCGTCGATACCTACATCACAAATCTGTAAGTTGGATCTGAACTGATAGAATTACAGCCAGTCGCTAACTTTCCCAGGGGCACACATTCGCGCGACCACTTGTCAAGCCTCATCTCAGACCACTACAAGCGAGAGGATGCCGACTTTCACATCTGGGAAGAGGCCCTCTCGTGATGATGACGACTTCACGATGAATGACTACAACAATAAAGTAAAAGAAGAAAATCCGGGGCCCAGCATCCGATGACATGGTTAGGGATGCTTTAGAGAACAACAAAAAAAAAAGGATAAAATATTCCTAGTAAAGCAATCATGACATTGTGTATGAACAGCTCCAAAGGCGTCGTCACTAATAGACGTTTCTGCTGCATCTGTGCCTGGAGCCACATAACCAACCGTTAGCCGTGAGGTTCTTGCCTCTCCATATCCATATCCGAATGTGATGAAATGTGATGAAATGTGTCTTGTTGTTCATGTTAACAGCTTGTCGCTTCCTAACCTTGAACCAAAACGTCACCTCTTGTAGCGGCCGCGTCAGCGACCTCAGGCAGCCATGAGGCCCTAATTGGACGACGCCGGAGATTAAGTTGCTCCAAGGCTACTACTAGGTTATGATGCTACCCCCCGTCTGAAGGATCAGGCAATGCGCCAATCACCCTCCACCAACGACTCCCACAGGCAGCGCAGCAGCAAACGTAACGGGGCTGCGCGGCCTGTTGCTAAAGTGCGGATAGCCCGAGAGGCTCTGGAGCACTAATTGGCCGCTACGGCTGGTGCATCCATCAGCTCGACACTAGGAGGAAAATGAAGAGGCACAAGGGGATTCGGCTGAAAGCCCCGCGTAATGCGGCATGACGGGTTCAATCAGGGCATGATGTATTCCTTCGTTGGACGCTGGCTGCCTCTATACCGCAATGCATCCATGCATACGTGAGTCCAAAGGAAAAGCTGGACCATACATAAGAGGCGGCAGGGCTGCTTGTTTTGCCACTATCCTCGCCATCGCCTTTCGACGCTCACGAAACACGCCAGAGAGCATTTGGGTCGAGTACCCGGATTCTGCCTTGGGACCGTGGCCTCGCTTTCGGATTCGCTTTTAAGCCATCTGCGACTGCTTTGGACGTCGCGAGATTATCTGACCACTGCTTTCTGACCACTCAATATTATCTGGGATTACACAGCGACGCATTCTCCAGAGGAGGAGCGCTGTTTCTTTGTCCACATACACACCTCACAATAGCTCATCATCACCACCTCATTCATAATACTCGTACACACCCAGCACTATGAACTCTAATGACAGTGGCGGTGCCGCCAACAGCCGCAACGACCATCTCAGCGTCCACGGAGACGAAGTGCCTCCGCCGCCATACTCAGAGACCGACGTCTACAGCAGCGTGGGCGGCTCTCGCTCTCCTCACTCGGCATCAGCATCATCAGTAACCGCATCGGCAACAGCAGCTCCGGCAACACCATCACACAGCTTCATTGACGATGCTGCGTCGTCCACTGCGGGTGACACCATTTACACGCCTCCTCTGACTCCTCGAACCTCGCCTGGCTCTGCGCAGCCTGCAGCCCAGCTCTACTTTGACCTGAGGCCGGCTCCCCAGCGTGATTCGATCCCAGGCACTCTCCTCGTTCATACTATTGAAGTAAACGATGTCTCCCAGCCTGATGATTTTCCTTACCAGAGTGATTGGGCGGCGCGAGATGTCACTGCTCTGGATTGGTCTACCTTTATCAATTTCCTGATTCCTGATCATACGACAAGGCAGAATGAAGTTGTCATTCATAGAAAGCTGCTCGATGAGATGCAATCAGAATCTGGCAGAACCAACGACAGCACAGCTCGAGTAGAGGCTCAACTCAACCAGATTGCCGACGCAGGCAATCCCGCCAATCCTGGCTCTCTTCAACGGAGGAGAGATGTTGAAGCCACCGTCCTGCAGTGGAACGATGGCTTCTTTGGCCCTCGAGGCATCCAAGTCCGCCTCGAGCCCCAGAGAACCCCCTCGGCGCAGATGCCCGGTACCTGGGAAACCAACTTTGACCAGACATCGGAAGCTGGTCGATCTACCCAGTCTTCGCAGACTGCGGGCCGCTCAGCTCCGGCCGGTGGTAGTTCATGGGGTGGTTTTCAGATCGATGACAACGGTGTTCGGTATGGCAACAGCTTTGTGGCGGATCAAAATGGTTTGCGCATTGGGAGTTTGGTCATGGATCAGCACGGCGTTCGGTTTGAGAACAGCGCAGCACAAGGCCAGCAACAGCCAGCTGCTGCTGCTGACCGAGATATTCGCGGTCGAACAGCCTACCAATACGGCTGTGATGAAAAAAGGGACCACAAGCGTTCTAGCTCGGCCTCTTCCTCATCGTCGTCTTCTTCTTCGAGCTCTGAATCATCCATTGGGTCCCTTCCCAGCTACGATGATGTTCCTCTCAGCTCCATACAGCTTTACATAAACCGACTCCAAGATTGGACCAAACACCCTGACCAGCTCCGCACCAAGGGCGACGTCAAGCAGCTAAAGGCTGAACTTAAGAGCGTCCCCAAGTGTCGGGATGCATCCATTGAGGTGGATAAGAGAGCTCTCAAGGCACAAATCAAGACGTTGACGGCTGCTTGGAAACAGATTAAGAAAAACCAGAGAAAGGAGCGCAGGGCCCGCAACAAGGAGCGCCGCGACAAGAAGAGGGCAGAGCGGAAAGAGAAGAGGCAACATAGAAAAGAGATGAGAAAGGCACGAAAAGAAGCCCGGAGAGGCGTCAGCACTCCCGTTCCCCCCGTGCCGCCGCCCCCTTGTATCCCTCCGCTGCCGCCGCATGGTCCTGGGAACATGGTGCCTCCTGTGCCTCCCGTTCCTCCGGTGAATACCCCAGGATGGACGACTGGCACTCCAGGATGGACGACTGGCACCCCAGGATGGACCGGCAGCTTCCCATGGGGCCGCCCCAACCACCACGGGAGAGGAGGCAGGGGACACTATCATTATCATCCTGGTCCGCCCCGAGGCGGAGGCTGGGGGTCATGGACTAATAATCCCCAAGCCCCTAATGGTAGAGGCTTCCCGGGCGAGAACGGCATGTTTGGGCCACGCGGCATGTTTGGTCCTGATGGAGCATTTGGTGAAAAGGGCTTCTTTGGAAGTGATGGTCCGTTTGGCCCGAATGGTTTCTTCGGACCTGGCCAAGAGCAGCAACAAAAGCAGCAGCAGCAGCAGCAGCAGCAGCAGCAGCAGCAGCAACAAAGGCAACAACAAGAGCAACAAAGGCAACAACAAGAGCAACAAAGGCAACAAGAGCAGCAGAGGCAGCAACAAGAACAACAGAGGCAGCAGCAGCAGCAGCAAACCAATGCCTTATCTGCCCGCTCCGTGCCCGGCTCCTGGCCCGACGAGAAAAAGCAGCGGCCAAACTGGCTCCCGCACGACGACGAGCAAATGCCCCCTCCCGGCCCAAGAGCACTGGCAAAGTACCGCGCCATGGAGGGTCTCGAAACGGCCATCCAGCAGCAGGTTTACATGGTGGAGAACGCCGGGCCGGGTTTCCAGAAGGAGGGGCTGGAGAGGGCGATTGCGCAGATGAGGAAGAAGCTGGAGATTTTGAGGGTCGAGGCTGATGAGGAGTATGCCAAGGAATTGAGTGGGAACTGAGGTATATTGTATAAAAGATTGGGTTTTTTGGGGGGGTTGCTTAATGAACATGTATAAGAAGGATACTGCCTATCTAGCGTTGGATGTTTTTTTGATACCAAAGGAAATATTTGTTTTACCATAGTCACTATAAAAAAAGAAGAATGTCACTCAGCTTTTTCATCTTTCTCTACCTCTCCTTGACCACATCCTTGATTCGTACGGCAAACGCTTTTATCTATCCCCCCCCCTTTTCTCTTCCGTACCAATCACAAAGTTATATGTGAAAATGCCCCCATCCCCAGCAAAGAAACCACACAAAGAAAAATAAAACACATCAAACCATAATACATGTACATCCAAAAAAAGAAAAAGCCAAGCCTCACTCTACAGTAAATTCATTTCCCACCCATCTTCTAATGCTTACTCTCATCCTTCTCCACCAAATCGCCAACCCCCAACCCCCTTCCCACCGCAACCTTAATCTTCCTCTCCTTGCCGTCCGCCTCGGGATCCCTGCCCACCTCGCCCACGGCCTCGCCCTCGTCCACGCCCTCGCTCTTTATCGTCGCGTCGCCGCCGTTGGCACGCCCGCTCTCGTCCTTGTCCTTGTCCTCCTCCTCGTCGGCGTACCGCTTCGCCAGCTCCGCGACGTCGTCCAGGTCCAGGCGCATGCTGTAGGCGTCCTCCCCGTCGGCGTAGTACTTGCTCTCCGTCTTCTCGTTGCGGAAGCGCAGCGTGTCTTCGTACAAGTGTCTGGCGGCGACGTTGGACACGCGGACGTGCAGAGAGACGTATTTCGCCTGAAACGTCTCCACCATGGCAAGCTCTGTTCACAAATTTCGTCATCAGCACTCAAACTAGAATAGACTGCCCTCCAAAAGGGACATGCTAAAAGACATACGGCTCTGCCTCATCAGCTTCTCGGCAATTCCCAGCCTCCGGTGCGTCCGCATGACGCTCAAGCTCGTAATGTGTCCATGCTGCACGCCGTCCGTGGGCTCCTCCTCCATCTTGGCCAGGACGTAGCCGACGATCTTGGGGTAGTCGTAGGGCCCCTTGCGCGGGCGCGAGACGTCGACGGCGACGAAGCTGAGCTGCGGCCAGGACAGCGCGTGGTAGAGGTAGTACTTGAGGAAGTAGTTCTCCGGCAGGTTCTCCAGGTTGGCGTGCTGGATCAGCGGGAGGTCGGCCGTGGTGAGGAGGCGGATATCCATGGTGACTGTTTTGCTGTGGTTTGAGTCGTGGGGAGAGACGAGGTTACAGCTGGACGATGGAGCTGAGTAAGGGGAGGAAGAGGAGGAAGAGGAAGAAATACGACAACAGAGTGAATTCACAGGAAACAAGAATCCGGCGCCAAAGTGCTGCGTGGCCAAAATACGGGCAGATGCAAGAGGCAGAAGCACAGGATGAAGTCGCCAAACTCAATGGACGGCCAAAGTGTGTCTCCCCCACCAAAAGCCTTGTCCGCTGCGGGTCCGCCCGCTTTAGGTGCCAGAAGCTTCAAGATTGCGTATAAACATGGAAAAAGCAGCCTCTTTTATTTATTTACGCTATGCTTTATACTGTATAATTCTATAGAATACCGTAAGTGAAACCAGAGATTAAAAACAGAAACATCATCATTCATTGTCATAAATAAAAGATAAGCAAAAAAGACTATGGAAACCATCAAAGCAAAAGCATCAAAGCAAAAGCATCAAAAAGTCAATTTCCCTGCACACGTGCACCTTGGCTGAATTGTACATCTGTTATCTTCTCTTTTTTTTTTCTCTTTCTTTTCTCTTCTTCTAATTCTGCTCTACAGACTTCTTCTCCCGGATCGGCAAGTCCTTGGTGGCTTCAGTTGCAGAGGCCTCCTCCTTGGGCTTGCCATCCGCACTGCCATCTGCGTTGGCAGCAGCCGCCTTGGCAGCTTCAGCGGCCTTGGCCGCCTTCTTCGCCTTCTTCTTCTCCTTGTCCTCCTGCTTCTTCTTCTTGGCAGCCTCCTCGGCAGCGCGAGTCTCGGCTGAGCCACCGAACTTCTCCTTCCACTCATCAATCTTCTTGTCGTCTATCCTGGTGAAGAGATAGGCGGCCTTGCCAATCTTGTGGCCGGGCTTGATAGCGGTGGGCTCCCAGGTGTCGGGGATAAACGCCAGCTTGGTGTTGAGCTGCTGGCAAATAGACTCGCTCGTGGAGGGCATATACGGCGAAACAACAGAGGCCAGCAGGTGACAAAGGTTGAGAGCGAGACCAATGGTGGTGTAGGTTCGCTCGGGGTTCTCGGCCAAGTTGGCATTATCCAATCGGCCCTGGAGAAGGTTGTTGCCTTCTCTGCTAATCTCCATGAAGGCCTTGACACCAGCACGGATGTGCACCTTCTCCATGAGATCGACGTACTCCTTCAACAGACCGTTGACCGTCTCGACCCAGGCGGGGAAGTCAAAGGTCTCGTCCTTGTAAGAAGGAGAGAACTCGGGAACAACACCGTCCAGCTTAGCATTGACAAACTTGACGATTCGGTTGACAAAGTTGCCAAAGTTGGCGAGGAGCTCGCTGTTGTTGGCCAGCTGGAATGCCTGCCACTCAAACTGGGTATCGCTAGTCTCCGGTCGGTTCGAGAGCAGGTAGTACCGCCAAACAGAGGGTGAAAGGCCAATCTCCCTGGCCTGGTTGCCGAAAACACCAATGCCTCTTGACTTGGAGAACTTGCCGTTCTCGTAGTTCAAGTACTCGGTGGTAGACAGGTGGTTAAGCAGGGTCCATTTGTATCCGGTACCAATCTCGGATCCGGGGAAAATGACTGGCATCATACTCGTCAGCCTGCATTTCACTTAAAAGATGTTAAGAAAAAATTAATGTACGAACCTGTGTGGAAAGGCACATTGTCCTTGCCCATGAACTGATAGAGGGTAACCTCATCGGGGTTCTTCCACCACTGCTCCCACTCATCGGTATAGTTGGCCGTGATGGAAGGATAGCCGATGCAGGCGTCGAACCACACGTAAATGACCTTCTTCTCGTAGCCAGGCAGGGGAACGGGAACACCCCACTTCAGATCTCTCGTGATACTGCGGGGTTCCAGGCCCTTTGTCAACCACGACTGGGTGATGGAAACGCCGTTCTGAGGCCAGCCGTATTTCTTGTGCGCATCCTGGAACCACGTGTCGATGTCGGGCTGCAGCTTCTCGAGGCGAATGAAGACATGCGTCGTGTCGCGGGGCACGGGCGTTGCGCCGTCAATCTTGCATCGCGGGTTGACGAGCTCAAACGGATCTAGCAGGCTACCACACTTGTCGCACTGGTCACCTCGGGCATCGTCGTAGTTGCACTTGGGGCAAGTTCCCTCGACAAATCGATCCGCCAAAAAGGAATCGTGCTTCTCGCAGTAGGGCTGTTTTGTTGTCCGTTCCTCGAGGAAGTCATTCTCGTGCAGCTTGAGGAAGATGTCCTGCACAATCTCCGTCTGCTTCTGGGTCGAGGTCCGGCCAAAGTAGTCGAAGCCAATCTCGAACCACTCGTAAATGTCCTTGTGCTTGACATGGAACTCGTCGCAGAGCTCCTTGGGGGTCTGGCCCGTCTCGAGGGCCTTGGTCTCCGTGGCCGTGCCGTATTCGTCTGTGCCGCAGATATACAGCGTCGGCCGGTCGCGAAGCTTGCTGAAGCGGGAGTAGACGTCGGCACTGAGAACACTGCCGACAACGTTTCCGAGATGGGGAACGTTGTTTACATAGGGAAGAGCGCTGGTGATGAGGACGTTCTTTTTGCCCTTGACGGGCAAGATGGGATTTTCAACCGCCATTGATACGATTTCGATTCGATCCGATTCGATTGCTTGTTGCAACTGCTGAAACTCCAAAAACTCCAGAGACCGTCTATCGATATTTATCTTGTTCAACAGACTCCAAAAACAAGCGTCACGCGATTGCAAGTGACTAATTCGACCAGGGTGCGGGAATCAATCAATCAATGAAAGGCGCATGTGCAAAAACTACTACAAGATTGACAATTCGAGTCATCGCACTGCCCCGCTATCGCACTATGGCCGATGGCGGGGTGTGTCACAAAAATTCTGCCGCTAGCCTCTGCCTTTTTGGGGAGGGTGGTCAAGAGTCTAGGAGGCGTCTTGGACTGCTTAGATATCCATCTTGAGGCTCTTTAAAGAAACAAAACTCCCTACTATATTATTGTGAACTACTCCTAAGTAATACAAAAATATCCCCAAAATGTCATCTGATCCGCTCGATGACGTCTTCAATCTCGAAGACCGCTTCTACACCCAAGGCTACACCCAAGGCGTCGAAGATGGAGCCCGCGCTGGAAGAATAGAAGGCCGCTCATTCGGCATGGAAAAGGGCTTCGAAAAGTTCCTCGAGAGCGGCCGCCTCGCCGGCAAGGCCATCGTCTGGGCAAACAGACTCCCCAAGAAGACCGCCAAGCAGAAAGATGCCTCAGAAAAGAGCTCAGAGGCCTGCACGCTACCGCCGCTCCCGAGCAATCCACGCCTAGAAAAGAATGTCAAGCTAGCCTATGCGTTGGTCGAGCCAGATACGCTGTCTACGGACAACAGCGATGAGGCTGTGCAGGATTTCGATGACCGGGTCAAGAGGGCGCAGGGCAAAGTCAAGATCATTGAGAGGATGTTGAATTAGGATGGCGATTTCACTGGGGCAAAGGGCTCATATCCGTGTCAATACCCCGTCCTTTAACGGAGCGTTGTCGTACACATCATCCATTTACAACAACATAGAGGCATATAATTATCGGCATTCGTGGAGTTATGGCATCAGGCTTGGGAATATCAGAGAACCCGTGGGAGTTTATAGGAAACAAAAATGGAAATTCTAATCTTTCTTCATCTTATCTGTATTTACACAATCGATCCTATAACCCATCTTATTTGAATGTCCTGGTAGGATAGCTATTTCACCCAAGTATTAGCAAATCTCAGCCCCATTATTTGATCACAATTATGCCAGAAACAAGACACTTACCCTTCACCATATGTCTGCTCCTCGTTGAGCTCGTACTTGTGCACATCCCATCCTCCAGCCGTCAGGGTTGTTCCGCTGGGCACCGGTGGCAGGCCATCGACAAATACGTCCTTGGCCACATCCTTGGGCGCCTTCTCCAGAAACTTGGCCAGGCCCGTCTCGCCCTCCTTCTGCGCCGCAACGAGAGCCTTCTCTCCGGCCTCGCCAATCAGCTCGACCTTGGGCTGTGCGGCGCTTCCAACCGTCAACAGTGACACGGCATCACCCTGAGTCACCACGCTGAGCTGCGGGTATGCGCGGCGGACATCACGCTTCCAGTAGGCGTTGTCGGCAATATCACCAGCGGGAAGGGTAACGGGGTCGTCGAAGCTCAGAGGGTCCAAGGCTCCAGGAGTCGGGTTTCGGAAGTAAGGGTTCAGGGGGACACCGTTGGAGCGGTTGGGATCGAGGGCGAAAGCCTTGCGGAAAGTCTCCCAGATACCGGTGGACTGGACGGTTTGTTTCTGCGAGTTTCAACGTCAGCCTTTGAACGAAGCCGCAAGCCATTGCTGAGGGTAAATTGGCGCCAATTGACGCCGCAGGGGAGCAGGAACGGGTACGTCGTTCGAACCTTTGCGATGGAAACAACGCCTCCAACAGCCTTTGCTGCCGCCTGAGAAGCCATCTTGCGTGAGCGATGGGAGAGTCTCAGTGCGATATGTCGATTGTCGTCTGGGAATTGACTCGGCGTTGGTCCATCTCAACGAAGCAGCAATGTTAGCGATTCGGTTAGCCGGGGCTTTGCCGACGTCCTTCATTTGCCTACCCTGCAGCTAAGCTGGAAGAAAATCGGTCATGGTTTTTCAACGAGGCCAATTGAACCTCTTTGAAGAAGAATGAGAGAAAAAAAATTCAAAATTATGATTTCCTCTAACTTGGTTGCATATTCCATAAATTTATTGATGATTGTCACTATGTGGTGCTGCCTGAGAAGTACTAGGATTTCTGTTTGGTCACATAATCGCATGGCGCTTTTGGAACATCAATCGTAATGATCTAGTATCACTACTACTATTTCCCCATTCTCCCCTAAGATGTCATATTCGATAATTTTAATTGTCCGCTATCCGTTCTTAGATCCTCTAGCAGCATAGAGTTTCTACCACAGCTGCCAATTGCTGCGATATCACGTACAATGACATTCTCCAAAAGACAAAGGCGATATCATCTCCTGGCCATGCTGGGGACACGACGACATGCCCACGAAGATTCTTTCCAATAACCAGAACAAAGCGGAGCAAACAATTGAATCAATTCAATACTATCCCTCAGGAGACTAACGAGCAATACATACGAGAACGATGGGCCCTATACAGATTCCCAGTGCCAGTACACAAAGAAGCACGCTTGCAATCCCTGACATCCATCAACTCCCACGCCAACTTGTAAAAAAACAAAACGATTATTTTTCAAGACACACAGAAGCGATACAATGAAAGTCAGACACGACCTAGTTCTCTCCCTTGAGCTCCTTGACCAGAGCCTTGACCCTGTCCACCGTAGCAGCAGGGCCGCCAGCCTCGGCAACAAGCACCTTGCCCTCCTTGTTAACGACAAAGACTCCGCGCTGAGTTCCCTTAGGCTGCTTCTTAAGTCCAATGGCGCCAATGAGAGTGGCCTGAGGATCGCAAAGAAGGGGGTAGGGCAGCTTCTGCTTCTCCTTGAAGGTGGTGTTTGCCTTGGTGGAATCAGCGCTCAGACCGTAGATAGCGAGACCATCAGCAGTAAGAGGGTCATAGGAGTCGCGGAAGAGGCACACTTGGGTAGTGCCTGAGAATTGTCTAGTCAGCATACGTGTCGCGTCAAAGAATCCTTCACTCATGATAGGAGCGCGGATAAACGCGTTACGAGCACCAGAAGGCGGCCGGTGGGTGGCATATTCAGGGACAATCCGCACAAAAAGAGCACTGCGGAAAAGAAAAAAGAAAAAAGAAAACTTACATCCGGGTGTCGAGGCCTTGGGATAGGTAAAGAGGACAACACCGCTCTTGCTGTCGTCGACAAGCTTCTTCAGAGAAGTCGTGTCGCCATCATTGGTCTGGATCTCGCCGCCGAATCCTTCGAGGTCAATGACATCGCCAACCGCAATCTTGCCCGCGGCAGCAGCAGCAGCAGGCTTCTTCTTGTCGTCCTTGGGCTCTTCTTTGGCGTCGTCCTTGGCGCTCTCCTCGGTGTCCTTCACCGTCTCTTTCTCCTCAGGGGCTTCCGGCGCAGACTCGGTGGCTTCCTCGTCCTTGGAAGGCTTGTCAGCCTTGGCCTCGGGCTTCTTCACCTCCTCCTTGGCCTTTCCAGCAGGCTTTCTGGCCTTGGTGGCCGCCTTCTTCTTGCTCGGCGCGGGCGCGGGCGGCGCCACGGGGGCCTTGCGCTTGCGCAGCTCAACAGGCATGATACTGGCTGGACGGTGCTTTGTGGCAACGAGTGAAGAGGTTTTGGTGCTCCCGCAGCTCTCCTGAGGGATCAGAAGGGAAAATGACACGTAGTACAGGCCAACACAGCTGCGCAACGCGGTTGTAAGAAGGAGGCGCTGCAGTAAGCTAAGAGGAAAAAAAAAACAAAGAGGTCTGGGCCTGGCGGTCGTTGTGACAGGGCAAACCACCAGAAATTCTGCCGTCGCATGCGATTCCTACTCCGTACAAGCCACCTGCCCGTTAGCTGTGCAATTGGCCCTGGCAAGCTGCGGCCAATCAAGGGCCTGGACCGCGCTGTGGGAGCTTGTCGAAGCTTGGACCATTTGCTTAACGCGGAGCTCCATTGCGGAATGTAGCCGTTGGACTGGGGTTTCCGAGATAGTGACAGTGTCTGACAGGAAGTCTCCGTAGCGCTCCGAGCTTGGCCTTGATTCGCCTGTAGCGCGAGGGTAGAGCCATTGGCCAGGCACGAAAACGCACTGCTCCAGGGCTCTACTGTTTTAACCGAATCGACTACTAAAGCATACGTGTAGGTGGTATAGGTCCTAGATAGCGAGGACGGTAAGCACACAGCGCTGTTGCCGGGGAAACTACCGTGGTGCTGCTACTGTAACTGATCCATCTAACATGACTTGCATCAAATCTGCAGCTCCGGGCGCAGGGTCTATAATTGGCACCCAACATGTGTTACTCGGCCACGGTGCGGCTTGTGCCTTTATTATCGCAGCACAGATATTAATTGCTGGGCACTCGTATTACATGCTGGAAGTATTAAGTCGCACCACAAGTCTGTGGAATCACTACTGTGCATCACCGGCGGACGAATCGAATCGGGAGACCCAAGCAGGTGGACTTCAGCAATTGTCATGCTGGTGCAGTTATCGTCTTACTATCAACAAAGGTACATCGCATGCTTTTGGCTTTCCCCTCTTCAGAAGTAGTAGTATCTGGACGCAGAGTCGTATCAAGGGAAAAAATAGCTTAGTCCTTTAAATAATTCTCCGTGAAAAAAACACATCATCGGTTGGCAAATTGTGTTCTTCCTCCATTGTGAGATCCTCAGCCGCATCGAAGGCATCAACCCTAAGACGTTTTCAATTTCACCGTGCTCCAGCGTTTGAGCTGAAAACCTGCGTAGCCTCCAAGCACTTAGCAACGCGAGTTGCAAAATAGCTGTTATATCGTCGTAGCGATCATGCCGAATAAACTTTTTGGCCGCACCCTGGAAATGCGCGGAATAAAGACAAAAGGAAAGAGAAGGCCCAAACGGACCATCATCGTGGGTATCATAGCTGCCACGCCAACTTCCTCTCCATTAACAAGTGGTTATGGAGAAAACAGCTTCCGCCATTTTAGTTAGGGCACTGAGCCTGAACGTGACCACTCTGCTGGCACTTGTAGCAGATCTTCTCGCCTCCAGCGGACTCCTTAGGACAATCGCGGGAATAATGGCCAGACTCGCCACAGTTGTAGCACTTCATGCCGTTGACGCACTCACCTGCGTCGTCGTTAGTACGTAATACAAATGGAGATCAGGATGAGTGATGCATACGAGACATGTGGCCGTATCCACCGCATGAGTAGCAGGTCTTGCCGGCACCGCCGCCATAGCCACCACTGTTGCCGCCGTAAGAGTTGCCGCCAAAGCCTCCTCCGGACTTGGGGCAGCTGCGGGCAATGTGGCCCTTCTCACCACACTAAAGAACGAATGATTAGGTCCAAGCCGATAGAACTAGCCAACTATTTGGTTGCATACCTTGTAGCACTCGGTAGACTGGCCGCTGCCAGCACCTCCGGCCTGGGGGCAGTCGCGGGAAATGTGTCCCTGCTGGCCGCACTTGTAGCAGGACTTGTTGTCCTTCATGGGCTCAGTGCAGTCACGGCCTGCGCAAAATCAGTGGGTGAACGAGAGGAATGGTTAGTCAAAGTTCTCAGGGCTTACTGATGTGACCCTCGCCTAGTAACTGTTAGTAATGAAGCAACGCCAGCAAGATGTAGACAGTACGCACCACCGCAGTTGTAGCTGATGAGAAAGTTAGTAAATCAATCGACTTCTCATGTGATAAGGACCATAGAACATACCATTTAGCAGGGCCTTTGGTAGGGCAGTCACGGGCCTAAAGGATGGTGTGAATTGAATGCCTTTTTACAAGCATAAGCGTGAAATTTCACTGTACCTGGTGGCCGGTAGAACCGCCTGCACGAACTCGTAAGCGACTGACATGGTTGATAAATCCGTACATGGTAATGAGTGATGACGGGGGTGGGGATAAGGCTGAACAAAAAACGGAGAGAGGGATTGAAAATAAGAGCAGAAGCTAGAAGCTCGATATACGAGAAATGCTCCTCCCGAGAAGATAAACCATGACGTGGTCACATGGACGCGGTAAAAGCAATGCAAGGAGGTTGGAGGGGGCTGCCCTGAATCTCAAGAAAATTCAAGGTACCTGACGAAGGAAAAACGCGGGGGAATTTCAGGTGAGGTAGTACAAGTGGCAATTCATGAAACACGGGAGAAAAACAGACTCACAAGAGTAACACGCTCCTCGGGGAGTATAGTCCATGGTTGATATGGTGATTGGAGATGAGAAACGGGCTGCGAGTTCGAGTTGATCAATGTCAGCGACGACATCCGAGCTTTGAGCGTTGAGTCCAAAATGCAAGGCGATCTGCCGGCCTGAGGCTGAGGGGCAACAGGCGACCCATTTCGCAGCGCTATATCACATCGGCCACCAGGGCCAATGCAGCAAATGCCAGAATTGACGGCAGTTCTCAGGCCGAGGCGACGCTGTGAACAGGGCGGTACTTACTGGGCAGTATACCGGTCAGGAATGAAGCGTCGAGAGGCTGTGGGACGAGGATGTTGATTCCACAAATCGATAATTGGAAAAAAAACGTGTAGACGAAAAAGGGAAAAGTTTTTGACGATAGCAGCTATTGGGCCCTCAGCCTAGGCCGGTCTAGTGCGCTGCTGGCGGTGGCCCGCTAAGCACAGGCGAGCGTGGGAGGCCCTTGCCATTTCGCGGAAAAATGTTGGGCCGCCCTCAGCTGTGCGTGTTGCAGTGCCGAAGCCTGGGGAAGCATCGATTAAGCTTCAGTTATGAAGACAGGCAGCGTTCAACGTTGTGTGTATTTCTACTAGAAGTGACATTAAAATATACAATTGCTAATACCTAAAAAGGCAGCATGGAGCAGTATTTGGGAGATGAAAGTATCCATTCCAATTGTTTTCTTGTATTTCTGGGGATCTGGTGCTGCATCCACAAAACCCCCTGGCATAACAAATGCTTTCACATGCGCCAAACTCTCTACTGAAGCGAAAGGCCACTCGTGTATTTCCCACCAAACTACAACGCATGCATTTCCACTCTTGTCATAAAAAGCAACCCATAGGAGTATATCTGGCTACATTTCAATGGAGCTCATGGTGAAAGCAAAAAGCATCATCTCTATCCAACTCGTGGGGCACGTGTCCAGACATTGTTCCAGGCAGCCTTGATGTGGGTCACGTGGCCTGGCGTTTCCCCCAGTTGTTGTGGCGCGGTTTGGGCCGCGGGAGCTTCACGGTCTTGTTTATTAGCGTCAACAACAGTAGCTGGCTTCGCAGCCCAGCACGGTACAACTCAATTGGAAACGCCGTCGAGATGGACAATTGGTCGGAGAAAGGCCGGCCAGCTGTGCACGAAGCTCTCAACCATGTATGGGAAACTATTGACCGCGAGCTCCAAGACGGTACGTCGCAGCGCTATCGATATTGGCGGCAATGTCGGATTAACATGACAAAGAGCTCGAGCGGAGGGCCGTGAATTACGCCGCGATCAACGAAACATTACAGAGCAAGCTGGCCAGTATAGAAGCTCTGGAGAAGGAGAACAGGAATTTGCGAGCTCAACTAGCAGCCATTCCTTCCAGCCCTCCTACGACTAATTCGAGCACTCCAATCGAGAATGAGACCTTAGTAGGCAGACATGCCTCCACTTCGAGTATCGCGATCACCCAACCAGTTGCAACCTCTTCGACAACGAAGACATCTCCCGCTGGCACCACACCCGAAAGCACTGAACTTGTCAAGTTCAAAATGAGATTCAACGCACTCGCAGACAATTTCAAAAAGGCAAAAGAGTTTCTCCGAAAGAGGAAAGACGAGCGTGATTGGTGGATGGAGCGGGCAAAGACGTTGGAAAGACAAGCTAGGGCTGCCGAGGCGAAGCACGGTATACGAATTCTTGAGCTAGAAGAAGCCGATAATCTTCATGCGCCAAGCAGAACAGGCGTCTCTTTTGATGGCCTAGCTTCTGGACTTGAAACAATGCCACCGCCGGCTGTCCTGGCAACATCTGATAGCGACCACAATGCCAATGTAGAGGATGCACAGCTGCAATCTACTCAAGGCGATCCTGACGAGGCAGACTCTGATGATTTACCTCCCCTGCCAAAAAATGACCAAGACCTTGATCCGATTGTCATCAAGCCAGAGCCATCTTCCGATCTTCCAGTAGTGGTGTCTGAGAGAGCGCTGAAGAGGAGAAGAGTCGAAGATGGTGGGCATACAGTTGCAACAACCCCGAGAATCAAGGCCGAACCGAACGATTCCAGTCCTATTGCTGCCTCGGAACATTACCAGTTCAACGTCCAGGAAAGCATTGACCTCGATGACATAGCGCAGAGGATAACAACCCCTCGAAAGCGCAAAGACTTGGAAGTTTTGGCTGCCGAGGACGCAAATGAAACAACATTCCCGGCTTCTCGTACACCCGCAAGCCTTGGCTATGTACGATCAGACGGAGTGAAGCAGTCGGTTAAGGATGCCCGTGGTGCATCTGTGCTCACTCCTATAAGCGGCAATAAAAGAACCACCACGTGGACTGCTGATGCAGAAAAAGCTCCCCTAAAGGATACATTAGCCCATGGAATTTCAGTTTTGGCAGAAGATGGCACTCCCTACGGAAAGCATAGAGCTGAGAAGAGCTCAAAAGCCATGCCTACGCCGAATTCAATTGTCAAAGGCCGGCTGGATACGCTGCTAAACACTTCAACTCCCGAGAATACAGCCATGATCTCAAGAACTCCTCAAGCTCGCCAGCCAGGGCGCGGTTCGGTTGAAGACACACCTCTTGATCTTCTTTTCCCCGAGCCCCGGGAGCTGCCTTTTGACAAGTTGATACGGCATACCAGAAAGCGTCAAGGTCTAGGCGCAGATATAACGACCCCCTCTAAGAAATCGGATAAGAAAGCGCCTGGTCGAAGTAAATCCCCGCTCAGAGCTAGGGGGTTCGCTTCTGGTCTTCGTCATAAGCCCCTGTCTGAACTTCGGCTTGATGATTTCAAGGTCAACCCCTCGTCAAATGAGGGGCACGATTTTGCTTATTCCGAAGTTGTCAGAGACAAGGATGACAGAGCAGCCCTACGAGGTTGCACAGATATGCATTGCTGTGGGAAGCATTTTAGGGCATTGGCTCTATCACAACGACCAAATCCGCCGCTGACGGCAGCACAGAGGCAAGAAGAGCAAAAGCTGCTGGAGGACTACTTGGGTGAATTTGCCTATCGACTGGCTTCCATGACGAAAGATGAAAGGGCCGAAGTTTGGATTGAAGCCAAGACAGAAGAGCTGGCAAACAAATACGGCAGACACAGACATCGCTTCTCTCGCATGCAGTCTCCGCCCGGGTTTTGGAATGCCGATTTTCCAGACACTCAAGAGCTGGCGGCCGACAAAGAAGAAGCCTTGAAACGAGAGAAGCGTGCAATTGCAGAGAGGTATAGAGAAGCAATGCGCCCCGGTGGCATGTGGTTGTTTAGAGACGAATAGACACGGCGATTCATTATGAGACAAGAAGCATGGGGCAAACGAGCGAACGAGCGAACAAGCATTGGCGTCTGGTTATATTGGTTGAGAGCGGCTTGGTCTGAGATTTGGTGTACAGTGAATTGGCGTCGTGCTTTTAGATAACAGGTGATACCTTGTAGTAGAACTGGACACAAATGCATGGGTAACTCTCGCTTTGCAGTACATATAAACAGCTCCCATTTATCTGAAACATTTAATCAATGACATTTCATTTACAGTTGAATTGGTACTAACTCTTGTGTATCCCATCTCCAGAACCCCATACTCCGTCAAGCAGTGTATCGCATCGCAGGCTGTCGGACAATCCTCGGAATGATCCAGTCAGCGGAGGGCACGGATGCTAGGACGATCTGAGCGCGCTAACTAACTATGGCTACACAACCAAATTCTGCCTCCACAGTGACTCTAGAAGCCAGCCGCATCTCAACAGCGCTTCTAAATATCGCCGCCGGCTTCTACAGCCCATTTTTACTTCCACTCCTTGCCCCCAACCTGTTTGCTGCGGCTTTACCCTATTCAGAGCGCCCGCTGTGGCCTGATCTTGGACTTCTCATGAAGACATCTCTCTTACCTCTTTAATTCTTCCGTTTCCCCCGTTGATGGGACAATCGTCGCCATCATCCAGTCACGTTACCTCGTTGCGCAACTCTTATCCGCGTCGCGCAGCTCCGACGACACTCGCCATCTCGACTACAGAAAGGTGCCCCCTTGCTAGCTGTCGGCCCCAACCGCGAGATTGACACTGCTCTCTCCCCAACCTCCGGCAGTGCAGGTAGATGCGGGAGTCGCAGCACTGGGCGATACCCGCAACAGTACGATCCCCCAAGCCGGCAGGATGAGTAACCGCCATCTGCCGGCTGGGCAGAGCATACAGGCCACAGCCGGAGGCATGAGCGGCGGCATGGATATGAATGGAAACATGGGGGGGCCTCGGCGGAGACAGCAGCAGTATATGGCCCCGTATCACCAGCATCAGCTCCAGAACCAACACCCGCAGCACATGAATCACATGTATTCCAACTATGCGCCGTATGCTGCCCAGCAGTACTACGGCATGCCGCCGCATCAGTATCAGACCGGGGGAGTTCCGGCTCCCGGATACATGGCGTATCCGAACTACAACAGGTCCCCGCCGCCCATGCAGCAGTTTGCCCCTATGGTAGGAGTCAGCATCCCGCCGAGCTACCCTCGAGCGTCTCCTAATCCGATGACGCCGTACCAGCCTCCGCTTGCTCCCGCTCCTGGCTTGCCCCATACTCCGTCTTCGACACACTCGTCACAGCTGCTCCCACCGCACACGCCCACGACTCCTCAGACGCCTCCCGTCGTTCAGCAAGCCCCCGTGCCGGTGCCTGTTCAGGAGACTGCTCCTGCTCCTGCTCCTGCCGCCCCCCCTGTTGTTGCCCCTGTTGTCGAGTCACGCGAGCCTTTCCGTCCACCGGTGAGTTTTCTTGAAGCAATGTTGGCTGGGCCGTGCATGTTTGACTAACTTTTGGCGAAAAAGCTTCCCTGGCTGTCACGCCCCGACGTCGAGTTTCCTGTGAGGACTCCCCGATCAAAACGACAGAGAAAGATTTTGGGTGCAGACGACAAGGCAGTATCGCTACCCGCAGGTCAGTATGATGTCACCGTGGAACAACAAGTCAACCAGCAACCTGCAACTTCTGCTCAAAGCGAACTTGGCACGCAATCTCAGAAGCAAGAGGGAGAATCTACGTCTGTCTCTGGCCACGTAGAAGTCCCCAAATCATCAGGGGAGGAAAAGGTGACCAAGGCTTCCGCTACGACTGATGCATCTATTACGCGTCCGGCTGCACCCGCTGTCCCTGTGGTCCCTGTACTGCCGAAGCATGGCCCTAAGCCATCTGCTTCTGATGTGTCTGTGACGGCAGAGCAGGAAAAGGTCAATGGAGAAGTTGCAAAGTCCGAGGACCAAGACGCCGTAACTGCTGCCTCTGGCGAGATTCAAACCAATGGCACAAGCAACCCTCCTAGCCCCGTGGCTAGGGCTCCGCCTACTAGCTGGGCAAATCTCTTTGCCAAGCCGACGGCACGAACCCCGACCAATGGCTCAGGATTGAATGGCTCGGCTGGTGGAGATGCCGTGAACGGTGATTCGACAGACGCCGCAAACAACTTTCCTGGATCAGCCTTTTCCAAATCAAACGCCAGCTCTCTTGCTCAGGCAATTCAGTCATACCAAGTCGAAAACAATGATAAGATTGATTTCCTTGAGCCGCGCGGACTCATCAACACTGGTAATATGTGTTACATGAACTCTGTAAGTCTCTTTTTAAACCTCACCTAGACCATGGGGAACCAGCTGCTAATGTGTTTTCTAGGTGCTGCAAGTGCTCATGTTCTGTGTGCCGTTTTATGACTTGCTAGACCAAGTCGGCAAGAAGGCCGCTCACAGTTTCAAGAGCGAGACTCCTTTGATTGATGCCTTAATCATGTTCATGAGGGAGTACAACGTGCTCAAATCGTCCGCATCGGTTGATCAGCTTAATCGAGCTTTGAAGAGTGAAGATCTCGAACGTTATGGCGAGCCCTTTACCCCTGAGTTCGTCTATGACGCTATCAGGCAGCTTTCTCGATTTGCTAGCATGCGAGTAAGTTACGAGCTTCCTACAGCTTATTGTACACCTTTGTGTGGCTAACAACTGTTTCTGTAGCGTGGCCATCAACAGGATGCAGAGGAGTTCTTGGGCTTCCTTCTTCAGTCACTTGACGATGAGTGTACCCACGTTATGAAGGATTTGCCAGTCGGACACGAGGAAGTGCCTTCTTCTGACGCCTCTACCGGCGGATCTGTTGCGGCTTCCGATGATTGGCTTGAGGTCGGCCGCAAGCAACGCGCTGCCGTCTCTCGCTTATCCGGCCATAATACGTCAACCCCCATCACCAAGATTTTTGGCGGCCTCCTGAGATCCGAGTTTCGCGTGCCAGGGTTGAAGGACTCCATCACGACCGAACGCTACCAACCTCTCCAGCTAGATATTGGATCTCCTGATGTCAGAAACGTCGTCGATGCCCTACGCGGGCTGACTCGCCCGGAGCGTCTTCAAGGAGACTTCAACTCTCCTCGTGGCAAGGATGTCACGGCCACGAAACAAGTCTTTATTGAAACCCTACCACCTGTCTTGATCCTCCACCTCAAACGGTTCCAGTTCGACGCTGAAGGCCATGGAACTGTCAAGATCTGGAAGAAGATTGGATATCCCTTGGAGCTTGAAATTCCCCGCGAAGCTTTGTCGAGACAGAAACGCCAAAACCTAGACGATGCTTCAATGCCTAGGTATAAGCTCATTAGTGTGGTCTATCACCATGGAAAGAATGCTAGCGGTGGTCACTACACAGTGGATGTGAGGCGACAAGATGGTCGCGAGTGGATTCGGCTGGACGATACCGTCATTCGACGCATACGGCCCGAAGACGTAGCCGAAACTGGGTCCGACGACGATGCCAAGGAGATACGCAAGGATACCACATCAAATGTCACTAGCAACCGATTCGGAGCCATGAACGATGAAGACACTGGCGATGAAGACGGCTGGAAGCAAGTCACTGCGCCAACTAATGGTGGCAAGCGATGGAGCAGTGTTGTCAATGGTGGCGCTAATGGAGCTGTCAAGGAGAAGCAAGTCAAGGACAGCATCAAAGATAACAAGGTCGCATATCTCTTGTTTTATCAGCGTATATAAAGCAGCGCCTGGCTGGGTATCCGTTTACACCACTACGCCATATAATGGATTTCATGGCCGGTGGCTAATATGCACTGGGAGGCTTGTACTGGAAGATTTGTACATGATATGTACAGAATTGCATGATGTATTGATATACGGAAACCATTTACTATTGCATCCCAGGTTGGAGCCATCAACTTGGCAAAGACCGCGGGCGACAAAGGGAACAAGAAGAGAACCAGCACGAGCAAGAAAAAAAAAATTGGATGGAAAAGGTGGCAGGGGGTTGGCGGGTGTTTAGCGGCTCAGATTTGGCGTTGCGGCGTCTCGGCAGGATTACTCCATGATTTTTGTCGAGACTGAAAGAAGACGAAAAGGTGGACTGGGGAGACTGGACTCTTGCGTGAGAACTTTTGGGCCAGGGTAAAAGCGTTTTTGGGGAAGCGTTTTCTTTGCTGCTTCCAGAATTGCGTTGCACTCCTGTACAATATCACATAGCCAGTTTGAGTAATGACATGCATATATCACTGTGGGAGAAGGGGGGCTTGTTTATAATGAGCAAAGGGAGTCAAGGTTAGACCATGTCTATACATTTTTTAATACAAGAGACCTGTGTAGATCTCTAAACAACCATCGCCGCCGCTGCTTGATCCTGCTCTCCGAACCAATAACGTGCATTCATTCCATAATTTTTCGTTTCTTAGTGCTTCTTGATGACAGTCATGGAATCCAGGGCATCCTTCTCAGCGAGCTCGGCCTCGACCTGTTGCAGAATGGTTCGCAGGTAAGGGACGTCCTAGAAGCGTTGAGTGTTAGCCCCAGGGAGTCATTTTCTCGAGGCAATATTCAAAAGCGGGAGAGCTAGCCGTACCTCCTCGGGCTTGGTCCACTGGTCCTTGGGGAGCAGCTTGTGGGTGTAGCTGCACTGGATGGAGCGGCGGATGCGGTAGACGCGCTCGTAGGACTCCTTGGCGGACAGACGCTTAAGGGCGATTTGGACGGCTTCGTTCTCTTCCTCGAGGAGATCGTCGTATCTGGTTTGCCGAGGTGGCATTGCGTTAGCATCGTTCGACTCCATTTGGCGCATTGTCATGCTGGTGGAACAATTCCGGCATGATTCCTCCAGCTTCCATGTTATAATATTTCCTCCTCTTTGTCTTCATCCTCCCCATCCTCAGCTCATTGGTGACATATATCCCTCCCAAACGACACAAGGAAGCGGCAAAAAGCTGCAAAAAGGTTTCGGCATATCGTACCTCAGGCCGAGCTGGCGGTAGCCGGAAGCGCCAGCGTACCAATTGGCGGCGGGCGTCAGGGCCTTGACCAGCCAGGGCCGCTTCAGGACAAAAGGAGCGAGGGAGACCATGTCGGGCGGCTTTTGCTAGGGGGGCAAGGCGTTTGCGAAAAGCGAATTTGCTGGAGGCTTCGTTTTGAGAGGTATGCGCGAAATGGGATGATTCGGCGGGCCCTTGCAAAAGTTGGGAGAGCTCGGGATGTCACGTGGAGGGAAGACGGCCGTTTTTTTTTTTGGTGGGGTGGGATTTGTTTTTTGGGTGAGGTTTTTGGGGGGAACGTTATAGACGGAGGGGGATAACGGTGGGAAAAGGTGGGATGGCTTTCCGTTTTGTTACGTTTTGCGGACTGATGTGTTATAACTTTGAGGTAATTGGCTGCATATAAGTCTGAAAGGCGAGCTAGAAGCGACAATTTAGGGGTCTTTATCAACGTATAGCCACAAGGCTCTCGGTGGTAATTTGACGATGGATGGATGTTCTTCTCATATTTCTGTAAGTATCTGTTCATTGAATCCCCTGCACACATCCGGCATGCAATGCCCTACAGAATTACTTCATCATTGTTCATTTACAAAGGTGATGCTATATAAGTGGATGCAACTCTGAAGACCCCTCGCCTTTGTAACCACCCCCATTGCCCACTCTTGGTCCTCAACAAAGACCGCGCCACAATTCACATACACCCCCATTTCTCAAACAACTTACATGCTTACCGTGGAGAGGGTTGAAGGGGTTAAGCCTTCAAAAGACTTATAGAGCAGGGCCATCCTTACACAGCACTCAGAACAGCATCGTAATCACTCCGACACTTCGTACTTCTTCCGAGAATAACGTGAAACTGCTGCAGGGTGATAAGATATGGGGACTTCAAAGTTGCACCACTATTATTGCCGTCTTCGGTATGGCAGCCAACCTTGCTTTCTCCGCGCCAGCATCGCAAGGAAGTGTAGGTAAATGTACGTTGATAAAAAAATTACAAGAGGTCGCATCAGTTTCGTTAAGCATATTAACTCTTCAACCTGAGTTATTCCTAAAGCCTGAAACACCTATAAAGATGTGATTACAAGTGGCTCCTTGACAGGCGATGTACGACGGATAATAAAAAGTGCGAGTATTGGGGTGTTGGTGATTTTCTCTGGGGCCAATATTGCACCTGAATGATTCGCAAGTAAGAAGAGGATATCAAAGAAGGTTTCGGCCTGCGCTGATATTACACTCTTGGATCCAAACAGCTCATTGCATCATGACAAGATAGATAAACAGATGCCGATAATATATCACTGAGATGTATCATACAAGAGTGCAATTCAAGAACAGTAAATTACCTGTCCCAGCTAATGGCAATTGCAGTCAGCGTGACCTATATCTTTGCCACCAATGTAAGCGGACTCCACGCGTTCAGGGCCATGATAGGCAACCAATCCCTTTACATAGTAGGATAATTCAGAAAATGGGAGAGGAGAGTGTATCTATTCAACAATTTAAGGAGAGCAATGAAACCCCATGAATACCGCCTTGCACGAATGGATATTGGCGACAAAGACAAGTTTAGCTGTCATCATCCCTTAGTTGGTATGATATTTTCTATTTCATCGCTAGACTTCAAGGTTGTTATCGCTAGGCCGTCAATTATAAAACCTGATAAGCTGTGAAGGGGGGCTGCGCCACCTCCATTCTACGTAGCGCTCCAGAAGTGGATGCTCAGAGCCATAGAAAAGGCGAAAGGTCTCAATAGAAATATTGTCCTGAATCGGAACGGGAAGTTTCATTGGCCACCTGCGTACAATGGTATTCTGTGTCTTCATCGCCATACCAGAAAATTCAGCATTCTGCTGGAATTCTTTTACATCCATGTATCTACCACGACGTCAGATAGGGCAGCTCTTTGATACGTAGAAGGCAACTCAACTTGGTAAACCACTCTTCAAGTTTTGGATAAAGCTCCGTCCCAATCATCTGTGCTTGAAACCGAGGATTCTCTGTACCGGACGCAATGAAGGCATTGTACGTATCGTACCATACAAGAAGAGGATGGATACCTACACACTCTTCCATATCGCCACTGAGATGGCCGTACTCCTTGGCTGCGTTGATGAAGAGCGTAATTATAGTGGCATGACGATTTTGCTCTGGGTATAACAAATGTGAGGAAAAGTGTTGAAATGTTTCCAGGATATTAATGTCTTCTCTGCCGCACACATTGGCTATCTAATTAAGAGGAACATGAGATTTAATTGAGCGTAGCGACTTTTGGATAACAATTTACTGACCTTTATTCGATCATACCTTCTGTTGCACAGGTGCTGAGAAAGTTCTTTAATGTCAACATTGAACAGTGACAAGGCTATCCGATTTTTCCCTAGGCTATAAAGAAATGACCCAATCACGTCTGTGAGAAAACTGTAAAGCTTCCCGTACACGTCGTTGAAGGCAACCCATGGCGTTCTTTGTGATAGGAAGATGTTCCATCCACCGAGAGGATCAGCCTGGTCACTGTAATAAAATCCACGAGACTCCACAAAAAGCGAGCTATTGATGATTAGCTCCAGGAGAGAGAAAAAAGAGAGCAAGGAAAGAAGAGAAGAAAAGCAGTGGGAGAGAGCCTTACGGATTTGGACGGCGGAATTCTAGACGCGAATGCCCAAAAGGCAAAAGCATGCCATCTTCCCGAAACCTCTGTTTTGCCACGCGGAAAAATCGATTTTGCATCTTGGAGTAGCAACGATCTCGGTAATCGCTTTTGCGTCCATCCAGAGTTATCTCTTGCAGCCGCCTTACTGCAGCATCATAACTGAGTCCCGGGGGGATACTCAAGGAGCTCAAGACCCTTTTCCAGCATTGTGCGGTGAGGGACACCTGGATGGAGCTGCCTCCGGAAAAGTTCCATGTGTGTTTGATGACGGTATCGAAGTCTGCATTATGAATTTTGTCGCGGACTTGCTCCAATAGGGGTTGGATTTTTTCCTCCAGATACAGCATAATGTCGTCGGTCAAGAAGGCTGAGTACCAGAAATGTATGATGGTATCGATGGCTCTAGAAGTATTTGCTTGATCTTGGTCTTGAGCCGGCTGGCTAGCATCAAGAGCTACCAGAAGTAGCATCAAGTTTCGCGAAACGACGGCGATCTCTGGATCGTTGAGCGTGATATTTAAGAGTCGATGAGACTGACTTGGTAGTGAAGCTAGTGTCGCGACGAGATAACGCAAATCACGGGAAGCTGTAAGCACAAGCAATCATTAGCCAGCATACAGTCAAAAGGCTGGTAATTGATGGTTGCCTTGCCAGCAAAAAGCAAAGAAAAATCTCGAGTAGTATCTACGCCTTCGTTGTGTTTTAGGTTGAGAATGTCAATCGCTGATGCTGTGCCCCAGGGTTCATATTTGCCTTCCAGAGCATCGGGGTAAACGCCTGCGACCAGTCCTTGAGCCCACGTCGGAACGCGCCTTTCAACTTGCCACGCAGGACGCCAGTTGGGATCGGCCAGGGGACTCTTGCAGTGCTTCTTGTGCTCTTCCCAGTGGGATTGTTGACAGCTGATACCGCAATACTTCATTGTTTGTCAGCACTACACGCGAGGGGTGAGGGTTGATGTCACTGACAGCCACCATTCTGCAGCTTTTGCAAGGTAGTTTACCGATTTCCTTGCATAATTCTGAATTGGCACAACCAAGCTGGCATTTCGATTGAGTTGACCTGTCCATTTTTGGGTTGAACCAAATATTTGTTTGTAAAGACGAGTAAGTAGTAATAAGTTGAAGAATCCTGAAGTGAGGAGAGGAAGACGATTTGAAATATTTCCCTCGCACTGGTAGGAAGCTCTCTTCCATCACTAGGTAGGTACCTTGCTGTTATACATGTATCATTGTCGCTTTCCTTCTAGCATTTGACGTTATGGTTACCCGGCAAGAATGATTGGAATCGTATCTGTCGCGCCTGGTGCGTAACTGGGCCACACATTGTTACATGCCTAAGCATGTACGTTAGTTTCAATCTTTTTATCCTTATTTTGTGCGAATGATTTAGTTAACTCTGGTTCTTTTTGAGCTTCAGGGTTAGTAGCTGCTTGTCTTTTAGCATCAAGCTGGCCGGCATTTTAGAGTTGTCCTAATCTACACTGCATCAATCTGTCCTCGACAATGGCATAAAATGAACTATCATTCAATAATAAGAGTAAGCAGGAGTGGAATTATCATTTCCTGCACTAACCTCTGCGCTCGCTACAATTAGTAACGTTAAAATGACTGTTGTTTAGAATAAAAGGCACTACCCAATTCAAAGGTCTTACACCTGGTCGCTGAATGTGGAACCGACCAGTAATATCAAGGCAAGTAATTATTCGTGTACCAAAGGCTTTCTCGGAAAAATTGCCCCTCTCATTGAAATTGACCTTTAATTCTTCCAACTTCACCGATTTTAACTGTTAACCGAAGAGTACTTTGCACTTGATACATCATCCGTGATTAGAGCAACCAACATCAAACAACCCCTCCTGTCTTATCAGCCCCAGCCCTTATTCTCAAAATGCCTGCAACCAGGAAAGTGAAAACTGGCTGCAAGACGTGCAAGTAAGTTTTGAAAGCTGTTTCCGGTTTAGTTATTCCTTGAGCGAAGGATATTCATAATCCATCTAGGCTACGCCGCGTAAAGTGTGATGAGAGCAAGCCAGAATGCCAGAGATGTGTTTCGGCCGGCCGGTTTTGCGCCGGCTATGGCATCTGGGGAGGTGGTAGCAAACGAGATGACGCAAGCGATCAGTCAACGGCTGTTTCTACAATGCCATCCACAAGGCGGCAGAAGAAGCAACACAGGCTCAGCACTCCAGTGCCTGGTCATAATCAAACACCGGCTATCAGCGCAGATGAAAGGATTTGCCTCGATTACTTTGTTTCCTGCGTATCACCCAGACTCTCGGCGGTGTTTGATTCTCAATTTTGGCTGCGATTTGTGCCACAGGCATGCGCTTCTGAACCACTCGTTCTTCACGCTTCTCTGGCGTTGGGAGCGGTTTATAAGAGCAAATATGATGATTCCAGGAGTATGGTGCTTTGTCAAGACCGGAGATTATCTGTCAATAACAACCCTCATTACCTCGCTTTATCCCAGTATAACAAGGCACTGAATCTCTTTCGAGCTCACGTGCTAAAGAAGGATCCCAGTTCTCAACGGGTGACTCTGACAGTCTCTGCACTTCTCATCGCCTTTGAGATTGTACTTGGGAATTATGAAGCCGCCATGATTCATATCAACCACAGCTTCTCTATCATTAATAATCTGACTCTCCTGCCATCGGAAGAAGTCACAGAACCTTTTTCCCAAATGCTAATCCAGCTGGCTTTGATTGGTGGTATGAGTGTCTCTTCATATTTGCCCATTTCGAAAGTAGCGAGGCAAGCTACCTGTATTAATCTTGATTCCACACGCGAATTTTCGAATCTCTTTGAAGCACATCAGACTATAAACACTATTATAATGAACGCCATCCAGCTTTCGGAGTGGTGTCGCTCATCACTGCAAGCTTCAAATACCCTTTCGGATGATCTGCTTGCGCGACATCAGCGTCTGGAAAAGGCGACAAGAGACTGGTTCATGGCGTATACTGCGAGTAAGCCTAAACTGATTTCAAAATCAAATCATAGGACTATGTATGGTGTATATATGTTGCAAATATTTCACTCTCTTGCAACAATCATCATTGCTTCTGCATCTTCCTCGCGGCTCGAGGCTATCCCCGATCAATACACAGACACCTTCGTTTCGATTATCACTCAAGTCATCACCCTTTGGGATATGACGGGGTTTGCCGTTGGGGACTCATTTGAGCGAAACCGCCGAATCACAGGCCCACGGGTCACTATGGAAATGGCCATCGTTCCTATTCTATTCTATACAGCGTTAAAGTGTAGGTCGCCATCGTTAAGGCGACAAGCTGCTTCTTTGCTTATGGTCTCACAATACAACGATGGAATTTGGCATAGCGGTGTTGCTGCACGCCTTGCTCTCACAGTAATAGAGATGGAAGAGCGTGGTGCATATGCTGATGTGGAATTTGACTCGGACCCTTTTCGGAAACCACATCTAATGCAATATAGAGCGTTGCCCACCTTGCCCTATACTTCAAGATTCCATGAAGTGAGGGTTGTTCTGAGCAACGGATCGAGGCATAGCGGAAAATTAGTTTGTAGAAAGGCGCCAGTGGATGGGAGGACAATATGGGCTGAGGAGACCGTCAGCTTTGACTACCCAGATTACGATAGGCCGAGGGCATGGCCAGAGTTGTTGAAGCAACAAGTCCCTGTCTCCTTTGAACGGACATTTACGAGCCATCCTCTTTAGCAATAATGCTCTCATGTAAGGATTTCATCTCGGATTATTAAAACAGCAGCCTCGACAACTCGATAATACGGAATGTAGGCGTGATGTTACCAATAATTTTCTCCCTTGTGTCTCTTCAACCTGCAAAGCCCAGGCTCTTACGTTAAAGCTCAATGCTGTCAGCCTAGTGGAGTGCCCCTTAACTGAGCGGCCATGGCACCTCGGTTGGACTGTACGAGTACATACGTAAGCCTGCACCGCTTTCATGAGATAGGATATTGAAGTGCCTGAAAGAAATAATCTCCATCGAAAAGACTGCAAATCTATTGGAGACTCACAACTAAGTTCCGGCTTTAAGATGTTGTGTGGTCCATGATGCTTTGTCTGGACCAATCACACTGTAGAGTTTCCGATACGGAAATAACCTAAAAATAGCCTTAGCTGATCTCCGACAGTAGTGGTATGGGCTATACTTCAAACGGAGGGTTAATGTTGATTGAGGCGGCCATATTGGTCTGATACATACCGTAAGACAACAATACTATGATGGTATATATACATGTACCTATATATATCCAAAGGCCATTGCCCCAAACTCAGTGTTCAAATATCAATTGCAGATTAGAAACTCTTCTGTGTCTCCTCTATCGAATCTAATCCACAAAGGTCCATAACCACCATCATGCATTATGCTAAGCTTCTCGTTGCGCTCGCTCCACTGAGTGCTTTCGCCGTTCAGCTTCAGCTCCCGAGCAGCGATATTCCATCTGCTTGCCGTGATACCTGCCAGGCGATCATGGATGTGGCAAACAGCTGCGCCAACAGCCATCTTGATGACAGTCTTGAGAACCAGTGCATTTGTGGTGAGCGCTCTCGCCAAGATGCAGAGAATTGCTATACCTGCATGCATCGGAATAATGGACATACTTCCAGTAAGTGCTATTGATGGAACGACCATAATCCAGAGTGGAATTGATACTGATGCCATACGTCTCTCAGATATTGACCAAATTATCAATGTCTGCAACTTCTCTGGAGACTCGGGTGGTAGCCAACCTTCAGCTGCCTCTACGATGGCAGTACAGAGTGTGCCATCGGTCGTCACGACAACTACGGCGAAAGAACCGAACCACACCAAGTCCGCCTCCGCTGAAACCAATACTCTTGCTCCAATTCCAACCAATGGAGCAGTTCCAGGCGCTATGCCTGTGGGTGGACTATCTTGTTCTGTGGTCCTGGCTGCTGCAGGCGTGCTTGCTGCTGGAGCCGGGATGGGTTAGTTTTAGAACAACACAGTCCGATACGTTTTCATGGAGAGTAACATTCTGTTGAACTTTGTGATTGTGTTTGTTCTTTCCCTTGGTAGAATATCATATTCGGCGGCATCTAGTTATGGTGGTTAAATTTATATCAAGATGAGAAGTCCAACAAGCTGCAACAGCTGGTTCAGCTAAAAGCTAGGCCCTAGCCTTTGGTTAAGAACGGATATAGTTGTACACGTATTTGCGCAACATATGGCTGCACAACTGGGCCACATATGTGTAAATGAATAACAAATATTTATTGGTGTTACAACTATCGGTCAATAAGATTGGAGCAGAAGTTGCTTATATACGACGACTTCTTTTTATACTCATTCTCAGGCTGCAATTCCCCAATTGCGTCCTTGAATTTTTCCCAAATCGGAATAAAGGAGCCGTTCTCCATCTCGCCGATCCTGCTAAACGCCATCTTGAGGACATTTGGGTCTGAAAGCTTGTCGAGGTCCATTGGTCTGACAATATCAGCCTCATCTATAAAGCTACTGCTTCTTATCCTGGTAATGGCGATACCCAGTACACTCGCTTTGAAACAGTATATGATGATAGCTGCAAAGCCAGCTGCCAAAGCCGTGGCAATACTGGAGCCCGTTGACTCCGTTGTCATAAAAGTCTTGGTTGCGAGATATGAAGGCAGAAGACCTGAACCGTCGTTGGTGCGTACATTGACCCCGGGGAAGATGAAGTCGTTGTCTCTTCCTGCGTGGCCATAAGCTGAGCCATCGTCGTGTGCAGCGCCTATGAGCAAGAACTGGTTGCGTTTGTAGGCCGAGGGATAGTGCTGAGTCGTACTAATCTGGTCCGAAGATGAGCAGAACATGAGAACCTTTTCACTACATGCTCTCTTGAGCACGCTGTCTAAACGCTGCTTTTCTTTGCTCCCATCCGCGGGTACTGGTATGGTCCATGACATGGAAATAATAGTTGCCTTCTTGTCTAATGCGGCTTCAATGGCCTGCAATAACGGAGGTTAATCTTTGTCACGAAAGGGAAAGGAGATTCAGATTGACTAACCGAGGCTGCAGAAAATACGTCGATTGTAGCTTGTCCTTTTTCTGGACTGATGTGCGTCTTGAGACGGATCGAGTAGATGCTTGCCATTGGGCAGGCTTTCAATATCATCCGCGCCATTTCAGTTCCATGGCCTCTCGCAGATATGTAATGCTGTCCCACGCTTCCCTCTTGATAGTCAAATGTTTTGCCTTCAATAATACGGCCTGCAAAGGCGGAATCACATGAGTCAACTCCATCGTCGATTAATGCGACAACGACATCCTCTTTCAAGCTAGTAAGATTTCGAATGTCCTTGTTTGGAGGGCGGGCATCATTTTGATCCCTCCTGGCACTTTCATCAAATTTCTCTAGCGTCTCTTGCCACAATGAGTTCATACATCCTGCAAACCTTTCCATGTAGGTGATCCATTCGTGCTCTGTGAATGGAGTTGGTTTTTCGGTTGATATAATTGCACCGGTACCTGAAGTTGTAAACGGTTCAGTTCCCTTTTTGCCCATAGTTACTTTAACCTCGATCTTTTTCTCCTTATCTTGTACGAGAGATTTAGTTGACTCTGATTCTTTTTCAACTTCGTGGTCAGTGGTTGCTTGTCTGTTGGCGTCAAGCTGACGAGCATTTTGGTTCAGAAGTTGTTGAAATTCATCAATTCTCGAATTCACCCAACTTTCGGAGTCATATAGCTGGAATGGTGTTGGTTGTTAGATGTGACCATGTGATAATACTTATATACCTAATCAGAGCTCAAATGGAGGGCTACTTACATCTGTCTGTGTAGGAATGTTGAGGTTGACCATCTGGAGCTTTGGTAGTTGTGGCAAGCCGTTAATTTCGCTCCAAGCTCTTAAAACAGCGTTGTTGCCACTCCATTGAAGTGTGATTTCTCGCAACTCATTTCTAGATTCAGTCAATGGCTCAGCTTCAAGATCAACATCGGTCATCTCCGCGTTGCTGCTGATTTGACAGATAAGACGAGGATCTAAATCTAGCTTCGACCAGTCAAGGTGCTCAATTATAATCTTGTCGAGAGAGTTTTGGATAGATTCGTCGCCGTGTGGAGTTCTCCCCCCATCATCAACTTCAACCCGGAGAATACGGCGTACACCCTTGCGATGCAGCCAGCCAAAGAAGAATTCCATATCATCCCGACCCTTGGGCCGAGGCTGTCGGGCATTTTTCCCCTTGCGTGTAACGGTCACTTGTGGGAACCGCACATACATCAGCACTTCATCGAAGCGAATCCCACTAGTCGCATCTTTGCCAAATCTCTCCTCAAAGGTATGGCTATCTATCTGATCCGGGAGACCACTGTAATCGAAATAAATTTGAATATCTTTTTTTTCCCGCGTGTTCACATTTAGTATGTATCCTTCTAAATGTCATGACAGGGAAACACTTACCGTTGATGTTATTTCTGCCATACAGAAAAGAGGTTGCCATCTTGATATTCCTGGTTCTCATGTAATGAAGTTTCAACATCTTGAGAATTTTGGTCGAGTTTTTGGCAAGCATCTCTGAGTTTGGCCTCCTCTTGGGTGCACCATTTTGCGATGTTTTACTTCCTTCTTCATCGGCGTTGGCCTGAAGATCTTTTGTAGGGGCTCTCTTCAAGCGTGTATTCGCCACTTGATCCCGCCCAGATAAAGATGTTGTAGATGTCGGGTTGAGGTAGTTTTCTGCTGCATCTTGTGCAATAGGTTGTCTCGTGCGCGATCTCTCACTTTCGGCGGCTTCATATCTTGCTTGCCTCTCGTCTGTCTTTAATTCTCTTTCTTGTTGTCCATTCTTCTCCTGTGCAGTCCTTTCTTGCCTATTTTTCTCTTCTTTTTCCCTCAGCTGACGACGCTTCCGCTCCCTTTCATCCAGTCTCTCCAGCTCTTGCCGTTGTCTTAGACCATCTTCTTCGAGTCCCTGAGCTCCATCACCACGACTCACAGCACCTTGATCCTTTGGCCCTTTTGGCCCTTTTGGCCCTTTTGGCCCTTTATAATCAGCCAATGTTGGCGGAGCCTTGTCCGGATCCAGATCCTGCACTCTATTGTGCATCTGATTCAAGAGTGGTTCTCGCGGAGTAGTCTGGGAATCCTTGCTACTCTCCATAGCCAAGTAAGCTTTCGATGATCTTTCGTGCTCACCGTAGACCGAATATTCTACAATTTGCCCTCTCCTTGTGCATTTTCTATCCAAAAATGTCTCCACAGGTTGGTGAGGGTTACTCTTTTTCAGTCTCCTCAGAACTGTGTCATCTTGACGAAGAAGAAGCCTGATGATTTCGACCCTCTCGTCATTACATTGTGCATATTGCACAGCAAGATGCAATGGAGCCATTCCAGAGCCATCTATAAGCTTCAAGGCTTTGTCACCGGCGTAACTAAGTAGCTTTTCGAGAATATCAGATTTGAGATCCTTCTCAAAGGCTAGTGTCAAACAGGTTTTCAGGGCTCCCCCGTCGCTGCATGGCTTCTCAAGTGCGTCTTTGACACACTTACGGTCCTTAGTACTTTTCAGCATGGGTTCTATAAGACTCCAAGTGTATCTTTTGAGCTTGATCGCTTGGTAAAGAGGGGTTTGATCATCACCATTGGGAATTCGTAGCAGATATGGAAACTGGCGTACAATTCCCCTAATGAGCGGCTTAACGTGTTGGGAATTCAGTGGGTTCTCGCCATCTCTGCGATGCACCGTCTCGATGAGTCTGTGCAAGAATGTTTCTCCAGTAGAAGCGGGCTGTTTTATAACATCACTGTGCTCATTCATGAAGCGGTCAACCTCGGCCTTGGTCGTCTTGCGGTTGAAGATATTCTTCACGGCGTTTATGGCCTTCTGGATCTTGTGTTGTTCGTCATCTTCATCTTCGCTGTTTTCTTCATTTCTGTTGTCATCATCATCATCATCGTCGTCGTCGTCGCTGTTAATCTGCTCTCTCTTGCCATAGTTTTCGGCGTCGTCGTCATCGCTCTCCGACTGTTGGTTTTGCTCTTCCCAAGCCAACATCTTGTGTGCTCCCTAGAGTTCTCTTGATAGAAGTATGAATGAAATAGAAGAGTGCGCTATTGTACCCTTGGCGTCTGAAGGATTAGTAGCAATAGGAGAGCAAGCGAGTTGTTGCGTATAAAGCTGATGCTTCGCTTTGCATAACAAGCCTTTGTTTTGTGAAAGAGTCATTTTTTCCCCAGTGGGTAATCAAAAACATAGTTGCCGGTACATCAGCAGACAACTAAATGGCTTCCTAATGCTGTTGGGTGGTTCGATTACATGTATCCCTCGCAAGGCTCGATGTACCTTGCTATCAACATGAGACACAGCCCCCTCGTGACACTTCCTTGTCGCTTTCAATTAGTGCAATGCCCCACGTTCCTTCAACTGTAAGCCTTCCTTCAGTCTATTATTGGGCCGGTAAAATAAATGTATGTGATAATTGAAATAACAAGCGCCAATTACTGACAGAGGGGTTATCTGACTGGGGGCATTGCCCGCCCTCTCTTTCATTGAACATGAAGAGTTCGGTAGGCATTTAAGCAGGCTATTAACAGCTTCGTAGAAAAGAAGTTGATGCGCCAGTTTTAATGAAAGTACCCTCGGCAGCCACAAAGACAAAAGAGAAAAAAAAATGTCGGAAAATGGAGAACCAAATGTTAAGCTCGAAGGCCAAAATAATGTTGCAGAGTTCGATGTCACAATGTTCGAATCCGGTAGCGAAGGGAACGGCTTTCATATCAAAAACAATCCAAACAACCCATATCAGCGGTCTGAAGTGATCCAGCGGACTGGAGACGGAATCGACATAAGATGTGCTCTCACTGAAGTCATTCACGGAGACATGTCGGCAGAGAGCGACTATTGGGCAACAATTCTGGTCTTCCAGTTTCGCTTTGACCCCCAGCAACGAGCGCGCCGCATTCTGGAAGCGACAATTGAACTTCAGTTCAGCGCCTCTAGCGCAGAGAATACTATGCCCGAAGTTGATGCAGTATCGTTTGACGGTCACTACAGTCTCTTACCCAGCAAACAATCCGAGACAACCGTCAAGGGCGGAGATGGGAGCATCGGGACTGGCTATGGTGTTGATCTCCGAGTTGGAGCAAAATGGGAGAAAACAGTGGTGCGCGAAACAACAGATGCAACAACCATAAGCGGCGGCAAGCTCGTGGTCAATAATGTGCCCCCATACCGGGTAGCTAAGTGGACTCTGCTGGAGAATAAGACACTAAAAACGGGAATACCGGCTTTCATACAAGTTGCCGTCAGGGTGAAAAGATTGGATGAAGCTGTGTTCCAATGCCTGCCGACTCTGCGGTGCAAAGCGGACAAATGGACCACCATCAAATCGTTATTTGGAGGACTACCTGAAGATGATCCAGTGCTGCTGAAACCAGGCATGAAGTTGACGAACACAAACATAGGCTATGACACAGGAACATTGGGCAGCGTTGACTTGCAGAAGCTCAGCAATGTTACCTTTACTACAGTCTTGGATAATGCTCAATAATGAGGCAAATATAGATGCAGATAGCTGTTGGGTGCCTAGGGTTAATGTGCATGTAATGCAGGGGTAGTTACATAGAGCCTTGGGTCTGACACCTAAACCCCGCCTCAGCAGGATGCTTCTGATAGTATTCAAGCTGACAATGCCACCCACCACCACTTCATTAGCCCCCACGAACTCCCCTTCAGAATGGCACCTTGTTAAAGATATACATTCGTTCAGCCTCATCGGTACATGTACTTCATTTGCGGGAGGGGGAATATTGCATGAAATTGCCTAAGGCCTATCCAGACCCCGCCTCTGCCCCTGTCACACACACAGACGTCTACGAAATATGTCGGTATACTACCCCTCTCCGCCATCTATGGTGAATCGTTGCCTACGTCGAGTTCATATACCGAGGCCCAAATATCAGGCAACATGGCCGCGAGTGAACACGGCGATACTGGTAATTTGCCGGTTGGCGACACAGTGAAGGATGTCGAAGACATAGCAACAACAGGAGGGATTCTCGAAAATGGTATCGTGCAGGCAACCAAAGACAACGATGACATATCCGAATCATCGGAAACCTCATCACATATATCAGCGACTTCATCAGAGGGTGAAATAGCAGGGAACAAGGGCCCTGGATTACACAGACCATGGGGAATCTCGAATTATGATGAATACGAGTAAGCTATGCATCCTTACTCGCATCTATACGGACTTGAGCTTACGAAGATTGAAAGTGTAATTACCGTGCATGGTCTTCGCGATGACTATGGTACTGCCTGGAAATTAAACAAGAAAGAACACTGGCTTGGCACTTGGCTCTTTGAGGACGTACCTATCCGTCAGCTTGACTTTGTATACGCCATAGATGATTCAGCCCGAATATTCAAGAGGGGGGGAATCAAAGCTGAAGCACAAGATCTAATGCGAGAGTATCTTGAAAAAAGACGGAACCTTCCAGATGTAAGCCTCTTTGGAAGCCAGATGCGCCTCATCACCTCTAGCTAAAAGGTCGCTAATAGACGGAAATTGATCGGCCAATTGTGTGGGTATGCCATGATATTGGAGGCAGCATTGTTAAAGAGGTTTGATGCTCCAATTTGCGATGGCGGATATCCAACTAACACATTTCATGAGGTCCTTATCGAGGCAACCCGAGCGACGAAAAAAGAAGATTATGACGATGTGGAAACATGGCAGCAAATAAAAGACACTCGGAGAAGAATCGCAACGTTGACAACAGCATTTGTAAGTTTTAATATATCCAATGTCATGGCTTAGAGGATAGGGTTAATTCTTTTTCTGACACACATATGGATGGCAGATATCTCTTGATTGTCCTCATAGACCTCGGCCTATGGAAAGACTCGAAGAAGAGATACACGGTTTGATGATGCTTCCGGGACCTGAGATCAACTCGGGCCTGATGAGAAAAATAAAGATCATGGCTCATCAAGTAAACAGAACTAATATCCAGTTTCTAGAGACTAATTTCTTCTCTCGAATCGTCAACATTAATGTATGCTATTTTATGAACATTGATGAACAGGAAAACAGCAAACCAACATCAAACCACATGACCATGCCAGCCCTTGAGCCGGATAAAACATTGGGTGGAATTGATGACCAACATGTTACTGGTGACGAGATTAGGCATTCAATTACCAGCAATTCGCAGTCGGTCATGGATCCCTCTTCGATCACCATAGAAAGTCCGGCTGTACCCTTCAATAGGTACACACTGACTCTAAACAATATGTTTGAACTGTATTGGAGATATGCTCAGGTGGGAATAAACCATCTGGAGCTTATGACAGGAGAAAAATTCTCAAGGAAAATATGGACAAGGTACCATGATATGCTCTTCAATCAACATTACTATTGTATGTCATGCCACGCAGAGCTTTCCCCTGAACTCAATGCTCAAGAGAGTACATGAAGCTTATAACTAAATTAACAACTATCACGTAGCTTTGAAACCTAATACCAGCCTCATCCACGGCCAAATTACACTCCTCTCGATGATGCCGCCAAGAAAAATGCCCACAACGCATATGTACCGTGAGGTCAAGGGCGAACAGAAGCTTCCTGTTCTTAAATGGATTGCTGATCAAGTTACGTACAAGAACTTCAATGAGAGTCATGGGCCACAGGTCTTGCACATTGAGTGTACCGCGGGAGATCGGCCGCATGCTTCAACCCTTTCCCAATATTTTTACAGCATGCAAGAACTCAGCAGCTGGGAGACCTCGGAATTTGGCAATAAAACTTGCTTTTATTTCGAATTTGATAATTTCGATGTTCGATACAATACCATCCAGTCTATGCTGATTACATTCATCAACGAGATAGCCTGGAGGTTCTGGCACAACCCTAAAGACGCTCCGACGATTCGTCGGGTATTTGAAAATCTCAGCTATCACCACAATTGGTCACTTGCAGACCTCTTCATGCTCTTCACCGAAGTGCGGAAATGTCCGTCTGTTCGCGGCTTTACGCTGATTCTGGGCTGCTGGGATAATTGTGTCCAAGAGGAGCGCAAATGGTTTCTATCGAAAGTCCTCGAACAGCATCGCCGTAGCGATTTGGACTATCGACTGGTTGTTACAACAAGTGGATCGGAAGAATTTCTGAAGGAAAACATCCCGAAGTCACAAGTGTTGTCTCTCAACAATTGCCCAGTATCGATTCAGGGATACGCTCTAGATGACAAGTATCCTCCTAGCGGACTAAGGCCATTGTTGGAAGACTTATTCCAAGAGCGTCCAGCTCTGAAGAATATTGGGGAAACGTTGGAGAAAGTGATAGATGAATGCCAAGGGACGCCTTATCTGGGATACATTATCCTAAAATGGGTTGCTCGTTTTGGACGAAAGGGTTTAGCATCAGATATTGCTACCGCCGTTGAACAGCTGCGTCCCATTACTCCAGATCACATTCTGGCGACCATAATCGAGAAGCTGTCTCCGAAAAAGCAGAAGCTGGCCCGTGTCATTTATCGATGGGTCAAGTACGCAATGGAGCCATTGACCATTGAAGCACTAGGCCATGCGGTAGCATCATCAATGCCGTTGGACTTCCCGCTGCTGGTGGATGTTGACTGCGAGGGCCTATTGGAGAAGCTTGATAAGCTGTTCTGTGGTATAATAATACTTGATGGCCGTGAAATTAAATTCTCGCACGAGTCATTCTATAGCTGTTCAGCCTTTTCGGAACTTGGTTGTGACAACAAAGCCTCTGGTCATGGTGAGCTCGCCAAAGCTTGCCTTAACTATCTGCTCCGTGAAGAAGTATTGCACAATCAATACTCAAAGTTCTCGACCGAAAATCACGGAGGGGGCTTAGACAAAGACCTACTCTTTCTTCCTCGAGACGACCTGCTTGACTATGCCGTTCGAACATGGGCTACACACTACCAGCTAAGTGATCAATATCGACCTGTTGACCTCGCCTTGCAATTTCTACAAAACAAGCAAGCAAGAGACAAATGGACCGAGGCACATTATTTGCTTTCGAACCCATTTACACGCATCCATCGAAGCTATATTTCTCCTCTGCCCCTGATGGCTGCATTGGGTCTCGAAGACATCGTCTCCCGGCAGATCGAAGAAGACAAAGACTCTAAGTGGTTTCAGGAAGATTGCTGGCTGTCAATTACCGAGGCTGGGCGAGCTGGTCATACTGCCGTACTCCGAAAGCTTCTGAATCTTGTGCAGGCGCAAGAGCGGTGGCTACAGGACGCCATCTACTGGTCAACATTTTCGGGCAATGAAAATGTCATGGCTGTGCTCTTGGAAAAGGTCAACTCATTGAATAGCTTTTCTTTTCCAAGCTCCATTCTTCCCCTTGCTTCTGCTGCGGGCCTTGAGGACTTGGTATCGGCCATCCTCAAGCAATCAGATCACAACCTCGCCGAGCCCAATCCAAAAATTGGTAATCAAACGGTTTTACATGGCGCGATTTACTGGGGTCGAAAAATAATAACCCGGCTTCTGCTAGATTCTGGTGCTGAAATGAACGTTCAAGATGATGAGGGAGAGAGCCCTTTACAGCTGTCCATTAAAATGGGTGACCCGGAGATTGTCCAACTGATCCTCGAAAGGCAGGAAAATATCAGTGATGATTCAAAGCGTGGACTGTCATTAATAAACGCCACCATTACAGCAGGCGAGTTCGCGGCATTGAGGTGTATCCTATTGGCAGGCGCAGACTGCAATACTGGAGAGTCTGAGGCGAGCTCTGATGAGTTACGATACCCCATTATCCATGCTGCAACTTATAAAAGAATTGGCTGCCTTCGTCTGCTGCTAGAGAACGGCGCAGATGCATGCATTGAGTCTGAAGAGGGAAGTCTTTTATATATACTCAGTGCCATTCCCCAAGCCATCGACATTTGCCATACTCTTCTTCAGAAAGGCGCCCTCCCTCACCAGTGTTACTTAAACAAGGAGATGCTTTTGAACCGCGCTCTGAGAGCGAATAATCGGCGATTGATTGAGCTACTCATCGAAAAGGGTGCTCAGCTTGATACAACAGACACATACAGAAGAGCAGGGCGGATGACACCTTTGTCATTTGCTACAACGAATTGTTCCTTTGAGACTCTAAAATTTCTTCTCGACAAGGGGGCTGATCCAAACTATGTACCAGATGGGGGCGAGTCCACATTGTTCGTTGCGGTCTTTCGGCGTTGCGATTCTGCAAAGATTGAGTTACTGTTGAAGCGAGGCGCTGATATCCACTGGAAGAGGTGGGATGGCTGGACACCACTTCACGCTGCATACGACACGCCTGATATATTGCTCCTGCTGTTGGAGCATGGCTCAGATGTTAATGCCAAGGCTGAAGAGGGAACGATCTTGATGATGGCTTCAAGGTGGAATTGTCCAGAGACTGTGAGACTTCTGGTATCTCGCAAAATCCCATCGGTGGACTTGAATGCCAAGCTGGATTGGGATAAGGACGATTCAGACTATGGCAAAACTGCACTAGATCTTGCAATCCAGAATGGCCATTGTGAATGTGCAAACATTCTGCTTGAGGCTGGAGTCAAGATTGACGTCAACTCTGTGGCCATCAAACACATCATGGGCGCAGTCACTGACAAGAATTCTGAAGAGGAAGCGCTCAAGTTGATAAATCACTGCCTACAGCGGGGCATGAAGTTGGATGGCACGGATGAAATGGATAAGACAGCCCTCCACTATATCACCAGGAGCACGCCGACGTCGCTGATACGGTTTCTCATTGACTGGGGATGTCAGCCCCATGCTGTGGATAGTGACGGGCTGACGCCGCTTGCTATCGCTGTGAGAAATAATAACATAGAAGTAGTAAAACATCTCCTCAATAGAGGTGTCAGGGCAGATGTCGGTGCGCCAGGTTCTGGGGACATTTTGCACCAGGCCTTGAGGGAGAAACATAGGGACCCGGGTGATATTATCACGATGTTGAAAGCACTCATCGACGCTGGAGCCAGCCCTCTACAGCGAAGTCCCAATTCCGAGGAGTCGTTACTCGACATTGTAATGCGAGACTTTGAAGGTTCATCTTTGCGCAAGATTTATCCATTCCTCGTCCGAAAAATGGGTTCAGGCATCAACATGAAGGGCGGGCAGGGGGTATACCCTATCATCATGGCTGCTAAGCGCCGCGAGTGGGAATTGGTCGAGAGTCTGATCCGCCACAAAGCAGATTGCAGTGTGGCAGACAGCTTGGGCCGTCGTCCTGTTCATTTCATTGCTGCTATGTATTCCGACGAGGACTTGGTGAGGCTCATTTCAAAATCTGGTACGGATATGCAAGCACCAGATAGTTTCGGGCGAACTCCATTGCATCTTGTAGCAGGGTTCGGCTATAGATACACATTGCGAGCCCTGGTATCAACTCTTCCCAAAGAGTTTGATGTCAATGTTAAAGATGCCGATGGATGGACACCACTCATGTGGGCCTGCAAGTTGGATGCTTCTAACTGGGGAGTTGTTGAGGACCTCGTGGAGATGTACAATGCAGACATCTCTGTAACGAGTACCGATGGCCAATGGTCGCCGCTGAAGCTTGCTTGTTTCAGTGACATGGAACCTGAGACTCAGGAGCTTTTGAAGCCTTTGGGAGGATCTGGGGAGGGGAATAGTCGAGATCTAGATACCTATTCAGGGATAATGTTTGAAGGATGGAGGTGCGACAGTTGCTTTTTGGTAAGTCAAAGAATGTCTTAACATGAGTTGACGAGCAAATCATTAACGCTGCTGGTAACTGCAAGGCCTCCAGAGGACAACGCTACAAGTGTACGACATGCACGGACGAGTTCAATTTGTGCTTCAAGTGCTACCCCCGTCGAAGCGAGATGCATGAAGTTGGGCACGACTTTGAGGAGTATAGAAGTCCAAGTGTAGCTGGAAGTGAGTCTGGTTCTGATGAGTCGAGTTCTGCAGCAGAGAAAGCTGCGGAGTTGGAAGTTGACCATGTATCTGGCCACAATTCGCAAGAAGAGGAAGAAGAAGAAGACGATGAGGGTGAGGATGACATTGAAGACGAAGACGAAGACGATTATGATGATGACAATAACGAAGACGAGGAAGAAGATGTAGATGGAGGTGGGGATGGCGATGGCGATGACATTTAGGATGAGATACAACAATACATATGTATGTACCTACGTATGCGGAGTACATGTATCTAAGGATGCACTTTAACCTCGGCGTTGTATTTCACTCCTTTTCTCAACGGTAATATAATGCCGAATCCTCTCACCAATTACATGTATAGAATCTTCAACTCGATTTATCTTGATGATGCCGTTCAAATCATGCAAGACTGTTCTCGAAAGCCTGCCTGTCTCTTAATACATGTACTGAGCTAAATGTATACATGTACGTACGTACCTACAAATGCTTGATCAAGTTGAGCCCGACCGGTCCGATCGGCTGTAAATCAAACTACATGCACACGGCAATAGTCGACTAGAGATGTAATCAAAATTCCTCAAGTGTGATTCCCCCGCCAGACAGCCAGCGAGCTAGATCATATGATCCGACTCGCTGGGTTTCCTGCTTTTTCCCTTTTCCGGGAGCTTTTCGTGAGGTTATGTTTTAGGTTAGGTTGGGATTCCGGCTTATGTCACCCAATTAGAGCGTCTGGCTAGAGATGAACTGCTGCTGCACGGAAGATGCAGGACGAGGCCGTTGTGTTGCCATACGTCAGCATGTGATGACGGTGCGGCTGCAGGGCCGAGCGGCATGTGAAGACCGGATAATAATAGTGGTGATGGCGAGATCTACGGGGTTTGTATAGGTTGTTATGATGCTGTCTATAGTAACTGATATATAAAGGGCCTGGAGTGGAACAATGCGCTCAACTCGGTGTCGGGGTTGATACTAGTAGCCTAATACAGAGCACGTACCTCCCATTTCGCCGTCTTGTCCCTGGCTCGCCTTGCGTCATTTGTCTCTGACGTAGCGGACTTTTTTTTTTTTTTTTCTTGATTAATACCCCAAGTGTTGTTTTCTCAATCAAAACATTGTCATAAAGAGAATCGACATCCTATTCTACCGCTACATACACTGATGCGCCACTCAATCGCCATTTAGCGCACTCGCTCGTGTATATGTACCAAACCTGAACTCATTCAACGCCATCGCGCCCGGCGATGGAATAAATCGGCACACGCCCACGCCCAGCGCAAGACGCCCTGTACGGGAATCGCCCTTACTGCGCTTGGAGGGGCTCAACCCACTGGGCGACTGGAGTCCGAAGTCCCCACTACCCACTACAGGCCCCAAAATCTCAACCGCTTCGGCGCACTGCAGTCCAGTGGACAACGCCGATTGCCTGCCCGGCTATCTTGCTGCTCCACCACTTCTCGCCCTCTCTTCTTCTTTTCCCTCTCTCGTCTCGCCTCCCATCTCCCATCTGCGACCTCGTCCCTCCCGAGCGGCTGTCCGCACGACCTCTCCGCAACCCGACCAGTGCGATCCATCCCACAGCCTCGGCCGCTCTGGGCGACTGTCTCTGCTCGCTGCACAAGTCAATGGCCGGCGGCGTTCGCTAGGCAAGGACGGATACTGCGCGTGGGAGCATTCCCCGCAGTACCCGGACTTTCCTGGACCGAACGGATCCTAGATTCAAGAATATCACACATATTGGGAGCAGGACCGGAGAGAGAACCACCATACTTTTACCTCTTGAATAATCCACAGGCAGAGCCGCAGAGCGGCGTGCTCGACGTCATCCGCAGCGCCGGGGAATAATCTCGAAGACGCACCAGGGCCGGCACAAACAGCCAAATCTTGTATCATCCTCACCAGTAATCCTCACCACGAGACCTCACAACCATCGGCGCCAACTTCTAGCCTCCACAACAGCCAGCGAACCTTCAACCACTTGCTCCGACAGCCCGCACCTTTTTAGATTCCTTCTTCCTTCTTCCTTTCGCAGAGGGTGCTATGTCTCACGACCAGTCCCCCCAACAAGCTGAGCCCTCGCCTGCAGATCATGCGTCATCACCCTATCGACTCGCCGATTCTCCAATGTCAGCAATAGCAGGGGGTCTCACCCCGTTGCACCGATGGACACTCTCCGCCTCCGATTCCCAGTTCAATGCCTTGTCAGGGGCCATTGGTGGCTTCACCTCCGGCGTCGTGACTTGCCCTCTCGATGTTATTAAGACGAAGTTGCAGGCTCAAGGCGGCTTCACCCTGGTGGATAAGGGCCGGCATGTTGGCCACCCGAAGCTGTACAATGGGCTGGTAGGAACAGCCAAGGTCATCTTGCGCGAGGAGGGCATTCGGGGGCTGTACCGTGGGTTGGGGCCGATTGTGCTCGGATATCTCCCCACCTGGGCAGTGTGGTTTACCGTTTATAACAAGAGCAAGACATTTCTACATCAGTATAATGGTGCGTGGGTAGACTGTCATTGTTTTGATCCTGCCATTGAAAATTGCCCGACTGACTCTCCATTGCTAAACAGAAAATACTCATATCGTAAGCTTTTGGTCCTCCATCATTGCCGGCGCCAGCAGCACAGTTGTCACGAACCCCATATGGGTCATCAAGACCCGCCTCATGTCGCAGAGCAACCCGAACACAGCTAGAGGCCCTCACGCGTTTGCTCGTCCCGGTAATACCCCGACAGCGAGGCCGATTCTCCACGAGTGGCACTACAGATCGACCATTGATGCGGCGAGGAAGATGTACACCTCGGAAGGCCTTTCTTCCTTTTACTCCGGTCTCACTCCGGCTCTTCTCGGCTTGACACATGTTGCTGTTCAGTTCCCTACGTATGAATTCTTGAAGACAACGTTCACCGGGCAAGGCATGGGTGAAGTCCAGGAAGGAGAAAAGGCACATTGGGTAGGTATCCTTTCTGCCTCCATCCTGTCGAAAATACTTGCCAGCAGCGCAACGTATCCGCACGAGGTGATTCGAACTAGGCTACAGACCCAGAGACGGCCGGTTGCTGGCGAGACTTTCCTGGTGGATATGGCGGCACCCGGAGCGAAGCCAAGAGTATCCGGACCCAAGTATAGGGGCGTCGTCATGACATTCCGAACCATCCTCCACGAAGAAGGATGGAGGGCTTTCTATGCTGGCATGGGTACGAACATGATGCGAGCCGTTCCGGCTGCAACGGTAACGATGCTTACATACGAATACGTTATGAGGGAGTTGAACAAGAAGAAGATCCAAGCTCTAGAGATACAACGGGCACTGCAGGAGCAGCCTTGATTAAGGGCCATCCAACAAACGCGGGTTATGCATCAGGCGGTTTATTTCCAGAAGAGGATGATTCATTTCTCCTCTTCTCTGTTTTTCATATGTTTATGGAAATGGGATTTACGAAACAATGAGCAAAGTATCATGGGGTCAGATATATACCCTTCTTTCGGACCCTCCCTCTTTTTTACCCTTGGCCAAATTGTAGGTATAGAACAAAGTCTGATTTCCAACTGGAATTTTGTAGCAGCACCACTCTCATATGAGATTCTGGGTCCAGGCCCTGATCTCTCTTCCTATTTATTCGTCATTTTTTTTTTCTCTTTTTCTTTAATTCGCCTTACCCTTTGTTTGAAGAGGCTATTTGCATTTGGAGGGAAGTGGCGGGGCAGCGTTTGTGTTGCTTTTGCTTTGTACTCTTTGTTTTGCCAACAGAAGAACGGCGATTTGATTGGAAAGGGGGGAGCGGATGGGAGGTGTTGGTTCGGCTGGGCTTTTTGCTGGTCTGGGGCTGGGTTTACCTATGTACATCTATCAATATAGCAATTGCAGACGAATACGATATCATGGTTTTTTTTCCAACCACGGATTTGATTTAGCTGGATGGATTTGCGATTGCGCGATATTGTGCTACTTTTGTAAGCCGCTTAGAAACGGGTGTGGCTTTGGATTGTGGGTATGAGATGTGGATGTGGTTTTTTTAGTAGCGTCAAGGGCTTTTCATTTGGCGTGTCGTGTTGGTTTGCTGGCTGAATCGTGGCAATTTGAATTGGTGCTCTCGTCTTACAGGCGGATGTGATGTTTGCAGTATATTGTGATATTTGTTTATAAGTGCCTATTTCAGATATCTAACCGCAAGGCGTGTACAAATAGCATGGCCGGAGTCTGCCCCCAAAATACATGAATCAAAAAACGCCGTACAATATACATGTAGCTAGCCCCAAAGCATGGACCCCCATAAACAAGAATTCCCTTATACAAAGCACAGTTTTTTCTTTCCTTCAACCCCTTTACAGCATAGCCTTGGGGAAGTTCTTCACGGCCTGTCTGACACCCAAGTCACCGAGAATCTCCTCGGCGCCGCCCAGGATGGCGTCGAACTTGTAGGTGCGGTTGAAGTGCTCAATGTACTTGCCCATGCCGGACTGGGTCAGGCCACGGCCACCCCAGATCTGGACGGACTCGTCGGCGATCTCGTGGGCGCCGCGGGTGATGCTCATCTTGAGCAGGCCGATGGGGCCGGCGAGGTGCTGGGCCTGCTGCTTGTAGGGCATGTTGCACATTTGGTAGGTGATGGTCTCGAGCCAAGCCTGGTTGGACTCGACGAGGGCGATCATCTTGGCGAGCCTAGAGAGAGAGATTGTTAGAAGCTGCTTTTTTTTCTCTTTGTTTTTCATGATTATGATCAATACTTACTTTTGACGGATGACGGGCTGGTCAATGAGACGCTTGCCAAAGACAATGCGCTGGTTGGACCACTTCAAGCACTCCTCGACAATGAAGCGCTGTGCTGCCAGGGAGCCGCAGGCCATGACCCAGCGCTCGTGGTTGAAGTTGCTGAGGATGACGTGGATGCCCTTGTTCTCCTCGCCGAGCAGGTTCTCGACGGGCACCTTGACGTTGTCAAAGGTGATGTAGGCGGTACCGGCGGCAGGGGAGTAGGACGTCTTGATGGGCTTGGTCTCAACGCCGGGGCCACGCTCAATCAGCAGCACGCTGAGGGCCTTGCCGGTGCGGACGCCGACGACGAAGTAGTCGCAGAAGACACCGTTGGTGATCCACTTCTTGGTACCGTTGACAATCTGCGTAACGAGTTAGTATGCTTATGCTGTGATATAGTAAAAGAAGAAGAAGAAAACATACATAGTGCTTGCCATCGGGTGTCTTCTCAGCGGTGGTGCGGAGACCGGCAACATCAGAGCCGGCAAAGGCTTCGGTGATGGCCAAGCAGAGCTTCTTCTTGCCGCTGAAGACTTCGTTGGCAATCTTGGTCTTCCAGGCCTGGTCCTTGGCAAAGTTGAGCACGGCAGTCAAGCCAATGGTCATACCGGCCATGTTTCCGTCCTGGAAGCCGCGCATCATGGGGCGGCACATCTCCTGGCAAGCAACCAGGTCGTGGAAGTAGTCAAACTCCTCGCCCTTGACGGCACCGTTCAGCATGTTGACGCCGTGGAGGTGCTTTCCGGGGCCCAGGCGCATGTGCAGGATGCCGGCCTGGCTCATCTTGTCAATGACCTCCTGGCTGATGTATCGGCCGGTGGCCTCGCACTCGAGGGCCTCGGGCTTGATGACCTCCTCGGTGAAGACGCGGACGGCATGGCGCAGCTTGTGGTGAGACTCCTTGAAGTAAGGGCTCTTGAAGTGAGGAGTCAACCACAGCGGCTCGGCATAGGGGACCGGGCTGAGGTCGCCGGGCTGCGGTGTGATGACTTCGGGCTTCTCGCCCTGGACGGTGCCAATGGCGAGGTCTGCGTAGCGCGAGAGGACCTCGTGCCTGTGCAGGTTGTAGAAGGCAGAGGTGGCATCTTGGCCGGCAATCTGCTTCAGCACGCTCTCACCACCGGGGTGGGCATCGACAAACTCGGTCAGGTCGTAGACGGTGCTGTCGATGATGCACCAGAGGGAGTCGTCAGAGGTGTGGTTGCGAACCTCTTCGCGGGTGAAGGTCTTTGCCGGGGGAGCCATTGTGGGCGAGCGAGTTCAAGGGAGAGAAGCTGAAGATGGATGAAAAGAAGACGAAGAGGAAGAGGCTCAGGAGTGGAAAGATTTCAGAGAGAGGAGGGAGGAAAGGAAAAGAAATAGAAATAGCACTCGGACGAGAAGCCTAAAGCGGAAGCCAGCCTCAATTGCATTCCTCAGGACAGAGTCTTAAAAGCTGGGGTTCTCGGTCCTGGATGCTCGCGGGCTTACCTTTACTCCAAATGCATCGACCCGCGAGCCTCGGCAGAGCTGGGGCGGATATGGTTTTGGGGTGAAATAGGCGGGCTGTGATTGGCTGGAGGCGGGTAGTGCCATTTTGAGTTGCGAAGGGCACCCCGTATTATTGAATTCTGTCGGAGTAGTTACGTGGAGAAGCCGAAAAATCCATTGTCTGTGCTCGATAGACAGGGGACGAGAACACATCTAGGACTGCGTTTTGGATGTTTTGCATGCTATTGATTGTGATTCGTCTGCGGCGGCTGCTGGCAGTGTTGGATGCCTATATTCTGCCCTCGAGGGAGCCTGGGGCGGATCATGTCGGAGGCTTTTAGGGTTTAGACTTCAGCTGTGATCTTGTAAGCTCATGTTGCTGTAGGTCCACTGCGATGCCCATTCAGCTTCAGGGATGCGAGATGTAGAGACAAGGACTACTGCGTCGGTGACTTTTCGTAGTACCATTTCGTTCATTTCAGCTAACTCCATGCTCGGTGTTCGACGAATGGGCATGGCCCTACACTAAGGTACTTCAGCTAAGGATTCAAAGATGCCTGTTGGTAGCCTGTGGGAAGCTGGCCTGATATGGGCATCTACTGCTTGGTCTCATCACGTTGCAATTGGAGATTTCGCATTGGGCATTTACATAGTTGATACGCATTGCAAGATATCAGTACGGACTGACGGAGTAGATGTGGCCATCTCACTACCCCGGAATGGGGAATATCGCCTTGCGCTCGACTTTCTAATATCCACCAACATCTCAAAACCCCATTCCCTTCCCCCGGCTGGCTTATAAAAGGGCCTTGGCAGACCTCCAGCCTCGGTACACCGTAGAAGCCATGGCGGGTACGAAGCTAACATGAAGACCGAAATAGCTGGTCTGTGATTGGGCAGGGACCTTTTTGTAGATTGTGGGGGTTGATCTCACCAATGTGTGGCATGTGAAATGCAGTGGCGATGAATCTGTAGGTTCTCAGTGCAGAAGCACTTCTCAACATGGCCCTACTACAATTACAATATAAAAGGATCTAGAGATTTAAATTGTTAAATACCGTAGCAGCAACACTAATTCTCAAGAGATAATCATTTTCTCAATTTGTTATCCGTCGATAGGTACCTAGTATGTGTTGCTACGAGTACCCTAGGCTTCTCATTTTCTTAGTAGTGACCGTCCTGATGTCAACAAGGAGCAGCTAAGACGATATATCGCCTGTATTAGAGCCATCATCTAACTACAAGTGGATTAAACAAAGATATCATAGCGAGCATCCTACGCAGAGCCGAAAACATTGAAGCAATCGTCAGGCGTAGGCAATTCTGCCGCTATACCAGAGAGGGCTGGATGGACCCTGAAAACCAACCTCTTTGGTGCTAATCAGCCCATAGCCGCAGAATCCACTTCTTCTCTGTGTTTGACCAAATTATTCGGAATCCGGCGACTACTTTTTTTTTTTTGCAGCTTTTGCTTGTTGGTCGTGTTGAACCTGCAACTCTGCATTACGGCTTACAAGGTCAAGACTCTACCCGAGTCTGTCAGACGATAACACGCGACAACTCACCAACGAGCTAAGGTACTTCGAAGGTACGCTTGATGCTTCGGATCCTGGGCAGCTGCAGCTTGCGTCTTGGTACATGTACGTTGACTCAGTCTTTTCTTGGTCTGTGTTTGATTCTCCAGGAACATGAATGAACCAGCAGTCCAGTGACTTTGCACAGTCTGAGGCGGTGCGATCACCTGATGGCCTTGTGTCTTTGCTCTTTACTTGCACTCAGCAATTACACGTACACTCGTCATGGATTCATTAATACATGTACCCAGTGTATGGTTGTATTTGCGGATGCGCTATGGCAAGCGCCCAGTCACCGGACCTGCTGGCGCCTCGGTGGTCTGGATTCGATGCCGGCCTCGTGATCGACCAATAGCGCTCTTTTCATCTTATCTGCATCTGAGCTGCAACTTGGCCTCATTATCTCGCATATTAGATTGTCTTTGCTGTTAGGCGCCGGATTTTGTTTTACTGTGCTTTGTTTTGCCCCTACTTAATCACGCTCTTACTGCATTCTTTCCGCAGTGTCTTATCGTCTCATACCTGGCTTATGTCCATGTCCCTCTCTCTGTTATCCAATCTGGGCTTCTTGCTTCAATCTCACCAACGAATCCACTCTACTTGAGCCTCAAAGTCAAGTGACACAGCTCATCATACACCTGCGGATACACCTGCGGATACCTACTTGCAGACCTACCTACTGAAGATGGATGCTTATGCAATGTACCCAGCTAGTCTCTCAAAACAAGCTTCATCCAGAATATACCAGGATCTTTGGGCGTCACGAATCCACAGCCTAGTTCAGCTGGCATCAGACCATTCGCAGAAGAAAGCCGTGGCCATGGAGAGCTTCAAGCAGGTATAAGCCACTTTCCACCTATGCATTTCTACATTTACAGTCCACGGTCTATTACTCTGTCGCACATATGCCATTTTTGCACAACCCTTGGTGTCACCCAGCTGACTTGCCAAAACAACACATCACCATGCACTGAATCACTGGACTCTCTTCAAATGACTAAAGACTAGAAACTGCTGCTCACACAACTTGCAACAGCGTAGAAAAGGTGGCCCGGGTTCAAAACCACACGTGGGTATTGTTGGCGCAGGACTGGCTGGTCTCCGGTGTGCGGATATACTGTTGCAACATGGATTCCAAGTGACCATCATCGAGGGCCGTGATCGCATCGGCGGCAGGCTTTACCAGCAGAGACTTGGCAACGGCCACTTGGTTGATATGGGACCTAATTGGATACACGGCACCGACGATAACCCCATGCTGGATCTGGCGAAGAAGACAGGGACGGCTGTTGGAACTTGGGATCTGACGTCCTACGTGTTTGAAGAGGCAGGCAGTCTGTTGCCGGTGCAAGAAGGAGAGAAGTATTCCACTCTGGTGTGGGATATCATTCAGGACGCCTTTATACACTCCAACAACTCTTCAGCAGATATCGACGATAAGATAAGTCTATTGGACTTTTTCAAGGAAAAGGTGGTGGAAAAGATACCCGAGTCCGAGGACAACTTCCAGAAGAAGAGAGAAATGGTGCTGCAGATGTCTGAGATGTGGGGAACTTTCGTCGGTAGCGCTGTTGGCCGACAGAGCTTGAAGTTTTTCTGGCTGGAGGAATGCATCGAGGGCGGTAAGTTGACTTGTGTTTTGTCTTGTTTCATGCAGCAGGGAGCAGAGAACTGATGCCATCGCGTGGCACGAGCCGTAGAGAACCTGTTTTGCGCCGGCACATACGAAAAGATCTTGGAAGAGGTTTCAAGACCAGCACTCTCACATGCCACAATCCAATTCGAATCTGTCGCCGACAAGATCTCCTACCGGACAGAGCCAGACGATCAGGTCCGAGTTCAGCTCAAGGGCGGCCAAAGCTTGGCGTTTGACGAGCTCGTCGTCACATGCCCCCTGGGATGGCTGAAACGAAATCTCACCGCATTCGACCCTCCCCTGCCGTCAGCGCTCACAAAGGCGATTGGCGCCATCGGCTACGGAAGTCTTGAGAAGGTTAGTTGGCCGTGCCTGTGCCTGTGCCTGTATCTGTATCTACATCTGTATCAACGAATAAGCGTTGCTGCACGGAACCGCTAACCTTAAGCTTGCAGGTCTACATTAGCTTCCCCAAGGCTTTCTGGCTGCCGGCCGAAGGCGATGGTCGCAGAGTCCAAGGTTTTGCCCAATGGATCGCGCCTAGCTATCATGCCGAGAACCCTCGAGGGTGGAATCAGGAGGTGGTCGAGCTGGCCAGCATTGCACCTGAAGTCGCTCACCCAACGCTCCTCTTTTACATTTACGGTGAGCAGTCCGATTACCTGACTGCCAAGGTGGCCGAGTTGGACGGCACGGATAAGAAAGAGGCCTTCCTCCGGGACTTCTTCAAGCCATATTATTCCCGGCTGCCGCAGTACTCCGAAGAGTCGCCAGACTGCCAGCCGGTCTGCTGCCTCTCCACCAATTGGGTGCGCGATGAACTGGCGGGACACGGCAGCTACTGCAATTTCCAGGTCGGCCTGGCAAACGGCGATGAAGACATCAAGGCGATGAGACAGGGTTTGCCGGAGCAAGGCCTGTGGTTGGCAGGCGAGCACACGGCGCCGTTTGTCGCGCTGGGGACGGCAACTGGAGCATACTGGAGCGGAGAGGCAGTCGGCAAGAGGATAGCGGAGGCCTACAGCCCGGATGTGGCTCCATGACTGTAATACGAGTACATACACACATACATGTAAATATCAATCCATCCATTGTGCTTCGCCTATCTCAGCACCTGTGTTATATACTATCTATATATATACTACACCACCCTATTACTCCATACGCTTATCTGCATCGCCATCAGCTGCATCTAATTGGGCCATCGTCGAGATGGAGCGCAGGCAGCATCTGGAGCAAAGCCTTGGGATGCTCAGATGCTCAGATGCCTAACGACACTGCATGTGCGGATGCATCTGTGGTTGGCCTTGGCCCTATCTCTGGTGCTGCCGCGACCCGCCGATCCACTGCTAGATGCATATGCCAGCAATACGGACATTGGCTGGCCAACCGGCTCTAGGGGCGCAGATGCGTGCGCTGTCTGGTCTGGGCTGGAGAGAGATATCGCGATAGGGAAGCGGTGGTGTTTTCATTGGATGCTCTGCTGTTGCACTGCCGATATCAGGCCGTCTTAGCGTGCTGTGCCCTCCATATTTTCGTGTCGTTACAGTGGTTTCAACAGGCTGGCCTGACGCAAGGGTGAACATGCGCTGACGTACCTGGAGGTACCGCCGGGGGAAAGTTAGCACGGCGCAAAGCGGAGCTGGACTTGCGTCAGGTACAGACCCGGTGGTACCCTCGGTGTAGGCAGTGACACTCTGGTACTCCCCGACTGACGTCGGCCATGGCTATCGATAGCGGCCCCAGCGGTCAACTGACGCTGAAGCGCCCTGTCTCTGCCTGCCATGACTCCCGCGAACGTCACGAGCTAGCGGGTGAATGGGGCCCTCCAGGGTCTTTGATTCAGGCATAGCGCTGCCGCCATAGGCATAGCTGCGTACGGAGTACATGTACTCTCCAGGTATCGCCTTAACTGCCTGGGCAGCTCATGAGTTCCCTCCAGCCCCTCGGCCGCTTGACTTTGCGTCGTTCCGCCTTGACCAAGTCCACTAAGCCCCCGACAAACTCTCTTGCATCAAGTTGGAACCATCCGTTCTTCATCTCGCTTCTGCTCCGGCCAGCAGGCAAAGCAAAACCCTCATTGCGCCCTGCTTGCTCCGACACCCGATCTCGCGCCTTTGATGCCTCGTCGTCTCGCCGTCTAATCATGAACCTCGTCCCCGCATTTGGCCGGGGGTCTGTTGATATCGCGCCTACCACAGCGTTTGGCTGGCTGTTCTGGAGCCGGTGACGATTCGATTTAACTTTCCAGGTTTTTTTTTGCTCTTTCGTCGCCAGCGCCCAGCTACTCTGCCCGCCTCTCCGCTTCACCTAATAACCATCCCGATAATCCAGCACTTCGAGGCGAACTATCAATCATGGCTGGGCTTTTCCAGTCCTTTCGGAGCTCCAACATGCCCAAGCGGCTGTTGCGATATGCGTTATCGCGGCTGGAGCTCCTCGACTCTGACGCTTTAGACATGGACAATCTAGATCTTGCGATAGGTAGAAATACAGTCTTCGAATTTAGAGATGTTGGAGTTCAGCTAGATGTGAGTCTTTTGCTCTCTCTTTGGATGAACACCACAAAGGACAAAGGGCTAACCTCATCTCTAGAAACTGGAGAAGCTGCTGAAACTGCCCGAGACGTTTGCGCTACAGAAAGCCAAGGTCTTACTCCTCCGAGTTACCATCCCGATGGACTTTTACACGAGCCCTATATCTATCGAAGTTGATGGCGTGGATGTCAAGTTGAGAGTGGTAGCATCCAATGCCAAGTCCAAATCGGGCCATTCAACCACGACAGCCAACAACGGCGACGACGCCTCGGCAGTCCCGAATACCGTCGACCTTGCGCAATCATTCCTCGAAACGCAACCATCATCAGAGCGAAGAAAGCTTGAAGCGGCGCTAGCTGCAGAAACACAAGATCTCGGCGCATCCGTTTCCATGAGTGATGACGGCGGCGAAGACGAGCCGGTCGTAGGCACTGGGCAACCTCTGTCACTGCCTGGCTTCCTGGCTGGGTTTTTGCAAGGAATCGTTGATCGGATGCAGATAAGGATAAAAGGCGTTGGATTCCAACTAGATATGGATATCCCAGTGGATATGAGTTCATCAACGACAGAGCCGGTGTCTTTTCAAATAGCCTTGGAGGGCATCGACATCGAGGGTGTTACCACGAGGAGTGAAGATTCTCAAGCGTCCACAGCAGCAGCGCCCAAGGAAGGGAAGCGGCAGATCTCTCTGGACAATGTCCGCGCCTATCTCATTTCCGAAGCCAACGTCTTTTCAACCTTGACACGATCATCATCCATGACTTCGCCCTCGGCAGCATCTTCGCCTCTTAATACAAGGAATCCGCCTTCGAGGCAAGCTACATCCTTGTCCGTGGAAAGTCTTCAAACACCTGCCTTTGCCCCTTCCTTCACACCTTCGATGATGTCGTCTCGGCGAGGGTACCCTGGTCAGTCACCTCGAGAGAGCATCCATAGCCAACGCATGTCGACATCGCAAGCGAGCAGCAGCAACCCATCTATCCAATCTCTGCATTCGAGCTTTATAGAGCAAATGGCCGAGTTAGATCGACCCAGCTATCCTTTGGGGGATAGCGAGGAGGCTCTTGGAATCCCATACGAGCTCGACGACTACCATGATGAGGGCGTACCTGATGACGAATGCCCCTCGACTCCCCGCGCCTCGCAATCCCGGGAGTTCAACTCCCCTGAGAACGCAGTATTCCACTCACCTGAGGACCCTGAATCACATTCCTCCTCACTGTCAAGGAGATTGTTTGATAACGGACTCTCAAGATCGCAAGACTTGGAGGAGCAGAACTCATTGTCAATCTATTCCTTATCGCGGCAGCGAGAAGATTTCGAATCGTCTTCTGTTCACGGCGTTCATTCCACAGAGTTGAGGCCCGAGGATCAATACGGGCCAGGGAACTTGGCCGAGGATCTTTCACAATCCCATCTGTATACTCATGAGGAAGCTGAAAGCATGTATATGAGTGCTTTCTCAAAAGCAGAAAGTCAAGCTGACATATCAGAACTCGAAATCTCCAAACACTCGCCTCCTCCAACTGTTAACCCAACGTTTGAACAAACCGTTGAACAAACCATTGAACAACCATTTGAACAAACTGTTGAACAAACGATCCAGCCACCAGAGGAACAAATGGCAGAGGTCGCCCGGACCCCTCCAGCCTCTCCAAGGCGGGCTAACGAATCTCTACCCATACCTACACGTGCCTCTCCCAAGCCTGCCATGTCTGCCATGCCTGGTGGCTGGGATGACAATGCTTCTCAAGGCTCTTCCGGATCTGACAGAACAATGTCTCATAATACTTCGACGGAGGAGCATTCCCCTCCCAGGCCAGATATACCAGAGCCTCAGCCACAGCCGGCTCCCGAATCTGAGGCCGAGCCCAAGGCCGAGCCCGAAGTTGAGCAAGAGAAGCCAAGCTCTCCGGCAATTAAACCAGCCCCAACGGTTGAGGAAAGGGACGGCCCGATGGAAATCGAAGAGGAGCCGCAACCCGAGGATGTGGCGACTCCAAAAGGGCCAACACGAGTTGTCAAGGAAATTCTACACCTCCAGTCAATTTCCGTGTACATACCAACAACACATCAGCATATCGAAATGGAAGAAGATACCTCTGAATCGGTTGCTGAACTTGCTCGGGCCATGAGCAATTCCGTCTATCCTCAGGCGCCCGGAGCCTTCTCCGTGCATGCGCCAGCATCTGGCTCTGTGTTTGATCACAGACCTCACATACGACGAACTCAGAACGTTGACAATGTTTTGGAAGTGGATTTGTCTCCAGTCTCGATTCGCTTTGACGCGTCATTGGCGTTTGTGCTTGCCATGATTGTTGGAAAACTGCTCGAGGCAGTGAAGAATGACAATCCAGTCAAGGTTCCAAGTAAGGGTGCTGATAATGCACAACAGCCAGAGAAGGTGCCCGAAATCAAGGTGACGGTGAAGGAGATATCTTTGGATTTTTTGAGTCGACTTAGTGGAGTGACAGACACTCCTCATCGCCATCTCGACCCCTCGGCATTCATGTTTGACCACGAGGTTCTTCTCAACGCAACACTGGGCAATTTAGCCATTTCCGTGTCACCTACCAAGGTGACGGCACACCCTACCGGCAGGGGTAAGCCAGAGAAGCAGGATGCCATCCAGACAACGATTGATCTGCAGACTTTCCGATTCGGATACACCAACGACGATATCATCTCCTTTGACAAAGCTAGACCGATGAGTACGTCTGTGAGAGATACATTTCTCTCAAACGGCTATGATATCGGCATTAAGATGACACAAGCCAAGGACAGCGTCAAAACGGAGATTGAGACGCTGCCATTGGCTGTACATGTGGATTTGCAAAGACTGGATGAGACATTTAGCTGGTTCGGTGGTCTAAGCAGCTTTCTCAACATGAGTGCCTCCATGACTTCCAGTCCATCACCCACGCCCAAACCACCGCCGAAGCCAGCATCAACCCAGCGGTCAAGAGGTGTACGATTTGATACGCCTATTAACCCAGACGACAAATCTGCTGCTTCCGAAAATAAGATCAATATGCGGATAGGTGGTTCCTACATCGAGCTTCTAGGCAAAGAATGTAGCTTCATCGCGGAGAGCAATGCTATCAAGCTTATCAGCAGGGAAGAAGGCGTTGGAGTGGGGTGTAGCATGATGCGCGTGTCTGGCCCGTATATAAAGAATTCCATGGCAGATCCTGCAATCAACACGGAGATTATTGGCGTGCGGTTGGAGTTTGTGACAACTCCAAACGATTCAGACCTTGAGAAACTGCTTGGGTTAATCACGCCCTCCAAGGCCAAGTTTGATCACGGAAGCGACGAGATCATGGTTGACACTCTGATACGGCAACGAAGAAAAGGTTCGGTGCTTAGGGTCGGGGTGGAAACCTTGAATGTGCGTGTGAAAAACTTGGCTCAGCTCGAGGTTCTTCCAACACTGGGTGAGGAAATGGCCAAGCTGTCTACTGTGGCGAAATATCTCCCAGAAGACGATAGGCCTGGACTCATGACCCTCGCAAAAATCAATAAACTTGGCGCAAGCGTCGACATTGGTGGAACCCTTGGACATCTCAGCAGTGACATCAAAGAGCTCGAGGCTGCGCATATTACTGTTCCATCTCTGGTGGCCATTGCAGTGTCTGGGATATCTATCAAGCGCAACAAGACTGAAGAGCTCGTCAGTTCCTCAGTTTTATATCCTTCGGCTGAGATTGCGAATCGCGGGCCGGTTATCATGGCAAGAATGATTGGAGACGACATTGAGCCCGTTGTGAAGCTGAACCTACAAGATATAAGTATCGAATACCGCGTTCCGACAATTATGGACATCCTTGGTCTGGCCAACGACGCTACTCCGCAGGACTTTGAAGAAAGCCTTGCCGCCTCAGTTGCCAGTCTTGGCGATCAAGCCCACGCAGCTCTAGCACGACAGCAGCCCCCATCGCCGACACAGTCCACCACAAAGCAGGGTAAACCGATGACTCTGGATGTATCATTCCGAGACTGCCTTATTGGCCTAAATCCCCTTAACCAAAAATCGAAGATGGTCATTGTATTTACAGACGCTCGCCTTGCAGTAGTCCTTCCCAAGGATGAGGTTACAAACGTGACTCTCGACGTTAACAAAGCATCGATTCTATTGACGGATGATGCCTCCCTAAGCACATCAGACCACCGCGTCTCCTCACGCGCAAGGCGCCGAGCGTCCTCTTCGGCATCCCCTCAAGTAGTTTCAATGTGTGCTCAAGGGTTCGTGGACATTTGCTACATGTCTTCAGCAAAGGTCACTGTCAGTGTCGCCCCAAATGTGGATGGCGAGAAGCAGGTGGAAATTGAAGTCCGAGATGACCTTTTGGTGCTGGAAACTTGTGCAGACTCAACTCAAACTCTCATAAGCTTGGCAAATGCCCTGTCACCACCAACCCCGCCAAGCAAGGAAAACAAGTACAGGACCAAAGTAATGCCTGTGCAAGACCTGCTTGCGTCGATTTCAGCCGAGGCATTTGGTAAACCTGAAGGGGAATATGACTTTGACCAAGACTTTGCGGGTGCGCAGGAGATGGCCAGGAGTCAGTCCGATGTTGATTTTGGAAATGACTCTCTTCGCGTTGAGTCACAATTTTACGGAGATGAGCTGGGGGGAGAAGAACTGTTTGATGCCATGAAGCTTTCCGTCACATCACAAGATCCGAGGATGCAGGGTACCAACTCTGGAATGTTTACCACTGGACTTGAGACCTCCACCAGCTACATCTCGGAAGACAGTGATGATTTGGTGATTCACGACGACTTCTACACCGTAAACACGTCTGAGGAGCCCACCGCCAAAATCTGGAATTCAAACAAGAATACGTACGACAAGGCTCCCGTCAACTTGGTGAAACGCAGCCCTCTCAAAGTGTCTGTGAGAGACGTCCACCTCATCTGGAACCTGTTTGACGGCTACGACTGGACTCACACACGCGACATTATCAGTAAAGCCGTCCATGATGTAGAGGCAAAGGTGTATGAACGCCAAGCACGACTCAGCGGGCAGCAGATTTACGAAGAAGAAATTGAAGATGAAGAGACGATTGGCGACTTCTTGTTCAATTCCATCTATATCGGAATTCCAGCCAACCGAGATCCGCAGGAGTTGGCTCGTGCGATTAACGAAGGTCTTGCTGATAACGCAACGGAAACAGAGTCAGTTGCTACAACGGCGGTGACGGCCACGACGAATCGGACCATGCGTCGAGGATACCCCAAGTCACGGCGCCTAAAGTTGCAACGAAGCAAGCACCACAAGATCACCTTTGAGCTCCAAGGCGTCAACGTCGACATGGTTGCATTCCCCGCTGGAGCTGGAGAAACGCAGAGCAGTGTCGATGTTCGGGTCCAGAACCTTGACATTTTTGATCATGTGCCTACATCGACATGGAAGAAATTTGTAACGTACGATCAAGATCAGGGCGAGCGTGAGATGGGAACCAGCATGGTGCATCTTGAGCTCCTTACGGTGAAGCCGCTACCGGAGCTGGGAGCATCAGAGATTGTGCTCCGAGCAACTGTGTTGCCCCTGAGACTCCATGTCGACCAAGATGCCCTCGACTTCATCACTCGCTTCTTTGAATTCAAAGACGATAGCGTTCCGGTGCACTCATCGCCCAGCGATGTTCCCTTCCTTCAAAGGGCCGAGGTGATGGACATCCCAGTCAAGCTAGACTTTAAGCCGAAACGAGTAGACTATGCTGGCCTCCGGTCCGGGCACACGACTGAGTTTATGAACTTCATTACGCTGGAAGAGTCTAGAATGGTCCTCCGGCATGTGATCATTTACGGAGTCACTGGCTTTGATCGGTTTGGCAAGACGCTCAACGACATTTGGTCACCCGATGTCAGAAATAACCAGCTTCCAGGTGTCGTGGCAGGTCTAGCGCCCGTGAGATCCTTGGTCAACATTAGTAGCGGCTTCAAAGATTTAGTTGAAATTCCCCTCAAGGAATACCAAAAGGATGGCCGCATCATTCGAAGCATATCCAAGGGAGCCGCAGCCTTTGCTCGCACCACTGGAACCGAACTGGTCAAATTTGGAGCGAAACTAGCCGTCGGTACGCAGTATGCTCTACAAGGGGCGGAGGAGATGCTCAGCGGTGGGGCTCGGCCTGAGGAGGACTGGGAAGACGATGATTTGGATGCGGATGACAAGAAGCAAATCTCGCTGTATGCGGACCATCCCACGGGTGTGATCCAAGGCATCCGTGGTGGTTATAGATCGCTTGCCAGGGATGTGAACCTAGCGCGAGATGCCATCATTGCCGTACCAGGCGAGGTGATGGAGAGCCAGTCAGCTAGCGGCGCTGCCAGAGCGGTCCTGAGACGAGCGCCAACTATCATCTTCCGACCTGCAGTGGGCGTGACCAAAGCCATTGGGCAGACATTGATGGGAGCAACGAACTCGATTGACCCGCACAATCAACGCAGAATTAATGAGGTAAGGCCCTGCCCACTAGACATTTGTATTGAAAGGATACATTGGCTAATGATATGACAGAAATATAAACGGTATTAATTAAGCTGGACACATGCCGTCGACTCAACCAAGAAAAAGACGAAAAAAAAAAGTTCAAATGTTTGATGATACCTAACTCCTATATACCTGAGAGGAGCATCTTTGAGTTTATTGCGGTTGGTAGTTTATAAAGTGGTGGCACTAGTTGCTCGAAGAGAACAAGCGCATGGGTTAGAATTCTCTCCTTTCTCATACTGTCTTTGTTAAAGCAGTACATGCTAGCATAGCTTGGCGGAGGGGTTTTGATGACTACGATGTCTCATATATTTTGTGTTTTTGAGGGCGTTTGGATTATCTCATTATACCTGAACAGAATGATGTGTTTTTTTTTTTTTTTTTTTATTCTCTCCTTTTTGGATAGTACTGGGACGGCTTGGAATGGATGGATTGCAAGGATAACTTACAGAATGATGGCCCAAGCAAAGCACAGATATTACAAGATAGACAGCGCCTGCGGGTTATGGATATATACAAACAGAGCTGTGAATTGAAGCCTTTAGTGTGCAAAAGAAATAGGTCTATTCAATTTTGTAGTTTGCATCCTAGATGTCTATAGTACCTATGCATATCTTGATGGAATACCCAAAACCCCAAAACATGATGAAGCCAAAGTCGTCTATCCATAAACAGATCTCAAATGAAATCATACCAGCTCAACTGGCCCATGCCTGATAAAAACAATCACCCCCAAATATTTTTCTTTCTACTTTTCCGGATTATACTCAAAATCCGTCCTTAATGTTGGCCTCCTTCTCAGCAGCCTTTCTCTCGCCATTGGCATCAATCCACCACTTGTGTGACTCCTCAGTCCCCGTCCACTCGCCCTTGTCGTTGATCTCATCCCACGGCTTGGGGCTCAGGATGTAATGAATGTTCTTCACCTGGTCATCCCTCCAGATCTGAGCGTGCACGCCGTCCCAGCGCAGCGTCTTGAGCGCATTATACGTGTACGGCAGCGGAACCCAGCGGCCGCGGTACAGGTCGGACAGCAACGACTGGTCGGCAAAGTCCATGTTGACGGCGTCGGCCTCCATGTGGGCGAGGATCTGGGCGTAGAGCGCGGCGGAAGGATTGACGACTTGCAAGCCGCCGTTCATGAAGCCGAGGGGCCCGACGGAAGGATCTGCGGCGACGGTCTGGGCGGATTCCGGGTCGGAGTGCTGGGATGTGAAGGCGCAGTTTTGGGGGATCCAGTTTTTGGGGTAGTGAGGCTTCTTGAGGGGGTTGCAGACGCAGGCGTGGCCGGCGGCGAAGACGCGCTTGGAGGAGGAGATGTCGCCGGATTCGCTGACTTTGGGGTCGTCGAGGGGGAGGTCCATGAGCTCGTCCATGTTGCGCAGGACGAGCATGTCGGAGTCGAGCTGGACGATGCGGGAGTACTGGGTGAGGGAGAAGGGCACGAGCTTGCTCCAGCAGTCGTAGAAGCGCGGGTCGTTGGAGTAGTCCTTGCCGTTTGTGGGGAGGATGTAGTCGATGCGCTGGGAGGGGATGCCGCGGGCCTTGAGGGCGTCGTGGCCGGCCTGGGGGAAGGTGTCTGTGTAGAGGGCGACGAGGGGGTATTTTGAGTTGACGGCGCGGAGGGAGTGGTTGAGGGTGAGGAGGCCGGGGAGGTAGGCGAGGTTGGTGATGAGGGTTGTCCAGACTGTTGGAGATGGAGAGAGTTAGCTGTGGTTTTGTCATGGGGAGTCTTTTGGTGTTGAGGTTTCGGGGGACTAGCCTTTGTCTGAGTCGACGGCTCGTTTCTTGTCTGCCATGATGAAGATTTGGAGTGGATATCGATCTGGAGTTGTAGATGGGAATCAGATGAATGTCTAATGAGCGAATTGAGCGACAAGACTAAGCGTGGTTGCAACGGCTGCGTCCGGCGCAAAGCGAATCATTAACGGTGATGCGTATTGTATTAGCATTAGGAATCGGGAGTGGGGTAGTTGTTTATCTATTTATCTATTTAAAGTCAGATTTTGTCGATGATGCCATGACGGGGCCGAACCTAGATGAGAAAAGGGCCGGACACTAAGAGCCGGGCTAAAGCCTTGAGGCGGCTTTGGATTTGGCATGGTGGAGTGGAGATGCTTGATTTACACGCATTTTGAGGGATATCTCGATGTACGAGTATACGTGAAGATGGAAGATGGGAGATGAAGAGGGATTACGAACAATTTTATTAAAGAGAGTCAAGAAGTAAGAGTAAGCAATGACAGTAATGGAAAGAAAATGGATAACAACAAAGTCTTTTACAACGACAACAAAAAGATGCATCCAAATATCCCCCCCGATTTTAAACCTTTCCTCCTTTAACACACCAACTCTAGAAACGAAACTCACATTAAAGTAACAATGACAATGGAGGCAACTGCCATGGAAAACGTGGTACAAAATCTCCATCTTCATCATCCTCCCACTCATAATCTTCAAAGTCTCCGTCGTCCATGTACTGGTCATCCTGGCTGTCGCAAGCCATTGGGTACGGCCGCAGATATTCCGTGACGGTGAGAGTGGTTTCAACTTTATAGACGCCCCATCTGTCCCACGCCTCGGTCGGTGTCAATTCACGGAGCGGCTGCGGCGTCGTGGGGGCGAGGGGAGGGCTGACGGGGACGAAACTTGGGGCGTGTGGGCTGAGAGGCTGGGAGGGAGAGGTCCAGGATGAGGAGCGAGGAATGTTGGAGTTGCAGCAGCTGGCTAAGCAGCGCTGGTCAATTGGGTCATACTGGTTGAGTTCAAGTTGGTATTGCTCATAATCTGACTGTGGCTGTAGTTGCCCGTTGTGTGAAGAGGGCGGCATTCCTTGGTTGGGAACTTCGATCGTAGCGGATGTGGGCACATCAAACAGACCGAGACCTGACGGCAAGAATTGGTATTGCTCAGGTACATGCTCAGGCACAGCAGCTGTCAACGACGGCAGTCCCAGTCCCAGTCCCATTTCCACTCCAAGAAGCCCAGTCAGTGACCGCATATCTGCCCTGGGCCCGAAAGGAATCGCATCCTTCTCCAGTCGACCGCTGCCGTATAAGCCGACAAACTCGGGACTGACCTCTGGATATCCGATTTCGCCCCGTGAGCCGACTCTCTCCTTGGGCCGCAGCTGGTGGAACATGACGGATGCCGATGCCCGTAGAGTCGGATTCTGCTGTGCCATTGGCTCCAGCTCGGACATTTGCACTCCCGCCTCGACGATCGCCCAGGCCACTGATGCGGGACCTCTGCGAGAGAGCTCGGCCTCGGACAGGCAGCCGCAGGCGATGGCCAATGTCACGAAGAGCGACCAGACATCCTTCTTCACGGTGAGGGGATACGTATCGGTGTACGTCTCCGGGGCCTTGTAGATGAAAGAATTGTTTGGTATGTCGGACTTAGTCGCGGGATGGGAGAGCTCAAAATCTGTGAGCTGGAAGTGGAAGCTTGGCCCGCTGGTCTCGACGAGGATGTTGGTAGGCTTGACATTTCCGTGAGACATGCCTTCTTCTTGGAGGTAGGTGAGGGCAGAGAGCATCTGGATGGTCAAGCAGTAGAAGGTGGATATTTTCACTCTCATTTCGTATCGTAGAGGCAAGATTGAGTGGAGGTTGGCTGGTTTGGGAGCCGTGACGAGCAGCGCAATTTTGGGTCGGACAAGAGCATAAAAGATGGGAACGATGTTGCGCTGTGAGATTTTTGGTCAGCTTAGTTAACAGGTTGGAATATGATATAACTCACATGTCTAGCCTTCTTGATGGCGGCAACCTCGCGCTTCAACCGCTCTCCTTGTGCTGGTGTTGAGACTTCCAGCCTTTTAATTGCTACCGAATTGTCTATTCTTCTGTCGTAGGCGGTGTATACTCGACCATGGGGACCAGTTCCAATGAATTTGATGCCCATGAAGCTTTCCATGAGCAATGGGAGTGTCCATTCATCAACGATGGTGGTGGCCATTTTGAGGTGACTTATTGCGCTATTGGCGGGTGGTGATGGAGAAACGGCGATGGGATGAAAGAACTGCAGGAGATGGATGGAACAGGACTCTTCTTTATTGACAGCGCGGGTTCCTTTTATAGGGTCATGCGAATGAGACAGCCAATATTCGTCCTTTGTTCAAGTACTAAAATAAGGCGGTGATGGCGGGCTGCGTATTAGTCGTGTCGTATATTAGTACCGTCGAATATTAGTCCTCTCTACAAAGTCCTACGCAAACATGCAGTAATACCAGCTAAAAAATCAAGGTTGCAAGACACTCTAGGCCGGCGACAGGGATTCCGTGCTTCTCATAGTCTTGTTTCCTCACTGCAAGTTGCTTTTTTCGCTGCCTGAGCACCCAATCAAATGGTGGTTTACACCGCTAGAGCCGTCTCAACTGACAACAAAAAAGCAAAGAGAGACTCTTGTGTGTGCGAGGCTGCCGTGTAACAGCTGAAGGACTGCTACTGGACAATCTTATGCGCCAAGACGCGCTATCTCAAGCCATCATTAAAGTTGAGAAACATGCCAGGGGGGCGAGCCGCCTGACCTGTCATATCTTAATCGACCCGTGGTTCATCAGCCAAGAGATGAGAATCCGGCAAACCAGCGCTGTGGCTGTTCTCCAATTTTCGCGATCAAACATTTTTTTTTTGAGATCCGTGATTCGTTAGAGATAAGATGGCCTTGTCTCGGTCGTGACTATGAATAAGATTATCCGCCTGTTACTGTATGTTCGAGTATCACCTCCCGGGTGCACGGCAGATGCAGGCCTGGGCCCAAGCAGCCACTTTGATCTGATTGGATGTGGCATCGCTCACCGAATGCAAGGGAGAGCGGGCTGAAATAAAAAAAAGAAAGAAAAGCGGCATCAAGCTCGGAGTTCAATCGGCCGCCTGTCCTGATGAGTGAGACCCTGGGGCTTTGCGGTATGATATCCCGCACAGTTTGCTGGTTTTCGACTTGTATAAGTATCTTGAACAAAAATTAAACAGTGAGGAGTAAAAAGGATTTTGGCCTGTGTCTGCAACTATGTACTCTCAAAGAAGCTATACACCAATCGTTATATCCTACTTCCTCGCCCTGATAATAACCCTGCAGCATTGTCCAGCGCATCCTTTCTATTTAGGAGGCGAGGGGTCCACAGGTAAATGGTAATTAATTCACACAGTCTTCATATGAACAGCCCTTCAGTAGTTGGTATCAAATGCACACTAAGCTAAATATTCTTTTAGAAAGATTTATTTCAAATAGAAATGCTGAAGACTCTGTTCTGGGATCATGTGAAATGATGCGTAAAACCAACTCAAATTTCACGCTTATGAAATGTTACAGAAACCCAAGGGACCAGTCGTCTCTCTTTATGCCGCTCAACACCAGGCCTCATCACCAGTTCAAGCAGTATGTCGACCTGAAAACGAATATAAGGTTTCAAGCGGCTTAAGGATGACAGTCCTCCAGATTATACAATTCCTAATTTCTTAGCTTCAACAACATATATACTAGCCCAGCTATCAAGCTAATCTATTTGGCACTGTCGTTAGATACAATACAACATAACAGAGGCATTCCAGACACCAAAGACAAAGGATAGGTTTCAGTAGGATAATACAGTAGTGCCTGCGCGTAACCACGAGTTGTTCGTGTAAGCCTAACTGTTAGCCCAGAGCACTTAGAAGCATCTATTTCAATTTTCGCTAGAGGGATAGAATATAACGCTAAAACTATACATTTTTTCCAGCTTTTAAGCACTTCTCTAGATTTTTCTGACTTTTTCTCGTATTCGGATGGTCTTTTCCGAGTATTTTCTCGCGAACCTCGAGTGTCTGTCGATGCATCTCCTCTGATTCTTTATATTTGCCTAGATCTCTAAGCACAAGCCCGAGGTTATTCATACTATCATAGGTAGATGGATGCTCTTTGCCTAGCACCTTCTTGCGAACCTCGAGTGTCTGTCGATGCATCTCCTCTGATTCTTTATATTTGCCTAGTTTCCTAAGCACAAGCCCGAGGTTATCCATACTATTCATGGTAGATGGATGCTCTTTGCCTAGCACCTTCTCGCGAACCTCGAGTGTCTGTCGATGAATCTCCTCTGATTTTTTATATTTGCCTAGATCACTAAGCACAAGCCCGAGGCTATTCATACTATTAAGAGTAGATGGATGCTCTTTGCCTAGCACCTTCTTGTGAACCTCGAGTGTCTGTCGATGCATCTCCTCTGATTTTTTATATTTGCCTAGTTTTCTAAGCACAACCCCAAGGTTACCCATACTATTAAGAGTAGATGGATGCTCTTTGCCAAGCATTTTCTTGCGAATCTCGAGTGTCTGTCGATGCATCTCCTCTGATTCTTTATATTTGCCTAGGTTGCTAAGCACACCCCCAAGGTTATCCATACTATCAAGTGTTAACGGGTGCTCTTTGCCAAGCATCTTCTCGTAAACCTTAAGTGTCTGTCGATATATATCCTCTGCTGTCTGATATCGTCCTAGTATATAATTGCCCTCGGCTACCTTAAAAGAAAGTCGAGCTTCTCTCTCATTGATTGCCAAATATTCTGGAAGTTCTAAGGCAGCATGTGCATGCGGTAGATATTTTATCCATACGTCTCTATTCTCATGCTTTGGAAACGGAAGGACCTGATTAAGCTGCTGTATCGCAGACGTCACACACTCCTTCAGTTCCCCGTTCTTCTCTAGCCAGTTTCGCATTGCTAGTCGCACAAGACGGTGTATGTCAAATGAATTTTCCTCGTCTCGTTGTATAATGAATGCATATGCCTTTAGTGTGCCAATTGCTTCTATGGCCTCTATGTTTCTGGCCGTAGGCAAAAGAGACTTTGGGATATCTTTCTCCACCAAGATGCTCATGAATTTAAGAAACTTTGCCGCTAGTGTGTTATACTGTGAGATTTGGCGAAATGAGATATGCCATGTTTTGGCCACTGGATTTTGAATCTCCTTATATCGATGTCGGTCTTCGAAATTCCTGCTCAGCAATTCAATCATATCCCCATTATCTGACTCGCAAAGCTCGAGGTACTCTGAAGTTGAAATATCTGTCGTCGCTATGTACGCTGATGCCTGCCGAATTGCCAGTGGTAAGTTTGCCAGGAACTTAAGCAATCTCTTCGTGGCCTCTATATTGCTCATCTGGGTCTCCTTTAGGCCTTTTTGGAGTAGGCCGAGGGCTTCAGCCTCATCCATTTCTTCCACACGGATAATACTCTCCGTCGAGATGTCCAGCTTGGTTGCTGCATTGTGGTTCCGTGTTGTGAAAAGAATTGAGCCATTTCGACTGAATGGCAAATAGCTTAATGGCCCAGTTTCGCCAAAGAGCAGCTCGATATCGTCCGCATTATCAATAACTAGTAGCCAGCTGCCGCTACTCTCTTCGCTTAAAGTCGTGTTAACAAGCCGCTTGATATCCGCTTTATCTTCTCCAGCTCCCTTAACTTGGAGCAGTCTACCGATATCACGGTAGGCGTTTTCAAAAGTAGCCACGTCGATTGCCGGCACCCAGAAGATAGAACAGTCTGGATGCTGGTTATGGAGTAAATAGACAGCCTCCAGCGCAAGCTGTGTCTTGCCAACACCCCCGAGACCTTCGATAGCAGTTCTCTGGCAGTCGTCCTTATTCGCGCCCGGCCAAATCTTTTCCAGAAGCCATGATAAAATATTCTCCCTCCCAACAAAGTTTTGGTTCCGTCCAAAGGGGACTAGAAAGTGGTAGGACATCTGCGGTTCTTCAATAAACTGATCACGGCTTCTATCCGTTTTCATATACCGTTCAAGAATCGCCTTTGATGCAGATGCTGCTGTTGCTGCTGCGAAATGCTGCCATATCTTGTTCTTGTGGCAGTCGGCATAGTTGCATATACCCTTGACCACAATGCATGGAACTTCTTCCCATGCTCCGGCTCCCTCCATCTCAAACGCAATTACGCGTTCTTTCTTAACAATTCTATCCCGGTCTTCTCCTGACATCATGACTGTATCGCCCGAAGCAACTGCGCCAATATAAATAGCAGGATCCTGCGCCTTGTCTTGTCGGCTTCTCTCCACCAAGTATTCATCATCGCATCCTAAATCATCACACGACGAAGTGAGGGCTTCATCGCAGGCTGGATCTTTTCTTCCATGGATGTTGCTGCATACGCACATCCCTGAGTTATGGTGCCTGTGACGATAGCTTGACTCAAATAGCTTATCCTTTGCCATTCCGGGATATTCATACTTGGCTCGATGCTTTATAGCCTTCTCCTGAAGCTGTTTGAGAAAGTAGGCAGTTTTTTGTTGAAGCTTCTCTTGGCCGCTATCTGTATTGAATATTGCCAAGAGGTTGCGAATATTTTTATCATGTTTGCTCAGATTATCTTCGACCGTATCTTTACGGATAAACCCATGGGGATACATCGTGCCAAAGTCGTATTGAATAACAGTCTTGCTGATAACCACATCTCCTAAGAACACTTCGTCTTGGTCGTTTTGGGGCACGCCGCCACAAGTCCCAGCCAAGATCACCAGCCTTAGAGCTCCGTAGCTTGACCGCATACTGGCCGCGGCGCCAGCTGCATTGGTTTTGCCCATGTCAGGTAAGAGAGCTAGCACGACATCATGCTTGCCAATGCGACCGGTTGTATAATTGTTAACGTCTCCGACCGCTCTTCCAAATGTATCCCCATCTTTATCCCAGAACTCGTCGAACAGGAGGGCGACCGCATCGTACTCGAGTGGTAGCGCGCAAATGATGGCGACTTCGAAGTCTTCGCGGCGGGACGGTCGCTGTGACATGATGGCGATTTAGCCTTATACTGTCATTTGGGAAATTTGTATTCAAATTGGTTGCCCAGTAGCAGAGATTTGCCGAACAATATTACGAACAAGTATCTCATATGGCTCAGTAAGCCAGATAGGCTGTTGAGTGATATATAAAAGTATCCTATATACCTAGGCAGATGAATATATAAATACAGGTAATATTGGGCGGGGAAAGAAAGGGCAGCCAATTGTGATGTGGCAACCCCGCCTTGCCCATTATGAGGCTCGCAATAAATACGCGGGATCTCATGCACGTGTATATTACATTAGCAATACGATATCACTGAACAAATATGGAAATCCCTTCTATCTCAGAAAGATACTGCCATGTCCTCATGAAAGTACTTTGCGCGGTTGGAGCATGGGAAGAACTAATGCTATGAAAGCCTTCCAAAGACCCGAGGGTGAGAGCCGGTGTACATGGATTCTGGTGACAGGGAAGAGCATGATTGTGTTACAATACCCGCACTAGCTTTTCTCAGCCGCATCAACATGGTAAGACAATTTGCCGTCTGGGCCGCAAGATACTCGCCCTTTTCTTTTCTTTTTCTTTGCGTCTCATCTCCCCCTTGCATTGTTTGCTGCTGCGACAGCAACGGGCCTCCTTTCCATTGCATATTGATGTACGCGCGTTCAACTAGATGTTTCGTCTTTCTGAGCTGAGATGATGATGTTTGGAAGGGAGCCGAGAGCTGAAGCGAGAGGCTTGCTGACATGGTTATTCCACATGATCTTTTCTTGGCCTGGGTTCGTGGCTCTGGAGAAATGATGAAGCGAGTTTCAATGGTAGGTCACCTGTACTTTGCTCCGAGTTTTGTATGGGTGATGTTTTCGAGGTATGCTTCCCGATTTGGGCACCTACTTTACACCAAAGTGATATATGTAGATACGTATGCAACCGCTAATCCGATCGAGGAGCACATTGAGATACGTAGCGCCTTAGCTATAATCACACCTAGGCTTTGGGGAGTAGCTCACATGTCCTTGAGGCTGCTATTGCGACATGGGTGACTGATTATAATTAGGTCGCTTGACTCCATGTATTTTACAATACGGCCGAGGAATTAGTAATTAGTAACATAGTGGCAAGCTTTTGCAATGAGAAAATAAGAAAGATTCGATAGTATTATAGTATATAGCAGATTGCTAAGCATCATTTTATTACGTGTATTTAAATGTTCCACCCTGAACTCTTCATCCAATCATATAAATGATCGGAAACAGAGGTTAAGCTTATTGTTGTATATTCCAAGATCCGACAAATCGACCCCGATCATGTCAAAATTTAGCAAGGTTATAATCTATCTGATTTTTTCCACTTTACCAACCTTAGAGCTATCATTAGCATATGAGATATTTCGCCCAATGAATTGCAAAGCGTCGGTATTCTGAAGTTGATATCCCCTGGTATTGTAGCTCGAAAGACTGATGAAGTATAACGGCCCGCTAGCAGATAAAAGGTTTGGCCAATGGTGCCTTTGAAGTTTAGAGACAGCGCAGTACTAATAATGAATCATTCTACAGACGAGGGCGCTGTTACACGCACTTATGTCGTTGCGTCGCAGCTAACTCAGGCACAGCCAAGCTAATAAACATCAAGCTCTGGCTCTCTAAATGGCATGCGGCTAGTATGTAGACTGTGCATTACGGCATCTAGATATACGCTCCGCAAGAGATTTACCTGGCAGCTAAGCGAACTGCAGCCCGAAAATCCGATAACCGCGCCGTCTGTGGAGTTTCATGCAAGAATGACGAGAAATGTCCGTGCTATGAACCTGCGAGAAGACAAGCCATGGGGGTTATTCATGGTAGGAGAGATGTGGTGAATTTGAGGAGGCGGGATTCGGGACCATTCCCAAGTACTATCCATGCAGACAGGAGTTAACACCGATTTGGGATCTCCTTCCACCAAGTCATGGTGTCAATTGGAGACGTTCAGTCAGCAGGTCTCTGTTACCAAGGGAATCAAGCATACATTTTAATAGAAATGGTTGGCAACCTGATACTGTGAGAATACCTATGGAGGTGAGATGGCAAAGCTTACAAGACTTGCACTCCATCACTTGGTATGCAAGTTGCTGCAGTCATTGTTGCCTGGGTTACTATGACTGTTACAAAATAAATAGCTAATTAGAAAGATCATACGGAATGCCAAGAATGAAACATCTACTAGATATGGATGCTAGGTAGATAAGGTGCCTTGATAAGGCTTAGATTGGAAAAGAGCCTCCAGATGTATTGTAGGTGGTAATGGAGATTAGGGGGCTGGGCGTATTGGAAGTATGCAGGCACAAGCAAGAATAATACCGCCGAGTTTCCCCCAATCAGCAGCTGCCGTGATAGAGCGAAAATGCATTTGGACCATGTAATCTATACTCGTATAGAGCAAATGGAAGAAACAAAGAAGACAAAAAGAAGCCGAATAAGAGATCCAGGTCGATGGGGAAGCCAGCGATACACGTGGGCCGCGTAGGATCAAGATCCAAATTGATTACAGTAAGCCGACATGGGCGGGAACCTTGTCGGGACGGAGACTCCGTATCTCGCACTGCCGTTTTTAGAGGCGTTCTAGTTTATTCGACGGAATGCAGAGCACGCTGCCTTGACTAGGTCGTACTCGTATGTACAAGTAGCGGCCATGTTTGTTTGTGGATGAGATGCAATGCACTGTAATGTGTCTACAGTATTAAGTAAGATCTGGGTTTGGTTGAAAAGGGAAGAGGGGGGAATGGGATAGCCACCTGGATTTACCCGTTTGGTCGGTGTGGTGATGAGCAGTACGAGGCGGTGAAGAGCAGAGTGTGTTTGGAATGTTGGTTAATGCAGCAAAGAAAAGAAAAATAGAAGAGGGAAATAGGCAGAACCATTGATGGCGGCTAAACATCAAAGCCTCGTAATCAGGAATCCAATGACATGAAACAGTACACAACAGAACAAGAGAGAGACAGACAGCATGGCCAAAACAAGGTCCAGGACCCAAGGCTGGCTTGGCGGAGCCCGTCAGATTTCCCAACGCCGGAATCTCGGAGATGTGCCGGCGGCTGGCCCAAGCGCAGCAGTAGCTTGAATCGATTTGCTGGTCGTGGCCCAACGAATTGCGGTGTCTTGGATTGGCTTGCGCTGCGTTGGGATCGAAAGAGAGAGAGATAAGACACAGAGAGATGAGGTGTAGATAAAGGTAGATGTAGATAGATAGCGACACAGACAGAGAGAGAGACAAGATGGTGTTTCTTATCTTGATCCAGAGTAAGCAATTCACTCAATGTCTGATGGCTGAAGAAAGAAAAGCAACAAGAGCTGCAGCATCCATGCATGACTGACCCCAGCCAGAATCAGAACCAGAATCTGCACAGGCCTCCACGACCAGTTTCGCACACGCAATCACGCACGCACCAGGTGATGACAGTCTGTACATGCATGCACGCACTTGGAGGGAAACGGAACAAGAAGGGCAAAAAAAGCAATCGTTGATTGATCCATGGTTCCGTTCGCTCTCGGCACTCGCGGACTTTGGCCTCCGCGCCATGCATGAGAAAAGGTTTTTTGCATTGATGCATGTAGACGAGGGATGAGTCCCATATGATGCGAATATTACAGTATGGTATTCACCGCTTGCGGAAGGATTGAGGTACCTACTGTAGCCAAAACAGCGGGCAGCTTGTCACTGGACTGGCGCCCCCAAAGCCCAAGCAATCGGTGAGTCGGCTCGCTGCAGTGCAGAGAAGAGAAGAGTCAATGGACGCAGTATGTGAGAGCCACAGCTCCACCATGGCAGCGCCGATTCACCACCAACAAGGGGCTGTGCTGCAGGCTGGGGGGGCTAAAAGGCTGCTACTCTTGCTACTGGTAGGGAAGAGCTGCTGGACAAGCTCGGAATGCCTCCCCCTTGGAACCCACTTTTGTTTCCCGGCTCCTCAACAGCTTTTGTCGCGAAGCCCCTCTTTCTGCTACAAGGCTACCTGTCCTTCTCAGCCAAGTTATACGTAAAAGTGCGGTAGCCGGCTATCGCCCAGACCCCAAAGCGCCCCCGCCCCGGAAACGGCCCACCGCCCGGCTCGACGGGTGCGTATTCGTAAAGCCAGGGTCCGCATCTCGAACTTTGTTGAGTTGAAGAGCTTCGCAAGCAATCTTGCTGTATCTTTCTCCGCTTAAACGCACTGCCGAACTACCTGCGGCATCCCGAACGGGGGTATGTACCAATTCAAGGGGTGGGAAACTCTACTGTTGCTGTATGCTGCTACTACTGGGTAAGTTCCGACGGATAGCTCGTAGCTCGTACTATTCACCTTTTGGGTCATGCCACCACCAGCTTTACTCTGGGCCTCTGCTCCTTTCTTCATCGCTGCACCGCTTGTTCTTGTTCCCGCCTCGTGCGTATAAGTAATAGCCGGCATCGCCAGTCCTGCCCCCTCCCTCTTGTAAAGCCTGACCTCTCTTCCTTTCTATTTCCCATCTCTTCCCAGTCTTGCTCTTCCATCTACAGCAGCGTCTCTTCCGTCGCAAGCGCATATCTTTCTGCCATTAAGTCCCGACTGGATTGTTGCGTGTGACTCTTTTTCAACATCCCATATTTCCACCGCTTCGACATCACATATACATAGACACATCCGTCCATTCAAAGCAATCATCATGTCTCGCATTACCGCTCCTGTTGCAAAACTTTCTCGCGCTCTCAGCTCTACCAGCGCTGCCCGCGCCGCAAACCCGCTGCTTGACGCTTCCTCTTACAATGCCGGCGCCGTGCTGATGCCAAAGTATGCCGAGCTGCTGCGCAACCGGAGAAGCACCATTGAGCTGTCCGAGGTAGGACACATCATCTCTTCTCCCTTGTGATCTCCAAAATGGTCAGCAGCGCTAACAATTCTGCCCATCTACAGTCCTCTCGAACCCTCACCACAACCCACCGCCCTACTCCTCAGCCCTCCATCGCCAACCGCGCAAAGCCTCTGATGCAGACCTTCTCCAGCTCTGCTTCATCCGCAACTCCCTCCGCCCACCTTGACGCCGCAATTCTGCCCGGCCTCGCCAGCCTCAGCTCATCATCCTCTTTCGCCGACGCCCTTCCTCGCATGCCTCTCCTCCCTGACAACTACTCCGCTGCGCATCCCGCCCCGGCTGCTGATATGCCAGTGTCCATTGCCAGCTCGTCCATTGTCGCTGTCAACCCCGAGAGAGTCGTTCCCGCGACCCCGTTGTCTTCATTAAGCGGTGTTCTGGACACTGTCGAGCTCAAGTTCGTGCATGAGGAGCCTGCTGCCGTCGTACAGGAGGAGAGCCAGGGCATGATCCGGGATCTGTGGAAGGGTATGGTTGATGATGTTTTCGGCTCAAATCAACCGATCCGCAAATCAAACTAAAACCAATCCGTCTTCTTATTTTTAAACCGTGTACAACTCTTTTTTCATGCTGCATTTTTCTTTTGCTTGTATGAATCTTTTCCTTTTTTTTTATGAGCTGTTGCTTCGTCATCATGAAGTCAGGCCACCCCCCAAAAAGGGCATTATGAAAGCCGTGGACAGAGTCCCCTCGTTATGAAACCGAGATATATAGGAAATTTTAATCAAACATCATTGCACCATTGTACTATCTAAACTACTTGTGTCGATTCGTCGTTGCCATTCTGTGATCGATCTTAATACGTTTGTTCTTCGTGTGCTAAACAGTCAATTCACCATCAAATCATCAACCAATGCAGCAAAAAACAAGGCCATATTTTCTTGACAAACTATCGGTGCCGACATCGAATACTCGACACCGTTGTGCTGACTCTCCGGGGGATAGTAGCGCCTATATATCATCATTGCGCACATAAAAAAAAAAACCTTTGTAGACAGGTATTGCCTTCTCATCCAGATAAACCCATCTTGTCCCCTTTCTCCATCAACTTGGCTTCATACGCATGATCTCTTTTCTCCACCACCCAGGATCGATCATGCGGCCCCCAACCCACCAACGTACCCATTATTATACACCGCCATCTCGTCATCGTCTTTCTGCCATCTCGTTTTACCTCTTCTTGGTTGAAGGCCTGGGCTTGCACTCATCGTTGTTAACGGGATGCAGCATGACCTTGATGGGGTAGTTTTGCGTGTTGTGCTGGAAGCCCTTGCTCCAGTCATAGCTAATGGCGTAGGCAAAGATGCTTCCAGTCTTGTTGAACGTCGTGGCGGTGATGCTACCACCAACATTGGGGTAGCCCTTGAGACGGTGTTTGGCATCCTTGTCCCAGAAGTGGAACGTGCCGTCCGATCCCGCCGTGCTAAAGGTGCCGTGAACCGGGTGGAAAGAAATATCATTGACGGCGTGCACGTTGACCACGTTATTAACAACCGGATCGCGATGACATTTGAATGAAAAGTTGGATCTGTGCCAAAGTCAGCAAGAAAGCCCCCTCCTGACAAATCAACTCAAAAATCAATGAAATGGGGCAACTTACGTAGAGTCTTTCTCCTCCACATATTGAATAGCGCAACGACCCTCGATGCTACCGATTGCGAAGCCCGTCGAGTCAGGGAAGCAACTGACGACTCTAGTCTGCCACTTAAGGGGGCTCTGAAGCGTCTTGTAGAACTTGGTGGGGTTTTTGAGGTCGACGACGTTGATGTATCGGTCAGCCGTGCCGATAACAAGCAGGTTCTGCTGTACGTCCATGGTGTATACCCGCTCCTGGCAAGCCAGAGTGGCTGCCGGTCCCTGCTGTCGGAGATCCCAGTACTTGACTGTTTTGTCCCACGAGCCAGAGACCACCATGGTGCCACTGCCGCTGTCGAAGAAGCGGACGCTCCGTACGGGCTGGTCGTGTGTTCCAATGACAATATCTTGCTGGGATGCCAGATCGCAGACCTTGACATTCTTGTCTGCACCGGCAGAAGCTACCTTGGTTCCATCCTATTTTGAAGCGTGCCGTTAGTATTTTACAGTTCGATTGCCCTGCTTCTCGCTCGCTCTCTGTTGTCCTGTCTCCTTCTCTTTTGTCCTTTGTTTCAATCGTCGTGTGCTCTGCTTACCTTTGAGAAATCGCAGCCCAAAACGGGCTGACTGTGCTCAAACGCGTGACGACCCTGGCTCTGACCATTCTGGGCGATTTCGTAGATGCGGACCTTGTTGTCCCAGCTGGAAATTGCAAGAAAGTCGGGTCCGTTGGCGGCTGGCGAGAAGACGAGATCCGAGATGCTGTCGGTCGGGGGGTCATTCAGCGCGACATCCTGCTTCAAGTCGCCCACCGTCGTCGACGCAGCGCTTGCCGCAGCAGAGCCAAAAAGGCTGGACATGATGCCGGATTTCTGATCAGGGCCGACAAGGTCCTAATCTCGATCGCTTCGCTCGGGTCGGATCCAAGTTTTTTTCTTCAGCGTTTTCCGGAACGCAATCGACGTCCTGGCGCGTAGCAGCGCGAGGTCCGTCTCGTGGATTCTTTCGCCTTCTTCCTCGCCTTTGATTATACAGGCTGAAGGCGTGGGAGGTGCTTCGTCGCCAATGTGCGCTGGCGGCGTCGCGCTCTTGGAGATTTTATAGACCAAAAGTTGCAGCTCCAGGCACGAAGGCAGCGACCTAGCATTTCTCAAGGCGACGCTCGGATTGGCTCTCAGCCCACAGGCAGGTGAAAGAGAAATCGATAGTTGCATAGCATCTTGTTGATGCATAAAGCCCACTACTGAGGCCCCACTAAAATCTACTACTAGAAAAAAAATTAGAGTTTGAGCAGAGAGTTTTTCTTTTCCTTCTCTTTTTCTCTTCATCCCCCTTTGCTCAACAAATCGCCATTCGAAGCTTACAAACGGAGATGCTGCTTGCCAGCGCCTCGTGAGATCACGGCTTTGGGAGAAAGTCCCCGGACGTCTCCTTTTCGGAGCATGCGGAAACGCGCCGCCATAGAAGCACTGCGGCTGACCTCCGCGCCTTGGCCCAGCTGAGGCATCTGCCCTGCCTGCTGCTAAATCCGTCTTTGCGAGACATTTGCCAACCCTGTTTCTGCGCCTCTGGCCCCCATGGATGAAGATATGAGTCCGAGCTGGATAGCTGTGGGAGCAGGGCCGCGTCGATGTCGACCAAGGGTGGATGGTAGGCGGACGTTTTGGTGTCTCGGCTGCGGTATCGGGTGCAGAGGATTTGTTGTCGAGGTCGATAGTTATGCGATTGCCCGGCGCAAGCTTGGTTACTCGATGGGGCCCATTCTTGATGCAAAGGGGGACCCGTCAATACCATGACGGCAATCCTTTTTTTTTAAACTCTGAGACTTCGTTGGAAGTCTTTTCTTTTTACTGGATGCCCTCATGGTGGAGATGGTCAGAAGCTCATATGATGATGACCAATATAGAGTCAAGCACCGAGTCAAGAAAATCTTGCCGTTGTGGATAAAAATATTTTCATGTCAACTGATCAGCTTCTGACACTCTACATTTGATGGGGGCATTCATTGGTTCAATGGTTTATTCATAGGTAGACAGATGGCTTATATCTTGGCCAAGCGGCCTTGGGTATTGTGACTTTCCTTACAGAGTACACAGCACTCTTATTGGCATTGCCAAGGTAGACAGAAAGACGCCTAGTAAGTGTGGCTTTGAGCCATGACAGTAAAGTCGTACTATTGGACAGCGCCAAGAACCAATGGCTCGAGTACGAGTATTCGGTAGAGCGCCGAGCACCTCCCTGTCGCCATCCATCAGCTCTCACAAAACTGCCACGAGACGACAGGCCGAACGAGATGGGAAAAATCTTCAATAGTAGATGCTGCGGCCAAGCCACTCAGGCAATCAGGCTAGCACCAAGACGCAACGGCCGTCAAATGGACGATCCGCTCGAAATTACAACCTCTTGGCGCCGTCTTCCCCTAACTAACGCGGGCTAAGGTGTGACAGAAATGCCAGAAGCTTGCCGGAAGGGGCTACGGATTGTAGATCGGGTCAGCTTTTGGAGCTGTTTGCTTTAATATTAACCGGCCTGTGGCTGGCATGGTGTTGGTGTTAGTGCCTGGTTTGGCATCCAGCATCCTACTTGCTACTGTCCGGAAAATGACTCTGGAGCAGAAACCCTGTCGCTCAACTCAACAGTCCATCAAATCACTGTGTTGCTTCTTCCCTCGAGACTCGTAGCATCAACATGCCATCTGCCAGTCCAACCAACACGGCTTTTTCCCCTCACTTAAAATAAAGGCAGCAAATCACCTCCCGTGCCCACCCTCCACGCTGAAATCCTTCCAGCTTCCACCAAGGACGCCACATGCAACCCAAACGCACACAAGCAACGGTGCCTGAATCTTGTCAAACCCCCTAGCTCTTTTTTCCTTCTGGCCCCCCTAGTCAGTCACTGTCCAACCCTTCTCCTGGTAGTGGGTTTCACTTCGCCTTCCCTGGCCCTGTTTTTTTTCTCGCGGTTAAAATGGCTACATGCGCGGGAATATTGGTTGCTTGACGGCTCTAGCTCAGTTTTGTTCGCCTAGGACTGTGATGGGCAGCGAACTAAAATCCTCAGCTTAAGCTTGGAACGGTGTTAGTATGGCCCCCCCCCTTGTTTGCGTTGGGGGTAACATCGCGCATCGTGAGTGGCAGACCGGGTCGAGCAAGTATGGGGGAGAGAGAGAGCGCGATGAATTCGTCCTGGGGTTGGGACCCTTCCTTTGGCGAGCTTCTGTGTGATGTATACTGTGCGATCCCATAACAGGTTCACATCTCGCGTCCCCGGACAGCCTCTCCTCTCCTCTCCTTGTTCCATTGTGAAGCGAGTCTTTCCAACTGTTGTCTTCCGGACTAGACCACGATCAAGATGAAAGCCCTCGTCCATCTCCTCGTCTTCTTCTTCGCAGCCCTTGTGGCTAGCACGTCGTCCGCCCCCAACATCACCAGTCTCCTCGATAGCCTGCCCCCTTGTTCCATCAACTGCATTGTCGATGGTGTCGCCAAAGATGGCTGCAATCTCAGCGACCTCTCTTGCGGATGCTCCAAGATCAATGAGCTCACGAAAATCGTGTCGCCCTGCCTTGCCAAAGCAAACTGCACGCTGCAGGATATGACTGGTATGATTTCCCCCCCTTGATCACTCTGCAATATCGCTGCATCAGATTTTCCTAACAATTGGTTTGTCATAATAAAACAGAAGCCGCGTCCACGGTCGTCCAATTCTGCCAATCTGCCGGTCTTCTCGTCAACGAGACATCGAGTGATGCCGCTTCCAAAACAGGGGCAGCACCAGCAGCCACAACCACCTCGGGTGCCGGCCGGTTCTCGGATGAAGTCGGATTGGCATGTGCTGCCATTGGCGTATTGATGATGGTGGTGGTATTGTAAGCGGAGAGCCGCTGTGGTTTTAATCTAAATGGGTTAGGGACGGAAATGGGAAGGGCAACTCGAACGCTCGGATTAAAAGGACGCTCTTCAGGTAGAGCCATGCATTTGCTCAGCACATGTATTGTACAACAATTGGCGACTGTTTTTATGACAAGACTTGGCGTGTAACAGAACAGCTAAGCTGGAAACATATCTTATCATTCCGGGTTCTAGTAACAGCTGAAGAGCAGTTCTAGTCTAGTGTATCGTGTCATTATATCATCAAGCATCTTTTCCCTCAAGTTTTCCCCAAACGCACAAGGCTGTATCAAGGTCTAAACATTAAAAGAAGAAAAGGGGACCAAAAGGATTAAGGAGTCGCGGGTATAGGTTGGTGTCTTTAAGGGAGATATTAGCCAGGTCCGAATCGGGCCAGAGCACCAAAGTTGCCGCCGTCAAACGTATCATGGAGTCCATCCAGGGCGTGGAACTGCCCAGCCAGCTTCATGCCTTCGCGGCGCTGAGCCTCGACTCGACGCCAGTCCCACTCGCCCTCAGCTGCCAGGTTCACATCGCTAAGGTCTGCCGCCTCGTCGCCCACTTGATTCTCACCAGTCTGCCATCCGCCAGGTCGTGGAGGTAGCAAGCCGGCCTCTCTAAGCACGATGGCAGGGTGAACGGTCAAGCGTCCGACCTTGAAGACGTATTTGCTCATGGCGGTGGCATGAATCTTCTTCTCCCAGCCGCTGGTAGCATCTTTGTGGTCTCTGGTCCGGATGCGGCGGAAATGCGGATCCAGCCACTCGGTAGGTCTGGCAACGCCCTTGGGCATAAAGTAGCTGACAATGTAGAGCCACTTGCGGTCCCAGGCAGCTACGCGACTCCAAATCTCGTATGACTGATATGGTGAAATCTCTTTCTTGAAGGTGCACATGACGGAGCCAAGAGCAATGGCAAAGTTGCCCTTGACAGGCTTACCAGTGCGCGGGTCAATAACAAGCCTTGTCTTCTGGTTGTTGGACATGCTGCGGATGGAGTCCCGCAGGAGGTAGGCACACAGGTGTGTTCGTGAGATGTCGAGGTCGGCGAAGTAGGTTGAGTTTGATTTGTGGAGGTTGTAATCGATCTCCAGCAGCGCTGCTTTGGTATCGGAGATCATAGGCTTGAAAAGGGCACGGGGGCCGAGTTTTTGTGATTTGCGGAACACCATGTGGTAGAGCATGGCATAGAAGATGCGATACTATCAATTGAGCTCGGTCAGTCATGATCCAGTCTCGGCAAGGAGAGTCACATACAGTCCACGCAAGTGGAAGCGTCTTCCAGTTGAAGACGATGAAGAGCAGGAGCAGCACCCGCGATGTCCGGCCTGGGCCCGTCAGAAACGACTGCACCAGCGCAGGCCAGTTGATGCGCCAGGCGGCATAACCCATCGATCCGACGGCCACAGAGATGATGGGGATGGTCAGGGCGAACCCGCCGATCCTGGTGGACGACATGGCTCGCTCGTGCTGTCGTCCACGCATCTCCCCTTTGTGAATCTGGATTTGGTGGCCCTTGGCTGAGGCGCGCACAGCAGGATCGCGATGTCACTCAGATGCCGAAAGGCGGTGCGGGACACTGGCTATCGAACGCAGCTGCAGTTGCTCTAACAGTGCATCCAGCAGCGATTTCAAAATCCCTCAAGCGCGCAGGCGATACTGTAAACAGATTCCGTTCCCGTCCGTCTCAACAATCGACGTGAATTTAGTGTCGCGCGTGGCTGGAATGCGACAGAGAGGCGCATGCACAAACGGGAGCTGCGATCTGTATAGGCGAAAATCCAGGAACCGAGCCTTTTTGAATGCAGGGGTTTGGCGCGGGCTTTTCGCTCGGCTCGGGTCCCGTTAGTTTTTTTTTTCTCGGTCAGCAGTGGCCACGAGCCGAGGTTCGCGTGAGGGATGAGATTTTGGGGCTGATAAGACGAAAAAGCATAATAGATAAGTATGTATATATGTATGATGACGTGGTTTGAATGTGAGGGGATGGAGATGAATAAATAAATAAATAAATAAATAAGAAAAGGGGAATAGAAGAAAAATGATTACCAGAAAAAGGGTTTTCGCTACTATTGGGAACCTGAAGGAATACAATCAGTTAATTGTCTGGTGCCTGCATGTTCCCTCATGCGACCCATCCCCGCCTGTGAAACTGCATGATGCAAAGCTCCCTGCCAGTAGCCGATCGCTGAGATGCGCAACTGCGTCAGCAAAAGAGGGGCCTGGAGCTTGGGTAACTGGCAGGCTGCATAATATCATAATATCCGTCAATCGGTATCAAGGCTGTAGGCTGGGCATTGATTAGCTGCGGATGCTTGCTTTGCTTTGGGCACGCATCGCCCAACAGAACCAGCAGGCGCATTAACCTCCCCTTTTCTCGCATCACGCCCCCTTTTCTTCAGGCTATTTGTTGAGCACTACGGAGTAGAGGCCAGGTTGTTTATACCAAATCCCTTGATGTTCTCCCTTCGCATAAAGGGCTGCCAGCGAAGCCCTCCTTTCCACGGCTGGCGAGTAAGCGGATGCCATGTGTATCCACTACGGCACGTCTACATCCCAAGCTTCATGTTGACTGGAGTTGATGAGCGATAAGCAGACTAAGAGCGGCTAATTGTATTGTTTTCTATTCTATCATGCGGATGCCAAGTGCCAAGAGAATCGACTTTGTAGATAATGTAGTTATCGATATGGTAGGGCTGTTGTGTCGACTCCTCCCAAGACCATCCCGTTGCATCCGCTCACATCAAGTGTCGCTCCATGGAGCAGAACATCCGCATAAAATAGCACGTGAAAAAGACAGGCATCTATTATATCTCGGCAAGAGACAAACAACCCCTCATACCAGCCAGAATAGTCAAGTCCGGGATGCCGAGAGGAGCATCGCCCAGCCATTTAGTCCCGGCGATATCGGGTCCGCAGTTTCGGACCCGGACTTGCTTTCACGGCGCCTGCTCCGTTCCTACTTACAGGCACGGTGGATCTCTCTCAGATCTCACTTGGCACACTGAGGGGCTTTGAACAGCTTTTCATCAAGACAGTGATTAGCACAGTGTTGAAGGATTCACGTTTATGTTTTGGCTATTAAACCTTACTAGACCCTTCGCGCCACCGCTAACCTATACCCGAGAACGAACTTTGTCATCCAACAGTTTAAGCTGTCGAATGACCATCCATTAACCCAGGATGTTGGTTCAAAGGGTTATAGCCACAGGGGACAGTAACTATATTTATGCTCAACACTGCTTAAGTGACCACGAATGTCTCCCGTTGGAGAAGTAATATACATTATATAATCTGAGGAACAGTCATTTGTCTCCTCCAGTATACATAAAAGGACCTAATAGACCATACTTCGTCACAGAATCATCATAATCCATCCGGTCCAGAGTGAATCTCACGACTCATAATGGTCTCCAATTTCATCACCCCAAAAGAGCCCCAAGCAGACCTCAAGCTTGTTGATCTCACAGACAACCGTACAAATGAAGAGATCCTTGAGTCGCTTACCATGCATGCCCCAGTCATCTCAGAAAAGAATGTCTAGTCATACTGGCACGCTAGCACGCCAGCATAAAAGCCAAGACCCAGTGGTGCCAGCACAACGTTATTAACTAGGTGCGTATTCTTGGCTCCGAATGGACTGTTTGTGTCTTGGATATTGTTCCCAATTCGCCAAACCATGCTCTGAACCCCGTCTCTGCCGATCTTCTTCCAGAGGCATTTGTAAAAGGAAATATGAATGGGCCGTACACAGGGCCCCATTCTGCCGATTTTCTTCGTGGCGCTCTTCTTTACACTCATGGAGGGGTGAACATGGACGTGGGTTGCCTCTTGATTAGACACCTGGATCGACTTTGTTGGAATGAGCTTGAGGATTCAAATTCACCATACGAAGTAGCCGTGCCAATCATGTATTGCCAAACCATAGCAAATCATGTTGTGGCAGCTCGCAAGAGAAACCCGTTCATCCAGCGATGGTAAGTTGTCCAAACAGTATAACTGGCTAAACATATGTCTTATGTCTTATTACAGGCATCAACTCTTCACACACCTTTGGAAAGATCGCAATGGCCACGAGGGCATCTCGGAAGATCCTCTCATCGCATTTGCAAAAGAAATTGGGGCTGAACAGGCTTCTGAAGCCAAGTTTATCTGGGATTTTAAAGTCTCACCACTCACTGTCATGGAATACATCGCTCAAGTCATCTGCTGGCAGCCCCTTTGCATGCTCGAAGATGCTGGTGATAGATATAGTTGCTCCGACTACTAGCAAACGCACATCTTCTGTCGGGATGTCCTCACTGAGAACTGGGGTGGTGAAATGACAGTAGGCTTTGAAGGAACGGGTCAGAAAATGTACGCCCTGCTTTCACTGAAGCGTGATATTGACCCGAAGTCCGCAGAGTATAAGAGAGCATCTGACTTAGTGTGGAGACTGTTGACTACATCTAGCATGCAAAAAATTACTCATGGTAAGAATTTAACGCATTCTGTACATCTTGGGATGCTGTGGGATGACAATTCAGGCAAGGATTGCGAAGAGGGGACTTTTGCAGAGTTACTGAGATACGGAACTATGAGGTTTAGACAGACGAGGGAGAAGATTATGTGCAAAGAGGCAGCCAAAGCAAGGCTACTGTTAAAGAAGGGGGTTCTTGAGCCATGGAAGATGAACTAATAAGAAGCACTTATGAAGAATGAGTGTAGTGGCATAAAAGTACATAAATACAGACAAGACGTGAATGAAATATCAGATAAATCGTAGAGCAATCTTAAATATCATTTCATTTCTTTTGCTCTCAATTCTGACATGGAAGTGGTTTGCCAAAATAACAACGTATATCACTGATTCCGCAGTGCCTCATTAGTTCACTTTCTAGGAGTGTTGACCACGCTCGTAATTGCTTCTACCCAAGGATCTGAATATGATCTGGGGGATTGCTAGGGTCCCACATACCCCACAACAGATTCATTCATCTTTATGAGATCTCGGATAAAGCTAAGAGTTAGCTCCCTATGATTTAGAGATTCTATGTTTCCACCTTTACTTAGTTTTCTAAAGGAGTCGTAGTGTCAATCCGGAGTGTTTTCTCCGGTTGCTCAGTCGGTGTGTGGTAAGCTTCTCTTTAAACATACTGTACATGTCCCTACCGTTGTTGATTTCTAAAAGATGTTTAGTAATCGCCTTGTGTAGATATTTAATAATCTCCTTGTAAAGATGTTTATGGGGAGTCGAGGAACCGATCAACTTTATCTAATGCAGTCAATATCTACTACCCAAGTTATACCAACCTACATGAATACCTAAGATGCAATGAGTATATCTATCTCAGGGCTGATATGACAGAGACAAGTCACAGATATATATAATACGCCGGCGGAAAATTCACTGAGTGGCAGGAAAAATATCTTATCAAACCATGACCTGGTTATGGGGGGAGGTGAGCTTTAAATTTAGCTATACACGTAAGTCTAGCGCGTAATTCGGCAAAGCAGATCCACCCGCATCCACTGCAAGCCGGGAAAATAAGTAAGACGCGCGTCCCGTAAGGCAGGTAGCCTAAGAAGCAAAGTCTTCCAACAAGGGTAAATAGCTTCAATCTATTAGACGATGGCTTAGATACTGTAGCTACTGACTTGAGAGGTTGGAGCAACATATGTTCTCACTGCCTGGGTAAGGAGGCATTTTTGTATGCGATCAACAGTAAGAAAACAAATAAGTTAAAACGGGGCCGTTAAACTGACGCTAATCATTGTGGCTTGAGATAACAATATAAAAGAAGCCTTTGTGGTTCTCTTTTGAAAAGGTCGGGAATAAACATGTGTGTGTTAGCTGAGGTCTTAAGATAGTAGCAATTGTACTCCCTTAGCCTTCATTACCCTTCTCTTAAATGCCGAGTCTGCTATTGAATAGATACCGACAACATTAAAATAAGCATACTCCTCACAACTCAGATGTGCATGTACTATTTGTAGATTCATTACGTATTTGTACTAAAATTTCAATGTAAACCTCAAAGCACTTATACAACACTACACGTGTGCCCTATTTTTAAAAAAAATTTAGGCGGGTACCACAGCCGCGAAGCGTACGTGGACTTCGAGATGGCAGGGACTCAAGGTTGTTGGGTCCACTTCGAGAGTTTCGGCAATCTAGCCTTTACTGTGTTGGTTAATATGTCTGATTTCGGTATTTATTGCTGAAAAGGAGCAACTGACCTAACTACTACATATTTGTCTTCTTCGATCTGGGACACTTGTTTTCTATCTCCGTTGTCTCATTCATCCATCTCAACCACAAAACGGGAGGCGAAAACTCCCGCTGCCATGGCTTTCCTCCCCAAGCCTCTTTCAATACCACTTTCAATAAGTGTTCAACCGCGACGACTGAGGGCTAAACCACGAACATTATTCTTATCCGCCATAATACTCTTCGCATCTATATGGACACTTTTAGCCTTGAGGCCTATTCCTCCTCAGGATCGGGTTGTGGACGAGAATCAACTACGAAGCAAATACCCTTTGGTATATAGACATATTCACAGCTTCGACAAGGGCAAAGGAGGAGGTAATGCGAGCCTACTGTTGGCACCTGAGGCTTTCCAAATCCTTAGGCGTTAACTTCATATATTAACAAGGGGATGAAACTAACAAAATGTTTTCAGCATGGTATATTCCTCCAGAATGGATTGACGAGAACCAACCACCACCAAAGACTATTATTCAGGCAGCCCAGTTAGCTTCAAAAGCGGCCAAGTCGAATCCCGAGCGACGCGTTCCATTCTCAAATATCCCCCTTTTGATTCATCAAAAATGGGATACTACTCGACTAAACGGCACAAAGGATATGATTGTTTCTTATATCGAAGACTGGCTGGTGGCTTCCATCTCACCTCCTACTGGATCGAGTCGCATGGCATATTTTCTTTGGGACAACGAAGGCATTTCGGCATTAGTCAAGGAGTATGAGAAGGACTTGACGGCTGATTTTACCGAAGTATTCTCCCCGGTGGAGAAAGTTGACATTTTCCGGGTTATAGCTTGTAAATGGTTTGGAGGCATTGTAAGTTCTTGAATCCAACAACAACGTGTTTCTTGCTAATGGAATTAGTATGGCGATGTCGACACAAAACCACTTCAACACCCTTCCAAGTGGCTTGATTCGGCCGACATTTCCGAATGGACTGATGAGATGACTGGGAAAAGCTATGGCTTGGATAGTACCGCATTAACGCGTGTGAGCCAAAGCCTAAACGAGTCTCAGCCAGTTAATGCTATTTGGGGGATTGAATGCGATGCGAATCCGAATACAAATGATCACTGGCGCTGGGCGTACACGTATCCCCTTCAACTTACAAACTGGGCATTTGCGTCCGCCCCAAACCAGCCTATACTCCAACATTACTTGGATCTTATACCGGATAAGGCTGCGGAAGCCAGAAATAAAGCTTCGCAGTCGGGCGTCAGTGTTTCTGACTTGCATTATGACCCAGTCACACGCACCGGACCGGTAGCTGTTACAGATGCTACCAGCTGGTGGTTAGAAGAGCACGATGGCTTGCGATGGAATGCACTGACAGGCCGAGAAGACGGTGGGAAGCCGAAGCTAGTTGGTGATGTCATAATTCTTCCTATAACCGGATTTAGGTATGGAATTTTCTCCTTTTCCCTCTTGCTGCCTACTACTATGTTCCAGTTATTTACTAACATATCTTTACCTTAGTCCAACACAAGAGAAACACAGCAGAATGGGTGAAAAGCCTTGGGACGATCCGGAGGCCAGACTTGCCCATGTAGCTATGGGTTCATGGCGTCACACAAATCTTATAGTAGAATATGGTAAATTTTGCCGCACTTTTTTCGGCATGTGTAAGGATTGGCAAAAGATGTGGTAATGGCGTTATGGCAATGGGATGACTTATAGATTAAATACATTAATATATTATTATATCGTCAGGTTCTTAAGATTCCTCGTATTGATCTGATCTTGTTTATCATATCGTATAGCTCGCCTCTTTATTTCCTCAAATGAATTGTCTTCAACCCAACGCGACAATGAGTCTTTGTCAAGGACATGTCCCATCATGAGAAGCCCCATCATTGCCTTATTCTCGCTCATGATAGCGAAGCCCAGAGGTGAATGATCATTCACATTTCGGGAGAATATATCTGCTCCTTTCTGAACTAGAAGTCTCGCAATTGCGTAGTGTCCGTTTTTGACTGCACATGAAAGGGCGGACTGTTGACGAACGGTGTCTTTTGCCCTAAGGTTTGCCCGTTTCTTAACAAGTAGCGATACGACACCCTCGTGTCCGTCCCTAGCAGCTATCCAGAGCGGCGTGCACTGTAAATTCGATTTGACGTTCACTTTTATTCCTTTTTGAAGCAACAATATTCGAGTAGTTTCAGTATTCCCTTTACGGGCTGCATAGTGTAGAGGGGCATATCCATGCTGGTCTACTTTATTTACGTCACAGAACTTCAGAAGAATCTCAATGATTTCGTTGTATCCAAACTTTGATGCGAAATGAAGCGCGGGAAGACTCTCATGGACTAATGCAAGGTCACAGACACGTTGTAATGAAGGTCCTGCACCCTGTACGATCGACAAGAAAGGCTCATGTTGCTCTTTCACTGCCCATCCAAAGAGGCTGTGCAGTTGAGAGTCTTTCGATTGACCGCTAAGCACCCATGGTTGAAAATTCCAGGTTTCGTTGAAACAGGTCACCAGTCGCTCAAATTTCTCCCAGGCTGATGATGTGCGAGATATTTTTTTTGTGTGTAAAGCCCAGTTTGCAGTAGCGTAATCCAAAAATCTGAATTTCATTCGATCTGGGGCGGCTTGTGTGCGTATCATACGAAGCGGAAGAGAAATAAAATCCCCCCGGTCCTGAAACTGTCGGAGGAATAATTTAGATAACCTTGTGCCAGTATTGGAAGCTATTTTCGCGATCGAGGTGGGAGATGGAACAGTGACTGATATTCTTTCAGCTGAATCTTTAATGGGCTGAAGACTGAAATCCGAAAAAGAAAGATACAAGACGCAATATTCTCCACACTCCAAATCACCGTCGGCTTCTGTTGGATATCCAGGAATACATCTATCCCCTGCAGACTTTTTTCGATCTTCCTCCAGAAATTGTTTAACTGAAGGGTGTGCAAATCGCACACAGTTGTCCATATGATCGATAGCAACAAGATTTGCGCAACAGCCAATAATAAACTCACTTTGAGGCCTTCTGCCCCCGTTCCACTCTGTGTCTGTATAGTCAAAGGCAACTGCTTCTCTCAGCTCTTCAATGTTGAGAGGCCTTTTAGCAAAGCTAACCCATTTGAGTACTTTGAGGGCCCATTTATCTTGAAAATCTATCCTGGCAACGCAGTGACGATATGTTTCTTCTATGCCCTTGGGAAGTGTAGCCAACGCTGAGCGTATTTCTGCGTCTGTGTGGCATGTATCCCACAGAATCTCTAATTGAAGATAAACCCATAAAAACCTAAGGTGATGGTTAACATAATTGATGATAATGAGTTATAGTGGAATAATGGAGCCTGTTTCATACATATCTGAAGAATCAGCTAAAAGTTTTTTCTTGACCTCTTCTAACAACTCGTCATCATCAGTGAGCTTCCTGTACATCATTTTATCAAGAATGATGGTTTCTATGTAAGTTTCGATATCTTGCGTAATGTTCTTTGATGTTGAGATTTGGCGAATTCCATGGATGAAAGTATGGATGTTTATGTATCCTGGAATTTGGTCTCTGCTTAATAGCAGAATTCGTGATCGCTTTGCAGGACTAGGGCAACAGAATAACCGCTGTACAAGCTTCAGAAGTTGGCTAGCATGTTCCTCAGAGAGGGCATCAATGCCGTCGATTATATATACTGTATCCGGTGCAGCATCGAACAGCTTTGCAAAGACATCCTGAAGGTTATCAAAATCTGGAGGAATTCGCCGAGATCCAAAAAATCTTTCTAAATCTTGCACAATTTCTTCCGGATAATTTCCAGGTGCCTTATGTAGAAATTCGCAAATTTGTTTGATAAGACTTGAGACAATATATGACGCGTCTAGTCCGTCGTTGTGTTCATAGTCGCAGTAGAAAAAGACAGTCGGGGATTGTGTTCCAGAAAACCGGTATTTGGCAGCCTCTATCACCGCAGTCCTGTCCGTTCTTTTAATACATAACGGGTGATAGAAAGAAATTTATATGGGCAAACTTACGCTATCATCGTTTTGCCGGAACCGACTATCAGCAAGTCACACGTTAGTATCAGATTCAATGGATGTGGAGAGAGCCATACTTTTGCCTGAGCACCACAGGTTAAAGTTTTCCTCTCCTTGGATCCAAGCTGTGAAATCTGGATGATTGAGAAACCATTGAGTAGTGCCAACAAGTCGTTTTCGAGATAGTCTCCGATGAATTCTGTTGTGATCGTAGCTTGATATTCGTTCGAGTAACGTCTCATCAACTACATAATGGATTAGCGTGGCCCTCGTAACAAATTTTGAGCAAACTCACTATTATGATGTACTATCACATCTGTAGGAGGCTTCATTCGGTATAGAGTGTCTCCAGCATAAATGGATACTGGAACCAGTGGTTTGTCAGACGACATGTGTCTCTTTGTCAGATATACACAGTTAGCCTACCGTTCAAATCTGCCGCCGGTGTGTCCGAAACCTGATTCGCATGGACCGCCAATAGAAGCTCCTTGGTATAGGCGGCGGCAACTGCTGCTGCGTAGTTTTGCCACTGCTTGTTTTTATGAGAGTCCGAATAATCACAAATGCCTCGAACCACTAGACAAGGAAAATTATCCATCAAGCCAGCTGCCTCCATTTCAAAACAAAGGACATCAAGTTCTTGAACGATCTTATCTCGGATGCGGCTATCTTTCACCACTTGGTTCCCAGATGCAATAAGGCCGTAGTGAATAAAAGGGTCGTGCCCGACTCGGGATGACCGCTCTATGAGTCGCTTCTTGTCACAGTTCCCGCAATTTTCTTCAGATTCAGGGTGTTCGTATTCGCATTCAAACAATAGATCTTGGCCTTCACCGGGATGTGCAAAAGCCTTTCTCATGTTATCGTTCCTAGTCATTATCTGAGTGATAATAGAGTAAATTTTGTTTGGTTTTGACATAGAGGTTGCTTGCAGCTTAGAGATAGCTGACAAGAGCACTGGCGGCGGCTTATTCAATACTCCAGTACGTTCAAAACGACCGCCACTGATAGCTTTACCATAATCGTATTGCACGACACCTCCTAAGTGCCCTGTTGGCCTGCTGACCACAACGTCACCCAAACGAATGTCGTGTTTTTTACTTGGCGCCCCCCCTCCAATACCCACCATGAGAAAGAATCGTATCGACTGGAACGAAGACCTCAATTGCGTAGCTACTGCTGTAGCAGAGGTTGTGCCGTAAATTCCGGAAGGAAGACAGGCAATAACCACATTATGAAGGTGTATCCTACCTAAAATGTATACATTATCATCGTTTGGCTTCGCCGGCAAACTTGGATGACTCTCGTCTAGCATTGCCTCCGCTGCTGCCAATTCCAGCGGCAGGGCACATATCCATGCGATTGTGTAGTCGTCGTAGCTATAATTGTTTCTGGAAGCGGCCATTTTAATCTTTGCAAATATTTCTTAAACATAGGTATTTTTTGTAAATATGTAGTGGGAACTCTCGTCGCTGCGTTCAAGTTAGAAAGAAAGGTTGCTAAATGCACCCGTTGGCAACCATGATTGCCTCGTCTACCTGGTAGGCAACAATACCCCGCTCGTTAAATTGCCCTGGTATCTAACGGAGGCGTCTTGAAACGGCAGGTAGAAACCCGTGCAGTGTATCTATAGAGAAATCACTGTATTTGATTGATTGTAGTCTCTTAAATAATATTAAACAATATATATACACGTGAGTCCGATTCAAGTGGACGTTTCAATTATTACTGCTTATATCAGGCTGAAGGTCGGCCATATGTTATACGGAGTGCTATAATATGTGCTAGAGCGCCGTCAGAGATGTACAGTACATGTACCTAGGTATATTAGTTGTCCTATGTAATACACTGTGCCTTCTCTATTTACCTGTTTTCTGAATTCCATTTCCAATTTTGCATATGATAGCCTGATTATGATTATCGCACGAGTGCAAAGTCTACTAGGGCGATGAAGTTTGTGTCACATTTCATATGGAACTACTGAGAAGGGATATTTTAGCTGCTGGTGAAGCATTTTTTGGCAATAAATAAATTGGTGGGCGATATATATTTGAGTTGTATGCTCCGAATATTCCTAGGTACACTTCGGGTGGATTTAGAAGGCAAACAGTTTACTTCTAGTAGTTGTATGGACAGCAGGAACCCTAGTCTTACATATAGGAAGCCGCTATAGAATAACAGGCGACCTAGCAGTACAGAGAGCGGCTGCTTTACTCTAGCGTTAATGAGCTGAACGAGTGTTTGCAAAACAAGCTCCGTCCAGTGCCATTTGAAGCTCGCTAGCCTCTCTCACTTTTACGAAATAGGGTTCATTTAATCTTACGGTAGTGCCTTCGTCTGGTATAGGATGATAACCAAGATCACTGGTTTGATCTCTTACCCTTGATTATGTACGGAGTACATGCACGCTATTACACTAAAGCAGAGACTCATATAAGCACTACAAATCACCAGCCAATGCCCGTTGCTCATTAGTTCGATCGATCCTGTTCATCTGCACACTTTTCTTCTTTCCCCTCTCCCACGAATCGGCCACAGGAAATGGCCGTACGAAACATTATTGTAACCGGTGCTACGGGGCGACAGGGACGAGCGTTTATCCATGCACTTTTCAAGCCACCAACTCCAAATGACCCAAATGATGCGGCATATCACGTTTGGGCCGTGACTCGAAATCCAGCTGCGCCTGCCACGTCTGTGCTTCTAGAAGGTGAAGGGAGTAATACGAAAGACATCACGGTAGTCCAAGGTGACCTCAACAATGCGACGAGAATAAAAGAGATTTTTACGGAAGTAGCTGCTGAAGGTGGCATATTTGGCGCGTTCGTTGTACTAGCTTACCCAGGCCTTGGAAACAAGAGCGATGAGGAGGAAAGACAAGGCAAGGTAACAATTCCTCCCCATCAAGAACAAGTCAAGGGGCGTGGCGGATGATAAAATATTGCGGTTATAGATGCTTGCGGATCTGGCACTCGAATTTAAACTCGATGCGCTAGTTTATTCAAGCACGATACCACCAGGTCCCGATTTGGATGATGCCTTTGATGCATCTCACCGATCAAAGCGGGAAATCGAGCTTTATTGTAAGAAGCTTGGGGAAACAGGTCTGAATTGGACGTAAGTATAGAAAAATTACTAAACAATGCTATGCTTGACTAATGCAGCATCGCAGCATTGTAAGACCTGGCTTCTTTGTGGAAAATTTCGACGGATTCATGGGGTCACTGGCTGTGGCCATTCTTTCTCAAGGCCTGAGAAAAGAAACTAACATAGCGCTCGTTGTATGGAATATTCTGCATTACCTATGCTTTTAGTCAATTGGCTAACAGAATTTTAGGCGTCCGAGGACATTGGTAAAGTTGCTGCTGGAATATTCCAGGTATATCCATATTCACAACACACATCGCTTCAGCCAGAGCCCTGTTAACAGAATCATCAAATTAGGATCACAGCAAATTTACTCACAAGACAGTATCCATAACTGGCGGGTGTTTATCCATGAGCGAGATCAAAGCAACCTATGCAGATGTTGTAGGAAAGCAGATGCCTTCTGTCCCCGCCATATTTGCCTGGCTAATCCTCAAGCTAAGCTCCGGTGCACAGCATGTGTAAGTTTGCTTTTTCTAATTCAATCTTCTATTATTTGCTAATCGTTGGCCAGTGCTAAGGAAATTGAGAGAAATTATGATGTGAGAGTCAACGGAGGATATCCAACTTTTGAGGAGGAAGTTGAATTGGCCAAATCCCTTTGCGAGCTGCAAACATATCGTAATTGGCTTCTTAAACGAAAAGAGACCTAGCTCTTGATTGATGGAATTACGGAAATTACGAGAAACTCATGATGTATTTATTGCGACATAGTGCTCTAAAGATGCTACATATTAGGATTATGAAGATGCAACTGGAATCAAGTCCAGAGTAATGAGGGTTCCCTTAACAAGAGTTCCTTTGACGACACCAGCTTTTCCTTTAGTGTACAACGACAGTTTGATAAAAATGTCAGGTACTACTCCGTTCGCCTCGGTCATCTCCTCCTCGGTAAACGCGCCTTCGACTCCATGATAGAGGAAGAAGTTTCTCTTGCCAAACTCTTCATGGTTAGGAGCTGCAGCTTCCCATTCATATCGCAATACGTTATCGGATACGGTTTCTTCGGCAGCAGGCTTGTTGAAAATAGCATTGTAAAGAGGAACCATATTGTCTAGAGTTTGCTTGTCCTTGATGAACAAAGAGATTGCAGCGACACCAACAACTCCAGATGGATGAGACGTATTTTCCGGAGTAGTGGGTGCTCTAAGATCTCGTGGAGTCCGATCAAATGTCCAGAAAGGCTGTTGATTGATCCAGAGTGACCCTTTGTAGTCATCAAAGTTGGGTATAGCATTGGCCCAGATCCGCTTCGAACCATCCGCCATTGTCCTAAACCCAGGCTCTGGATCAAGGTACTTGACTCCGGCTTTCGAATCTTGAATTCTCTCTTGGACAGTGTGGAATCGTTCTTCTGATGTATTGGAACCTTCTTCTTCTTCACGGCTCACGATTGTGTGAGCCCAGTGGATGATGTGTCCGTCGGGCTGCTTGCCCCACGGGTGCATTGCTCTGTGCTGAGGATTCAAACCATCAACAAAGGCAATAAGCTCCAAGTAAAGGCCGTCTTGGAAAATAATGAGCTTATTCTCCGTCATGCCGCCCTCGTGCACGCCGCCGTCGAGGATCGTAAAGGCTTCTGAGAGCCATTGTGGAGGCGACGCAAGCTGGGCATACGGGATAAGAAGAATTACATGGTCAAAGACCGACTCTGCGGTGGATTGAGAAGCCATACTTGAAAATATTTGAGTATTTGCATTTGATCTAATCTGTTTACTATTCTATTCACTGCGTGTAAGTCAACCCTTTTAAACATCGGTTCATAAAAACCGGTGGAGTTTATAGCTGGTGAAAATGTCCGTTTGGGAACTGCTAAAACTCCGTTGCGATCCGTGCTGGGGGACATAACTAGCCGCAATTAGTGTTGTCAGCTACTGATGTATTCCCAATCCGGCATACGGCGGTATTCCGAAGTTTCTCTAATATTCATCCGATACTCCGAGTCAGGATGAGAATCTCGGCTCCTGATTAATAATTCCTGCCGTAAGTGGATTATGTAGAAGTAAAAAGTACGAGCTAACCCTGTAACTGACTGCTTAGAGCTTTGTTTAATATGTAGTTGTGCATAAGTTGAGAGATAGAGTGGTAGATCGCCATGATGGGTTGTCACAGCTATGTCCACTACTGATCACGAAACCTCAACTTTTACAGCTAATCGACCAGCATGAGTAACGCTTCAAGTCACCATCAAGGCATTGAATCACTACAACAGTTCTCATTCTACTGTACTTAATAAATAAATATCAACGTTCATGAATAAATGATCGAAATAGATGTCAATTGTTCCGTTTTGACAAGATAGTCTCATGTCATTGTGACGTGCCTCAAACAGCTCGGGAACTAATATTTGTCCCGGGTCGGCTTTACCAGAATCCTACACATAATTCCGGCTTAGAAATCTCCTCTCCGCATCGCATGAACTATCATCTTTATTTTGTCGTTTGAATTGTGTTGGCATATAAGAGCGCATGTCTCGCTGTTAATTAAACGATTAGGAGCTCTCCAAACCACCAAGTCCAGCGAATCGCTCCAAGTGTTCATCATGTCAGCTACATCTATTCTCCTACGCAATGCCACCATCTTGGTGCCGGATCCAACGGAACACAAGCCTGTTGTATCACTTCGAGGTCACTCGCTGCTCGTCGAGGGAAACAAAATTGCGCGCATTGCGGCTCATATAGATGCCCCGTCTGATAAGACGCTGGTCATCGACTGTACTGGCAAGATTGTGTCTCCTGGGTTTATTGACACGCATCATCATGTTTGGCAGACGCAGCTCAAGGGACGACATGCGGACCATACCTTGCTTGAGTATGTGCCTACTGGTGAGTGAGCTGAGCTTCTTAATGTTGGCTATTATGATACAGTGACTGAAGCGTTCATCAGGAAATATGCAATCATTCAACTATATACCTGAGGACATATTTTGGGGAGAGCTTGGAGGCTGCCTCGAGGCGTTGAATGCGGGGACAACGACAGTTGTGGATCACGCGCACATGAACTACTCACCAGCTCACAGTAAGTCTTTGAGCTTTTCCTGTTGATATGTCACAAGCTGACAAACTTAGATACAAACGCTATTGCCGCAGTTGCGTCCTCAGGAATTCGCTCTACTTTCTGCTATGCACCCACGACAAGAGTCAAGGAGTGGGAGCCCGAAATCACCGTGAATACAGAGTTTCTTCCAAGCTGGGCAGTCGAACAAGTCGAGCAGCTTATCAAAGCTGGTCCATACGGAGATGGTCGAGTAAGCGTTGGACTGGCATTTGATGCTCTGTTCCTCCCAAAGGAGATTGTAACCGATCTCTACCAACGATGCCGACAAGCTGGAGCCAAAGTCATCACTACTCACTACTGCCGCGGTGCAATTTTTGGTTAGTTTTATCAGCCCAACTTGGCTCGAGAGAAACTAACTGGTTAACAAGGTCAAAATTCGATCGTGGACGTGCTTGAGGGCCATGGCGTCCTTGGGCCAGACATTCTCCTCTCTCACGCAACCAACCTCACTGATTCCGACGCTAAGAGGCTCACTGACGCAAAAGCTGGCATTTCTTCAACGCCAGATACCGAGATCCAAATGGGCCTAGGATATCCGGTCTGTTTTAGAGAAGACACCAAGTCTATTAGCTCCCTCGGCATCGATTGCCACAGCAACAACGGATCCAGCCTGATTAACCAGATGCGACTCGGCCTGCAAGCTGAGCGCGGACTTCGTAACTCAGCTCTCATTGAGGCGGGAAAAGCTCCGAAACACCTCAGCTTGTCTGTACGAGAGGTCTTTCGATTGGGAACAATTGGAGGTGCCAGGGCCATCGGTATGGAAGATCAGCTTGGGTCTCTTGAAGAAGGCAAGCTCGCCGACATTGTCATTTTCGATGGTCTCAGTCCTGGAATGATCTGTGCTTCCGAAGAGGATCCTGTGGCTGCGATTGTGTTGCACTCCTCCATTGCTGATATTGAAACGGTCATTGTAAATGGAAAGATTGTGAAGCAACGCGGAAGTCTTGTGCCTGTCGATCTTGATCTTTCGATGTCGGATTTGAAGTTTGCCAAGACACGATTGGAATGGTCAGATGTGGCACAGGAGCTGTTGAGGAGTCGCCAGCGCGTGATTGATGCGGGCAAAAAGAGCTGGGGAGGCGATATGGAGAAGGCATTGGACGGTGTTTCCAAAGCGTTTCACATTGATGCAAGCAACCTTGCTTAATTGTTTTAAAATATTCCAAAGATTGAATGGGCCATGCAATACGAAAGATGATTATAAGATACCACTGATAATACACGTTATCTAGCACTCGTATATCAATATACACTGGTAAAAGCCCCATGGCAACTTGGACTCTATCTTATTATTCATTACGCTGCAGTTAACCTCACTCGTCTTTCCAATAACGCCCGTAATATCATCATCCAAGAGGGGAGATGCCAAAAACGCCTACACTAGATGTCGTCTTCATCTTCAGCTTGATCGAACAACATGAGTTCCCTCGGCAGGTTCCAAGACTAGCCACTTGCAATCCAGATTCTTGTTTTCGTTGTGCTTTCTCAGAGTAGCGATGATCTGATTGGCAATGTCCTCAAAGTTGGACAGGGCAAGGGCCAAGATGGTGGGGCCGGCACCGGAGAGGCACACGCCGAGGAATCCCGGCGTAGTCTTTGGAGACATGGCTTCAACAATCTCGCACAGACCAGGAATGAGAGTCTGGCGATAAGGTTGGTGAACTTTGTCTTGCATGGCAAGGTTAATGAGCTCTGGGTCAGGTGGCGACTGGCCTAGAGCAACGGGGAGCAGGGCTATCCGCTGCAGGTTGAATACCTGAAGAAACCACAAAGTCAGCTATCAGAAAAACGCTCTATAAGTGCTGTTAGGTACTCACCACATCAGTACGCTGGTAGTTTGGCGGCAGGACAGCACGGGCGTCGTGAGTAGGGACAATGAAGTCGGGGATGATGGCAACGGCCTTGATCTCCTTGTTCCACGGGAACTTGATGTGGTGACCAATTCCGTGTGGGGGCTCCGGGGGTCGCTTGCCGGTATCAACTCCTCCTGCCGGTGCGGGAAGCACTTCACTCAACGGGATTTCTACTCTCGAAGCATCCTCAGGCTTCAATGGCATCAAATAAGTGCCGACGAATCCTCCAAAGAGGGCGGCGCCGACATTGTCAGGATGTCTCTCTGCATGGAGGAAATTGTGTTAGTGCAGGTCCCATGTTTTGCATCAATGAATAGCGTAAGATAGAATTGAGGGCATGTTTATTAACAGACGTACCGATCATCAAGCAATAGTCAAACAGCCGGTCCTGGTCCAAGTGATGGAGACCACCAACCTCCTTGCCAAGCATCACACCAGCAACAACAGCTGCTCCGGAACTTCCCAATCCCCTGCCCAGCGGGATGGGGTTCTTAATGTGGACATGCGTCTCGACCGGAAAGCTGCGCTGATCGTGGCATCGCAGGACATACAGTGCAACCCTGGTGATGAGGTTGTTCTGCGGATCCAGGCTAATATCACCAGACTCTTCACCCTGGCCCTCGTACGTCACCCTGCAGTTGAGGGGATGCTCCGACTTGGTCTTGGAGCGATCGATGGTGACGTGCAGCTCGAGGTATACGGACAACGCAAGGCCGATGACGTCGAAGCCAGGGCCAATGTTGGCGCTGGAGCACGGAGTCTTGATCACGAATGACTCCATGGCGGGCAGAGGCGGCTGTCGGCTTATTCGTACTGGCTCGTCTCGGTTCGTTGCAGCTGACGGGATGCTGCTTCAATGGGGAGAGTCAAGGCGACGACAATTTTGCCCTGCGATTTCCGGCCAAACAGATGTTGAATTGGCTCGCTCACCAGTTTCTGCTGGCGTGTTGAAGGGATGGAGAGGAAAATGTCTGCCCGGCTTGGCCCAAGCCATGGCGTTGCCGTTTGACAGGACCGATAACCGGAGCTCAAACTATCGATAGCGGGGCTTATCAGTGCAGCGAGACCCCTCTATCGCGTGTTTAAAGCTTCCATGTTCCATTGCGGAAGAGTCATGTGTTTTTGAGAAATTAAATCCTTGGACTGGTTAATTAGTTAATTAGTTAATTGAATCGTTTGATTATAGGATTCAACTAGGCAAAGACCGGCCCAACCGCGAGGACTTCGAATGCCAGCCTAGCAACTGGAACTCCCTGTGCTCTAGATGTGGTAGCTACACTGGCTATCAGCTATTATACAGCTTTCTCTTGCCATCGCTGTATAATTGATCCAACAGCTGCATTCGCCTTGGTGAAATCCACCGAATCATCCCATAGTGATTTTGTTTAGTAAGCACCATGATGTTTGATTTGGTGAGGTGTAAGTGCCAAGGCTTCGAAACTGAAGCTATAGCGGGGAATGTGCACGTATAAGACACCTGAGCAATTCCAGCACGATCCCAAGGAGAAATCAATGGGTATTATATGGTGTTTCGGCGATAAAATAAACGGAAATATAGCAGTCGGGGCAATATAATGATATAAATATAGACATCAGCTTATCCGCTCTACTTACCAATGGCCGGAAAAGAGGAGGGGTTAGGAACGGGGAGGCTTACTATCCATGTTAATTATCCATGAGATAAATTTAGGCCTTGTTGGGCGCCAATAAAGTGCTATCACTGCATTATTCAAGACCAGATCATAAGTCCTCTTATGTTTCAATCCTCCCCACGGCCTAGAACATGGTTATGGACATTTAGCCTGGCATAGTGCTTATAACATTCGAAGAGTCAGCCCTAGAACGGGCCACTTAGCCGGTCGAAGTGCCATATATCAAGCAGCAGAAGAACTATCAAATAATCCTGCAGCCTATATTTCTCGGTCCTTACTCGTTGCTCTTCTCGGATCCATAAAGGAACTTGCCTGTACTCACTTTTCACTAGCCGTGCAGTTGAACAAATTACATACCATCTTCCATCATGGCAACCCTACAGCCCGAAGATCTTTTCGCTCCCGTTCTTCGCACAGAGCGCCTTACTCTTACGCTCTTTAATATGAATGATAAGGACGACAATGACTTCATGACAATGATGTTCAATGCAGAATTGCCCGGAGCAGGTCCTACAGACGGCAACTGGACCGATAAAGATATACGCCGTTTAAGCTACTCTGTCATGTTAAAGCCATCCGACGCCCATGGTCGCATCTCAAAGGATCCTGCCGTCTACATCGCTCGCCTTGGAGACGCTACAGGATCGCCCATTGGTGTACTTAATCTTTGTCGCCGCACACCAAATGTTCCGGTCGATATAGGATACATGTTTAAACCAGAGTACCGTAAAAACGGGTACGGCACCGAGGGTGCAACGCGGCTCCTTCAGTACTTTACAGAAGAGTTCGGAATCAAGGAGATATGCCTGGTGACCGACGATTCAAATATTCCTTCTAAGAGGATTGCCGAAAAACTCAACTTGGTCGATGGCGGGTATGTCATGATGGGCAGCAACAAGTGCGTCGTTTTTGTACTGCCAGGGATGAAGAAGCTGGAGGGGCAGGATTTTCCGTTTTGGGGAGATGGCGAGGAGCCCTCGGCTTGAGGCTTTGGGTGACGGTGAAATACTTTTACATTAGCAATAGAAATAATCCAGCCATAGTAGTTCAATAGAGTGATAGTGATTAGTGGTACTCTGATACTCAAGCCCTCGAATGTAAAGCCCATATGAAAGTCGAACCAACTCTAGGGTGAAGGTGGCTTACATGTAGCGTCGCCATATCCATTTCCAATGATGGCGATGCAGTAGGCTAATCATAAAAATGACACTAGAATTCATACCATTTTTCTAACAATAACTTTATCATATCGATATTGCCCATTCGCCCATAGTTGGGCCGTCGGGGATTCATGAATCGGATTCTCGGGCTCTCATGGAACTAAATGCCGGCTCCTAAGCCCTGCGTCACCAACCACCCACATCTGCATTGTAGCAGGGGAGTGCTGGGACCGTCCGATATCGCGAATAGAGAGGAAACAAATCCACTATGGATATAATAGGCATTGTCTTAAACCTTGTTATAGTATTAATGATTACACAGAGACTGCCGGGTCTCTGCCGCTTCAAGCAATTCTCGTTGGGAAGAGTGAGCACCCTCCTTTCACAATGCCGGTAGTACACCGTTCGCATGCATGGGACTGTCCTACCACCGCAAGATAATTGTACAGCGCGCAGATCAGTTATTGTGGATCGTATTTCTCGGGAATTAAAACCCGATGCGCCAGGCAGAGCTAGAATAACGGTTATGAAAGGATCTTCCAACTGCCAACTAACGGCCTTGTGGATACGACATTTTCCTCTGTTGACGTTTGCCAAGCTTCAACTACAAACGTCCTGGTCACGCCTCGCTAGTAAACGATCGACCTTGATCTCAGCTCCTCTGCCCCCCTAAACACGACAAAAGTCGTAAACGACCCATCAACTTGCCCGGGTCCCTCGGGTCGAAATCGTCGGCCGCAGCGGCCGTTGCACCAGCTTTGCCTTATTCGAACAAGAATTATGGGCATTGCCGGGACATTTGACGTTACTCCGTGGCGGACCTCCAAGCAAAGCCTGGCTAAAAGCGCTGCCCGCATTCTCGTCCCTCTTTTTGTTTGCTTTTTATGCATCTATTGTTCGTATATGCTGCTACACGCCGTCCCGCGGCAGGACGTCGCGGCTGCGTACATGTGAAGTTTTTTGGGAGAGAGTTCCATGGCGAATCAAACTGCCATCGTTGAGACGCAGAACGGAAAAAGCAAACGCATTCTAAGCCTCCGCCCGTTGGGCTTCAACTAACACGGCAGCCCACCACTATCTTCAGCCATACCGCCAGCCCGCCCATTTCTCGTACAACGGCATCACCTGGCGGGCTGACTGCGTCATCAATACGAGCCGGATCGGCACTGCTCGCACTAATCGCGGCTGTGGCGATGCTCCAAGGGTCCGCGTCTGGGGAAGCCGGTTGGGCGACTGGGGGAGTTGAGAGAATCGCCCGATGGGCCGGAGGGAGTTGTGCAGAGGGTTCTTCGTCTTGGAATGGGCATTGTCAAGAGATCTGGAGAGGTGAATTGAATGGATTGACTGGTCTGCAGGTGACGGGTAAATAAATTCAGGTATTATTAGATTATTAGGCTAAGACAAGAGCAGCTGAGAATGAGACGCTGTGGGCAGCCATCTTTAACTCAAAGCCAAGAATACGAGCTTAATTGACCATCATCATCCCACTCGATTAGTACGTACTAATAATCCTTAGTAGGATACTCGCACTTTGGCAGGTCGGTCCTTTTGGCTGCCACAAATCGAATGCGCCTCCACCGGAGATACCCTCGAAAGCCTGGTGCTCGTACTAGTATCACCGTAGCAAAGTGGCCCGCACGGCACGTACCACGTACCAGCGCAGCGGATCTTGCCATGTCGCCCACTCTGTTGTTACATGGTACCGTTCGGTACGTACTCGTAGACAAGCAGCGAGTCCGGGTTGTTTTTTTATTAGTACTGAGATCCAGTGTTATTTAGGCAGTGGAGAGACAAGGGATGTGGTGTTGCTATATTTGTGGACCGCATCGGCATCAGATGATCGGACACGAACAGCAGAACCGGAGACTTGCCCTGTGCTTTGCTGTGACGAGTCAGTTTGCTGTACCCTGTTGCTTTGCTGTAGCCTTCATGCGCATGTATGAAGGTATCCATACGAGAAGGGTGTGTAGGAGGCCGAAGGACTTGGCGATGGCTTGATGCTACGATGCATCGGGAAGGGAGGAGGCAAAACTGAGCCTCGATGGGGAAAGCTTAAGGCGGTGATGATGGGCAAGCTGCATTGATATTTTGTATAAAGGCCGGGCTTGTCCTCGTCCTTGATGCCATCTGCTCTGAATCATCAGCTTCACTCTTCACTCAATTCTATCTTGATTACAGCACCAATCATCCTCGCATCACATCTTGCTATCCATTCTCGCAGTTAAGCTTTCGTTTATACAACTTCTTTCCACATCAGCCAAAATGCAACTGTCCAACATCTTCACTCTCGCTCTCTTCACTGCCGCCGTCTCCGCGGACACTGGTGAGACAAGCACCCTTCACAACTCCCCCCCATCACTCCATCTTTACTAACATCTACATTCCCCAGTCTCCTACGACACCGGCTACGACAATGGCTCCCGCTCTCTGAACGACGTCTCCTGCTCTGACGGACCCAACGGTCTCGAAACCAGATACCACTGGTCGACCCAGGGCCAGATCCCTCGCTTCCCATACATCGGAGGTGCTGCCGCCGTCGCCGGCTGGAACTCTGCTAGCTGCGGAACCTGCTGGAAGCTGCAATACAGCGGCCACACCATCTACGTCTTGGCTGTTGACCACGCTGCTTCTGGCTTCAACATTGCGCTCGATGCCATGAATGCTCTGACCGGTGGCCAGGCTGTTCAGCTGGGCCGCGTTTCTGCTACCGCTACTCAGGTTCCTGTTAAGAACTGCGGTCTCTAAAGCTGCTCCATCTTCAAAGAAGTTCGGTTTAAAACCATTTTTGGTTACTATTACATTGCATTGTGGGACAAGGCGGGATTACATTGGGCATGGGTTTTCATAATATGGGAATACGGGAAGAGACGCATTGAACGTGGAGCGAATACAAATACAGACGACCTAAACGGCAAATATTATTAAATACACAGCACCCTCACCGGGTATCATTAGCATTCTAAATAATCTGTGCCAGGCGTGAATCCGCAGTATGAAAAAAAAGGTTTGCCCAAGGTGGGAATTGATGGAGTCTTGTAAGCTGATCGACGTGGCTGGCAGATGTGCGAAGATGGAGATGCATTTAGCCGCGACTGGCGACCAGTAAACCGCCATTCATCGAACTCGATTGGTCCGGTTGACGATGTAATTGGATGCGGCCGTCGTCACCTGTCAAGCTTATTTTTCATCGTTAGCTTTTAGATCGGCAGCAAGTTTACGTCAATTTTTCCATACGCTGATCAGCTTACATTGTACTCGTACTGCAATTTCCAGTTCTATCACTCCCCAGTCCACTCGGCTTCGACGAACCACATCCTCGACTTCTCCGGCTTCCATATACCGTTGACCTTGAACCGCTCATCTGCCCGTGCAAACAATTCTCTCCAATCATCCGGCTCCCTTTCCCTGGCATTCACAGTGACTTGCATAAAGAGGTCCAGAGTCCTCATGGTCTTTTCCTCGATATATCCAACCGTACCAGGCTCCGGTAACGCTCCGTCGTTGATGATGACCTTTGCTCCTTTTCTCAACGAAGGGATCAGCGCCCGAAGAATCTGTAAACAATATTTATCTGAAAAACCGTGGAAGATCATGCGGAAGAAGTAAGCGGCTGCGACAATGGGCTGCGGTGTGAAGAAATCGTGGGTGGTGAGCTCGACTTTTGATTGGAGATGTTGGGGGACCTTGCCGATAGTTTCCGGGGTGCGCATGCCTGGAGTATCTTGGACGATGAAAGTGAGATTCGGGAAGGCTTCTGAGATGGCGAAGGAGATGTAGCCTTGGTTACCGCCCATCTAGTACAAAGATATGTTAGCAAGCCGCCTCGTGTAGCTTGTAGAGTGGAAATGGCCTACATCAACCACGGTGGCATCTTGAGGGAGCTTGCCCCATGGATATCCTTCAATCACCGATTGCATGGAGTAGCCCTCTCCGCTGCCATGGGCTTGCATAGCCAGGTTATATCTCCGGGAAAACACTGCATCCTGCTGAATAAAGTCGAACCAAGGAAGATCCTGCTTATATGCAAGGTTGACACCAGTCTCTGTCGACTCTTCGCTCGCGGGCCACTTCTTCATCGCCGGGATGACGTTGGCAACTGGTAGCCACAGGTCATTGCACATGAAGCCAACCCAGTTGCGCAGAGGAGCATCTTCTCGGATGAGCTGCGAAGTGCGTGAGTGAGCCACGAAACCCTTTTTAGGCTCTACGAAGATGTGATTTGTCATTGCGTGGCGGATGAGACGGCGTAGATCGAGCAGCGAGATGTTGAGCCCATTGTTCATCTCTCTCACTTTTGCCGTGAGATCCTCATACGAGATGGTGCCATCGAGAGGGACAGCATCGGCAATCTTGAATTCCCATACTGATTGAAGGGATAGAGTGTTGACACACTGAGCAATTGAGAGGCATTGTTTAGCTCAGCCCTTACGGATCCGGTACCTGATTGTTTGTATGCAACTTACATCCCAAGCCAAGTACCTCAGGTTTTCCTTTGGGCCGAGAGCAATGTCATGCAGCTCCTTGGTAAGAGCTATAAGGTCTAATCGAGCTTTGTATGGCTCTTCATCATCCTGCGAGATGGGAAATTCGACAAGTCCGTCGACATCGAATGACGCAGCATCCAGGCCTTTAGCGGTGAGATGGTCGGTGATAATCTTAGTCTTGGCTGCGATCTCCTCGGAGAGAGTCGTCATCCGTTGGACGGAACGTGATGCCATTGTTGGTACGCTGCGTCTATGCGCGACAGGCTGATAGGGTGAGAGCTAAGTCGAGGGATTATTCCACTCCATCGCTTTCACGATGTCTCCACCCCTCCTTTTATTCTGAAGCCAATGGTGGATAGATCTGGTTTTCGCCGTCGCTTTCCAGCTCCGCGGACGCGGGGAACCTCTGGTGGCACTAGGGAGCGCCAGCCATTACTAGCACTACGTGAGGTAAGCGTAGGTAGGCATGTAGGTATGTAGGTGAGGTGTTCTTTTCTCGATGATGATCATCAACATGTTTTGATATTTTTATCCAGGCTTTCGGCCAATGACCACGTTAAATGGCGTGTAGCCGTGCTGACTGTTGTCTGTTAGCTCTTTTCGCACGTCTATTAAATACAATTCCAGTTCTTCTATCGTCCAACCGAGGCCCCGCGTAAAAGGCCTCACAGCAACGCCGTAGAGGGCATCTTGAATCATGCTCCTGTTGTAGAGCCCACACTTTTTTAAGGTCCTGTCTCTTGGCCATGTGCCAATGGGAATCTTGAAGGGTATTTCGGCGACATCGACAAAACCTCCGTCGATGAGGTTCTTTTGGTTGTGCCGCATGGCTAACAAGTCGACGTTGAAATGCTCCAGTGCGCGCCTCATTGTCTCGAAAAAGTCTTGGACTTTATTGCCTTCGCGCACCGTTCCATCGTCGCACTTGACTTGGAACTGGAGCTCTTGTAGTTCAATCCACCCACCGGGCTTTAGTGCTCTATAGCGAAATCCAACGGCGATTAGCAAAAGGGTTCCCCAGCCCGCCATGATTGAGGCACTGAGGTCTACTTACGTATATGCGCGCGATAATAACACAGGCCAGTCGCGAATTGAAGAGGTCATGTGCCGGATATGGATGTAGTCGAGAGAGGCTTCAGGAACCACCCACTCCGCCTCGGCATCGTCCACCATGAACCGGACATTTGGCGGTACCCACTGAGGCTGGATTGGACTCAGATCGATGCCGGTGATCTCGGCCCCGGGATATTCATCGCCCACTGTAATGATTGCCTTGTTAACTGCTGTCTCGTCCCATCTCATCGGCGCATTGCGAGCGAGAGAAGCAAAAGTATAATAGTAGAGAGCTGCTTACTGTCCATGGCCCAGATGCCCGTCCCCGTCCCTATGTCCAAGATATTCTGTGGATTCTCCAGCGGCGCAAAGTGGAGTTTGCCTTGACAGAGGTGCACCACCATGGCATGCTTCATGTCCTCCCTCTCCTGTTCCGGCTCATCGTTGGGGAACTGGTACCGGCCCTCCTGAAAGCGGTGGTAGCGCCTGTTGTTCTCGAACTCGTAGTCGCGCACGCTGCTGCATACCGAGGTGGACGCTCGCGACGCCAGATCGGACTCGTAGCCGCCATCGCTGGCCGTGTCGTCCGCCTCGATGGTCGGATCCGGCGCCTCATCACCGACGAGAGGCGTCTGCACCGGCTCCAGCCTCGCCGATGCCGCGGTTACCTCGACCGGACTGCCGATGCGAGGCTTCTTGGCTGGTGTTGATACGGGCGATGTCTCGTCGTGGCCATGCTTGCCTGCGGTGTCGCCCGGCTTGTCCATTGTACTGTTGCACTCGCTTGTTTGTCCAGGCAACCGGTTGCGCAGGCAGTGACGCAGCAAAACTGCTCACTATTTGCTCGCCAACGGGCCGCTGGGGCGAGTAACTTGTCAGGATCGCGACGCGGGATTGCGCCCAAAGAGGAAGAAATATCTGACCCTTAGTCAGTCATCTGCGCATGTGGTCGCCGTATTGGCATATTAAAGTGTCGTTGGCAGGGGATGAAGATGCGGGTCGGCCAGAGTCCAATCACGCGGTGGCGGATCGTCACATTAATCGCCGATAGACCCGCGGAAAAGTGACGGTGCCAATGCCCAGTTTAGCACTTGCGCAAGCCTCGGGCTAGAAGCCAAGATCTCCGGGCTGTTCATAAGGTTGCTTGCCACTATATTATTCTGCTATCACCTTCTTTTGCCCCCCGGCACGGGCCGTAGATTGGCTCTTTCTTTGCTCAGCGAATGGGAAATCATACTGGACATGATTCAACAGACGACGGCTACTCGTTCTTCTCCTTATCCGTCGATTCTGGCTGCGGCTTGCCCTTCAGATAAGTCACGATCCCACCAAGACCGCCAACACCGGCTACAGCGCCTCCAGCGGTCTGAGCAGCGCCCGTCAGCACCGCTACCCCGTATCCTCCAGTGGCAGCGCTCTGCAATGTGGCAAAAATACTCCCGACGGCAACGTTGCCAATGCCCGCATGCATGGCCGACGCAGCAGAGGCTGTCGTGGATTATTGGTAAGTAAATGAGTAGCGGATGTATGGAGTGACCTCAATACATGTAATGGGGCTTGGAGAGGCACTTACAAGCAGCTATCCCTGCTGGCGTAAAGCCTGCCGCTCCAGCAAGGCCCATGGCCGGAGCCGTGAGAATTGCAGGAGCAGCAACAACAAGGAGCCCAGTTCCGGTGACTACCGTGGCCGCAGTAAGCAGGGGGTTCTCCCAAGCAGTCTTGCCCAGCTGTTTGATAATTCATGTTAGATCAACACTATATATTCCCAGGCAACGCATGCTGTACTTACACGCTGAGCTGCAAGTTGAGCTCCATCCATGAAGCTGTGGTTGGAATCTTCTATGTCCATTTTTGACCCCTCTGCGCCGTCCACACACGTACATGTGCATGTATCCTTGCGATGCATGATTCTAGCTGGTGATTTTTCATTTGCTGAGCCAGAGGCTTCGTCGGTATCTCGTCTCGCAGCGCTGATGCTCGAACACTCCCCGATGATCTCAGCGTCCGTGGCATCATTTCTAATCCCTGGCTGAGTTTCTGTTTTCATCGATGCGTCTTCGGCACGAGTCATTTCAATTTCGACGTGAAGGCAATCATCTCGAGCTGCTTCGGCCAGACTTGGCATCGCGGTGTCAACGTTGCCTTGCTTCTCTGCCGTAGCCTGGTTACCAAGTCCCGTTGCGATGGACTAATCATTTGTCAGTACACATGTTCAAACAATTTTAAACGGGCGGTAGATGTTTCCAACACGTAGATAACTTAGTTGTGGTGCTGCACTTCCCGCATGAATGCTGTTCTGGACGTTTTCGATGGCCCGATGGATGTTGGCAGCGTTGACATGCTTGGATACCTCGTGCTGGGCGTTTGCCAGACCTCCTCGAATCTGAGCAAGAAAGGACATATCTTTTGCTCTTGCACTTTGTTGAATTTGCAATAATAACAATAGGAATTTGATGTCCGTAGCTCACCGTCGCGATGTGGTGCCAATATTTGAGAGATGGAGATGTCAGGATGAAGGAAGATGCACACCTACCTGTAGGAACTTGATATGCACTCAGTAGGGGTGTTAGCCAGGGGGGAACTTGGTGCGGGCAGGAAAAAGATTTCTCCCTACAATAACAATTGTTTTATTACTCTTGGCAAGGCTGTAACCTTTGGCCATGCACCGGGTGAATTTGGGTGCCGATGGTGGCGCGGGAGGCCTACAACGAGGCCGAGAGACGGAGCCCAATCCGCCATTGTCACCTAATTATATCTAGGTAAGCCAGGATCCAACCCATTATAACCCCAGTGAATGTGGTGCCAATATTTGAGAGAGGAGATGTCAGGATAAAGGAAGATGCACACCTAGGATTGAACTTGGCCTGCACTTAGTAGGGGTGTTACAGTATTGGGCAATCCTGGTAGGGTAAAATAACTAGATCCTGTAAAATAGAGCCCTATAATTATTAACAAAGACCTCTATGGCGTTTATAATTATGGAAGGGCTTACAGCACACGACCCGTCTAGGAAATCAAAACCATTTAAGATATTGAAATTATTCAAGAAACATTAGGCTTGTTACGACCCAACGTATTTATGGTCACAACGCTGGGCCTACAGGGTAGGCATCGCGGACAAACTTCTGAACCTTGATCAAACAGGATGACCTTGATCGAACGGGATGACCTTGATCGAACGGGATGATCTTGATCCAGCTAGGTAGGCCCGATCAATCTAATTGACCTCGAACGATCCCGAAGACCTTGATTAAACAAGCTGACCGCAATCTATCTAGGTGGTCTCGTTCTATCAAGGTGGCTTCCATCAATCCGGAAGACCTTGATCGAGCTGGAAGACCTTGATTGAACAAGCTGACTACGATCTTTCTAGGTGACCTCGTTCTATCAAAGTAGCGTAGCTTCAAACGAACGGGATGACCTCGAACGATCCGGTTGGCCTTGATTGAACTAGCTGACCGCGATCGGCGCAGTTGCTTTGCTAGCCCTTATGAACGCCTTTAGCGGGTATCACACTTGTATTGTTTAACTGAAAGCGGCTGTATTTGTTATGAAATCCACCTTTAAAGCAATATACATCAAAAATCACCCGGAAGCAAGGATTCACCTACTTTCAATATGCGACTCGGGTCAGTTACTGAGATGAGGAGGGTGTAAGAGGATTGTAAATAGCTTTGGAGACCAACTTGGGTGCCCATATCTCGGCATCGCCAAACCGATCCACCGTCAGCCCAGCCCGGCCGGGATTTTTCCTGCCGGCCTCGACTTTGACGCTTGTATGAATACTCACGCAGCCGCTCGTGTTCTGCGGGTGTGAGATTAAGCTAAGCAGCGATGTCAGCTCAGGTGCTAAGGATGACACTTTTGGAGGGGCTTACATAGATCTCGACTGCGATGACGTGGATAAAGGCCGCCAACCACAATCCCACCCCGAATCTAACGCTGAGGGCAGCTGCAGCTTCCGCAGCGTTTGCTGAACCCGAAAGCCTAGCCCTAACGGAGGCAAACTGCCCCGTGCTCTGGCCTGACAAGAAGCTTGCGCACTCTGGATAGGATTCACGAGTCACTGTGTCGTTGGCGACTGTGAAGGCCAGCTTATCGCATGGCATAGGGATGTAATACGTGTCGAGAGACGATACGATGTAAGCGGTGAGGATCTGGATGAGTCGAAGTGTAATGACAGATCCGGCCTGGGAGTGGGAGGTCATAGTCAGTCCAACTTCTGCGACTAGGATTCGTCATATACGTACGTACATAGACCCAGGCTCGTATCATCCAGGCCCGATGCTGCTCGATCTGCAACCTCTTGATGTTGATCACTGCCATCGCGAGGCATACTAAAAATGCGACAGAGAGCACTCCGATCCCAGTTTGAATCTCGACGGTCCCACCATATGACACGGGCGTGCTTATGAACGCGCCAGCCATGCCGACCAAGGTCAGGAGAAGCACGATGTAGCCATTGACCCGATGAAGTATGGTGATGACGGGCACGAACTGGAAGCAGGCGAGGATGCCGGCGGGAAGGATGCAGGCCGGGGGTTGCAGATAGTGGAAGCACTCCCCTGGGCCTGCGGCGCCTACAGTGTCTTGGTCTAGGTTGCAAAATTGGCCGCGGAGGCCGATGGCTGGGAGCTTTGCGAGCGAGAAACCGAGCAACGCGCCGCACGTAATGAACCAAAGGACGGTATTGTAGCCCTTGGCAGAACCGATAGGGTTGTACAGGTGGCGGGCCGCCTTTACGAAGGCGTTCCGCGGGAGCCGATCTGACTTGACCATGGTTGGCAGGGGGGAACTGCTATAGCTTAAGACTTTAGGGAGTTTGGTGTTTATATGTAATGAGAAAATGGATGACGCTAAACAACATATTCAGACGATGGAATTTGAGCTCTATATGGTGGTCTTCTACCTTGAGCGATCGACTACAAGTGTAGGGCAGGTATTCTTCGAAGTGTCTCGCATTCGGTTGAGGCTTAGATGCGAGGCGGGGGGGCCTTGAGATAGAGGTGTCTATTTTAAGTGTTTGCCAAGGTAATGTATTCTGTTCCTTCTCCAGCGTTCCTCGCAGAGGTACAGCCTACTGGGTTTGTATAACCTCATGTCACAGTATCTATGCTCTCGATGTAGTTGAGGCCTTGCGGCAACTTACTACACATTACGCACGGTTTTGCCTATACCCAAAGAAGTTATGCCGTTGCGACGGGTCTGCGGCGCTACTTGCCGCCATAGCTTTTGTGGAGGTTTCATCATAGTGGAGGGTTATCCCGAGTAAACTGGTCCTTGGCTTCAGGGCCACAGGAGAAATTGTAGGTGGACTCCCACCGGGCCGTCAACTAGGTAGTACAAGTGTCAGCTTAGCCTCGTCCCAAACTGGAAGTTTTGTTGCGACCCGCCAGCATCTGGCAGCTTGGCAGTCTTGGCACCTAATTACGCGTACGTGTAAGACCTCTTGTGGTGCCTCTTGAGTTGTCTGCCAAGCTCAAAAAGCAATTCGTTTATGGAGCTCTGCCAAGGTGAGGCCGGACCTCAATCGAACCTTGCTATGGTATCCCTCGGACGAGTCCGGTCGTGTCTTCACATTCGCTGGGGAATTACAGTCGTCTCGATAGGCTAACTATTTAGAGACTGTATCTAAAATGATAGAGCGACTGTATTTAAACGCTTTCAAGTAAGGCATATTGCTCAAATATCCTAATATAGACTGCAACAACAATTAGAAAGGGTGCTACTTGAGCCAATAGATCAAAAACATCCGTCAGTGCCAGCAGCTTATGCTAGCCACTGCGCTTTACAACAGCCCATAACGGAATCCTGTTACATAGACGAACATTTTTTTAAGGCTAGTGTAAATTATATGAGTATATAGACGTAGTATTATAGCCTTTTTTAACACTGTATTATAATTATATACAGATTACTTAAGTTTATATATATTTTTAATGTAGATTAATGTACTTTAGACTTTTTGCTCAAATACGTTAGATATAGTTGATTTATTACATGTATTTTAGATAATACAGTCTTTAAATACCTAGTTGCCAGTCTCAATAGCCTGGCACACACACTTGATCTCTGTTCTCTCTGACTTGCACAAAGTTCGTGACCCACTATCGGTGATACGTTGCTAATGCGACGGCCGCATCCATGTACATGTACTGTCCTGTACGGGGTTTAGGTCGGTGGCCTTGTCAATTATAGTAATCGACAGCGGTCTCAGCCTCGAATCCTTCCATGTCTTCACCGATTTGCCCGTCTTATATCCCCATCCTGTCGCAACTGCTGCTCTGGACTGTTTCTTGTCCTACATATTCCCGCACCCCCGCACGATTGTTGTGGCGCCGTCTGCTTCACAGCTCGATGCAATGGCGTTAGACCCGGGAGATACTCTATCCAGCTGCTCCAGCGTCCCTCCACCCTATTACGCTAATCCCGAGCACCCAGAAGACTACAACCGGATCGCAGAAGACTACAAGCGGATCGCGGAAGAGAGCACCAAGACGCTCGACGAGCCGTCCCCAGGGAAAGGAAAGTAGGTAGTGGCCCATTCCAGGATTGCGCGTGTATCCAGTCTTGACTGACCAAGGCACTGGGGCAGGGAAGTTCCGTTCATCGACGACGATGGTCTCCCCGAGGTCGTTGTCGCTAGCTCATCGGAGGCCCACGACGAACCCACACAAGAGACGTTCACCCCTCCCGTGGGGTCAAGCCTTGTCGAGACCGTAACGCCTCTGCATCTGCTTGGCGATCAATCGGATACCGTGGACTGCCCGTTCTGCAGGCGCCGCGTGGAAACCAGGGTGAAGAAGAGCTCCTCTGTCGCGACTCAGTATGTTCTTTGCTATCCCCCAACCCATGGAACCAACTCGATCTAACCTTGCCACTCCAGTGTTGCGGCAACGGCGCTCTTCCTGACTACCGGCGTCGGAGTGGTGGCCCCGTACATGAGGCGTTGGAAGGGCCATGTCACCCACTACTGTATGAATTGCGACCGGAAAGTGGCGCATCGACGCTACAATGAGCAGGGTATGCAGGCACTCGGAACACCCGACCATCTGCGAGAGGCATCGCGGTTCCCTGAAGCAGAGGCACCGAAGCAAGAAAAGCAGAAAAAGCGATGATGGACACCGACATCGCCGTAACTTGGGAGTCTGCAGAATCTCGGGACTAGATGTACGAAGGCCTTTTTTTTCTTGCTTGGGAGGCAGTTCCCCGCTGTCTGATATAAACATGTTGCTCAACTTGGCCGTAGTCAAAGCCTTCTTGCGCTTCCTTGCTCTAAGCAATGTTTCATAGATACCCCAAGAATTGACCCAGTTGGTACATGTATAATGTCGTTGTCTAGCCGCTTGCTGGCTCAGACCCTCGAGAGTCTACGACCCGCTGGCCATCTTCAAACCCTCACTCACTTTCCCAGCCAGTAGTGCCACGTCATGGGCGAGAGGCTGCTGTTTCACTGGTAGTTCGATAGCCACCAGGGCAGCAGTGCGGACGAATTGTTTCCGCATCCAGTTGAGCTGCCCGGGTCGTAAGGCACGGGCGAGGAGCAAGCTACCCTCGTCGTTCCCGGAAAGCAGGTTGATGACCGCGCTCAGGCACGTCATCATGTGCCATGGCCCCTGCACGACTATGTGTCCTCGATGAGCCTCGGAGCTCATGTAGTTGTCGCTCGCTTTGTACTTGAGGAACTGTTCGCTGCTCGGGTCGAGGTCGAAGTAGCTGGTGTGGAGTATGGTCGGGTTGGTCAGGTCGGACAAGGCACCGCGTTTGTATCGGTTGCCAACGTAAAATGGAATGCTGTGGCAGACGGCATCAACGAGTTCTTGGACTCGCTCCCGAGTACCACGCATGAGTGTAGTGGGGGGGTGGTATTCGCTTGGCTCTGACCGAGCTTTATAGTCGAGGGCAGCGAGCCTGATCTTGAGCAGAATCAGCTGGTGGCATCGCCAGATATTCCATATCGCCGCCACTTGGCTCGCAGGGTATATGTCGCATCTCCCCGCGTAGGTTGGTATCGGTGGGACGGCATCTGGCACGGCTGGAAGTGTCACCGGGGCCCAGTGGTTCGGCAGCACGCTCGGCCACTCTCGCAGAAGAGTTTCGGTCGTCTCGATTTCTGCCAAGAGTATCTCGACTGCACGCCACGACTCTGGGGTGGGCTGTTGACGCAGGCGAGTGAAGGCGTGTTGGATGTTGGCAATGGAGATGCCGATAGTATCGAGAATTGTAGATGGATTCTGCACAACAAGATTGCGCTTTAGCCACTCCTCCATGTTGGCCGGAAAGGCAGTCCCAGAGTGCAGCCGGTACGACACCTCGCAATGCAGTATGCGGCGCACTACGTGGATGCCAATCTCCCCGTCCGAGATGCTTAAATCGTGCTGCATCAACAGGGCCACCGCGCCGTCGTGGTGCGTTCGGTTGACCTCGCGAAACCCGTATATGGCATTCATGTTCTCGTAGAACTGCATAACGAGAGCCGCAAACGGGGTCGCACGGCTCACCCTCTCCTCTTGAGTCTGCAGCGCCGATCCCAGGCGCGCCAAAGCGACGCCCAGCGGCTTGTGAGGCGCCGTGAAGCTTTGGGCATCGCCGCGCCAGAGGGACAACATACGCGTGGCCAGTGCGGTCACGGCTGTAGTGGCTGCCGAGTCTTTGGCCTCGGTCGCGAGGATGGGCGGCAGCGCCTCGAAGAACCCCCGGGTCGAGGCCAGCGTGCGGCCGGCGTCAACAAAGTAGGTAAAGAAGAAGCCCATGGCGAGATCCGGCTCCGGATATCCCGGCGACCGGGCGAGTGACGGAGCGGCAACGGCGCTGGCAACGGCGCCGGTATTCTGCTGTCGCTGTGGACCGGCGGCGACCTGGACCTTGAATCTTAGCTTGGGCGGCTTCCTCTCGTAGCCTCCACAGATGTAGCCGAGACGCCGGCAGTGGCAGCACGTAGGCCTGCCTTCGTCGCACCGCACACGCCGTGCCTTGCAAGTATGGCAGCCCCGTGAGGGCCCCTGATTGACCATTTTAGCAAGGCCGATGCTGGTCTCAAGTGATCACAACGTTTTTCTCGGACTAAATTCACACACATGTATTGGCGAGTCGCATGTTGGATTTTGGGTGCAAGGCATGGCAAAGTGAGGTATCTACATGTATGTTGCGGAATACTAGGTACTGATTTCCCGGACACTAATATACCGCAGTGAGGGCTGTCTCGTCCATGTTCTGTTCCACACGCCCTTGCTAAACCTACTCGAGAAAGGTTGGCGGGAGATCAGGTCCTTGAGACAACAAACATTTTTTCAAGTTAACAATTGGGCAATAATAAGAATTACACATGTCTAGTAACCTTGACTTACCCCACACATATAAGTTCTTATGCGACGCTTCGGACACGACGGTTTCTTGGCTGTCATTGCAGAGATCACCATCGACATAGTGCTCGAGGATAAATTTGGACGCGTCAAACCTGCAGGACAATGGCGTCAGCGATAAACATGTAGACATTTTCCGGTGGACAGATGTCGCCCATCTGTTTATGCTGAAAGGGGTCCTGGCTCACCAGTAGTCGAAAATCTGGCTTCCCATTACGTGTCGACCGATTCCCCAGCAATTCTCCCAGCCCCTGTGGCGCAGCCAGTCGTGGCCGAGGACCTGCGTGTCGAAGTCATGCGTCTCAAACGATGAGTGGTGGACGTGCGCCTTGGGGCCCTCGAAGAAGAAAAAGGTATGATGGTCAACCAGTTCTTTTCCTCGCATCAGGCGGTTGAAGGCTATCACATTCTTGCCCTCTGGGTTATGTCCAAGCTATTAAGTTCAGGTTGTCGTTAGTAATCTAGGATACATGTGTCCATCTACCTCCTTCTTGGCAGATATCAGTTAAAATACTTACATCACTAGGATAGAAGTTGAACCGTGACGTGTAGAACTCGAAAGCCTTATCAAAGTTTGTTACACACATGCCGAAGTGACCGAGCTTGTGCACCGGAGCAGGGCCTATTTTCATGTGTTAGCGCTGAGATTACGCCTGATGCCAACAGCATATGTATTTATATTTATTCTGCCACTGACGTTTGTCGAATCGCTGATATTGGCCACCGCCACGGTTCTTGTTTCCTGGCTGCATTTCGCATGGTCAGATGTGCTGCACATTCAGGAGCGAAGCTCGCGATTACTGCAATCACTTACAAAGTTGAAGTTCAACTCTGGGAGCACAATCTCCTCGTCTAGCTGAGTCTGTCCATGCACTAAGTGGAATGGGAAATTATCGACCGGATCGTGGAAAGTGACGCATCTGCCGCCGCCCGGCGCATCTGTCAGGTCGTAAATCTCCGAGGCGCCGGGTATTGTTCGCGACGCAAGCTCCAAATCCTCCGGCGTCTCGACGACAAAGGCGGCACCGCCAAAGGAAGGCTCATCACCCTCAATCGCACAGTACAGAAAGGGTTCGCGGCTGTAGCCACGGTAGTACGTCTTGTTGCCGAATCGCTTACATTCCTTGAGTCCAAAATCGTCCAGGAAGCGGCGAGCAGTTTCGATATCCTTGTGTGTGTAGTACACGTGCGCAACTCGCACTAGGTTAATCTTACGCTCGACTACGATGCCTGTCATGTCGAAGGTGAATTTTTGACGAAGATACAAGGGACGGACAAGCGAAGTGGTAGTTCCTAGTTTGTCTTAAGGCCTTCCCACGAGTTGTGGTGTGGGGAGATGGGTTATTGCGACGTCAAGGGCGACAGCTTGATTTTGTCATGTCAAACTTGTCTGAATGTGCAACTATCACGACGCACGCCTTAGACAGTTATTGATCCCCGCAAGTTGTAAAGCCGGCGAGACGCCACGCGATGACGGAAATCCGGGGCTGCAAGGGACCCATGACGCCAAACCCGGGATCCCGCTGGGCCCGGAATCCAGGACTTCCCCGGACTAACTTCGCACTGCTTCGGATTAGGGTCATCAACGAGACTAATGGCCGATCCGATGGACTCTCGATTGCGGGGGAGCCAGGCTGCGGGCTTGAGGAGCTGTCGGGCGTCTCCAGACAAAGTGCCCTGCCCACAGTTGACTCCAGCTTAGGGTCGGTCGGTCGGTCCATTAGATATGCAGCTGGGTGATCATCTTCTGAGATAGTCATCTGGACTCATTTGTCGTTGCAGTGGAGTGACCCCGTATCCACTCGCTACTTCGATCAAGGAAATCGACTTGTCCGGTCACTCCAGCACCACAACGGATGTGTGCACCTGATCCGTAAAGGCCAGATCCATTCTGTAGTGCAGATCCGGCGTATTGACTCATTCATACGAACATTAGTAGCACGAGCTGAGGAATACATCTCAATGTAGATTCGTGCAGCCGGGAATGCGAGGATGGCTACGGCTCGCCCCTTGGAGCACGTCGTTGTTCCGAGTCCATGGACCTAGAACCCCTGCGGCCAACTTGGGGACGTGTAAACCCGCAGAGTGGTCTTAAGCTGTCAAGTGTGACTTGCAATAAGATAGTGCCGGGAATTGCAGCAGCGGGGCAGAGCCGCAGCAGTCACTCTCACTCTCAAAGTTGCCCCGAGATCTCTGCGCACGCACACATACCATCAGGTGGCGGTGGCGGTTAGTTTTTTCTTGGCCCTACGTAGTAAAGTAATAGACCACTTGCCTGGAAGTCTTCACGAAATTGGCCCGCGCCCGACAAAGATTGCCATGAGCATGGTTGGGGTAAAGCGAAACGCTGCTATAGCACCAGCGCGGAGTCTAGCGAGGGGCTTCATCTGCTCAGGGCGAACAACATCGGATATCCAGTGACCTCATTTGCCGTCCGTCTCTGGTGCAGGTGTGTTATCGGAACTACTGGAACATAAGTCATGCATTCGTGGTTTTCATTCTCCGAGTCACCCCTTGCTTATTTAGCTTGGCCAATTAGTTGATGATATCCCCTTGATCTTTCCCATCATCACGCATCTGAAATTTACAACAGGACAGGTGTTTTAACTCAACTAACACGAAAGTATGGCCGTCGCTCGTCGTTGGACTCATCTCATCCGATTCATCGCCAAGGAGGATGGCAGGATTCACCTTGGTCAGATAGACGCCAAAAAGTTCCCAGATGTCGGCCTCGCCGTGTTTGAGGGCCGCACTGTTGATGCCAAGTGCATCTCAGGGTCCGTCTACGACGGGCTTGTGACGGATCGGACTTTACACGTTGCACAGGTGAATCCCGGAATTCTCCCACGGGTCAGCTGAGGTTGACTTGAGCTACCGTATGTGTTGTGCTAGGAGAACAATAACACTGACGATGTGTATCCGTAGCTCCTCCCACCTCTGTCCCTGGAGCAGATCCCCATCATTCGCTGCTTGGGCCTCAACTACAGAGACCATGCGAGGGAAGCCAACATGGCCATCCCGGACACGCCTGTTCTCTTCATCAAGCCCAGGACCGCGCTCAACGGGCCGTATCCCGCCAAGATCAACATCCCCAAGATCGCCCAGGACGACACTGCCGACTACGAGGCGGAGCTGTCGGTCATCATCTCCAAGGATTGCCGCGACGTGTCTAAAGAGGAGGCGTATGACTACGTGCTAGGATACACGGCCAGCAACGATGTGAGCGCCAGGGCACAGCAGCTCAAGAACAGTCAGTGGTGTTTCGGAAAGGGTGAGCGCTTCATTTGGTCATGCGATACGATCAAGACAAAACGTACTTTACGGTTCAAGTTCAGGAACAGAAACTAAACATTCGCATCACCTAGGTCTCGATGGATCCGCACCTATTGGCCCGATCCTAGTCTCCCCTGAGGTCATTCCAGATCCCCATCAGTTAGATGTCAAGGCTATCCACAACTCCAACGTTGTCCAGGATTCCAATACTAGGTAAGTTGTCAATTCCAATGCCTTGAGAACTCAAGCCGCTGCCTTTCCTGGTGTTCACCAGTCTAACTTTTTATGCTGTATAGGGAGATGATCTTTGGCATCGCAAAGACGATCTCCTTCCTTTCCCAGGGCACTACTCTGGAACGGGGAACTGTCATCATGACAGGCACAGGTCCTGGAATCGGCATGGCTAAGCAGCCCAAGGTGGTTTTGCGGCACGGGGATGATATGAGGGTCTTCATTCAAGACATTGGAACTCTGATCAACGAAGTGTACTATGAGTAGTGAAAAGAATTCAAGGTTTCGTTCTAGGACGTGTGGTCAATGGAGTATTATGCCCGGGTGCATCGCTGTTTTAAGGCTTCAGTAGGTGTTCCTCGTGCGAACGACGGAAGGTCTCCCAAACAAACATGGACCATTGCAATGGGTAGGCTTCTCACACAGCCAAGGGACTCCCAAACATCCTTTCCACTGCTACACTAATGTAAACCTGGCCTCAGTAGAACTAGAAGATAGCGGCAAGGAGGTGGTAACAATATTCATTAAACGCTGCTCTGCTCTGCCCTATCAATGAGGCCAGGTACCAGACTGCCAATGCATGCTTGCAGCTGCTTTGAAAGAGGCCTGTGACAGCTCACATGGGCTTTGCAAGCTTACAAGATTATCCGCGCTCCATTGCCCCTTATCAATACACCAGAGGACTGCCACCAAGTCGTTGCATAAAACTCTTAAAATACTGACAATAATTATGATCACGACCGGTCATAATGCCTCTTGGACTCGTAAGATGGTGATTTCTGTTCTGTTCTTTAAAGTAGTTTGCTTTGACTGGTACCAGTCTGGGAGCCGAAGGAACGCAGTTTTTGTTCATCTCTTGCATCTTGTGCACAATACATCTTGAACCTTGGCTGCCAGTAACTTTCCAGTTGGCCTTTTTCTGATTTTTTTTTGTTGGCCAAGACCGAAAAGCCCTCTCAACGAGGACCACGAGGTCAACTATGGCGCATAGATAAACATTCCTACGATGACCACACAAGCATAAATCAGGCTTGTACAGTCCAGGCCCTGTAATTAGAACTCTTTAGCAGCGTTGCTGAGCATGCGGAAATCTTGGGCCTAACGGCTTCACCTTTTGGACACGCAGCAACGGTTTTCACAGGGATACGCACCAGTGCAAGGCGGCGGCCGGGCAGAGGTCAACGTTCTTGAACATGGCTTTTGCAGCCGTGTGGTCCCGTTCTGATGTCGAGAACTGTCATTTGGAGAGGACAGGAAACCTTGGGGACGGATAGTGCGTCGCAAGGCGTTTGGTGGCACGACAGCTTGGAATCTTTGGGCTGCGTTATTGCTTGCAAGCGAACACCGCTCCTTGCCGTATTGTCTCGGAGGCCCCGGAATATTTCCCTCGGCCAACCGCGACAACGTGTACCAACACCCCGTGGGGTTATTTCCCGGGAGCCTGACTCGCCCGGGAGATTTGCTGCACAAAGCAAGTTCCGCAACAATTTCGGACGGATCCCCAGCATTGAATCTACATGTACGGAGTAGCCCACCCCACACAACCAGGGGAGCCAAGTTAATGTTCCGAGGCGGGGCACTCTCCCTCCGGGGGCCCACGTTGTTCGACAGTTCATCGTCAACTCATGCCTAGTGACACGAGACTTGTCCGTCATGACCGCACGATCCTCGGTTTGTTTATCGCACGTTGCCGAAAATAATGTTGGGCAGTAGGAGGATACGTAGCGTGAGAGCAGCTGGTTTAAGCTACAAGTTATTTGTCACTAATTGTCCTTGATTCATTCCTGTCTTTTGGGACGACGAAGAACCAAGATCTTTTGATCTCCTTTGCGTTTGTCTTATAATATACAAGAAGGTTATCTCCAAGCCTTTCATTTCGATATACATTATGCGCTAGCTTTGTAGTAGTTCTCCTCTCAGGCTCCCAGGCTCAGCACTCACGACATCTCGGCAACAGCTACTACCAGACAACAGCCAGCCGGCTGTCTCGCTGAGAGCAGCTCATACATCATCTCGCATATTCACCCCTAGTAGTATTACCATGGAATCTACTCCCTCGTCGGCCATGATGCTAAATTCGGCCGCGGTTCAAGGTAGGATTCTCAGCCCTTGGGCAGCACAGAATGGCAACGGCCATGCACCCTCGGCCAAGAGCTTCAGCACCAGCGCCCACACGCGGAGCAGCGCAGACCAAGGCACAGCCACCACTGCACCATCTCTCTCCCCACAAGATTCTAGGACGATAGAAACCAAGTTCCTCATTGTCGGCGCGGGTCCTGCAGGCGCTGCTCTGGCTTGCTTCCTTGCTAGCTATGGTGCGTATACTAGTCCTTGTGATTAGCCCTGGCAAAAACCAGACAGCTAATGGGTATCCCAAACATACAGGGCTGAAGGGTATCATGATTAGCGCTGCTCCCGGGACAGCCAACACACCAAGGGCGCACATTATGAACATGGCAGCATTAGGTGCGTATAAGAATACACCAGACTCTCTCCTGGCCCCTGTCGCCTTGTCCATTTTTTGAGCAAGCACAATAACCTCTCTCGGATCGCAGAATGCCTTCGAGACATTGGACTTGACAAAGAGATGCTAAGGGTTGCATCTGATGGCGACAGTATGGTCCACACTCGGTGGTGCCACAGCATGGCGGGCGAGGAGTACGCACGGATTCACTCTTGGGGCCATGGACCGACTAGAAAGGTAAGTAAGGAAAACAAATATTTTGCGCAAGTACAGCCATATCGCGTCGAAAACTACAAAGGGCTACAGAGGGTATAGCAGCGCTAACGACGCACACAAATCAGGGTGAATACGAAATGGCCAGTCCCTGTGACCCTGTTGATCTGCCCCAGACCGAGCTCGAGCCGATACTTGTCCGCAGTGCGACCCTCGGCGGGTTCAAGACGCGGTTCGACACAACCCTGCTTCGTTTTGATGGCGGCCTAGAAGGCGATGGTCCCATCACTGCCACGGTCAAGGACAACATCTCTGGCCAAGAGTATCAGATTCGCACCAAGTACTTGTTCGGAGCCGACGGTGCCCGGAGCCAGGTCATCAAGCAGCTGGATCTGCCCCTTTCAGCCAAGCCAGGCCAAGGGATGGCCATCAATGTGCTGGTCAGGGCAGACTTGTCACACTTGATCAAGCACCGGAGGGGCAACCTGCACTGGGTGGTGCAGCCCGACCGCGAGCACCCGGCGTTCGGCTGGCAGGGCATCGTGCGCATGGTCAAGCCATGGGACGAATGGATGTTCATCCTGCTACCGAATCCGGACTGTGACATCCACATTCAGCCTTCCGAGGAGGAATACCTCAAGAGGGTCAGAGATTTCATTGGCGATGACACACCAGCGGAGATTGTCAATGTCTCGAGGTGGTTCATAAACGAGATTGTTGCAGAAGAATATTCTCGGGGAAACGTGTAAGCTTTAAACACCCGCTGGCCCCGGTCCGCTTCAGGGCTTTGAATGTACATACATGTAGGCTAACATTGAAACTTGGCGCTGGGCTCAGCTTTTGCCTCGGCGATGCGGTCCACCGACACCCACCGATGAACGGGCTGGGCTCCAACACATGCATCCAGGACGCCTTCAATCTGGCGTGGAAGATTGCCTTTGTCGAGCGAGGAATGGCGCCCAAGGAATTACTATCTACATTCAGCACCGAGAGGCAGCCTGTTGGCCGCTCCATCACTGAGCGGGCAAATAACGGATTCCGAGACCATTTCAGGGTGTGGGACGCGATGGGAACCATACCACAAGACGTGGAAGCCCGCAAAAAGAGATTTGCGGAACTACAGGCGCCAACACCCGAAGGACGAGCACGGCGCCGGGCTTTCCAGGACGCGATTGAGGGCACGTCTCACGAGTTCCACGGCCTTGGGGCGGAGATGGGGCAGCTATACAGTGGCCCAGGGATAATCACGGCCGACGAGCCGGAGCCGTACAAACGGAGCGGCCGTGCCGCCGAGGACGACGTGCTCTACTACCAGCCCAGCACATACCCCGGATGCCGCTTGCCCCATGCCTGGTTGAACAAGGCGATTCCTGGGGAGGCCAAATCCACCATTGACCTAGCCGGCCATGGCGCCTTCACCCTGCTCACGGGCATTGGTGGTGAGGCCTGGCGACCCGCCGCTGAACACGTCTCCAAGCAACTTGGCGTGCCAATCAGCGTGCACTCGATCGGGTTCCGACAAGATTGGGAAGACGTCTACTTTGATTGGGACCGGCTGCGGGGCGTCGAGGAGTCCGGTGCTGTGCTGGTCCGCCCAGATCGCTTCGTTGCTTGGCGAGCAGCCACGGTGCTGAGCAGCCCGGAGGCGTGTGAGACCAAGCTGTCTCAAGTCATGCGTGCCGCCCTCGGCCACGCTGATGCATAAGGTACCTACATGTACATGTAGTTAGATTGTTCTTTCGTAAGAGGGCTTTGTTTGGAAATACAGCATTCATCGCGCTTCTGCATTAGCCTTCACTTCATCCAGCCCATTCCTGGCCTCGTTGCATGTTTCCTTTTAGATTCCTTAGAACCTATGCTCTCCTCGCATCTGAGAGGTGCGGGAGATTTTGAGTCATACCTTGTCCTGACACCTGTTCAAGCAGTGTCTAATTGGATGCCCTGTCCCTACAAGGCGGAAGCCACTGCTAGCCCCACTGGCACTAGGTTTGGAGCAGAGCAGAAACCATGAAGTTTGTGCGAAGTTGCTCCGAGTTGACTGGCGGGTGGAGGCGAGGAAGGGCGGCTGGGCTGTCGAATTCCCTGATGAGCGGGGACTCGGATCACCCCGGCCGTCAGTCCACATGTATGAAGTCCTCAAAGCCCACCAGGGCAGATCCTAAGCAGTGCAGGATTGTTATGTTTCTTGCTTTACATTTGGACAAAGCCCCTTTTCCTTTTGGAGATACGACTCTGGTGTCAAGATGGTGGGAAAATGAGGTCCTGAACTTCACGGAGATCAGGAGAGGTGTTCCGAACCAGCATATCCTCCACTTACATGTCTCTGGGAGCTGGCGCGTATGTAGCTGTAGAACTTCAAGATTGATAGACTTGCAACATTGGATGCAGAAGCAAGCCAGATGCCATAGGCTCTCTCTTAGGCAATTGATTACCAAGCCTCGGAATTATATTAGTGAGGGTGGCCACGCTCCCAGTTTCTACATGTAGCTACAGGTAGTCGACCCCACAAGGTGACGGCACTGTTCGCCCCATGGGATCGGGGCAGCTCAAACCTGCATATGTCTGCACCCTGACTGTCAGAAGAGAGTTGCTTCATGTTCATAGCCGTTCGACTGCAATAGTTCCGCTTGGGGGTGAACACCGCAACCATGTTACCATACGAGGCCCAATGTCAGCCAGAAACGGCGTGCCATCTGTGTCGAAGGTGAGTTTCTCCTGGCGCAATGTGCTCGACCACGCCGTCCCCTAAATCGACCGACCGATCGATCACCTAACTGAATGACTGACTGGCTGGCTGATGGCGGACAACAGGCGCAAGGTCAAATGGTGAGTTGGAACGAAAGGCCTATATTCGTATGCATAGCAGCCATCATGACTAACAAGGATTCAATGCAGCGATCGTGCCTATCCCGCCTGCAATGAGTGTGTTCAACGGGACCAGGTCTGTAGCTATCCGGCGGGTGCATTGAAGCCTGGGCCCAAGCTAGGTAGGTCTTCTCATCAGTGCCCCGGCATGCCAGGTCTTCTCACCATGTCGACACCTAAGCAGCTGACAGAAGTCTCACGATAGGCACTATGCAGCGCCGAAAGCGTCAGCGCAAGGAGATTCGAAGCCGCCACGACGGCGAGGACCAGCCAGAATGGGACGCCCGAGCGGTGCGTTCGTCGCTCGCCGCTGCCAGCAATGAGGAAACCGAGCATTTAGACGACGATAGACTCGGGTCTAACGCTTCGGGCTCGCCTCGCACAAACTGCTCGAGCGACAGGCCGCGTTCCTTCTCAGGATCACGAGAATGGGCAAGTTTACCCCCAATCAAGACCGGGAGCGCGAGGGACGACGCAGCGCACAACAACGACGGCGGCACTACTAAGGAGTCGGTGGCTTCCTTGAATATCCATGATCTCTCCTTCATTCTACACCCATCCCATGAGGGACCAAGCCCAGGCAAGGACTCGGCCACGACCGTCAGCGGCATCTTTGAACAACAAGAATCAGCCTTGGTGGAAGCCATCTCTGCCGCGCTAGACGTGGATTCGGTGACCCTGAAGAGAGCGTAGGTAGCGTACCACCATCGTGGTGCCCATCACGAAAAACATCCCTAGATTCTACCATTTCTCTTGACTGATGAGGCGAGGTGTAGCGTCGATGTCTACTTTGACCACATGGTAGCCATAAACCTGTTCCACGAGCCGACCTTCCGCGCCAAGGTCAGTTCCATCGCGATTGAATCCATGTTACAGGCTCAAGCCTTGTTGGTCGCAATGCTGGCATTTGCGGCCTGCTTTTACACGACAACAGCCGACGAAACCGACGTAGACAGATGTTCTTACGAGGGCCAACATCAGCAACAGGGAGAACCCAACCCGCTTAAGCCGAGCCGCTTTCTCGCACTTGCGTTCACCAAGATCGATGAAGCGTTGCAGGAGTGCGGCGATGAGGCGCCGCCGCTCTGTTTGCTCCAGGCTCTCATCATTGCGACGCACTGTCAGCTAACCCTTGGGGTTCGGGGCAAAGCCTGGAGGTCTCTTGGGATGTGTATCCGCCTCGCGTATGAATTGAACTTGCACCTGGTCGATGCGGATCGCCCCGACCGGTACCCTGCGGTCAATGTCGACGTGCAGCAATGGGTTGAGGACGAGGAAAGACGCAGGGCCTGGTGGGCAACGTGGGAAATGGACGTGTTTGCGAGCACTATCCGGCGGACGCGCCCGGCCATGGACTGGTCCCAGATGGAAACGCTGCTCCCCGTAGAGGACCATTACTGGTTCCAAAACCAGCCAAAGCCCAGCTGCTTCATGGAACTGGACGCCGTCTACCGGTGGAAGGTGCTCCAAGAGTCCGGAAACGAATCTCCCAAGGCCTGGTTTCTAGTCATCAACTCACTCATGAAGGACGCACAGGTCATCTCGAGCCCCCGGAGTATTCCCCGTCGAGAACCTGCTGAGGAGAGCCAGGGGGCGGCACGCAACGCCGCAGTGGGCGGGGTCCGGTCACAAAGGCGGCCCAGGGACCCAACGGAAGGAGATGCTTTGAAGAAGCTCGAGCTGCTAGCCAATTCGGTTCATTGCTTTTCGCTTGCACTTCCCAAGCACCTCCAATACCGAAACCAGTACCTCGACTTCGATGGCAGGGCCGCGGGCGAGTTGTCTTCACCACGTCAGATTCACTGTGGCATCTATAACATCTACGTCATGACACAGCTCGCTCGGATCATGATTCACAGGTACGGAGTGTTTGGTGGACGTAAGCTGAACGGCGGCGGCGCTGCTCCGGGCAGTCAGGGAGCGGCGGCGGCGGCGGCTAATAGAAGTTCAAGATCGAGTGGTACGCGCAGTCCACATGATGGGGGCAAGCTGGCCTTGTTGCAGTATTTTGAAGCGACCGACAACATCCTGACCATCCTCAGCCGGAGCAGCGTCGACCACATCCGACATATCAACCCTTTCCTCTCGAGCACAATCTGGCTAGCTTCTGCCGTTCAGCTTCTCAGGATGCAGTTCGCCGAGGATGAAATAAGCCGAACGCTCATCAAGTCCAAGTTTGAAGCTCTGTACCTGACTTACAGACGATGTGTCTCCTTCTGGGACATTCAAACGGCCGTTCAACAGAACCTCGAGGCTCTCGAGGCACAACTCGAGGGGCCCGAGAGCACCAGCCAAAACGCCCGTCCGAAAGAACAGCGGCAGGCTTCCCATTTTGCCATTGCACGACACAGTGATAAGCACCCTGTTATAGCTGGAGGAAGTCAAGGAGCGTCCCACGAGCCTTCCTCCACCCGGCTGGCAAGCTCGGCCAATGGGCCTTCTGGTGGATCGTTTGCTGACGACGGTAAGTTGTGGCGGGTCGGTGGGCATGAATAGCTTGTCTTGCAAGATGGTTTGTCCATGTTTACTAATCTTGTCCGCGTCGTAGACCGTCATGTATTAGCACCCGAGCTCCAGCGAGGCTACAACCCACTCAACAACCCGACAGCATCCACACAAGACTCACCAGCCCGACTCCAAGACATGATCCCTTTGGACTACATGCACATGTCGCCACAGCTTAATCGCCAACAGCCCTTGATGTGCGATCGGATTTCCATGGGGGAGCTTGATCAGGCTCACGACACCCGCCCGCCGGATCCTGCCGGTGGATTCTTCGATCCAATGGGCATGATGGGCTACTTGCCGCACACGTCCCGAAGCTTCATGGCCGGAGCCGGTTTTGCCAACCAGACACCCGACTTTGGCCCCGATTGGAGAAATCTAAACCTGCTCAGTGATATACACGACTTGTTGTCAGGATATTCTAGTTACTGAACGAGATATAGCGCAAGTGTGCAGATGAAGTGCACAGATCGGAGACCCAACCCAGGGCTATGTACTACGGTGTTAATATGGGGAATTATGTGCTTATACCAGTTGTAGATTTTGTGTACTCTAACCTTAACTGAATGATCGGTTCTGAGTCTAATATTGCTCACTCATTCGAACCCTGGGTTCTGTGCACATATCATATAACTCACGTTTTACGGCGGGTGAAAGCAGGATATTTCGCCGTGGTGTTAAGAACCAGAGTTGGTTCTTTCTCAAACGTTGATCTGCGGTCCGGTTGGTTGTGGTAAATGCCCGACTGGAAGGTATATCATGCTCAGCTGATCCCGCCTTCCCTATCACACCCTCGCCTGCCAAATTATAGGTTCATGTTCCATTCTATTGGCACGGAACTGACGCCTTTCTTTTGCGGGGACCTCTTGAAGTCACCCTTGTAGCGGATAGCGCGATACACACTCCAAGGCAACATTAGACAAAATGCAATGAGGGTTTCTGAAGACGATTCGCGGTGACCACAGGCACCACGATAGAAGACTGCCATTGTACTTAGTGGGCACTGAACCCATGAAAGCTTCCTCTCCTGTGCTGCGAGTTGACAAGACCAGGACGGCTGAGTCGTTGGTCACTTACAAGTGTAAACATGAATTCATATAGAAATAACGGCGCGGATATCACCTCGGCGTTCGATCATCGAGTTCATCGAGTCAAGCTCGGTTGACTCTATGATGGATCCTATCGAGTCAATCCCGATTGGTGGAGTGGAAATATGTTATTTATTTGAGAGTGCCTACCCTGTAGGCTCATCCTCACATCTATATGTACTCGTATTGGGTCGTGACAATAGCCTCATTGCCAAGTAAGAGAGGCATATATCCCACATTGCAAAGACTTGGCATAAGCCCCACAACCCCCAGCCAAACGCCAACAACAACTATCGGTTGAATATAGCGGCTGATTCCCAAATGTAATTCATACCCTTGATGCGGTAGCTGTCTTTCTCTAGAGTTATGCCTCTTGTGGCGTTGAAAACAATATTGAACGGAGAGTCTAAGTCGTACTTTGGCCAATGCAAGTTAAATCCATGTACTATTACATCAAGTTAGCTATATTTCCATCTGTAGAGCAAGAAAGAGGTTGAACAACCTCCATGGTTATTAGGGTCCCCGGTTTGGGCAAAGCTCAGCCACATTCTGGTCATAAGCCGCGCGAGATCCATATACTTTTGCTTCAAGGACTGTTCATTGATATCAAACGGATTCACATCATATCCCTCGCCATCAATGCTGTCAAAAACAAATGGAACCTCTTGAAAGTGCGCAGTGCCGTAGACTTCTGGGGATAAACCAGCTGGGTTTGTATCGAAGCGAAAGCTGTAAGCCGGTATGTTTCGCTGCGTCCAGGCCTGACAGCTGACACGTCGGCCAGTATTGAACATTGAGTCTCCAACAAGTACGGTCAGCTCGCCATGCAACTTTCCGTAGGCTGGTCCAGGATTGGGAATCACGGTGCCCAATGTTGCTTCGGAGGTATTCTTCACCACGTCTGAGTAAAGCTCATGGAGTCGAGCGATAGTATCATTCGGAAGTTGGAGGGGAAACACACTCGACAGTAGCACCCTGGACACATCATCGAAAGAATTTACAGGAGAACCTTGGCTAAAAAGTTCCACGAAAGTAGATCCTTCGTTGGTGTTGGTACCGATCAGTAACGGGATTTTGAGGAAGTCGCCTCTCTTTATAGACTCAGAGGTCAATTGCGATAGGAGATCGTTGTCTATGATAGGGTGCCAGGGCAAGCCGGTTGCTGCTTCGATGAAGTCCCCAGCGGGAATTTTCCGCAGACAGGATACGATATCCGTGGAACTTGAACATTCCGTTCGGTTTAGGAATATGTCTAATATCTCCTTCTGATTTTCCACAGTTGGGAAGTTGTGAGCGAACAATGGCGTGCCGCTTTCAAGGATTGCCCGCTGGAATAGACCCTCATCGCGACCATTGTATGCCAGCATGTTGAGGGATATCGACAAAGCTCCAGCAGATTCCCCTTGGAGAGTAACTCTGCCAGGATCACCTCCAAAAGATGCGATGTTTTCCTGAATCCACCGGAGCGCGAGCCGCTGATCGTGGATACCCAAGTTTGTGGCTCCGATAGTATTGAACGGCTCTCCGGAAATAAACCCAAAGGCATTCATACGATAATTGAAACTAACCCCAATAACAGGTTTGCCCATCTCGGTAGAGATTTCAACGAGGCGTGACATGTTATATCTGGGGTCCGCACTAGCGCCCTCTTGAAATCCACCTCCATACACCCAGACAAGTACCGGGAGGCCGTTAGGAGCCCATTCATGACGGTAATCATGGGGGCGCACCACGTTTATGGTAAGACAGTCTTCGCTTGAAGGATTGGTGAGATTTCTGTCAAATCCGACCAAGTGGACATTAAAACCATAGCAGTATGGCCCATATCCTGTTACTTGCTTGGGAGTAGTCCACTTTTCAGTTAGATGCTGTGGACGAGTAAATCGAAGGTCTTGGACCGGGGGCTTGGCGTAGGGAATCCCAAGAAACAGGTCTTGCTTGTAGTGGGCGTTGTATTTGCCCACCACGGTGCCGTTTTTGATCTCCGCGGTCGGTACATTGGATGGAGGATAGCAAAAACAAACGACGGGTGCTACCGGGAGCAAGGCTGTCAGAAGATACGAGAATCTGATCATGATAGGAGGCTTTATGGATGAACTTGAGTGTTTCGACCTACTCTGGGATGAAGAGATCTATAAGTATTGTGACCTGGTCCACTTTTAAGATGATGTTTTTTCTAACACCGGAACATGCTACGGCAATCGCCGAAGGCTCCTCCTAAGGCTATTGACTTGAAATGCCACATTCAGTAGGGGGTTTAATTATGGCCCCACTGAGTAGCAAAGAGAAATACACTATGATAAGGTGGCTTTCAATTCCCAGGAGATGGGAACATAAAACCTGAACGCCGAAAACCCGGTTTCCAGCCCGGCAATTCCAGCATGTATAGATACGCCGGACAAAGGGGGCCGTCGATTGGTAGCTGTCAAATGAAGCCACTTCCGTGCCAATAAGGACTCCTAATGGTAGAGCATCGTGTTTTCAGGCAAGCCGAATATGAAGAAATCATCTATGTCCACGTCCGCCCCTGCCAGATCATCCTGAGGGCGTTGGATTTGGCTCTCGGCATTATACATAGAATAAAACCAATCTCCTGGGGATTTCTGGGCGGAATTCTGAGGATTTTCTCCACTAGGAACTACTTCGCGGCTCCAATTTGGCAGTAAGCTTTTCTTGGCCAAAACCCATTTGGCGACTTCAAGAGCCACCCGAATGTGTGGCAAATCTCGACACTGCTTCATGGAGATGAGAGATTGATGAATGTAGATAAGAGATCGTGATTTAACCTCATCAGGCTCAGAAGATTTGAGAACTATCTCAAGATGTAAGGCAAGGACTGCAGGAGCACAGGTCAAGCTGTAGTAATAATGATTAGCCTCATCTGAGCAGCGAATCTTCGGATTAACGACGGATGGAGGTTATCCACATACAATGCCACAGGAAGATTACGCAACATATCATGTACCAAGGCCCTACCAATAATCGCATCCAGTTCATACATTGCAAGCTTGAGACAGTTGTTGGCATTTTCTGACAACAATGAATCCTTGCCCTCCCAGTGTTTCCTTAACCAACGAAACAGCATACATTGGAAACGATAGCTTGTAGCTATCAAGACAATATGCCATGGGTTATCGCGGGGATCTTGGCGCGGATTCGGCAGCAAAGGCTCTGGAACTGATACATGCCATGCGCTGAACTCTTCTTGGATATGAGCCAAAGAATTCGAAGCCCCGGATTTGGCCACTGATAGGCATTGAGAAGCTGAGATTTGAGTCAGACTGTTCAGTATTTACTGGGCTAATTCTTAGGACCTGCACTTACCGATGGTAGCTAGTCTGCAATTTTCGACGAAGAAAAGACTCTCTAGTAGCGTCAAGGGAGATAGTATAGATGCGCATGGCGGTGACAGGACCTTGGGCACCCACACTTCTGCGGCTGGTAGGACTGTCAAACTTTCAGTACTACTTCCTAGCAGACTTTTATTCTCCACACCAGAGAAAAGTAGCATTATATCACGGCTCTGTCAAAAATTAGTCCAATATATATAATGCAGGCTTGGCTATGCAGGAGTGTGCAATGTCTTACATATAATGTCCACCAGATCCTTTGGTATAGCTTGTAGGTTGCCGAGTCTATTTCATGCGCGTTAAAACTAATGTCAGAAGTAGATCAGCGACTCATGCCGGAAGACTTGGAACGGGGTTACGGGAATAGAGGGCTACCCTTGGTGGTGTATTCCCATCTTAATTGCCAGACGGATAGCATTATGATACCAGTAGCCAAAGTCTTTATCCCGACACCCAACAAATCCCGTCATTGCCAAAACGGCGGAGCCTTGCAATAACCTGAGCTGGCTCTTTTCACAGTTGAAATCGTAGAGCAACGTTGCTCTGGTACAAAACGTTTCCAATGCTTCTAAGCGGCTTACGAAGCCAGCTGCTTCTAGAACCTGCTGAGGTACGTACAAGGCTGCATTCGCCAAAACGGCCTGTAATAAAAAGTGTGAATGTGTCCCAGAATCGTATGATTGTATGAACTCGAATGGATCAAAGACGGGGCAAGTTGGGTAAGCAAGTCTAAAGTAAGACTGGAGGAATGCTTCACTGCAGCTTGTTAGAAAAGAGAGTGGGTAGGGAGACTTTTATTCATACCAATAATGTTTCGGAGGTAGGGTGAAAGCGCCTTTCTGTGTGAGATACTCTCTGTCTATGGGATCAAGCGCACTCAGAATTACCCAATTATCTGTGACCTGGTCCTTGAGGCCGGAAAATTGCTGCACAGGCGACCCTTGCGACCCTTTCTCTCTAATAATAACACGAGTGACTCTTCTTATTCTTTCCTTAGTAACAACCTCGCCCATCATCGTGGCATAATGCATCTCGCTGTGGTATTGAACCACATCTCGACCATTAGGTGACGGGTCTAGCATCATCTCCGGGGCTGGAAGGCCAGCTCCCTCTGCTATTTCTCTGCATCCACGAATGAGTGCTTGCGTATTTTGGTCTGATGCTTCATCAGGACAAGGCAGGGCCTTATGACCATAATGCAAGTCTGTGATGTCTGAATATGGGGACCCCTTCTATAGTTAGCATGTTGCGCAAGCAGTTAGTTTAAGATGGATGAGTCCATCTTACTAAGGATGGATTGTGCCTGGTGTCTCGGTGGTTTGATACTGGTAACGGTAGCACGTGGGATGCCTCTCCTTGGGTGGACTCGGTTGACCCAGGAATTAATGCCGTAGTAGCTCTATTGGAGAAAAATTAGTCACGTTTGCTTGTAATGTATATCCTGTCCTTTGATGAGGTTAACTCACCTTCTCGGGTGCCGGAGAACGCGGATACAGCTTTTGTGTTGTGACTGACCCCTGGCTTTACACCTAGTGCACGGTAATCCAACTTGAACTGCATCACATTTTAGTTTCTTCTGATGGCAAGGAAGACATGCTTTGATAAGATTGCGCGGCATTTGCGCATAAAATCAATCCGCACTGGAAAGAGCAATAATCAGGCCCTATGCTAAGCCTGGAATGCCATCAACGAACCAACATTACATAGGTACCTTGGGGAAGATGCTAAAAAAGGGGTTCTCCATCGGCATTTCTTTGTGGGGTTTCGGCGTTTGCGTGGATTCGGGGATTCGGGGTTACAGGGAAGCTAAATACATGTAGTGTAAGACGCGAGAAAGACTTCAAGGACCGCCTACGCCAGTCCCATGTTCCTCCCAGTGCCCTCAGAGTCTAGGCCCACATTGAACGACTGGCAGCAGTTCAGATTAATCCGGGATGGTGTTAGATCTGCACTTGGATTACCTGTAGTCACTCACGCCTACCGACCTGGTCGCCGCCAACATAAACCCAGTACTGCTGGTTTGTGCCCCTAGAACAGCTAACCCTAGATTACTCTTGGCAAGGCTGTAACCTTTGGCCATGCGCCGAGTGAATTTGGGGTGCCGATGGTGGCGCGGGAGGGCTATAAGGCCGAGAGACGGAGCCCAATCCGCCGCAGTCACCTGTATCTGAGCCATGATCTAAACCATTATGACCCCAGTGAGTCTTTTCTTTATTTTTATTTTTATTGTTATTTTTACAATCTTTTTCATTATGCGAATCTACGGAGCAGAAACGAAGGCGACGCTTATGGAATTTACATTACACGTCATAACAAACGGGGGTTTCTATCTCAACGCCAACGAAGCAGCATAAGCGCCCGTGTAAGATCCAATCATATGTGATTGATGGATCCGTACATGTATATATCGACCTAGCCAAACAGCAGTCAAGTTTTAGTCTAAGCAATCAGGTAGCTGAAGCTCCCAACCAAGCCAGAATCCCACCTCCAATCCCCCCTACAGCGGCCGTAATTCCTCCTACAGCCTGAACAATGCCTGTTAAGATTCCCAGGCCATATCCTCCAGCTGCAGCACTCTGCATTACTGCAAAGCCACTGCCTGCAGCAACACTGCCTATGCTCGCTTGTGCTCCTGATGCAATAGAAGCTATAATATTTTGTAAACTGTTAGTATAGGCACTAAAGGGATTCTAAAAAAAAAAAAGAATGAAAAAATGAATGTTCGAGAGAAGTAGGAGGACTATCGTACCTGCGGCGATGCCTCCTGAGGTAAAGCCCATCAGTCCAGCGATGCCCATAATCGGGCCTGTGATGATACCGGGAACAGCAGCGATGAAGATTCCAGCCCCAGCAACTGCAATAGGCACAGAATTTTGTTTCACGACCTTGGCAGCCTCCATGATTGTTAGCAGTCAATAGGTAAAATATCTTTGTAAAACATGCAAATAGTGAACAGAGTATTTACCTGCTGAGCAGCCGGTCCTGATGCCACCTTTAGCACTTCTTCGCGAGCTCGATCGATGTTTTCTTTAGTTAAATGCTATGTCTGATCAGTTGACTAGACGAAAAATAGATGCGAAGTTTCGACGTTGTACCTGACCAACTTGCTGTGCTGCGTTACCAACACCATCCCGAACTATCTGAAGGCCGTGATTGATGTTTTCCTGATTGACATGCTGAATAAATGCGGTTAGCCGGCCGGATATTAAACGAGTGGTGAGAGATAGTATAATATAGGTTTCGAAGATATACCTGGTTGACTTGTTGTGCTGCAATGTCAATGCCATTCCGAGCTAGCTGGAGACCGTGGTTGAAGTTTTCCGCGTTGAGATGCTGTGTACATGTACAGTTAGCCAAGGCATAAGGAAAGAGGCAAAATTGAGGACATACTTGGTTCATTTGCTGTGTTGCGACATTAATGCCATCTCGAGCTATCTGCATCCCATGGTTGATGTTTTCCGGAGTGACATGCTGAGTACATGTACGTTAGCCACCTATATCCAAAACGAGCGAGTGAAGATAGCAAGGCCTGAAGGCATACCAGGCTAATCTGCTGTGCTGCATTATTAATGCCATCTCGAGCTATCTGCATCCCGTGGTTGATGTTTTCCGGAGTGACATGCTGAGTGTATGTACGTTAGCCAAAACGACATGGAACGAGTCAAGATAGTAAAGCCTGAAGACATACCTGGCCAATCTGCTGTGCTGCATTATTAATGCCATCTCGAGCTATCCGCATACCATGGTTGATGTTTTCCTGAGTGACATGCTAAGTATGTTTAGTCGCATAGGCGTAAAACAAATCAAGCGAGATTGTAGGTGCAAACACAAACCTGGTTGATCTGCTGTGCCGCATTATTGATACCCTCTCGAGCTATCTGGAGACCACGGTTGATGTTTTCTGGGGTGATGTGCTTCTCAGCTTCTTTTTTGGCTTGTTCCAAACCTTTGGCAATCTCATCGAAAAACCCCATTTTGGAGTTTTATTTGCTGCTTATCCCGGAATGAAGTATACGCGTGAGCGTTCGCCACGCACAAAACACGCCGTAAGGTCGGTCAAAGATCACCTGGAAGATGTTGAGGAATTGAAAACAAACGGCATGAAAAATTCTTTCTCTCCTTCTCTTTTTACCCCTCTCTCCCTGCATGTGTGTTTCAATTCCGGCCATACAGTTGGCCACAGCTGCCTTGGGAGTACAAGTAGATGCGGGAGGCCTACCATACAGTTGGCCGATGTACCACATGCAGGCGGGAAATTAAAGAGTAGAAGTAAATCATGAGTGAATGTTGCATTAGTATTGCGAATAATACAGGACAAAATACATCAGAGGGTAAAGAAATTTGAAGGCTAATTAGAAGTCGACGGTTGGTTTATGACGATTTCTACTCCAGCTTCAATACGATGATGCTTGTTCTCTTACATCTAATTTTCATGGTCGACGCTTATCTTATGGGAGATAGCACGGAGTAGATGACATTTGATTTGCCCACCGCTTCATATGCTTAATACAACAGCCAATAGATGATCGGATGTCCCCAACTAACTACATTTAATCTAGATCACTGTCTGAGAAGAGCTGATGCTTGCGGAAAAGGAGCTAAGTTCTGACTAGTTCGCAGTTAGCACGCCCGGCTACCGACATGCATTTGAGATGAGATGCTAGCATTTCTTCTCTTTTTCAATTTCATTTCTCTTGTGCTCCGTTTGCTGATGCTGTAAAGAGGTCTCCTAGTCCGTCGTTGGATGGTCTATCATCACCATGAATTGCGACGAGCTCCAGGAAAACCACACCGGGGAGCGGTACATGATCAAGCGACCCAAGGCGCTTCAATGGTTCCACAACGGCCAACTGGTGAAGCAGAGCGACGAGGAGAGACAAGCTGGTCGCTTCGAGCTCTTCCTCGATTTACTTTGTAGGTCGATGACACCCAAACTGGCAGGGAAATTCCAGCTAATAGAACATTTCCCTGCTGCGATCCAGATGTCGCCATTGTTGCAAACTTCAGCGATGACCTCGCCGAGAATCCAGATGGACAACATCTTGCCAAATACATACTCATCTTCGCGCCGGCGTGGCACATCTGGGTAGACCTTCGCGAAATCATGAATTCGTACTACACCGACGACCTCATCCAGCGACTAGTCATCTTATGGGTCATGGCGCTCCTAGTGCTCTACGCAAACAATGCGCGTCTGGTTGATGAGGATTTATCCGCGATGCAAACGACGGCGGGTGCATACGTCGTCGCCCGTTTCACCACCATGTGCGCCTTTCTCATTTGCTCTTTCGCCAGCTATCAGCACCGCACCCAGGCGCGTATCATGGCTTTCTTCATGTTCATCGGTCTTTTCATCACGATACCGCTCTTTTTCGAAGACGTCAGCATTGAAGCCAAAATCGCCGTTGTCGCAGTCATGATTTTTTACCAGGAAGTCACTTGGTCACTCACATTGAGTCCATGGCTTAAGCGCAAGTTGAAGCTCACATACAGCACAGCAGTTGACATCGCCCACGAAATCGACCGCATGGCGGCATTCTTCATCATCATCCTCGGCGAATTTGTCTACAGTGTGATTGTCGGAGACCCAGCCGGCGTCGGGTTGACACTAGGCTATGCTAAAGCTTCCTTTACTCTCATCATTGCGTTCTGTCTCAACTGGATTTACGTCAGCGGTGATGGAAGCTTGGAGGCGACGCACCCAATTCGGCGATCTGCTTGGACAGCTTTTGCTTTCTTTCTGCTTCATCTACCACTTTCCGCCTCTTTTTTAATCGGTGGCCATATTGCTGCTATAAGCACAAGAATAGACGAATTTGAAGAAGGACAGCGGTGGCTCTTAGGAGGAGGCCTAGGTGTGGGCATGTTCTGCCTTTGGATATACGGTATGCTTTATCGCACTCATGACGAAGATTGCTTGATTATGTCGAAAACGCCTCGCATAGGCATGCGTTTAGTTGTTGCCATCATTCTCCTTGCATTGCCAGCAACGAATGATGATCTATCTACGACGGACTTTATGGCTGTGGTCATGTCGCTCTTTGCGTTCTTAGTAATTTGGGAAACTATCGGAGGGCTTCTAAAGGACGCTCAAGTCTTTGAACCTTGGACTGAGAGGAATCCTCCTTTAAGCGATATCGAGACTGATGAGGGAGCAGTAAATACATAGTGTCAAGTGTAAATAGAATTGGAGGACGCAGAGAATTAAGAGAGGAATCAATAGTAATTATGCAGATCAGAATATTTCTCAGAAAAGGGAAATGAGGCGTATCTAAAATACTCAACAGGCCATTGGTAGGTAAGTAAGTCGGTACATGTAATTTCCAATATCGCTTTATCCCCAGGTATATACATGTATATCATAACTTGTTCTTTTGGCCTCCGTTTTTTCTTCTCATATTGGCTCGCAATTATACTATAGCAACATTTCAGGCCAAGAATGAGATCTCATGTTAAATACTAGATTGAAAAAAGTCATACGTTTCATTGCTATCAAAAACACGAACTATATATGTATCGTAATCATAACATAAATTCTTCGTGTACCAATCCAATAACCTGCAAGTCACACTTCCAACCCAATAGAGAATCCAAAACCATTCGCTTGCTGTCATAACATGTGCTTATACCCCATTCTCTCAAGTACATTCGCAGGTACCTGTACTCCCCATGATCCCACTACTCCGGTAAGCCGCAATAACCGAGGTTATTACATCGTCCAAAAGCAGCTTTAAATAACAAATAATTCCCCATTTGTAAGTCTGAAGTCCGTATAAACTTCAATTTTCTCATGCTGCGGCTTTATGGCCTCTGAGAGAAAGCGATGAGCACGCTCTAAATTCTTGCTATAGCTGCTCATGGCCTGAAACCGATTCAGAATCCAACGCTGATGGATCTTATTATTCGTTTCAAGAGCTACAACAAAGAGTGGCCACGCCACTCTGATAGTGCCCTCGACACCTTGGTGTTTATCAGATTGGATGGCCAAATCAACAATGGCGGTTATATGAGCCTCAGGTACGATTTCTATTTTAGTCGTTATGCCATTTCTTCGAGTGACGCGAAAGAGTTCAAGTTTTGCGGCATGATATATGGGAACAAAGGCACGGATGTTGGCAACTAAACGATGCGAGTTATCTGTTGATAGGGATATATCCGACGCCACTTCAAGCAGCTCCCCATATCGTATATCAACTTGTCGAAAGGCGGATTCAACAGCTGGCAAACGTCCCCTGACCTTATGTATGTCAAGTTTAGCCAAATCAGCAACGATGCCTCGGAGCTGCATTGATGCGCAGAGAAACGCAAATACATCTCGATTCTCAACGTCATCCAACAGCTCAACTTGCGGATAGGTATCACCCCACATCGAGCGGTATAAAGAGTTTGAATATCTATGAAGCACATCGAATCCGGGAATCGATGATGAGTCGTCTGGCCCCATAATATCTTTCAATTCACCATTGAACTGGCCACCGAGTCCAAAAGTTGCGGCTGTCGAATCACAGAGAGCAATCCAGACGAGTAGCCGAATTACAAAAAGCGACAGCCCAGGTTGCTGAGAACCATTCTGAGACTGCATTCGAGTCAACACTGGCGTTCCTTGCCAACCCCGTGCAGAAATTTGATCAGATAGGCTCTGACAACGATGTTTCACAATCAACGCCGCTCCTGCGAGGTGATTCGATAGTCCAGAACAAGTTCCGTCTCCATACTTCTGCTCATAAACAAGCATCAGGTATAACACCGCGCAGATGGGGTCCAACTCCAATTGCCGACCATCGTCTGCAGTCCCGATGATATCGGCTAAGAGGCCCAAAGCAGCTGAGTAATGCTGAACAGGAGTCCACCTATTGCGATTCCTTTCTACAAGTTGAGAAGCCACTCCATCCGAGCTGCTGTTTCGCCGGAACTCAATTTCATGGCCGCCGAGAGCCAATAGCGCATGCATCACCATTGGCTCATCTTGCGCCAGGGTGAATATGATGGAGAAGAGTGAGTAATCCGGATTCTTGGTGTGGTGAATCCTCGCAAATGTGGTGCGGAAATACCGTATTGCCTCATGATCGGCTGAAGTGAGATTCAGTGAACTCGCGCTATTGGGGAACTCCGGGAGCCGAGTTGGAAGAGCAAGAGCTCTGGTTAATGCGGCGCGCTGTGCCCAAGTCGGTAATGTTTTCGAATTCTCAACAGCAAGCATATATCCTCGAGATATGGCTAATAAGTCGTTGTGTTTTATCTTAGGCTCATAATCACAGAGCCGTCTTAGACGGACACACCGCTGGCATCTCGGCCGCACCTCGTCACATTTGACCTTCTTGATGCGACACGTATAGCATCCATCTTTTGAGCGGCTCTTTTTATGAGGCCCAGTGGTGGAGTCGATATAATCCATGCCGAACGACTCAACAATGCAGTTCACAGGTTTACCGTTTGAACGGCGCTTTGACTCATGTTCGCAGGGATCCGGTGTCTGTCAGTTACAAGCTAAAAGAGGGCGTCTGTTGATGAAAAGAGGAGACGTTGCTTCTGAGAGCCATCTTCGATCCCTTTTGTGGGCCTACGAGATCCTCTTTGTCTTCGGAAACTATATGACGAAGAGGTGGCCATGAGGAAACAGTCTCGTGCACCATCAATGCGGCTGCGTTGCCGACCGTCGGCAGCCTCAGCCGCCGCTAACAATATTGATCAATATTACGCCTCGACTCTGCCTTGTCAGCGCCACACGAGAATCAGGTTGGGGATCAGAGGCTGATCTCCGCACGGCGCTAGCTAAGAAGCCGATGGTCGGTAATAATGATGGGTATTGGATGATTAGAGATCCAATCACGGCGATGAGTTCAGATTAGCCAATCGAACGCTCCCACTTTTATAAGAGAAAAAGCATCGAAGCAACTATGACATAGCTCGGGTATATCTATGCGTCCAAATCTGCTCAACTTTTGCTCCACGTCTTCATTTGCAAAGCAGTATTCATCGCATTGTCCTAAGCATTTTTCTGGGCATTCTTCACACCCTCTGAAATATTAAGAATGGCGAATAAAGTCGATATTGAGCAAGTACGGCAGCTCGTCAATACCCACCTTGACGAACTGAGCCCTCAACTCCGCACAGTCAACAAGACTATCCACGACAACCCCGAACTTGCTTACAAAGAATTCCTTGCACACGACACAATTACTACTTTCTTGGAGAAACTCGGCTTTGATGTAAAGCGCAAGACTTGGGGCTTAGATACTAGCTTTGAGGCTACAATCGGCTCGGGAGGGCGTCAGGTTGTCGTGTGCTGCGAGTATGATGCTCTGCCGGATATCGGGCATGGTTGTGGCCACAATCTCATTGCTACATCCTCTATAGCTGCATTCCTTGGTGCAGCTCATGCTATATCTAAACTAGACGTCCCAGGCCGATTGAGAATTCTGGGAACACCTGCTGAGGAGGGAGGTGGTGGCAAGGCAAAGCTGATTGATGCTGGCGCCTTTAGCCCAGCAGAAGATATTGCCGCATCTATAATGGCTCACCCTATATCTGTCAATCTTATCAATGGTACAGGAAATACCGGCATTTCTGGAGTAGCTGGATTTGATCTCATTGCCAGCCACAAGTTCCGTGTCGAATTTCGCGGAGTAACAGCTCACGCCGCTGGTGAACCATGGAATGGCGTTAATGCTCTAGATGCTGCTGTTGCAGCTTACAACAATGTGTCTCTGCTGCGCCAACAGATTCGGCCTGATGAGAGGATCCATGGTGTGATTGAGGTTGGCGGCACGGTTCCAAATGTGATCACCGATTATACGCGGATGAACTGGTATGTCCGAAGCCCTACCAGTCAGCGTGGGGAGCTGCTGGTGAAGCGAGTAAAAGCTTGCATGGAGGCAGCTGGCGTGGCAACTGCTTGCGAGGTCAATTATATCCCGTGAGTAATACTAATCCCTCATCTCCCCCCACTGTATACGATTATTTTTTTTCTGATCAACCGGGACACAGAGCTGCGACGTATGAGCATGTCATTTCCAACCCCACGCTATGCAAGGCGTATGTCGAAGACATGAGTAAACTTGGAGAAAAAGTCGAGACAAGCTTACCTGTGAGCTTCAACGCCTCGACCGATATGGGCAATGTGACTCACGTGGTACCTGGCATCCATGGTGGATTCGGTATCCAAACTGGGCCAAATGTTGCCCTTCATAGCCGCGAGTTTGCCGCTGCTGCAGGTACGGATGAAGCTCACGAGGTGGCAATGAAGAGCGGTAAGGGTATGGCAATGTTAGCTCTTAGGGTTCTACTTGACGATGCTATTGCTGAGAGTGCAAGAGCCGACTTCGACAAGAGGTATCAATAGAAGGAAGACAAGTTAGCCATTATCAGAATATATTGTGTTCTTATCTGTGTATACATGGAACATAGATGGGGCGTGTAGGAAGTGGGCGAATCTCAACGCTCTTCCTCTTGAAGAGAAAAGGCACCATTCTCGCCTGTCCACTATGGTTACCGAAGCGAGGTTGCAATATCGATACATTACATGCGTTTGAAGTAGTATTTTGTCGCCAATATTAATGCTGCAACTCACGCGTGCAGCCTTGGCTCGGGCAGGTAAACATGTCTGGACAAATGGGATACTACCTACATGTAGAAAAAGAGCCCGATTTGTCCACAGATAATGCATAGAGCGCTCGATTTGGCAGCTCGTAGGTCTATATATGAAGTTTTCCCACCACTTTGACAATGATTCTGTTGTTGGAAGTAGCATGCCTGTATAAATGTCCTGATCACGATATGCGCCCGTGTAAAAAGAACCGTTTGGGTGACATTGCCGCCAGACCTCTGTCTCATCCCCCACACCCCGCCTAAAGCCGGATTGCGTTTCTTAGAAATTCGTAAGACACAAACAAAAAAAAAACGCAAAAATAAGCATATCGATCATCATTGGGTTAATTGAAGAATAGCAGGATAGCAAGTGAAGTAAAGTCCGTCTTCTTTTCCCAAAGCGTCTACCGAGATGCTCTGTCCGCTGCCGCTGCTTGGCGATTCTTCCAATGAGACGGAGCGTAGCATCCCCGTGTTATCCGGGATGATTTGCGGCCGCAAGGCACAAGAGGAGCCGCTCGGGGCTAAAATGGGACGAGCCGTTTGTCTCCATACTGAAATATGTGCCGTGGGGTTTGAAAGCGCTTTTGCCGCTGCGACGATGGTGATGAAGACATTTCACTCTTGCGCTGTTATGCCGCAAAATTATCGACGGAGACTTATTGCATGTTCTCATTTGGCTGAACATATTTTTGAGGTAACAGTGATGGTTATATAGAAAGAAATTAAAATGATAATAATGGCAATTGCAATCAATGACGAGATGAAGAGACTACCAGCAGCCTTCACTTGCCGATTTCCATTCCAGTGAATCCAGCCCTCACACCATTTATGTGTGCTCGGAAACTTACATGTCGATCCCTCCCCATTTCCCTGCCGACGCCACGGGCATCGGTCGCGATTAGGATATAGCGCACAAGACTGCTCCAGTTACCGGCCGAAACATCTTGATCAAGAAGGAACGGAAGATATCTTAGCTAGGAAAGGGAGCAGGTGAGTGACTGGCGTTACACTTGCCACCATGAGCCCGCGATATAAATATTGCCTCCGTCCCGAGTGCAACATAGATCATTTCCTCATTTTTCTCAAGCTACAGGAAGAATTCCCCCATACAAAATGAAGGCTGCTTTTCTCCTACTCATTGGAGCCGCTTTGGCTTCTGCCCAGACCGTCTACTTTATTCGCCACGGCGAGAAGCCCGATGACGATGATGACCCCAACCTGAGCGCCCAAGGAGTGCAGCGCGCCCAGTGCCTGAGAAATGTCTTCGGCGCGAGTTCCCAGTACAACATTCAGTACATCATTGCCGAGAAGCCCAAGGGTATGTGGTATTCCTCATAAATTTACGAGGTGACTTGCTTTAAGGATAACGGATCAACTAACCGGGTCAAATGTAGATGGTGCACGAATTCGCGCTCTCAACACGGTTACACCTTTGGCGAATGATCTCGGCTTGACCGTTGACACAAGCTGTGGCAAGACTAAGTCCGACTGCGTTGCTGATCTTGTCGATGACTACAAGGGCTCTGGCAACATCCTCATCTGGTAAATTCTCTTCAGCAAAGCATCGCACATATTGTTTATGGCCATACTAATGATGAATATCTAGCTGGGAACATAATGAGCTTACCAACATTGTCGAAGCTCTGGGTGTCAAGAAGGGCCCAGAATACCCCGATGACTCGTTTGACTTGATCTGGACTGACCCTCTGCCCTACAACAAGATTACCAGCACCACCTCTGAGAACTGCCCAGGCTTGGACTAAGTATGTCATCAATTCGCGAGAAGATGGAATGGGGCTTCATAAAGACGAAGATGTACAAAATAGTAAAATCAATTCATAAATTCGTATTCGCTATACCAGTAATACCACCGGGGAGCCTGTAGAGTCCATATCTATCTGGTATTACGATTTATAAATAAGCTAGATGAATATATAGGTAGAAAATAGTAAAATAAGTTCAACTGAGAAAGGAGTATCTTGCTTTTCTATATTCCACATTGTAAACGAGCTGTACTCTGCTCCTTCCTTTGTTACGAACAATCGGCAAAGTGCTATTTGAATGTAGCTGATAACTTTGTTTGAGTTTAACTTCCTGCTTGCTACTGACAAAAAGACAAACACGAGTTGATAGACACATGCCCACGCTCTATAATGGCTGAATAAAATTACCCACACGCGAGATCCCAGTAAACAATCCTTTTTTTATTTGGTCGGCTGTTTCTGATTCGGATTAATTTTAAGCATTCATTATGAATTATGAACCGATGGGTAAAGCTCTATTGACCCTCTTGTATTAATTATAAATATAACCCCATATCAACTTCAAACCCATATTATAGAATTGGACTAGTGAATAGTGGCCATGATAACAAGCCAGTTAAATCTAAATCCAGTAGATTCACTGACCACGGCTCTTCCAGTGCATACCTCGTGTTGAATAAAACTGATGAGTTTACTTAAATGCTTGGATGATCTTTTGTTGCCTCCTGAGTTGAATTTTATATTACTGCAATGCCAATTTTAGAATGTCTTATGAAATCCATTGTCATTTAACCTAGTTGCTTCAGTCATCAAAGGTATTTCAGCCCAATCTCGTTGTATATGATCAGCTGATCAATGGAATAGCCGACATAGCGGATATTACTGCTCTGATCATTCTCTTGTCATCCACTGGAATCAGAGAATATTGATGAGCATCCGCTTAAGGTGTGATGATATGTTACTAGCCGCCAGTCATAAGTGGAACCAACGGGTATTCCAGTTACAACGAGCTTGACGATCGCCCGCAAACTAACACTTAGCACAGCCTTGAACCTAACAAAGCAACTGACTGGCGACCCAAGCTAAAGATTGTGGAAGAATCCGTCAGATTTTAAAGGCAGCGGAGCTTAAGAGTCACGGTGAGAAGTGATAAGTTTCATGAACGACTGCACTTGGTGATCATTTGACGCATCGTACGTTCATCTCTTGAAGCTAGGAGTGTGGGTCATGACGTATGTTGAGATGACGCTTTAACAGTGCAGCAGGCTTTTGTTGGTATTAGAACGGGCGTTTTATTAGTCAGTCCGCTGACACAGCCCTATAACTTTTAGTTTGGATCGCTTTTTTGGACAATTAGACCAGAAACTTTGTTATCAAGTTGTGAAGTTAGCTGTCAACGCCTTTCCTAGTCTTGTCATCCATCCTTCATTTAGCTACACAAAAGCAAAATCTACAATTGAACCAGGGATTGGTTTTTATACTCATTTAGTTGTTGCCACGCAACTCTGATCAACTCCCTCGTCAGGTTAACCCAGCATGAACCCCTTTTATCAACCTTTTCCTTACGATATGCCGCATCTAGTTATTCTCGTATTCCAGCAGTTTGTTTACCAATACAATGAGCGCGTCACTCGTAAAATGACGAAGTTGTTTTATTGGTTTACGGTAGAGGGAATTTGTTTAGACCGTGCAATGCACTGCGGTCAATCCATCTTTCTCAATCTTGTTACTCATGGTTCACGGCGTGCGTGCAGCAAATACAGTATGAACGCGCAGTCCCCACGCTGATATCTGATGTGAGCGCTAGAATTGGACTCCATTTGTTGCTATAAGCACTACAATTTTGAACGAACTATCTCCACATCATTAACCTACTCGTTGATGGGATAGCTGTACAATTAGAAACGAAGAAAGTTAATACTCTCATAGAGGTGTGTAGCCATAACATTCTACTGCTATAAAAGCTTCAGCTCCACGGCTGGATGTTGGATGCACTCAGAGGCTATAGATATCAGAAAGGAAATTAGCGGTTTATTTTGAACAGTTTCGAGATTCTGAGCCCATCAAAAATTGTCATCAGCGTTTTGTCAATGATACCCAGTCCCTATCAGAAAATCGGCATTCTTCATAATTAAATAATCTACCTTTCTAAAATTGCACCAAGTCAGCATGGATCCCCCACCCCCAAGTGGTGTTGACGTCTCGCGGCCCTCTGTCGCCCGAATGGTACGTATGGCAATTTTGGATTTAATCGAAATATTGAAGCTTCAATTTTATAGAGTTAACCTGACTTCAGTATGATTGCTATCTTGGTGGGAAAAATAACTACCCTTCAGACAGGGCCGCCGTTGCAGCAGTCAAAGAGGCGCTCCCCAACATAATCGAAATCGTTGCCGAGGGACGTCATTTTCTGAGACGTGTAATTCGTTACATGTGCTACCAAGGTATCGATCAATTCATCGATATTGGTTCGGGATTGCCAAGTGCCGATAATACGCATCAAGTAGCCCAGAGGGTAAACCCTAAAGCTCGCGTCGTTTATGTCGACATCGACGAGGCGGCTGTAGTTCAAGGCCGACAGATCCTCAGTGGAAACCCTTCAACGGCTTTTATACAAGGATCGGTTCTAGATTTGGAGCCCATCTTGAACCATCCTGAAACGCGCAATCTCATTGACTTCTCGAAGCCGGTGGGTGTGGTAATGATGGGGCTATTGCATTTCTTTGATATAGATGTCGACCGCGGTATTCTCAATCTCTTACGGCAAAAACTTGCTTCGGGGAGCATGATCAGCTTTACACATGGAGTCTTGGACTATCAGAGTGAGGAGGCAGTTAAAGATTTGCTGGCTGCTTATGCAAGGACGCCCACACCATTGATAATGCGCACAATGACCGACATTGCAACAGTAATGAAAGGATTTCCAGCAGTAGAACCCGGTCTTGTCTTATTGCATAATTGGAAGATGGATATGGCTGAGGATGGAGAACCAGAGCCTCCACAGTCACTCATCTGGGCTGGAACTGTATTAGTCGTTTAGTTCTCTGTTTAGTGTCTTGGTATTCGCGAAGAATAGTAAAATGATATGTAAGTGGTAGTTTTCTAGCGATTAATCATGAACCGTACAGTTTTCATGGTCATATCAGTACGAGTTGCCCATAATGAGTCCCCCCTCGGCTACAGAATGCACTGCATCGATCCTCCAAAAAACACGAGTTTCCACCACAAATAGAATAATATGTCACGTATCAAGGGGAAAACTAAAACAATTGCATTTTTACCTTCAGTGTATTAAGCTTAAGTTAATGCTTGCTATAGCGCAGTCATTAAATGTCGAAGCAACGTAAAGCATATATATTAGTCACATCTTTATATCAACGATTTGTATCTCCCTTGGGGCCTAGAATGTAAAAAATCGAATCAAAAGCCATTTGCCACTATCAGCGGCACCTTTCAGAATCCAAGGTGCAACGACGTTACAGTTTGGGAGCTCAATATGATGTCCACCTGTTTGAGAAATAGTTACCATGGATAACGCATGAGTGTAAATAAGACTGCAAAGAAGAAATGATCCAAATTCGACAAACTTAGGAAAAATATAAACACCTGCTGTCATGCCCAGCTTGCTTAAGATTCGGCTGTTATCATTTTCAACTACCGACATACACCAAGGCCCTCCTTATACAATACTCGACGGTCTCTGGTGCAACAAGAACCATATAGACCGGGCACCGGCCATCCTTCGCATACCCAAGCCCATTGCATGATCGATTAATAATACATTAATAACACGCCAGGAAATGAATCGCAATTCTTTCAAATCTGAGCGTCATTGAACGTATAAACGAGTCTAGAGTGCGAGTTATCGCCTGGGCTAACAGTGGGCAAACTAAGACACTAACCGCTTATAGTAACATTATCCGCCAAGACTTTTGGATTTGGTATAAGTCAGGACAACACGACGATTCTGTTGTTCGAGAACGGCGGGGAAGATGATGAGAATTTGATAAGCCAAGTAATCTCAGCCTGAATTTGCATTTATCAGGCTTATTAACGCGCATTTGTATTTACTTTTGGTATTTGAGTTGTCGAAGTCTTGATTTGTTAGGTAATTCTCCCGGGCTGAGTCCTTGGTGGGGTTGTTGAGTTCCATGTTGTGAAAGTTTAAATAATGGCTTGTTTTCCATTCAAACTTAGAAGAGCTATTCAAACGGCACACATAATAAGCACTTTAAAAATATCGACATTTTAATCATTGAATCATTGTACAGTTAAACCCCACAGCTAGCAATCCAACAACCAACAATGTCTACCTTCAAGGGATCCGTCAGTGTTACCCATATCGGCACTGCCACTGCCCTTCTTCAAATCGACGATGCCACCTTTTTGACCGATCCCCTCTTTGCCTCTGCTGGAACCGAATGGGACCTCCAAGTTGTTGTCCTCAAGGCAACCCAGGATCCTGCTATTAAGCCCGAAAACCTCCCCAAGATTGACGCTGTCCTCCTCAGCCACGAAGATCACCCCGACAACCTGGACGAGATCGGACGCAAGGTCCTCGAAGGCAAGAGAGTTTTCACTACCAAGGACGGCGCTAAGAATATTGGAGAAAAGGCAATTGTGACTGGCTTCAATGCCGGTGATAAGGCTACTCTCGTCGCTGGAGGCAAAACTTTTGAGATCATTGCCACCCCGGCAGAGCACTTACCCGGGGGCGAGTGTATCGGCTTCCTTGTCACCTCACCTGATTTTGGAACAACTGATGGTCTTCCCAATGCCATTTATTTCTCTGGTGACACCATTTACAACCAAGATGTTGCCAATAGCCTCAAGGGGTACCATATCAGTCTTGCTCTGCTCAATCTCGGCAGAGCAGCTGTCGAAGTGGGAGGCCCCGAACCTCTGCCAATTACTTTGGATGGTAAGCAGGCCTCACAGCTCATCATAGATGCCAACGTGGAAAAGGTCGTGCCGATGCACTTTGAGGGATGGGGTCACTTCAGCGAAGGCAGGGAGCCAGCTACCAAGGCTTTTGCAGAGGCGGGTGTCAGTGACAAGGTCTTCTGGCTGCCTCGTGGTGAGCGCAAGGTGTTTTTCTAAAGGCGAATAGCATCTAAGACGGAATATGTCTCGGGGAGACTTTTTCAAGAAATTGGTATCTAATCTATGTATGAGCGTTACTGAAGATAGCAAGAGAACGAAGTGAAATCACATCTCACCCCTCCGCATCACACTCCATCGTCATCCAAGATATACTGGGCAATGTAATCGTATCCCCTATCCCTAATACCGTCAATCACCCTTTCACACCACGATATTAGTTCCTGATCGTAGAAGTGATTGTATCGGAGGAATTGGTAAGCTACTCTGGTTGGTAGAGTCGCAGAGATGGCGCCGAATAACCTCATTTCATCTTGAACCAAATACTCGATGCTTTGGAATATCCATGTAGACATTTGAATCGCCACTTCTGTAATGATAGGGCTCTCTGGGCTCTCTCCGCTGATCAACAGTTCTTCGTCTCTTAGCTCCGGGTAGTCATTTCTTAGCTTTCTGATGTACACGATGCACATTATCCAGAAAGTCCAATAGTGTGTCATAGAATTTGCGGTAGTGATGTCGGGAAACCACACATGAGCTTTTTCAGGGCCTTTGCCCAGAATTCGGAAGGATGGTTTGTTTGTAAGGCCTTGGAATGACACGTTCCAGTCGACCAGTGCTTCAAGAAGGTCCTTGAGAGCTTCAAAGACGGCAAGTGGTGAATTTGAATGGGAAGAGCCGTATTTAAGCTGATCAATATCCACTAAAATAGAAGGAATTGCAGTAGCTTCTGTCATTAGAGCGTGAAATGAGTTTGCTTTGACATGCTGGAACGGAATTGTTCTCCATTCGGGGGAGGCTAAAAATGTGGGTTGCTTGTTGCGAATCGAGTGAATAATCTAACTAAACGTTAATAATGACAAAATATAGAATAATATAAAACAGTGGCTCATACCATAGCCGGGCGAAGCCCAATGAAGATCCTATGGGACGGTCCGGACGAATAAGCTTCTGGACTATGCAGCTGGATCAAGTCGCTTAAGCCAGCGGCATGAGCCGCACTGCTAGAGATGGCTGTCGGCAGAATAATCTAAAAATGGCACTTAGAGTAAGCTTCTCACCAACGGGGGCCACAATATAAAGAAGGTAACGGGTTCGGCACCTACTTCCGAGATCATTAGGCACATGATGGCCACCGCCAAGACGTCAGAATCCCCAGTATGTGCTATATGATGCAGGCTGTCATGAAGCGAATGCAATGCGGAGCAATGTGCCGTCAGAGCATCTGAGATCGGCGCTATCCCGTTACGGCCCCTGGACAAAATGGATACAGCAAGGGCCTTGACTGATGAAGACAGAGCCATCTCATATCGACGAGTCATGGACAGAACCGGCAGAAGCTCGATCCAGGCTCCACACACGCGAGGATGAATGTCCACGTCCCAGTTCATAAAGGCTGAACTGCTAGATAGCACTGTTGGTGAGAAATTCTGTACGACTAACGAGATGATATCCTGGAATGGCCAAGCCAGCGATGGCCTCACTGGGGCCGCCTCATATTTAGCTACTGGCTTGGCTTCTTGGAATATTTCTTCGCTGCTGTCCGTGGAAGCGCTAGCTCGTGGCTTTGTGCAGTCGTTTCGTCTCTTTCCCACCTTCCCGTCCTTCCGCGTCTTGGATTTTGTCGATGGGCCTATGGACAATTGTGATGGTATGAAGACAAGGTCATACTGGTACCCTCCGCATTTGATCTTCGTCCCTGCGCATTGCGAGCATGAAGGACGCTTTCCATCACACTGAGAACCCCAAATTTAGTAATTATTACCGAGATGCAAGACATAGATGTTAGATGGTAGATGGTAGATGCATTCTACAAACTGGGTAAACTCAGTGTACTCACCCCCAGTTTCCGTGCCCTGCATGTATGACAGACGGTTAACTTCCGAACTTTCATGGTGCTTGCCTCACAGCGCTGGATTCCAATATAGGCAATATACGACGAACTGCTTGTTCAAGATAGAAGCATAAGCCGAGAGCAATGCTTTTAGCTGGCGACGGGCAAAGGGCGTTGACATATTGTGGAGCCAATTGTACGGACCGGAATGGCAAGCCGAAGACCGATGGCGAGAAACCGGCGAGCTGATTGGGGAAGTGTGATACGACACTAGACTCGTCCAGGAATCAATAACCGCCAAGGTGACTAAATGGACGCTTGATCTGTGGGGGGACGGCAGAGATTGGCTTTTGACAGCTTAATAATAGCAGCGGTCCGCGATAGAGATGCATAAGGGCTGCGAAATTGCGCCAACTATGGAGAACTATCGCCTGTCAGGCTGTTTTATAGAAGATATTGTTCGATGGAGGAATCTATAAGGCAGATTCTAGTATCAGCCACTTTCAACCAGCTTCCACATTCGGGAATAAGTCTACTCCCACTCCGCATGAGGTACTGATATTGTTGTTTATCTTGAAGAATCGAGAGTTGCAGTGTGTATCTACAACACAACTCCTAGTTGTCCGGCGACGGGAACGGAGTAATAGTTGCAGCCTGAGAACGTACTGAGATTTCAAAACGTAATAATAAAAACAAACTTCAGGGCTGATGAAATGGAAAAGACTTCAGCTGATCTTGGCGCGGGTTAATTCATCTATTTACCTAGGTAACAGGACAATCGACCCACATGCTATCAATCTGCTACCTAGGCATATCTCGCAAAACTTCGTTTTCTCAACTCGGATTATCGCTGAATTTACTGAAATAGGAAAATTCTCCTTTGCCGATGTCTTCTTCCGAGGTTTCTATTACCAATCTGGCCCCCAAAGTTGATCGCCACAGGGGTGATTTAAACTTACCGCCATCTTCTTATACTATTCCATCGGCCAACTGGTCCCGATCTCACTTCATTATGCGCTGCCAAAAAGGGGGTGGCTTTTCCAAACTATTGCCTTGCATTATTTCCAGCCTTTAAGCATCTATGAACACCTATTGTGAAGGAATTTACCCTTTAATCGTACAATATTGTAACATTATTCGATCTCATAGAGCCTTTACGCATATCTCTTTGGCAGGAAGACTCGGATCGCGTCAGATCTTTTGTTAGGTTTGGCGTCTTACTTTTCAATCTTCCTTGAATTCCGTGATCAGTAATGATTATGAACCCCGCGCTAAATGGTTTCGTGGGTGAGCTCAATGCTTTAGCTTTTTTATCTCGTCATCTCCGTATGGCGTACGGAGGGAAACGAATAATCCGACGCCGGCAATATTTTATTATCTCCGACCATCTGCGCCCTAAACAAGACGCGAAATGTCCGAGTTCATGGCGCCAGGCTTTTGTTTTCTTCTACTGTCCTATACGCCAGCCGAATATGTCTTATAGTCGTTGCCTAAAAAATTTCTGCGTGAATTACCCCGAAATGTCATGCTTGTGAGTGAGATTCAAAGATGGTTTATCACATGTATTATAGCCTTGAATCGATAATACTGCCATCCGAACATCACAACACGTATCGGAAATTCGCCAACTCTCGATCTGTCTTATTCGATATCTCCGCTTCCAGCTCGTCAGACTCCGAAGCATCGGCCGGCAAGCCGAATTTCGTATTACGTCGCCTGTTCTCGAAGAAATAATAGAGGAACAAGGAGAAAACAAAGAAGATGGCTAATCCATAGCCAGCCAGCGTTGCTCTGATGCCTCTCTGTGCCACACCGGTTAGAGACAGGGCGCTGCGTCGAGCAAGAGTGACTTACAGAATAACTTGGAGCCTGATCAGTGGAAAAGAACTGCGGCCCAACAATATTTCCAGTGCAATATGCAACGAAAAGCATACCCGAAACAGTTGATCTCTTGCTATATCCTGCCACATTTGATGTGATTAGGCTAAGCTGCAGCGGGATATTAGCAACATAGGTGCTTGTGATCCAGGATCCTCCCAGGCGTGACCATTTTTGATCGGAAGGTATAGCATATACCATTACTATACCAACAAGCGAGATGAGAGTCATAAAAACCATAATGATGGTACGTGGAATTTTGGTATACGCCGTCAAGATAGAGGATAAGATCATGGCTCCGAGCTGAAAACCGCCAGCTGGCATTTGCATGAGAACTGCTGTGAGGGGACTGAACCCTAAAGAAGCGACGACTATGCTGCCAAACTATGCTCCTGTTAGTCCAGAACTGCTTCCCATATTTTCGGCTCCAAGAAATGCGTACCGCGGATATACCACCGTTAGCAACAGAAACTGTGAACATGGCCAAGAACAAGATCCAAGCCTGGGGATCTAAGAGCCCTGCTATCATCTGGGACATCTTAAACTCAGACTTCTCCAGTATTCCAGTCTTGTTTCCAATAGTACGGTGCAGACATAAGGCTCTTTCTTCGGGAGTGAGAAAATTTGCTTCTGATGGAGAATTGGGGAGCAAAAACACTAGCACGATTCCCCAAAAGGTTGTGACTGCGCCCAGAATAAGAAAAAGAAGTTTCCAAGTCGCAACCTTGCTTGTGGTTATCTCCCCAATTCCATGAGCAATAATGCCAGAGAGAATGTTAGCTACTGCATTTCCAGAGAACCAGATGAGCATTCTGTTCTATGTTTAGCTTGTATTTGAATCCATGAAGGTTCTTATATGACTTACCGCCCTGGCTGCTCTTCGCGCTTATAAAATAGGCCTATAATTAGAGAGAAACCGGGGCTCACTGCAGCCTCTGTCACTCCCAAGAAAAATCGCACAGCCATCAAGCCAGCGTAGTCCTTGGCCGCTCCATGACACATCAACACTATCCCCCACAATACTACAGTAATGGCGACATATTTGCCGAGCGGGGCTCGCACGGCAAGATATGAGCTGGGGAAGCTCCAAAAGAGGTACCCAAAGTAGAATATTGACGATGTCCAGCTATATTGTGAACCTTGAAGATTCTGAACTTGTTAGTAATAGTTTATAGAAACTAGTTGCTTCTCTCGTACGAATTAAGAAGGTTCTGAGCTTTGACCTACAAGATCTGTCAAAATACCAAGTTGGGTGGCGTAGGAGAGTGTGACTTTGTCCATATACTGCAGCATGTAGCAGACACCCATCAAAGGAAGAATACTACCGGCAAGTTAGTATCGCGGTAGAAGCTTCCTTAATTATGAAGACAGATTTCTCTCACTAGAGGTCTATTTTCCTCAATACTCTAGCTTCCTGCTCTGCGGTTGCTTCTACTCGTAGGACATCGGCAACATGGATAACGGTATCCTCCATATCTCCCTTTGGCTCGGAGAGAATTTCTTTGTTTTCCATGTCGGCTAAAATTAATCCGTAAATTGAAAATGAGCTGAATCGTACAGGACTATGCAAGCATCTAGCTTGTGCGCAGTGTATTGAGTTCAACAATAGGCTTCAAGTGTCTAGGCCGTCTACATTCGTATTACGGGGTATTTATATTGCATTCTAATTCCCTATTGCGGCGTTTTACTATTTTCTACAGCCATCAAAAAATAGTAACTCAATATTGACCACCCTCCCTTGTAGCTTACGGCTTTACAAGGGCGTTTGTTCAGCTTACTGCCTGTGTAGCGCGGCAGGATAGTACCATGGCACCATGCGGGTAAGCATTCCGAAGTAGTATTGCTACCGTTAAATAGTACCCAGAGAACACAATCCATGTATCCTGATTATATAATATGTTCCTGTATGCTTCGTAAGGCATTTTCCACCCATGCATGCCAGTTCAGGCTGTTCAGCAATCCAGGTTTAGTTGACAGGGATTCGTTACTAATTTGAAAGCCCACCCATCAAAGATTGTTCAGCTTTGTCTCAAGTTTTCAGCGACTTTTTCTTATCTCTTCTAATCATTATTGAATGCGACTATGAGGCAACTTTTATGTTTTCTTTAAATGTCGACTATTACAGCGACTTTACGAGTGCTTAGGGAGCCTCGGGTAGAACACTTTCATGGCACAAAGCTTCCAGATTATATGACTATATATGTATATATAGCATACGTCGAACGACTCATTTGGCTATGCTCCGAAGGGCACCAAGGCCACATACGTATCCATAGAAAGATAAATGCGTAGTAAATAGCAGCCAAGGCAGCATACAAGTTCATATAGCGGCGAGTACGGTGGCGGTGGGAATCAGCTGGTGCCTGTAGAGTAGGCTCGCAGCTACACCACTTCAAGGCAATGATGCGCCTGCTTTATCTCAGAGTGATTATTGAAATTTCAGTCTTTACTAGGATCTTCGTATGCACCATGCGTTATACGCAGGGACCGTAGCATGGAAGGGGCAGGGCTAAATACAATAATGTAACAACACATATATCGATTACTGAACGACGCGGTAAATTCTCCAACGGCTTGCCTTGAACTAGACATCACCGGACTTTAATTAACATGCTATCATTGTCTGGTAAACTATTGCTGTGAATACTGAGAATGAATGCTTATACACAATACGTAACATCAATTTCACTCTAGTCGCTATACCAACGCACCGATTCCTTCTCTGCAGAATATTGAGGATAGTTTCCTTTGGTGTGGTTTTAAAGAGAATTTGACCAAATCCCTAATCGCCTACGCGAGTGCTCAATACTTAAAAAGAATCGCTCACCTATATGGCTTAGTTAGTCGGTATTAATGCGGTGGCCCCCTTTATTTCACAGCTAGGATAGGTCCACGATAGCCCACGCCCTTTATCTCGACGTCTAGATAGTCATGCTCTATCTGTTAATCGCCATCCGTTACGCTCTATTGATGATCCTCTCCGATGTTATCGCGCAGACTTTCGCTCCTCGCCTACATTTTGCCCATAGCTCTATCATCAGCCCTATCTGCAAATACAATTATCACCATTAGCAATCGATGAATTAACATTAGATTACTCCGTATTAATGCAATTCTCAATCTAGTTAATACACTCATCCCGACATCTCATCTCAATGCAAAGACGAATACTGAAAAAGACGGCTCATCATAGTACTGCCCGCCAAGCCAGAAGGTCTCTATACCCGCATTCTACTATGATTTGGTTTCGTTTTTACCAAACCAGAAGTTTAATAAAATGCATCATATTGCAAAAAAAAAAAAAAAAAAAAAAAAAAAAAAAAAAAAAAAAAGACATGGGAGCTGCCGAACAATGATGAGACAAATCATCACTACTAGCGGATGGCTTCATTCACCTTAGCAACAAAACACCAACGAAGCATGATTGCCATGTGAGAGGAAATAACCATACCATGCGATGGATGATATGCTGATTCTACGAACCAGGAAGCAAAAAGATATAAGTGCCCCCACACAGAATTGAACTATGGACCTTTGCATTACGAGTGCAACGCTCTACCGCTGAGCTATAAGGGCGCACGAGTATCTTCCGTAGATCTCCCGCAGTTGATTTTGCGCTTGTTATTTCTGCTTAAGAGCTAGACCCGTTGTGAGATGAGTTCCACCATAAGCGAACGCTTCATCTGCTTTACGAGTGCATGATTTAGAAGGCAGGGCATGCGTTGTTACACTTCAGCAATCGGAGTGCAAAATTCTGGATTCAGTGCGCTCTAGAGAGGGTGGCTAGAAGTAAAGCTTTGTATCACGCGGCTATTGCAGGCAATGGTGATTTTGGAAGAATTACATATACCCAGGTGACGACAAAAATGAGCTGCGGAAGAAGGATCGTGCAGTTGCCTGCAGGCATATGTAATGACTGCTCATTATTTCATTTGCGATCCGGAATTGGTTTTCTTTATGACTCGCATCGGCAATCATCAACAACGGTCTTCTACTTTGTGAATAATAAAGAGTGATAACTGCAGAGCTGCGAGTTGTTTCTAGTAAATGGGTATCAAAACGATATGCGGCTTTAGCAAAACCCGTCAATGCCATAGTCCGTACCCGTGCATAAAAGTGACCGGCAGAGTACAAGATATTCACTGAACGAACACAATGAAGCACGATTTTTGAATACTACATGTAGGTATCTCCAACTCTCAAATTGTTTGACTACGTAAATAGTTGTGTACTAAGAATTCGGGAGAAAAAAAAAAGCTCAAAGACTTAAATCTCCTTCAAAAATCCAACCTCAATGAGCTTATCAGCATCAATGTTGAGGTCCGCCAACTTGGTGCGTGAGTTCTCCCGTATCCACAAGAATATCCACAACACAAAGCTCCTGAAGAATCCGGTAACACGGCCAGCCATGGAAGTACTTTTCTTCACTTTTATTGCCTCCTTTCCGAGGATGTACACCATCTGAGATCCGTATGCGGCCCGCAGCGTCTCAAGCTCTGTTGCATCAGGGCGACGGCCGCGGGAGATGGTCAGCTCAATTTGTCCTACCAATTCGCGCGCTAGACCTGGGTGCAGCACGTCATCCATATAACCGTGGCGAAGAGTGACATTGTAACTGTTGGTAAGGCCGCTGGTGTGTGTGATAACGTACCGCTCTTCGAGGGGAACAGAGGGTACAGTAAGAGGCCGCATGTGGAAGAAGATGATAACCGATGGCCGAGCGGCGAACTTGATGACAAAGTGGACAAAACATGCAGGTAGGTGCTTTGAATCTCCAGCCTTATCGAAGAAGATACCCAGACCAGGCACAGTCGAGATGGGCACGCCACCAAACATCTCATTCAAGACAAGAGATTTTGATGATGAGTTTGGACTGGCCTGATCTGACTTGACAAGTGCTGCTAGCGTGAGCTGGTCAAGTGACTCGGCCTTCCACTGAGCCTCCTTTCCAAATCGCCAAACAGTGAAGACGGAGCAAAGAATGGCAGCCAGCACAATGGTGAACCATGCACCCTGTGGGACCTTTTGCAAGACGGATGAGAGGTATGCGCCGTCGAGCGCGGCAAAGATCAACCAGAAGGGAATGACAATATACAAAGGCAGCCTCCAGACAAGGATGGCAACGAGGGCAACCATACATGTTGTGACTGCAAGAAGTGTTAGTTTGATGGTCATTTTTAGAAGTGAGCAAAAACGTACTAAATGTGACAGCAATAACACAGACACCATAAGCGTTACCGAGAGACGTGGTCTGTATAGTCTGTTAGTCTCAAGCTATCAAATAGATTCAACATGGGACGTACATTGCTGTATACAGCGGTGACAATGACAGTACCAATCATTAGAAGCCAATTTGCCAATGGTATGTACACCTGCTCAGAGAACTTTCTGCTTGTATGAACGACTTTGATGTGAGGAAAATATGAAAGCCGCATAATCTGCGTCAGTAGTTGAAAAGATGATGTGATCATGGCCTGGGAGGCGACAATCGCCGCAAGGATGGCCATAACCAAACCAAAGTAGAGTGTTTTAGGCGGTAAGGTGTTGAAAAAAGGGTTTGTATAAGCTTTTTGTGTCTCGTCAGTGGAGATGAACGCTGCCTGGCCAATGTAAGATAGGAGCAAGCACGGGTAGGTCAGACCCAGCCATGAGATTTGAACGGCACGCTTGCTGAAAGCGCCCAAGTCGGCAAAGAGTGCTTCCACACCGGTGAAGGCAAGGAGCAAGCCACCCAAAGACGTCCATCCGTCTTGTCCGTTGCGGACAAGATAAGTAAAGGCGTAAGAGGGGCTGAAAGCTTTAAGTACTGTGTGATCATGCTTGACAAGATTGTAAATCCCAGAAATCATGTTCAAGAGGAGCCAAATGGTTACAATGGGCGCAAAGCTTGTTCCAAGCTTAGTAGTTCCAAATGGCTGGATAAGGAAGAGGAAGACCAGGATGGCGCACGAGATGCCAACAATTGCTGACACGGACAAGTCAGGCTTGACGACTTCGAGACCCTGAATGGCACCAAGGACAGATTGTGCGGGTGTTAGGACACCGTCAGCCATAACCATGGATACTCCCAGCACACCAACAAGCTGTAGGATAATCTGAGAGAACTTGGAATTCTCGAGGAAGTTACGAAGACTCTTGCCGCCAGGTTTGAGATCGTTGGTACGATATCTCTCCATGCGTATCATGCCTGTCCCTCTAGGGTCCCGGTTTCGCGCGATGTTGGTGTACCTTGCTAGGAGACTGTATAGGGCGAAGGTGCCTCCTTGGCCATCGTCGTCGGCGTGTAAGACGATGAAGCAATACTTGACCGTGACAATCAAGGTCAGGGACCAGATGATGATGGACAAGGCACCGACGAGATCATCCCATGAGGGCTGACTGGAAAAGGTCGACGAGAAGACGTAGAGAGGAGAGGTTCCAATATCACCGTATATGACTCCGGTAGCTTGAAAGCTGAGCCAGACGAGAAGGAACCCGCTGTAAGTCTACCGCAAGATCAGAGAGGAATTGACGGCGATGGCTCATCAAAGCCACCGCCAGGAGAGTTTGGGTGATTGGGGGGAAACAGGTTATTCCATACTTGCTTACGATGACCTTGCAGATCTTCTTCAGCGATTCTTCTTGCTTTTTCTTCCTCGTCCACATCCAAGTCCGACATCTTCTCAGAAGGCTCTGTCTCTGAGGCCGATAGTTTGGCGTCACCGCGAGGAGCGGCATTGGCCCTCGCGACTGGCGCGATCTGCTCAATATCTAAATCGTGCATTATGATCGAGCTGATTTCGAAACGCGAAAGGGACTCGATGCAGAGAGACTCGATAAATGATTGCCCAGTTAGAGTTGCAAAAAACTACATCAAATCGCGTCACAGCAAAGGGGGGGAAGGTCAGCTCTTTATCCCTGACGGTAACCAAAATCTGACATCACGAGCTCACAATAATGACGGCAAATATAATTTGCTAATTTCTATGGACAAATTTTCACAATAGTGCTCGCTGATAACTACCCGCGCGTGCTATCCCTTCAGAGTTAATATCACGAGACGCTGATAGCAGGGAGCGAAGAACCAATCCAGTGCCGCATATCCATATCTAGAGGCGCAGGCATGTTGAGTATACATGGGTCAGTCCTACTGCTATGTACTCCTGACATGCACCCTTGGATGCTCGCAGCTCAATTATAAGGCATGAGTGATCCAAGACGGATGTAACAGCGACATCACAGGCAGCACATCAGCCCTAGAGCTAAAATAATTAGGACGCCACGATACAAATCCTGGAGTTTATTATCTGTGGATTTCTCGGCCAACCTGGTTAGTGGGGGAAGAAATGCCTCATAGGCATAGGCATCACCAAGGGCCTTTTGTGGTGTTGATGGTGGTAACCAGCTATGAGGCATATGAGACGGTTATTAAGGATTTCTGCTAGCCATATACATCTCCGGGGTCTCTTCGGCTATTAAACCCCCACACTGCTCAAGCATTGTCCCTAGTCTAGTGTGTGAGAAATCGCCGAAAGCGTCTGCGACTGGACCACGATTTCAATCCTCTCTCGACACAGCGCACGTGTTTGTTCATGCAGGCACGTTTTTTTTCTGGCTGCACCGGTAACCCGGTATTTTTTTAAGGGGAGGCAATGGTGCTTGTGGAATTAGGGCAATTAAATTCCCTAGTTCTTCAATTACTACTGTTAACTTAACCGAAGGTGATTGGAGGAGAAGTTCGTCTCGCAGTGTTAGGGTTACTTACAGCTGACCAGCAGTTTTCCAAATGCACTTGGTGGACCATACGTACATGTGCTGGTACCTACCTGTATCTAAGGTACTTAGGTATGAAGAGAAATCTAGGCCTCTGTATAATTAGAGATATGACGCAAGTTTTGGCTTTAGTGAGCCAGTTCTATCCTCTTCCGCGACCCTTTCCAACTTCTGCTGTTTCAGGAACAAATCAGTTGGCCTATGACCAGATTTTCAGTCTCAGATGGTAAAACTAGGTGCCCGTGGATACCTACTAGCAATGCCGGAGTCGTGATTACATTGTATACATATCCTTCGCCGAATAAGTTAGCACCGGTTGTGGTGGCAAGAATGGGCTGGGTACCATAGCTAGTTTCTTATTAGCCATAATACAATATGTATAGTATAGTAGGTCGCCCGTTGTGTCTTGTCATCTCGATCCTACAATGAATCGCCTGGATCTATTAAGATTGCTTGCATCCCCAAATTGTATATGATAAGTGCCAAGAGAGGCCACCACATTTTCAAAAAAATATTTCTCAACTTCTAAGAGCATTTATCTTATTCTCTTATAATAAAGTATTGTTCAGCTTTGTACAGCAAGATCAAGGAAAAATGTTCCACGGGCCTTCATCGAAGATTCAGTATACCTTGATAGCGCTGAACAGAGGCAGATTTCCTACATTGCATGTTCAAGCTACATGTAGTCTATGTATATCAAGGGATTGGAACAAGATGCTCTATTGCATTGCACTGGCCGTAGTACTCTTCACGTGAACGGCGGCCATGTAATAACGAGTCCCTTATCTAGTAAATGAAAGAAGTAGCAAATCATTTGTAGACACGTAGAACGCCGCTGATGCTGCCGTTTGTGCCGGCATATTCTAAAGAGCGACAGGGTGACAAAGAAGAGAGAGGTCAGGTGCAAATCGTGACGCGTATGCTTGTCGAATACGAGATGCATAAGTAGCTATCCGAGCCGAGTTTCTCGTCTACTCCACCACATACCTATGGCTTCAACCACATGATGAACTTACCAACAAAGACTTCACCATAGTCGAAATGCAGTATCACCTCAGTGAATTAGACAAACCGGGCTCAATCAACGATCAGAAGCAAAAGAAACGTAAGCAAGACTGCTGGATTCGCGCCCCGAGTGGGTGAATGGGCTCATTGCTTCCTCATCAATCCGAATAGTGTAACATAAAACGCGACTGCTTTTGATGCCTAGCGATACAATAAAGCTTGAAATTCTCTTTGATTAGATTGCTCACGTCCTAAAATAGGATATCGATAGCTGTAGCTGGTCTTCCGTCTATGACAAAAATACTATACGATGTTGAGGAATTTTACGATGATGAAATGCCGTGCAGGCTTCAGCTCTAGGGATAACATTTGATATTTCAGCTGCAAAAAGCTTCTTTTAATCTCTATTTACAACCTACTCATTGTAGGCGACTTTCTCGTGACGCCTGCTCAGTCCAGTTCCCACCCAGAACTCACTAGCTAGGAACTGGAGTGAATCTGATTACACAAGAGCTCCGCTCCGGTTCTCATTGCTTTGTTCATTTTCCTTGGCGATATTAGCAGAAGCCAATCCTCCTGTCGGCCAGCTCTTGCGAGCTCAGGAGTGGCGGAGCCTTGGAATCCAGTGTAACCCAGGTGGATTTCGCCACCTGCTAGCTACGGTCGACGTCCAGCGGCACAGTAATTGCAAAGTACAATCTTTGGAGGCTCTTTGACCTGATTCATATCTCTCTCAAAGTGTTTTTGGAAACAGCGTTCTTTGAGCTCAAATCGATAGGACACATATTTTACAAAAGGCAAAGGTACTCAATTCCTCAAGCGAGAAAAGTAGACTTTTATAGCCACAGCAGTTATTATTACGTTAGTACGCGTTCTATGGGAGCATATAACGAGCAGGTCTACGGAGTACACCTACTGGATACATGTATATACATTGGTACGTATTAGCTGCATGCCTCATTTCCATGTAGTTACACAGCAGATTGTCCTACGGATACTAGATTCCACTGCCCATAGTGATTGCAGACGTGATAAAGCTTAGGCATCCGCCGATGAAAAGAACAAAGAAATATGCCTACTCAATTGCCAGCATGATTTAATTGCGCCACTGACTGCCACAGATTGTGTAAACTAGGCCTTCAGTAGCGGTCGACACGTCTTAACTTATTGATATCTCAACATCAAAGAAATGAGCTACCGAAAGAACAAAGAAAAAAAATCCGATGTCTGCTCTCTGCTTACGCCTGCTCTTGGCTCCACAATGGCCCCAAGCTATGGAAGCAGCCTCTCTGTGCTCATTTCCTACGTATATATATCAAGAAGAAATCGTCTTCCTTACGTATTTCTCAACGACAACAGCTTCTTACCGCCAGACTGAAACATCTCTATTGCTCACATCATGTCTTCGGAATCTACTCTCAAAGTCTTTATCATCGCTTTACAAACCTCGATATGCATATACGTTCTAACCAAATATTACTTTGAGCTTCCACAAATATGCCACAGTGTAGCTCCTTATCTGCCCCTCGTCCTAGAGTTACTTCTAAAGTCACTTGCAATCTTGGAGGGACAAGGAGAGATTCCCACCGCCCAGTTGCGTTAACCAAGGCGCTCGAAAATTGTTCTGGGAATGCTGTGGCCTTCCAAAACTTTTGGAAGGTATCATATCTATCTTAGCTGGTACATCCTTGGTAAGAAACTTTATTTTCGAGACCAAAGCCTCCCAACATTCCAAATGAGTCCGCAAGTTAATAAGTGGCATCTAGGAACTCATTGGTGGAGAAAGGTTGATTGATCTGTATGGCTAGGAGGGAGAGAGTCCGTCGCTGAGTAGGGAAAGGAACGGTATATTGTGAGAAGTTCGCGTATGAGATGGAGAAGGGTGGAGGTTCGTCTGGATTTTTTGTGATTGGGCTCGCAAACAGTCATTACCGAGAGTTTAGATAGCAATAAAATGCATTGGCAAACAAATGGGCAATGTTTCATCTGTCCAAAGTATAAAGAATTATACATATCATGTGCTGTCATGAATGGCCTTGTCATTACTGAAGTAGGTAGTTCCATGCACTACATCTATTCGCCAAGGCCCTTATAGTTTAAGCATCAACACTTTTACTTCGTAGAAAGTACAGCACTTACGTGTTTCAAGTATATGTGCGTGTACATTTAGTTTCATTTGTTCAGGCTGTATTTCCAGCTTCGTCCATCCAGCCCCTTATCCATCCATAATCTCGCGTCTCTGGGTCCATCTTGGATTCGAAGTAGAGGGTTGAAAGATAAAGGAAAACCAAGATACTTTCCTAATGAAAAGACAGCACTAATCAGAGAGGCAAATATAAAATAGCTCAAAAGGCTCAAAGCGGCCAAAAATAGGAATGGTGGAGAGCAGCGAAGAGAGATGAAGGCGCTGAATAGCTGCTCAACGATCCTATATCAAGGGCCTGCTCTACAGCAAATCTGGTAGGTGAGTTCAAAAATACTTGATTTGCTTTTTTTTTGAATAAAAGACATTCTCAGTCCGCTTTCTAATCATATAGTCGTATTAATTTTTTTACTTACTGATCACCGGCGTAGTTAAGGAGCGACGTAGCTGCATATTTGTATGAAGCGGATGCAGATTGGCCCTATCGCCCGCCCAGATATTAGAGAGTGGTAAAGATGGTTGGCTCTGTACCAGTCATTCCAAGCAATCGCGATATATCATGATCTGCATGGTTGCGACATGCGAAGGGGTGCTTCTCATAGCTGGGTAATAATCTGCTCCTGAATACACCGCCGCTGTCTATTACCATACATTGTCATTAGGCCGTCATGTATGTGCTCCTACAGATGCTAGGTCCAACATACCTGCCATATACCTTTTATCATCGTGCTCTCTGCGCCGAAACTATGAAACATGTACAAGTACATTTCCATGCCATGTTATTGTGCAGATGGTTTGTGGGCGCCCTTGTATATAATGAGGCAAAAGAAGACTGTTACAAGAACATCATGAGTCCGCTTTGAAGGGTATAACAAGACTTGGAAAATGAAGGAATGAAAGAACGGATGAAGAAGGAATGAAAGGTAGAAAGAAAGAACGAAAGAATGGAAAAAGTATCCCCAGGGGACATTCAATTAGACTCGAGTATATCAAGAGAACCCGCCTACCTATTCCCATGGACTTTTTATCGTAGATGTATCGCCATAGCATAGGCCTCTAAGAAAGCCCATGTCACCTGGCACCCAAAAAGCCCACGATGGTTACTTGTTATTGAGAATGAGCGGTAAGACTGAGTGTCTCATTCAGGCTTAGGTCTTACAATACAACGTTATTTCTCCACATTTACCCCTCTCCAAGTGTGTAAATTGACACACTTGGAGCGGGGTAAATAGGGGTACAAATCATTGAGGTAGGCTGATCAGTTCTTGCTGTGTTCAATGTTCTCAATTAGAAGGCCAAACAGGTACTGTAGGTCAGCTTCATCAGCCATTGGTCTGGTGTGCCTCGCACCAATAACGGGGAGGAAATTCTTCTAGGAGACGTGATTATTAGCAACAACTTTGTCGAAGATGACTTTGATAAGCAATATCTAGACTACTAATTTGTACGCAAGAATGTATCTAATTAAAATATCAAAGGGAGAAATCAAGATAGTTGCAAGGTATTAGCTGTTTTAGAGACATCGGGATTGGAAAGAATGCTTCTAATGAATGCTGCTACATTCCTCCAACAGTTGCAACCAGAGCTGCTGAAACTGGACATGAGGATATTTCTCCTTATCCTGGATATACGCATTATCAGCTCATTGCACCAAATTATCGGTACAAACATTACTTCTCCTCGGAATGCATCTGTCACCAATGTGATACTAAGACCAACCCAGTTTGTGAAATTGCTCTCAATTCACCCTGTAGCGCTTTGGGATGTGGCGAGGGGAACAACCAAGACCACATAATTGTTATCAAGAGTGTGAGCGGCTATGCCGACAGCCTTAAACACAAACTATGGCAACTCTATGCATCTGGAATAGCTGCTGCCGTGGCAAAGGCATTAATAGGACAGCTATTCGGCTAGACAAGCCGGTATGAGCAGGCATTTTCTTGTTTGTTTCTTTCTTTCTGAGAGAGAACATATATATATATATGTGTGTGTATGTGTGCGAGGCCAGCATAGATCAATATAAATGAGGAATGTACACATCTGCCACTCCGATTCATTCATAATATAGTTGACTCCCGTACAATACTCTACAAATTCGCATGTGAGATGCCACCGGTTTGGAAGTCAAATCAAGAACTGGAATTTAGGTGTAATATTATAATGAAAGTCTTTGTCTGAATACTAAAAACAGTGCCTCCCCCCTTCTCTCAACGTCCAAAGTAGGTACTTTGAGCTACCTCTCTTCGTATTTGCCACAGCGATACAGAATCAACAACTGTGCACGGTAGTCTTAGATAATGAATGGCGTCTCCATGGGAATAAATACCATTCTGTATCAGTTCTTGGCGTATGAAAATGTCTCTGGAAGTAGTCTTGAAGCTGACCCTGTTCCATGCTGCAGCGATTTTGGGATAACGATCCAAATCCATGTACCATGTACTTCGCCATGTCACAGAGGCTGTTCCGGCTCGATTCTGGTATATAAATGCGCAGGCGTCTTTTTTCTTGCCGTACCATAGAACCATTGTGTGCAGACTCGGCATATTCATCGCAACTCCAGCCGCATCATGTAACAAATCAGCAGCTCCCTGCCGAGGGGATTTAGAGCACAAGAGCGTTGATGTTAGAGCTAGAGACTGTAGGTGGAGCCATGTCCAGGTTTTCTGACAGCTTCGGAAGAAATCTTTGGCATCGATCATGTATGAGACGGCAAGCTGGTCAAGATGAAGGCTTCTCTCAACAAAGATCTTGCTGATCTTGGCATTGAGTTCAACATTGTTCGGAGGATAGTGATAATAATTCCTTGCGCTGGAAATATCGTCGTTGGAATCTTCAAAAACCACTATCCTCTTGAGCGATTCTGGGAGCCATCTACTGAAGATCGATTCCCAGGCTGTGTAAATTGTCAGTGTTCAAGCGATGCAGAAAAGATGGGACTGCAGAGTGCCAGTCGCCGAGCCACTGACATGGAAAGGGTGTAAGAGTGGTAGCATACTTGGATAAAATATCGTCTTCCAGTCTTCATTCCATGTTTGCTATGATTCATAAGAAATTTCGACCAAACAAGGCAGCTTATCCAACAATGCCTGTAGCGTGAAAGGAGAAAAACAACGGCGGAATTGGCGGCGTATTACCAAGCTTGTGACTGCGGCGACCCGAGGATTTCCTTGAATATTGCGCAAAAACATTGCGCTGAAGAGTCGCCATATAGATTCTGGGTGAGGGGGGCTGAATCGTTGGCCATTAATCCAGCCATGTCGCGCATCATGGACTCTAGAAGCGGCTTCGGGTAGCTGCCCAGCAGGCCGGCGATTCGATATTACATCTCCAGGACTTTCTTCATGCTGAGCTCCGATATGGTAATGCTTGAAGTAATGTTGTGAATCGCTCTCGGAGTATGCATTAAGCTCCAGCTTTAATCCCTTTTCTGGTTGCCACGGCCAGAAACATATGACAGAGAAGAGTTGGGAAATAGCCGTTTCCATAATTATGTCGTTACGCTCTCGGGTTGGTCGCGATTCCCGCGATTCGCAATCTGTGCAGCCGTATTTTGGGAGCTCGATGTTAACCCAAATATGACGAACGTGATATTGTCTCTGCGTGGTGACCATTTCTCCCAGCTGATAGAGGCATTGCTACTGCAATTTCAGGCAACGAAAGTTCTCCACCTCTATCACATACTGCCATTCTCTGCAGGTAGACGCAAGAGACCCCCAACCAGGATGTTTATCGTGTGCAATCTTTTCCAGGATCATCAATCGGATCTCGCGCGGCATGCCAAACCAGTGTGCGCTTTTCTCCATAATATTTATGGTAAGAAGCAAGGAAGATGAGATATTGTGAGAGTAATCTTCGAGAATCTGGTGAGTAAGTGCTGGATACAGATCGACAGTCTTGATGCACCTACAATTTCGAGAAAATGAAACGATGATCCGTAACTGTTGTTTCGGCGCAGCGATTTGCTTTGTTATTTTCAGAGGAGAGCTTTGCGTCTCACTGTCGCCAAGTGTTTTGAAGAATACTTTAAAGTTATTTGAGATTCGTATCTGCAAGTTTATCGGTAACGTAGGTAGGCACGAGTCATGTATGGGTACGCAGGGTGATCGAGAATTTGTGAACAGGCAAGCAGCATCTCGATACAAAATGCGTGAACAGAAAGACCTAAATGGATACCTACCTGGACACCTATCTAGGTATATATAGGTATCTAGGTACCTATACATCACATGTCTACCTAGAAAACTTCCCCGGGATGACTATTTGGGTACGTATTTGGCTGCAATAATTAGGTACCTATGTAGATTCACAATTCCACCCAGTTGCCCAGGGCTACATGCCAAAGCTTCATTTAGGTAGTCTGATGATTGAATCACTTGAGAGCTAAATGACAAAACATATAGGTGCCTACCAAGTTACGGTAAAATAATCGAGAGCAATACACACTTCCAGACCCTCAAGATAACGCCACCGGATAGGCAGTCACCTGGGGAATAGACTCCACGGAATATAACATAATTGTTCTAAAGCTATAGCAATAGAAGCTTAGTACTAATATATGTTACATTCATCTTTATGCCCCAAACCACCGCAATGGAAAGATATATGCTTTCCCCCCCAAAGTATCATGCCACAAGCTTCCACTATAGGGAGCCTCCGTATCTTCTACATATTTTTCTGGCAAATTATAAAAGGGTAATAATTCACTTCGCCACTTTTCTCGATAGTTTTAGAGTAAAAGCTAAGTTTCTACTCATTCGGATGCGCTGCTTGTGAGCTGGAGAAGTGGTACTTTGGGGCGCTAGCTTTGAGACATCTTCACGAGCGAGGCGAAAAGTATGAGTAATATTATAAGTATAATAGTTCCAGTATAATTCGAAGTGCAGTTTTGCGTTGCGTTTGAACTTTGTTGTTCGGACCTTTTTGCGCATTTTGAGTTTGGTCTTGAACCTTGATAAGCGGTTATGCTTTCTGTGCTTCTTCCAGTAGTATGGCCTGAATCTCCGAGGTTTAGTTTGATCGGCTGTTGCCGATTGGATTAAGCTATGGATTGATTCTGGATTTTGAACCAAAGGCTGGGGCATAGCCTTTTATTGAACCAGCTGTTACAGCATTGAACCTCTCATCTTGATATTAAATTTAACCTCCATAATAGTTCCAGACGTATTAATTAAGCCTCTATTGGAAAGTATCAGCTTATCCATAGCTGAAACGATATCCATCGCATACCCAGTAGCTGGTTAGCGGTGTAAACTTTATTCAGACGGAGCAATCCGGTTTCTCCTATATATTGAACTTCGTCGGCATGTCAGCCGAAATATGCATCCTAGTTTGTTTCGATCATATATCAGCCTGTTCGATTATATATTAACGAGATCAGTTCTAGTGTTTAACTGACTCTTCCCATATCAAAAGCTGTGATCTATCATCATCGGGCATTTGCTAATCAGCACTTCTACGCCATGAAGCCCTCCTTCTTCCTCACAACACTGCGATTCTTCGCCTTGGGCGCCGCTGCTCCAAGTCCGCTCCACAACTCTATGCGCTCCAAAGGTGGCGACAAAAATAGCGACAACAATAGCGGCCCAGACCTCTCCAAATACAACCTCACCGCAACCCTTCCCATCGTCTATTTTCCACCTCCTTATACGTGGCCCAACTATGCGCCAAGCCTAACAATTTACCTCCATGCGCCTCAGGGATGGGAATTCTCAAATGTATCGAGCACAGTGCCGCTAATGCCGATTCTTGATACTGGCTCGACTGGCCTGATGCTGGACGCCCTGGACCTGAACATCACAAACGCTACGTTGGCAAAATTTGAGCCTGGATATCAGTATCTCTCGTCATCAACAAAACTATACCGAGGCGCGTGGATCCCGTTCAGGCTCGACTTTGCCAATCCAACTGGCGAATCCGCCAATGTCACGGCAGAGATTCCTGTGCTGGTTGTGAATGAAACACTCCTGTGTTCAGAATACAACAATAGATGGAAGTCAGATTGCCCTCCAGAGAAGACTACCAAGCATAATTTACAGCCACGTGGTATCCAATGGTGGGGTATTGGCTTCGGTCGTGAGTCGGACGGTCAGTTGCAAGGAACACCGGACAAGAATGCGCTGTTGAATATTAAAACCATCAACGGCGTGGATGTTTCTACTTCAGGGAACTATAGAGTGGGATACAGCCTGCGAAAGAATGGCGTGGTAGTGGGTTTGACAGAAGAAAATACACAAGATTATACCTGGACGAAGCTAAAGAAGCATAAGGGCTTCTCAAAGCACCCGTTCGATTGGAGAAATGTCTCTGGATGTGTGAGTATCGACGGCGGTAGCTGTGAGACATCAAACATCCTCGTCGATACAGGTAACACGCGATCTTATCTGTCTACCACCGATCGCCTTGTCCACTTGGTACCATCGAACACCTCTTCGACGGCAAAGGTCTTGGAGGCGGGCCAGAACGTGTTGGTTCGTTTTGGCTCGGAGGTTGGATACGAAGGGGTACAATACAATTTCACTATTGGCAACAAGAGTACCTTGGAGCCAGATGAAGTGAGGACAAAGTTGGTGAAAAAAGGCCGGGAGGAGAAAATAAATACGGGAGTATACTTCTATCGGGAGTGGGAGAGTGCCTTTGATGCAGACGAAGGTTGGTGGGGGGTGAAGTATGTCGGGCTTTCCTAGTGTTTTTCAGAGTGCAGAAATGTGTAGAAGCTACAAGATAGATTCCAACAGAGAGAATATGAATTGAATTATGGCTTGAGTTTTTAAGAATATCGAAGCGATCCTTGCCCGCATTCTGCCAATGCTAGTCGTAACAAGGTCTCCTGTCCGTCCAAAACGACGATGGCAGCTGTGTCACAGACGATCAGCTCATTTTCGCACACTCAAGGCTGGCTGGCCTATTGTTCGTGATTCGTGGATATCATACACACCAATCGGAGATATTCGGAACTACCTGCATGCCAGCGTCTTTCTCGGGCAGTTCCGAATCCATGCTACTATTTTAACTGCGGGGGCGAATCTCGCGATGTTTCAAGCTTATTCTTGGATCTAGCCATTTCAACCCCACACTTCGATACTGTGCTGCTAAGACTCTGTGGCGTGAATCCGATCGGCATTTCTAACTGCAAAGGTATGTACGCACATGCACTTGTGTCGAGGTGGGATTAGTATCTAAAGTCTCTCAAAGGACAGGTCCGTTACCAGAATACGAAATTCCGAGCCCAAGCTAAACCCAACAACATCAATATCTCAACAGCGTCAAGTCTTCTTACGATGGACACGCCCCTGGTAGAACTGAACCAGGTGCTTCATCCAGCAGAAGTGCCATCAGAGGTACCTCATTTGGACCGTCTACCAACGGAATTGGTCGAATTAATATGCTCTTGGATCCTTGCGCATAAGAAGACATTCTCCGAGACAGTTAGCCAACCACGAGATGACAAGTGGTTGTGGGAATTTACGCCATGCTCAAGAACATTGGCGAGTCTGTCGCTTGCCTCCAAGAGATATCGTCAAATCGCCCATCCATATCTCTATTCGCAAATCAGCATCGGAGAATCTGACAATACCTGGCTACCTCGCTTCGTCAGCCTGCTGTGCCGTAAGCCAGACCTGGGACTTCTTATCAAAGAGATTGATATCCAGTGTCTACCAAAGGCCTTCTCTGTCGAACCAGATTCTATGGGACCCATGTTCAACGATGTGGCCTCCCGGTTCTCCCTCGCCCCTCTTTCTTCCTGGAGTCCCGAAGACTGTGCTGAAAAATGCAGCCCGAAACACCGACCTTGCGACCACTTCAAACGACTGCTCACTCTGTTGGCTTTTCTAGCACCCAATGTGAAACGTTGGAGAATGGTGCCACCCAACATTTTCCACTTCGAAGAATTGGTCCAGGTGACAGAGCAGGCATTTACCAGAAGCATGCCATCCCCCTCTAATCCACGGGCACTTAAATCTCTGCAACATTTGTGGGTGCCTGGAGCACAACCATTTCCTTACGCGACAGACTTCTTCGCCCTGGAAATAGCGCTTCAATTGCTTGGGTGGCTCGTTCCAAGTCTTCAGAAATTATGGCTACGAAATGCAAGCCTATATCATCCGCTTCCTGCTCGCATTAAGCTTGATAATCTGAAAGAAATTGTCATAGATTTTGGTCTTTTAACGGAAGGAGGCTTATTCAGTCTTACTAGGGCGTGTAAGGTCTTAGAGAGCTTCTGCTTTTGCTCTGGAGGAAACTCTCCAGCTTTCCCCGATGGCTGGGGCCGCGCAGCGTTGCAACAGACCCCCCCTTCTGAGTTCTTGCCAGAGCATATCGTTCCTGCATTTTCCCATCTTAAACGCACCCTCCGGATCCTTTCAATCAACCGATGGAATGGCGCTCGAGGTGGGGCCGACCACAATATCGATCTCACTCGTGAAAACGAGCGCATTTATGCGGCCTGGCCTGCGTGGAGGAGGGAGGGAACGGACAGTCTCTTGGGCAGTTTAAAGGATTTCAGGGTTTTGGAGACTCTCATCCTCGACTCTACATGTCTTTTCCACTACAATATTGACGACAATCCCCCCCCAAATGCCCCAGTGGATCATCTCACAAAGCGGCTTCCCAGATCTCTGCGCCGTCTCATTCTTCCCGGAGCTCCTCCTCAGATGGTTCCGGCACTCCATGCACTGGCCTCTTCAGCAGCTTCTGGAGAATTCCCGTATCTCAGGTTGGTGCAAATAACATCCAACGAAAGGGATGTTCGCAAGCGAGAAACATCGTGGCGCAAGTATGGTGGCCCTCGGTCTCTGAGAGATGAATACTCCACATTCATAAACATCGACGAGTGGAAGTCTCTTAGAGAGAGGTTTTCAGCTGCTCGAGTCCGGCTCTTTCACATTAACTCTGGGAACACCAGGTGCTTTGCGAGAGAGTTACTTGAAAATGCCGGCTTCGTCAGGCCGGAATCAGAAATGTATGTTGGTCCCTATCCTTTCATGATGTCGATGCCATTTTGCTAATCACGCCACAATGACAATATAGAACGCGCCGTATCTCAGTTTATATAAGTTGAAGCTTTCTACATTGACATTAGTTCCAGCATCTTATTATCTTAGTTTTCATTCTCTCTATGTAACTGCCTGTGGTAGCCTGGTATATGGACGACATGGTTCAGAATTTCTATACGAGTCATAACAAAGACAACCTAAATGATTATTAGATTTTATACTAGGTACATCCTATCCAATGAAAGTTGGCCAACCGCAACGATAACAACTGCTATGGTGAATCCATTCGTTGCTTTCAAGTTGTATAGTTATCTTATCATTTACTAGAGCTACCACTTGAACTCATCTTTACACACATCAAGGAGACATTTGCCCATTACCATTCATCAACTTCGCTATCCTCGTCTGCATCACACACATCCTCAGAATTATTAATATTATCCCTATATAAAGTGGATTTTCCCTGCTGAAAGAGAAAATGCTCCGGGTGTATCTCGTTTACGGAAAGAAGCATTTGAAACAGAGAGCAAAGTCTTGGCAAGTTTCGCAGATATGGCCTTCTCCGCGTATCTCCTGTAGTTGACACCATGTTAGCGAGATTATTCGCCATTCGCATGGAAAGTGGTGGGTGGCAGCAAACATACCAATAAGCAAGCGCTGCAAAACTTGTTACCATCCCATTCAATACCTCTTTTCCACCCAAATGCATGGTACTGTTTGTGTGGTCTTGGTGTTAAAATATCTATAACTTTATCATTTGCACCATGATATGCTGCTACCTCGGCAGGTGTCCAGCTGCTAGCATATCCTTCGCCTCTCACGAAGAGGTTAGCTCCACGTTCAAGGAGAATATTGATCACATTAAAGCATCCATCTGTTTCGGATTTCTCCTGGCCACAAGAGCGGGTAGCCCATAAAAGAGGAGTCCAGCCATTATTGTCCTCTTCATTTATTGCATCTTCCATGTAATCAAGTATCTTTTCCACCAGGTCCACGCGGCCACTACTGGCAGCATAGTGGATACATGATCTGCCTATCTTGTCTTTCGCAAAGATGTCGGCTCCAGATTTGATTAATAAGGCCAGATGCTCTGCTGTACTTAGAGCTGCAAAGTGAATAGGTTGTCTGCCTATATCATCTGTAGCACTGATGTTCGCCTTCTTGGTAAGTAGAAGGTGAATAATCTCAGGCTCACATCTGATACATGCTATGCTCAAAATCGTACCAAATGCGCCAGTGACTATATTGATATCGGTTCTGCCGTCATCCAGTAGGTACGACATAATCTTCTTCTTCCCTTCATCGGTGTCCTTTCTAAGGTATAGGCATGTTGTCATCAGTGGTGTACCGAGTAGATCAGGGTGTGTAAAATTTACATCTGCGCCGCCTTCGACTAGAAGCTTGACCATCTTGAGATCTGCATAACGACAAGCAATGTGGAGGGGACTCCCATAGCCAGTAACTGATACTGCTAGGTGGGCACCTCTCTTGATCAGATACTCTGTCACTGCATGGTTATATTCCCGAACGGCCACACAGAGAGGGGTGAAAGTGTGTTTATCACGGACTTCAATGTCTCCTCCACGATTCACAATCCGCTTGACCATGGACACAGATGTTTTTGTGTTCACAAGGAGCAGAGGAGTCCGTCCCTGGCTGTCTGGTAGTTCTGTTTTTACGTTGTACTCCAATAGGAGAGCAATCATATCTTCACTGCCAATACCCATGGCGGCATGAAGTGGTGTTGTTCTGTCTCTTTGTATTTGTGCATTAACATTAACCCCAGCGTCGAGTAAAAGCCTTGCGGCTTGTATATTGCCCCTAGAGATGGCGATTCTCAGAGGTGTATAGCCATTTTCCGCAGAATCCTTGTTATTGAGCACATATTCGATATTTGGGCTGAATTTGAGTATTTCATGGATGGATTCCAAGTAATTAGATCGGCTTGCTAGGTATAGCGGCGTCCCCCATATTGACTCACTCTCGAGATGGGCACTCTGCTCCAGAAGAACTTTGATCATGGCAGGAGATGCCAGCGCCAAGTGTAGATAGGTCATTTTCTCAGCGCCTGATATTGGAGTAAGTGATGTTCCAGCATCTATTAGCAGTCTTGCAATCTCGGCGGAGCCATTAATGATCGCGTAATACAATGGTGTACCCTCAAAGCTGTCGCCAGGCTTCATAGGGACATCAGCTGACTTCTCCACAAGATAACGAACTGTATCCCAACATTCAGATTTCGAAGCCAATGTAAGAGCCGTGTTTTGGATATCAGCATCAATAATTGCACCTCTATCCACCATCAGTTGGAGTGACTCGACCCGTCCGGACCCTATTGCGCCCATGATAATCATTTTATTCAGCTCCGTTTCAACTCTGGCGCCATTATCGATTAGAAGTCGGCAAGTTCCTATGTGGCCGTTCTGTGCTGCTTTGCGCAGAGCAGCATCAATATTGAAGTATGCTCTGTAATGGAGAAGTGCCTCCACGCACTTGGTATACCCGTAACCAGCGGCAGAAGAAAGTTCATATGCATGGACAGTTCGGGCCACGTTCTTCCACTTATCACTCGATATCAGTTCTCGGATTGCTATAAAGTTTCCACTTGAAATTGCAAGGAATAATGATGGGTTTTCAAGCTTCAGCTCTGTTTGATCCAGAAGCATTGACACCGTTTCAGTATATCCGAACTCCAATGCTGTCTCCAAGAGACGACTCGCGTATTCTGACTTCAGGTCGATGTGTTTTAGGAGTAAAGCAATAGTCTGTATCCGGTTCTTTGATACTGCGAAGTCAAGAGGTCCCTGAGTCCAAACTTGTTGCTCTTCTTCATATCTGGTATCGGCAGATGCACCTGCAGCAAGGCACAGCTCGACCAAGTCCCTTTTCCCAAGCCACGATAATCGACAGATGAGCATATCAGGCCATTCGAAACCTTCCAAAGCACTGTTTGTAACATATCTTATGAGGTCTGATGCGATAGTATTCTGCCCAAATTTTACAGCTGACAAAAGGGTCTGCTTGAGTATGTGTTGGTCAAATAATCCGGTTTCTAGAGATTTCAGAATATAATGACGCTCTCCAACGCTTGCTGCAATCATGACGGATTCATGTAGGCCCATGAGTAAGTCCCGGTCTTGAATTTGTCTCAATCGACCTGGACTGTGAATTGCATCCAGCGGAAGTAGCAAATAATTGGCCAGAAAGGATTGGCACGTGAAAGAAGAGGCACTAGCAGCTGACCAATATCCCTCGTCAATGTGATTTCTGTAGAAACGTACAAGAGCTGGTGGCAATGCCATGCTCTTAAGCATTACCATCTCATCCCCGTCACTGCCCTCGGTAGTTTTATAATTTTGTTCCAGTTCAATGGATACATCGAGTCCAAGGTCGTAATGTGCCGGAAGAAATCGAAGAGCATAGTAAAAAAACTCATCCGCTCCAGTGAGAGGATCAAGGGAAATTCTCTCTTGTCCATGTAACTGGCTTAGATGTTTCTGAACCTCTGGGATATCGAAATATGCAACGCAACATTCGGCAATCCTCCAATGGGAGTTCGCATCAGATACTTTCCACACGTTTCTGAGATGTCTAGAGAGTAAGTGACGATAACATGGGCTCGCGAAGTGTAGTTCACCATTCTCAAATGCAAGAATGGGTCCGAAGCACTCGCGAATGTCCGCCACGATGTCAAAGTTCTCAAGTTCGGCCACTGAATCGATTGATTCCTCTGATTCTTTATAAAGAGAAGTAACAATGGCTATTTGTTTCTTTCGAAGCGGCTGGAGAGCGTTCACAGCCCACTCTGCTATTTTTTGGGCCCAAGATAGTTTCGAGAGCGGGATAGTGTCGAGGATCCTATAAAAGAGCCTCTCGGAAGTCAAAGGTGACAGCATGTGTATTTCTCTGACTAGGCCTGATATTGAGGACACAGAACTGCTAACTTGGAGCCAACTAAGGACTTGACGGCGTAATTGAAAGTCCACTCCGCAGCTTTCCAAGAGACCTTGTATATCCTTTCTTGAACCCTTGAGATATGGGCGACATTGAAAGAGAAGATCCAGGAGCTCTAACTCAAATAGGTCTTTCTCTTTAATTTCCATGATATTTTCTTGTGAAATATCGAGGTCAATTGTCAGGCAATCTTGCAGGGCTCTTCTTATGTCTTCATTGAAGGTAGAGGTGCTCGTGATGACAAATTTAACTGGCCGCTCTGAAGATTTTGCCAAATAGAGTAGGTCAGATATGAGCATGATTCTTGAGTCATCGCACTCATCCAGGCCATCAATAATAAAAGTCCCCATCAGATCTTGTCCTAGTCGAAACATAAGTTGAGTAAAAGTTGTCCAAGCATCTTCGTCTGACCAATACCCAGGAAACAGCTCTCCGAGAGATCCATTCATTTGATCTACTGCCATAAATTTTCGTGTGCAAATAGCATTCACGAATGCAGTCGCCATTTTTCCGATGGAATCCCGACGCACATCATGCCGACTGAACTTGAAGTAGTAAATGCTTCCTTGAAAACGCCATGGTCTGTTTCGACTAACATCGAGTTGATGAAAAATGTAAGGAGCGATGTCTGTTATATTGTCACTGCCGCAGACATGTAAAATAGAGACGCCAGGGCTTTTACCCCATTGGACAAATGTTGGATCTTTGCAAATCCATTCTAATTGAGTTTCTGGAATTGGTTGGCTGGATACTGGGTAGATCGGATGTGCTTGCTTTTTAAACATGTCGGCCAGATCCCAAAAAATGGAGCTGAAATTGTGATCTGCGAACATTTCTGTGAGCTCGATATGCTCCAAGAAAAATATAATTGCTCTCAGCTTACTAGGACCATGATGCCAACGGTATGCGTGTACGAAAATTTCATCTAGAATGTCATAGAGCCTCTGGGAGTTAGGGGCCAGGGGTAGCTTGGTATGTGGCTCAGAAATTCCTAGTCGAACCTCTAGAGGTATTTCTAACGTAGTTGTGAATTTGTTGAATATCTAGATGATTTTTGTCAGTCGTACTCTATATACTTACGTGGAATCTCTTTCTATTTTGTGCTATGTTAAAAGACAGATGGGACAACCTACCTGCTCTTCAATCATTGCTTCCTCGGAAAACACATTAACAATATTCATCTGTGTTAGAATTTTGGCGTCCAAAAATGCATCATTCACATATAAAATAGCATCGGTGAGGGTCTTAGCTCGTTCTATCAAAGTAAACGGGATGTTGTCATGTCCCGTCACCGTCATCAACCGGACGATGCTCCTCTCCAAAGCTTGGGGTGAAGTACACCGGTGAGGGCAGCCAAAGAATACCTAAAAGAAAATGAAACGTAGTAAAAACTAATTAGATGCCAGTTTTTTTTTTTCATTGAAGCGGTACTAACAGTACATACCACAATTCGAGTTAAATTGTCTATATCGGCAAACCTAGAATGAGTTTGCCTTGCAAGACGCAACGCCTTCATACCAATAGTCTCCGTAAGCTCTCAGTTTTCTTTATTGACTTGGCGTAGAGGAATCTTGACTTACCTCTTTGACGATGATTCCGCCGATATCATGTGCGAGGAAGATGATTGGGCGAGGTTCTTTCTTTTCCTCTCTCTTTTGTCAGCCAACAAGGTGATTTTGATCTCCCTTTTTTTTTTCACCCGGTGTCGCTTTGGGCTCATACCTCTTTTTGAAGCTTGTTTAAGCACTTTAACAAACCCTCTGCTTCTTTTCTGATCCCTTCTAGAGTGTATATTCTAGAAGAATTATTGCAGGCGTATCCGTATTGCGAAATACGCGCCCACCGCGCGTTAAAGAGCTTATCCATCAACCATGATTCCGTAACATTTTCGTCGAATCCATTTGGTTTCGAAGGCATCCAAGTTCCGCGTTGAGACCCGTATAAACCATGAACCGCCACAACACTAAAATTGTTAGTCAATTGTCTTACTGTGGTGCAGGTGATATTCATCCATCCTCTTACTCGAACCTATCAACCCCTCTGTCTTGGGCCCCCCTCTCTCCCAAAATAGCCAACCCCAAGTTCATTGGCATTTCTTTAGTTCGTTGGTGTTGTTCTTTGGGCGTTATTCTCATGCTTCTATTGCTATAATATCGCTTCAATATTGAGTATTTTCTCTCTAGTGCATTCATTCGTCAGATTACATACACGATGTCCAAAGCTCATATCACAAGTAACTGGACTCAATGTCAAAAATGGGGGCCGCGCACAAGAGAAGTAAAGGGAAAATAGAAAGCTAGGAATGGCCTTGGTATTTTTTCCAGAATGATCGGATGCCGTCTTCGTAGTTGATGGAACTTTGTATACATGCGAGTGAAAGTAAGGGGGGGTATTTAATATAATTCATCACAGGTTCAAGTGCGAGCACTTGTATAACGGAAACTCAAAGCCCACAGTCGTAGGGTTGGCTACATTGAACGATGTTGAATCGTGGCCTAATTTCCGGCTTTATTACTCCACGTACAACAAAGCGCCTGAGGTCACATGCCCCCAGCAGAGCACGTAAAGCGGTGTGGTTTATTTGTAGGAATTTCCCTTTGTACCAATCGATGTTAGGCCCTTTGTAAACCTAGTCCTGATAATTCTTGCAGCTAAGTCCATGCGGGCCTGGGCAATCTGTTGTACATCGCGTAACAAAGCCACACATTGGGCCTACATTCCAACAGCTTGGTATAACATCGGAAGCAACATCGGAAGCAACATCGGAAGCAAAGTTGGGACGACAAGGCATACGGAGTAGGTGAGTAACCAATCAAGTGGAAAGTTATACAAAGAAGCCGATGTTATATGTAATATAAGGCAAGGCGCACAAGCATGGAGTGTTATATTGGGTCCGTTGTAAACCCCGCGTAATTAGTGTGCCTAAAAGTTATTCTACTCAGTCTAGATTGTATTATCAGGTCAGTATAAACTTTGTTCACATTAAGATAGCAGCATTGACCAAGGCACGTTGAACATAGATTTGCAGCTATTCTTCGACTTCTCGAAACGACCCGAGCCCATCCAGAGAAGCGATTTCCTTGAAAGCTTCGACTACATCAAATTGTATGATAGTCTTCAGTATGTGTCGTTTACTCAATTTATCTGCTACACAGTCCTGCTCATGAGACTTCCCGTTTCGCGAATCTCATTTCAGATGTGCAACCGAAGCGAAGACAAAGTAATATGGAATTTCTCGCCAATTGGCTGCGGAGCAAGCAGGTGAAACAAATTCTAAAAATCACCATGGATGATGATCCCGATCGTCCACATAGCGACGAATCCATCGAGAATTCTTTAAAGGATTTTGATGTTAAAATGCTAGATTGGCGCAAAGTAGATCTCTGCCCAGAACTCATACAAAGAGCATGCAAAAACGTCATGAGTGCGCATCTGCGCTGGAGCGGTAACAATATAGCTCTGAGAGCTTGGAGCGAACCACAGGGTCTCCCAAAGCTCGAAACCCCACAAGTCGTTAACATATATCCAAAACATGTATGTATCTGGTTGGCCTTAAATATTCATGTCTGGAGACAGGAGGTCATTCTAACTATATACATGGGGCGTGTAGGGCTTAGACTCTGAGAGGCAGGTTAAAACGAACATCAAGGCGTTCGTTTTACGTTTAAGAGAAGGGATTCCCAATATCAAGGTTTTCGTCAATCATGAGAGAGGTGGGAATTTTGAGCGACCCATTACGTCAAGCCAACAACAAACTGCCGTGAGAGATGGCGTAGGAGCAACTTGCAATCTCATCGTTGGCTCAAAGCTATGAATTCCTTTGCCGAGCTTATACACGGCATGGAGGATATCGATACAAATGAGTCCCATCTTAAAGATCCCATCACGGTTGCGGTGATAGACGATGGGGTCAACAACTGCCACCCTGCGTTGCGTGGTAAGATTCACAGCGAGTTCTCCTTCCATCAAAGAGAGAACATGCCGATTCCATATTATGTGACAAGCACTGGGCATGGAACTGTCATGGCGACTATGATCTGCCGCGTTTGTCCCAAAGCGAAGCTGCAAATATTCAAGCTAGATACCTACACCTCAAACGATGGCACTACACAGATTACTGCCGAAAGTGCCGCTCTGGTTTGTACTCTTATTCTAATATAAGTATGCATTGCTATTTCTAACCATATGAGAAAAAGGCAGTTGAAGCCGCCGTTGCTCGCAAAGTCCACATTATCTCGATGTCATGGACGATCCAAGAGACAGAGGATAATAAGTCAGGTACTAGAAGGCTTGATGCAGCGCTTCGGAAAGCACACGACAGCAATATAATAATGCTTTGCTCTGCTAGTGACAGAGGAGCTCACCCTGACAATAATTACCCAGCCAGGTTCAAGGTCAAGCAAATCTTCCGCATCGGAGCAGCCACTGCGGACGGTCGGGTGTGGGGAATGGCCGGAGACCTTGCGAATATGGACTTTATCTTGCCAGGTCACAATGTTTTTGATGCCGTGGGCTCCTATAATGGTCTGCTGGAAAACTTCAAGCCTCGCACCGGATCATCCGTGGCAACAGCCCTGGCCGCTGGCCAAGCTGCCCTCATCATGCACTGTGTGCGCTTGGCAGCAATTCATTCGACGAAGAACGTTCGAACGAAGTTGGGTATATGGGAATGTCTGTCAGGAGTTTTCTGAGTCCGAGGAAACATGAAGCCATGAAGGCCGCTCTGAAACGCATCGGGACCAGTGATGAAGGGCAGCATAAATTCATCGAAGTCTGGAATCGCTTCGACTCTGCGACGGAGAACTTGAGAGGAGCATCCATGAATGAAATGCTGAACTATCTAGCCTATACTCTAGGGCCTGCCCTAGTTCCTCCAGGTGGTCATTGAGTCTAGGATCGTTATATTGTCCCAAGATCAGCCAGCACTTATTTGTCTTCGCTCATCATGTTTGGAAGATTAATCTATTCTACGTACACGGCGCACACAACAGTCCTTAATAAACAGTTGCTATTTGACATCAAGAAGAAAATGTCGCAGCTGTCAATGCGTAACAACAGAACAATATGTCCGCCAGTCTTTCAAACAATTGACACATCCCCAGGCATTCCAGTAATCCAGACGCTACAAAAGGTCACAGCATTGAGCAGGATATTCAATAGTGTTGGATTATACTTCCAGCGACTTTCCAGTATCTTTATTTTATTAATTAAAGCTGCCAATTGCAGTGCGACAATGGCGAGGGTAGTAATATCGCAACAAAAGCATCGTGCCGTGAATCCTACACGTATACGGCACTACCTACAGGAAGACAACAGTCAGGCGTTACCCCGCCTCTATTGCGTGCGTTCTCATGTCCCAGCTGCAGCATCTTCTCCTCTCACTATTTCATCACCTTGCTATTTCATCCTACCTGCACAGTTACCAGATACCGCGGAATCTCCCTCATCTTAGTCTTCAAATTCTATCGGTAATTGAATTTTCTGAGGGTGCGTATCGACATTGCCAACAACGACAAAATGCCAACTGGAGTGCACCTTCATGAGCTCCCGCCGGAGATGCTTCGCGTCATTCTGACTTCTTTCGATTCGCTTCATGATCTGTATTCACTCATCAAAGCATCATCTCAATGTTTTCGCATCTATCGGATCACTCCTGAGCTCATTCTCTCTTCTGTTCTTAAGCGCGCAATACACCCTGATGCTCTCTACCATGCGCTTGCTGCGGTCCACGTCGATCCAGACGAGGTTTCAAATCGAGACAACGACGAGCAATCATGGCAGTTTCTTGACAGTTATTTCCAACGTGACCCTGCACTGCTTGAATTCCCAAGAGACATGAATGGTATCATATCGCTAGCGAAACTGAACAATCTGGTTTCCAGTCTTGCGAATGATTACATATGCCGTACATTGCATGCTTTATATGCGAGTGAGGAAACGAAGCAAGACGCCCCCCGGCATGCATTGGCTCCATGCTCACATCATGCCGCATGCCGAACCGGGTTGTCTGCTACAGAGCAAGCAAGGATACAAAGAGCCTTCTTCCGCTATGAGCTTTTCTCACGATGTTTTCCCGTTAATCCTAGCGTACCTAGGGAGTCCATCTTTTCGGCAGATGAACAGTTCAATCATTTCATTCAGCAAATGGCGCCTTGGGAGGTAGAGGAGCTAAGCTGCCTCCATGAATACTTTTGGGTCCGTGTGTCAGGCATCTTCAGTGATCTGGAAGAAGAACTTGTAGCAAGAGTTCTCGACGCTCAAACTGCCACAGCATCGACACTCAAAGCGAGCCAAATGAATCGGTCAGAGTTCAATCGTATGTTGAGAACATATGCTTCCGTTGTTGATGACGACGGCATGTGTCTGTTCGAAGGCAGGAACCTACGTGGGCTCGAATTGTTTAGTGAAGATGAAAGAAGCACATTACCAGATATCATAAGATATCTAATCTCCCTCGGTCTGCTTTTTTTAAGAGCTTTGTTCGCCTCGCAGGGCCAAGGGAGAAGAAACCTCATCCGTCACAACTACTACGGAGAACGCGAGTTTCTACCTCACGCCATATACGAAGATCCAAGCCCATTCCCGGCTCCCAACAACTCTGAAGATATATCAGACAATAATATCTCCCACGTAAACTTGGGTTACCTCCTCTTTAGGCCATCGAGCATTGAAGCCGTCCTCTCAGCAATGGGCATTGCTAGATACTGGCCACTCCGACAGCTGGGATATGTCTTTTGGGATATTGAAAGGGTCCGCAACCTAGAAATCAACAGCAAATTGCGCGATGCAAGATACTGCGACCCTGCCGCGGCCAAGAAAGCATTTAATGGGTTTATACAGGAAAGTCCTGAGGCACGCTTGAAAGGAATTAAATTACCAGAAATCATGTTGCAGGAAATTCGAGACGATTACACTTATCTGTGGTCTTACGAGTTCGACTTTAGTTCTGATTCAGACATACAAGACTTCGAGGAAGACCACGAATAGCGAACCATGTTAGTGGTGAGGAGTCATTATATTACACTTGCAACTACTGAGACATTTACAGAGTAAAGGATCATCAGTTGCACAAGTTCGAAATAGTAATTCTCATTGATACATTGTGAATTTATTTTTCTAGACTGATTAACATAACATTGCGTTTGGGTAGACATTCAGTTGGCACTTCAAATATATACAAGACTTGGTGGCTGTAATATTATGCAGATGCAGCAGCCTTGGCAACTGCTGCCTTAATCATATCATCCGTAGCATATTTACTGATAAGCTCGCTCTTGAATTTCTCGTGCGCCTCTTTGTCTTGTTTGTCCAACATTTCACTGTCACTTGCCAGCAGCGGGTGCGAATCCGTCAATTCGCTGAGAACGGACACAAGCATCGCGTTCTCCTCCGTTGTTCCACTGCCCCAAGATTTGTATTCCGCATCATCCTGGAGACCGCGCATAATAAGAATAACTCGCTCGAAGCCAATCGCAGCCGGCTCGAATGTAACCATAACTCGGCTGCCCTCTTCGCCGGCCCGAAACGTGTGTGCCGTGAATCTTGGGACCGTGTTGTCTTCTCCGATCTTCATTGGGATCTCCTTCATTGCTGCGGCGTCCTTGACTCCCTCTGGTGCCATGATGACCGTCATATCACCAGAAAGCAGTTTGAAGTTTTCGGTGAAGAGGGTATGAAAGTGAGGGAAAGTGGTGGATCCAGGGCCCAGCTCCGAGTCAACGACTGAGCGCTTGCCGCCGTTAAGCAGGCCGGATTCGATAAGCGTGGGAATCTTATCCGCCATGACTAGTATTTCCAATGGAATAGAGAATCTGGCTATGATATTGTCGGTAGAGGTGACAGTTTCTCGTAATTGCTGAATTGAGAGGCTTGCCTTAAATCATGGAGTTGCATGCGTTAACTGTGTAACAGCGCCCATCATATATAGCAATTCTCGGACAGGGCTTCAACAAGCCCAAGCGTAATGACCCCTTCGATTACAACACCATCACCCTATATTCTGACTAGTAATGTATAAAGTATGCATGTCAGATTCGTAACTGTTCCATAGCGCTGAGGTCGAGCATGTTTTAACCGAGAAGTTCCCCAATCATAACACTAGCGGTTCTTGGTCTCTACATTGATGTGGTCATCAACGAACATGAGGCTTTTAGGCAACATATCAACAACCCACAATGCTGCGCTAACAAAGATGGTGCTGGCTCCAGCTTCTTGGCTATCTGTTTTATTTCTCCACCTCTTATATTTAGGATATTGTTTATTTAGGACGGCGAGCAGAATTGGGACATATTTTGAGCCGCTACTCCATACGTGTTTGGCCATCGAGGAACGAGACAACTAGCATCCTCAAGCTTACGCACAACACGAAATGTGTACCGCGCGGTAATTACTTTTATCTACAATGAACTCTATTGGTTCAACTCGTCACGATCTAACCTTGGGATTAGTTATTTCGTCTGAGTGGCGTAATGAATATGATAGCCCGCTAAGCCTACAGTGTAGGGTAGGTACCTGACCGCTATATTAGAAAACATTTATCCACCCAAGCCGTCATTTTACATGCTTAGCTAGAGGTGGGAGAAAAAAAAAGAAAAAAATATGCCCCCACACAGATTTGAACTATGGACCTTTGCATTACGAGTGCAACGCTCTACCCCTGAGCTATAAGGGCAGTGGGTAATCGAAATGGAGCAGGAATTAAACTATTTATAAATCCTACAACTCTTGCGACACAAACTATGCCAAACTCAATCGTAAAACTCTTTCGGGTGGCGGGGTGTTTAAGTTGCAGGCCATCGTCATTGCACCTCTTGAATCACAACCCAACTCAATTCTTCCTGCTTAATAAGAATCCCAAATAAGACGGGGAAAAATGCAACTCAAGACAATTCAGAAGCTGGAGCTGCCGGCCGCAGCGGACATGCACGTCCATTTGCGCCAGGGCGAGATGATGGACGTGGTGGTGCCGACGGTAGAGCAAGGAGGAGTTGATACGGCTTTTGTGTATGTTGATCCTCCCTGTGATGTGCCTGGAAATGCGGGTTAATAGGCGTAGCTGACAAGAGATGTATAGCATGCCAAATCTTGTATGTGATTGCAGTATCCTTGATTTTATTGAAAATTGACTAGAATGTTTCTCGGCGGAATTCTCTCACTACCCAGCATACGTACTGTAAGGCTGACGGTGTTATAGGTCCCTCCCTTGACAACTGTTGACAAAGTATGTTGTCATCAATGAGTCTTAAACACTCTCGCAGATGGCTAATTCTCCTTGAGGTTCTTGAATACCAAGGCAAGCTCCGCGCTGCCTCGCCAAATGTTCATTTCCTCATGTCCCTCTACGTAAGCTACACATATCCAAGCGTATTGGGCACACACCTAACAAGGCACTAGCTTCACCCGTCAGTTACACCAGAGACTATTGAAAAGGCAGCAGAGGCGGGAATCACAGGCGTCAAGCTCTACCCTCAGGGTAAGTCACTTGTGTTGTTACGATTCAAGATGCAAGGAACTAATACAGCCCAGGGGCGACCACCAACTCTGAGCATGGAGTAGCCAACATCGAGGCATTCTATGACACCTTCGCTAGCATGGAGAAGCATGGTATTGTTCTCAACATACACGGAGAGGTCCTCGAGGCCTTTGCTCCGGAAGGCACAACACTGGAAGAGGCGTTTCTCCCTACCCTCAAGCAGCTCCATGAGAGATTCCCAAACCTGCGCATTGTGGTATGTATTTCTCCACTCAGAATCCCACCTCAATCTTGTCCAGATGCTGATGATTGTAATCTCCCAGCTGGAGCATTGCACCACGGCTGCGGCTGTGGAAGCAGTCAAAGCTTGTGGACCTAACGTTGGAGGTAATTCGTTGCCCCCTTTAACCCTCGTTTCCCTCTGATTCAAGGACTCCTGCTGATAGTATTCGCATATCAGCGACTATTACGGCTCATCACCTTTACTTGACCGAGGCCGATGCTTGCTGCGACCCTTTTGCATTCTGCAAGCCCATCCCCAAGAAGCCCACTGACCGGGACGCCCTGCTCAAGGCTGTCGTCAGTGGTAACCCTAAATTTTTCTTGTGAGTAATTCCGCTAGTGTCTCCCCTATTTTATCCTTATCCAAAGTTGGACGATCTGGTTAACGTGTTTCTTCACAGTGGAAGCGACAGCGCACCCCATCCGCTTGTTTCCAAGACTACTGCTGCCCAGGGTAAGGCGCCAGCTGGTGTCTTTACGCAACCCTATGTGACCCAACTGGTGCTGTTGGCGCTGGAGGAAGGTATTGAACGCGGTGTCATTAGTGAAGATGATGTTACTCAGGAGAAGCTCGAGGGATTCCTCAGCAAGTTCGGAAGACGCTTCTACAAGCTGTCCGAAACCTCTGGGAACAAAATCATCCTAGAAAGGAAGGGTGAGAAGATCCAAGCCAGCGTGAAGAGTGAGAGCGGAGCGGTAGAGGTTGGAATTTCGAGAGCAGGGACGGAAGTCTTTAGCTTGACGTGGGTCAAGGCGGCGTGAATTGTATAACAGATTCGGCTTTGTCGTACGGGCGGGAGGACGTTTCCGGTTCATGTAGATGAGATGCTCGAGACTCGGCCGTCTTGGAATGGTCTGAGTTTAGAATATCTGGCACTACGGGAATTAGGAAAGATCTTGATATCAGTTAGATCCGAGACTGCTCATGCAGCAGGATGGCTTGATAGAAGAAGAATTCATGTAAGGATGAGGGACATAGGATGACACGCGAGGGTAACTAGATGACATTAAAACATGCTCAGTCCCGAAAATATCTATAGAATATATATCAGTTGATAGCCGTCGGCACGGTTCAATGTGACGAAGGACTGGATGGTGGACTTTGAGCAAGACGGTGTTTAGGGAGGTTACTACGATGCTGAAAGGGCATTACAAAAATAGGCCCTGCCTAAACGAAAAGGTAAAGAATGACCAACCGCTGAGGCAAATAACCCCCCTATGGAATATATGTGACAAGAACTTCGGCACAGAAAAAAAGGCTCTAGAAGCCAAATTATCTTCAAAAAATCTACTCCTTCTACTTTACAAAATCGTAGTTAAGTGTTATACCATCATGGTCAGGATAGGTATCGAAACTATCCATGGCAGCAGGTTCGGAACAGTCGCAGAGTCTACAATACCATGCTTACAAATTATAGGCCCAGTTACTATCTAACATGTATGCTACTAGCCAATTAGTGGTTATTCTACACATAATTCCCATATATCCTAACCGGGCTGGAGAATAAGATTTCAGCCAGTTGAAGGACTCTTAAAGAAGGCACTGCCCTTCAAATAATTATTGTGAGCTGCATCAATGCACTTCAACCAACCAAACACGAGTCCGCTTACCAGCAGAATGATTTTGCATAGCCCCTAGCATGGTGTCTTTCTATCTATCATAGAAGAACACCATGATACACTAGTCCTTCGATCTCCCGATCTCCATAGTACTGCACACCTAACAATTCTTGTTCTGATCTTTTAAAACAAATGGAGACAAATAAAATCTTTCTCATGTTTCAAGGAGCAAGCTTTATGCTAGATAGCGGTTAACACCTCCCTTTGACCTTCACGACTCTTCTAGTTAGAATCAATCGTGATAATAAACGGCCCTCGTGGAAGGAGTTGGTACACGCTGCAATTTTATCCAACTTTTGGCTGTGATGATGTCGGCTGATGAATCGAGAGGAATTGAGCCTTAGTTTGATATAAGCACTCCAGCAGGGATATATGTCAGCACTCGCGGTAGTGTATTCAGGGGCCGCTGAATAATTTGATCTGTTCTCACCCGTAAACAAAGCATCTTCTGTTACTATTCACACTATTCGCATGCTCCTAGGTATCATAACCGTTGGACTCAGTATGCTTCAAGAAGCTCGGGTGCGTCGTCCCTGCTCTCTTGTTTTCAATTGTTGATTCCTTTGTGGGATGGTGCCAAGCTTCAATATAGCGGTCAGAAAGAGCAAACAGGGTGAAGCCAACGTTACATCTGTTTAAATGAGAATCCTATTAATTATTGGGCGAGAGCATCAATATATCGGATCAACGTTCCGATGATTTCCGACTCCGCAGACGCCTTCTCTAGCTGCAGCAGGCGAACAAATCAATACTAATCGAGCCTGCAGGATTCATGCATGGTTACATCTAGACCATGAAAATAATTGATTGAGCTGTACCTCGTGGCAACCCCGCAGAACACTTGTTTCGTAGCCCCAAGTTCATGTTAGGCAAACTAATGTACATGTACTATTGCCTGTCGCTTTAGTTGCTGTATTGCAGTTGCCAACGCAGTCAGCTCAGCGTTGACAACACAACTCTTAATATATAATTACTATACAATCGGGCGTCAGGAATATACAGGGGGTCAGCTATTGGTCAACTATTGTCTTACATACTCATATTGCGCTGCAACCCTACTTACCTAATGAGGAGTGCTTCTAACGACACGTGTAGATGCGTACATCGTGAAGGCCATTTGGGGTAAGCTTTGATCCACCCCGGGTATCGTTTCGGAGATCTAGATTCTATTCGCCCCCCGGCTATTAATGGCAATCCTTAGTAAGAAATAGTAATGAATTAGACAATTATTATGCATAAACGGGTTGCTGGGAGACTAATTGAAATTTCCCCTGTTGTCAGTATTGTATTTGTCAATAGATGCATTTGTCATTCAACAAAGACTGCCAAAACTGCCAAGTATAAGTATACAATAGAGACTCAGGGCAGTAGAGCTTAGAAAATTCCTATGAAGTAAACAATCGCAATTAGCAGTTATACAGTCTTATTACTATATTTTTCCCCAATATGCGGTTTTCACTGATATCGCTTCTTCTGGGCGCATCATGTCTCGCACATGCCCACTCGCCCGCTGTGACTACCTACGCTCCTCTGCCTTCAACTGCTGTCGGTCCTCCAGTTAATGCTGAGGGATACCGCGTGCAATCGCTTGGAGGAGGAGCATACATGCTCAGCGATGGTACATATCAATCCTTGTTCTTCGTCACCCCCAAAAGTGTCATCATGGTCGATGCACCACCGACTACTGGAGAAAACATCTTTGCCGCAATTCAATCGGTGACACACCTGCCAATCTCGCATCTTGTCTACAGCCACTACCATGCTGATCACATTGGAGGGGCATATCTTTTGGCCAAGAAAGGCGTCAAGATTATTGCGCATGAATTGACGGAGTACGAACTCACTATTACACCTGATCCAAACCGGCCACTGCCTCATGTCACTTTCAAGGACTCCTACACCCTGCATGTGGACAACCAGACTATTCAGCTGGATTACCACGGACCTGTCCATGCTCCCGGCAACCTTTTCATCTACGCGCCAAAGCAAAAGGTTCTCATGCTCATCGACCTTGTCTTCCCTGGCTGGGCACCATTTGCAAACCTAGCAGAAGCTCAAAACGCCGCCATGTTCATCAAAGCACACGACTTGATTCTGAAGTATGATTTCAAATACTACATCGGAGGCCACGTTACCCGCATCGGAGATCGCAAAGACGTCCTTATTCAGCAGGAATACGTACACGACCTGTACAACAATGCCCGCACGGCAATTCTCCTCAGCAACAGCCCTCCCAACGCAACGAACCCGCTGTCATTTAATACCATTCTTGACCCCATCCAGCAGGCAAATCCAAACAACACATGGGCAGCGTTTTCCGGATATATCGATACTCTTACAGACTATTGTGCTAACGTGACGACTGAAAAGTGGTTGGGTAAGCTGGGAGCGGTAGACGTGTACACGCGTTCTCACTGCGAAACTTTGGTGGAATCATCTCGCATCGACTTTGGCTATCTGGGCCCCTTTGGTGTGCATGAGGGTTAAGCATATGGAGACGCGGGATTTGTAATGAGCAAGTGTTGCGTAGCTGTGCTAGCTCGGTTTTGGGGAGTTTGATTCAGAAAATTACACATTGCTTAGTCTTTGGTAACAAGGATATGGTAATATAATATTCTAATAGCCTTTTATTGAATCAGGTGTTACAGCATTTTTGAATCTGTCATCTTGATATTAAATTTAGCCCCTATCATATTTTAATAATTGGTAAATAATGTGCATCCACTGTGAACGAGAGCAGAGCGTAATGGTGTAAATTGCATGACCATGTAAATGACATGTTTACAACCAACAGCAAGACAGCTACAGTAATGGGGGAGATGCTATAGGTAGTAGAATGCATATCTAGCAAGTAAGAGATAAATAGAGTCTACAGTTAAAAAAGTTTGCTTATTCTATGCGTGATTTATGAGGAGGGTATTCTATCCATAATTTGTACACCGCTATCTATACGGGAAGCAATCATAACATCAATCCTTGGGTGGTCGGGTGGCATTAATCTCTTTCAAAATTGCCTCCGCACCAGCCTTCACCAGTCTTTCGGCCAATTCCCGTCCAAGTGCCTTGGCTTCGTCGTTGGTATTCACCGTTGCATCGATAGAGTCTTCAACACTTTGAGTGCCGTCAAGACTAACAACAATTGCTCTCATCCTCAGAACATGCTTTGATTCGTCAACCCACTCCGTCTCAACACCAATAGGGACAGTGCAGCCGCCTTCGAGAGTATACAACAGAGATCGCTCAGCAAGACAAGCCAGAGTCGACTTCTCATCAGCCAATTGGTCCAACAATTCCAAGACCTTGGCGTCTCCCTTCCGGATCTCCAGGCCGAGAGCTCCCTGGCCAACTGCGTGTAAGATGCCTCCGTCCTTGGAGCCCAGATACTGATTGATGCGATGCTTGAGACCAACTCGCTCAAGGCCAGCTGCGGACATGATCATGCAAGTATACTCGCTCTCAGGATTGTCAACCTTGGCAAGCCGAGTTTCCACGTTGCCGCGCAGGTTGGCAAAGCGAAGATGAGGATAAAGACGACGGAGCTGCGCAGATCGCCGCACCGATGAAGTGCCAATAATCGCGCCTTCGGGCAGTGTCTTGAGGCTGGTATATGGCAAACCCGCCTTAATAATCAGAGCATCACGAGGGTCATCACGGAGAGGAATGGCTGCCAAATCGCATGAGTCAGGAAGCCTTGTCGGCATATCTGTTCGGAAGTTAGAAACCTTGAAGTCTGAGTGGGGTTGATGAGAGCAACTCCGCGGACTTGCCTTTGAGACAATGAACGATGACATCCAATTCCCCAGAGGTAAGTTTTTCTTCCAGCTCAGCCGTCCATAGGTTCTTTGCCCCAAAGTTGTAAAGCTCTGTGGATTTATCTTTATCGCCAAGAGTGTGCAGTGCCTCAATCTCATATGTTCGGTCTGGTGCAACTTTCTGCAGGCTGGCGCGGATACCCTCAGCCTGGATAACGGCCAGATTTGACCTCCGAGTGCCAATCCGCAGCGGCGGCTGGGCTTGAGAATTTTCCGTCATTGTGATAGTTTTATGCAATAAAGACACGCAGAGAGTGATTGAAGAGAGTGAGGTTGCAACGATGATATTCACGCAATTGAAACTAAATGTGTGGGCGGTGGATCCTCGGGATCTTTTGTTCGTAGGATTTCTCATAACCTGCTCAAGGAATAGTTAAATGGTAATGCCTCGGATGGGAATTTTTCAATTAGAGAAGAATCCTCTTTTCACATTTTTTTTTTATTCGCCAAATTGTTAGAGAAAATGTCTATTCTCGATATTTGCGACATCTGATTCACGCTTTTTGGGCTCTCTAGATTGGGATTGCAACTTGAACCTATCGTATTAGTGCTTGATGATGCAGTTGCTGTCAAGAGCTGGCGATCAACTCCATTCTTGTAATACGAGAGCGAGGGAAAGAAAGCAACGGTATCTCTCGATATTAACGAATTAGTTGGTAGATTATTTTAATTATTTTCAGATTTTTGTTGTTATCTATCAATGGCATTGCGGGTATCGGAACACCATCTCACAGCCAAAACCCGGTACCCGTCTCACGCCCAACAAAGAGCCAACTAGACTAGAGTATTTCAAACGTAGTCTCACTGGGATGAATATTTTGATGCTTTGGACAGAACTTATAATTGTTGCTCTTGTAACTGTTCTTGAAGAATGGCATCCCAATATGTACTCGTAGGTAATCGTAGCATTTCCGCCGATTCTCTGGCAGAGCCATCAAACAAAGTCCTCGGCAGCTATTGTCTTTCTCAATAAACAATTCACGAGCTACCATACTCCTTGCTTAGTTATTAGCAAGGATCCATACTGTACCTCGATAAAGTTGTGTACACTCCGTATGGAAGCCATCTAAAAGAGTAGACAAGTGACAAGGGTGACTATGGTTAAAGTTAGATCACAGGCTTTACGTATCATGTGATGCCAATAGATCCCAGCCACATACATGGGGTGACTTGCGCGAAGTAGGGGTTGCATTCAATAGAGCACTTCGGACGGCTGGAGAAGTTCCGCACTTGGATGAAGTGAACAGAAGCATGTATGATAGGTATGCCTATATGCAAGTTGATGGATGGCACCTCTCTGCCCTCTGTAGTGTATCTACGGCTCGACACCCTGCCCAGGCCAGCTGGATTCTCAAGTCGCAATCTTGACGGTGCGCTTCCTTGTTACGGATGCATACATCTCGGTTGAGGTATATGTCTGAGAATGGCGATCTTCGTCGTCAACGTTCCATTCGCTCTACCAGCCATTCACTCTCACCGACTTCCTACACGTCATGTTTCTCTACATGTTTATGAGTCATGCAAAAGACAACTGCGAGGGATGTCTCTCGCATGCCTGTCCGTCTCTGGTCGTCTAAAACGCCTCTTCAGTTTCGACTCTTCATCCCCAGCCTGGAGACAAGCGACGTACGAGTACATGTACTTCTTCTGGACATGCGGTCAGTCTCCGTCTTGTCGACAGCAGCAGCGGCAGTGTCGGCACTCGCTGGTAGCCTGGATTTTCATGCCAGCTCCACTAAGCTTCTTTTGCCAAAACAAGGACACCAAGACACTCCAGGATATTTTTAGTCTAAGCCGGCGTTTGGCGCCAACGGCGATGCCAATGCCAATGCAACCACAAACACCCTTGAAAGGCATTCGCCCGCCTATTATTACCTCCCTATCTCATTGTCTGCCCGACTTTTTGTTACCTAATTGAATCCGCGTCCAGAAGCGGACATGCGCTTAATGCTCCGGATAGGGCCGCGTTGCTTTGTGCAGCAGTCTGTCTTCACGTGATGATGATATGTGACAGACATTCACGATGGAGCCCCAAGACAGCACAGCATCCGGCGATGCTGTTTTTTGCTCGCGAGTCGAATAAGGAGAAGAATGCAGTGGTGAAACCGGCTGTCGGCGCGATCAGGCCGGAGGAGTACAGTAGTGCTACCTGGCGTGTAGTACCAATAGTGCGCAACATGTTGTGGTCAGGAGAAGCAGCTCAATCTCGGTGTTATCACGGTGCGGACGATTAACAGCCGGGCAGATGATCCCCATGCTTGTCCATGTATGCACTGCAGTAGTAGTCCTGTACGTGCTAGCAGCAGCAGCACTTGAAGCCAACACTGGACGATTTATCCTATGATACTCTGTGGCGTTTTAGGCGAGATTGCGTTCTATCACGGCATCCCATGAAGCGATCCGGAAAATTACAGCTCATATCTGCGAAAACGGGCGGTCTGCCGATGATTGTGAGGTGCACCGCGACGGCCAATTGGCGCTCTTGGAAAAAAGCTCGAGGCACACACCCAATCTGAAAATGAGGCGGACTAACCTAACGGCAGTCTAGCACAGCCGCTCTTCCAATGAGGATTCCAAACTACGTGATAAATGACACGGATAGCTGGGCAAGGGTCGGCTCTTGCAGTGGTGCAGTGCCGCGGCTTTTTAGTGGCTTCAACTGCCATTCAGGGGTTAAGATGTTCCATGTCCTTAAAAAATTTCGGGGGGTCGGCCGAAAGGGATCAGGGGGGAGTGTGAAGCGAATCAAGAGCATCTACGCTTTTTCGTGCGTGCAACGGCCAAAGACAAGACGGCCGTGCTTGAAGGGGCTTGGATTACAAGCAAAGCAAAGCAAAACAAGGCAAGGCAGAGGCCCAGATCAGCCGCCGGGCGGATCACGATACAAACGACCCACAGAGGTCCAGCCCTAGGCCGGCTGTCAGTGGGCCGCGGGAGCCGAAGCTGTTTTTGACATTGATGGTGTGGAGATGAAGAATCTCGACTCATGTCGTTGCTGCAACTAATCAAGTAGTAACATGTATTCAATTGTATTATTGATGCCTCCATCCATCATCTTAGCACCACTGTTGGCAGGTGGCGCATTCAACGGTTTCTTGTCAGGCAAGGTTCTTGACACAGCCCGACGCAGCCCAGGGGGTTGCTCAAAATACCACCTCCAATCCCTCCAATCCCTTCGGTGCCGTGGTTGCTACCATGCTCGTCGCGGAGATCTCTAGATCGAAACACAAGTCCCGAAATTTTGTTTCCGAAGCGACATGTCCTTGTTTCTTTTCTTTCCCTTTCCTTTCTCTCTCTTCCTCCCTTTCCCCCTCTCTCCTCTTCTGGCCTATCGCTGCACGAAACGTTGCCTTACAGTGCGGCTCCCCCCAACCCAACCCAACCCAACATGGACAACCTCATCACCCAACAACACCTACTATCTACTAAAAAGTCCACACAAATTTGCTAGCCACATGCACATGCACATGCAAATGCACCACAAGAAAGCCCGAGCATCAAAGGCTTTTAGGCTCTAATGGCCCACGTTTCAGGCTGGCCCGTGCAGCGCTGCGGCTGCCATGGCCCAGAGGGGAAATGCATCCATGCGCCGTGCAGCCAGCAGCGCCATATTTCAAATTCTCATCTCCTATCAGTAGATTCCGGTGACCTCGCTCTTATCAGATGGCAGGCACTCTCTCCAACTCGGAAATATGCGCCGCACCGAGTTGCAGCCGGTTACAGCAGCCCGCTTCGTATTCTCCTCTTTTTTCCCATTTGCATGTGCAAAAGTGCTCGTGCCTGTCTGGAGGTAAGAGCGAGGCCATGCATAGCGTTACCTTAATGCGCGCCGTAGCATGTACTGTAGTAACCCAGGCCAGGGCTGCATAACAAGATCTGAGATCTGATACAGCAGCAACAAACTAAAAGCGACGAACCTATAGCACTAAGGCAGGCCCCTTGCCGGGCTTGCAAACGGCGAATAAGGATCCGCATCGACCTGCAGAGGGTGAGAGACATGACAAAAGGGGGCCCAGAAGGGAATATCCGTTGCCAGTCGAAGCATCATCGTCGACGTAAGTTGTAAGCATTTGAAGCAAGCAGTCAGCCCGCGGGCATGTACCAGTACCAGTGCCCGAGCGCTCTGTCCGCATGCACTCCTCAGCCCACGTCATACGATACGCCCAACAGCCCAACAGCGTTGCATTCTTCAGGCTCCATCAATTGTTTCCCCGCTGCTAATCGGCGGCCTGTTGTCGCTATTTGGCGCTTCTGCGGGGAATCGACCTCTCTGCTAGGTGCCAGGTGCTAAAGGATTGCCTCGAGCTACTGCCAGGCTAATGTACCGGTACGGCGGGCTAATTAATGTCGACACTCTGCCCCCATGTCGCATGCCTTGCCAGCCCAGGTTATCTGTACTGTACTGGACGAGTACTTGTACTTTATTGATTCAGCCCATTGAGTTTGGGTCCCTTGTGCGCCTGACTTCATTGGGGGCGCTGCATGTCGAGAAAGCTTTTTGACTGCCCTCGAACCCTCGACCGTCATTATCACTGCCATCACCGTCAAGCATTGCCATCACTACTCCCTACTATCAAACGCAACTACTGATCAGACATCGCCATCAATCATCACCACCACCAGCACCCGTACTCACCAGCTAGCAACATCTTCATCTCCATCCCCCCCACTATCATCGCCACCACTATACCACCATCGTCATCGAATTAGCCATTCAGCATCGCCATTACCATCATCACCACCTCTTCTCGTCGCCATCATCCATGGCTTCCCCCATGTCCATATCTCAGCTCCCCAACGAGCTCATCTCCTATATCCTCAACTTCCTCGACGTTCCCTCCCTCTTTGAACAACACCAATACGATGACCCAGCACACATCCCAAGCCCCGATGCCGTGGGCTTGTCCGACTCCTTCCATGGCACCATCAAAAGCGCATCACTTGTTTGCCGCCTCTGGAGACGCTGCACCCTACCTCTGCTTTTCCGAAACGTCGTCTGGAGATTTCAGCACATGAATCGTCCATTCGGATGCCAGGATCCGCTCAGCACCGTTGACGAGCTCGAGTTTCTGCGCTTCCTTGTTATGACTGGACTTGCACGATATGTCGACAGCCTTACCATCATCATCGATTATCCCTTGGCTGAGATTGGCGAGGATTTTACCCATCACGCGAGTTGGGGCATCCTCCCTAGCCATTGCCCTGCCCTGATTCGCCAAGGACCAGACGGTGATCTCGTTGCATCCGGGCCAGCCTACGACCATCACTCCAAGTGCCAGTCCAACAATTGGCTCTGGCAGACCATCTTCAATCATCTAGATTTGTTAACCATCAACCTCATCAGCTCTCCTGCTATTCTCGCGTCGCTGCTGGGTCGGCCAATTAATTTGTCCGGGTCCTGGATCTTCCGTCAGCGTTTCCATATTCTCTCCCTTTCCAGGCCAGCAGAGACACGCCAGCAAGCCGCCACTCCCTCGAGCAACTCGACAGCACTGGTAAACACTTCGCCTGGAAGCAGGGCGCAAACAACCGTTCCTTGCTCCCTCTTCAGCATTCGTCCATGGGAGTCGATGCTCCTCAACGAGGGTTCCTCAGTCAAGGTCTATACAACATACGAATATTTTAACCACGTGCCCCCTTCCATTCTACCTGCGCTCCTGGATTCGGGGGATGAGTCCATGCAGCCTCTTCTATGCAAAACCCTCCGCTCCCTCTCCTACATCGCCATCTTCCCACTCGCCACACACATAAACGACGTCCTCATCCCCCGCATCCCAGCTCTTGAGCGATTCTACATCCAGATCGTCCCCCGAGCGCCCAGCTTCGCCGAAGACGACTACCGCCACCCCGCCATGGACATATCGGATCTGTGGATGGAGCGGAATACGGCCTACGCCCAGCTCGTCATGGCCATATTTGACCCACCTCCCCTGGGCTCGTGGAGTAGCCTGCAGTACTTTGAGTCCGGAGATGCCATCGATAGGGAGGCGTGGGAACAAGCTGTAAGATATGTGATATTCGCAGCAGGCGCCACTTGGAAGGTTGCTGGGGAGGGCAAATTTGTCAGAAGGAACGACAAGGTGCCTATGCCAATTCTCTAAGCCATTTCACAGCGCTGTTTTTTCTATAGCTTTTGGAAGTTTTGGATTCTTTTTTTTTGGGACTATTGCTTATAGGATGAAAAGGGAGATTTTTGGGATAATTATTGCATAGCTTTAGCATAGGTAGTTTGTCGGAATGGGTTTGGGTTATTGTTAGGTTTCGTTTTGGACAAAGGACATTTGGGGCATTCTTTGGATAATTCACACGGGCATTGGGATATGGACAGGCTTCAAGATTGCAAACCGGATACCAAAAAGCATATTTTTTTTTCTGTTGGAACAGTCAATGAAAATACTCATTATTATTTGACAGGCATCATCAAGGTTGCACAGGAGATTTAGAAAGCATTGGCCATGTAAGTAATGCAGTGTCAAGGGGGATCCTCGGACCCGTCGGTATTCTCGGCATCGTCGGCTTCACATATTACAACAGGTAGTGGTTACCTAGTAGCTGCAGGGCGCACAGATGAATAAACACGAATTTTGACATCATTTGTTGATGAGTCTTCCAATGGGAAGCATTTTATTGTATGTTCGTTCCGCAGCCACGGAGATTTCAACGTCTCCGCGGCAGTATATAGCCAAAAGGTAGCACCATCCCCCCATGCTTATAGTTCCAAGGAACAGAGATGCATAATATGTTTCTATGGGGATTTTCATCCCCACTACGCATACAGAAACGCCTCTAAACCGGGTCTGTAATCCGTCTAAAAGAGGAAATATGCTTATAAACTAACGACAATGCATCCAAAGAAAATCCAACTCAATCTTCGTGGCTGCTCAGGTCGCCGTCCTCGTCGCTGTCAGTCAGATCCACTCTCCGCTTCTCCATCTCATGCTCCATCATCTCGCGGTACGTGCTCCAGCTTAGCGCACCGAAAGCGACAATGATCATGGAGCCGCCAATCACGGCCGCTGGGCTCAACGGCTGGCCCGTGATGAACCAGTCGGCAATGGCAACGATGAAGATGGTGAGGAGGGCAGCGACCGACGAGAGCACGGGCGACGTAAGAGAAATGAGGATGAGGAACGAAGCGCTAAAGGTAGCGTTGGAGAGAACAGCAAACAGGATGAGCCAGCACGTCGAGGCATTGGGGATCTCGAAAATCTCCCACCCGAGCCAATGCAAGAGGGGAAGGGGAATCCAAAGCACAGTGATGGTGAAGAGGCCAATGCAAGAACCAAACGTGTTTGCGAAAATCATGCCCCGGCCAGGGGAGACGCCGTCGGGAGGACAAGCAAAGCGCTTGTACAAGACTTCGTACAGGCCGTAGAGCACGGAGCCAATGCCGATGACAATGTTACCCAGGAATCGGCTGCCAGCATCCACTTCGCCCTCGCCCTGGCTCTGCCCGTCAGCAGAATTGGAGCTGGAGCCGGTATCGCCATAGGCTACCACTAGGACGCCAACAATGGCGATGATGACGGCAACCGACTTGTCCAGGCGGAGCGGCTCCTTGAGCAGAGGCACGGAGAATGCATAGGCAAAGAAGGCAGAGCAGTTGTAAATGGCGGTGAGGTCGGATGGCGTGGTGAGGCTGACGGCGACATACCAGCTCAAGCCAGCCACGGTCAATGCCGTCGTGATAAAGGCCGTGGTGCGGGTCAGGTAGCGGACAGACTTGGACGCGGGCCGCTGCAGGCCAAACACATCGAGCGTCTGCAGCTCGACCATGAGCGCCGTCGACTTGACCAGCTGCACGTGGCGCCTCCAAAAGGTCGACCAGGGCATATCACGCTTCTGCAGCCGCAGGATGAGCAGCTGAGCCGGCCACATCAGCACCCATGAGCTGTGCGTGAAGAACATCATGCAGTAGGCCTTGTCCCAACCCAAGTCGCCCTGGATGTAGGCGCTCAGCTCCGTCTGCACGCAAAAGGCAACCAGGCTCAGCACCAGGAAGAAGGCGGCATACGTGTACTTCTTGCGAGCCGACGAGGCGGCCAATTCGCCGGGGCTGCGGCTACGCATCGTCGAGCGTCGTGTCATTGCCGGTCGAGGCACGGGGGAATCGTACAGAGGCCCAGAAGCGGAGTTGGACGGGCCAGAGTGTCTGTCGCTTGAGGATCGCGAGGATCGGCCTCTCTCGACGTCCTTGTCTCCCAAGTCTCGCCCTTCCGAGTCAGGTCTCGACAGCAGGGGCTCGCTGGATCGGCCGTCAGCCGTCGTCTCACGAAAGAGGCCGGGTCGAAGATTATCCGAGCCCATGGTTTGCGTCCAACAAGGCACGGATCGTCGCCGTTTTCGTCGCCGTTAGAGGTTCTGTTTGGAATGAGTGTTCTGTTCTGCCCCGTCTCTCTCAGGAGCGGAAGCGTCGTTCGGATGGTTCGTATTGGGGCGATGGTCGCCAGCAGTATTTCGTTTGGCGCGAGCGTCGCGGAGACGTTGGCTGTTGCGGGAGCATGTGGCTATCTCGATCGAGATGGCGAAAGGAGCGCAAGGAGGGAGTTGCTATGGTAGACACTGTCTTGTTCTGGCGAGAAATCCACGACTCCGTGCCCCGGAGATTCGGATCTTCGCTGGCGGAAAATTGGCAGTTGTGGCGCAGATCCCAGAGCTTGGCAGTGGTGAGATGCTTAGGGTTTCAGGATGAATGAAGGTGAGTTCAAGAAGCCCAGATGAAAAGGATGCCGTCATCGGTTGGTTGGCTGTGCCTGTAGCCCCCAGGCTCTGCCTTATGGGCGCCCGCCACTAGGGAGGCCCCTGAGGATCCCCCCAAAATCCTCCGGGCGGGCTGCTGGATTTCTAGCGTAGCACTGGAACCTGTCAGAGGCTGCACTGTAACAGCTGATGGTCACATCACACGGACATGGACACAACATCCATACTATTGACACCCATGCGGACCTGAGGTATGACGCAGGCAGAGTAGCAGTTGAGACTGAACGTGAAAACGGATGCGGTCTTGTCTTACATGTACAGGTGGAGGTACTCGCGGTAAGACAAAATAAATGCTGTTCCATACATGTACCAAGGTTGAGGTATACCAGAATTGAGGAAAGCGATGGTAGCAATGAGAAAATGAGACTGCATGGCCTCTCACAATATTACTAAGCCGCAGGAGGATCATCACATCATATGTATTAACAGTATATGCCGTCAAACGTGTCTTTATACTTTCACTTGACTGCGCGCATGGCAGAGTCATCTGACTTTCGTGTAGACTAAGGTCTGCCACAACCATCACCCTCCCAACGTTTATTTCGCTCCCTCGCCAAACAAGACCTCCAGAGGGTTGTATGTGTATTTCAAGTCACCATGCCAATAGTTGACAGACTCCGCCTTGGAGATCGCCCAGGCTTCGTCCAGCGCTTTCACAACTTCCTCGGGTAACGGACCCTTCTCAAGGTTGTCAAGGTTGTTCTCCAGCTGCGCGACACTGGAGACACCGATGATGATGCCATCGTTTCCGTCCTTGATCTTGAGTCCAGAGTGGTGAACCATCCATCGCAGTGCAATCTCAATCAACGTCAGCCCTGCCTTCTCTGCTGCTTCCTCAACAAGCTTCAGCGACTCAAAGGTGCTGTCCCGGAAGTATCTGTTTCGGTAGTTGGTTGCCATAGCCGTGTTGCCAGAGTATCGTCCTGCTTCTGGGAGAATATCCTTGGACTTGATCTTTCCTGAGAACAGGCCGCCTGCAAGAGGGTTGTACACGACAATATCGAGGCCGTAGCGCCGGCAGGCAACAAACAGCTCCGATTCGATGTTTCGAGTGATGGCATTGTACATGCCCTGATAGATGGTGGGGCGGACCCAGCCGTTGTATTTGCATGTCATGACGACTTCGGCTACTTCGTAAGCTGTGAAGTTGCTGATACCCAGCTTGACGAATTTGCCGGCCTTGTGAAGACGGTCAACAGCCTCAAGGGTCTCCGCAAAGGGGACTCCGCGGTCGGGCTTGTGAAGATACAGAATCTGCGTCGCGACGGTCAACAAGAATATTCTACACTGAGTGCCTCTTTTCTGCTTGTCATATCATGCACTCACATCAACGCAATCTGTCTCCAGCTCCTTCAGACTCTTCTCGACGGACTCGATGACCTTTTCGGCTGTGTTCTCACCAAGTGCCGAAGGGTACTTGACTTTGGTCGCCAGGGTGAGACCTCTCTTCTTCCAGTTGGCCTGGCGTGTGAAGTCTTCTTGGGCACCACCAACATAGACTCGTGCTGTGTCAATCTCATTATAGCCCCGAGCCTGCAAAACGTCAAGGGCCTTGTTAAAGGTGTCTACATCAGTGATTCTGGCGCCGTCATTCTCGTTGGGGCCAAAGGTCATGAGACCGAGGATAACACGGGGCTTAGGAGCTTGTGCAATGAGGGGCATCTTGGCTTGTTGTTGGCTGAACTTGCTTGCTGTTGTGGCTATCCCAAGATGAGGGGGAGCATCTACTTCGATATATATACACGAGAGGGGGCCCCGGATCTAAGTACGCAGATAGGGCGTGTTAGACCCGGTGGGCGAATAAGACTGGGTCCCGGCTCCGATTCGTATTGACTCAAATATCGCAATCAACGCCCAGCAATTGGTCTATCCCACTTGTGCAGGAGTACATGAGTACATGAAACACTTGGAGAGCTCACAAACGTCATTCCTCATGATAATCGGATAATCGCTACGAAAATGAAACTCGGCAACTGTCCAAGCCAGCTGATATAAGTAACTTTACAAGCACAATTATAAACTCCGATCAAACGACTGGAGACATCTCCGATGGCACTTGCAGAGTTGCTGGACCTACAAAGTCTCAGCGCCGCGCTAAGTCCGTGGACTACGATCGCAGATAGTGTGCTGACAAACCGGCAACATCCGTGTGAATATACTAGCTACAGGAGGAAATAATGGCGACTTGATGACTCTTACAGCATCCATTCCACGCGGCTAAATTATCCGGTCTATACGTGTATCCTATTTGCCTATCCCATCCCTCATACGAAGGCTGACTCGCAAAGTCTTGCAACCTTTGCCTTGGCATGACTATGACTGCCTCGTTCAGAGAGCCACACGTGGCACAATGATGAGATCTCGGTTAGAAACGCTGAACAGGAAATCCAGCCGAACAGGAAACGAGGCCACGTAAATTAGCAATTCATCCTTTCCGCCCAGAAGCGGCATTTGCGTTTAGAAGCGGGATAAGAAGTGCATGTTCATGGAGATGTTGATTATTACTGCCCGGTTTCCTTGAAAGGAAATAATAGCCATTTCTGTGACTGATATCCCTGCTTCTTTGGTACTCCCCCCATGCTCGTATTACTTTGCATGCATACGTTCAGAATCCGGAGTCCGGAGTCCAAATAGATGCAGAAGACTCCGGGCGTGGCTAAACCAAGTTCAACGAGCTTCTGCACTCACAATGGCGGGGTTGGAAAGCATCAAATCAACGGCCATGCTGATAACAGAGCTGATAACGGATAATGAACGCCGCCGGAGAAACCGCGGCAAAATAACTGCTCAACCTGCGTCTTGCAAATGCCTGCGAACAACTCGATGTAGTTTGTAGCTTCAACAGACGTGGTGGAATCGGCTGCCTTTGCGCAATCTGTGCAACTCGTCTGTCTCAAACATGATCCAGTGAGCATTTTAAACTCTACCATGTGCCAATTGACGTCTGACAACGCCCAGGCGCATCGAACCATAGAGATATTCACACCATGAGGGCAAACCTGGCCCGTCATGGCAGGCGACTACTTGTCTGCCAGGCGAGGACGGCGCCATCCTGCGCTGTATATGCGACTCCAGCTCGTCGACGGTCGATCGCTCCGAGACCAGTCTCCTATACCAATTTCGAGCGCACGTTTCTCAGCGGCCTGTTCCAGAAGCCTCCGCGGGAAGTCAGACAGCCCGAGTACGAGCCGGGATGGCTGCAAATCATGGTCTGGCGGAGCCACATGCTCGACAACGTCAGGCCGCCGCCACGGAGGGAGTTGTTCGAGCTATGGAAGAAGCTGATGCAGTCAAAATTTGCCACCGGCATGCCTCTGAACAGCACACAGACGCTGCAATGTCGCCGGTTGCTAGAGTATCTAGCGGTTGTGCCAGACAAAAAGCAGGACTGCAAGATGCTTACTCTTGCTGATTTAACGATAGCAAGACAAGTACTCCTTCAAAATGAGCCAATCGAACGAACACAACATCATCTGGATTTCGCCAAGGCGTTGTATACCGTGTGGTTATCCGGAGACTATACCAAGACTCCCAAGGCCGCGGAACAACAATGGATCCATCTGGTCAAGGCCATGTGCTTATATGGTGGGTCTCGCGAGGCTCTACAGATGCTCTACGAGAAATGGGAGCAGCCAGAGTACGCTGTCTACCTGAACCAAGACGTCCACCTGGTAGAAACAGTTGCTAGAGGTCTTGCAAGAGAGGGATGCGAAGCCGAGTTAGTAGAGCTGGTCGAATATGCGGAAAATCACAACGTACCATACGATTTGAAAATTCAAGCCGTCATGGTAGAGTTCTTTGCGGAGCGAGATCGCGTCACCGAGACCAAACACTGGTTCAGTAAGCCGCTGTCCGGCAGCATCCCACGAGCGCCGACATACCGCACTGTGGCAGCTTTTGCCATGCGCAACAACCTCCAAGAATGGGCTACTTCAATATTCCGTGAACTTGGAGAATCACAGCCAAGGAAGATCCACTGGAATGTATTACTTGAGGGGATACTTATTACGGGAAAGAGCCTTGCTGAAGTGGACATTGTGATGTCGCACATGGTTGACCGTAAAGGGGAAATTTCACCAGATACTAGCACCATCAATGGTCTGCTCCGAGTTGCCTCTACGCAGCGAAACGAGGTTCTTGGCGAAGACATTCTTGCGCTCGCCGCAAAGAGGGGATTGGCTCCAAACGGAGAGACTCATTTAATCCTGCTCGGCTTGCGACTTGGAACTAGCAATTTGGTGGGGGCACGGGAGGCATACAATCAAGTCAGGCATATGCGGCCTTGGACGAACGAGACAAAGCCGCATCTCTTTGCTGAATTCCGCAAGATGGTCAACGAGTACCTGGTGGCGCTGGCTGCACAGAAACAGCCGGATTTCAAGTTGATTTCATCAATGCTTGAAGCTGTTGAAGAAGATCGAATGAGGCTCGAGCCCTCCACTGTCGCGGCCCTCTGCTTAAGATTCCTAGAGAATGACCAGCATTTCGACGTCATGGATATCCTCTCAATTTATTCCTTCTTATATAGTGAATCGGAGCGAGAGGTTATCCAGACCGCATTTGTCTCGTTCTGCCTCGATCCCAGCACGAGCACAAATCGAGCGTGGGGCGCGTACCAGCTCCTCCATCAATACTTCCAGGATACCAGCTTCGAACGGCGCGTGGAATTGATGAATGCGTTTTTCCAGCGCAAACGTCCCGACATGGCTTCACACGTCTTTGGGCACATGCGTGCGCACCGAAATAAGTCATTTCATCCCAAAATGGAAACCTACATCACATGTCTAGAGGGAATTGCTCGATATCCTGACCAGGATGGGTTGGACATGGTGCATAACATGTTGAAAATGGATACCACGCTCCAGCCATCGACAAAATTATACACAGCTCTGATGCTGGCATATGCTAGCTGCGGCCAACCGCTAATAGCGCTGGACTACTGGCAACAAATCACTCAATCGAGGGAAGGGCCGTCATACGCGACGTTGGAGGCGATTTTTTGGACACTAGAAAAGAAGACGGGCGGGCACACACAAGCCCGAGAGATTTGGGATAGGATGGAGAGGATGGATTTGGAAATACCGCCCAGCGTCTACAACGCCTACATTGGCGCAATAGCTGGCAGTGGGAATGAAAAGGAGGTTCGAGGATTGATAATGAAGATGGCATCTGTCGTGGGGTCAGAGCCAGATGCTATGACGTGAGTGCAAACCCCCATCCAACTGTGTTCAGTTGTCGCAATTGCTAACTCCTCTACAGCCTTGGTATTGCATATAACTCTTTACCCGGACAGCCACTTCAGAAGGGATTCCAGGAGTGGGCCAAGGGGCGATACCCCGATATTTGGGCAGAACTGATGAAGGTGGGACGGCGCATGGACGAGTACTCGCTATGCCAATTCAAAATAGAACGGGTCATGAAGGCCTAGAGTGAGTGTACAACGATGGAGAAATATAATCATGACATGTATCTATACATAACGGAGGGTGGCATCTATTGTACACATAGTAAAAAAAATGGACAAATATAGTATTCATGAGTGGCCATACCCATAGACGGCGGCTCACACAACATTCAATCAGGCCCCAATGCTTTTTTTTTTTTCAGTCGTTCTCCCCCTCTCTCTTATCTCCTCTCGGGGAAGAAATGCTCCCTGATCATCTCCGGGTGGGCGTGAATAGTCGGGTACAGGCCCATGCCCTGAACTCTGCGGATCATCTTGGCAATCTTGCGCTGGTTGACGGGACGAAGGCTCGTGCCTGATGAGTGCGTGATCTGGCCGGACGTCGAGGTGAATTCCTGGATCAGAGAGAAGTTCTACAATTGCCTCAAGTCAGCATATCCCAAGTCTCTCTGTCTCTTCTCTCTATTTCCACATTTCCAACATACCTTGTACATGTCCAGTGGTCGAATGCCCAGCGCATCAATCACATCTCCGCTACGAGGCGACCTCTTCCTCCACTTCTGCATCTCCACAGGGCTCATATCGTGTGGCGAATAAACATCACCAGCATCCCACCTCCGCGGCATCTGCTTCAAGTAATCGTTCGAGTTCTTCTGGTTGCGCAGCAGCTCAATGCTCGCCTGCTTGGTCCGCATAGCGTGCTGCCCATCGCGCTTAAACCGAGTCAACATATTGGTAGCGATGTCGCCGGGATTGTGCGCCGCGCGAGGGCCCTGGCTGGGGGGTCGCGAAGGGCCGGAGCTGTTGATGGAGAGGAGGCTGCTGCTGGAGGAGGGGCGGTGGTGGACAGGCTCGCTGCGAGGAGCGCAGGCCGGGGCGGAAGTCGAGAAGCCGCGGATGGAGAGGCCGCGGACGGCGCAGGAGGGCGGCAAGGGCGGCATGGCGGCGGAATTGAGGCTGGAAGAAGAAGAGGATGAGCCGGCTCTTGCTGGCGGTGATGCGAAATCCTGGTGTTGTGCAAAATGTGGAGGTGGCGGGGCGGAAGAGGTTCCGCGCTGGTGCGTGGCGCCCCGCTTTGGCGTTCCGCCATTTTCCAATTTTCCCATCGCTGCCTCTCAAAAAATTGTCGAGGTTTAAGCCTTTGCTCTCAAATCTTGAGCAAAAACAGACAGCCCGATACCCCATCATTGGTTGCGCCGGATTTATACTCGAAAAAAAAAAAATCTCTTTTATTTCTAGACCGTCAATCTTGGAAACACCAGTAATAGCGACATTGTGCCCGATTGAGGATCCTGCAAGATGGTGCGAAAGCTCAAGTTTCACGAGCAGAAGCTTCTGCGAAAGACAGACTTCTTCACATACAAGCAAGACGACAACCACCGCGACAAGCTCGTCAGGCGGCGGTACATGATCCAGAAGCCAGAGGACTACCACAAGTACAACCGACTCTGCGGCGTAAGTCTCTCAATCAGGATATTCTCGATCCAGCCAATCGCCATATCCTCAAGCTATGCCAACTGACATTCCTTCTTCTTCTCCAGTCCATCCGCCAACTCGCCCACCGCCTCTCCCTCCTCCCCCCCGAAAACCCCGTCCGCCGCAAGCACGAAGACCTCCTCCTCGCAAAGCTCTACGACATGGGCATCCTCTCCTCCACCTCCAAGCTCTCCGCCGTCGAGAACAACGTCACCGTCAGTGCCTTTGCCCGCCGCCGCCTGCCCGTCGTCATGACGCGCCTGCGCATGGCCGAGACCGTCCAGGCCGCCACCAAGCTCATCGAGCAGGGCCACGTCCGTGTCGGCGTCGACGAGATCACCGATCCGGCGTACCTGGTGACGCGCAACAACGAGGACTTTGTCACGTGGGCTGTAGGAAGCAAGATCAAGAAGAATATCATGAAGTACAGGGATGAGCTGGATGACTTTGAGCTGTTGTAATTCTTGTTTTTTTTTTCGCTGTGTTGGGAGTGGGGGTTTTCGGATTAGACAGCGCATGGGGGAGAGCGTACTGGTAGATTGTCATGGAGCTGGTTTTGGCGTTATGGGTTAGGCTGGGATATTCCTGGATTGAGATCCAATCCAATGCTTCAAGAGGGACGGGTTCATCATGTGAAAAAATACATTTTGTTGTACAACTTGCTTACACCATCTTTCTCTGCCAGACGAGTATCATGTAAAAATCTCTCCAGGTTGAGAGAGTGACACAGACAGTGGCCAGAAGCACATTGACAGAGAGATGCCAGTCACGTACCATTAATTTCCGGCATCTCGGAATCTCGTTTCTACTGCTATCCATGGCAACATCCAGTTAGCCCGGGAATCGTCAGCGTCCATGATATTAAGCTTTCTTTTGACAGCCTTGGTGACAGGTTGCAAACATGGCTATTTTCTGCTCACTAATCAGCAGCAAATTCTCTCCAGTAATTGGATCAAATCACACCATGGCTTGTTCATTATAAGCATAACATACATGCCTTGTGTTAGCCACCAGCGAGGATAAATGTCTCCAGCAGGCGAGCAAGAGTCCATCGCACTGTGTTTCATCCAAGCTTCTCATCCACGTTCCGACTCTTAAATGGTCGTTCACTTCATTCATTCCCAGCCAAATGTGTGAGCGTCATAATCAATATCCCAAATCATGAGCTTTTCCCCCCCTCCCCATATCCCAAAAACATAAAATACCCTTATAAGCATCAACACCCCCCCAAAAGATTTCGCGAATCATCCAAATCTTCACCAGCGGCTAAGCGGAGATCCGGCACTCCACCCAAATCGGCCCCACATCCGTAGGCCTTCTTTTGTGTCGACACACCAAAAGGCGCAGCATGAAGAGAAAAAAAAGGGCTAGACTCCCATGCGTATGAGATATGAGCTCCAGGCTGATAAACACACTGTGCGTGACGGCTATAAAAACCCACACTCACACGAGCTCCCACACCCTTCTCTTCCCTTCCCCCCTGATCGGCTTGTAAGAGCTTGGTTTTCTTCTTATTCTTTTCCTCTTTATAGAGCTCTCGCTTTTTTTTGTGCGGCGCTTTTATGCAAAAGCGTGTGCCTGCTTCAAACATCATCATCCTCCCACTCACATTTATAAGAGTCTCCTGAGCGCCGAGGGTAGTCGCCCTCACCCTCCTTCGCCATGCCCGTCTTGGCCACTATCAAAGATGTCTTGATACATCTTATAGACCCATGGGCGTTTATGGCCGTCTCCTTTTCTCATATCCCTGCGACGATTCGTGGACTCATCCATGACAGGAACTATCGCGCGCTCTTCTCCTTCACTGGATTCCGCGAGGCTCTGTTCGGCACATTTTGGGCCACCGTCGGGCCAGATGTAAAGACCAATGGCGAGCAGCGAGTCATTCCTCTTCTTGAAGGACGTGTCAAGGGCGGTGTTATCCATGACGACATCGTGAGCACCCCTGTTTATGGCACTGTCATCGAGGTCGGCGCCGGAAGTGGCATGTGGGCAGACGTTTTTGCTCGTTTCCGCGAAAATGCCAACAACACAGACAACGCAGACGGCCTTCGCAACAGGAAAACCACGGGCGGCCACATCACCAAGATTTATGGCGTAGAGCCCAACCCCATTTCTGCTAAAGCGCTCGAGAAACGTGTCAAGGACCTTGGTATGGATGACATCTACACCGTCGTCCCTGTTGGTATTGAATCTGTCGACGACCCCTCTGCGTGGAACGGCAAGATTGAGCCCGGCAGTGTTGACTGCATTGTCGGCATCCTGTGCCTCTGCAGCATCCCCGAGCCCGAAAAGAACATCAAGCTTTTGTACAAGCTGCTCAAGCCAGGCGGACACTGGTACGTCTATGAGCACGTCAAAGTTTGGCGTGGAGGCCTGCTGCTCAGCCTATATCAGCGTAAGTAAAAACACTCATAATGCTCCCGATCGCAAGCATACCAAAGGCTAACCGTGGCCGGCTCTCCAGGCTTCACCAACCTCATCTGGCCACACTTTTTGGGTGGATGCCAGCTTTGCCGCGATACCGAGAAGAATCTCAGAGCCGCGGGCCCCTTCCAGGAGATTGACCTTGCGCAGCCTGCGGCTCAGCCTTCTTATCAGGTCTTGCCTCACAAGATTGGCACCCTGACAAAATAAATATCGCCATCGACGCCAAAATAAAATGAACAAATTCGTCAGCGCAGCAAAAGAAAGTCCTTGCTTGAGCAATATCCCGTCTCAAAGCTCATCGTCGTCGTCGTCATCCAAGAGGAAAATCGAAGTCCGCTTAGACTTGCTGTCCACCGGTATCGGCTTCTCCTCGTCGGTGTTTTCTTGTTTTTTCATGTCTATTTTCTCGTCCTTGACATCTTCGGCCTTCGTTTTTGATTTGATTTCGCGTTTCACCCCCTCACTCGTTTCCTTTTTCGCCTTCTTCTCCTCTTTCATGTTTTCGAGCTTAGATTGAGGCCAGGGGTCCAAGTCTTTGAGCATTACCCCGCTTCTTGCTTCATCCTCCTTTATCGCTTCCAGTTTTGGCTTGTGTTCTTCCTTCAGGGTATTTACCCTTACGTCCGTCGATGATCCTTGGCGGTTGGCTATACCCTCCTTTGCATCAAGAAATCCCTCCTTTTCCAGCTTAGTCTCGCGCCTCTTATAGAATGAATTCAAGCAGTTCCTTCTCGCTTCTGTTGTCCAGTTTTCCACAATGAGGGCAAAGTCTGTAGCATTGGCAAAGCCAAATTCCCTAGCCATCTCACAAAATTGGCGCAAGCAAACATCTTCGGGCGGCTTGTATGAGCTGTGTAGTCCGTCCCCGTCACTCTCGTCGCTATCAGCAAATAAAGTAGTTTGGCCCGCAAGGTCCCCTTCCCCAAACAGTCTCATGGCCGCCCGCCGCGAGAGCTGCTCTTCTACCTTGGAAGATCCAATCACTTCAGAATTGTCGTGCGTATACTCCACACCAGCCGCTGTGAGAATAGCTTGCACCGCATCGCTTTTTAGACGGCTTGTCTTTGCCTTTTTAGCTTCGAGTGTTTTTTGCTGGTCGCCTGAAGTCAGCAAGTCAGCCAGCTGGCTCAGTCCTCCGTCTTCTGAGTCGGTGCCCTCTTCCTGTTTCACGACTCCTAAATCTTCCCCGTCCTTGGCTGCCTCTTCCATGTCAACATCAGCCAAGTGCACCCCAGCTTTAGCCTCAGCGATGTTTGTCTTGTTCACAATATCGCGAAGCAACCCCATATTGCTATGGTAGGTGAAAATGTTGGATAGTCCGAAGATTTCACCCTTCCGTTCAGTGTCCTGCTGAACGCCACGGAAATATCGCCGCTCAGACGACGCAGTATATCCGATGTTTGCTTGCTGTTGCTTGTAAATTTGCCGGGCATAGACGATTTCCTCAATCGTCCCCACGGAAATGAGCCGAAAGACTTCGACATCGCGAGTCTGACCAATTCGATAGGCTCGATCCTGCGCTTGTAGATCATACGCAGGATTCCAGTGAGGGTCGATGATGACTACCTTGTTAGCCGAGGTGATGTTTAGCCCGACACCACCAGCCTTGGTCGATATGAGAAACACAAATTGCGTGGGGTCGGAGTTGAACGTATCCACCACATCCTGCCGCGCTTCATAGCTCAGGGAACCATCCAGGTAGCTCACAGTGTAGCTTGTATTAGTGAAAAGGTGCTGCAGTATGCGAAGTAACCGCACACTATGAGAAAATACCAAGACTTTGTTTCCGCTGCCATGCCAAAATTTGAGCAGCTTCTTCAGGATTTTCCACTTGCCACAGAACTCGGGATTGACCAGGTTACTAATCCGATCTCTCTTCTCATATAGCACTCTCCACGTGTCAGGCATGCAGGTTTGGAGTGTCGCGAGTTCTTGCTCGTGCTTTTCTTCTAAATCCGTCGTCTGCGGCACCAGCAGAGTCAGGTGGTTGGCCAATTTTTGCAGAATTATCATGCTTGGGAAGACGACGGTTTGCCAGCGTTTGCCATTTGGGAGAAACTCATCGCAACACCAACCTCTTTTGCCTCCGTGCTCACAATCTTCCGAAGCCGTCCTCAGTATTGCTACTTCTTTGCTGTCGAGGAAATTCTCGTATGCTTCCATTTGTAAGTCCGTAAGGGGGCAAAAGACGACTCGGTCGGATTTTTTGGGTAATTGATCAGCTATCAGAGATTTCATACGGCGCAAGAAGTACCTAGGAAGAAGATTCTGAACCAATTTCTTTGCCGTCTGCCTCGCGAGACTCAGCTGCGCAACCGTTGCTTCATGAGACTGGCCGACGGTCAGGGGTTTCGTGATGGTGTGCGACCACTCTGCTTTGGTGCCAAAATGGCCTGGGTTGGTCCAATCCAATAGTGTCCAGAGCTCCTCGTATCTATTTTGTATGGCTGTTCCTGTTAAACCAATCCGACAAAGCGCATTGACTTCTTGCAATGCCTTGGTAGTCTCCGAATAGCGATCCTTGAGGCGATGACACTCGTCGGCGATGATGGCATCCCACTGCACCATGTTGATGGAGCTGCGAGAGTTTTTATACGTCTCGTAAGTTGTAATCATGATTTCCAGCATCCCGGCGCGAGCCGCACCAAGCACGTCGTCCTTGTTGGCTCCGTGAAACAGATCCACATGCCACCATCCCCATCGGCTCAACTCGTTTCTCCAGTTCATAATGAGAGATCCGGGGCAGACAATGAGTATCTTGGGGTACCATCTCTCGCTAAGAAGTCTCATCTGTCTCATGCGTTTGCCATCTCGTTCGTCTCCTGTCTTCCCAAAGGCCGCCGTCAAGAAGGCAACCACTTGAACCGTCTTGCCAAGGCCCATGTCGTCACCCAGGATGCCTCCCTCTTGGTAGACAAACTTTTTGTGCAAAAACCGGACGCCTTCCACCTGGTAATCACGCAAGTACTGTGCGATTGATGCCGGAATTAGGCCTCCTGACTGAGGAAGCTCGATATCTTTATACGGCCGAGACGGTTTGATACCACTTCTTGGGTCGAAATCTGGTCTCTCTTTCAGCTCTCTAAGCCTCCTTGACTCATCGAATTCGACATCCGTATAATCAGGTGGCAACATTAGGGCGGATTCGTGGTATAACCTCCTCTTGGCATCAAAGTTTCGTCTTCGTTCAATCAGATAGTCAGGCAGGTCCACTCTCTCCAAGTCGTCTTCTGTGTGGTCTCCATCTCCAGTTTTCTTTTCTGCTTTCTTTTTCCCGGTGGATTTGCGTTTGGCCCTTCGTTTCTTTGGCCTGGAAGGCGCACTGTCTGATTCATCCGTCCACTGAACCTTTTCCGTGAATTCCAGCTCGACCTTCCTTTTCCGAGGAGGCGGCTTGGCTGGTCCCTCAAAGCCATCTTCAGAGGCTGATTCCGTATCCTCATCATCTGAGAGTTCGATGATGTCCGTGGCCATTTTTAGCAATGAAAGTGGTAGCAAGAGCCATGAGAGATTCTTGGTAGAAACGCGCAGTGATAACACGAGGAGATGGTGAATAATGCGAAATCACGTGATGCATGCTGTCTTTCTTTACTTAGTGTTGGCTGCCTGTATTGCCTGATTTTAGCGGTTATAGGGAGGGGCAGTGAAAGCTTGTGGTCCTGAACAAGTGCACTCAACCCAATATTCCTGTGCCTCAGGGGGGAAAAGGGGGAATAATTAATAAAAACACTATATGAAACAAAATAAAAAAGACTCAAAATCAACAAAAATAGCCAAGCATACGCCAACAGCTTCAAAATTGACCAATCACATCGCCAGTGCAGCGCAGTAGCCGTGTATCGGTTATTATTGACGTCATGCCGCCTTTTTCGACGTTGGATTGCATGTATACCTAGAATTGGCCTATAGCGTGCTGTAGATTCCACCTTTTCGGATACTTGTAGGGGCCAATGAAACATGTAGCAGGTACGTCAAAACACTGCCCGATATCAGATTCTCTCCCAGTCAGCCTCATTGTAGGTAGGCAATCACCACAAGCAAAGCACTGACAAAAGCCAATCATTAAACATTGACAGAATTGCTACAGTGTACTGCATACAGCTAGCCACTATGACGAGAAAGGAAATCAGCTTCAAACATATAAATAGCAGCATCTACCTTAGAACACGCTAGCCGGCTCCATAATTAATATTCAGCTGTCTCAGGCTCAATTCAAGTACATGTACGGAGTACTCCGTACTCCGTACTTTCGCGTATATACCGCTCGCCTCCGCCTTGAGGAGGTACCTCTCTCTCTCTATCTGTCTTGAGCAATCCAATTCGACAATTCCATCGACATCTCAGCATCAATCCTCGCTTGATTCGCCCTATACTCTCAGCACAAAACAGCAAACATGTCCAACAACTTTGAGGCGGTGAGAAACATCTCCGGTGACCAGGCCAAGGCAATCCTCCTCTCTCTCTGCACCAACCCTGTCATTCGTGCCAAGGTTGCCTCTTATGCCAAACGACTCGATCAAGAGGAATCGACCAAGAAGCGGAAGCCCGAGTCTACTATTGCCATCTGTGTGCAATGCGACCAGCCGTTCTACCAAGAGGACAACCATGACACTAGCTGTGTCCATCACGATGGTGAGTTCTTTTGATGCGATTCAGGGCAGCCAATACACCAATTGAGGCATCGGTAACCGTACATTACAGGTTTATTAGAGGTAAACTACAAGGCTGAAGTCTGGGAAGACATCGACGATGATGGGCCGATTGACTCTTCAGAAAATGAGGAAGACGTTCCCGAGGGTTTTAATTGGTCCTGCTGCGGTACAATCGGCACTTCTGCCGGCTGCAAAAAGGGCCCGCACCAGGCAGACCCTGAGAAATCGAGGAAAAGCGTCCATGTTTCGGAGGAAAATTCCAAGGATGATGAGTAATGGCATATGAAATGGGGGCGAATTTGAAGAATCGTCGTTAAGCGCACAGGTGTTTTATTCAGAGTTGACAAGGGCAGGTTCATAGCGGCAGGTGGTGCGAGTCTTTCAATGGGGAGTTTAATCCAGGATATGGGCGCAGTTTCCGGAGTAATAGAGTCGTATATGCAGGCTTATTTGAATCATCCGTCATCGGTGAGCTAAATCCGTCAACTCAGCAATCTCTTGTCAGAGCACATGCATTCGAATTGATGACCACATCACGATCGACTTAGCGCCAAAGCGCCCTTAGTCTCGCTCTCGATGAGATAATCGCCATGCACGAGCCAAGCTTCGAGCCTGGGGTTAATTCCATATAAAAGAGAAAGGCCTGACATAGTCGATACACGTATCTGGCTATGCTGAGCTGCTTATGCTAGCAGTAAGAATGTGGGCGACTGCTGTCGGGGATTCGCTAAACAGCTGAGCAAGATGGCTCGCACTATTAAAGACAGCAGATCCCAATGCCAGAATCGCAGAAGAGTTGTGTATGATTGTCACTAACTCATCCATTTTAGCCATAAAACATTTCAAAATTAAATCACCATGGCAGCAAATCTCACTTTATCCCCCGAGGAAGCACGGGATCGCATCGCCATCCGTCAAGTCATCGATCGTTATGCCCACTGCGCCGATCGCCGTTTAGCAGAGGAGCAAATGTCACTCTTCACAGAGGAGACACACTTTGTCGTGTACATGCAAGGGGAAGGCACGGAGCCCTCGCAAGTGGTTCGGAAAAGACAAGACTTACGACCAGTCTTTGAATTCCTGGTCGGGTTCACACACACAACGCACTTCAACGGACAGAGCATCATCGACATCGGTTCGGACGGCAAGACTGCCACCGGGGAAACGTATTGCATCGCCTATCACTTGTCTGAAAAGGACGGTCAGCGACAGATGTATGTTGCCAGTTTGCGGTATCAGGACACTCTGACGAAGGGAGATGATGGGACTTGGTTATTTTCGGAGCGGAAGTTGTATCTTGACTGGTCAGAGACGCGGCCGTCGAACCCATAATTGTTCCTTTTAACACTTTTGAGGTGCACTTTATTATTGAAGAGAAATCGTTGGCAGATTCGCATCGTGGACGTCGCTCTTGTCATATTCCGGAAGCTTAGATCTGGATTTTTGTATGAAAATGTTAGCAATGTGCTGTCCCACTGTCTAAAAGCAAACAATGTTAACTCACTTTTACTCCCCTATAACATATACTTGCCGTATTCCATAATTAAATGCAAAATATCCTCCTTATCCATCTCCAAATTGTGTGATACCTAATTCTTCGATCTAGAGGCCATGTTTGATCAGTTGGCACATTGTTAAATCACAGGTTTCATGTAAGCACGCGTTTGAATGAATTAACAAAAGGAATCAAATTGAATTATTCTGTGTTGCGCCGAATTATGCTTCGCACCCAAAGTCCACCCAAACGCCTGAAGTGTATATATACAGTCGAAAGATGGACATCTCTATGTCTTTTGCTGTCCCACTCTATACCGTCGCCCTTATGAATCTCTTACAGGCGGCCGATCTGTCCGTCCAAAGCCCATTTGCAGAGGACGGGCCAGCCAAGCATGGCACCAAAGATGGGGAAATAACTGCAAAAAGACAAGTGTTAGTTCGGTGATTCTCTGGATGCACTGGCTTTATGTATTGTCTCGCCCGGGCTACTTACGTGACAACCTTGCCAGCAGTCCAAGTAAGGTTCTTGGCATAGTCTGGCCTTTGAGGCTTCATGGTAGCCGCAAATCTCTCGTACGGGGCGTGCTCAAATGCACGACCCATTGATCGGACTTGCGTGTAGAAGGAAAAAGGTCTGCGAACAGCGGTGGCTGCAGTGCGGGTGGCGGCGGCGGCAGCAGCAGACATATTGAGAAGTGTTTGAAAAGGTAAAAGTTTTTTTTGTTGTTGTTGTAAAGGTGATTGAATTTTCGATCGAATTCGAAATCAAATCTTAGTGATGATACACTAAATGAATCTTATTGAGTTGAGATTATTGCAAAAGTGGTTGAGTTGAGAGGTAATCCTCTGTGGATTGTATTGTTGCTTGGTGATGCTGTGATGATGAGCCAGAAACAAACTTGCAAGGCTTCCAACCCGATCATTATGTATCCCACACACTCATCGCAGGTCGCCGCACACCATGCGGAGTAATCACTATCGAAATTTGATTTTTTTTCCCATGATGTCAAGTTTGCGGTGCCGCCGCTCTCGTGAGCCTCCTTGCCGCAGAATATGGGCAGATGCCATACATCCAGCTGGGCGAATATCATACCACTGTCATGACATGCTGCTGTGTTGGCTGTGAAACTTCCGCCCATTGATTGGCTGAGCTTAACACTAGCCTAACGATTTCCGGGCTTCCTTCAATACGACGCTCACTCAGTTTGGCGCTGACTGATCCGCATCCCTGTCGGTGGTGCCACTCCGGAGCATCCCGGAGGGGGGATTGGCCGGCGCTACTGTTTGCCTGGAGGCAGAATTGACGACTTACGAAGTAAAGATCCGAAAGAATACACGAGTCGGGCGTGGAGTCAGAATCGTATAACAGCCTGCTGCCTTAGTGCTCCTAATGCGGAACGTTGTCAAATCATGACGCCGTTCGCAATTTCCTATTATGAGCAGATATGCGCAAGAAGACAACATCGCAAAACATCATGCCACTGATGGCAAACATCATCCCGAATAACCGGATTCTCCCATACGCTGCTGCTTCGGAATCTGGGGAAATCGCCGCAATGGCAAATCACGGAGCAGATATTTGAAGGTCTTGCGATTTGAGATGGTATGTTGTCCTTACAAGGAAAGATGACATCTCAAGGAGATTTAGGCCGCCGATATTCAGGCACTTCATCTGCTGGGGTATACTTAGCCAGGGGCACTCAATCTCATCTTTGCCATCATGACAAGAACTTTGAGAGCAAATTCGATTCTTCAATCCGTCAGGCCATCTCAATTCAGCTCAACGAGAACATTATGACGAGAATTATGTGGATTGAACGGTCTTTGAGCATGTATTGCGGGATCTGCGGTGACTGCGGCATCAGCTGAGGATTCCACAACTGCCGCAATGCCGCAGCTGCGATCAGCCCAGGACCGGGTTCGGCCAGCACCGATCGTTTCGCCTCGATTTATGCCTGTTCACGTGGTATTTCATGGATACTTTTCCCCCGAAAGAATCTATGGCATGAACGCTGCGGAGGGCTCCGCACGTCACATGTGTTCAGCTTGTCGTCTTTCGGGGCCAAAGCCTGTCGCGGATGCTGACCTCTCCCCCTGTTGCATATTGAGTTTACGCCAGGTTATGTAAGGTAAAAATTGGATGTGAGCTTTGTCTGCACAGCGTAAAGACCTCGGGGTCTTGTATTACTATAGTGCCCTAGAAAAATCTACGTCATCGAGGCATCCCCCTAGCTTATGTTCGCGTGTCCTATGTTAAGACTACCTAATCTTCTTAATACACCTCGTATCATAGCTTAACTACCTAGGTAGTTAGCCTTTTAGGAAAAAACACAATACATGTACATATAATAACCCAACCTAAGCTAAATACTTCTAGAGCTTAAGGACCTGCAACGAATCAATGCTACAAGTTATCGCAGTCAGAGAAGCCAAGTTTCTAATGCAGTGTTTTGGTGTCAGTTGAGTTGGTTCAAAGGTGCGTTGCCTAGCTGTCAACAAAGTTTATATTACAGAGCAAATACTTTTCCCATTGTGTGACTATTTGATGTTTACAGCGTCCCATGTGATATACTCTAACGCTTGGATAAACAGCCTGCCCTTAATCTCAACTGTGTTACCTACCCTGAAAGCTCCTTATTATGTCCATATAGGTGTTGGGTCGTAACAACAATGAATAGAATGAATGAGGAATGGAAGCTAGGAGTTTTTCATCAAAGCTATCCTTGGGCTTCGAATCCATTCTTATCACCAGAGAGCATAGTCAGAGCTGCCACTACAAGAGCTTCAGCTCCGGTGGCCAGTGTCGGCTGTATTGCTGGAGCAAACAAGGGGCTGTGGAGCCCAGGCACAGAATCCAGACGGTTTTCCTCGGCCCTCTTCTCCCAATCTGAAATATCGTGACCTCCGAAAAACCAAAAACAGTACGGCTTGCCAATGGCCGTTGCCAAGTGGCTGAAGTCTTCAGCAGCCGGAACAACATCGCAAGAGGGATTATGAGTCTGAAGACCAAAGTGAGCAGAAAAGCTGCGGTTAATCACATCTGTGGTGGCCGGGTCGTTATGCATTGCGGGGATTGACGATACGAGCTCGAACGTCGGGTCTCGTGGACTATCCGAAGCGCTGCACTCAGCAAGGGCAATGCGCTTGATAGCATTGATTAAGGCATCGCGGTTTTCCGAATCAACACTGCGAATGCTCAACTCAATAAGTGCATGATCACTGATGACATTGATGGCCTTTCCGGAATGCAATCCTGTGACCGTCACCACGGCCAAGCTGCCCGGCTTCACCTCACGACTGACAATAGTCTGAAGACGCACGACAATGTGACTAGCAAGCACAGTCGGGTCGACTGAGAGGTGCGGCATACTGGCATGGCCGCCACGCCCATATACCGTAATCTTCATCGAATCAACACCTGCCATGAGCAATCCAGGGCGGGTGTCAGTGAACCCTGCTTTTCTGAATGAGACGTGCTGTCCTAACAAGACATCAGGGATCGGGCAACCATGTTTAGTATAGAGGCCATCCTCGATCATGCGCTGAGCCCCTTCTCCGGCCTCCTCTGCTGGTTGAAAGAGGCATACAAGAGTCCCCGACCACTGCGTCCGTCCAAGAATGAGAGTCTCGGCAGCCGCCAGGAGCGCAGTGACGTGCATATCATGACCACAAGCGTGCATCACCGGTTGCAGAGAACCATCGGAGTCCTCTGCCATCTTTTTCGATGCGTATTCCAATCCTGTCAGCTCTTTCACGGGGAGAGCATCCATATCAGCACGGAGCAGCACCGTTCGGCCTGGTCCATTGCGTAGAACAGCAATCAGACCAGTGCCTGCAATACCCGTGGTAATCTGAAGATCTGGTGAGAGGCCGCCCAATCTGGTCGCTATCGCCGCCGATGTCTCAACTTCTCCCCATGATAGCTCGGGGTTGGCGTGAAGATGCTTGTAGAATTCCTCGTATGGCTTGTAATCTGGCGTGTTCTCCTCAAGAAACGCCTTGAAGGGTGAAATTCGTGACATCCTTAATGTACTTGATGAGCAACCTTAAGAGCAATCGGATTATTGCACCTCACGATGAGACACAGTAGATCATATATGCTAATGCTCAAAGCTGACCACCATGTGTACCCTGACTGTCTTTATAGTCAATTTCAAAGTCTAATTTCTCAGGTCTCCTTTCATGTCAAATATTGCTATTTCTGGTATGTTTACTCCATACTATCATATCCATATACAACAGCAGATATCAATCCAGCTAGCAATTAGAAACAAAATGGTACCTGGAGATAGATTAATAATCGTAGATTAGTGATCCTGATAGATTAATAATCTTTTTTGGCCATAGGATCTGGGGTACAAGTTTCCAAGGCAATCCAAAGCCAAGAGTATTGGAGAAGAAGCATGTGAAATTTTGGTCACACGATACGGAGAACTGAAAAAGGTAACCAGCTCGAAGTCAAAGAGTAGTTTGTAGAAAGGAAACTTAGAAGGTATTAGCGGCTGGAGGACTTACTCGACTTAGCGTCGAGCAGAATACTGTATTAAGCAAGTTGTATAGAGTGTGAAGTACGGAATTGGCCCGAAGTAAAGTAACACATTAGTTGAACGTTCGGCAGCTCCGTTGGTATAGCACTATTGACAAAGTAATCGGACCGCTGGTGAATTGAATTGGAGAACTAAGTTGGGCTAATTCTCACGGCAGTATGGCCACAATCTACGTTTAGATGATTAACCTTCCCCCATTTTGGAACTTTTGTCAATCTGAGTGTCATCGAGTCAACCATCGAGTCACTGACGCATTAATATGTTGGACTCTTTGCATTCTTGGGGATTGGGGTAATCGTCCTAGCGTCCTGTTCTTTCAAAACACTCTTCGCGGCCAGCACCATAAAACCAGACGGAGGTATTTCAGATGACTACCAAGAACCGATCAACGGTTTTATAAACTGGGTAGAGTCAGTGCGGAAAGACTTATCCATTCTAGGTGGCAATCCCGAACTATTCGACCTAACTGTCGGTGCTGCGTAGAATAAACTTGGTAGAAACAAAAAAAAAAAAATAGACACTGCAACAAGGACAAAAACATTGCAGCGGATTTCTCAAGAATATTGGGAGCAAGCGCAGAGTGTCTCATTCATATTTAGAAATCCGATTGGCTAATTTATATTTCTTAGGCAATACGTTTTTTCCCCCCTCTAAAACAGAAGACCGGTCTCATTATCGATATCTTTAAACGGCTCTAAGGCATTTTTCCCTACTTCACAATCAGTAACAAAACAGAAGCCACGGTCTCAAAGCTCAATAAGCGCACTTTTGACCGTAAATTCTAACGGCGCTATGTTCACCATGATTGGAACATAGCAGGCAGATTGGGCAGCATCTCTATTGTGGGAAATGGTTTAGACCTAAGTGAGAAATATTTATCTCTTAAGTCGCTAGACTAAGGATTAACCGACGACGGTTTGCTTGGTTTTGTTTCACAACTGCGTTAAATGTATGACATAACTAACTCTAGCTAGCTAATGAGCCACGTCTTGGATAGGTATAAGCGCTGTCGCAAGCGATAATGCCACTGTGAGCCCTCACTGGCGGGATGAATAAGATAGCTTCACTAACTCCGTGCCGGCTTAAGTGATTCCTTTAACATCAAACGAAAGCACCAAATATATGAAGGCCAGCCATGTTCAGCCAGCAAACCCCGATTTCCGTATCTCATTCCAATTTTTGTCACGTCTGCTCCATTTCTATTCACTGCGATCATGGCCCCTAAGCACAGCCTGGAAGGACCTCAAGCCGAGGAAAGACGAACGAAACGCTTGAACGGTCGCTCAACTCCAGATTTGCGATCTGTTACTCCTCCGGGGATTGCCTTCTCTGTGCAGTATATGTCAAGAGATGTGAAGGGAAGACCGCTGAAGAAGAAGAAAGATCCTGTCCATGCAGAGCTGCAAGTTTCAACCATTCGTGACCAAAGGTGCGTCTAGCAATGGAGAATTGGATCAATACTACACTATAACCCCAAGCGCGGATTGGGGATCGATGAAAAGTTATAAGAATTTCATTAGTAAGTAATAAGTAAGATGTAGTTGCAAAGCTTCATTCTGGAGTGCTAATGGAATTTTGGGCAGTCCACGGTGAGGTGTACAAAGTCCTTCAATACGTTTACCTACGCGGAGAAGACACACCAAAGGGAAGTGCTGCCAGGGACAAGGACTTTTGGATCGCAAGGATACTGCAGGTTAGAGCCTCGTCTCCACAGCATGTATATGCCCTTGTAAGTGCATACCTTCGTCAAAACATAGGGAACTACGCTGAACCTTCAGATTGCATGGCTTTACTGGCCCGAAGAGCTGCCACGGCCGCGGGCGAAGACCTCGGACACCGTCAATTCTATAACCGGACAGAGGAAGTACCACGGGAGCCACGAGCTGATTGCCATTGTAGAGATCACATGGCAAAGCTTCATTACAGTAGACTGAACGAGAGATGGTAATCCGAACTCATCAAGTAACGTTTACCGTACTGAAAAGTCTCTTCTGATTTGATGCATACACAGTACAATACATGAGGTTTGTAACCATTCTTACTACCTATGTTTCCTCTTCCTTTTGTGAATTAATATAATTTGAGCTAAAATCATTCTTATATTGTCAGATCGACATTTAGTTTATAAATATCGTGAGTTTCATCCTATTAGTGAGTCTGGACACTTCCATTCACGAGAACTAAGATCTTAAATCTAAATACACCTGCGTGTGGATCATACGAAATGCTTGGGTGATCAGAATACCTTTGTTGAAAAGGCATATAGCTATTGAGAAAAGTAGATTTACGCGACGTATAAAACAACCACTATGTCCTTCCTTCAATGGACCAGCTATTATAACCTTTCCACCTAACCCCCTATCACTATTTCGTAATCCATTCTGCAAATGATATCGAAACCGACTGGTGGCACACTCTTTGCTCAAAGATGATGAAATGATGGGCTTTTTATGGCCCTACGCACTCCCAGTCCCATGGTGTAGTACCAGGGCAATTTGCGGTAGCGCCAGGAACGTTATATTGCGCTGCGCAGCAAGCATCCACGTCGATGGGTTTGTGCGGTTGATTAGAAATTGGGTCGCTAGAGCAATACCAGTCATAGCAATTATTGCCATAAATCGCCTGGTAGCCTCCGTATTGCGACCGGCAGCAAAATACCATGTCGACACCACCTAGGGCGGTCCCCTGGCTGCTTGGTTGAGCAGCCAGGATGGCCACAGCAGCGACGAAAGCAGCGACAGAAGAAGTGGTAATCATGTTTGATAAATCTTTGAGAATGTCCTGTGCGCACGCGGGGTTAGCCGCTCCGAATTTCTCATCAACAAGAGGGGGAAAAACTTGAGAGAAAATTCGAGAAAAGCTTACAAGGCTATGATCAGTCAAGAAAAAGGTCCTACTTGTTGGAGAGTATGGAATAGTCAGAGCAGAAGAGAGGGTGGAATCTGAATTTGACTTTTGCGACTCTGGAGATGGGAGCTGCTTGTTGCTGATAAATAGTAAAAACGAATTTGGTCTGCTCGGAACTTCTGGGGAGTACGAAGTATGGAGTAAAAAGTCCTGAACGACGCTATTCAGGGATATTTTACAACCGCTTTTACCCTAATTACTATATTAGGCAGTTAGGATAAGGGGAATAAACTAGGGATAGTTACTAGAGAAGGAAAGAAGGAAAGAAGGAAAGAAGGAACGAAGGAACGAAGGAACGAAGGAACGGAGGGAGGAACGAAGGAAGGAACGAAGGAAGGGAGGAAGGAAGGGAGGGAGGAAGGATGTCAAATAATAGCATTTAATTCAGGATACCTCTATAACCTAAGTTACTGTATGAAGCCCCTGACTTAGCAGTGGCAATATTGGCAACACTTAAGGCTTCATAAAACATCTCGCAGACTTGATGATATATCCTGACAATAAATTATTGCAAAATGAAAATATAGCTTTGTAGCTATCACAAATAAGAAAATCTTATAGTTATATACTGGGCTTTAGAAAAATATAATGCTATTTTACCAGTTAGGTCACTATATGCCGCATCCTATAATACAAAGCTGTAGCGTTAACTAGCTCTTCCTTATTAGCGTGTAGAAATATCCGGCAACACGGCAGGAAAATCTGAAGCTCCAAATCCTTTGGACAATCGCTAAGTTTAGAAAGGGACTTTTGTATGCGTAAACCAATATTCCCTCACTTTAACAAGTTTTACAGACTAACATGTATCGGAAGCGGTTTTAAAGTAGGGATGAGTATGGCAAACTTATGTCTACTATGGGGAAGTTGACTATGAATGTCAAACACAAGTGTATTGTAACTGGACGGTCGCAGAAATTACGGCCCTGGCTGTAGTCCAAACATGTATAAAAAGACCCCTTTTCCTCATGTCTTCCCAGAGAAGGCTTCCCGACACTTTCATCCAAAGGCCTGGAAAGCTCCAACGTTTGCCTAACTCAATCACACTTGTGCTCGTTAAGCTCCTGTCAAGATGTTGACTGTCGAATTTCTCACTACCACTGCGCTGTTTTTGCTGGCAACCAGCTCGACGTCTGCAACCCCCCATGTCCCTCGTGCTGACACAGAAGCTCGCAATATTAGCATGTAGACTGATGACACGTACCAAAACACCATGATTAAATTCCTCAATGTTCCTAATGCTTACGATTTGGCGGACGTCAAGCATGCTGATTTTGCTGGCATGTTCTGGACCTTTGCCAACGGCGAGACCTGGCTGACGCATAACTCTAAACGTCTCTGGTTGATTCCTAATTACAACGACAATTTGGAACGAAGCTCCGATGCAGTCGACGATTGGCCTGTCATGGGACCCGAGGAGCTTCATGAGGCACTTGCCGCGTTTCCCCTATACGAAGATCTCCTTGGAGACTTTGAGGCGGTGCTCGCACGCAACAACGCTGCCGAAGCTGAACCCGGTCATCTTGAGAGCCGTGCCACCTGCAGCACGGCCAGATGTCATACCAGCGGCGATTGCTATCGGTATAGCACATCCATTCTCAACTGCTACCGTTGCAACAACCACCGTTGCACAGTAATGCACTTGCAGCCAAACTTTATCGGAAAAGGGCCTAACCCTCACTAGGCATCAATAAGGATGGAACGTAAGTAGTTGGATTTCATCTCTGTCATTAATTACCAGGAAGTTCTGGGACATGAGCAAAGCCCACAGTCAAGTTGCACGACTATGTGACGAGCCTAAACGGAACATCCTTGCCACCTGTAGCCCAACACTAACGTGGAGAACTTGAGGGAGTGGACAAGTTTTTGAAAGAAATTCGAAGTGGATAGAGGAATGACATAGAAAATAGAATAATCCATTCACACTATTGTGACAGTTTTGTTGTGCGAAGACACGCTGGCTAACGAGAGATCCTCGGGGCCGGCTACGAAGAAGCCCACCCTCTTCATTTCCTCTGTTCTGCTGTCAACAGGCGCAACAATGATACCGTGATAGCAGGGGCTATTTCCGCATTCTTCTGGCGAACAATCTAACATCCGGGTCTCCGCCAGTACAACGGCAAATAGTTCCATACTTTGCACCAACTCGGCCGATGCTGCGTAGGCTCTGGGAATGGTGTCGAAGCCAGCGTAGAAACCAACTTCGCTCCCTTCTTTCGTCCGTAGGAAGATATCTCCTGTGGCGCCTTGAGTTTCCGCCAAAGTCAAAGGCACCAAGGGAGCTTCAAGATCGATCCCAGCTTCTCTAATCTTACCAAGCGGATTGGGGCCATCAAGCTGGAGATGCACGTTATGAATAGTCGCGAATGATTCCCACGTCGGCATATGGAAACCCATACCAACAATGCCATCGACCGACGCCCACGACCATGATGGTGCCCGGTACAGGCCTGCTGGCTTGCACTCCACAGATTGCCAGCAGAGACACTCGACTAATGACTTCTTCCAAAACCCTGCGACATATTCATCTTCTAATATGACTTGATATGACCTCGCAATGTTGGACAATGCCGGCAGCTTGTCTGAAGCGTCCGCAAGATCACACTGTCCATAAGTCCAGATGAGTTCAAACCAGTGCAAAAGCCCCGTATCTCGATCGATGTTGTGAACTGTGTGATAACGATTGTCTAGCAACAGGCCATCCTCGGAGACGAAATGCTCCATGCACTCAAAATAGATTTGATCACTCGCAAAATGTAAAATGCGGGGCGAGAGCACGCGTTCTTGAAAAGCCCACGCACCGCTCCAGAGAGGCTCTGACTTCATTTCTATGTAAGGCAATCTCAGTACCTCTTTATTAAGTGGTAAAACCTGCATCCACAGGTCACCGGTTGTGCCTTCGCTGACACTGTGGGGAATGCGAATGAACGACCTGGCTGTCCTGTGGAAAAACAGACCTTCGGAGTCGGAACGACAGCCAGTGGCTGCCAAAGTCAAGGTCGCATTGGCGAAGATACTACCAAAAGCTGCTGAGTCTCTTTCAAAATTTCTGCCTCTGTCCTCGGATATACAAATGGCGTCAATCCAAAGATACTTGATACCCAGATCATGCGTGAGTCGTATAGCATCTTGAAACAATTGAGGTAGCGTCGTCATGTTTGCTAGTGAGCTTGCACATTGGCCTGTAGCCTGGCCGACATCGTAGCTCTTGATACCGCGTTCGTGAGGGTAGCTGAGCGCAGTGTAGCTTCCCCTAGCACCATCACCAAGGTGAACTATCATCACCGAGCCTTCCGAATCGGAAGAGCCCACATCGAGTAACGTATCCGGCAATGTGGCAGTCTGAGAGCAGCACTGGTGATTTGCGTCGCAGTCTGCTATCCAACTTTTGACCTGAGAAAATGCCTCAGCGTCGGGCGCGGTTCTGATTGGCGTCCTCGGAATTTGGCAGCAAGGGGGTCATCTTGAAAAACACTCAGTCTTCATTGCTCATGATGAGAACCCAGAACGAGTCTTCAGCGGGGTTCATTACTTTCAGAAGCGCCGAACGCTATTGCAGCGATTGGGAGGGTGGCAGGCGGTTCACCCTCAAACTTTCCATGGCATGAAGACAAGACCCAAAATCCATTGCCTCCCTCCGGTCTCTTTGTAAGCCACATATCAAACGTTGGCGGAGAATATTCCAGCACACGTTGGTGATAATCGAGGCTGTCAAATTCGGCTAACAAGGCATCTGTCTGGTCTCTGATCAACTGACAAAGCTCACAGCCATCAGCAGCAGCACGTTGCAAGTCTAGGATACTGCCATGGTACTTGACTGTGCCTAGAGACTGCGCTTCAGTAAGTTTTGAGTTAGGAAACAAGCTGTGGATATATCAAAAACCGGTAGTAGTTTTCTCATAACCCTCCTCTGGAAATGGTGGAAGGTCTTCGAAAGATATGCTTTTGCAAATATTACAAAGAGGCATTTTCAATATAGCGTCAATATATTTATAAGCTCAAGTATTACAACCCAGCTTTTATAGTTGCAACAATAGGCCTATAAAGTAAGCCGCGCTGGATTAACTATAGTCCAATTAACTAAAAAAGCCAGCGCTTAATAACCAATATTATACCCCAGGGTCCCGACTCATTAAGGTAAGGTTAAGTATTACTTTTTTATCTCCGGAGATAAATAAGTTAGTTATATATAAAATAGCTGCATTAGTTTTTTTACTTTTAAACATAAATATATTAAAAAAAAAATATAAAATAATTATATTATTTTTTTTATTTTTAAAAATAAATATAGCCCCCTGCGCTGCTATTTACACCCCTCCTTAGTATAATATTAAACTGAGTAATTCCTGATGTATTAGGGCTGAGGGTAAGCAGCTTGTGAGCAGTGCCTGAGCTGGTGAATGTAAAAGCAGCGACGTGATTTTGAAAGTGGTGCGTAGTATTCTGAAGATATAATAAAAAATTAATATTTTAAAGGGGGAATCACTTGACTCTCTGCCCAATGGAGCTAATTACTATTCATTCTCTCAGTGCTCTTCTTTATAGCGGAACGCATCTCTAAGACAAAGATGGACTTTCCTTGGACGAATTCCGTCAATCTTGCGGTGGAGAGTCTGCTGTAAAATCCGGCATTAGTGACATATGAAGCCTACATAATATAGTCAGCCGGGCGAATAACAGCTACGTAAAGAAGAGATGGATAGAGCATACCAGTCATGAGTAACTAAGGGCCATTCAGTTTCTCCCGCCGTAAAGGGTATATTGGGTAAGCGGATCTGAGCTTGTAATAGCCTCAACAATGCTATCGAATGAATCCTAGCAGGTTCCTCAGAAAACACAGAGCGGCTGATCCCAACCAGTGACCACATTATAGACCGGACCGAATGCAGAGACAACGTCTTGAGATTCGCCAGTAAAAAGGGCATCGTAGCCAACACCTCATCGATCAAGACTCCGATGTCTGTGGTTTGTGTCCGATGTGCAAGTTTTTGGGCTCCATGAATCAGTTCTGCTGTTCTTCCTCTTTCTGACTTGGTCGGACAAAGAGAGCGTGAGACAGAAGTTGTTGCCTCTTGGACAGACAATCGGAACATGCGTAACACGTTCCACTGGCATGCAACAGTATGCGAAGAATATCGACGAGCCATTCCTTTATGAGTAGGGATCTTAGGGCTATCTATCGTCCCCGCGGTGTCATATGGTGCAAGGAGTTGCACTTTATGCAACAGATCATCAACTTCTTCTCCGAGCTCATTCCAAGCAATTAGGGAGTCGGTGTCTTCTCCATTGATGCCGGATACTGTCTTAAGCGATATAAATCGATCCCATAGCAAGCCTAGCCGGCCACTTAGATTGCAATGGTCCGAGTTAGCAACAACTAGTTCATGAAGGAGCGTGAAATTTGACGGAATGGGTAGCGAGTTTTGAAGACATGTTATTCGAATGTTTGCACTTGCTTGCTCAAACAAAAGCCTGCCGAGGCTCGTCTGTATCTGTTGCCTGCCTCTTAGCTGAAGTAGTAGTGTAGATCCTTGCACGTGAGCTGTCCACGCCGCAGACGAGCGATGCTCCCAAAACATCGCTGCCTCAAACGCACTGAGCAGTAAGACTGACACCAGCGTTGAGTCCAGCTTAGCCTCTTCGGGTGAGCTCAAGGCCTTATTCGTATCCGCCAGCGCCTTGATGTAATATTTCTTTGCCAATCTTAGTATTCCAGGTTGTTTAAGCTTGAAACACAGCAAGGCCAAAGACACTGCCTTCACACACGGATTCAAGGTATCACGCGCCTCGAAAATTTCCCAGTGCGTTGGCAGGTAAGAGAACAAGCCCAGAGAAGCAGAGGAATTCATGAAGAAGCCAAATGCTAGACCTTCAATATCAGTGGATGGTGCTACCGTGATCCATCCCTCAAACAATTGGGGGATAGTCGTGGGCCCTTGACTGTCATACGATGGCTCAATCTGTGAGGCAGCTGTGTGACAGATACGATGTTCTCGGGGGTTAGACTTCATTCGACCTCTAAGACGTTTTTTTACAAATGCCTTCTCAGCCACTTCGACAGTCTCATCATGAATCCGCAGCACATTTAAGTCTCGATAACCCGAGCATACTGCACTAGCTCTTGCGCACTGACTGCACGATGGACGCCTTTCATCGCACTGATTACCTGTCATTAGTGCTTGAACTGATCAAACCTCACTATGATGAAATATCGTACCTTTCGCCTCTTGGCTCTACATATTTTGCAGGCGCTGGAGAGATGGCCACGATAAACCATTTGCACGAAACCAGAGTGAATTTAATGCGAAGGCCAAATATGGTATCAAGTTCGAGATGCAAGTGCCGATGGTCGAGCACCACGATGGTATGAATGTAAGTCAGTCGGTCACATCCCAGACTTGTTCATAACGACCCCATGGAATATTAATAATCACGAAGCCAAATACGTGAAGATCTGATCGAAGTGGTTACGAAGTTAGGCATAGTGTTGTGGGTTATCCGCCAGCCTGCTCCAGATGAGTAAGATGGATGACTGAGATCTCTCGCTAGTTCATTCGCATGCAGATGACGCGGGCTCATGGATCGCGCGGTTATTCGCTGATTAGTCCTCGGACGGATTGTGCCAGCGGGATAGCGCTTGAGCTGGCCAAGTAACCCCAGCAAAAGCTCCGTAATGGATACCCATGTCGAAGTTGCATCGTGTCGGTACATGTATACAGGGCATAGCAAACGCGGAGGGTTTGCTTGGGTATAAACCCGAAAATAAGTCTACCCTGATTGGCATTTAGTTCAGAAGACTGTTCTGGAGACTCAATACTTGGGCGCCGGAATAGTTGCACCATTTTCTTTCTCTTTCTGCATTTCTACTGCGGCGGAACTGCCCTTTTCCACTATCGGTGATGGGGGTTCCCTCATCCTCGCCGAGCCTCGGGCTTGCTGCTGCAGTTGGTTCCGTGACAAGACGCTGCGCCATCGTTAGCAAGTGGAGAAATCGAGATGGGAAAGAAAGTGTGAGGCTTTTAGTACAAGAAGCAGTAGCCATGTTGGGCTCATCCTCCGTTATGACTCCAAGGGTATTTTGGGAGACTGGTTTAAATAGCATACTGTGCCCAAGACCCATCAGAAGCAAGCATAAATTCTCTCAGCTGCAGCATCGTGCAAGGTATGTGATCCTTCACGTGGTAAGCGATACGTAGTAAACACACTGCAAGGCAACAGCTGAAGTCGGGGCGCAACCCTAACCAACTTTAACAAAAGTAGGCTGCAGACTACTAAAACATCCTTTTGCTAGATACGATACGCTATGATGTATATAAATTTCATATCGATTACAATCGGTCTCCAAAATTTTGCGAAGTAATTAAAAGTAGATACTGGGAGATACACGCAATGAATGACTCCTTAAACAAAGCCCATCATTTTCTGTCGTCAATTCGATGTAGTCCTGATGTAGTATGGATCATAGGTAAGGAGGGCGACACTACTCGGTTGCAGACTCCACCAGTTTAATCCTTGGAAACACATGTCTCGTTTTCTTTCAAGATATTCCGTACATTATACTCGTAAAGGTAACCAATTTGTCTCTGTGAAGGTTTTTCTTCCTGACTGGGGCTCCAAACTGCCAATAGGTCCGCTTCGCTATGGTATAAAGATTGCAGCACTGCAAAGATTTTGACATCTCTTACAAGTAGCGCATGATATCATCTCTGGGTCAGATTCAAAGCCACTCGTGATGTTGCATGCTGCATATCTTTTCTCCAGAAAGCGTTGTCACAAATACGTTATCACACTTCGATAGCACATGCTCCAGATATTATCTATGTGTCGTCGTTGATTTGTTTATATCGAATATACTAGCGTCGCTTGAATACACCCAGGTGGAGGGTACAACCACACTGAAGCCGACTATGACTGTCGGATACACTACAAGGGAATTGAGCTCTCCTTACTGCACGTGTAGATAAACATAGCAAGTCTAATTATCTAATAAATAATCCGTGAATCTGGGTAAATATAATACATTTTTTTCATACATACAATTGTTCTCTTAAGCCAGATGGTCATGTTCCAATAGCCTATTCAACAGCCTCAAATGGTATCGCTACTACCGTCTCATCCCAGCTGACGATCAATGCGCCATTGCCCCTGATCTATTGATTAGTGGCGTCCGGAATGTACATATCCGCTGGGAGCTCTGGCAATGTCGGGTAGCTGCCAAGTAGCACAAAATACGAAGTGTGACGGAACCCTTTACAAGGAGGCTGTCAATATCTGGGCTATAGTGCGAGTGGAGAATAGAGGATACGAGTACTAGGCAATGTTTGTAGTACCTACTGGGCACCACCAATGTATGAGCGACGCGGATGATGTGGAATACACAAAGGAAACACTGCAATTTACAGTATACCGAGATCGCTGCCGACCAAGATGAGACTGCTCAATTCAACGTATGACCAAGCGATTTAAGTGGCTACAAAAGTTCTAATGGTTGAGATAACAGCCACGTAGTACATACACACCACTGGACCAATATACGGAGCAATCAGTCAATACGAAGTCGGTAGAGCTGTAACACTGCCAACAACATAGTCACTTGCATATGTCCATGTATAAGACGGCTCATCGACACCCTATCATGACGAGACTTGCCCCGCAGCTAGCATTGGACATGCTTTCTGTGCCTCGAGAATAAAACTCTTCTTTCCCAAGGACCCCGTAGAGTTTTCCAAGGCAATTCAGGCTTTTGGTGTAACAATAGGGATTCCTCTTGTCCGCCTTTTTCATTCCTCCCTACTCCCTCTATCATTCGTGTTGAGGGGGTTCCCTGAGTATTTCTTACGGCCGCAACTCTCGTGACCATCACGTGCCTCAGCTGCCTCTTTTCTCTTCTCTCCCCCCCACACCCTCATTTCGCCCTCTGCCCTAATTGGATCCATGGATATTAACAAGCGTGGCACGGCTGATCACAAACTGGCCGCGACTCGATTATTAGCTCGGCTATTCCGCCAAGAGCCCTTGCGAGAGGAGAAGGAGAACCGCTGTTTGTCGAGTCCTGATTTGCTGGGATTCGCACTGTACTTATATTGTTTATGCACCTTCTGACAAGTCATATTGCCGACTGCAATCCACGCAATCCGCGGTGCGACCAGCCACGCATCGTGAGCCCGGCGAGATCAACCCGCCAGACAGACAAGCGCCCTCGCTAGAAGCCTCTTTCTTCTGAAATGGAAAACTCAGGGCAAGGAACATGAACTTGAATCATGGCTTTGACGCCAAAACTGGGGCGCTGGACTGGACGGCTAGGCGACTTGCGTCCATGGTTCGCCGCGGTTTCAATCTTAGCTCTGGTCAAACAACTTGGGCTTGCCAGGGTTTGACGGATGCTCCCTGCGCTAAGCGCTGCTAGAGCCACAGCTCATCCCGTCATACTCCTCTGTCGTACGCAGTGACAATCCGTCAACCTTCGGACTGTACTCGTATGCACGTAACGTTAGAGAACCAACGCGCAGAAGTGGACAATCTCTGCAGCGCATGCGTGAGGGGAGACGGCCATTTCCCCATCGCATTGAATGTGCTTACACATGCCCCTCCGATAACAGGTTTCTTTCAGGACGTTGACCGTCGGATCTGAATCTGTCGATCTGAATCTGTCGTCCTCATCAGTCGCAATGGCCAGTCCAAAGACCCCCGAACGCTCGCGAGCCGGCTCCTCAGCCAAATCACCATCTGCCCCGAGATCTCCTGAGACTACCGAGCCTACGGCAGAAGGCGCCGAGCCTCCAATGGCAGAAATTCCTTTTGTATGAACCTCACTAACGGCTAGTTCGGCGGGTCAGCGTCGTACTGGCCGAAAATTTGCATGTTCTTTCCCAATTGCCCTGTAATGCTGACTTGGCACGCAACAGGATGAAGAGGAGATCGAGGATTCCGGCGTAGATGATTACGATGACGATACGTATGTTGGATTGACATTGAATGGTCCATATATTGAGCCCGTGTTGACATTGTACAGCGCCTCATCAACAGCCTCTCTGTCTGAGAGCATATTCGACTACCGCCAGATCCATGGCCGGACGTTCCAGAATTCCAAGACGACCGAGTACTGGGGTCCCAACGATGAGCGCCAGAACAATGGACTCGATATATCGCACCACTTCGTAACAATGCTTCTCGGCGACCAGTTGTTCGAGGCACCCATCAAGATCCCGCCTACCAGAGTCTTGGACGTTGGCACTGGAACAGGCATCTGGGCCATTGACATGGCCGACAAATATCCTTCCGCCGAGATCGTAGGGACCGACATCAGTCCCATCCAGCCCATGTGGGTGCCGCCAAACTGCATCTTCCACATCGAAGACGCGCAACTCGAATGGACGTATCCGGAGGAGTCTTTCGACTTTATCCATATCCGGGCACTCTATGGCAGCATCAGCGACTGGAGCGAACTGTACAAGCAAGCCTTCAGGACGGTCAAGCCGGGGGGCTGGCTCGAGGACTTTGAATTCAACATCACGCTGATGAGCGACGTCCCCGAGGTTCGAGATGACCCCAAGCATATCTTCAAGCGCTGGGCGGAGGTGTTTACTGAAGCCGGTGAGCGCATGGGCCGGACGCTGCTCATTGGCACTGGAGGCCAGATGCGCAAGCTGATGCAGGAGGCCGGCTTTGTCGATGTCGTTGAGAAGAATTACAAGGTCCCGAGCGGCAAATGGAGCAGCGATCCCACCATGAAGACGATTGGCGCGTTCAACCTCGCCTTTCTCGACGAAAGCCTCGAGGGATTCGCGCTCTTCATGCTCAAGGAGATTATGGACTGGGACTACATCGAGGTCCAGGTCTTTGTCTCGGAGATGCGCAAGGCCATCAACAACCCCAAGATTAGACCATACTATATCCTGTAAGTTGCCGCCTCCCTCCCTGCCTCCCGAGCCGTCCCCAAGCCTTTTAGGGCCAGCGGCCGCTAACTGTGCGAGCGTAGTACGAATGTCTTTGCGCGAAAACCGGAAATTTAGGAATCCATTTTGTTGTTTTTAAGCCAGCGACTTTGTTCTTTCTCTAGCGTTCATGTTAAGAGCCTGTTAACCTTTGTACCTATACGAGACCCGAGTTGAGCAACGGCCTAGTAAAGAACCAGATACCCCATCAGAGACGAACACTCGTCCATGTGGCCCGATGATTGATAGATTGGATGGGCCGCATGGCTTTGACGGCACTGGTTGTCATGCATTGTTATTGATCACAAAGTCTAATTTGCGCTATACGACACCGCGCATGCGAGAATGAAGATCTTATTAACCTGGGCCGCGTACTCCGCACATTTGCCTGGTCATATCTCCGAGTATGAAAGGCGCGCTGTCTGTTTCGGGTGACTTCAAAAACCGCTCGCTCTCCCACTTCTCGTAGCACGGCTTCCAGTCTTTGAACGATTGGACGTGTTTTGTCTCACAGCGTTGTAGCAATTTCATGCAGTTTGTCACTGAACTGAGACATGAATGACATCTGCATCTCCCCCCGCCTTGACGTTCACCGAGCGTCACGCCAGATGCCGTGTCCGCAGCAGCTAGCCGATGCCAAACTCCTGAGATAGTGACAGCTGAATGATTTCTCATACACCCCCAGGCGACTAGTTTTCCAACGATGGAATGCCACGTGAATGACGAATTGCCACGTGAGTGACTATGTCTGTGACAGAATCACTTTATATGGCATACTCGTATATCATGTTCTCAGATACTCGTATATCACATTCTCGCTTCCAGCAAAGCGAACTAAAACACCCAAGCCATCGGACGAACCTTTCCCAACCAAGCCGAGTCTGCAGAGGCCCAGCGTCGCATAGCACCCAAGCGTTGACGGCACGCCCGCTGAGCTGAGAGACCGCCGAGACATCCTGCAAGAATCCATGGCACAGGGTGGGAAGAGAGCTCCGAGTCTCGAAACGATGCCCCCCTGCTAGCGGCCTCTGCGCCGTCCTTTCATTGCAGGGTTCGGTCTGCGCAGCCATTTGCCTGAAGGTGCACTAATCCAGTAGCCCGGGACACTACTGCAGGCTGTTTTTTGCCATCTTCCGCGGTCCTGCAAGGAGGGGGAGGGGGGATGAAGACGGAAACCCGGTACGATTGCCAAAGGATCCAGTGCCACGATAGGGAATTCCAAGGCCCTGGGGTATATGTACGTCGGATAGAAATGTAGAACTTGAGCTTGTTGCCGTCGTCTTCATCTCGCTCGTCGTCGTCTTGCTCAAGTTTAAGAAGGCGTAGCTTGATTTGTCATTTTCCTTGCTCATATCTTTTTGCGCTGAAAGCATCGTGTATTCACCCCAGCTCGCCAGCGTACACGTAGCACGCTATATCGAAAGGCTATTACTCTTAGTAAAGACCAGGTTCGGGCCGGCCCTTGTATAATCGAGCGGGGAGGATTCTTGGTCCGCTCCACAGCAAAAGGCAGCTACTCCGTGCTGCTGCCGCTGCTTCGTTCTTAAGCCGAGCATCCTAAAAATTGACGCACAAAAGGAAACTTGCCGGAACCATCATCATACATGATAGCTTCTCTACTTGGTGAATCGGTCTAGGATGGAGGGATTTGCTGGAGTTCCGGGCTCCATCGTCCTGCTCGCAGGCGGTCTCATCAGCTTCTTCGCCATTGGGAGAATCGTGACGTATGCGAGATTGAGGGCGTTCAAGGGGCCCTTCTTGACCAACTTTACCAATTGGCCTCACAGGAAGGCTTTGTTCCAGCAGAGGTGCCAGGAATGGTACGGCGAGGTTTGTGAGAAATATGGTACGATGATCCCCACCCCATGAAGCAAACCGTTCCGAAGCGTTTCATTGTTGACTAATTGCTTTCCCGTGTACATTAACTGCAGGCCCAATAGCAAGAATCGCTCCAAATGTCCTGATTACCTCTGACCCGGATGTGTGGATTCATGTGAATAACAAGCCCGGGTATAAGCGTTCCGAGTGGTATTATACGGCCTGCCGCATTGAGTATCGACGAGACAATGTCTTTACGCAGACTGACAACAAGAAGCATGAGGCACGAAGAAAGCAAATGGCCCCTGGGGTATGTGTATCGCGAGTTCGTCTCTTTGCTAAAGCCATCGCAAGCTAACCACGATGTTGATGCTCAGTACTCCGGAAGAGAAAACCCCGACCTTGAACAAAGCATTAATGAGCGCCTCCAAGAATTCATCAACTTGATTAGGACAAAGTATGTTTCCAACAGTGCCAATGTTGTGCCGGTGGACATGGCACGCAAAGTCCAATTCTTCACCTTGGACGTCATCAGCGGCGTTGGACTGGGCAAGACTTTCGGCATGCTGCAAAGCGACAGCGACGTAGAGGGCTACCTACAGTCCAGTGAAGAAGGTCTTCATATTGCAAATTTTGGTCTTGCATTTGGCCTTAGTTGGATCACGCAAGCGCCCTTCCTCGGCAAGTTCATCGCCCCGTCACCACAGGACAGCAAGGGATTCGGCAGGATGATGGCCACCTGTTTCCGCTATGTCAACGAGCGCGTCGGAAATCCGACAGACAAGCGATCCGATATGCTGGCATCCTTCATCCGCCATGGCATCGAGGGCGACGAGTTGCGCTCAGAGGCTCTTGAACAGATCGTTGCCGGCTCTGACACCACGGCAACCGGCATCCGGTGCACCCTGCTTCACATCATCACCAACCCACGCGTATACGCAAAGCTCCAACAGGAAATCGACGAAGCCATTCGAGACGGAAAAGCTCCCCAAGACGGCCTCATCAGCCACAGCCAAGCAAAGCAACTTCCCTATCTTCAGGCCACTATCCGCGAGGCCATGAGAGTCTGGCCGCCCGTTGCAAACGTCTTCTCGCGAGACATTCCACCCGAGGGCGACACCGTCAAAGTCAACGGCGAGGATGTCTTTTTGCCTGGAGGCGCCTGTATCGGATATTCCGCGCTTGCAATGCACCACAGCACCGAGATTTACGGCAGCGACGCCAAGGCATTCCGTCCAGAGCGCTGGTTCGAAGAAGACAAGGATAAGCTTGCCCTCATGCTTCGCACCAACGAGCTGATTTTTGGTCACGGAAAATTCCAGTGTCTCGGCAAAGCAGTTGCCCAGATTGAAATTGGCAAAATAGTATTCGAGGTGTGTTTGTTCGTGTAGTCAGGCAAGAAAGCTCTGGCGATTCCTCCCCTGCCTGTATGTTTAATTCTCTGGTCGAATTGTGCTGACAAGGTTATAGATATTCCGCAACTTTGATATGGCTCTGATCAACCCGACAAAGCCATGGATTGCTCTGAACTCGCTTGGATTGTTTACCATCTCGGACATGTGGGTGCAGGTGATGGAGAGGCATGTGTAAGGGGCGCTTCAAGCTGGCGATTTGCTCAAGGACGGAGAGCTTTTGGATCTCACATCTCAAGCCTGAAAGATTGATCATGCATTTTGTATTCAGATACTGCTAGCAGTAATCAACTGTTCGTAATAATTCGACCATTATACCTCATAATTCAAGCAAGTATGTACATTGAATGAAACAAGGGTTGGGGTTGGCAAAGCTCCCTTGGCTTGGATCACGTGATCGCAGTCATTGGCCAAACTATCTTCCTGGAACCTCGAATTGCCCAAATAGCTCAACTCCAAGAACTCAGTAATGCGCTGCTAGACACAATCACCATGTCTTCAGCACTGGCAAAGGCCCCCTCAGCTCAGGCTACCGACGCCAAGCCGAAAACCACCGTGGCCGCGGTCCCGACGTTCGACAATGCCTTGTCAAAGGGCGTCTCTTTCGGCCGAGTAGCTGTCCTGCTCGGGCTGCTGGCGGCTCAGTTCAACGATCTGGTGGCAGAGCCGGTGCTGACGCTGCAATCTGCCTTGCCTGTAGTGGCCGTCGTCCAGGTGGCGTACGCGATGCTATGTCTGCCCGCAGCAGGCTCTCAGCAGGCGAAAGCAGCCAAGAAGTCTCGTCCTGGAGAAAAGAAGAAGGCCGAGCCAGCCGGAACGAGCTCAGTGGTGGTACGAAGCTCCCAATTGGCAGCCCCTAATGGCTCAATTTGGGTCGCAGTGGTTGCGACATTGATTTGGAATTGATGATGCTAACATTTATGCCTCTTTTTTTCAATTCTAGACTGCCTTCCTCGCCCTTGTTCTCGCTACGATATCGACCCCTGTCATCCATGCGCTCTTCATCCTCTTCGGCGCGCCGTTCCTCGACCACGTTACTCACACCTTTCTCTGCGCGGCGCACTTCTCCCTCCTCGGCATCTTCCCCGTCATCTACGCACGCGGAGTGGATAGCCAGTCCCTCATTGCCGTGGCTGGGTTGTCTGCGCCTCTGGACGAAACGCTGGGCGGCCTACTGGGCGCAGTGCTTGGCGCATGGTTGGGCGCGGTGCCCATTCCGCTGGACTGGGATCGAGACTGGCAGAGGTGGCCCGTCACCGTCGTCTGCGGCATGTACGCGGGGTCGTGTCTTGGCAGCTGGTTGTCCGGCGTGGTGTTTTACGGCAAGCGACTTGGGGGACCTGCTGCGTCTGCCGCAAAGGACGAGTAGGAGAAGAAAGTCAATTGGCACATGCACTAAGCATCATCATCATCACTATCATCATATACGGAGCATACTGGAGAGATATGGCGGGCATTGCGTGCTGAGACGAGCATTACGAAGAGCTACTCTTTGAGTTTGGGGCTAATTGGTTATATACGGATAGAGAAAATGGCAGTTGGCAGCAGTAATCGTAGCAGCTGAATGGAGCACGGAGCGGCTAATCTATCAGCTGAGTTTGTATTTTTTTTTTTAATATAAGATATATAATACATCCCATATCTGTAATCTTAAGCGCCGTCTTCTCCCCGGAACTGTCACCCATCGTTCCCAGATAGAGTGGTGCAATACCGGAAAAGAACGCCCGCAGACAAGACCTCCTAGCTCTAGCTGTTGGACTATTCCACAACGTCAGCCAGTAGTCAACGCTGGAGAGGGTCCTGTGACTGCATCGAGTTGCGTGCTGTAATCCATTAGTCAAAAGTCTTGGATCCGGCTAACACGGAGTTCGGAATGATTGATCGTTGGACAAGATAGAGCACACTATCGTCGACATCTGCTGCCAAGCGCTGCGCCTGTCATGCCACTTGGCCAGCCAAGACGGAACTAAAGCGGGGGGCGTGATGTACAGGAGAGATTCAGGAGAGAGTCGCAGTGGCTCAGGCAGGATTGCGATTGCGAGAGTCGTTGAAGCTGCACTGCACATGCACAAATTCCGCACCGCCTCATCATGACGGCAGCTAGAGCCAAACGGAGGGCCTGTTTTTCTAAAAGGGGAACATCAAACTGCCACGTCCACAAAACATGCCACGGACAGAAGCTGCCGCGATTGTTTTGCTGAGGTCACTCATACGTCGAGACAAGCCGCCGGCTCTCACGGAAATGAATTAGCATTTGATACTCCCGGCAAACGGTGTGGCTGGTACGCGTTGCAAAGCTTCCAATGAGGCCCAGCTTTGTCGTCATGTGGCGGCAACAACTGTGGCGCATTGCTCGTATGTTGCCGCCGCGATACTGGGGCTCGCAGCTCCCACGCTGTGGCGGTGCGGCAGTTGAAGCTGCAAGCCATGGAAACAAGAGCTGCGCTAAGCAGGGGTCTGCAGCAACGATTGTAGATTATGACGTAGCTTAATTCTTCTGTTATGTCAAAGTCATGATGGCATCTTGCTTCATGTTTGTCTCTACGCGGCGAAACGGGCCACTTCTGCACATCCTGTACCTTGTCCAAGCCGCTGGAGCCCCTGCATGATAACGTCCTTGGCAGCCGGTAAAACGCCCAATTTCCTTGCTCACCCGCTCTAGCTTGTGATTTTGTCCAAAACCGGCATCAGATTGCTCTGCTCCCTCCCTCTTGATGTGTGGCTTGCCCAGTCGATGACGCAACGTGGAAGCCGCTTCCTTTCTTCTTGGCCGGAATGCCTGGGAAGGCCAAGATGACGCCCCATGGCAATAAATAGTACAAGCTTCGCAAAACCTTCTTGGGCCACTCTTCTCCCTTTTGTGTCTCACAGCTTCTCATCTTTTCCTCCGTGGCCTTTTCAGATCTACTCCTGATCATCTTCACAAATTCACACACCTCTTCGCCCTCAAAGCATTGCTCGACAATATCAATTCTGCCTAACTCTTGAGCCTATACGAATTTATCCAACATGCCTTTCACTGCTAGGTAAGCTTCGAGCTTGACGTGCCGTGGCTTCCGTCATCTTTCCCCGCAGCTCTCAGCTCGCTTTTCTCTCGACAGCACGCGATCACTGAGAGTTGGATGATATCAGGAGCCATCACTAGACAGTGCTGACATTATCCTCTCATTCAGCGATATCTGCAAGATTCTTCTTGCCATCATTCTGCCGCCCATCGGTGTCTTCCTCGAGCGAGGCTGCGGCGCAGACCTCCTGATCAACATCCTTCTCACAATCCTGGGTATGTCAAACCGCCATGATTCACTCACCGCTCAATGCAGCACTCACGTCACTGTGATTCACATTTTGGACGCCTGACTAACTTGATCCACCTCAGGTTACATCCCCGGCATCATCCACGCTCTGTACATCATATTGAAATACTAAGCCGGCCTTCCACAACCGTATCCGCCGGGTCAAATCATGACGTCGCACAACATCATGCCGTGCGTGCAAAAATCATTACACGATTGACTGGCAAGTCTTTTTAGAATGGATGCGTTAGTGGAGGGGTGAATTTACCGTCGCCGGCTCACCACTTGGCCGGCCATAGACACCATAATGACAGTGGGCTTTCCTTTCTGGCTTTCCTTTGTTTTTTCTTGTCGGCTGGAGGTAGATGCACCCTCTTTGCAAGGGAGCGTCAGGTTTGGCTATTGTTAATGAATTGATACCCGACTTCCTCTAATCACAATTATTACCCAATCTCAAACGAGCTTTTGTTCCGACTCCTGTGATGTGTTTGTTTGATAAATGATTGAGCTATGAGAGTGTGGGCCCACCGAGACAGCGACAAACAGCCATAAGAGGGGAATGTATACAAGTCTACAAAGGGCAAAAAAGGAAAAGGAGGGGAAAAAAATAAGTGAACAGTGAATACTCCTCAAAAGACCAAAAAAAGATGGTGATTCCGCCCGGGCTCGAACCGGGGACCTTTTCGGTGGTGTCAACTAACTGTTAACGAAATGTCATAACCAACTAGACCACGGAACCATGCTCATTGGTGATTGCGATGCTTCCTATGCGCAGCTATACATTCAGCACTCCGGTCAATGAAGCGACAGTGAATGGCAAGTTGGAAGGATACGTCCCAGAACAATAGGGCTACAGCAATGTTATCACTGAGAGGCCAATTATAAAAATCTGGGTGGTAGTATTCAATCCTGTTTCATATACAACAGTAACCCTCTCCGCCAAGAGAGGGCAATATGTTCATACTCTTCCCTGGACAGTCCCAAGACATTGAATAAAAGCAAAAGGGCAAAACAGACAGCGCCGATTCTAAATGGTCCCCAATCCTTTACCATGTGCCAAATTTAGTCCAAAACATGTAAACGTGCCATGTGAATGAGTGAATGTGAAAAGAAAGATAGAAAAAGACGGAAGGATTTAGAGTAATTCTCCATCGCCCTCCTCAACACCCTCCTCATCTTCATCCCAGTCCAACTGGGCGTCCAGTTCTGCAGCCTTGCGCTGGACTTCTGCGAGACCGGACAGTTCAGCGACGTAGTCCTTTTCTTGGAGAGCCTTCTTAACAAAACCCCACCCGTCGTTGCGGAAGGCGTCCAAAATCTTGGGGCTACACGCGCTGCAACTGTCGTATGATTGCCCACGAAGCACAATGTTCTGAAAGGTAGATACGTAGCCTCGGATCTGATGCGGCACAAGGCCGAGCGGATGATTAGGGGGGTCTCTTTCAAGGGTGACTCCTGGCCTTGGTTGGGGTGCTGGCGCGTTGTTCTTCAGCGGGTGCTGCAACAGGCTTGTCAAAAGCTCAACCAAGAGTGCAGAGGCAATTGCAGCAACTCCAGGTCGGGTGACGGTACACTGCTGGTCAAGTGTCTGATCCTTCATAGACTGCGAGAACAAGGAATGTTAGAGATATGACACAGAAAAATTAAGTATCTTCGGGGGGGGCTTACATCAGCTGGGGCGACAACATCGTTGCAAAAGTAGCATCCAAGAGGCTCCTGGCCTTCTTGCCCTGCCTCAGCGCCGTGCCGCATAACTACGTATGAGTCGAACCCAAGGGCAGCATTCATAACAATTTTCCCACTTGCTTTTCCCATCACTGTTGGTAGCCATCGGGATTCGCGAGTGTCCATCAGCAAGAAGATGACATCGTGGGCATCAATCAAGGATTCGAGCATATCGTAGTCGGCTTTCGTTTTCGCTTCATCAGTCAGAGGGTGGCCGAGCATCGGTACGGAGAAAGAGTAGCCTTCAGCATCTACTCCTGGATATATCCTCTTCAACATTTCGGCAGCTTGAGTAGCCTTCTGTTTTCCACCGTTGAGACAGTCATCATACTCAAAGAGCGGCTGGCGAACTGGGTTTGAGAAGGATACGCTGCCATAGTCGACAAATGTGATTTTCCTTACGCCCCAGCCCAGCAAGTTTCTGGAGACGTAACCACCCAGAGTTCCGGCACCTAGCAGCAGGCACTTTGAAGTCTTGATTACGTCGAGGTTCAGATCCGGGGCAAGTCGCCACTTCATCAATTTGAGGTTCAAATCGACTGAAGAATCAGCCAACCGAGATGGATCCATGTATTCGCCTAGGTTTGCTAGCTGCGCTTGGAGTTTGCCATTCTTGGCTCGCTCCCAACCTGTAACCTTGGGCATCTCTTTAATCTCCATGTCCTCAACGGGGTCCATTGTAATAGGTATAATGATGCTTTTAGCTTCATGCCTTCTGGACCATTCATCTCTGAAACAAAGAATATTGATCTTAGACAGGCGAAACCGATGGCGAATCAGAATCAGGAGGTTGCGCAGCGGCCATGAGGGGCCTTCGGAGAACGTGGATGGGTCCAAAAATGTAACAAATCGATCCTCGTCTGCAACACCGTCAAAGAAGCCATCCTCAAAACTTCGCAGCGACGCCACCTCCCATCTGTAGGGAATCTTGTGCACTGGGTCGTTTTCGCTTAAATCCTTGGGCTTCTCCCCCCAGATCTTCTTGGCCAAGAAGAATCCATGCTCACGTTTGTCCACAATGTATCGCCATGTGCCCACTCGGTCCATAAGGGCCGTGGTCTCGTCCGAGGTGAGGCGCTGGATAGGGCCGGATCGCTTCCACTGCGCGTCTGAGTGCAGCGCTGGAAACGCGCACCAGTATATAAATCTGTATTTCTTGAGATCGGCGTATGACAGTATAATGAACGAAGATAGTAGCGAGGGGACCGAGTAGATGCTGCCGTCTTTGATAGCGTCCCAGATCTGTCTACCTGCCAGCTTCAACATGGCGGCCTTGTCGGTCTTCCTGAAATCTTCGATGGTATTGACATTTTTGATGATGCCTTCAGCTCTTGCTTTTCCTAGAGGGGGGCTATACACACGTCAGCTCAGAATATTCTCGCGTGTTGCTTTTGACGTCAAGGACGCACTCTGTGTTTGTCAAGGCGCTGCCGAGAATCTGCAGCTTGCAGCTTGCATCTGGATCAACCTCCCGCGGCTCGTACACGCCCAAAATCCCACGCGCAGAGTCGTCGAGCTTGTCATAGTCTAGCTTGGACGAGAAGAGCGCCGAGTAGAACGGCAGCTCTATCTCGGAGGTAAACGGTACGAACTGAAGCGGCTCGTCCATGGCAGCGAAATCCGTCGCAATATAGTGAATGGGCTTTGGTGATTTGATCGAGATCGGGCGTCGGTCGAACGAGTCGTTGTACAAAGTGTGTTGGTGTGTTTGTCAGAAGTATAAACTTGTGGGTACGAGGCTCGCGATGGATTTATTTAATTTAAAGTCGTGTCAGTGCCAGGCTTGAGAAGATTGAGAAGCAGGCAGGCGACAAGGCAGAACCGTCATCTGATAGAGCATCACGAGCTAGAGGCCAAGTGATGTCGTAGCGCTGAGCTGCCCCGCGGAGAGCGGGGAACCTTCTAAGTGCAGCGAGCATGCAAGGGGCTTTGGCTTTGTGCTGGGCTTTGTTAGTGCCTGTCATGCTTGTCATGAAAGCGCCGCTTGCGGCTCTTTTCTTTTCTTTCAGCGATGACCGATGCGGGGCTTAGCCCTATAATTGCTAATGCGCGACCAGCAGATATCCAAGAAACAAGTCCGATATGGTGTAGTGGCTAACATCGCTCGCTCTCAATCTTCGATTGAAGCTCCGAGCAGCCCTGGGTTCGATTCCCAGTATCGGAGACTTTTCTTTTTTTGCACACATCGCCAGCTGAGATGCATCGATATGCGTGACAACATGGCAACTCTGTGGAGTATTTCTTTTTACTCCGTGGACCATCCATGGCGTTACTTTCTATTCAGGGTGGGTACGTGTATGCACTGATCTAGGCTCAACCATCTTGGTCATCCCTGGGGCATTTTTATGACAACACTCCGAAATTGTATTAGTAGTCGATAGTTTGTTTTTACAGTCTATATTATCTCCCTACCTAGAGGGTAATGGCCTCCCGGTCAATGTTTGGGGCGGTTATGCAATATTGACAGGGCCTCCCTTCCTTGTGTGGTGAGATGTCTGAAATGCGGTACACCAGGGCCAACACGAGATGCCAGATTTCAAGGTTCCCAGCAACAACACTTCATTACGGCTTATTTTCCCTTGGTTCCCCCTACGTGTCGTATTTATGAAGGTTCCGTTCGACAAATTCGGTAATAAAACTCAGCTACTGCTAAGGTTTAAGCTTGCCCTTTTGGAATGAGACCAGGGGCTGAGAGACGCCACCGCCATCTCATTGGATTCCCAATACAATTCGGCTACCACCAAGGTTTAAGCCCGACCTGTTGGAATGGAGCCAAGAGGGGGAGAAACTCTGACGTCAGGAATTCAAAATGTGAAACTAATAATATAAAATACCAACTAGGCTGCTGGATATATAATCTTGGGTAATACCAAAGCTTGACACCCCAGAATCCACAAGCTGTTTATATCGTCACTCGAAACACCATGCCGGGCAAAAAGTCAGCGAAGAACAGAAACAAGAAGCGGGGGCAAAATAAGAGCAAGGATGTGCAACAGACGCCAGATCCGAGCAGTGATGTGCTACAGGAGCCAGCTCAGAGCACAGATGAGCAGCAAGAGCTTGCTCAGAGCAGTGGCATGCAGCCAGAGCCTGAGCAGGGCAACGGTATACAACAGGAACCAGCTCAGAGCAGAGACGAGCAACAGGAGCTAGTTCAGAGCACCGATATACAACAGGAACCTCTGGTATCTAGACAACAGGAACCATATCAGACCATCAGCGAGCAACAGGAACCCCTTGTATCTGGGCAAGAGGAGCTAGCTCAGAGCGGTGGTATACAACAAGAGCCAGTTCAGAGCAGTTATGTGCAACAGGGGCTAGTTCAGAGCACCGATATACAACAGGAACCCCCGGTATCTGTGCAACAAGAGCCCTATCAGACCATCAACAAGCAACAGGAACCCCTTGTATCTGGGCAACGGGAGCCAGTTCAGAGTAGTGGTATACAACAAGAGCCAGTTCAGAGCAGTTATGTGCAACAGGAAGCCCCGGCATCTGTGCAACAAGAGCCATATCAGACCATCAACAAGCAACAAGAACTCCCCGTATCCGGACAGCAGGAGCCGGTTGAGACCATCGACAGGCAACAAGAGCTAGATCAGAGTCCTGACAGGCATCAGGAAACCCTTGAATCGGTACGACAGGAGCCAGCTCAGAGTGGCAGTATACAACAGCAGCCAGTTCAGAGCAGCTACATGCAACGGAAGCCAGTTCGGAGCACTGATATACCACAGGAACCCTCGGTATCTGGGCAACAAGAGCCATATCAGGCCATCAACAAGCAACAGGGGCCCCTTGAATCTGTACGACAGAAGTCGGGCCAGAACACATACGAGCAACAGAAGCCAGATACAGGAGGCGCCTATTCCGACGAGCAAGATCGTGTATCATCACAAGATTGGCATGAAATACTGTACGTGGCCACTTCTGCTACTGCGTAATAAGCTAACAATCTCAGGCAACGTACGGGCGCATTGAAAGGCTGGGTTCCTCGAGACGATAATGGCAATATCAACGTTGCTCTTGCGCCTGAGCAATGTATGTAGCACAGCCTCACACCGCAACCGAACAGTAACGCTAACAATCATGCCAGTATTCAAACTGAAAACTGAGATGCCGGAATGGACCACTTCAAGTGGTTCCAAACGAGACAGTATACCATTTCAGAATGCGACAGAGAAGAATTTTCTCAGGGCAGCTTTTGATACGAGTGCGATTGAGACGACGGTGTATGTATCAACATGATGTGCCAAACGTTGGGTGAAGAAGCTCCCGATTGCTGATATATCAAAAGCCAAGCCAGTACGCCAGCAGGAGGTGGCTTTGCACGAAATACAAGAGATAATGTGCCATCTGAGCACTTCGAAGATGTCAAGCTTTCCTACCTTTTCCACGAGGTATAGATACTCTTTCACACGCCCGACAAATGCAAGCGCTAACAAAAATGGGCTTTATAGTTCCCTTTGGCTACTATCAATTTGCCGAGTTCTTCGCTACTGCCATCCCAAAGCTTTCTAGATTTTATCAAGAACTCATTAGATCAATATTCAGGATTGATACCCCCAACTACATCCCCGGATCGGGATGCCCTCTCTTCAATTCTGAGAGAGTTTCAATATTTGTTTGGTATGTCTTTCAGAGTCCTTAGCTGTGGAAATAGGGTGCCTAATTAAAGGCTGTTCTTGCAGGCGCCGTGTTTGCGAAGCAAGTATTACTAGGAGGTAGACGCCATGCTATCCAAAAAATCCAGAGGCATAGCCAAGCCAAGGTCCAAAGTTTGGAAGAGAAAAATGCGATTAACGCAAGCCTGAATGTGCCATTAACTGTTGGTTCCCTCAAGGCTGGAGGAGAGCGTAGCTGGCGTTCGGCTAGTGGCGATGATAGTGGGAGCGTTTCAATCGACGTCAATTCCCTTGTCATTGATGGCGGTAACGAAACCCTTATAGAGGAGTATGTTATTGACTCTCTTAGTAAGACGTCCATCACGCAATCACTAACATTTAGAATCTAGTGTCGAAGCATGGCAAACCACATTACAATCGTCAAAAGATTGGAAGGTCATCAAGGTAAGAGTATCGCCAGAATGAAAGATATCACTGATTGATTATCTTTTAGCAAAACGACGTCACGGCTCTTCTTCCATTTTTGATAGAGGTATTGGAGAAAACGGAACCAAAATACGAGTATATTGACTTCGTCAGAGGATTGGATAACTATGCCCAAGAGCTTCGACAAGCCCAAGAAAGAGACCTTACGGCTGTTTTTGAGCCTCTGGCCCTCTGGATCTCGAGCTCATACACACCCAAAAGTCGGAATTTCTTTGCGAACCTCTTTGGTAAAAAGCCAAAATGGACAGTGATGTTGAATACCGATAAGCCCAAAATGATCGACAGAGTCCAGGTCAAAATTCTCGGATACTACAAGAATGGGAATGACCGGTTCGCTGAATTTGGTGGGTTCCCGGATGCTTTCCCAGTCTCGATAGATCTCCCGACACCGACCTCGAAGGAAACCACCGCAAAATATGAGGTAGAGTTCAAGGTTGTGCTCAAGCCTAACTACGAGTGGCGAAAGTCTGAGAGGGAGTCTCCAGCAGTAATCTTGAAGCTCTTGGATGCCGACATTCTGGATTTCGGGGTGTCTTTGGGTCCAAAATCAACATCAATTACAGCAGAATATAATGTATACACCAAATAAGAATTACTTTCGCTTGATAAGCGGCATATATTGGAACATTGACATCCTTGGAAATCACGCGCTTGTAATTATGTATATCGATATCACTATACATACAAGGCTTACCGTTCAACCGAGCCGGTTAAATGCCAAACCAAAGAGCCAGGACAATGACATGCAAACACTAGCAACAAGCTTCAAGAGAGCCACCTGATATATGCAGCCCAGAGATTCTCGGGCTACCTCAAGGCGATTGGATGGCAGCTTCAAGATCGTCTAGGCGCGGCACAAGATGGAGCCATTCGCAATATACCCGCTTAGCAGATATTAACATCCGGGATGATATTTAGTGTTATCATATAGACAAAGCCAAGGCATGTTCCCCAGCAGCGAGATGTCCGAAGTGCGCCAAATCTGAATTACTAGCTAACAATTACCGAAAGAACCCATGTCTAGCTACTGCTACCCATATACCCAATTATCTGTAGGCAACTAATCGTAGGGTGCAGTGCTTTCAAAAGAAGTTGCAAAGCAACTCTCAAAACTTTTCGCCGATTCACCTTGACTCTCATCTAAAACCTGCGCCACTCCACGTAGCGCTCCTTTGCGAGCACGACTTCGTCAGTCAGCTGAATAAGCTCTTCCAAGGCTCCAGGCTGGCCATACTGGAGCTTCATTTTGAAAGGCCATTTCTCGATCACGGTGTTCTTTCGTTTCATCGTCACCCCAAAGAGTTGCTCTACCTGCGAAAACCTGAAATTGTTCATGAACCTAAGGGAAATGTTAGAAGTCAATTGATGGGAGTGTGGTAGGAGGAACCAAATTGTCAGGATTATTCTTACCGATCGAAAATGGGGTCATAGTTTGCGACATTTGCCTGAGCGTATGTCCACTTGATTGCCTTGGGATCAGACAAGGGGGCAGCATCGGGATTATAGCCGGCGGCATAGGCTCCTATGTACGAGAAGTATTCACGAATGAGCTTCGTCTCTGGGCGATATGTGTACATGTCCATTATTCGGTCCTGCATGGTCATGGTCTCTCGAATAGCCTCCCTGAATAGAGTGATGAGAGTCGCATGCGGGTTGACGTGAGGGGCCTGGAGCAATGGTCCCATCCGGTAAGCTGTGGTATGCATTCCAGCATGCAAATTGTCTGCCATATTGGAGACCTGTGTGAACGGTGGTTAGAATTAAGAACCGAGGAAATCTAGACATGGCCGAGTTTCAAAACGCCTCCTTACCTCAATTCGGTTGAATGAACCGCACTCAAGATGCATAGGAAGCAGGGAAAATTTTTCGCAGAAGAGTCGAAAAGACACTTGCATGTCCGAGAGACGAAGCAAAAAAGCTCGAAGCATTGAGCGAATGTGATTGAAAAGTTTGCCGTAAATATCAGCAGTCGCAGGTCCACTCGGGGTGTCCTCGACGTCCTTCAAAGACCATCCTTGGAGGGGGTCAGCACAGTCGGGCATCGGCCAAACGTCAGGAACTTGGAAAAGAGTCCTATTCTATGTTAGATGTACGATTCTTCACAAAATTGACGTTCTCTATTACTTACGGGTTTGGCTCTTGGAACTCATGGCGCGAAGCCCCGAATGGCAAAAGAAGTCCGTCCTGCCGAAATCGATGCTTCGCAATTCGACGGGAGGGAGTCTGAAAGATCAGATGCAAGTCCAGATTGTCCTTCTTGGATTCGTCGAGGGTAATAGCCATGCGGACACGGCTCGCCTGTTCCGCTGTTAGGCCTTTTGGGATGTTCAGGAAGGCCAAAAGGCGATCCCACGATGCCTTTGGCAACACGAGCCTCAGGGAGCGTTGTCCGAATCTCCATGTCTTCCCCAAGAGGCTACTAGAATTTTTGTCCTTGATCTTTTCGCAAATGCTTTCGACAAGGGGTAGGACCTTTTGCTGGAGCATATCAAGATCGGACTTGCGGATGAGAGCCGAGTACCAAACGTGGATCATGCAGTCAGCCGCCTCATCGATGTTGTCAGCCACAAGAGCGATAAGAAGGATAATGGCGTTGCGTGCCACTACATCAAAATCGCTATCGTTTATGACGACGTCCATGGGCTTATTGTAGCTGCCAGGCATCTGAGCAATAGTCTTGACAACATTTCGAAGATCCCCAGAAGCTACAGCGTAGTAGATTAAGTCAGTTTGGAGGCTTAGTGTGATCAGTCCAGGTTGAGAACATACCAGCAAATAAGAGGTTCAACCGCTTTTCATAGTCACCACCTTCATTTGACCCAAGCTGAAGAACATCGATGGCAGGAATGTTCCCCCAAAGAGACTTGTTACCATGAAACGAGGGCACAAGGTTTCTCATCTCAAACAGAAAAGGCGGGTTTCGGTTTTCCAGATTCCACTGGGGACGCCATGTTTCATTGCCCAGAGACGACTTGCAATCTATTTTATGAGAAGCCCAGTGAGATTTTTGGCAGTCCGAGCCACAGTACTGGAAACAAATATTCTCTCAGAAAGGGTATGCGCCACGTCAATAAATGCTTTTGCTTACCACCACGAGATAGCAGCCCTTGCAAGTGTAGTTGCCGAACTTCTTGCAACCAGTGCTATTGGCGCTCCAGTTTGCGCAGATAGACTGTTGAGTTGCCATTTTTAACTCAGTCTTAGATCGAGTTAAGTCGAGATTAAGATGACAGGAGAGCCTCAAGAGTCATCTACTATCCCAACTAAAGTCAGAATGGGAGGGTGATGACCCTGTGGTGTTGAGCTCAGCACCAGCAACCTGAGAGAGCCGGGCTGTGAAGAGGTGAGAGATTTAAACAGGCGAGAGATTTGAAAAGGTGGGAAATAGCTTTGCCCGTTTGCCCGTTTGCCTCAGCACCTTGCCAGCTGCCAACAGAGTCACTCGAGCCAGCTGCCTTCATTCACTCAAGCCGGAGCGGAATAATTCCCCCGAACCCATCACTCAAGGTGGGCATCCACATCTTGATGCAGGCTCTCAAACGGAGAGAGAAGGTTCTAGAGCCACTCGAAATATTCAAGTCAAACGGGATGGCAGTGTTGATGCAGAATTGAGAATCAATAAGGTCGAATGAATGGCAACTATAGATAGTCTAGCACAGTCTTCTGATGTTACTTGATTCACATGAACTCGCAACTAAATCATCTGTGTACGAGATGGCGAGCCTAAAGGGAGCATCAATTGCCCAGGGATGCGAACACACATGTTTACATCAACCCCTTATAAGATATTCATTGGTGCAACGTCTGCCATTTTCGGTGTATGAAAACTACTTCAATTTTGTAAACCACAATTCCCATTTACAAAACAGTTGCACTACTTGCGTCATCTTGATTTGAAACTGTCATAGAAATTACTGTCCGTCTTCTCGCCCATTATCAATTTCAGAACTATAGTCATCACATTAATTCATAGACCTTCATCAAACACCGCTCTCCCTAAAAAAGAGCCAAAGATTGTGGTAAATAGATACATGTATATGTATATGTATATGTAGAATGTTAACCAGCTCCAGCCCACCAATCCACCTCATCGCGTCCAAGTCTTGCAACTCATCTCACCCAACTTACATCAACCCATACACAACTCCGCCCAAACCAACCAAAAACGCCATAACATCCACAGCAACTCTACTTCCAGCGCTCTTCGGCGTCGTAGAAGCCGGGCCCGGTGCAGACGTTCCGCTAGGCTTGCCCGAACCGCCAGTGCTCGTCCCGTTGCTTCCAGATCCCGGCGCCTTGGCATCCACGGAAAGCGTCGACACGACGGCAGAAAGGGCGTTCATCTGCTCGCCAACGCCAGTTAGGCCGTCAAAAGCCGTGCCGTTGCTCGCAGCCCACGAGAATCCGCACGCAGTTCCCGACTTGCCGGCAAAGCCGGACGAGGGCGATCCCGAACAGGCATTGGCCGCTGCTTTCGCATTCGTCAGGAGCAGCGGCTGGATGGCAGCGCTGGTGTAAGGAGCCAGCTGCGTCGTCGCCGCGAGGGATCGGACAAGGAAGCCCTTGTAAGCCTGCAGATCGGTGTTGCACGTCTTCTGCTTCTCGCACGCCGCCTCGACCAAGACGCCGTTGTTGACAAAAGTATCCTGCACACTCTTGACCAGTCCATCGACGCGTGTCTTCCAGTTGTTGGATGTAGTGGCGTTGTACATGACGGCGCTTCCGTGCAGGAAGACAGCCGCGCTCATGCCGCTCTGGATCTTGTCAATGGTACCACAGGATTCGGTGCGGAGGCCTTCGAAGACCTGGTACGAATCGGTAATGAGGCCAGCCTTCTGCTCCCACTCGAAAATCTCGCTAGCCCACTGCGAGTACGTGCTGTTCTTGGTCTGCAGAAACAGCCTGGCAGCGAGGTCGAAGAAGACGCCGTTGGACGCCGAGTTCTTGAAATCGTAGCCGGCATTGAAACTGAAGATCTGCCAGCGAAGGCCACCGCCGCAGGTCTTGGTGTCCCATCGCTCCACAAACTCGTTGAAGACATTCTCAGCGAGATCTTGCCACTGCGGCAGGTCCTTGGACGGGCTCGGGAATCCGTTCTCAGCCGCAGCCATGGCGGCCAAAGCCCAGACGCCCTGGTCATCGTTGCCCTCGGTGTTGGACTGATTTGCAGGCAGGAAGTTGTTGCTGGTGCCGACTTGGTGCAGCAGGCCTTGCGTCGTCACCGTGTTGTAAGTGTCGTCGCCCGTCTTGGTCCAGTAATCGATCAAGGCCGTGAACAAAGCACCCGTTTCCCACCCTGCTTCAAGTTAGTCTGCTATGCTTTTCGTCCAGATGGATGAAACTAGGAGGCGGACAGTAGTATGGGTTGGGCAGATTGCCTGGAACGTGGCCCGTCTCGTTGCCGTTGTAATACTTCATGAGCCCATACGCAATCGTGCTCGCACCATCCTTGATCGAGGCTATCTATCGTCTTAGCATACACATAGAGAACCGTTAGAGCACCTGGGACGTTGGCGCACCATCACTAGTGAAGTCGACGTTGATGGCGCCGACAGAGGCACCAAGAAACGCAAGAGCCAAGGCGGACTTCATGTTTACGACCTTGTTGTATCACTGACTTGTCGAGGCTGAACAATCTCTAATATCGTGCTGACCAAAAGCACTTCCTTGAGCTTAGCGAATGACAAAAACGAAAGACGAGATAGCCGTAGAACGCGTCACAGCAAAATAAATACAGCCAGCACAAAACGAAAGATTGCTGGCACGCAGAACGAGAGACGGCTGCTTTATGAATCGCGCCCAAACGAGAATAAGAAAACAGAGTCAGTCTTGAAGCGTTGGTGACAGAAGTGGACCAACAGCTCATCTTATAACGCTACCGCCTATGCTTGGCCTCCCCTGGCTCCGCCGTCTTAAAACGGCAAGCTAGTACTTTGTCAGCTTCGCCCAAATCAATGCCTCAACCCGTCATTCGCATCTACGGAGTAGTTTGGAGAAAATCGAGGCACAAGGGGACCCAGCGCCATTCCCCCTTGAGCCAAGTTCCCAGCGCCTAAAGCCCTGTGGCATCGGCTACGGAAGCCGAGAGAATTCTCTCCGTATTCCAAATCCTTTCGGACCTTTTTTTCTCTTTTTTTTTCCTTATCAACTTTCAAGTTTCCCCCCGGATTTTTCTTTTCCGTTGACAAGGGGGGTTTGTTGTCGCGGTTTAGAATGCGACTTCGGCGATTGCCTCTTTGGGAAGTATACGATGTGCCTATACCTATACGATGTGTGTTGGGCAAAACAGTTGTCATTCGTGCATTGTGAATACGAAGCGGCCGCTTTCTCCGTCAATCACTGAGTGCCAAGGGAGACAACAACAAAGTCCATGGAAATAGTTGCTTATTAACGAAGGCTATGGTGGGACTTCTCGTGTTCCTCGGCAAATGCAACTTACCTAGAAAGGAAATTATTTCTCTTTTCATGGTTGAATAAGAGCAACATCGACAGCAACATGTTAACCACTTCCGCCATAATGTCTCATGTAAATCGTAATTCTATGGTGAACCAACAGAGCAAACAAACATCAGCCCAGAATTCCCTCATGCCAACCTCCCCCTTCTCACAACTCGCTCTCAACCAACTCCCTCATTTCCATCCTAAACTCATCAATAACACTCCTCGCCAACTCTCTCCCCCTGGCCCTCTCCGCCCTATCCACAGTCAACACAAACTCCCCCGGCACTTCCACCGATCCAACCTCTCCCTGTCGTCCCAAAATCATCTGCGAAACCGCAACAGCGCACCTCGCCGCCACAGGCATCCCGTGGCCGGTATATCCAGCGCAAACCCACAGGCCGGCTCCTCCACCAAGCTCCTCAGGAACCTCTCCGACAAATGGACTTCCGTCTGCAGAGTACCCCATGATACCCGTCCACTGATACCGTGCCCTCAGTTCTTCCTCCTCCTTCTCGCCCTCGGGCCGCAGCTTCAACGCAGGGCGAAGTGACCGCCGCAACCGCACCGCCACCTCCTCGTCGATCTCATCGTCCTTCCATATCCCCTCCCCTCCATCGGGAACACTCAACCTCTCGCCCCCTACGATAATCATCTCCAGCGGGTCGTCCCTCTGAATCAAATAATTGTCGCTATCTTGTGCAAGCCAAACATGGCTATGTTCCAGCGGCACATCCCCATCCGGCGGCTCCAGCGCAGAAACCTGACCCCTTACAGGAACAATCAGTCCCGTCATCTTGGTCAGCAGGTGAGATGTATACGCATTCGTCGCCAGAAGCACCTCCTTTGCTACAACCTGTCCTCTCGGCGTGTGAACCACCCACGAATCCAGTCCTTCTGCCTTCTGCACATGCGTCACTGGCGTCGTCGTCTGCAGATTAAACACCTCGGTCGACTGCTGCGTGAACAAGGCCTCCAGGATCCAGGCGATCAGCTTATATGGCCAGCACTTTGCGGCATACGGCTGCAGAACGGCTCCTCGGGCATTGGGCACTCTCAGCGTCGCAAGGTCCTCTGGCTTCGTAAACAGCTCTGCCTTGCCAACCAAATCAGGATGGTGCTTGTTGATGTTCTCGATCCTCTTGGCCACAAGGTCAACCAATTCATCCGTGGGCAAAGCATGGACACCGCCAACTCTCTTCCAGTCGCACGGCACGTTGAACTTGGTGACAATGTCTTCCAGGAAGCGATACGTCGCAAGCTCAAAGCGCGCAATGTGCGGCTTCCTACCATAAATCATGGGCTGGCAATGGCCTCCATTCTAGATCCATCAAATCATCAGCACCCTAGAGCAACTCAAAGATACTGCAAGTAGAGCAAGCACATGTAAACTTACCCTTCCTGTAGCCCCCCAGCAAGCCTCTCTCGCCTCCAGCATCAGCACCGACCTCCCTCCAGCAACCAGCTCCCGCGCAGCAAAAGCCCCCGTCATTCCGCTGCCAATGACGATGACATCTGCCGTCGCGGGGAGATCCGGCGTTGACCGACGGCCAAGAAGCACGTACGACGGATCGCGATGCCAGAACGACTTGGTGCTTCGTGGACTCGGCAGTCCTGATTGCCCATCTTGCAGAGTAGCGGTCACCATGGCTATGTAAGTATATGTAGTCTTCTATTGGTAATTGAGTAAAAGTGAAGATGTAAAAGGGGTGACAAAGAGGCAACAGTTTATATATCACGTGGCAACACGGCTGTCTAGGCTCACATCTGCATTCCACGTGAATGTGAAGATGAAGTCTGACGATTCGCTTCTTACACTCGGCTTCCCGCTCCGTTATTCGCAACCGGATTACGACGCGCTAATGCGGGGTCCCGGGCGGATTGGCAAACTCCAGTGAGTCAACAATCCATTAACAACTTACTAAGTACGGAGTACATCCATGTAATACAAGAAAGTATATGTAGATACTAAGTAGGTAAGTACATTTAGTATCACAGTTCAATTCACATGTCAAGAAAATGCACCGAGTCACAAGCCAATACTGCTAATCTCTAGGGATATCATATCGTATTCATTGCATTTCGTCGTGATCATCATGAGAGACGGATTTACCTCCCTGCCAACTCCTGGGGAATCGCCCTCAACATCCATCCCAATTCCAATTCCAAGCCCAAACGCCGCAAATTCAGCTGTCCATTCCATTTGCATCTCCCTCGTCTGCTAATATTTATTCGTACATCAATTACAAGAAGAAAAACAAGCAACTTCTTCCTTATTCTATACCCTATGGCCCTCATCTTCGACGGTTCTTTGATTAGACACACAAAACTGTGTGCTTCGTTTGATATCAAAAAAATCCAATCAAGGTGGGCCTGCTTCTAAAGTCGTCCCAATTCTAGCCACGCGTCGTTGCCATGTCTATTCGATCTCAAGTATAGTTGGTACACGCAATCTCGTCAAACGAGACGCGGCCTCCGCACGTTGACCGCGCAAGCTGATCAAAGGATCCAAAGGATGAGAGAATTTTTGAGGCGATATTCCCTCGATCAGCCTGCTCAAAGCATGGATACACCAACGAGGCGGAGGTGCAAGTGTAAATTCATTTCGCCCATTCAAGTCGTTAATACCTTTCGAAATGTATAAAAAGCAAGGTCGAGGTTGTTTCATAATCCATCAGGGCGTCAAGGGCGGGTGCCCGTAAAACAAAAGAAAAATTCGCTATATGCAGGACCAGAGGCTTTTTGATAAATTCAAACGTCGGCCCGTCGTATCCACTCGAACATGTCCCGGTACAAGGGTATAAGTAACCGAAATCATACGCATCCTATGTTCCCTTGGATATATCCAGCCTCATTGTTTTTTGGAAGTAATCGGCTCTAAAAGGTACAGCGCGTTGTTAAATCTTTTTCAAAAAGAAGAAGAAAGCTTTAAACATCTGTCATTTCGAGGTCGCTGTCGTTGACGATGGAGACGGGGAACAGCTCCGAGGGGCCCCAGTTCCCTTCGTAGACGATGGCGGGCGCATTGCGGTGCTCTGCCACCCACCGCATGCCTTCCAATGCCAAGACTTGTTCGATGTGTGGCCGCTCTTCAGGGTCCTGCTGCGTCATCCACCTGACAATGGAATCAAGGGAGCTGGGGTGGAAGGCCTCAACCATAAACTCGGGAGGCTGCTGAAGTTCTGATCGCTTAAATGAGCCAAACAGATTGCCGGGGCTGCGTGTTCTCTCGATCTGGAGATCATCGCTCGTCACAGAGTCGGTCGGGTTACCGAGAGCATCTCGCTGGACCTCGATTGATGGAGTCCAGGTCAGACTAGGTACTTCGGAGAGATCCCCAGATCTGAGAGCTACCCATGTAGGCCCGTTGTCAGGAAGCATCACATTGGCTGCCGTTTCCAGAGTCATAAGACCAAGGGAAAAGATATCAGCAGACTGATCGGCTTTGCCTTCCAACATTTCAGGGGCCATGTACTCCCGGTCTCCTTCAACGTCTAGCCGTACGTCTTCAGAAACAGCTTGGGCCAGTCCGAAGTCGCCAATCTTGATGACTCCCTCAAAGGTAATGAGAATATTTGCCGGCTTCATATCAAGATGCATAAATCCAGCGTCGTGGATTTCTTTCAATCCCTATGAAAGAAGCACAGATGTTAGCAATTAGGGAATTAAACCCCATGGTATTTTAGGGGCTGGATGAACTTACCAAGCAAAGATCTTGCAAGATCTTATAGATGCGGAAATCATCCAATCGACCAACCTGTCCGATGTTGGCCAAAAATTTATCCAGGGTTCCTTCTTCACAAAACTCTGTCTGGATGTAAAGGTGAAAGTTATGCTCCCAATCATCGATATATTGCACAACATGTTCAGCATGTGATAAAGCCTGTAGAATGCGAGCCTCACGCAGTTTGGCGTCTCTGTCCTTGGGGCCGTGATACGGCTGCTTGCTCTTCTTGACAGCAAAGACCTGGCTCTTGGAAGTGCTCTTGGTATGGCTGTCAACCGGGGTGAAAGAAGATGCAGAAAAGTCATTTTGGTGGTCCTGCTTGGTTACACGGTATACTGTAGAAAACTCGCCCTTGCCAATCTGCTCAACCTTGTCAAACTTGGAGTGTAGGCTGGCGTCGACATCCAGGTTGCTGGTACGACCATTAACTGGCGTGACGAAGATGCTCGTAGACGATCGGAAATCTCGGACTGTAGTGGGTGTGACCGGTGGCGGCATGGTTGTTTCTCTCCGACCCTCTCCAGCTCGAGAGATGGATAAACGGCTAGCATCCAGTGGCAGAAAGGTTTCCTGGGGGGTCTGAGGAGTGCGTCGTCCATCGGCAGGGCTCGCTGTGTCAACATACATCATCTTAGTACATACTCTGGTTCTGGATGACTTGAAGGATCCGCGACTAAGCTGCGTCGTCGAAGTTGGAGGCTCGGGATTGAGCGGCGGGGGCGCACTAAGCCCCCTCTGGGACCTTGCCCGTCCAAACGAAGATAAGGGAAGAGGGTCGGATGAAGGTGGCTCGCCGTCCATAGGAGTAGATCGATTGGCCAGCAACTGTGCTCCTTCGATTTGGTTCCTTGGACTGGCGGACACCTCTGGGATCGACTTACAGCTTGGTTCTCGTGGTCGCGGTGGTGTTCCCTTGACTGTTGATGACAAAAACGATCGGTTGGCGCTTGGGCTTTCCTGAGAACTTTCACTAAGGCTGCTCAGGCCGCTGAAGCTTGGCGTTAGGAGGTTTTTGGTAGGAGTGGGAGGGGCATCGCCTTCAATGGAGGTTGCAAAGTCGGCACCATCAGCAAACAGTTTCCGGTCGTCACCGTCGACGCTAAGGATGCTTCCACGGCGGGTGCCCAGAGCACTGCTGCGTTGGAAAATGGACAGGCCTTTTGAAGGGTTGCCATAGGTATCAGGGGCACGACCTAAGATGGGGTTAAATGGGGTAGAGGGAACGCCGCCAAACGAGTTACGATAGCTTCCTCTCTTCTTTCCTGAACTAGAGGGCGGTGGAAAGGTCGCGAATGGGTTTGTGTGTTTTTTGCACGGCGTATCAGGGGGAGCCATCTTCTTGTCAGCCTCTTCCTCTGGGTTTCGGTTGACTTTGGAAATGAGGCCAGTGGAGCTGAAAGCGCCGATCCAAAGCTGGTGAGACTGGTTTGGCGTTGCTATTGAGGCCCTATGCTCGTTGAAAGATCGCGCAGTGGGACGAGTAGCACCAGGGGGCAGAGACCTTGAAAATGGATGCGGTTTCTGGGCGACCTTTGCAGGGGCATAGAATGATTGCTCCTCAGTCAAGCTGTTGCCAGATGTGGAGGTTGTCAGGGTCTTGGACAGCGGGTGAGGTTGGTGATCTTTGCTTTCCGTCTTGGAAACGGTCGCGCTAGGCGCAAAGGGATTCTCACGAACCGCTGTCGGAGGCACAAAAGAGTCAGTAGAAAGTCGCGGCCGGCGTCTAACAGGCGTTGAAAATTCACTGCCAAGCTGCGAAAGCTGTCGCTCACCAGACTGTTTCCCCCAAGACGTCTTTTCGCCGTAGCGCTGCTGCAGCGTTGATCTCCGGAGAGATGAAGATCGTTTCGGAATGTTTGACGCGGGAGAAGGAGATGCCAGGTGATCGCGGTGAAAAGCAGGTCCCGCGATGCCCGACAGCTCATACTCAGGAAATGCATCTTCATGTATATCAAAGGCGCTAGGCGGCGATGCGCTCGAACCGAAGATGTTGAGATCCTCTGTCTGCGTAGAACTTGTAATGCCGTGCAAACTTCGTCGCTTGGCCACCGGGCTGCCTTTGTTTGACCGGTCCAAGTTCATTGTTGCGTCGCTGCGCTTCAAAGCGCCTGTTGTCGGAATCATGGGGTAGTCGCTCACTGAACCCAACGCCTTCAAAAATGAAAATTGAGAAGGTTCTGTAAGATCAAATTGCACACTATGTCGAGTCGATCTGTCGATAGCTTTGCGCAGAGTAGAGCGGCTGGGCGTATTGTCGATGTTGTGGTTATTGTTGTTGTTTTCCTGCCCTGCAAATCTAGGTCTGGGAGAAGATGGGGGCGAGCGTGAGGAAGTAGAGTTTCCAGAGTCGGGAGTGGCGCTCAACGCGCGTTTCAACGGGCTCCTTGGGGACGCTCGTGTTCGGGTGATGCGCGAAGGAGGTACCGTTTTTGTGCTTTTGGCGGATCGGAGCGAGAGCTTAACGCCTGGCCGAAGGGGTGTCTGCGCAGGCGATAGATGCGGGGCGCTGGCGAGGATTGATGAGCCGACAGCTGGCGGAGCTGACGAAGGAGGGTTCAGCACTGGGCGTTGTTGGAGCGGTGTTGTAGCGGGCCGTCGACCCGGAGACAGTGAACTATGACGCGTGCTACCAGAACCTTGAGAGTTTGTTCGTGCGAAAAGCTTCGTAGGGGATCGTGACATGGACCGTCGAAGGTTGCGAACAGAGGTTGGGTCCATGTGATGAACGTGGGTGGGCGAGGGCAACGCCATAGTGCCGCCACCGCCGTTGGAAAAGGACATGGCACTGGAATGAAGACAGTGCAAAACAATGCTCGGAAGTTTTCTTGCTAGAGTTATGAGAAAGCCGCGGACCAAAAAACACTAGGTCGGGGAATGTCGATGGTGCTGAAGACGTGCGCAGCTTCGGATTAGTTGGTCTCCTCGCAAAGGCTTCGTTATATATAAAGTGCGCTGTAGATGTCTCCTTGGTTGGCGGTCACTAAGATGGCCAGGAAAATGCGTGCATCACACCAACAAATAAAATGCACAAACACAAAAAGTAAATTGGTCTGTCGAGGAATCGGAGTCTGAGATGCTTGGGAAACGAAATCCAGTCGAGATGGCGTGCGATGTGTGAAGCGCAACAAGAGGTTGTAGTATAGAGAAACAGCACACAGATGGGAAACGTCCGGGAGGGCTATGCCTGATAAAAAAAAACGAGAGACAAGCCGTGAGGATGCCCAAGCGGGTCGCAGCTCAGAATACCAAAAGAACGTCTTATCCAGTACGCATGCTGAGATGGGCGGCAAAGCAGGCGGGGCCGAGAGTCAAGAAGGCCCAATGAAGCCAGGTCAACAGCTCAGAACAAGTGGATTGCTGGCCAGAGGCAGTTACAGCATGGCGTGGGCCGACAGGGTAAAGAGGAATGAGAAGCAGAGAGGAAAAGAGGTGCTCACGATGCGCAGGTGCCCGGCGCACTCTGGCAGATATCACCCGCCTGTGAAGATGGAATTGTAGATGTAGATGGCGGGTGCGCTTGCGTCGATGGTTCGGCTGGGAGGATCGCAAAGCCAATATTACGCAGGTCCAATATGTCGTCCCGGATGCCTTCCAAGCACCACCCCTTGTTCAGTCGCCGTTCGATGCCGTCGTCGTCGCTGCTTCGTATCGTGGGAGGTGACTCGGCCAGGTACCGTACTCGTATGGTTTCGAAATTGACTTTGGCAGCACAGCCGCGGTTCCCTCCTGAACAGCGTCGGACTCGGCCACGGCGGTGACTCAATTGCGAGACAGAGTAAAACAAAAGACACACGCAGGGAGAGAGTGAAAATCCAGGTCAAACGCCGGATGGTATGCAAAGGTGTTGGAGTTGAGCGTGCAAAGGGAGTACGAGTACGAGCCCATGTGTAGTGCAGCGCAGTGCGGTGCAGTAAGCCCGATTCGACAATTACAGGTAGCAGCCGGTAGCGCCTTCTACTGGGTAGTTGGGAGTGTTGGCGAGGCTATGAGGCGCGACTGAGATGCTGCATTGTTTATCATCTTACCAAATGGGGCCTAGCGTAACACGCGGGAACGCGTCTTCAACCGCCCAAAGTGGAGCCCATTTGGCAATTGCCCCTTGTCCGCCCGGCAGAATTTTGGCGCCAGAGCTCGTGTGCGCCACAGCGCTGGGACAAATCCTTGCTGGCCATGCAGGGAGGATTTTCATGTTGGAGCACACAAGAGAAGCCGCAAAAATTATCTGTTACTGTATTACGAGTATTGCAAAATATTATCGACACTGGTATTGCGTCTACTGTATTATTACCGTAATAATAAAACGGCGTAGTGCTTTTTGATTCCAGCAAGTATTCAGTAGCGTCACAAGGCTCCAATAGCGTGTTCGATTATACCTCCGTCCATTGCAGCGGACCAACGGCCAAGACATTGCATTTCTCGGCCTGCCCATCATCACCATCCTTTGCACAGCCTGGTCACAAGCATGTGTGACGGCTGTTTACCAAGTATAGAACAGGTGTTGGCATTGCCACCACAGCCGTGCCTGATGCCGGCATCTCAAACAAGCACCATGCAGGACAGGCAACTACCAAACAACCACAACAACATCGATCGATTCTTGCAGCTACTCTACGACAATCTGAAGCACCAAACTGGCCCAGGAGGAGCACGGGTCTCGCTGACGGATCGGATGCAGGAACGGCGCCTTGGCCTTGGGAGGGGTCTGGCGCTTCTTCCTACACCAAACCAGGCTATGACATCGATGATCAAGGCGGCATGGATCGGATGGGCAGTGGCAAAGATTGGCCCCGACCATCTGTTCCTCCCTGCATGTTTCGGGTTTCTTGATTTACTCTTCCCTTCGCCACTTGTTCCCCAGACGCCAGGGTTCATGTAACATGCGGGCAGCACGCGTCAATGCACCTCAGACAAGGACACTGAGGCGGAAGCATGAAGAATGAATGGTCAATGGTCCGTGGGAAGCCGCCAGGTCAGCCGCCCATGTCGCCGACTATCTGTGACAAGGCCGCTGTTTTTTTTTTTTTTTTTAACTCATGTCTCTCTTCAACCCAGCCTCTCCTACCGGTTTCTCCAACTGACTAGGGAGTCATAGCGGCGGGTGATGACTCGCTCATCGATCAAAACAAACAGGGCCATTGTTTACTTCCATGCAGCCTTGGAAGGATGCGAGTCTCGTTGCCACTGTTTTTGTGTATTGCCACGTCGCGCTTAGACGGCCAAAACAGTCACTCGTTCGTACATGGGTGAACCTTGCTTGTTTGTCCAGTACTCCATACTCTATTCACATCCGAAGAGCAGCCCCTATTTTTGCGTACGAGTATCCCTCTATCATGGATGTGGCTTAAGTGGTGGTATTATACTCTAGCCTGTTTACTCCGTACATGCACACAGTTACATCCCTTGGTTTATTCCTCCGAACTGTCAGTTCTGTAAAAGACGATGACCCCCTTTTTTAGTCTCCATGCTCATTTCGCTTCCCCGGCTCTCCATTCCGGACCCGCGCAGCTGGCTGGGCTCTCTAGCAGTGCACCTCCATCTTTAGCCCGTTTGCCTGGGTGATAACTCGTACAAGCAGGTGCCTAACCTCCTCTTAGCTTTTTTGGCCACCAAGGGCAGAGTCATGGCCTGAAAGCTTCCCGGTGGTGAGATTCTTCATTTTAGCATCGTCAAATCATAGATTTCTTAGGTACTAGATAGTTCCTCATTGTTGCCTACTACTTACGCAGGCAGCCGGGTATAGTACATAGTATTCCACGGATTAAGATCTATCGCCATCTTCTGCATCTCTAGGCAACAGAGAAAATGGAGTGCTTCGCAGCAAGGCTCCAAGATAACCTCCCGGACAAGTGACCAACCAGTGGAGTCTATGGAGTACCTCTCCCATGGCAACCAGCTTCTCCCTTGCCAGATGTGGGAACTTTACATGTATCTGAGCTGTGCCCATACCTACGGGTCCCGCTGCATTGAGTTGCGGGAGCGCAGGCCGCAGCTATCAGGATGACAGGCAACCTTGTCCTGCATGAAGTGAGACTTGCCAGAAAAAAAGTCTTACATTGAGGAGGCCAAGGAACAGAATGGCCTGGAGGTGACGAGCACCTTGTTTGGTCCATGACTGTTGAGAAGAGGATCAGTCGAGCGTGGGAAGATAGAAATTGAGCCTTGATACCTTAGAGGATGCACAAGCATGTGTTTTTTAGCCCTTCAATAATACGATTGCATGTCTTCTGATGTGATGAGATGTATCAGACGATCGTGGTGTTTGCTTTTGTGGCTCAAGCTTTGGCACATTTTGTGGAGCAGCTGCAGGTACCAAGCTGCAGGTATTGGTTGTAAGCTTAAGGCCTACCCTGCAGTGATCGAAATCAAAAGGATCAATTCAAGTCGATCCCAAGGTTTTTGGTATGAAATTGAGAGATGCTCTATCGAGAAGAATAATCTCGTCCATTATCTCCCAGCACAAGGTTATGAGTGTTATATAAGAAGGGGTCCGCTACCTGCACTCCAACTCCCATATCCAATTTTAGAGTTTCACATACAACCTATATAGCCATCCGTTTCACTATTGGAGGATTGCGGCAGTTGACAACGGTGAATCCAATATAAATTTACAAATCAATAGCAGCCCAATTGACCTGATCAATTCTATCTCGCCCCTCTATTCCGTATACTTGCCGCTCATCTACTCCCCGTGTTAATTACTGCTCTGCAGCTGAGTTATCCCGTCCGAAACATGTTCTGGGGTAAAATGCGATCAGACTTATGCGTCAGCTTCGATTAAATTAAATCGATCTACCGATTAGCATCGCGAATCTGGACAAGGGCATCTGCACGTCATGATACATTTCGGAAATTGGCTCCAAGTACAATGATTTGTTGGTCTACATGTGCATGTTCAGTCTAAAACACCGCTCCATATCCCATGTGCCGCGCCGTATATGCGTAAATCAATACAACTCCATCTTCTCTAAATGAATCAGACCATTCGGAGGCTGTTTACAATATCAGCAATTGTCAAAGTCAAAAATGTTATCTGCTCACTCACCGGGATGAATTGACGAAGCTTGACGCCCGCCTGTCTAAACACCTCTGCTGTCTCAGTATCCATGCTGTATCCATGAGCATACACCACCTCCGCGATGCCGACCTGGCAGATCTTGATGCTACACGTCAAGCACGGACACGTATCACAGTACAGCACGGATCCCTCCCGGATACGCTCCCTCCCGGCCTCCAGAAGCGCATTCTCCTCGGCATGTATGCACAGACACGTGGCCAGGCCGACCCCAGAGCTGCTCCCCTCGTTGCATCGAGGACAGCCGCCCTCTGCGCAGTTTCGCAAGCCGCGGGGCGTGCCGTTGTACCCAGTGCTGATGACTCGCCGTTCTCGCCCAACCAGCACACAGCCAACGCGTCGTTTCATGCAATTCGACCGCTGTGCCGCGAGAGATGCCAGTGCCATAAAGTAGGTATCCCAGCCTGGCCTCATGCGGTCCGGGTTGGGGATGTCGAGTTTCCCCAGGGTCGCATAGAGATGGGCCAGCGAGGATGAGGTATTGAGCAGCCGGACGGTGGCTCGCGAAATGAGCGGCTGTAGGCCAGTGTGAGGGTCGTATAGATGCAGGTCATTCTGGGTGACAAACTCCTCAAGACTAATGACAGATTGCTCTGGCTGCTTGGAGCGCTGCTGGAAACGACGCCAACGCACGGTGAGCGGAGCGTCAATGGAGATGAGCAGGAAGAATGGCCGACGGATGAAGACGTCAAGCACCTTCTCTGTGGGGATATCAGTTGTCACAAAGCGGCTGCGCCATCGCCGAGTCACAAAATCCAACAGGTCTTCAGCCGTGGTAAAGACATGAGAGGATGGGCTGGTCCCATTAGTGGTGGTTACCCCAGCAAAGGCCGCATTGCCGCTGTCAGGGGATGGTGATGTCTCTCCCGTGGCGTCCTGGTCTGAGACTGACGCAGAGGATTGCAGATAGAGATGCTTGAAGCCGTGATGCTCAACCAGATACTGGGCCACAGTCTTCTTACCCGAGCAGATGCCTGGATTCGATGTCAGGTTAGCCCGCTATATCTTGTCTGAAGCTCCAGTCTGTACGAAACACTGTGCGCATGCGGATGACGTACTGCCACATATTCCGACGAGCATCTTGGCCTTTGACCCTGGGAATCTGCAGGCCTGTAATTTCTTTGAGCTTCACGTGCAAACTCAGCATCGAGTCCTCCACAAAAGAATTTCAGATCGCGTCTGGGCATCAATCAAGGCGCGGATTTGGCAAGTGGGGCGATGTGGAGGATACCACATAGACATCCAATGGCCCTCATTAGCTGCTGCTTCAACAGAGCTACAGTAATACTGAGAGCTGCTAACTGGAGCTACACTCAGCTGCCGCTTTTTTACTTGTACAACACGAAGGATGGAATTACCAACCAATGAGTCTTGTAACCCAAATATTTAAAAATAACTTGAAAGATAGATAATTACCTAATCAAAGTGACATATCGGAACCTGTGCTCAGTTCACTCAATCACTCTCAAGTACCTAGGTAGGTATTCTCTATAATAATTAAGCAGCTCGAAATGGGCGTAAATTCATTCAGTTATTCTCCACGGGTGTTTGGATATATCCACGGATGCATAGGACTCATCTTTGGATGTGCGGCAACTTTACAGAGTAACGAACCACAAGCCGGCATACAGAGCATACCCAAGTATTCGTACTAGAATCTGCACCAGGACAAGTCATTTGCAAACGGGTGTGTGTCTTGTACGTCGATTTGCATGCGCAATCCGCGTCAGTCTATCCAAAATATTAATAGATTCTCCTTCACGGGGGCGAAGGAGTACGAGGTACGGATATCCATCCGTTAGCCTATGACCACGCTATTCGGATTCGAGTTTGCAACTCCGAACCAACTATTCCAGTCTTTCGTGGAAAAATCAACTCCTCCACTCTTCGCAACCGCATACCTTGCAACTCCAACGGTCAATCATATCCAATTTCATTGCCAAAGCCCCAGAATTCAATCCACACAGGCGCCCTTTGTCGAACCCACCCTTAAGGCTCCGTTCGCATTAATATCCTTAGGGCGGGCGCAGCTCTGCTTAGTCTTCATCACGAGCCTGCGAGAATGCAGCAATTGTCAACGGGATAGGAACCCAGACCCCTGCTATTTGTCTATTTCCGGTCTCCACCCTTAATAGTTCGCGAGAACACACCACTAAGAAGGCGTCCGGAATCATGACTTGTCATTTTGGACTTATTCATCGTTGTTTTATGTAAGTTTGATATGATAAGCACTGACGACAAGCGTTGCATTAGGGGGGTAGTAGTCAGTGAAAAGAGGGAAATGTCTAGCGGCGAGTCAAGCAGAAATACAGGAGGTGGAGAGGAATCTAAAGGTCAATATAAAGATGAACTTGGTAGCCCCCCTGCGAGGCACTTCGTGCCGAGTGGGATTGTTTTTGCTGCTTGGTGCTGTTGAATGTTTGCTCAAATCGTTGTTCTACATCGGGTTTGAAACGAGCAACGATGGAGTCGCTCTGTGTAGCTCTGGTTTCGTTCGCTAGCGTCGTGTTAGTGCTGCGACAGACGGACGCGACGATTCCTCTGGCAGCAGCATTCGGCCTTTTGGTGTATATTCTTGGGACGGTGGTGTACAAGGTTGGAAAGGCGTTGATATACCCTTTCTATATCTCTGGATTGCGACATCTCCCTGGACCAAAGGTATGGCAGAATCTGTATGATTGGTGGTGGGGCATCATCAGAATGCGCCAGCGCAAGAGAAAAATGCAAAGAAAAGACGAGAAAGGAGCTAATATATGCTGGTGTCAATGTAGGATAACCAGTTCCTCGTCGGTCAGGGTATTCGCCTGCTCAAAGCTGCCGGTCCCAACGACTTATATCTCGACTGGGTGCGCAAATGGCCCGATGCGCCCTTCATTCGCCACCTCACCTTTGGTAACTCGGAGGTGCTCTTGGTGAATAGCCTGGAAGCGGCTCGCGAGGTGCTCCAGACACATGCATATTCGTTTGTCAAGCCCAGCTTCTTTGTGAAGCTGGTGGGGGAGATTTTGGGGACTGGCATCTTGTTCAGTGTGGGGGAGCAGCATAAGCAGCTGCGACGAATCATGGCCGGTAAGTCGGCCATTCTTTAAAAAGAGTCCAGAAGCTCTGTAAATGAGTCGACTCTGATATGGAGCTGGTAATAGGACCCCTCTCGAAGCCGAGCGTGCGAAAAATGCTTCCCATATTCAAGGACAAGGCCAGAGAGCTATCTACCGAGTTCGATACGGCGATAGGAGGAGAGAAAAATGGAGTGGTTGAAGTCGAAGCTCTATTCTCCCGAACAGCTTTCAAAGTCATCAGCACCGCCCTACTTAGCAGGGACATCACCGAGTTTCGATCTAAGTCATCGCCTCTCAGCTTCGAAGAATGCTACAGAGGCATTCTCAACCCACCGCTGCTGGGAAAGTTAATCACCTTCATCAACCCGTTTATTCCGCTGCGGTGGCTTCCGATCGAGGCGAATCTCGCCTTTATCCGAGCTCACACGGCTCTAAGGGCGATGCTCTCCGAGCTGATACAAGAGCGTGTGATGCAAGTCCAGCAAGATAAGAAGAGTGGCCGAAGCGATGAAAATGCTGGGCCCAAGGACTTCTTGACACACATGATTGAAGCGAATCTGGCTGAGAAAAAGGGCGTGTCAGACCAGATGTTGATTGACGTTGTAAGTAGCCTTCTGTTGATATGATTCCTGGTTTCGGCACTAACTCGAGTACCTGTAATCTAGATTATCCAAAGCGTTTCCGCAGGCCATGAGACGACGGCTGGTACTCTCACCTGGACTATATACGCGCTCGTTCAATACCCGGATATGCAGCAACGTTTACGCGAAGAAATCTTGTCTGCCCAACAGAAACAGCCCGAGCTGGATGCCGCAACCATCGATAGCCTCCCATATCTCAACAACATTATCAGCGAGAGTCTGCGCGTCTACTCACCAACCCTCATGGCTCCATGGGAAGCCGGTGAAGATGTCGTCATTGCAGGCGTTTCTATCCCAAAGGGCACTACCGTCACAACGATTCCGGCCATGGTTCATCTCAACCCGGCCATCTGGGGCGCTGACGTCGAGACTTTCAACCCGAATCGATGGGAATCGACGACGGGGGCGGCGGCCAACCCGTTTGCCATTGAGGCGTTTATCAATGGCCCGAGAACGTGTCCTGGGCGAGCACTTGCGCTGTTGGAGATTAAGACGGTGCTGGTGGAGATGATGAGCAACTTTTCGCTGGAGGCTGTTGATGTAGACGTGCAGCTTGAGCATCCAAGTTTGACGCTGAAGCCGAAGGGAGGATTGCACGTTCGAGTGCAGAGGCTGTGAAAGTGGTAATTGCTATCTGTATATAGTACCTATCAGTATTCGTGTTTTGGCACTACTATCGACATGTTGAATAGAGAAGGCTGCCGTTACGCTCTACAACTGCTACCTACAATCATTAGCAGGTTATCCGTTACTATCCCATCGGCTGCCGTAACCTGATTTCATCATCATTTTACGGGCTCAGGGCTGCCCCCTTTCATCATTGCCATCATCACTATACCACGACAGGAAACTGGGACCGAATGGCCGTATCCGTGGACGGCCGCTCTTATGTATAATGAATAATACTTTCATTCTATCAGATGCCGTGATTTGAGCTCTGCGTCTCGTCTCGAAAGACGGCTAGCATCATGATGTGATGATATCTACCCCCATCGCGCCCTTCCCACTTTATGTGCCTTTCCAGAAGAGTCTCCAAACGCCATAAAACTCAATTTTTATATTGCTTCCTAGCTTACGCAAGTATGTGATCCCTCCTCTATATATTTTCCCTCCACCATGCCGCTTACTCCAGCTCGATAGTGCCGGGAGGCTTAGAGGTCCTAGAAAGGGCTGTCTCAGCTAGAAGTTCGAAACCAATGCAGGCGAAAGGGTTTACTTACAAATCATAGACAACTCGGGACACGCCATCTACCTGATTGCAAATGGCGCGAGAAACTTTCCCGAGGAACTCGTTGTCGAAGTTGAACACCTCGGCGCTCATGAAATCCTTGGTACGAACAGCGCGGAGAATGATGATGTAACCCCAAACTCGCTGATCTCCAAAAACACCAACACTACGGCTGGTATCGAGACCAGCAAAGGCTTGAGAGATCTAGGAGAGAAGAGTTAGCTTGAACTCGTTTTCGTTTGTGAAGCGACTCACCTGATCATAAAGGCCAGCCTCCTTAATCATGGTAATAAAGATATGGTCTGCCTTGCGAGCAATTTCCACTCTCTCCCTTTTATTTTGTTAGTGATCGGCAAACCAAGAAGTTGGGGGAAAGGAAATAATAAAAAACGTACTTGGTCACATCACCCAAGATGCGAATGGCAATGCCAGGACCGGGGAAGGGGTGTCTGTTCACGAGCGACTCGTGGATGCCGAGCTGGCGACCAATTTCCTATAGAATTTAATATAATTGAATATAAGAACCGCGCTCTTGAGTTTCACTTACCCTCACTTCATCCTTGAACAAAAGGCGGAGCGGTTCAATAAGCTGTAATAGAAGCCACATCAGCTTTCTCTTCTTTACGAAAAGGTGAAGAATATACTTACACGCAAACCTTGCTAAACGAGCCATGTCAGTCAGTATACATCAAACCCTACCTGGGTAATATGACTTACGCCGTTCATCATCCGCTATGTACTGGTTAATCAAGGTACGTTTGTGTTGGGGAGCTTGATATTACTTACCTCAGGCAGGCCCCCGACATTATGGTGGGCTACGTATCTCTCATGTCAGCCTTTGTCCGTCTCTTCTTTACACAGCTTTGAGGGAGTAATCATGCGACGATTTGGGAAGGCCGATGGCCCCCACACTGGCCCCCACATATGCCCCCAAAGATCTTGATCAATTTACTTACTTTTTATTGTCGCTGAGGGACCTCTAAAACTCAAAGACTCGATACTGAAATACCATCAGCTGGGATTCTGCAATTGGCTCGAAATGACTTACACGTCAGGGTACAGTGTTCCCTGCAAAAACCATTCCACCTTCCCGCTGTTGGGTGTGTTCTCTGCCTCTTGCTCGATCTTGTGAGTCCTGTTAGCAAGCCGCATAAACCGTCAGGGAAGGGCGAGCGTACTCTGATAGCCTCTTTCTCGAACAAATCGATAACTGTCATGTAGTCAGTATCAGTTCGATAGTCCATCGCGGACAGCATGAAATACGCACAAGTCGACCCAATAATCTTTCGCTTCTTTTCGGGATCAGTAACACCTGCAAGACGGCTCAAAAACAGCTCGCCCGCATCGACAACTGTGAGGTCAATGCCAAGGTGGTGTCCGAGAGTCTCCTTGACCTGCTCGCACTCGTTGAGACGCATGCATCCATTGTCGATGAGGATGGCCTTGAAGCGGTCACCGATGGCTTCACGCATCAGGGCCGCTCCCACAGTGCTGTCCACACCACCGCTACATGCGCCGAGGACGAGTGCTCGGTCACCCACAAGCTCCCGGATACGAGCAATCTCGAGCTTGACAAAGTCGCCCATTTCCCAATTTGCTTGGGCTCCGCAGATATCAACGCTGAAGTTGCGGAGAATGTCGGTTCCGCGGGGTGTCTATATCTAAATGTTAGAAGGAATCCTTGTGTATTGTTTTAGGGTGACAAACGTGTTCTAGCTCAGGGTGGAACTGAACGCCTAGTTGCCTTGTGTTAGCATCTTTCCATACTGGGCCACAGAAGGAGCTTGGAGGAGACAAACCAAAGATGGGCTTCTCTTCATGGGCGATGGCGGCGAACTCCGAGTTTGTGGTGGAACCAATGACCGAAAAGCCCTGATAGAGTCAATAAGTTGTCCAGATGAACGAATTCATTTTAATTACCGTAGGCAGGGAAACTAGCTTGTCATAGTGGGACATGAAGACGGGAATCTTATCTCCCAAGCCAGCGAAGAGCCGGTCGGCGTGATCATTGACCTTGGTGACGTTGACGTCGGCGTGGCCATACTCTACGAGGCAACCGTCAGGAATAAGTTCAGTTGATTCTTCCAATGTTACAAACCTCGTGCCTCTCCGCGGGCAACATTCTTGGAGTCGATTCGCCATGCAATCTCCTGGCAACCATAGCTGCCAACAGTATTAGTGCCATACCATGTACCGGTGTGGAAGAAAGTCATACCAAATACCGCTATGCCTCTGCGTTAGCCTAGGTTGAGAAACTTGAGGGACGGGTAGAAGCTGCTCACAGAATGGGTACACCAAGCTCAAAAACCGCGGGATCAACATCTACACATATGAGTATAGGTAGCAGGACGTTCGGGAGATGGATGCCTTACGGGGCGAGCCCTCGTCGTAGACAGAAGAAGGGCCTAGTAGTTCTGTCAGACCTCGGCGAAAACCATGCTTCATGAGATTTCTCACCTCCGGAGAAGACGATTCCTTTGGGCTTCCATGTCAGATCAGCGATCTTGGTGGTGCAAGGAAGCAGCTCCGCGAAGACGCCGAGAGCTCGAAGACGTCGCAGGATAAGATGACTCGTTTGAGACTTCAACGTGAGTCAGTATTTGCCATTTAAAGCGGTCTCGGGACCCAGGCAGTGGTAATGGAGCTCCGTTTATCGACTCCGAGGCTCGTGATGAAGGGTCGAAAAAGGGAAGAGGGACTCCCGAAAGTACATACGCCAAAATCGAGAACCAGAATGGTCTAGAGAGCCAAGTGTTAGCCAATCCATTCTTCTCACGTATATGAATCGATTGCGCCTATGCACCGCAGCTTGGGTGATCGATCGCAAGGCATGGAGAGCGAGCACAAGATTTTTTTTCCCCTGCGGCTCGCTCTTCCAGCCCTCTGCGGGGCACTGAATTGATGGCACGTACGTCGAATTGGTTGTGAGGGGTCTCGGCCTCGAGGGTGGCAGCCATTGTGACTTGATGTTGGTTTCGGCGGCGTATTGAGAAGATTGGCAGTGTTGGCAAAAGTTGATCTTCCGCAGAGAGAAAATTGAAGCAAAGATATGGAAGCACTGCTATGTATACCTATGAAGTCATGCCCCTCCATCGAATTTGCTAATCTTATCTACCCGTTGGTTCCACTTTTGGAAACTTTTGCGGCCGGACTGACTCACATCCCGAAATCGCATGAGACTCATATATATCTATGTGTAATTCCTAAACGTAGAATTTCTTCTTATTATTATTTATGTTTATCTCTTTCGTAACGCTTGAATTTTTTTTTCTGCATCTGTGGTGTCCTCGATGATACAAGGTTGGCGTTTTCAAGGTGGGGTTGTATCTGGCACAATGAAATTTTTAGTACCTACTTAAGTACCTATAAAGATAAATGAGGATTAAGACAATAGATAAAATAATAATGATCAAGTACTCAAGCAAGTAAATTCACAATATAGCCCACGTGTTTTTAGTTCGATACAATAAGTGTTAGTTGAAATGTGTGTATCAGCTAATTTTGTGTATACCTACCTACATATTTACCTTTGATTTGCCCGCCTTTTCCTCGTACAACTACATGTAATAGCTTTAAGAACTACTCCACAGTAGCGTCTATATTTCTTATACAGAGCAATAGTTGGTTGGCTAAATACCTATATATCAACTCTTCAGCAGCTTACGCATACGGATTAAATATTCACAGGTTCTCTACTCCGTAGTTCTCATCGACCTGAATGCATGGTTAGTCTCTCCCGCTAGTAGGGCTGACGCGCCTTGTTATTGCATCCGCCCTTCTCTAATTGGCTTGTTCCCGCGTCAGCAACGTGCTGAGACTCAAGTATGACCCTCGCGATGCAACTCTACAATAAGGGGCAACCAAAAGAGTTCAACCGGGGCCGGTCCCTGAAACCCGCGGCACCTAAATGAAGCATAGTAGTTCGTAGCACGGAATCGGTGGACAATCAATCATCTCATTCCTCTCCTCACCCCCCTGCCGACGCTATCTCTCAACTCATTACGACTATTTGTCTCCTCCCCGCCTGTCTGTGCTCTATTCGTCCATTTTCGCCCTTCTCCACGATCAACTCCGGATGTCTTCGAGCCGCCAACCACAGCCAGGACGCAGCTCGGGCCGCACGCTGTTAGCCTGCGAGCCTTGCCGCAAGAGGAAATCAAAGGTATGGTCTCATCCAGTCGCCCCGATTTTCTGCCTTCAGCCTCGTCTTTTCCGGGCCAGGATACGATGAATACGTGTATATGTACATGTATGAGTACTATAATGTATGGATTAGCCCATAGTATGGCTGGGCAGTGCCTGTTGCTTGTGCCTGTGTGGAGGAGAGCCCGGCTGTGCGAGTCGTGTCCGAGCCCATCAGGGACATGACAGTTGCTGCGGATTCAGCTGGGGGCGAGATGACTAAACCAATGCAACTGAGTCCCTTGACGGGTGCTGAAGCCGATGCTGATGCTGTTCATTTGCAGTGCGATGGCGATAAGCCCCTCTGTGGCTCCTGTCGGTCCCATGAGCTGGCTTGTCACTACGAGCCGGCTCGACCTACACGGCGGTACGGGCCCTTTTTATCCTCCATCTACCTTGTATCCGAGGCTCAAGATGGGAGAGTACATGTATGTATCTGTGACAAGAACCGCTTGCTAAGTCCTCGACGCGTCCTCCAGGCAAAAGTACTGGGACCGCGACTATGTCCAGGCCCTCGAAGACCAAGTGCGGCTGCTGTCCGCGTCCCTCCAACAGGCCAAGGAATCTGGCTCGTCCCAGTCAGCTTCGCCAGCCAGCCAGCCATCACCCTCGGAGCCCAAACAGCTTCCCTACGGCCCGAAGATGCTCAAGGCCCTGCACGACTTTGGCTCCGTCAAGTGGGCCGATGCCACCGGCCGGGATGGACTCCCCATCCTGGCCGGCCCGGGCCGCTTCTCCTTTTACTCAAACACACTGTTACCTACGTTTGAGGACGGCACAAAGCCCTCGCCGCCACCCACACTGTCAACTGAGACGTTTTTACTGGAGATTGCCTCCAATCTGAGCCTCAAGCAGCATCTCAAGGCACACTTCCTCGAAAATATCAATTCTTATTACAAGTTTGTCGATCCCGTCTGGCTGAACTTCTCCGACCTATTTCCCCACAACGATACAGCCCTGCAGCTGCTCTACAGTGCCCTGTTTGCGGCTGCCGCATACTCGTCGCCTGTGGCCACCAGAGAGACTGCCGAGGCCTTCATGGCATATGCCGAGGGCTTGGTGCAGCAGTGCTATCTGGAGCACTTGTGTCTTCCTGTGCTGCAGGGCCTCATGATCATTGCTTTTTATAAACACGTACAGCTGGATGCGGCCAAGGGCCATCTATACCACTGTGAGTCATGAGATGAGGCTGTTAATTGTTGTTCATGAGCTGAATGAAAATCTTTGTTTTGTAGATATGGCAATCGGGCTATCCAACCATCTAAAAATCAGAGACGTGCCGCCACAGGAGCGAACTGTCAATGACGTGGCCACCATTAGGACCTTTTGGTCCCTATTTTTCCTTGACCGGTTTGTTCATCCCGCCTCGGCACAGTTGAAGATGTTGACAACTTACATCTTTCACTCTTCACGTACAGAATCTCTACTCCAAAGCTAGGTGCCCCTGCGGCGATTCCATGGGAGCCCGACAGCATCACGCCGTATATTGACACCGTGCCACCGGAATTGGTCGACACTGCCTCGCTCTCCTTTGATCACCACTGCCGGCTGTACCACATCCAGCAGCAGTACATCGACGTCATGTAAGAAAATCTCCCTCTGACCGAGGTTCATTCTGAGACTAATGAGCCATCAACAGGTACTCCCCCCATTTTCAACAGCGTCCAGCCGCCGAAAAACAAGCCATCTTCGCCAAAGCAAACAATGCGATGTTGGCTTTGCGGAAGAAGATTGATAGGCGCCTCTACATCAGTCGTAACGTGAAGCCTAATAGAGTCCAAGTCGTCTTCTGGATCACATATCACTCCATCTTAATCAACCTCTATCGCCCAATTCTCAATCCCAAAGATCCCGGCATGACTGACAACATCCCCACGGCCTTTCGATCCGCCACGGCCTCGGCTATGGCCATTACTAGAATGCTCAAAGGCCTCCAAGCGACCGATGAGATCAAGTATCTACCACCTTTCATCATCTACCACGTCTTCCGCGCGGCATTGGTTCACGGCCTCAACCTCATCGCCGCCGAAGAAGCCGGCGGCCAGCGAATGTCGTCGGGAAATTTCTGGTCCTGTTTCCGCGTGCTCGGGGAGCTGAGCGGTATTTGGAAGGAGCTTTCTGAGGGCACGATGCCGTTTGTGCTCTTGGCTACGAGGGGTTGGGGGCTTCAGGAAGAGGCCACGGGTGTGGCGGACGAGAAAGACGAGGAAGAGGACGATTATGAGGCGGGGATAAACGACCTTATTGGCGAACTTGAGGGAGAAGCCGTGTGATTTTTGCGTCTTTTGCTGAATGAATTTCTCAATGACGTTGATGGAAATGTTATACAAAGTCTCAATTTTAAAGCGTTTGCAGAATATTGAAGCATGTTAATATATGAGTAAGATCTAAAATTGTATACGACTGGCATGTTTGAGTACACATCTATTTTGATGCACCACAAAATATAGACTCAAGCAAAGAAATAACACCCTTAAATGATGGCGACAGCACATGCCCCCAAATAAATAACTCATCTCTCACCCTTCCCCATCTAGTTGGACTTGCAAGTCACATAGCCAACCGCAGCAGGCGGGTGAACCGGCACAGTCGTCGGCTTGCGGACAGAGACGGCCCCAAGGCTCTTGTTAGTAGGAGCCTGGAAAGAGCACGAAGTGAGGACGTAGTGGCGGCCGTCAAAGGGGGGCGCGACGAAGACGTCAGTGACGATGCCAGTGGATGCTGTTGAAGAACCGTGTTAGTTTTTCACTGTCATTCATAGATGGAGATTGGGTTTACGCACGCAGCTTTTGGGTGCCGCTGTTGACTTTGACGTTAATTGGCTTGGTGTAGGTGCCGTTGGAATACGTATAAGCAATTTGAGCCGTCTGATTGTCGTGAAAGTGGTGAGCAGGCGAGGCGACAGCAAGGCCTGTCAGGGCAGCAGCGATGATAGCAGAGAAGTGCATTATGATGATGTTGCTTTTATAAGCTGAGTAAAGTATACGTATGTACGAGAAGTGAATGACAATTTTGTTTTTATAATGAGTGATATGTTAGAAAAGATGTTGAATAGAAGAGGCCGTTTCCTTCCCCCTTTTAAGCAAAACCATTCTTCAAGGCCCATCTTATAACCTTTCCGCCATTTGCTCCTGTCTCCATTTGTATTGCCCATCTTTGCCAGTTCTTGTCATTATGGAGTAGGGAAGATTAGGACGTATAAAATCCCGCTCCTGCCCAACGTAACATGTGCCAACTGATCACAGCAATAATCTTTGCTGTTATCTGAGCCGGCAATGGCAGAGATCAACATTAAGGGATATGCAAAGCTATCTCAAAGTCTGACAGGCCGGCGCTGTCAAGGGACGGGGCCTGAAGATCATTGCCTAACTCGGATCGTTAGCTGGCAAGGGGTCGCCAAGGCTATGAGGTTATCTCGTTGCCAAGATTGGTGAGCCATTGTCATTTCTTCAATCCCTTTGATGATTTACTATTTACTAAATTTTTTCATCTTTTGAGTAGTCGTTTGTTTATATCAGAAAATATACGCAATTCAGGGAATTCTCTTCTCTGACCCAATCTTTCTTTGGTCTGCGCAAACTATTCGTGAATTCTGGGGCCACCTGTTTGAGGTTGTAGTGATCGACATCAATTGCGGAGCGATATTCGGTGCGAATATTTATCTGCGCTCCGTGCTTGATATCCAGGCATTCATGACGCGGCGTCGCCGACAAATGAAAACCGGCAAACGAGATGTTTTTTTTGAACAGATCGAAGCAAGGCGAATTTTTGTGGTTCTCGAATATGATATTTCCAAGCTTTGCGATTCAGTTCCTTCGCACGGTCATCGCAGGATCGAGTACAGGTAGTACCCATAAGTTGCTCTCATGAATCATGCCTGATACGCGTCTTGGGCTCTTCCGCATGACTTGATCGACATAAGCGCCGTGCCGTAGAGATCTGCGTTGCATACCGAGAGTAGCAGGTCGCAAAGAACCTGAAAGGCCGTTACGGGATCGACAAGTCGTGAGAGATAGTCGGCATTGCGATTTATTTACTGTAGCAGATTGACAGGATAGTAATCTCGTATCAATAGTCGAGATTGGTATGATTAAAGCTTGGATTTATATGAGTCTCGATGATGGCCCCCGACTGACTATACATACTCGTATGTAAATGGCGAGCTCTATCCAAAGAAATAAAAAACGATATTTCACTCCTCTAATTTGAAGAGATGCGAGTAATGTTCACGTTGTCAAACTCTGCCTCTGTCCCAAATACTCTCACACCATCCATTCCGCTCTTATAGACGTCGTCTTTTACGCAGATAATAATGTGCCGCTCGCCTTTGAGCTCCACATGTATCGAGCTCCCATATGCCGTCACCCTGAGTCGATATTGCTCTGCCGGCTCAATACCAGCCTCTTCTTTTCCTAGAACTTTGAAACCCGTTCCATCGGTTCGGCCGAGGATCAGAGCGCCAGAAGTGCCAATGACTGCATAGTAGCCTTTGAATGCGGCATCGTCACTGGCTGGCTCTGACACTCGGAAGGCAAGGCCTGCATAGCCGTGGCAGTTCTTGGCGCCCTTATTTGAGATTTTCACATCGGCCTCATAGATAAAGTCGAGAAAGTTAGTGTTAAGCAGTGCTAGGCCACCTGATGAAGCGGTCCCTTGCAGAACATTTGTTTCAGCACCCCAGTCGCCTCCATAAGTTTCCCAGCCGATCATGTTTCCGTCTTCAAAGTTGTCATGGACCAGCATCTTGACTGGTTCAATAGTGCCGTCATCATTAAAGTAGAGCCGGTCATATGCCAAGTGTCGGTCGTTTCCGTCGGTGGAGCCTAATGGATGCCGATGGTACAGCATGTAGTAGATATCCGCATCAGGGACTTGAATCACCGCGTTGTGACCGGAGCCTGTTGCCACGGCTTCGTCTTGTTGCAATATCTTGGCGATACGGTCAAATGGTCCAAGTGGTGAGCTGCTCATGCCGTATGAAACTGCATAGTCAGGCCCTCCCCAGCCACCTTCACTCCAGAAGAGATAGTAGATGCCCTTACGCTTAAGCATTTGTGGGCCTTCGACGTAGTTCTCTGGAGTAATCTCCTTGAAGGTGGTGCCATCGTCAAAGGTACCCAGGCTAATCATGTCGTCGTTCAGTTTGGCGACGTTGGCGTGAGAGTGTCCGCCATAGTAGATGTAAGCCTGCCCATCGTCGTCGATGAAGACGTCTTGATCAATGGGTTGTGCACCGTTATGATATGCGTCAATGAGTGGATGGCCAAGGGGATCTCGATACGGGCCCTCTGGCTTCTCTGCCACGCCCACACCGATGCCGCCCAGCTCCGAGTTGGACTGGATATCGTTGGCGCCGAAATACAGGAAATACGTGCCGTTCCGATAGATCGGTGCCGGGGCCCAAACAGCTCGATGTGCCCAGGTGAAATTATCAGCAGTCAGGATTGTCGAGTGTTTCTCCCAATGAACCAGGTCGGGAGATGAAAAGGCATCGAGATATGTCTGCTCGTCATACGGCCGCGACGCCGTCGGATATACCCAGTACTCGCCATTGTAGAACTGAGTGTCTGGATCAGCATACCAACCGTCGACAAACGGATTTCCCGCTTCGGACGTAGCAAAGTCGGGCGTCTTGGATGAGGCAGCCAGACATGAAGAGGACCAAACAGTCGCCAGCAGTGCTTGGACCGATCGAGACTGCATCTTGAGATGGTGAGCAGGTTATATCAGCTCTCGCATTATTTACTTAGTTTTCCACTCTTTGATTTCGCTTGTCTAAATCTCAGATCTTGCTCAGCATCAAGTGTTGAACAGGGCATGATGGTCATGCGGCCAGGTGAAGTGACCATTCAGCTGGATGTACTAATTCTAGCGCTGCAATGGTACGTCCATTAAGTACCGAGGTACACGCACTAAATCTCACATCATGTAAATTTCAGCGCCAACCGACAGTTGTTGATTATTTTCATATGGAGTGAGATTGAGTTGAATTCTGAGACTGGATTGTATGCATGTATAAGTAATCAAGTCGAACGGGGTAAAGTCAATACCTGCTGGAGGGACAAGATCCACAGATTGATAAGATCAGTGATGCAGCCACATTCATCTTATCAGCTCATCCCACAGCCTTCAAACATGGTCACCAGTCAGTCAAAATGCAAAAAGCCCTCTTGGCCAATCGATTCTCTTCCCGGATTCTGAAATTGGTATCGCGCGCCACCATGACGAGACGGTATTTCGGCACGGCGACTCCAGCCAAAAAGTCCACTTTACGGGGACAACTCCATCAATAGTTCCATCCGCACTCTTGCACAGCCGCTGTTTGACTGCTTTCTCGGACCACCAATCTGGCCGGTGTGGAGAAGAATTGGCGTATCTTGTTCTTTTTGGATCATTCGGAATCGAGTTTTGATCTCCGACTGGAGATGCTGATGATGTAAATCTCGACTGAGTGAGTGATATAAAAGTTGCGGCAGTTGCGGAACGGCTCATTGAAACAGCACCCGAATGACAATCTCGAGAAGAAGGAAATAAGAGAGAAGAGGTATTTGTAAGCGAATGATGTTTCAAATGTATAATGAACGTCATTTTGTAGATGGAAAGATTTTTATCCTTTTTCTCTATTTCGGATAGCAATCATGAATGCCGCAAGCTTTGGTACAACAGACTATGAGAATCATTCCACTGCTCTATCAAGGCTTCAGACAAATTATTAGCGCCTTGATCATTAAATCCTAGTAGAAATCGGCTCAATTTTAGAAATGCCAAGTTGACGGCTCCCCGAGTCGGCCACTAGGGCTGATCGTGGGTCTCAACCGGCTTCAGATTCCGAACAACAACGCCGATATCCACGACATACCAAAAATCTCCGTATATAATCAGATGCTCCTGTCTTCTCATCTAATCTTATCTGATCTGGTAATTGCTCATGGTAAATCAGTTCCTCTGCCATCTTCATGCCTGCCATGGAGACCAAGGCGCCGGAAGCCACCGAGGCTGGCGAGATTGGATTCCAGAGCAGGAGATCAAGCATCTCCGAGGACAAGCGGCCGTCTGGTATACAGTCCATCATACCCATAAACTTTGTTCTTGAGCTGATCATGTTATTTTTTTACCAGAGGAATCTAAGACGCCAACAGATGAGATCCTCTACGCTGCCGGAGTCGGACTCCGGGCAGATGACCCCTTCTTGCCATGCCTCACTTTACGCATGTGGGTGATTGGCATTGGCTTCTGTCTTATTGGAAGCGGTGTCAACACACTATACACATTCCGGCTCCCATCAGTCACCCTCTCCCAGTCTGCGATCCAGTTCCTAGCATATCCTCTAGGCAAAGCTTGGGAGTTCGTCGTCCCAGACTGGGGCTTGACCGTTTGTGGTGTTCGTCACAGCCTGAATCCTGGCCCCTTCAACTACAAGGCACGTAAATCGCATTTGAAGCCTTACAAAGACGTAAAACACAATCTGACATGCATGATTTAGGAAAACATTCTCATCTACATCCTGGCCAACTTGAGCTACCTTACCCGTCTAAGTGCCGATGTATTGACCGAACAGCGAGTGTTCTATGGTGCCAACACTGGATGGGGCTTCGAAATCACCATCACACTTGCTACTATTCTCTTTGGCTTTTCCCTAGCCGGATTTGGTCGATCGCTTGTCGTTGATCCAAAAAGCTTGGTGTGGCCTGGTGTGCTGGCCAACACAGCCTTGAATGCTGCTCTGCATCCTGTAGGAAAAGAAGACGAAACAGAGTATGCCGCCTGTTCCTTTGATAAGGATAGCTCTAGACTGACTTCTTAATCAGGGCCAAATGGAAGTCTTCTCGCTACAAATTCTTCTTGATTGCTTTCTCAGCGGCCTTTGTCTGGTACTGGTTCCCAGATTTCATCTTTCCAGCGCTGGGGTATTTTACCTGGGTCTGTTGGATAGCACCTCGCAACCCGGTCGTTAACCAGATATTTGGAATGAAGAGCGGCATAGGTCTTTTACCATTCACATTTGATTGTAAGCACCATGAATCTGATATGTCATTCCAAGCTCACCTATAATGTGTAAGGGGCGGAAATCGCATACATCGGCAGCCCTCTGGTGGTACCAACCTGGGCCATTCTTAACACTCTTGCATCGGTCGTCTTTTGGATCTACATTGTCACACCAGCGATCTACTACACAAACACTTGGTTGTCGGCATATCTTCCTATTCAAAGCAATTCCATTTATGATAACACTGGAAGCACTTACAACGTTTCTCGAGTCATTAACAAGAAAGACGGATTCGTCTTTGAGCCGGAAAAATACGAAGAATACTCACATGTAAAAGAAATCTCCTATCTGTTATGCTTCAGCTACTAATATACACTAGATCTATCTTCCAGTCACTTATGCGCTCAATGCTTTCGGCCTGTGCTTTGCCTGCATCTCATCACTATTTGTTTGGATGTTTCTCGAGAAGCGTCACGAAATCGCGCAGGCATTCCGGGAATCTCAGCTTCCTGCGCTATTTGGCCGTAAAACAGACGCCAGGCCAAATCTGCAGCCGCAGTACAAAGATGTTCCCATGTGGTGGTACGGAGCTTCGTTTCTTGTGTCTCTAGGACTCGGGATTTTTGCCTGCGAGTTTTATCCCGTACAGTTACGCTGGTATGGAGTCTTTTTTGCCATGTTTGTATCTGCAGTCTTTTACCTTCCGGTATGTACATATATACCCCATCAGACCAACAGAGAAGATTGTACTAATACACTTTTTGAACAGTTGGCTTGGGTTTATGCCACGACCAACATGAAAGTACAAATTGACATCTTCTGCCGTGTGGTAGCTGGCTATATTTGGGAGGGCAAAGTGCTGGCCAACATCTGGTTCTTTGACTTGGGCTACATCTCAGGTATCAAGGCTCTCTCATTTGCTCAAGACCTGAAGCTGGGAATATACTCCAATGTAAGTCATAACACTCCATCATATATTATATGGAGGCTCTGCTGGAATAAAACTAATTGGATGCAGATCCCACCTAGGTACCTATTTCTTGTCCAGATCGTAGGCCTAATCATGGGAACATTGGGCCAGGTCTCGGTTCTGAACTGGGCGCTGGGTCATATCCCAGATATCTGTTCCCTAACTGCAAAGAACGGATTCACCTGCCCCTATTCTCGCACGCATTTCAATACCAGCATGGTCTGGGGTGCCCTCGGGCCTCGTCGGTTCTTCGCCGACGGGACTCTATACCGGGACCTCTTGTGGTTCTTCTTGATTGGCGCTATCCTGCCAGTCATAGTCTACGCCATGAAGAAAACTTGGCCAAACCAGCGATGGCTAGAAAAGATTCACATCCCACTGTTCCTTGGAGGACTAAATTACATCCCCCCTGCCTCTGGGACGAATTACGGCAGCTGGGTCATCGTCGGCCTGATCTTTGGCTTGTGGATTAAGAAGAAGAGCAGAGGCTGGTGGCGCCGATACAATTTTGTGCTCAGCTCCGCGATGGATTGTGCCACAGCCATTGCAGGCATCATCATCTTCTTTGCCGTCTTCTATACAGGAGCAGCCGACAAGTTCTCTTGGTGGGGAACCACGGTACATGAGGTTAGTTATGCCGCGATTTTTATGAATGTGAGCATCAGCTAATTGATGGTTTCTAGAATACTTGCGACTGGGACAGCTGTACGTATAAGACGGTCAAGAAGGGACAGACGTTTGGGCCGTAATGATACTATTTGAATGGGAAACGACCTTTTATTTGTAGAAATAAAAGACACTAGACTTTAGACAAAAGTAATAGAGTACATGAGATTTTACAAGGAGCATATCTAGGTAGAAAGTAGAAGCGACTAAGGCAATTTACGTCCGCGTATTCCGTTGTAACCCACGATTCAATAGCATGTTCGTAGTGGATGAAACACAGCGCAAGCAACGAACATATCACGAATTGCCATTGTGTATGCCGAATTTACACAACGGCCCAAAAATAAGTATGAGGAACGAAATCAATTTTTCACTCAGGATTCCAATTCGACATGATGCGCACCCTCCATGTACAAGTTGATGGTACTAAAAGAGGGAAATATACTTGAGCGCATTTCCCGAATATCAGCCGCCCCAGCCAATCACATCCGCCCATTTTGCAAGCAGCATCGAACCAGCCATTGAACTCCGATATATGCCATTTCAAAGCTCAAAACTGCCAAAACCTCGAGCCCTCCCACGACCAAAAAGTCTCCCCTCTCTTTCTCTCCTCCCTCCCCCCCGGCCACAATGGCGAGCAAAATCACGCCCTTCCTCCTCCGCTCCGGCGTCCGCTGCGCCTCGCGCGTCGCCCGCCCTCAGGCCCGCGCCTTTTCCATCACAGCCAGCCGGCCCAGCGACACCCTCCAAGTGGTAAAGTCTCCTCACCCAAAAACCTCAGCCTCTCCGGCTCTCCCATTCGTCAATTCGCCTCTTGCAATAATGGCGCTGCGTCCTTTTACAAGAGAGCGCCGAATCGCCCCATTGAGACACAAACGCCCAGAGTCGCTGACCTTATCATCCCGCAGCACCGAAACACACCCGACAACAACCCCGACCTGCCCTTCGAGTTCAACGCCCAGAATGAGAAGCTCATCGCCGAGATCCTCAAGCGCTACCCTGCCCAGTACAAAAAGGCCGCCGTCATGCCCCTGCTCGACCTAGGCCAGCGCCAGCACGGCTTCACCAGCATCAGCGTCATGAACGAGGTCGCCCGCCTGCTCGAGATGCCCCCCATGCGAGTCTACGAGGTCGCCTCCTTCTACACCATGTACAACCGCACCCCCGTGGGCAAGTTCTTCGTCCAGGCCTGCACAACGGTACGCATTCCCTGATTGTTATTTCTACGTCTACGCTTCCATTCTTCTCCAATGGCGGCTATGGGAAACAATACCATGTGTCGTAATTACAATTGGAGACAGCAAGGGAGGGGTAGCATCATATCATCATATCCCCCAGAAAGCATTCTCCAAAACTACCGGATATAAAAAAATACATGCAACTAACCCCTCCATACTAGACCCCCTGCCAGCTCGGTGGCTGTGGCTCCGACGCCATCGTCAAGGCCATCACCAACCACCTCGGCATCAAGCAGGGCGAGACCACCAAGGACGGCCTCTTCACCTTCATCGAGGTCGAGTGCCTCGGCGCCTGCGTCAACGCCCCCATGATCCAGATCAACGACGACTACTACGAGGACCTCACCCCCGAGACCGTCGTCAAGCTGCTCGACGCCCTCAAGTCCACCGCCGCCTCCGTCGGCAGCACCGCCAAAGCCCCAGCTGCCGGCCCCCTCACCGGAAGGAAGTCGTGCGAGAACAGCGCCGGATTGACGAACCTGACAGCAGAGCCGTGGGGAGTGGAGAAGACGAGATCCGATTTGTAAATTAAGAGGGGAATGAAACGAAATACGGGGGAGGCGAGGGCGGTGTTTGACACGGGTTTTAAATGTACATAACGCCATGTTGAATGCCAGAAAAAGTATAGACCAAATTTGGTGGTGTGCGATAAATACAATCAAGTTGATAATGCATGTGCATGGTCCTGGTTAATAGGACATTTGGTTCGTTGTATTTCTTTTCATGCAGTGCTTTTCCGCAATCTTAACTCATTTGCAAAAAATATCAAAAAAGGACAATGGACATGAGAGAGAAAAAGATTCAAAAGGAAAGGCGTTTAGGCAAGCCTCAAGATCCATCCCTCTCCACGTCGCCTATTGTTATCATCCAGGCCACCCCAAATCACAATTCCAGTTTCCTCCAAATCGAACATCGGGGCGCTGGCCAGCCAGCCCCGACCCCGTGGCATCTCCAACACCTCATCGTCATAGGGACCCATGGTGACCTTTGTCCACTTGCCTTCGCCAGTCTTGCGGCCCACGGCTGAGAACATGGCTGCCGTGAAACTTGCGGCACTCATGCCCACCGGCGGAACTTGGAATACCCACACGTCGTTATGGGATTTGCCAGCGCCGTTGTGGCCATCAGCGCTCGGGCTTGCCTCGCCCATGGTTAGGACGAGATACTCGGTGCCGCCGCCAAAGGTGATGGCCTCAAGAGAAGACACACTTCGAGGTGCAGGCCAAGCCTGAATACTCTCGGAAGGAATCTCTTGCGAGGAAGCTTCGGGCATAGCCTCTACGATAGACTGCCAGCTACCACGGGCTCGAACAGCCACCTCACCTCGAGTAACACGGTCGTCAAACATTTCAACCTCGAGGTTCAAAAAGTCGAGCTGACCTCCAAGCTCGTTCTGTCCGTCGTATCCGCCGAAACGGAAGATTCGACTCTTGCTGATGCAGATGGAAGTACCGCCACGGGCAGGTCCTGGCGCTGCGGGCAACTCAGTCCACATGCGCGAGTGGACGTCGAAAGCCCACAGGTCACTGGTACGATCGCCGTTGGCTAGACAGCCGGCATGCACAAAGAAGGTACCATAACCGCTCGTCTCCTCGTCAATTGCATTCTCAGCAACGTTGCCAACAATGGGATCCTGCGGGATGCCAGTCTTGGAAGTATCACCAAGCGCCCACTCTTGCCAGGTCTGAGGCTGGGTTGGCGGGGGAGGGGCAAAGTCGCGGGGCCGATCTGTCGCGGTAGCACAGTGATAGCTTCGCGGTGCTGGGTGAGGAACGATGGATCCGCCCTTGACAGCCGGGGCGGGATCGAGATAGGTCCAAAGTCGAGTGCGGGTATCAAAGATCCAGACACGACCGCCTTCATCCAGAGGCTTCATATCTGGCCCCCCACGGCCGCCGTACACAAAGATGCGGGACCCAATGACGGCAGTTGCATGCCCAACTCGTGGTGGTGGGACGTCACCTAGCTTGTCAGCTCGTCCTTTGCCCTTATCCGCTGCTGTTGGCTTGGTTTCTCCCTTGTCACTCTCTTCGGTGTCATCATTGTTATCGTTGTCACTCTCTTCCCCTTCGAGTTCATCGCCAAGGTCTTCAGCTTTGGCCTTGGCCTTGGCAGAGTCCAATGGCACCTCGTCCAATCCATCTTTTTTGCCCTTGTCCTGAATCGGCGTCGGCGTAGGGATCGTGTGGTCTGGCTTGGCTGGAATCTTGAAGTAGTCGGCACTAGCGCTGCTAAAGGGAAGACGAATGACAACCATGTCATTGTCAACGGGCTCGCGGGGATTGATCTCGCCACCAAAGATGTAGGCGCAGCCAGAGATGATGTCAAGAGAGTGGGAGGAACGGGGAACCGGAGGCAGATCGATGCGCTCCCAGGTGCCTCGGAGGCCATCTTGCTGGGGTTGCCTCCGGAAAGCATCAAAGGAAAACTGTGGCATGGCCGGCAGAGAAGAGAGAGCAGGCAAAGAAGGCATGGCAGGCATAGCTGGCATAGCGGGCATAGCGGGCATAGAGGGCATAGCTGGCATGTTGCTCTGCGCAGCTTGCCATACCTCCGTTGAACGGCGCTTGATGGTGCCGCCGATTTTCTCCATGGCGATGGTGGATAGCTTCCCAGAGCTCGAGAAGATGAAATGGTGATGACGAGGGAGAGGAGCGAGGGCTAAAGCGAGGGTTAGAGCAATGGATAAGACCAGCTCCGGCAGGGAGAGGAGAATTGGAAGGGATTAGTGAGATGCAAGATGGTTGGCTGCTGACTTTGACTTGCTTGTGGATGGATGGGAGACGATTGAGCGTCGGGTGGATGACGTACGAAGACCTATTTCAGTACTACCTGGTAATGGGTGCTAGAGGTGCTCCAAGTTGCCTGTAGACCAGCAGCTGGAGGAATCTCGGAGGCCCCTAGCGGACCAAACGAGCCCCGATTTGCGCTGCTCATCCGTCCCGACCGTGGCCGAGTCTCGATCGTGTGGGCTGGGCTGTGATCCTTCACTCGAGAGAGCAGGAGTGGGGACCTTGTTCAGTACATGTACCCAGTAAGCATGGATGGATGAGGCGGAGCAAGCAAGCAAGAGAGAAAGCGTGGGCTCGTTGATGGCTGGACTTGGTCTCTTGTTTCTGCTAGCACCGTAGCTAGCTGGATTAGCATGCATCCTGTACAGCATGTAGGTCAGCACGCAGAACAGAGCAGGGCAGCTTCCAATGCATAATATGTTGCCGTTCAATGTGTGTCCGATATGGTGGCTGTTGCTGCTATCGAATGGACGCCAGACAGGCATAGGACGTGAGCTGACGGCAAATCGTTAGCGGGGCTTAGCGTGCCGTTTGATGCATTCGGGCATTGATGGAGTGACTGTTAAGGCTTGGAGCGCTCAATCGCTTGTCAAACACGTGTCAAAGGGAAATGGACGGGGGTGAAAGCACCTATGGGAGAGAGCAGTGTGAAGTAGAATTGATAGCAAATTATCGCCGAGTGCCTGGTATTGTATAACAAAGGCTACACTGGATACCTAAGACTGTAGAGCACTTGATGGATTGGTTAACTGCTGAAGGAAGTGGGGGAAGCTCTAGCTGCTATCCGAAGCCGAGTAAAAGGCAGAAAAGAGGCAAAGAGGCCTCGTGCTCTCTGCCTTGGCCTAGTCTTGCTGCCCCTCTCCGGTCTACTTGCATTGGATGTCGAGAATCATCCGATATAGCCATGGCGAGCTCCCAATAGGGAGGTTGCATTACAGCTACAGCCAGGGCACAGCAAGTTGCAGGACTTGAGGACTTGAGGGGCTGCCTAATAAGAGGTACCTGTAACTAATCTTCATCGAGATCCTTGTACTCCGTACTGGCTAGGAAATACTGTACGAAGCAAGATGCCTAGCGGTACGGAAACTACGGAGAGAATCAGAATACGACGCTCCAGCCAAGCTGCTGCGCCATCGGGGGCCGATCAAAAAGGACTGCGAGACTGATTGATCATTTTCTGCCTGCGGAACATCGCATCTTGGCCCAAATAACGATTGATGCTCCATGGTATAAAATACCATTCCGGAGATGAAGAGTGCCCTCTTGCAGATTCCCTCTTCTGTATTCTCCGTATTATATGTAATCAGATCGCATCGATTATATCAGACCGTATTAGGTACCTATCTAAGATACTGCTTCGATAGCTATAGCCAAAAAATTCATCATACTTATCTCGTCACAGCTTGTTTGCCGCATCATGGCACTCCCCCGGCCTCCAAAATCCTCAGAGCGACGACGGCATTGCCGCGCTGTTCCCCTGCATACGTGTGAAGCTGTTGTTGGCCACGCAAAATTCGTCAAGAAGGGCGTCTAAGCCACCGAACCCTGGCCAGTGCTGCAGACTGCGAACCTATCATCTGTGCTTCTCGAATGAAGATATCAGATCAACCAACAGCACAAGCTTCTTCTCTCCCGGTTTCTGACCCGTCAATTTATTTTCATGCCAGAGCCTCGTCTACTTGCCCCACGAGATCATACACTTTGCACCTATCTACTCCCTGCTGCGTCGCGTTTCTCAGCCGCTTCATCCATCGCTGACGTGTTCAGCCATTCTCGACAGCCATCTTTGGCAACACACAGATCTCGAGCGTCGTACAAGCGGCCTCTCGAAGATTTATTTTCCCATTCAGAATTCCATGGACTCGGGAAACAGTCGCATGCATCACCGCTTGATGGATTCCGGTCCGGTTTAAGGCCTGCGAACTTGCTGCATGGCCGGCGCTTAGATTCTGGGGCGAGGCCCTGGTCGCGGCTTACCACCCTCTCAGAGCGTTTCATCCATCAGGCTCAAGCAGGATCCAAGATGGTGGCCTGCAGTGTCGCGCGTGTGCGCGCGCCATATATAGATGCCAAGTGAACCCACATGGATTTTTAGAATGTAGACCTTGGATGTGCCGGCCGCTCGCGAACTGTCTCCCCATCTTGTTCTGTCAGTCATCAATTACTACCACCCGCATTTCCGCCTTTTTTGCATATTCTTTTCAGACTCGTACTCATGGAAGAAATTTATCAAAGGCTAAGCGAGGAGGTGAACTTGTGGCAGGGCTTTAGCAATTCGGATGAGACATCGTTTGAAGTCATCGAAGCAAGACTTCAACATACGGGCGGGAACATCACCACCAGCAGTAGGACGGTTGACCTGAAAGAGTTGGGCAGTTGGCTAGTCGAAGAAGCAGGAGACTATGAAGATCCGAAACAGTCTCTGGTTTTGCGCCTAGCTTTAATAGGCTGCGATATCAAATCCAAGGTCCTAAAGCTATCGAAACAAGTACTGGATCCCCTGCTCGAAGAATTCAATCTTGAGCTAGCCTACACATACTCACAGAGTTGCATCACAAATGTGTCTGCTATTCCATCCAAAGGCTCCCAGACATATTCATTCTGCTATATGCCTAAGCTGGTGGCTGTCTGGGCGCAGAAGCACCTCGACACAAGAAGCGCGACTAATCGACCACATCTTACACAGGGGCTCATATTCGTCGAAGAGTCTAACAAGGGATTCCTCTCTGACAATCTCTGCTCATCTTGGAATGCCTTGCTTTATCATAGCCCCATGTTTCCGGCCTTTTTATTTAGCATGATCCTCAGCGTGCAGATTCATTATGATGAGGGGAGGATCAAGTTGAAGTTACGCGATATTGAAGAGCGGACAGGCCAGGATAGAATGGTTGATCGAAAGCACGAGGAAAATACGACAGCTACATATATCAAACTGGCTGCCCAGCTGGACCGACATGCGGTAAAGCTTGCCAGCGTGGGAAGGAAGAGTAAAATGGCAGAAAAGACGCTGGCTTTCATCTTGAAGAATACACCGGAAACGCGGGCTTTCGATCCGTCGACTAAGACAGCTGCATCAGACCAGTCCTACCAACTACTGAGAAACCATGTGTCTCTCTTGCAAGATAGACTATCAATGCAAGCTGTCGACATAGAATTCACTCTGAAACGTGTCCATCTCCAGACCAACATTGTAAGTTTCGCAACTGAACCCACTCTTTCTTGATTCCCTCACAGCTGACACTTTAAAGCTCACAGGTATCATCTCCAGAGACGATATCAAAGCGAACCTCGACCTTGCAGAATCCCAGCATCGCGACTCTTTGTCGATGAAAACACTAGCCATCGTCACCATGGTCTTCCTCCCTGGAAGCTTCATCTCCGCATTGTTCTCAACGTCCATGTTTGACTGGAACAGCGTCGACCCCAAGTCAAACAGCATTGGGGTGCGAACAATGCCCCAATTCAGTCTGTACTGGGCCATCACCATCCCTCTCACTTTGATTACCTTTTTGCTTTACTTTTTCTGGCTGCGAGTGATGAAGCAGCAGCGAGACCGCAAGAAGCAGAGCTTTGACCAACTTTCTGCCGAAGAGAAAGGTGACCCGGATATCATTGAGATGATTAAATCGCGAAGGGACGCTGAATCCAGAAAGAAGTCAACCATGCCGTTTGGCAGCTGGTAAGGAAATCCGGTTGGGGCGTGCTTCATTGCCTACGTATATACTACTGCCTGTTTTCTTCTTATCCAGCTACGAGTAGGAGGGCTCTTTCTTTTTTCAACACGATTCCCAATTTTTTTTTTCCATATATGTATCTAGAATATATTCTTCTGTGCAAATGTTGCTTCCGGTATGCTTCTCTCTTTCTAAAGTATTTGTGTGTAAAGATACTTATAAAACGAGATTAAGATTTCCTCGTATATATCTTTCCTACTATATTCATTCCTGCTGCAGTTTCTCCGTATAAATTAAAAATATACCTAGCTTAGGAAATCATTTTGAAAGATTACTAGGTAGCTAGCAAATATAACATTAATTTAACCCAAGCCTCTTCTTACACCAATGAAACGCACCACTGACCTCTTTGCCCAGAGTAGGCCGTATCTTCACGGTCGACCTGAGCCAATACATTCGTCTACAGGTATTTTCATCAAAAGGCTAAACAATACTACACAGAGTGGCGTTCCAAAGACTAATGCGAGTAATAGGAACCCAACTACATCGACATAAGCCGCTACAGTTAGAGCTAGGAATGTGAAGGCCCCAATGTTCAGCAAATATATGATGATAAGAGCCAGGTACTTCCTTATAGAGTCATCGGATAGGCGGCCGTGGGCATCCAACACACCTAGGAATATGCTCAACACAAGCGTAATCGTGAATAGGAGCCAGCTGATGGAGATGAATATTCGGACAGTCGAAAGGTCAAAATGGTGTGCTTTTGACACTTCAGTTGGGTCTTGCAGTTGTGACACGATGAGTGCGAATGTGACGCTTGATCCAAGCGTAGATATCGCTCCAACATTTGTGCAAAATATTTTGAGGCTACCCTTTGGGTCAGCATCATTTAGGATCTTTTTCAGGTTAACTAGATCTGAGTGCATCTGCGATTCCGCCTTTGAAAAGATGGCCCTTAAGATTTGGTTTGTCTGAAGCACTGTGGAATATAGGTGCGTCGCCGATGGTCCAGTGTTCAGGCTCGCAAAGCCCTCCGATAGAATTTGGTTGATTCGAGACAATTGATCCGTCTGCAATTGGAGAGCGACTACTAGTCTCTGCTGTTACTTAGGATAGGGATCGCAGGCAATTACTTCGTCTTTGCTTACATCTATAGTAGAAGACTCATTCTCAGCTTGATTACCGCCAATCGTGCTTCCAGAATTTGTGCCCGGATTAGCAACCTGAGGATTGATAACAGCTGGCGAAGTCATTATTAGGCGATTGGCTCTTCACTAGAGTCAACAGCGAAAGCTATGGAGGCAAAATAGTTTAGGTAAACAGACACCGGTTTCGCTCATAGTGGTATAAAAGCCAAAAGGTTGGCGTACTATAGAAGTGATGCCAAAATGTACATGTAGATGACAAGAGGGCGAGGATTCATCGCAAACACTGATGTGATTAGCCATGGCACCAAGCTGCCAGTGCGGGGTACAGAGAATGACTAGTCGCAAGCCCATACATCACACAGGATAAAGAATTTCGTATAACTAGATTGTATCTATTTGCTTATTCAGTTCTCGACCACAGCGATTCTTAACGCAATTGTTTTGTTGCACCAAGAGGGTAATCCTTTGGTGGAGTATGGCCCATGTTACCAGATCCGTTAGTGTGTACTTACAAAGCTCGGTGCATCCCAAGTACATACATATCCACCAATAAGAGTCAGCAACAACCATAACGCCGACTGTCCCATAATATAAGGCAGCTCAATGCAATACTACAGCCAAACGGTGATGCCTGCAGTCTCAGTGAATGAACAGCAAGGTGAGAGATACTGTGCTGCGATACCAAGGGCGCATTGCTGCTAATACACCATATTTGGATCCCAGCAAAACTTACATGCAATTCCGGGCTCCTTTTCTGGACGTTGAAACTAGGCCGTGTAGAAAGTCAGTTATAAGAAAGAGTGTAGAACAGAGGAAGAAATATTTGCACATAGCAATATTATATACCTAGTAGTAGCCTTAATGAACGAATGATAAGGATCACGTCATGTAGGGCTGATATCGATCAACATGCAGAGATACTGGTCATATCAAATTCCATGTAATTCTCCCGCATCGTATCTAGGGCATGGTTTTCTTGACGCCACTAGCCACCAGCCACCAGTTACACCAGAGTATATCCAACTCCCATATTTTCTTCAGCTCGTGAATTTCGTTTTCTGAAGTACGTTCAGTCGAAGCTTTCTAGGCGTAAAGTCAATTTCCTCTACTCTGTTCGTTTAAGTCAATTGGGATATTTAGACTAATACGAGGCCACCTTACGGCATAAGGATAGCCTAATATTACCTAGGTATAAAAGTTGGGTTTATTATAAAAGTTTATGTGAATATCCTTGCAAAAATGAATATTATTGGGAGAACGGTATGAGGCAGGTATTATCTACAAGACTTCAATCATGATCTGCGGCATCAGTCAATTATGTCGTGTCTGAATGCGCCGGGAGAGCCAAGTTGGTGTAGGCTGTATCAGCGGAAGCAAGGCCATTGATGAAATCGTACCATCCTCCGTAATGAGTGCTTCGGATGGACAACATTGTTTCTATGGGTTTCTCTATATCTTCGGGAGTGTTAGGCGAGTTGGTATTTCCAATCATATGCTCACCGGCTTGGCGTCAAGTGATTATTGGTTCTACAGCTGAAAACTCACAGTCGCCTCCTCCGTCACCCAAACGTAACTTTAAGTATGCTGATGTTCCCTTCCGCAAGTTTGCATGAAGATATAAGCCTGAGCTTGGTAAACTGCAGGAGAAACACTGATACAGAGTTCTTCCGAATATCGTCAACTATTGACCAGATTCAACAATGAGTCCAGATCATATCAAATCGCCCAAAGAAGTTCGGCGGCTTCTGGGGCTGATTGGTATTGTGTATCTCGTACTCGGATGTGTAGGGATTGTGTATTTTTCTCTAGGTGGCCACAGCTGGCCCAGCGGAACGAACACAGCAACGGGTGCCTCTGATTCATTGACATCTGTACTTGCTGTCCTGGGAGTGGTGCTTACCTTTCTCTTTGCGGCCCTGGCGTCACAAACGGAAGAAGCAGGACGGCAGCGTTTCGCCAATTCACGCCTTAAAGAATATTTATCGGCCAGCTATTCGGACCTCCTCGAAGCTGAAATGTCAGCAATACCCCGGAGAGGACCATATCTGAACCGACAATCTCAGGAATACAAGCCCTTCACGAAGAAGACCCTCGGATACATTTTGTCGCTTGGTGCGATTCTAACGTCGGCCTTCTTGAAAAAGTCATTGAACATATCGCTTCAGGCCCGTTCGGTTGCAGTCACAGGAGCTGATGCCGCATTCGTTGATCCAGTCGACACCACATCCAGCGTTCGAGGAGTAGGCTTCCCAGGCTCAATCATGTACAATGTCACCGCCAGCATGAGTAATGGCTTTGACCCGAACCAAAAGTCGTGGACTTATATCGCTGCTAACTTGACCGATAGCACTGGCATGCAAAGCATTCAATATTTCATGCCCAGTCTTCCACAGCTTGTTGCGAGCGGTTCCGCGGGTTATATCAATTACTCAACTTATGCTGTCCCAATACTCATCAGCCAAGTGCAATGTGCGTCTGGAGTCCGGCAATTGACGAAATCGCAGGGATCCATCAAGAACAGTAATAACCAAATACATCTCTACAAGACTACAGCTGGTGAAGCTATAATACAAGTGACTACAAATGCCAGCGTTGGATGGTCTTGCTTTACACAGATGAGTACGACCATGGGAGGCGTCAATTTCACATCAGACACTACGGGCAATTGGAACATATCTGGAATCAGCACGTCTGGTTTGACAAGCCTGGCTTTCTCTACAACGCCAGCAAGATGGAATATGATGGCCGATCTAATCTCCGACGCACTTGGAAGAACAGCTGGCGCTTCAAACTGGAGCTGGGACACAGATACACAAGATAGTCCTGGATTCGCAATGATGCTTGCAAGCACCCGCTTGAGTTTCGCAACGGCCACACTGGGCTTCAATGAGAATCGCGCCAATGAAAACATATACGGCATGGGGGAAGCTAATCGTGCAATTTGGTCCATCACGCTCTTACACAATTGGGCTGAATTGACGACGGCGATACTTATGATATTGCAGGGCCTGATAGCGTGGTTTAGCATCATCAAGATTGGCGAGTGGAAATTTGACATGGACAGTTTCGAAATGATGGAGGTAGATGGAATTAAGGTTGCAACGGGCGCAGGGGAAGTTGTTCATAAACGGAGGTGGCTTATAGGATATATGCGGAGTGTTGCAGTATCGCAGATTTGAAATGCATCCATGCTTATAGCTTTGACTTGTTCTTGATGCTGCACGGAGTAAGGGGTCTGCAAACGGTAGACTGAATGTCACTTATATAATTATAATTAAATCTACAAAAATACAGGATTCTGATTAATGCTTATTTCTGGCAATAAATAATGAATGTTCTGCATTCTAGTATGGCAATTTTGTTTTTGTGTTATTCAATCGAGCAGAAGTTGGTAAGGCCTGAAGCTGGAATAAATTCTGGCCTCCGTTTTATTGCGTTTGTATTGAGACTGCAGTTGGGTTCTAGTTCTAGGCACCTGGAAAGCTACCCTACTATAGGCAGTTAGTCGCGAGCTCAAGCACCAGACATGAGCTTCCCCCCACCAACAACTGACCTCTGCTTCGCATCACTCCAAATGCTCCCTTTGCATGCACAATTGCAATTTCCTTCTTGAGCTACAGGCTGCTGTCAAGAAGCGGCGCATTTCTTGTGTGCAGATCTCCAAACTCTGCTAATTATGTCGATTTTCATCGCTCCATAGAGCCTCATTCTCTCGACTGGCGTCGGGCTCCATGGCTGCTCATGCTTCCACTGGCGGCATCGTGCCCGCGCAGCTGGGCTTCCTCGCCCTGTTCAACCCCTCTCTAGGCCAAACGGACGAGACGATTGACGACCAGATCGTTTACTATGCCTCCGTTTCGACGCAATCCTCCAGCCGCAAACGACGGCGTGCCCGCACGAGACCGACAGATGGCCTCTCCCAAGAAGAGCGCCACGAGCGACTGCGACAGATAGGTCTTGCTCAGGGAATGGTCAGCTTCGGCCGCGACTTCTCTGACGGAGCTCCGGTAGACGCCATCGATACGGAGAAATCGAGGGTGATTGCGCATGAACTGGAGCCGGGGTGGTGGATACTTGCTGTGAGCCTTGACGAGTCGGTTCCAGAGCATTGGCCAAGATGAAGTGCTGATCTAGCTGCTGATAGAGCATCGACTTGAATAAAGTGCCTCTGCCGCCACGGCTACCCACTAAGACGGGAGAGCCACAGGAAGAGAGATACGAGTATTCGAGCCGGGAGATGAAGCCTGCTACACTGCTGCTGACGGATCTTCTGCGAGCACACAGCATCTTTCTCTTGCATCATGGATCATCGCTGAGCGCCCTGTTTGTTCGCTACCGTCGAGTGAAATTCATTGCACTACTTAGCCGCTACTGGGACCTATTTCTTTCCACCTGGAATGTCATGCTGCATGGGAATCCAGCAAGGGACATATTTGGTGGGATCAACCTAGCTGCATCTGGAGAGCTTGGCGTAGGCGTCGGTGAAGAAGACCGTGGAAGCGGGGAAAGGGAGGTGCTTGAGGGCTTGGTGAGCAGAGTGGAGGGGCTTGTTGACCTTGTCGTCTCGAGATTTGGGCCTGATGACCCTGAAACAGAATCAGGTAAATCGGATAAGACTGAGGCAGAGCCATGGCTAGGAAGTGGCAAAGAGCCCAGAGCCGAGGACGGCGCTATATTTCTCGGGACAGGGGCGTTATCACGAAAGTCCCTACGAGACGTAACCCATTGGATGGAAGATCTATATACTTGGGGCGAACACGCTTATGGCATCATTGAGAGTCCAACCTCGACGCGACGAGCCAGGGGCAAGAAGTCGACATCAAAGGTGCCGAATCTGGGTGATAGTCAGCACCCAAAGCCAGATGCAGCACCCAAAGCAGTGGGACCTGCACCAGAAGCCGGCGAATCTGCCAGCGATGCCAAAGACACCCAGCCAAATGCGCCGGAAGCTGGACCGGACCAGGTAAACCCTGAGCTTGAGGCTGGAAGGCTCGACAAAATGGTCAGCTACTTGACACTAGGATACGGGTCATATTGGTCGTTTCCTGGCGGCGGCACCGGTGGCAACTCGTCAGAGCCAACCAACCAAGAAGTTGCTGCCGGTGACAAGTCGAATGCGGAACCGCATCTCAAGCCGTCAAGGCTACCGCCTTCTTTGGAATCTTCTGGCCACTACCTGATCGGTCTCAAAGGCGACATCGAAGATGACTCGACAGTTGTAAACGACCTGGACGGGACAGGGGCCATCGGCTCAGATGATGCTGAGGACGATGACGAAAACAACTCTCGCACCGTTCTTCGCACTCTCCACGTCGAACTAGAAGGCTCTGCCGCAGAGAGCCGGCCAGAGGGCACAGTCATTCGGGATTTCGAACACGAAGCCAATCCATTGACTCAATCTCAGGCGGTGGGCGGGCTGCTTCCTGGCTTCGACTCGCACGACGTCAACATGGCGGAAAAGCTCCGCGTCGTCGTCTACGTCAACAAACCCTTCATCTTCACCTTTCTCTTCCGCCTCCGCACTGACTCCCTCGCCTTGGACACGCTTTACCGCTCGTTGCACTACCAGCTGTCGCCGCTCAGGAAGCCCCTCTTGGCGTCAACCAGGTACCGTCCCGAGCGCCCAGACGCCGGGCCCGTGTCATCCCATATCCAGGACCTCGTATGGGATCCGCCCTCGCTCACTGTCCACTCGTCGATACCAAACATTCCCGACTTCTTTCCCGACTCTTCGTCTTCAGCTTCATCTCCGTCATCGCCAACATGGTCCCGCGCGGATGCCGTAAGCACCCATCTCAATCTCCTCAACATCTACGCCGCAACGCGGTCTCGTATCGCCGACCTCGAGCGCACGCAAAAGACAAACCGCGGATGGTGGATCGTCTGGACTCGGGTCCTCCAGCGCACCGCCGCTACCCCTTCCACAACCACCACTGCCACGGCACTGCCGCTATCCACCATCCATGAATCCGCATCGTCGTCATCCCTGGCCTCGCACACAAGCCACGAAGCAGCCCCCCAAGACAAGCCCCCTTCGTCTCGTCGCTCCTCGTCGTCTGCATCCTCCCCTCCACCTCCGCCAGCCGTCGACAAGGAAATCTTCCTCATACGGCGCGCCAGCGATCACATTGGCTTTCGCAGGGCTTCGGACGACGGAGGCTCCGGGGGCGGCGAAGGCCTGGGACGGTTGGCGCAGGGAATTGGCGTCGATACGAGGCGATATGTCGAAGAGCTGTTGACCTTGCTGTAGGTGAAGAATAAGGCGCTTTGTGGTTAGAGCGGTGCAAGGGTCTGGGGTGTTTGCTTGGCGGGGTTGGTATAATTAGAATATACGAGTGAATCGGGTACTTTCTGTGAACGCGAACCGCCTATCACTATTATCCAAAATTACGCTATGGCAGGCTACTTGGTATCCAGCAGTTCGGTGGATGAAATCATGTCCACTTAGTAATTTAACACTCAAGGTACTAAGAAATCCACATTACAAGCACAGAGCTTTGTGTACCAGTTACATCCACAGATAGCTCCAAGTAAACCAATCTAGATCAACAGTATCTCGACAAGCCCAAAATCATTAAAGCATTCACAGCACACAAGATCAAAAAAGCAGTCAAGGCGATAGCATCTCAAATAATGGCATCTAAAAGGGTATGTCATTCCACGTTGTCTCCAAGATGAGAGGACATGTCTATAAAGTTTGTCTATATGTACATAGAAAAGAGGTTATCCCGTTGATTTGCCAAGTGTGTGTCTTGTTTTCCGTCCCGGGATATATAAGAATAATAAATCATTTTCCTATCCATATCGCATTCCCATCCACGCCAGGGATGATAGAATCCAAACAAATCAACGAATGAAGGGTATACGTGAAAAAATTGGTTGTTTTTTGACATCTTGTCCAAATAAACAAGTCTAGAAATGTGCGCTGCACATTGACAGGTTTTTGCGCGCCAGGCCGTTTTCACCAGCTACTTATGTAGCCGTGGAAGAGGCCCAACGGCAGCTTCAACTTGGACAGCTTAGTTGAAAGACCAGGTGACGGGCTCACGACCGCCGTCAAGGCTGCCAAAGAGCTCGAGGAAGACCTTCTCGCTGACGTCGATGTCGTGGGGCGCGCAGCCCATGCACTTGTCCTTGACGACGGCGGTGGCGGTCTTGCCGCCACCGTGGATGGTGATGGTCTTGCCGCACATGGGGTTGCCGTTGGACTGTTCGCCCATGAGGCCGACAGCAATGGCGACAATGCTGGCAGTCTGGTCCTGGCCGCTGTCGTCCTCACCGCAAGAGCCGAGACCGATGGTGTAGTAGGTGATGTCACCGGAGTAGGTGTCGCCGCCGCCGCTGGTGCTGCTGCTGCCGACGCTGTTGTCGGGAGGAGGAGAAGCAGGGGCGCTAGGAGAAGGCGAAGGAGAAGGCGAGGGGGTGGGAGAGGGAGTAGGAGTCTCAACCGGGGGAGGAGGAGGAGGAGGAGGAGCCGCAGAAGTGGTGGTGTGCTGAACCGGAGGAGGCACAACGGGGGCCGGGGCCTCAGAGGTGGTGGTCTGAGGAGGAGGAGGCGGGGGAGGGACCGAGCTGGAGGAGGCAGCAGTGGTGGTCTCCGGAGGAGGAGGAGGAGCCTGGCTGGTCGAGCTGGCCGGCGCAGTGGTGGAAGAAGAGCTGGGCTCGAAGAACTCGCCAGCAGAGGCTGAGGCGGTGGTCGTGGCACCAGGGGCGACGGCAGCGGTCTTGCCGTCCTGAACCCAGTAGGTGGTGGTGGAATCGATCAGCTCGGTCACGTAGACGGTGTCCGTGTGCCACTCGGTCTCGGTGACGACGACATCACGGGCAGCGTGGTGGTGGGCGTGGTGGCCGTGATGAGGCTTGGCGGCAGCAGCTGCGATGAGCAGAGCAGAGGCGACAGAGACGGACTTCATTGTTGCGGTTTTGTTGAAGGAGTGTTGTCAAGTGGATGTTCTGTTCAACAGGAACGTGGGTAGCAAAGTGCCGTAGAGGCAAAGGGTTGCAGATCTTTCAAGGAATGTGGGTTGCAAGAGGAAAAAAGAGTCCTGCTCTGAGAGAGTGGGAATAGATGGACTTTGAATCAAGTCTGTTTGCTTTGAGAGGGAAGAGACGAAACAAGAACGACCAGGGGGGGAACGACGCCGATTTATGAATGGGATTGCAGCTTACATGGCTCCAGGATTATACGGAGCGCTAGAACAAAGCTGTTGCCGGGGGGTTGCGCGAGTGGGCCGGACGTCGGCGTTGCTCCCTGCAGTGGCCATTGTGGCCCTTTTTTTTTGCCAACTTTTCCGTTTTCCTTTTTTCCCGACCCCATGCTAAATCCTAGCGCCGCCCAACGCAGCCAGTGCCGATGCGCAATGGCAAAGACTGGGTTGTATGGAAGCGTGGCCAGCGAGTGAGCGGTGATGGAGGTGATGGAACCTGCAGCTGAAGTGAGAAAAGCGGGAGTCTGCTTTGTACCAAAAACGACCCAAAGCGTGCACTGTCAAACGGATCACAGCCGCGCCGAGCTAGGCGGTAGTGGCCTGGCGGCGCTGCCACGTCGCTGCTGGGCGCTGCCATTGGCCGCCAGGGGGCCGTAGCGCTGTATTACAGGGGCTAATAGCCTTCGCGGGCTCTGCAGGGGCCGCCATCCGGACCCGTCGCAGCGTCGCAGTGCCAACCAGGTACCCGGACAGCCAGCCAATGGGCGATGGCCGGTGCCTGAGGCGCCGTGGGCCCTCGGAGCAAGATGCGGCAAGATTGGCAGGACTTGGGCATGAAAAACTCTGCGGGTCGCGAAACGTGCGGTGGGCCTCGTCCTCTCCGCTGCTCTGCTTTGTTCACAAACTCACTCGCCATCTCGGTGGATCCACGCGTGAAAGAAAAACGCCTTGCCATGCAGGTTTTTTTGGGCTGCTGCTCTTTATTCTCTCTCCTGCGTGAACGGCTTACGTGTTGATGTGCGAGTGCCTGACTTGTGCAGGGAATCCACCCCCCTTGCTCGCCCTCTCTCTACCGACAGTGAGGGAATTGAACTGAATCTCACTCTCTGCAGACCCGCTTCCGCCTCTCCATCCATCCACTTGGATCTTGACATTGACATTTTACCGTCCGGCTATCGAGATACTTTGCGTGGGGACATCGACAGCGGAACGCGTGGTGCGGCTTTTTCTTCTTGTCGCCCTCTTGCAAGAATGAATCCATCTACGCATGTGGCACTCGAGCACAAAGACACTATCCTGCGCCATCCTCATCAATGGAGTGCGCCTCCACGTGCTTTGTCAGAGCATTCCAGCGCAGCGGTACAAGGTACTTCAACGCTCGGAGATGAGGCGAGTCAGAGATGATCGGCCCCTCTTTTCATTCCGAATAGTACTGTGCTGGTGTGGATGGTAGTTTAATAGGGTCAATATGCGGTAGGGGCAGCGGCAGCGCACAGTATGATGTTGATTGGGGGCGTCAACGGCCCATGATATTTTCCGCCTTCCTTTGTCCTTCCGACCGCGCCGACCAAGGCACGTTTGTCCAGTCTAAAAATTGTGGCGGTTGACTCCTTTGCGCGTCGTGGCCTGTCGTCTAACTTCACCAACGTATCCACCGCGCGTCTGCCAACCGGATGTCCCTATTCAGAGCAATTGTGGGCAATATGGAACCGTTGCTACCTCGGGGCATTCGCTGAAAACTCGACATTGGTTCCAGAAAGCACGACTGACTACTGATGTGCCGTTCTGCAGGACCGGAGGGCGAAAAAAGCAAACAAGACAAGACAAGATGCAATGCAATCGCCACAACATCGAAAAATTTTCAGCTCCAAACGCCCACAGCTCGCGTATGCTAGCGCTTTGCTTCATCCCACTGCTCGGCTCGCTATTCCCCAGGATGTTTGAGCTGGCAAGATGAACCTGGGCGAGATCGAGCCTACGCCAATCGTTAATTTCGCTCAGCCGTCAAGGCTTGCAGCTGTAACCGTTCCACGGCCTTCAGTCCCCGCACCCTTGCTGTAATGCTCGTACTAGTAATATGCCATTCCAGGCTCGGTTGACAGTGTTGGCGGAAGTGCATGCAGGCTCCCTCCCGTCTCTTTCGCTGGACTGTGTTGGCGCAACCACCGGCGGGTTTCGTCTTCTCAACGCCCTGCAGCAACGCGGAAAAGAAAATGAGGAGTCAGGTCCAATCACAGCAAAACGCCCATCCGTCGTTGTGTGTCATCAACTTTCGATTTGTATTGGGTCAGCATGGTTGGCTGCTGTGCCGCTCTTTTTGCTCGAGGTGGTGCCACCTGTCGCCCGCTTTCTAAAAGTAAAAAGGAACAGTGACTCTCGCTGAAACACTGGCCTGTCCTCGTCGAAAATCTCCTCGACCACAAACGCCTTCTTGGCAGCCTTGACAAACTGCATGTCCGCTCGTCTCCTCTTCTTGAAGCAGAAGTACACCACGGCATTCTCGTTAAGCTCGAACAAATCCTTGAGCGTCTGCATCAGCAGCGGAAAGGCCGGCTCAAAGTAGACGCACTCTCCCGCCAAGATCACGTCTGGTTTGTGCGCCACGACGGCGTCCGGTAACGTCTCGCCCCTGGAAATTTAAACACAATTTCTTTGATCAGTCAAACTTGGCCTACAGGATCGAGAACACGCCACTCAAAAGTATTGGCAAGCAACGTAGCAACGCCAAGGGCATGTACCCGCGCAGGTACCGGTGCTTGGCGGAGACTCCAAAGCGCAACAGTGGGAATCACATGTGCCATATGCAGCAAAGTCACGACGTACCAGTTCAATATTGAAGCCGAAGCCTTGCTCTCGAGCTTGTTCAGCTGAATATTATGCTTCATCAGCTCCAGCATCACATCCTGGTCCGTTAAGATGAGTGGCGCCTTCAGGTCACAGCCAGCCGCCACAGCCAATCCGACCAGTCCACCGCCTGCGCCCAATTCCAGTCTGCATGAGAAACTGAGTCAGCATCCATTCCCTATTTGCTGCGGGCGCTCATTCTGCTGGGTGACAAAGGAAAAAAAAAGCGTCGAATGAGGGTGCTAGCCCAGCGAAATGCACAGAACTGGAGAGAAGACGGGAGCGAAAATTTCTCACATTCGCGCAGTCTCTAGTTTGCTTCTGTGATAGCGCAGCATGTGCTTCCCCAGCACCATGCCTGCAGGCCACGTCTGCCCTCCGCAGCCCGTCCGCAAATCCTCGCGGAGCTGGATAGGCTGTGCGAGCAGTCCGTCGAAGTCGAGGCTTGCGTCGCCGGCTTCTTTGTAGGTGGGCAGCGACACCAGGTCCTCCGTGATGCCCGCAACGGGATCCAGGTCGGGCGATGAGCTGCGGCTGTCCATGTCCGTAGAGCCTTGCCGGTCGTAGAGTTTGAGTATTCGTGAGAGGTGAAGAGGTTTGATGGGATCAAGTCGAAGGCGAATGTCGTCAATAAGCAATTCCCCCGCAGCAGCTCGTCCCTCTTTTCTGATAGTGCTTGCCTTATCTGCGATGGCCCTAAGGTTGATGTTTTTCCTGGTCACGACAGTGATTCCGAACAAGAGACCCTCAATTGTTCCGGGTTGCCTGTCGCACCTCTCACCTCTCACCTGCCACAATCGGCCATGGTGACTCTCGAGATGAATGGTGAGATGGTATTGCCCTGCTGCTTAGCTACAAGGGTATTAATCTACGATTTGATCGTTCGTCTATGTACAATGCCGATGCCTTAGCTGAAGCTTAATTGTACATCCAGATAGACTGTGGGTCCAACAGTCCAACTACGATGAAGCTCACCTAAGCTGCGCTGCCTCTGAGGCCATCGTGTAGATTCGGAGACCTCATGATCAAGGGAGGATTCGCGCTGCGTGTCTCTTTGCTAAAGTGCCGATAGAAACCCCGCCTCGTGTCTCTCTTGTCCCCATTCTCAAAGCGCAAATAGTTCGACTCGCCATTCTTCTGAGTGGCATCCCATGTCTCACTGCCTGCGCGGGGCATCTCGGGCTCTGGAATGCCACAGCCTCTATAACCAGCCCTCATGCAGTGCCCGCCTGCTCAAGGACTCTTCTTTTCTGAAACATTTCGCCTCTCGTCGTAATGGACCATCGGGTGTGCATCCGTGACTCTCTCGGCATTATTGGCATCTCCAGCTCATGATGGCTTCGAGGACCAAATGGTGGAATGAAGGGGCTGCGTCTTGGTTTATACCCAGCCATCCACCTGATGGATTCAACATGGCCCTTTATCCTGTTTCTTCCTTTGGTTTACAGCTTTTTCTCCTTTCCCCTTCTCATCTGTTCCATCTTTGCATCCTAAGATTTCCTCTCTCTTCTCCTCTATACTCCCGGTTGAGCCCCTCGGTGTCTGTCGCATGGCTCTTTTATGTTCTGCTATTGAAGCTGTCTAGCGCTGCATGGCGCAACATCGTGATACAATGACTTCACTCCTCGCGGCTATTTCGGCCCTGTGCTTGATAGAGACCGTGTGGGCTGAGCCTATACTCTCATTTCCATTCAATGCGCAGTTGCCTCCCGTCGCCAGGCCAAACGTGCTTTTCTCATACTCATTTTCTCCAAACACATTTCAATCCGACTCCAACATGACGTACTCTCTAGGAGATCATCCCAGGTGGTTATCAATCGAGAGTGAGAGTCGGCGCCTTTACGGGACGCCAAAGGACGAGGATATCCCTCCGGGCGAGGTTGTAGGCCAGCAGTTTGATCTCATTGCCACGGACAATATTGGCTCGACATCCATGAATGCTACTCTTGTCATCTCGCGCAATCCACCGCCTTCCATACAAGTCCCGATTTCGCAGCAGATGGATAATTTCGGGCAATTCTCAGCTCCGTCCTCCATCTTATCCTATCCGTCGACCGATTTCAACTATACCTTTGACCCGAGCACGTTTGGCACCGGGAAGAACCTCAACTACTATGCATCAACTAATGACAACACTCCGTTGCCGGCATGGATCAGGTTCAACGACCAAACGATGACCTTCTCTGGCAGGACTCCGGACTTTGAGACGTTGGTCCAGCCTCCGCAGAAATTCGACTTCAATCTCGTTGCGTCTGACATTGTCGGCTTCGGGGGGACGTGTCTTTCATTTGCAATAATAGTGGGAAGCCACAAGCTCTCCACAGATCAGCCAGTCATTCTTCTAAACGCTACAAGAGGATCCAAGGCGAGCTACGATGGGTTGGCAAAGGGTATCCAGTTAGATAACGAGGTCATCCAGCCCGGTTCCCTCAATGTGTCGGTCGAGAATATGCCGTCCTGGCTAAATCTTGACCATGGAACGCTGCTTCTAGAGGGGACTCCGAAGGATGATGACCATTCCACGAATTTCACAATCATCATTCATGACTCCTTTGCTGACACGCTGAACGTTTTTGTGCAAGTCGACGTGGCCTCGGGATTGTTTGAGTCAAGTCTCGAGGACATCAAAGTACAGCCCGGAAATAGCTTCAGCCTAGACCTTACCTCACATTTTCGCGAACCAAACGACATCGAGCTCAACGTTGATATTGATCCGGAAGAGAGCTGGCTACAAGTCCAAGGGCTCAAGCTATCGGGCAACGTCCCCAAAGCAGTAACCGGCAAGTTCAACTTGTCCATCAAAGCCGTTTCAAAAAGCACCGGTCTTTCGGAGACACAAACGCTTCACGCCGAATTTCTCCCACCCTCTGAAGCAACAAACACGACATCGTCGTCTGAGCCTACAACGCCGGTCAGTGCGACCTCCAAAGACTCCCAGCGTCACCACATGGGCACAACCGATGTTCTCCTTGCGACTATCCTACCAGTTCTTTTCATTACTTTCGCCATCATGCTGCTTGTATGCCTCATGCGCAGGCGGCGGCACCGCAGCACTTACCTTTCGGCAAGAAAGCATCGACCCAAGATATCTGATCCAATACGGTTCACTCTACGCAATAGCGAGTCAGACGCAGAGACAATCTACCATGTGGAGGAGACTATTCGTCCAAAAACGTCCAACCCGCAGTTATCTCGGAAAGCCGACGGCTACCACGTGGGGGGGAGGATTCGTCCTATCAGGTCCAATACACGACTATTTAAGAAGGGCGAGGGTATCTTTGCAGACGTAGCGTCACGAGTATCATCAAGGTCAAGGGCATCGGGTACCTTGGGCGGCGGCTCGGTTGTGCGTGCTCCGCCATGTCCGATGGTCTCGGGAGCTCGGTCTGCCACGGCCAGGAGCGTCAGCCCACTGGGAGATGATGAAGATCACCGCTCGTGGTTTACGGTGGAGAGGACGACAGTTGGTGAAAGAAGCCACAAGTCGTCAAACAGCGACCAGTCAGACACGACCCTACCTGAAGTCGCCCTGCCATACTTACCCACGTCTGGGTTTCTCTCAGATGCAGGGGAGAGTGCATTCAGGAGCGGATTAGATATAACTCTGCCTTCGTTGGACGATTTGGCCAACATCCAGCCCCTTACTGTGGCACAACAAACATCAGGCCAGCGATCCAGCTCTGGAGCCTTTTCAGCTACAACGTCGAGCTCGGCCGCACTGCCAACAGATCTTGCCCTTATTCAAGAGCCATTTGACCCCAGTCTCGTTAGTCGAGCAAACGCGAAGGCCAAGGAGCCTGTATTAAAAGCGCTGGAAAGGGCCGAGGCAGCAGAAAGCGTTTCAGATATAAAGCAGCCAGGCCTGGCGCGGCTTTCAAGTCATCAATGGCTCAGTCGCCGGGGCTCCTCCTGGAAAGAAGTGGATTCTGTGACTGGAGCCAAGAGCTTCCGCACAGAGCCGTCGTTCGGATCCAACGAGAACTGGCGCGTCATCGGACGACGAGACCCAAGCATAGCATACCTAGAGCTTGTAGACGAAACGCCCTTCTTCCCGTCAAGGACGAACTCGAAAAACAACCTGGGGCAACCGGAAGAGCGGCGCAGTCTCGAGCTCATGTCGCCCAGCAAATGGGGCGAGGACGAGCGGAAGAGCACAATACGGCCGATGCGGTCCACGAGCGCAATCTCGGTGCTGAGCGATGACGGCGCATCCGTATTTGGGGAGCGAGAAGCAGTGGCAAAGGCAAAGGCGGCGGCTTGTAAGAGAGAGGATTCAGCCAAGCTATCAGAGCAAAGCTTCGGGGCGTTTATATAAGGGTGGGAAAGGAGAGCTGCTTTTTGGTTGGGTTTATGTTTATTTTCTTTTTGTCCATTCTGTTACTAAGAGCATGCTGGATACCATATGAAGCTTGTTAGAGTTTTTGCTGAAGAATTAGACGCACTCGCATGATGAATTACGTATGACATGAGATTTTTCACAATGACGAATGGGCTGCGTGTTGAAGAGTTCGCTTGCACCTCTGTTGATGTCATTGTTGATTCAAGGTTAGAGTTCTTTGCTCCCTGCCAACGCGAGCCTAAAATAGAGGTACTATAGTTAACTGCCGAGTACCTTGCCTCTGCAACTGCAGCCACACGGTACATGCGCATTTAGCATTGACCGCTTGGCGCATGGAGGGGCTGCAGCGAATTAACGAACTTGCACGGGATCGCGGGGCTGTCAATTCAAGGGCTCGGCTCCGAGGCTGCAACTCGAATCACGTCCAGGCAGGGCAATCAATGCTTCTGCTCTGGGTCGCCTGAATTTCTCCGCGCTGCCCCAGGCCAGGACCTGCCGAACTAAACTAAACATAAAATAGAAAATGCTCCGCATGATGCTAAAGAGAATGGAGAAAACTTCCTCTTGCAGGCTACGCACAGGCGTCTAGACTACCTTGTTTGGTCCAGGCAGTGGCTTGAAACAGGGCTGCTAGCACGCATGCAGCAGCTTCGCCACATCTGCCTATCTGCCTATCTGCCCATCTGCTGCCTAGCGAGAAAGAAGGGCCAGTTTAGTGGACGAGCCTTGCTGGAGGGAGCCGCCGTAGCGCCCAGCTGCAGCGCCTGCGGAGAAAAAAAAGCGAAAAAAAACTGCACCGGACAGCCCGTTCACAGCACAGAAAAAAAAAAAGTGTGGCGCTGGACTGGCTGATGTATCGTGGTACCCCGCTTCCTGCGAAGCCGATTTTGCGCTCTGCTGGCATCACAAACCAAACCACCACACAATCCTCCATCCGCCTGCCGTCCGGTTCTTCCCCTACACGCTCCGCGTCCTGAGATCCAACAGCCTACGGCCCCTGCCGAGGTCTCCCGCCCTGCCTCACGCCTACAGCCGCCATCTTGTCGAGACGCTCGCACCTCGTCGACGCTCCCCCCCCGTTGCCTCGATCCCTTTCTGGCCCTCGTGAGACGTTGCAGCCATGGGCCAAACCCTCTCGGAGCCCGTTGTCGAAAAGGTGCGTGCGTGAGCTGCGATGCTGCCGTGAAGTGCCTGCTGTTTCTGCTTCTCTCTTGATCATGGGCGCGCCAACCTGCCGTCATCGCCCTCAAACTTGCTCTGCTGCTGCTCTGCTACTCTGCTGCTGGTTTCCCTGCGACGCAACATGTTCACGGGCAATATCAAACGATACTTGCGTGGCCTCGTGTCGCTTTGATTTCTCCCTGCCTCTGCCTCTGCCTCGCGTGTCCCACCATGAGGGGGGTCAAACGAGATCGCCGTCAAGCCCACGCACAACCCCGCGTCAACAGCTTCCCACTATGGCGGCCCTTTTTTCCCCCAGGCCCAGCCCACTGTCTCCTTGTCTCGACTGGCCCTCGCAACTGCTAACAACTTCTCTTCGCCACCATCTAGACTTCCGAAAAGGGCGAGGATGACCGACTCCTCTACGGCGTGTCCGCCATGCAAGGCTGGCGCATCAGCATGGAGGATGCCCACACGGCTGAGCTGAACCTAACCCCACCTGACAACGACACCAAGACGCACCCCGACAGGCTGTCCTTTTTCGGAGTCTTTGACGGACATGGAGGAGACAAAGTCGCATTATTTGCAGGCGAGCACATTCACAAAATTGTCTTTAAGCAAGATAGCTTCCGATCCGGCGATTATGCTCAGGGTCTCAAAGACGGTTTCCTTGCAACGGATCGGGCCATTCTCAACGGTACGCAGCGTGATTGCTCTATATCCTGTATTTGCGTGCGCCAGAGAGGAAGGGGGCGTGAAACGGCTTGCGCAAATATCTCGCCCGTTTCCTCAGCGCACATCTCGCAATTATCCCTCACGAAGCTGGATTTATGCTAACGATATGGTGTCTTGTTGCTTACAGACCCCAAATACGAAGAGGAAGTTTCCGGTTGCACTGCTTGCGTTTCCTTGATTGCTGGAAACAAGCTATACGTCGTACGTCCGTCCAAGTCACCGTAACTGATGCGGGCTCGAATTAATAATATCTGCGCAGGCAAACGCCGGTGATTCTCGAGGTGTGCTGGGTATCAAGGGACGGGCTAAGCCCCTATCCAACGACCACAAGCCCCAACTTGAAAGTTTGTTCATCCACTCAATCAGTATTTAAGATTGACAATACTGATTGTGTGCCCTTGTGGTTTACAGCGGAGAAGAACCGAATCACAGCCGCTGGCGGCTTCGTCGACTTTGGTCGTGTCAACGGCAACCTGGCACTGTCGCGTGCCATCGGCGACTTCGAGTTCAAGAAGAGCGCCGAGCTCTCCCCTGAAAACCAGATCGTTACCGCTTACCCCGACGTCGAGGAGCATGACCTTACAGAAGAGGATGAGTTCCTGGTGATTGCTTGTGATGGTGAGTGGAATTGAGCCAACCTTGGAGGGGGGACATGAAATCTGGGTATCCACATGAAAAGCATTTGGCTGACGTACAATCTTTTTTCACTTAGGTATCTGGGACTGCCAATCGTCCCAAGCCGTCGTCGAGTTTGTGCGACGAGGAATTGCTGCCAAGCAAGACCTCGACAAGATCTGCGAAAACATGATGGACAACTGTCTGGCATCAAACTCCGAGACGGGCGGTGTCGGCTGCGACAACATGACCATGGTCATCATCGGTTTCTTGCACGGCAAGACCAAGGAGCAGTGGTATGACGAGATTGCCAAGAGAGTGGCCAACGGAGATGGCCCTTGTGCCCCCCCGGAATATGGTACGAGCGAGCCGTTCCCCAGATTTTCACAAGCAAAGATAGACGCGGAGCTTGAAAACTGACCATAAATGTTCCTACCAGCCGAGTTCCGCGGTCCCGGAGTCCATCACAACTACGAAGATAGCGACAGTGGCTACGACGTCGACGCCGAGAGCGGCGGCAAGTTCAACCTTGCGGGATCCCGAGGTCGCATCATCTTCCTTGGCGACGGCACAGAAGTCCTCACAGGCTCCGACGACACGGAGATGTTTGATAATGTTGACGAGGACAAGGACCTTGCGAGCCAGGTGTCAAAGGCCAAGCCAGATGTGAAGGAAGAGACAGAGGTCAAGCCGGCAACAGGGTCAGATTCTAAACCTGCGGCTGAGTCGGACAAGAAGCAAGATGAAAAGGCACCTGAGGAGAGTAAGAAGGATTAGGTGGTCCTCTCGCCTTGTTCAGGCAACTCGCCTTGAAGCCCGTCCTGGCGTTGCTGTTGTCGTGTATGTGTGACATAATTGTTTTGGCTGCTACTCGAACCCAGGTTTAGCAAAGGATAGGGAGGGGAGGTTCATGGACGTGGTGGAAAGAGGCAGAGGGTAGGGGCGGTTAGACATTGAGTGTTCCTTGTTACACGGTTTCTTCTATCGTTGTTGATATTCGGTGTACCGGTGGTATAATATTTGGATCAAGGAGAGTTGGGTCTCTTGCAGCATCATGGTCTCTTTGACGCCTCATTTTCCCCACGTCTTTGGCAGAGGAAAAAAAACCGCCACTCGGATCTTTGATCGCTTTCCGCCTCGTTTTTTTTTTTCTATTTTTTTCTTTTTCTACTTATTTTTTCCTTATTTTTTTCTTTTTCTTTATCTTGTCTTTTTTTTTTTTAATCTTGCACCAGACCCCCATTATTATCATCACTCTGATACCCAACCAACCTTGTCCAACACATGGCCGTTTTCAATAACCTGGGTGACTTGATTACTTTACTTTTCTTTCTTCTGAAATAAGGCGCCGCAGGTTCACCATTTCTGGGCACTTCCGGAGCTGGCTTTCCGTCTTTGTTCGCTTATCTAACGTGCATCCGCATGGCCCTCCCTTCGTTCCTGGATCGCCAGTATTTTTTTCTTCTGGAAACACTCTTTTTTGTTTTTCGTACCTGTTCGGGAATCCAGGCCGCGCGCTATGAAATGAAACCATAGGATTGCACGTATGCTGATTAAGAGAGCTTGGTGAAGTCGTTAACATGGTGGGTTTGAAAGGGGGGGGGCTGGTATACGAACTGGGTAGATGGCGTAGAGGCACTCTTGGGATGGTATTATATTTACATATGTTATACACGAGATCCTGATATATGCTAGTATACAATGTAATATTCATACAAAAAACAATGTCCATGAGAACAGACAGCAGCTCATCCAATATCATACCATATCATTCCATGCCGCCTTTCCCAACCATGCATAAGTTTCATTGACAAACCTTGTCATGACAGTTGCTCAGCTGATAAATAAGCCCTCAAGCACTCCCTTTAGACTGTAAGGCACCTTTTTGCCCATCGCCGGATTTCCTTCTATTCTGGTCAAGCCACTCCTGGGCCTTCTTCTCCCTCTCCTCATTCCACCCCTGCACCATAGTCTTTGGATCGAAATTCCAACTCAAAATCACATTCATCGGCTTGCTTCCAACCACTTCGCTCTCCATCCTTATCGCCAGGTCCTCCGTCGGGGCATCAGCACCCTCGTACTGGAAAGACTGAGGATACCTATGCCGCAGAACCAGCGGCCAATCCTTCGTCCGCTGAGCAACATCGAGAAGCTCCGCGAGGGGCTTCGCCGGCTTGTATCCCTTGCAGGCGTGATTGACAGCCCATTCCACCCGGGAGACGATTCTGGACAAGCCCTTTGCCTTGTTATTCACGAGGAGGCGTCCCATTTCTTTCGACAGCAGCTTCGGTTTATGCTGCAGCCAAAACGTATCCTTGACGTGATCAACGAGGTGCCGCCGAAGAATGACGCGCGTGAGATCCCTCAGCTTGTACTCGAGCGCACCGTAAAAGACGGCCACGCCGAGGGCATGCGGCAGCTGCATCCTGATGGCCAGCCGAATCACGTACTGGTACGTCAAAGCATCGGCCTCGCATCCCGACTCGTGCAGCTTGGTGAGCGCCCAAATGGCGGTATCCCAGTCCTTGTACGCAAGGCACTTCTCAAGGACCAGGTTGATAGTATCGGCACCGACCTTGCGGCCATCTTCAGATTGCTTCTCGATGAGGCTCCGAAATTCGTCAAAGCGGCGATTATCCCGCTCGTGGAACCGGAAGAACTCGGTCAGGATGCTGTTCATAGCGTCCGTCGTGAACCAGTCATCCCCATATCGCGACTTCTGCTCCGCCATGAAAGCGGCCAGCCGTTTCCCCGACCTAAACGCAACGTAGGCATCATGCGTGGCCATGATCCTTGCGATTCCTCTCCGGGTAGCTGGGTCTTGGAACAGCCCCAAGTCGTACATTGCCACGATGACTTGCCTCCTCTCAATCTCCTTTTCGACGAGCTCGAGGAACAACAACCACGTTCGAGCGTTTGGTTGGAAATATCGCTGTTCCATCTTTCGAAGAAGCCAGTGGAAAAAAGAAACGTCACGTTTGGTAACATAACCTTCGAGCATGATGTTAAATACTTCTGTGTCCAAGGGTATGCCCCATTCCTCCGCCAAAGTCAGTAGTCGGTCTGCGTCGGCTCTATGGCCTCCCTTGTGGGCCATGAATGACATGGCCATCTTTAGGATGGATGGTGTGATGCAGGCCTTGGCGCCGGCGTCCGTAAGGGCATCCATGATGAGCTTAATTCTGATGCCATCTGTGTCGACAAAGGTGCCGTCCTTTTCTGGCTTTGCATAGTATCGTAGAGCGAGGTGTGGACGCAGCCGGCCACAAACCAGTATCGTAATGTACAAGTCCAGGTTCTCGACTGTCCACTGCTCCGGCCTGGGAGTCTGCTCGTAGGGCGTATCGATCCAGTACGTCTGATGCTCTTGATGCACCCAAATGTTGTCAAGCTTGTCCTCGGGAATAAACGATCCCCCATCCGCTGCATCTTCAATGGCAGGCCACAAGCGCTTCTCCTCGTAGCCAAACGCCGCAACCTCCCCGAGTCTGTACACCTCGACATCCTTGCACGCAGCCACCAGTTCTTCTGCCGCATTCGCCAATACCGAGCTCTTCCCGCGCAAGATAATCGCAGAAGGGTCCTGGTGATCGGACGAAACACGCAGCTTTGCGAGCAGCCCCGTTGTCGAGTCCACAAACTCAATCTTCTTGCTCCCCAGCTCCAGCTCCCACGACTTGGGCAGGACAATCCTCATGGCCGCCATGCTCGACGGCTCACTCCTCTTCGTCATCATCCTCTTGAGAAGATTAAACGTCTCGGACCAGTCCGGCGTGGCCTGGCCAAAATGCCGCCATATCATGTCAAACGCAACCTGCACTCTCGCCGCCTGCAGCGCGTGGATCTTGCTCTCTTTGGCGGCGTGTGCCGACGGATAGTCCCTCACCGTGGGGACATATGGCGAAGTGAGCTTGCGCTCTACATCCTCCATCCGCGCCTCGCTCTTTTCTCGAAAGGCTTGTCTGAACATGCGGTTCCGGGCATTGTTTGGGCGCGTGGCCTTTACAGGCGAGACTTGCGTAGCGGGAGGACTCGTCCCAGCCTCTGCGGAAGCATCTTGCGATGCCACAGGGGCCGATTCATTCGTCGAGGCAGCCGAAGATGCACATCGCCGGGCCGTGGCCAGCGTCAGTGGGAGAGACGCTGCGGGGCGCCATGGGAGATGATGAGGCGGAGAGGTTGCTGGCGTGCGGATGAATTGGGACCGAGTCCTCCAAATCGACTTGATCCCTTGGAACATTGGTCATGAGGTGCGCATGATGTTGCTTTATATGATGGCAGAGGGAGGCAGAATCGGGCAATGTCAAACTGACTGGAATTGCGCTGCCGATAAGAGCCGATAAGGAATTTGCTGTGTTTCTTTTTGCCTCTGCGTTTTCAGGATGTTGTCACGTGCTCTCAATACCTGCAACTATAGCTAACCTAGAGTCTTTGCCTTTTGTATCACAATCGCCAAAAAGACTATCTGATAATCTGAGTTCCAGGTATTTGATTTCATCATTTTACTATCAAACTCTCGAGTGCCGTTGCCCAAGCCCCGAATCCAATCGCCAGATGCTACGCTCTCATGCAAGTTAGATGCCTGGATAAAGACCAACAGTTGAACCCCTCCATGCACAGCTCCCGTAAACAACACCAGTTCCAAGGCCTCGTATCATCTCCTACGACCTACGACTTTCAAATCATTGCTCAGCCAAGTCCTTTTTATGTAAAACACAGGGGGGTATATTTAAAAACTCGCGCAACTCCTCGCAACGCAAGCCGAGACTCAATGCTCTGGCATCTTGCCGTTTCTGGGAGGCTCTGGTGCACTCTTGTCCAGGCCTTGCCACGGATCAGCTCCCAGCTGACAAGAATCAACCACATCTCGCAGCTCTCCACTCTCGGCCATCTGCTTCACGTCGCTCCAGTAAACCAGCTTGCAAACCTCCTCTTCCGCATGTTTCGTAGCAGCGTCGAGGGCCTCTTTGCGCAACTTCCGCTCTAGGCTCTTGTCCTCTTCCCATGCCTTTGCAGCCTCGTCGTGTATCTGCATCAAGTACGAGAGCAACTGCCTGCGCGATTGCTGAAATATGAACAGAGACATGATTTCGTGCATCTCATGCTGTAGTTCTGTGAGGTCTATCGCGTGCTGGATGTAGTTCTCGACGGCTTCTATCCTCTCTCGATCAATCCTGGCGGAGCGGAGAACCTGAAGAAGCGTTTCTATATCCTCAATATCAGGCCGCTCGCGGCCCTCGGCAGTCGATGCCTGTGTCATACTAGTCCTGCTAGGGGCCCTGCTTGGAGCCCTGCTGCCGGCTTGACTGCTCTGAGATGGTGGACTGAGAACAGATGCTGGACGGATGTGAAAATAGTCGACTCCAGCAAGCATATTTTCGGCCGCTGTGTCTTCAGATCGCCTCTTGGCCCTCTGCCGGGTCCAAGCACGCCGCCTGACAAACGAGTTCCACCACTTTGGTCCATGCCACGAAAAGAGTTTCTGAAAGGCAAATGAATACTCCCAGCCGTCTTTGTCCAAGCCTTCCTGCTCGTTGATGCGCCATTCAGGCCATACCCACTCCCATGAAGGATCGGGAACTTGTGCAGTGCGAATGTCTGTGGGAGATGGATTGTGATATTTGTTGGCTGACAAACGAGGTGGTTAGATACTTGGATTTGTCCGAATCATATTATTCTGTGTCTATACTCACTCCACGGGGTGGGATCAAGTCCTCCAAGAGCTGCACTGGCAAATAGAGCAACGCCACAGCAGAAGCCTCCTCTTTCATTCTCATAGAGAATGTCTATGGTCGACTCTCGTTGTTCTCTCGACCTTGGCCTTGAGCGGTTGTCCCAGTTCGAAGTATGTTGCGAAACGATGTCGAGACTTGGAGCTGATTTCAAAGAGTCAGCCTAAATAGTCTACGGCGAAACGCAAAAGCAAGTGACTTACCGCGAATCTCAATCGACGGCCTTGCACTAGAACCTGAGGGGCCCAAATTGATAGTTTCTGATGTGTATGGTTGATAAATTGGAGCTCCGCCATCTTTGCCCGTTGACGCAGTCGGCTGCAGATGACCTGGATCTCTCCCGCCTTCTGACGGCTGGCCCTGTTCTTCCTCTGTTTCTGCCCCCCGATCCGAGAGTAAGCGCGTCGAGGTATTTGTGAGAAAAAGTCCTCCGCCTTCACTGCTCGTAGCCTGCAGCGACTGGGCCTCTTCGTCATCTGTAATTGTGATTTCGTGATCATAGTCGCCAGGCTGCAGACTCGCTGTGCGGCGGGAGCCGTGCATCTTGATCACCGTCGCCGACAAGTCATGAGGGTGTTAGTTCGTTCTGATCGGTTACAGCTGCGAAATGGAGAAGCTTGAGAAGGTATCTGGCAACGGGGTTTGGGCCAAAGAGGTGCGTATGGATCGGATCGAGGTCGGATCGGCAGAGGGCTTTGGATTCACGTCATCGACTAGCATGAAAGAGAGGGCCACGATGTATTATCCAGGCGCTTTCAACATTAAAGCGTAGGTATTATAAGGGGATTGCAGAGAAAGAAACAGAGGAGCCAGGGAGGAAGGAGTCTTCAGAACGAAGAAACGGGAACGCTTCACGAGCAGAGAGGCAAAAAGTCTGTTGTATGTAGTAGTAAAAGGAGATAAATCATACTGGAGCTGAATGAAGCAGGCGGTGCTTTTTCCTTGTTTTACTGCTTGCGGTCACTAATAGCGGGACAAATGACCCGCAAGTGGGGGAAGGGAGATGCAGTGCAGCACTAGCGCTGGTGTTAATATCCATGCATCATGCCATAACAGGAGAATTTCAACATACGAGTACAAGTATATTGCCTCTCATTTCTCCAGTGCCATGATTTGATTCTGTGACTGAAGCCATCGTTACAGTACAGCTGTACAACTGCACTCCCATGAGCTAAATGCCACAAGAGCCGATTACGCTGCAAGTTGAGGCCGCCATGATGTAATGCCAGCCCTGGAGGGCGACAGCGGCACGCTAAAAGTCCTCAGCAGTCACTTCATTGGCAGGGACTGCTAACGCCTAATGGACAGCACAGGCACCAGAGGGATGCTCCAGTGGACCCGGGCCTTTTTAGGGATCGACAATGGCGCATCGCGTAGTGCCATCGATGTTGTACCTGCTTGGACGTTCTCTTACTTGCTTCCATGGCAGATTTAACGGATCCATGCACCTGATGATGGGCCATCAGATGTTGTGTTGTTCCAAAGTCCCCATTTGCTTCGAAACACCAGGATTTCCCAAGCCTTTAACCAACCTCTTTTCTTTCGCCGGCTGTCTGTCTCTTGAACTCACCAACATCATCCGTTAAGCAGCACACCTAATGTATCCTCCAAAGTACTAACCTCTGCTGTAATACATACAAGTACTCCAAAATCCGGGGTACTTGTACTCGAGGCCCCGCTCCCTCTGCCACACTACGTCATGTATATCCAAGTCACCATCTTTGCATCACCATCACGAAGCTCTCGCCTGCACGCAACAAAATGCGTCATTATGAAGTACATATCCAATCCGTACCGCCCGTGCATGTAAACCGTAATGAAGCAAATACCAACCTTCTATCCTTCAGATCCCCGTTAGCTAAATTGTGTCCCGGCTAGCAGCACCGGAACAATAGCTCGTGATTTCTCCAATTAAGACTATCTCGTGCCCATCCATCCATCCATCCCATCTCCCTCCATTGAACACCTCTTTACCCCAATTCTTTCCTCTTTTTTCCCTCTTTGTATTTTGCCTGATACTATTAGGTGGTAACAATCTCAAATCTTACAACCTTCTTATATTCGCCACGCACTAGCATCACCAGCTTCTCTCACGCATCCTGCACAGCTTCTTCACAGCTTCACAACACCACTCACCATCATGTCCAAGTCACGAATGCCCCTATACCTCGGCATCGCTGCCGTCGGTGGAGCAGGTTACTATCTCTACGGAGCCGGCGGCAACCCCAAAGCCGCTGAGAGCAAGTTTGAAAGTACACAAAACGACCCTCCCTTTTCTGCGCATCCAGCGTAAACCATGAGCCTCATCGAATACTGACATTCCCATCTTCCTCCCAGGCGACGTCAACAAAGCCAGCGGCAAGCTCAAGGCCAAGCTCCCCGGCGAGACTCCCGACGCCGAAAAGAACCTCAAAGGCTACGGCCAAGAAACCGGCGCCAAGATTGACAAGGCGGTGCGCTTTCTCCTCCCCTCTAGCCCGTTCTACCCCGCCCTCTGTTGATGTTGACCTGCTATTTCTAACTAAAACTGTCATTTTTCTGTTTCTAGATCGCCGACGCCGATAAAGAAGCAAGCAAGCTTAAGAAGGACGCCGAAGCGTATGCCAAGGACGCGAAGAGCGAAGCTCTGAAAGCCGTCGACAAGTTTGACCAAAAGGTGGAAGAAGGCGCTGCTAAAGCCAAAAGCGGCATCTCTGGCTGGTTTGGGGGGAGCAGCAAGTAAGGATGTTTTCACATCATAGTACAGATTGCCGAGGAGGAGGAGGAGAAATGGAGCGTGTCGATCGGAAGACGCAGTAAATATTGTGTGATCTTACTAATCTTTCTTGATGAAAGAAAGGGGAGGGAAAAAATACCACTGTTTGATATGAGCAGACTAGTAATTGAATCATATCCCATCCACTGGGTCCACTGGGTCTACTACACCATCTGTCTTCTGAATACTAGGTAGTAGGTATGTAATCATGATCTTCCAAGCTGCTGTGGCACCAGTCGACAAGGCGACACATTAGTGCTTCAAAATATAAAAATAAGACAAAATTCAAAAGTCCCATCCTTTCTTCAAACTCCCAATGCCGTTTCTAAATCAATTATACGCCCCTTGCTCCTCCGAAGCAAAATCACTGCTCCAACTCCGCCGCCACGAGCTTGAGAATCTCCTCAGCGTTCTTCTTCGCATTCTTGGGGTTCTTTGCCACAGACTGCCACACCTCGCCGTGTCTCGGCTCGTTGAGCACGCACTTGGTCACCACGTCTGCCCTCTTCTCGTCCGTGCCGTGCTGTACCAAGAATCTGTAGTACCAAGCCCAGCTGTCGCCGCAGTCTCCGTCCAGCACAAGCGCCTTCTCGAACCAGCTCTGCGCCTTCTCCAGCTTGCGGTCGGCCCAGAAGATGCGGGCGACGGCTACAAAGAGGATCGGATCGCTGTCCACCTTCTTGATGGCCTCGAGACTGCGGGGCTTCCGCTGCGTGCGAGGCTCCAGGTGCCAGATCTGCTCGACCCAGAGGAGGCCGCTCTTGGGAACTTCCTGGAGCGCCTTGGCCATGAGCGACTTGGCCTGGGACAAGTTGCCGGCGCGTCTCTCAAGGCGAACCGACTCGCACCAGAGCTCGCCGTTTTTGGGCACAGCCAAGCGTGCTCGGTCCAGCACCGAACGGGCCTTGACAGTTAACCCGGCGCTTTCTTCCAAGCGGGAATAGAGAAGCCACAAGGGCACGGATCTGGGAACCGCCTTGACTCCTGTGCTGTAGGCCTCTCGAGCCTGACCAGTCTTGCCCAGGTCCTCGTAAATTTGGCCCTTCAGCATCCATAGCTTGGCTGCTGCGGGGAAAAGCTGTAGTGCCTGGAGCACGAGATCAAGTGCCATTTCGACATTGCCCAATACTCGCTCAAACACAACGCTCTTCATCCAGACACGATCCGTGGGTGCTTGTTCCCGTGCAATCTCGAGCAGTTTCCGGGCCTGCTCTTCGTTGCCATTCTCTGATTCTAGCTTGACGGCAGCTAGCCAGATATCCTCGTTGTTTGGGTTCTGGTTAAACGCTCGCTTGAGCACCAGTCTCGCGTTGTCCACATCTCCCGACTGCCACTTCTCCTTGGCCAGCATCATCCACAAATCTTCACTCTTCGGACACGCCTCCACTGCCTTCTCCAGGACCTGCCACAGGGACTCGCGCGTTCCGTGATTCCGCTCAAGGTCCGCCGCAGCCATCCACATGGTTCGGCTATTGACAAACACACGCAGGGCGTAGGCATAGATGGCCCTTGCTGTTTCGTATTTGCCTCTGTTGATGCTTGCCTTGGCATCCTCTGCCCATGTATCCTTGCGGTCGTCGTCTTCGTCCAATCCCCAACCCAGCGTCTCCTGAATGATGTTCTGGCAAGTGACAATGGCACCTTCCTCTTCACATTTCTCCGCCTCGCCAATCCATTCCTCACGCTTCGGCATAGCTGACTCCTTTGCCAAAACCTGGACGGCTCGCTTCATGACAGCGCTCTTCTGTCCTTGGCCAAGCTGCTCCTGCAGACGAGCAGCCGCAATCCAAATCTCATAGGACGTAGGGACAGCCTTTCGAGCCTTGTTCAGAACCTTTTGTGCATTCTCAGGGCTTTCTAATCGTGCCAAGGCAAGCCACAAATCCACGGAGAGCGGGATGAGCTCTGTAGCCTTTGCCAGCATCAATTTTGCGTCTTCGGGATCGTCTTCAAGATTTACGGCCTCTTTCCACAGCGCTTCTGACTCTGGGATGTGGTCCAGTGCCTGTCGAATGACTCGTTTCTTGTTGTTGGGTATGGTTTCCAGTCTCATCGCCTCGACCCACAACCTAACGGAGCGGTTGTTGGCCTCGATGGCTCGTCGTGCAATGATCTTGGTATTTGGCGAGTCGTGATTAAGCCGGATATTCTCCAGCCATGCGTCTTCGCTCTTGGGGCAACGGGTGCATCCCTGATCAATCGTCTTCCGCGCAGCGACAATTTTGCCTGCCAGCTCTTCCAGACGAGCCGCAGCAATCCAGCCCAGGGCATTGTTTGGGTTCGTCTTAACGACCGATTGCAGCAGTTCTCGGACTCGGTTGATGTCTCCGACTTGTGCCTGTGATTCGTTCACTTGCATCTTGTTGAGGCTCGTGATGTATCCCTGCGCATCAATGCTAGTTGAGCTTCCAATAACGGAGTCGCCACCGGCAGTTTGTGAGGCCTGTTCCAGCCTCGATTTCAACACTCTGTCACGGGCAGCACCGATCTTGGCAAAGTTGGTCATTGTGCCATCGGATGCGTCTGTTGTACTCGTCGCTGCGCCGTCATCGACAACCGTCGTGCCCATGTCTCCCGAATCTCTCGCGGCTGCAAGCACACTATCCGGAACCGCATAGAATCGCTGTCGTAAAGCCTGCTTGCTCCGCCGGTTCTTTCCAGTCAAATCTCCCACCTCGGGCAGGTTGGCCCAGTCATCGTCCGAGACCGTGGCCAGGGCGCGCTTCAGATCTGAAAATTGCTGCTGAATCTTGGGGTTGTTCCTCTCGTATTCTTCTCGTTCTGCCTGTTCACGAGCCTCTCGCTGCCGTTTCCGCCGGTCCATTCGTTCATCTACCCACTCCCAAATCTTATCCGCCTCCTCGTCATCTTTGTCGTAGACTCCGCCGGCGAACAGTCCCACCTCATTGTCGGGGTCCTGGTACCGCTCATCGTCCTCTTCTTCCTCCTTGTCTTTTCCCTTCTTGCCCTCGGGCACTAGGCCAAGCTGTGCAGCGCGCTTCGCAAGCGCCTCCTTGATCTGATCCTCGCTGGGGCCGTCACGAGCAGGTCCAAGATCGGATCGGGTTGTGAAACCGGTGGCACCTCGACCCAAGCCAGCGACGTAGTTTTCTGGGGCCGGCTGGCTCAGAAAGTCGCGTCGGGACGTCATCGTTCTGGCCTGTTAAGCGGATTGTTGGTGTTTAGAGCGATGGTTGACAATGGCAAAAAAGCATCTGTCGCGAGCCACAGGCAACATAGCCTTGTCGTAGGTGTGCAAAGGGAGCTTTCACTTGGTGCTAATTTAAGCACCAAAATAGCAAATCCCATGTCACAAATTTACACCCATAAAAAAGGATCTGGTACCCGCCTTACCGCTTATCGATAATTACATCTCAATAATTTTCTGTAGAAAAAAAAAGTTTCCCACCACCCATCCATCGCCCCTCGTCCCCCGCGATATTGCAACAGCTGCATTTGATATCGTATAGATTAGAGATTCCGTCCTCACCATGGCAAAAGCCGACAGATCGAAGCGCAACAACGCTTCCAGCGGCCCCTACGAGAAGCCCAGCGGAGCAAGCTCAAAAACCAACAATGTCTTCAAGTTCAACACAAACTTCGGCCAGCACATTCTGAAAAACCCCGGTGTCTCAGACGCCATTGTCGAAAAGGCCTTCCTCAAGCCCACGGACACGGTCCTCGAAGTCGGTCCCGGTACCGGTAACTTGACGGTTCGAATTCTTGAGCGGGCCAAGAAATGCATCTGCGTCGAGTTGGATCCCCGAATGGCGGCCGAAGTAACCAAGCGAGTGCAAGGAAAGCCGGAGCAGCGAAAACTCGAGGTTCTGCTGGGAGATGTGATCAAGACGGAGCTGCCAGCCTTTGACGTGTGCATCTCAAATACCCCCTATCAGGTATGCTTATGACCCAACGCTGTATTTCATCATACGGTACTAATCAAATCAGATCTCGAGTCCCCTCGTCTTCAAGCTCCTCTCGCTACCCAACCCCCCTCGATGCTCCGTCCTCATGTTCCAGCGCGAATTTGCCCTCCGCCTGACGGCCCGCCCCGGTGACGCCCTCTACTGCCGCCTCTCCGTCAACGCCCAGTTCTGGGCCAAAATCACCCACATCATGAAGGTCGGCAAGAACAACTTCAGGCCCCCTCCCCAGGTCGAGTCCTCCGTCGTGCGCATCGAGCCCAAGATGGGCAAGGACCGGCCCAACGTCAGCTGGGACGAGTGGGACGGCCTGCTCCGCGTCTGCTTCGTCCGCAAGAACAAGACGCTCCGCGCCTCCTGGCTGGGCACGAAGGAGGTTCTCGCCATGGTTGAGCGCAACTACCGCACCTGGTGTGCCATGAACGGCGTGCCCATCGACGAGAGCATTGTTGAAGGCGGCGCAGACGACGAAGATGACAACGACATGGACATGGACGAAGGCGCCAACGACGCCGAGGACGCCGGCATGGACGTCGACGACGACGCAGACGAAGACACCCCCAGCTTCTTCAAGGACCTCAAGTCCGCCGGCGCCAACGCCCCCAAGACAAAGAGCAAGCGCAAGAAGACAAAGGTCGCCGAGCTCGTCCGCGAGAAGATCCGCAAGGTCCTCGAGGACGTGACCGAGCTGGCTGACAAGCGAGCCGGCAAGTGCGACGAAAACGACTTTCTGCGCCTTCTTTTTGCCTTTAACGAGGAGGGCATTCACTTTTCATAACCGAATTCCCGCTTCTTTTGACTTCCTCCTTTATTTCCTTCCACATTTTCTCCCTCTCTCTCTGGTTTTACTTGAGCTGTTGCTTCTCCGTTGGCTGGTATTCACGACATGTAGTGGTTTTCAGGGGGACACGAGTTTACGAAGAATTACGTCTTTGTTAGCTAGAAGACAGTTATTTCATGATTCACAAAAAGGTTGGCGAGTGGGGCGTTTCTAGGCGTTGTATAGCTTTGAAATGGGCATCAAAGAAGCATGACGTTTTTATCCCATCACAATACATATATTATTTCTCAGGCACTCAAATATAGCACTTGTAAGAAATCAATTTTTACGATCAAAGTCTACCAAAAGTATATACATCCATCAAAAATCGTCATCGTTCAAATCATTTTGTTCACTGTATCTTTTCTGCCTCTCTTGTACTGTAAAATATCTCGTGCCTCAGTCAACCACCCCTTATTCTAAGACTTGCACCTTCCCCTCTTTTTGCCTCCTATCAAAAAAATAGAAAATAAAAATAAAAAAACTGCGCGTGAATGGGATCGACCGCCTATCATAAACCGTTACAATTACAAAAATGGTAGTTGCCACTTTCTCATCTATGTTGCGTATAAAGAAACTCCATCCGAATGCCTCGTGTGCTCCCTGTTTTTTACTTTTCAACTTGTACATTTGTTTAGAAGGGAATCTCCGTCTCTGCCAGAGGTGTATACCACATCAAAACCAAAGATAACGCAAAAAAAGTAAAATAAAGGAAACAAAAAAGAAAGGGAAAGAAAAGGAAAGAAAAGGAAAGGAAGAGGCTCCCTCTCCCCCCTTGTGAGTCTGGACACACAAAGACCCAAAAAACACCTCAGCAGGGCCAACTTTGACCTCGCCAATAACCGAACAAGCCATGATATTGGTTGGAAATTTCAATCCAACGCCTCTGCTCCATAAGAAAACCTCGCTATGCGCGCTCGATGTACACAAGCCAAAAGAAAATGAAATTGGAAGAAAAAAAAAAAAAAAGAAAAGGAAAGGAAAGGGAAAAAAAAAGACGAAAAAAAGACACTATTAACGTAGCATATTCGAAAAAGCAAATGCTTCCGCCTTATGCTTCAAAATTCAGTGCTGTGACATTGGGCTTCTTCGGCGGATTGTTGGCCGAGTTTGGTTTGACTGTCGTTCGTCCCGAGACGGTAGCGCTGCGGATGCGTGCGCTCAAAGGAAGAGTATATTTGACCACGCCCTTGACAATGAGATCGAACTCGTTTTGATAAATTCGCTCCCAACGCTTGGAGCCACCCGCAGTCCCATTACCGGGATATGGTAACTGCATTTCGCCCGTGGACGAGGAGAGGCCCTGATGGAAGAGTGATCCCTCAAATGTTAGGGGGCTGTCGAACTCGGTAATGCGTCCAAGAAGTATATTTGGTTTCGTCTCGTCCTCTCCTCCGGGAGTGGTTGGGTCATTGACAGGGTCGTCGAATGGACGTACCAAGTTGTCCTTTGGTCCCTCGGGGTTATCCCACCAGTCCGAATCGGCACCTCCATACTCCGACTTAGCAAAAATCTCCAGGTTCGCATGATCGATTGTGACAACCACAATGTTGGGGTTGTGCGCCTTGACGGTGACATCAAACATGAGAACCTGCTCGCTGGTGACGACATTATGGATGGAAACAATTTCAATGTCGCTCAGGGGTTGAGAAGTCGCAAACATGAAGCCTATGGCACCAGTAATGACTAAGAGGAACATCATGGTAAGGACAAGGCAGGCGGCAAACCGATTGAGATACGAGGACCTCCTAGAGTACGATTGTGACTCGGCCTGCCGCAAGTTGTGCGGGCCACGCCTGAATCGTCCTCTGCTGCGGCCGTTTTCAAGGAGAGGTGTGTGCTCGTCATCTGCACCAGTGGTTTCGTCCAAATCATAGCTTGAGGACATGTGTATCGCTGAGCGTTTGGAGCTCAGGGGTCCCCGCATGGAGGGGTGATTTCTCGGACTGGGGGGTCCAGAGGAGTGACGAGAGTTGACCATCTTGGGCCGAGGGTTATTCTGGAAAGGGGATTCGTTGTCAAAGAGCGAGGCATGGCCGTTGCCCGGCTGTCGACCCCAACGGCCAATGTGGTGATGCTGCCGAACAGTTCCTCGGCCAGAACCGCTGGCACTGCGGCCGGTTCCTCTGCCATCCTCGTCGCCGGTCAGCATACCATCGTTGATGGGGCCGTTGACGTAAGTATTGGAGAACTTCATGCTCTTCTTAGGCGCAGGGACATGGTTGTCTGTGATACCATATAGGACTCGCATGTTGGGGCGATCGCTCTGGCTAACTATAGACGTTGCACTAGGAGTGCGAGAGTGGAAGCGGCGCGAGGCTCGATCGCCAACGTCAGGGGGGTTAGAATCATAGACAAACGTTTCTTCCGAGTCGGAGGTATTAGCTTCATCGACAGCGTTGGCAATCTTGGCTTCGAAGATGTCTGCCTTGGATGATCCTAGTAGTAGTTTAGTATGAGTGCTTCTGCGAAGGTGAAAAAAAAAGTTTCACATGAAGTGAAAATTGGTAGGTAAATGAACAAGGGGGGAAAAAAGGCCCTTTCCCCTCTCATCCCACCCCAACTTCCGGAAAGGTAAAGAATATAAAGAAAAAAATTCCTCACCGTTGCCGCTGTTGACTGGTTGTTTGCGGGATCTCTTCTTTTCTTTTTTCGGGGGCTTGATAGTCTCTGTGCTCTGCTTCGTTCTCAGAGTTCCATTCATACCGTCAGGCTTTGGGCCTACGGCCAGCGCCACCTGGGGAATGCTTGCTACAGTCTCGGTCTCCACTGTCATTGTCTGTGTAGAACCCTCAGGCCTAGATTTGGCTTGCTTGGAGAGCATAATGGCACTCGACTGCCTCGAGAGGAGGGGTGGTGGGACAGAGGTCGTTCTCCTTGACTCGGCCCTGCTGTCGCCGCCATTCTCATAACCTGGAAGCATAGGTCTGGCTCGTAACGTCCGACCTCCATCAACGTCTGATAGATTGTCGGCGTATGAAAACTTTTCCCCGGCATGCTCGAAGAAGGGAGAGTCCTGCTGATGACGGAAGCGAGATGGTGGATTGGTCTGGCTGACTTCCTGAACAGTTTCCAGAGGCCCGCGGCCCGGTGATCGGAGACCGGACGCCATGTGCAGGTCCTCTGCTTCGCTTTCGCTGGTGGCCAGGTACTGAGATGAATCTGGCTGGACGGGAGATGGGCTAGGGTGCTGTACGTTGATAAGAGGAGGATCCTGCTCGCTCAGGCGAGGCGTCGTGTTGCCGTTTCTAAGCAGTTGCAGCGGAGGAGAGCGTACACGGGGCGACACGGGCCATTTCGTGCTGTCTCTCAACTCGGACGACAGTGCAGGCTTTTGCGGTGCGGGTGCCTGGACGTGGATCTGCGAGTCTTGGTTGGCGGTCACGGGCACGAGGGTTGGCGTGGTGGTCGCGGAGAGGCTTCGAAGACCGGAGGCAGGCCCGCCAAGGGTTGACTTGACCTGGCGAGACGGGCTCTGAGCCTGCTGGCTGTTATTCCGTGATCTTGCGCCGTTGATCCTGCCCGACGTTGATGTTGCTCTCCGGGGATGACGGGTCGGGGAGGGGTCTCGGGAGCCCATGGGTGAATGGGTGACGGAGTTGCTGGCGGACGAGTGTGTTGACGTCGCCGTGGCAGTGGCACTGTCGCTGGCACTTGGATTGGCACTGGTGCTGGACGTCGTACCGGACGCAGGCGCACCAGGTGTGGGCTGATGATTCGCCATGTCGGGCCCGGCCTGTGTGGCGCCCTCGCCGTCAGTCGCAGCAGCCGGTGGCCTGTTCATGGCTGTGGATAGGGAAACAAGTCGTGGGTTCGCAGAGCATGCATGCCAACGGGGCAAGCCTCTACTGGTGCTGGTGGCTCGGGATGCTGGTTACTGGTACTGGTGAGTGGGAACGATGCGAGGTTGACGGCCTAGGCCCGGCTCATGGTGGTTGGCTCGCCGATACAGCGATGCGGGAGGATCGGATGGGCGCGATGCCCAACGTTGAGCCCTTCTTCCCTTGCGTGGTCGTACTCGTACTAGCTCTTGGTGTTTCTGGCTGGGTCCTGGAGGCCAGCCAATGGATTTGCCTCGGGGGGGCGTCAGCGGAGCTCAGGCGGTGCAGCAGATGGAGCCCAGAGGGAGTGTCTGGATGCAGGCTCGCACAGAACTGGATGGCAAAAAAAAAAAAAAAAACTGAATATTATTTCGAGCCGGGGAAGAGGATGACGGGCCAGAGATGGGGCCTTTGGTTTTGGGACGCGGAGCGGAAACAAGTGCGCAAAGGATGACACAATCAAATCGGGTTGGCCAAGATGGTGGGACTTTGCTTCAGGGCCGCACTAGCACCAGGAGGAGGAAGGTATGGAAGGGTGTGGGAATACGATGGAAGGGGAGGAAAAAAGAAAAAAAAAAAAAAAAAAAAAGAGAGACAACGGGCAGTGAACGAGAGAGAGAGAGAAAACATGGGCGTGTGAAAGTGGTGCTAACTCCATGGAGAAACGACTTGATGAGCAGACGGGAGGGTACGAGTACATGCGACATGGGCAGAATGCACCGCTACCTGGCTGTAGCACCAAGTACAGTGCGTGGGGGAAGTAGAGGGCTTGTACCCAGGAGCCTGTGGGACTTGTGATTGGCACAGGTGAGACAGCGAGATTCGGCCGTCGGTTGACGAAAAAAACCTTGTTGCAACACCAATAGCTCCGGTTTTCTGTGCCAGTGGTAGGGCCTAGGAGGAAGAAGAAAAGCCCTAGGCGGCAGGGAAGGCGAGTTTTCTCCTTTTCCATCGGCTGGAGCAGGGAGGATTACAGTAATTGGTTTCACGCAAGACGCTGAGCAGGCACTGTATTGTACGAGTACGAGTACCAATGCTTACTGCGGAGATGTACTTGTACAATATAAAACACGGGATGGCTGACTGATTGACTGCCTCGTCTTACCGTATGTTACAAACAAATGAGTGCATTGAGTAATACAACTTAGCATCCAATTCACCAACAAGGATTCTGTTGAGTACTTGCATCCGGTGCCGGTGCCAAAATGAGCATTGGATCAAATTGAATCAATGTTTTGCACCAGCAGCGCATTAGCACCCTCGCCAAGCGCTAGGCCCAAAGCCCAACCTCTTCGGTACGGCGCAGAGACCTGGCCAGTGCCGCAGCCGCACTGGTCTGCTGACTGCTGTGCTCGCTAGCCCAAGTACAAGCTACATGGATCAAATCTCCCGCTGGGCTTTGCTTTGTTTACTCCCACAAGTACTCGTCGACTCCAGTTGCAGCACAACATTGCCAGGTGGCACTCGGAGGCAGAAAGAGCCTGCAGCTAGTCGGTCCATGAGCCAATGGACGAGGACACGCCCGTCGAGTCCACGGTATCAAGTAGATGGGCACCCTCCACCAGGCAGTTCAGCTTAGTGGCCTCTTGAGCAAATAGAGTCAAGGCTAGAGCATTGGATCATCCCGGCTGGCCATTCTACAGTATGCCGTCTTGTTGATTTCTTATATCTGACCGCTCGGCTTCGTTAGATGGCACCATCTCAACGGCACCAATGCGACATACAGGGTCGAGAGTCGCGCCGGAGCAACACAAGACAGAGGCCTAGGACGTCATGAAGCATATACGGGAAGGGTATGTCGAGCACGCGCATCTGTGGTGCCGTTGAGCCCTGCCCAAACAGAAGCCGGCAATTCATCTTGCTATGGCCCCCAAGGAGGGAAGGGGAAAGAAAAAAAAGAAAAAAGAAAAAAGGAAAAAAAGAAAAAACCTGGAAATCAATCAAACACGCCATGGCATGAAATGGGTGGTGCAAACACAGGCTCGCGGCCGCCCCCGATCCACTCACGTCATGGACAACAACAAACTTGAATCCACCTCAACTTCTCTGCCCCGAAATCCAAAACCGTCGGCACCACGGCACATTTTGCAGCATCGACGTGAATGTCTTGAGAAGAATGTCTAGGGCGCTGAATTGATGCCGGCCCACGGTCGAAACACTTCGTGCTGGCCCCCCGTGAATCTGCGTTCCACAAGTTCCCAACAAGCTGCCCCATTCCCAGGACACGATCAGAGGCGACCGCGGCTGCTGCTCCGCGAGCCGCCTTCAATCGGTTCAACAAGTTCCGTGCTTTGATTAAAAGCTCCAGACATGTACTCGTACAGTACGGGCACTGCTAGCAACAGCAGCCACCCAAGCTAGCAAGTGCTTTGCATACATTTACCTGTATGTACGCATGTTATGTGTCAGTATCACGTATCCGAAATGCCACCTCTGACTAGTAGATGCCCGATAGCGCCCAAATAAGGCAGTAGGATTCTAGGATACCCCGATCCATTCCCCAGGATTTCAGTGCAAGCACCCAAGGAGGCTAAGGGCGGCCAATGCCAGGGGCCGTCCCTGTCACCATCTGCTCACCATCTACAACAGCGCCGTATCTGTATAACGAACTCTCGGCCAGAGCACGACACAAACGTCGTCGGGTCTGCATGAGCCCTGCGCGCGCAACTCATGTAGACAATTTAGATTCAAACCCAATCCTACTCTGCCCTAGTAAATGGCTCAGCCGGCAGCCCATCCATAGGGATGAGGATTTCCCGATGGAAAGAACCGGGACGACGCTCCAGCACGGCTCTCGGTAACGGCCCAATGGATGGCTCGTCAACACATGATAGTTGCAGCCAGAGGCCAACAAACCAGATGCTCTAGCACAGTCCTGTACAGTACTCGTAGAGATGAATAGACCAGTTTAGGCTCAACTGCCACCAGTGCTCTGGCCCGTCCCGTTCCATCCGCCCGCCCACCGGATTGATTCGCTCTTGGGACTGACAACACCAACACCAAGGAATGCCCATCACCACCCGCAATACAGTAGGACTGTTACACATTGGTCATGACGCCCTCACGGCTCCAATCACACTGACGGCATATCCAACCTGTGACCAACAGATGGAGCAGAGCAAGCACACGTACTCGTCCACGTAGGTACTTACGACACACCAAAAAAAGGCTCTAAGCGGCCAAGTCCTCCTTTGTCTCTCCATCTCTTCCTCTTTTTTTTTTCTTTCTTCTCTGCCTGACCTGACTCTTATCAACCTCGCTGACGACCACCCAGCCCACTCTCCGTCTGCCTCTGCAGTGGCACCCCGAAAAGTAATTGGCTGGTCCCCAGCAGGATTCTCCCATCAGCCTCTGCCGCCAGCCTCTCACAGCTCGACACGATAGACGCCACCCCTGTTCTTGTTTCCATAGTAGGCGCATGGCCCTAACCTGCCTTTTGCCCCTTGCCGTCCCGCTTGGGGGCTTGCAGGCGTTTCGACAACGCGTTAGACCTGGATGGGTGAAGGCCTCTCTCTTTTTTCCTCTGTTTTTTTTCTGGACCGTCCCTCTCTCATTTTAGTCATGTATTATCCGGCGAGAAGTAGCGCGCATACAGGTATCTACCAATCTAACCTCAGTCTCATATGTGGCTGATTTCTTTGTCTGAATAACACACCCGATTCTCGCTTATCCTTGTCCAGCAAACTCGGCGCTTGATTGGAATCTTTCATGCAGCGTGCTTTACCCTAATAAGAGCTGGTAGCCGTCGTCGTAACACCAGTTCGGCCTCAGGTGCTGTCCTAGTATATGGAGCATATTACCGCTACAGTGCATGTGCCGCATCCTATCCCGTGCTTTATCATGACTCTGTACTCCGTATACTTGCCTCATCGGATGTATCCAAGCCCTCATCAAGCCACCCGTGTCTCCCAACGCCTCCCTCCATCTCCCATCCCGTGTACCGCTGCATTCATATTCTACTACTAATATGTATCAGCCAATGCCAAACTAGGCATATCGGCCTCTGGGCTTCTGCACAGGTGACCACGCCTCCATGTCGTCCCACCAAGCCTTTGCCTGCTTACATGTAGCTACCGAGACGCCTCCTGCTGGTATATACAAGTCTGGTAAGGATGGGAGTTGAAGTGTCTCGCCCCGGAAGCGAGTGACTCGGCATGATGCCGAAAGGAACTAGATGCCTGCCGGGTGCTTTCTTATACACTGATGCTGTACTCCATACTTCCTGAGTGTACGCCCGGAGCTTACACTTTATGACGGCCTTGGTAATAATAGCATCTTAGTAAGGCATGTTATACTTGGTATAGTAGTAATATCGAGGGCATCTTGATACTCTCCTCACGTAAGTCCACGCCCGTCTTTGCCAATCCATCCTTAAGCGAAACGACAGCCTGATCAACCGCAAGGATAAATCCCATCGCCACTCTGCCTACTCCGTACATGTATGCACATATGTAGACGAATAACCCTATAAATACGCCGTACATTAGTTTCGACTCCATACCAAGTAGTAGTAGTTCCCATCGTGCCCCCCAATCATGGTACATCAACCGATACTGTACGTTTAAATTCCCATTCAGCCGCCACTCGTACGAGAGCCACTGTAGCAGATTTCTCGCGAAAAGCGCCACTTCTACGGAGTACTACTAACAACTTACACGCCTCTCTGCTCTACTATTATCCTTGCGATCCCGCATCGCGCCTAAACAAAAACCACCCCCAACAAGTTCCATAAATCTCACAAGACCAAGACCCCTTTTTTTTTTCCTTTCTCCATCATCCCCCCTACCTTTTGCCTTACCGCAGTTAGCAGCACCCGTCTCCTCCTCTTCACCGCCTTGCTGCAACACAGTCCACACACGCCCGCATGCACCTTTATGCAGCGGCCCTCTCACCCAAAACAACGGGCCAAAAAACGCAGAGTGAGAGAAAAAAAAAAAGAGAGAGAGAAAAGGGACAGTGGCCATCCCACTCGTGATCGCACGTTGGGCATCAATCGTACTGTAAGGAGATAGCCTTGCATGCCTTCGCCCATCGCTGCATACAACACAGTGCTCAGAAGACCACCTCCAAGTGGAGAGATGTCGTAAAAGAGAGCATCACCAGGACCACGCAGAGACAGAAACAGTCAAACAAGAGTGTCACTGTCTGCCCTTGAGGGCGCTTCGCAACTGACATGTAACAAGCGGTCAATAAATTAAGTAAATTAATTAAAACAGAAAAAAAAAAAAAAAAGGTAAATTGGTAAATAACCACAAAACGCCGTACGCGAAAGAAAATGGCGGGGGGGCCTCGCCCATTCTTCAATCTATTTTGTGCAACATCTGTATACTATTGAACTGCACTAGCGAACAAATAAACACCACTTGTGCATATCCCCAATGCTGTCTTCGAGTCAAGCTTCTGCAGTTTGCGCCAGAAGGCCGCAGCAGCAGCACCCTTGTTGATATGTGGATAATATTCCGTACGTGTACATGCACGCATTGCGCATTTCCGAGCTCCTCAACGATGGTAAACGAGCTCCCGAAAGGGAGGGGGGGCCAAAGGCAGGCGACTTGTATTTCTTTTTTTGATTCCTTTCTGAATCTGTTTGCAATACACGATGCTGCATGTCTAGGAGTAGCATCAACAGCCAGAGGATTCTCCACCGTGTATGCAGGCAAAATGTAAGTTCAAAGTGCTTGCCAATGGCTTATATGTAATATATAATGTATCAATTAAACAGCTACCTAATCCAACGAAAAAATAACTCGGTTAAAGAAAAAAGAGAAAAAAAATGACACCCTCCCAATCATCAACTTCCACCAGAAAAACTACCTACCCGCATATGTGTCTGTCTGTACATTGTATGTATATGTAATGCACATGGTTTTTTCCCCCTTCATTCCAATGGCATCTTTCGTCAATCAATAGCCCAATAAAAGAAGACGCGGCCCATCATCCTTGGCGTAACGCGTCTTCTAATAATAATAATAGTATAAGTGACAAAAGAAAAGGGTCATACATAAAAAAGAAAAGAGTACCAGACAAGGTTATATATGTCATATCAAACTGTTTTGCAAGTCATGTACTTGTCATTTGTCGTCATTGTCGTCTGTCCAAGGATTTCTATGAGTAAAACGGTTATCCAAACCGCTTTGCCCGCCGGTCTGGCCACTGCGTCGTTGTTATCGTTATTGCCGTGCGTATCATCCCTGATGTTGAAAAAAGAAGCATTCATACTGATCCTGATGTAAAGAAATTATCCGTTGAATATTGAAGTAGTTGGTGTGCTCCCATGATAGACGCCTATCCGAATCCCCTCATGATTCCAAGTTTCTTTTTTCTGCAAAATAAATCATCAAAAGCAACTTTGGCTCATTCTTTTTTTCCTTCATTTGTTTCTCGTCCTACTCTGGGATCGCAGGGCTTACTGGCGAGTGGTCGTCTTTCTTTCCACCCCAGGTCCAGCCAGAGATCCAGCTTGCACGCTTGTTGGCGTTGTTATCCTTGACGGCATCTGGGTTCTCCTGGACCAGTCTCAGCGGGCGCGGCTTGCTGCCGGTGAAGGTTGTCTGCTTGTCCGAGTGTGATCGCGGTGGCGACTGCGACGGCGGCGTCGAGATCTCACCAGACTCGCCGCTTAGGCTTGATGTCTCGCTTCTCTCGCCTCTCGTGCCCGGGAAATTTCCTTGGCTACCGCTAGGAATCCGACCCGGAGTCCCAATCACGCCGGCGGTAGGGAAGAAAGCGTGCGAGTGCCGTTGGTTGAGTGGTGGCGAGGCAGGGCTGTCCGGACCTCTGTACATCTGGCTAACTAGAGATGCAGCTCCCGGGAACTGGTCGCTCACAGGTCGCGAACGTCTGTTTATTCGGCCGAGGCCAATGGGAATGCTGGGTGCCTTTTCGGGGTCGGTGTGGTCCAGTGGAGTACCGTCGGAGGTCTGGATGATTGAGAACGGCCGCGGTCTTGGTCTCCCCGTCATGATAGGCGCAGTTCTGGTCCGCTGCAGAATGGGTTGCCCGTCGAGTCGTGGGCTGAACGACCCGTTTAGCTTCGGACTGGTCGGCCCGTTGAGCTGTGTGTTGATCTGTGGCTTCTCTACTGGCGGTGGTGGTGGAAGGTCTTTGTCCTTTTCAGGCAGCGGGGGCTTCATGTCGGCTGATTGATCCAAGATCGTCTCAAAGTCCTGATGCTGGAGCAGGCGCTCGATAATCTTGTTGATGTACAGAGTGAGGGCCTTGTTCTTCTCCTTGAGCGCCTTGAGTTCGCTCTCGAGGCGACGGTGGTCAACGGTAGGTTCGCCCTCGGACTGCGTCGCATCCGAAAGCTCATCAGCAAGGCTGGAGCCGCCTGTCTTGCCCTCCAGGGCGTCTAATGCCTCATGGTTCACGGTTGGGCTCATGTAGCTAAAGTCGCTCTGGCCAAAGTCTCCCTTGAGAGTCTTCTCCTGGAGAAGCAGTTGATAGCTCTCGTTGTCCTCCATGAGGCGCGCGTTGGACATGCGGGCCTCCATCAACTGACGCTCAACCTCTTGCAATCTGCCTCCGCCCTGGTTTTCGGTTTCCACCAGCTTAATCTGGGCTTCTGCGAGCTCTAGGCGCAGTGACTCAATAAGCTTGTCCTTCTGGAGAATCAGCTTAGAGCTATTTCGCGAATCGCTTCGCTGAAGGGAAGACGGGGGAGCGAAGCCGCTGCCGTCAAGCGAGGGCGAAGCGCTAGCTGCTGTAGACATTTCAGAATTAGCGTGTCATCCAACGACGAGATTTCGACCTTGATATCGGTCAGGACGTTGCTTACATTGCCTCGATGGTCTCGGATCGTCCTCAAGGCTCAATTTCTGGGCCAGCGTCTCCTTTAATCGTGCAATAACCATTTGCATCTCCTCCTCCTTAGTCGCCATTTCCTCCTTTTCCTTGAGAATGGCGCTTCGCTCAGCCTCGTAGATTGTCTCCATCTCCCGAATCTTACGACCGGCTTCTCTCTTTTCGTTTCGTAGCGTCTCGATCAGCTCGTCGTGCTCGTGGACCTTTTCTTCGAGCTTGGCCGACTCCTTGACCGCATCGTCCAGCTTGGACTGCAGAACCTCGGCCTGCCGCCTATACTGCTCCGACTGCTTCTCCTCCTTTTCCAGGCGCTGCTGGAGATCCTCCAGCGCAGCGGCAGCAGCCGCTCGGGCGTCGGAATCTGTGCTGCTCATGGCAGTATCTCGTCGAGCAACGGCCGCGCGGGCAGAGACAGGATGGACGGATCTCGTCCTGACGTGCTGTCCGGTGGGAGTGGCCGAGCGCACGGATTGGGCTCGCGTATGGGTCGGCTTTGGAGGCGAGGTGCCTGTGTCTGAAGTCGCTCGGCCGACTGCGATAACCGGCGGCTTGTTTGCAACCGTAGACATGTCGAGTCTGGGAGGAGAGGATGCAAGACGCCTTCCGTCGAGGTCGGTGAGCTACTATGGTGAAACGCACAAACGGGGCCGTCTGGCGCAGCGCCAAACAAGATCGTCTATGGGATAATTATAATTATGCTGCGAGATGGCCAGTGGTGAAGAGGAGAACTGCAACGTTTAGGAGGGATAACAGGCCACGAGGGTTTGGTCTGCTTGGTTGGGCTCCACCTCGAATGTGTCGGTGGGCAATTTAAAGGCAGAGTTTCAAGAAAAAAGGTACCTCCGCCAAGGGTTCAGCGCCGTGTGTGTGCGAGGTACCCGTACTGCAGGAGTACATTTTCGTACAGTACCACAGTTCCAGTTCAGCCACTCGGGGGTGAGGAGGAGTGATGCGGTGACGAAAGCGGGAACAGCACGCAGTCCCTTTTTGTTACAGATTGATCCCTCCGTGTTTTCGCCTTTGCTGCCTAATTTTCCTTCTTTTTCTTCTTCTCTCCTTCTTTCATCCTTCTCATCATCCACAAAGGAGAAGCCCTGCTATTAAATGACGGGAGCTGCTCTTCATGCCTCTTCTAAAACAGTGCATGACTTTGATCACAACGCCCTGCATCTCATGCCAGGACGGGAGCCTGATTGGGCGCTGGAGGAAAATCACGGGCCACTAAAGGCCCCTAGAGCCGCTCCACCCCCACTGCTGGACGCTGCTAGAATCTCTCTCCCCTCCTCTCGCTCCCTGGAAGCGCTGGTCACTGCTCGGCTCCTCTGCGGACGCAACGCAACGCCTCACCTCGCCTCCTCCGATGCGCTGTACTGCCCGTGCATTGGTTTCACTGACCGCTTCTCTGCGCTTGGGAGACAAACAGCGCAATCCTTTTTCTGGAAAAGAACAAGAGGCCCTTGGCCAGAGTCGGCTGCTTTGTCATCCTGGCCTTACTTGAAATGATGAAACAAATCCTATTACGTAGGTCTGTTCCTATTTGCAGATTTGCGGCATGTTTCTCTCAGAGACATGAAAGCTGCCACAAGGTTTTAACACAGTGAGGCGCAACTGGATGCGGTCACTGCAAAGTACCTGCTACAAGCACAAGTACATCGACAGCCGGAGAAAGGCTGTGGTTGCTATAATTAAAATCAGGGCTTCGCTGAGGTCTGGCTCAGCCTTTCCGTGGCGAAAGTCATGTGCTAGCGATGCCGTACCTGACGCCGTGAGCCACCCGTCTCATGAAGATGACTACTCTCCCCCGCAAACTTGGGGTGTAAGAATCTTGGCCAGGCGTCATCGCTTGCTATCTGGGCTCTGTTTCTATTTTTGAGTGCCAATAGTGAAGCCGTGCCCGCCAGCAAAAAAAGGACGGAGTTTTGTAGATGTCATGAGCCGCCATCTTCAGCTGGGCTGCTACATAGATGCAACTGAGCCTGTAGAATGATGCGGTGGATCTGGCATATGATTCTGAAGCATTCGATTGGATTTCCAGCGTTAATGTAGGGAGTGGCTATCCGACGCCCTGATTTAGCTTTTCGGCGTCCCGTATCCCAAATTCAAAGGTTAATGATAATGGCATATACGAGAGCAACATGGCGATGATAGGAGAATACGGCCATACTAGAAGAAAGCAGCGATAGTAGCAGGCTTCTAGTGCATAACTACTAGGTAGTAAGTACCTAGAAATTACTATAGGTATCTTAGCAGGTAAGCGGCAGCTCCTCTGCCTCCAGGTCTTGTTACGACATTTGAGTTCCGTGTAGTCGCTGGGGCTTGGGTAACCAACTTCAGCCAGCTTGGGCTGCTGGAGAACCGCTCCTATATGCAGCCCCTTTTTGACTGGTTCGCATTGGCAATCCTGCTTTTGTCCATTAGCCAATGGGATTTGTTACTAGCTTCTACGATGCCTAATAACTTAGCGATGCATATGTTCCAAACCGCTACTCGATATGGTCGAAAGATATGCAGATAGATGGCGAGTTGCAAGTAAGCAGATTTCGTGCGTCATCCTGTGTGGTAATCACAAGGGCATTCAGCATGTGCGGAGTCACTCTTGGGAATGGCAGACAGGTTTATGCAGCTTGACAGGGGGAACAGTCTTCATGGCTGTATTATTCCATTGAGATAACTATCACTTGGAAATTTCTGGGGCTTCTCATCCCCAAAGGATTTGCCTTCCTAGTAGATGATGTCTCGCATCAAAAGTTTTCGCCTCGCACATAATGTGAAAGTGTATGGTATCCATATTGCCCTTGAACCGTTTTACCCCCAACGCCGTTGAATGCACTAGATTTTGGCTATTTAAGCCTGCTGGTCGCTGAGGATATCAGAGTCACCAGCATCCAGGATGGCGAGGGTGGAGCAGCGGAAGAGCTTTCCGCAGGCAGTGCCGAGCTCAATCTGTATTACGACTAATGTAAGCCAATGTGAACCCTCCAAAGTCTGGTAAAGACTTCTTCTCTGGGCAATTCCGCAAGAATTGATAATTCTCGGGTAGCAAGAGTAGCTTCTGGGAGAAGCGAGAAGTGTGATGGTGCAAGTGAGCCCGTTTCCAGGTCTTCACTTGTCGAGGGCGTCTAAGATTGCGAAACTTACGTTGTTACCAGCGAAGTGGTGGATGGGAGCCTTGGACAGCATGCTGTAGTACTCGAGTTCGCTCTTTCTCAGGGGAGGAGTGTTGCCAGCGATGATGATCAGCTTGGCCTTGCCGGATCGCAGAGACTTGAGAGTGGACTTGTAGCCGAGAGTGACTGGCAAAATTATGTTAGGACCTGTTGAAAAAAGTTTCACGAGAAATTCATCCTCGAGCCGCCAGCAACATACCCTTTCCGGACTTCATAACAAGCGCCAACTTGGAGTTGATGCTGTTGGCATCCTTCTTGCTCTTCTTTTGGGGGGCCATTTTGATGGATTTTGGGCGCGAGCTACGATCTTGCGACTGGATTGATGCGGTTGCTGAAGACACACTGAGCTCTCGAAAAGTTCGTGGAATTTAGTTTTCCTTTTGGGATGCACCATTTTCGGTGGGGCAGGGCTATCAACAGCCCAGCCAATGAACGCCTACTTGCCGTTTTGGTAAACCCTAAAGCACCGGGGTTTAAGCGGACCACAGCGGAGATGAGTCAAGAATCCTTGGAAGATGCTTTGAAATCAACCCAGGTTGTTTTTCTGAAGTGGCGCCGGGACCTCTTGAGTAGGAATTATTTTCCCCCAAACATCATCAACAACCTCAAGAATCGTCAACGAAACACCGACAAAATGGCTCGCCGTCCTGCTCGTTGCTACCGATACTGCAAGAACAAGGTGAGTTTTGCTGCAATTTCGCATTCTCGTCAGCGGAGGAATCTTTTTCGAGCTTGGAGATAAAAATCTCTGTGGAGTGACGCAAGAGGTGGATTATAAATTAAAAGAGATGAAGCATTCTGGATGCATTTGCTCTGTCACTCGTCTTGAAACACTTGGGCCCTTCACAGATGCCTTTAATCTTCCATCACCATCGAGCTATACTGATCCTCTTTTGCTTCTCAGCCGTATCCCAAGTCTCGGTTCAACCGTGGTGTCCCCGACCCCAAGATCCGCATCTTCGATCTTGGCCGAAAGCGCGCCAACGTCGACGACTTCCCTCTCTGCATCCACCTCGTCTCCAACGAGTATGAGCAGCTGAGCTCCGAGGCCCTCGAGGCCGCCCGTATTTGCGCCAACAAGTACCTCGTCAAGCACACCGGAAAGGAGGGTTTCCACCTGCGTGTCCGCGCTCACCCCTTCCACGTCGTCCGTATCAACAAGATGTTGTCTTGCGCTGGTGCCGATAGACTGCAGACTGGTATGCGTGGTGCCTGGGGCAAGCCCAACGGCACTGTTGCCCGTGTCAACATTGGTCAGATCATCATGAGCGTCCGCACTCGTGACTCTAGTATGTGATATTCTTTTTCTTCTTGCGATATGGCAGGTCAAGTATATTAACGACATTCCTCCTTAGACCGTGCTCTGGCTCTTGAGGCTCTCCGACGATCCCAGTACAAGTTCCCCGGCCGACAGAAGATCATCATCTCCAAGAACTGGGGTTTCACTCCTCTCCGCCGCGAGGACTACCTCGAGCGCAAGGCTGCCGGCCGTGTCAAGGTCGACGGTGCTTACGTTCAGTTCCTCAGCAACCACGGTTCCATTGAGCAGAACATTCGTCGTTTCCCCGACGCTTTCTCGTCCGAGGCGTAAATAGTTCTTCTTAATGTGGCATCTGGGTTTTAGGTTGGCGTAATTATGGCATGTCAGATAAGAGATTTCTCGATTTGAGAATCATCAGTTAGGCAAATCAAACCATTGTGCGTTCAGCACTAGACATGCTATGTTCTATTTTACATTCGGAGAATCTGAATGATTCTCACTCGTCGTGATGACCATAGGCTGGGGTATCGATTTGTGTTTGAGCTGACCAGTAAAACGAACCTTGTCCGCACCTATATGATAGCTTACTCGTTTTCGATCGCATTTCCTTTGCGTTTCCATTATGACCCTCCTGGAAGTTTCAATGATATCACAGCTCAGCTCAGCTCTGTGGAATCCAGTCGGCGTCTTCGGCTCAAAAAGTTTTTGACAATCACTTCTCATGATTTGTAACGGCAGAATACAGTCAGCAGAAATTATGGTGCAAGAGTCAAGCTTACATATAGCATCAGCCACCGCGGTAATGGCTCATCTGATAAACTGCCGTTCTAACCCAGGAACAGATAGGTTCCTTGCTCCATCCGAGAGCCGGTGAGAGGTTCTATGACGAGACCACCTGACTTGCGTCAGTGACACCATGGTCACAGACAATGATGTATGAGTGCCGGTGTTCATACTGTTGCTAAAACGGCGCTAGGTTAGATACATGATCGGTTTTGTTGGGGCTGCATCTTGAAACAGAGGCAGTTGGTTGGACAAGAATTACACGCACTCTCGTGAGACAGATGGGAGGCAGCGCAATAGGGATGGCACACTGATGATGGGCTGGTGGGGGGCGATGGCTACTATAGACGCAGGGTCCTTTTTTTTCTGCCTCCCACGCTCTTCGTCTCAGTCACAAAAGGCATCACAAAAGGGCCCAGAGGTCGGAGAGAACCGCTTGCTGAGACGAACAGCATCTCCGCCCGAGCGCCGCCAACGCCGAAGTATGCACGAGCGAGTCGCAGGTTGCGCGCTTTGATGGCGCCAAGGAGTGAAGGACGCGGGAACTGGTGGCGGGCATGCATCAGCATCCTGGTGCGTTGCGGTGAATTAAGATGCAGCTGCAGCAATAAAAGCCCTTTTTTTTCTGTGCTTCTTTCTCACCCACGGCCGCCTTCTATTTCGTTTCTCCGACCCGTGGTTCGCATCTAGATTGCATGCATCAAGCATAATAAGCCCCGTTGTGCTTTTATCCGTGATGGGGGGGTTGCAGCGCTGAGTGGTGACGGCCCAGTGGTGAGGCGTAAATGTGACGCAAAAAAGCGAGATGTCGCCGTAATATCTTATCTAGAGATTTGCAAGGTGAGCGCGCCAACCGAAGTGTAAGTAGGGGCTAGTACCCGCGATGTTTCCCTCCATGGCCTCTAGCGCCCAGGTAGTGCTGTTGTCTGTGCCGCGAGCACGAATCCTGAGCAGCGCGGTTCAGGCTCAATACCTGGCAGTACCTCCAGATCCCATGTTATGGCGCCTCCCTACTAACATCTAGTACCAAGAGGCTAGCGGGCCAGCTCACTGAAGCCGCGTCGACGGCGCTGTCTCGGAACATCTGTCGGGCGTTGGAGAGTCAACGGCACAGGTGGCTGACGCTGGGCCTGACCACTGTCAAAGACCAACCAGCACGCGAGCACAGCACCCCCACCCTGGCCGATCAGGCCGTCCTGCTCCGGTGGTCTGCTGTGGTGATGACGCTCGAACCGATAAAAACAAAAGCCCAGCCTCCTCTCCTTTTTCTCTCTTCGTCGTGCTTGTATTGTAGTCTCTCAACTCTTCGCCTGCTCGCCCCAACCCCAGTCCATTGGCGACTGGCTCGATTTGCTCCCCTCATCCCTACCTATCAGCTCCTCCTCTTAAGCGCTCCACTGGCTCGGCGTCGCCAGACGGGTGCTGGGGCTCCTCCTTCACCGATCACTTGTGTCCCCGTTCGCCTTATCGCGACCTGGACCCTTCCCCGATAATTACAGGATAACCGACGCTCGCAACCCACACTGAGCATTTTTCTTCCATTTTCCTCAAAGTCCCGCAACCATGGCTTTTCAGCAGCAGCCAAACCGCCCGAGTGTGCAGCGAGCTGCTCGCTCCGCTGTTGGCAGCCAGGGCGTTTCGAGGCGATCGGCGCGCAGCACCTATGACCAAGAACCTGAGGAGGCGCAGACCTGGGTGCTCTTCTCGCCTCCCACCGATGTGACCACCACGTCCTATCTGACCGAAGATGAACATGACCAATCGCTCGAGACCCCCGGCCGGTCACGAGTAAGTGACCTTGGAAGCCTCAATACAGTTGCAAGAACGGGTTCGGCCGCGGTAGTTGAAAATGACGAAGCTCAATCCTCGGCTCTCTCTGCAGCCGTTGATGAGTCTCAGGATGATGCCGAGTTGGATAGTCTCGATGGCCATCTTCCTGGATTTAGATCATTCCCAAGGAGTAGCTTTATGATGCCCGTTCTCCCAGCTCACGATGGGCTGGGATCATTCCACTTAGACCAGCCTACTCTTGGCCAAGACGCACAGGACCACATCTTCCAGTTCGAGAGATTTAACCCCAGGCGAGTCCGACGGAGGCTGAATAGCTTCGATGAAGCGCAGTTCGAATTAGAACAGGCGCAGGTCCAGGAAGCGGAGAAGAGGCAGCGGATTGAAGCCTGGCGGCTGGAGCACAGCCGTATCATCTTGGAAGAGGTCCAGCGCGAGGCGCGGCGGACGAGAATGCTGCAGCAGAAACGGGTCGTTACGCAAAAGCCTGTGCCCAAACCGGAGGAAGCTACCGATTCGGAGGACATGACTTGGCATGAGGAAGACCCCGACACCCACCCTGAAGACAAAGAAGACAGCGAAGGTTTGATTACGAGAATCACTCGCAAAGTATTGCGCGATATACTCGGCATAGATGAGAAGATACTATCCGTGGTGCTCGGTGGCGACCTCTTAAGTGACGACGAGCTATCAAGGACGCCACGGCCGTCAGAGCATGGTGACGAAGAAGCGGCCGCAGAAACAGAGGAATCGTGGCATATGCGCATCATAGAGACCGTGTCGAGAGAACTGGGCTTGCTGGTCAACCATCTCTCAAAGCACCCCGGTGCCTTCTCGACGTATTCTCATGTCCATCAGGTACCTCTGCCTTATGCCGGTCTGTCTGCTATACCAGAGACTGCAGACGGCCGCACCTCTGCCTCTGGACGTACCGCGGCAGGCAAGGCCGGCGAGAGTGCATTCCCCGAGTTCAGGCCTACCATGCGGCATACCCCACGAGCGGCCGGGCCATTCCACAGGTCAACCGCTCCAGATATTCTATTGCACGATGTGTCGATGGCCGATACATTTACACAAGAGGAGTGGGAGCAAGAGATCGATATAAAGCTGGTATTCCGATACTTGGTATCCCGCTTCACGTCGCAGCCCGAGCCTACATTGTCTCCTGAGCTGACTGCCCGTCCGGTTCCTGCGAAGCCGCAAGACGCTGCCGCTAAGGCTGCCAGAGTAAGGCAGCACCACCCCCTCACCTCCCGGTCTCGCCCTAATGAACGTCGAGCTTTCAAAGCAACTGCACCTAGCAGCCCCGTGGCTATGCGACACCATAGTAGCTGTGCCAGCCAGAGCACACGACGATCAGCCAGGAGAAGCAGCGTCTCATCGAGACATTACTGGGACATTGGAGGATCCATCGGAACCGGGTCAATGATTGCTGCTCCCAACGCCCCGATGGGCAGCTGGGGCGAGGTTTAAAAGAAGCGATGCGCCGTCTATACATGGTTTATTCGATTCATTCATATATTCTCTCTCTTTTTCTTTTCTGGCATGGCTTACAGCAGCATTAATAGGCGAGCATTGATTTGTTTACTTCCATTCAAGAGCAAGGCATAATGGATTTTGTTGGCGAGACGAGTGATGTTAATGATGGGACATGCTGGGAACGGCGTTTTTTTCTTTTTATTTTTCCTTTTATTCACATGGTTTGGTTACTATTAGACATATTTTGGACAGATCCATACTCAACATGAGACTACGGACCTTGATTTCACAAAGGGACGCTCAACCCTCTACCAAAAGGGGGATTTCAAATATAATCACTTATTGAATCACTACGTGGCATTCCATGAATGTGACAGGCGGCTGAAAGAGGGGGGTTTGCATGGCGCGGGAAGACAGAGTAAACGGCAGTTGGTGGCTCGATGGTATGTCGTGTCCATGCATGCAGGGCGGGAAGGGGGGCCCACTAGATTGGACTCGTGATGATGGTGACGATGACGAGACGAGGCTATGTCGAGGCCTTGCTTTCTCACTGTGCAATTATTAAGCTGCATTGATTGATGTTGGCTGCGAACTCATCAACAACTCAGGTACACATACATATACTGTTGAATCAGACCCTGAGAAATTACAGGAACATGATTGAAGGCACGGGGCATGTGGCCCATGAGAGGAAGATTGGGTGGGTGCATGTGGCGGGGCAGCCTGACAGCTTGGGGGGCTCTTGTTGGCTGAATGCCGTGGATGTGTGAGAGCCCATATTTTGTGGCTGAAGACGTCATGGCAGATGGAGATGGAGATTAAGGAGAGCCGCCGTGAGATTTGTAGTTATTAAGGAATTACCTGAGGATTATAGGTTAGATGGGACTTGATGGCTTTTTGTTTTGATTCTGGTTCAATTTACAAAGGTCGCTCCAGTTGAAACAGCGCCACGCCGTAGAATACTGCTACTAGTAGCACTGCCAATAGGTAGGTACTCCGTACATTAGTGGGAAAGGCACGGGCCATGCCGGCAAGACACGGCGCCCCATTGTATTTGATCCATCAATCAATGCCATTGGGAGCTGCTCTCCATGGTGGGCTGGTGCTGTGGACGGCCAGTTTAGGCGCTATGCGTGGTCGCGTTTCAGGGAGATGCGAGATGGGATTGGGAATATTAGAGCACCGCGTAAAGTGGTTGGTTTCTTTGGCGGGGTGGAAGGGAGGAGGAGAAAGTGTTGAAGATGTTTATTATTGTTATTATTGTTGCGCCTCGATTTATTTGTTTGTTTTTGTTTTTCTGTGTTTTGAGAAGTGTTGGGCTTTTGACATGGAGAGGGCAGGTTGAGTACTGTCATCCATCTGTATCACCGCCATCTGTTCAGAGTAATAGATTGTAAGCTGTGTAAGCGAACTGTTAAGAGCCATGGACGTGATAGCTGAAGGTATTCTAGCACATGTAGCGAAGAAACACAGCAGAGGGCACTCGTGGTTGACACAATGGATGTCCTGCAACACCAGCGATAACGGGCCCCCGTCTGCAAGGTAATATTGGGCACCAAGTCCCGGCAGATGCGGAACCAGGAAGAATGAAAGAGTACCGCAGAGGAACCAGCGCCGCACAAGATGATGGCTGCATTATCCCTGTCAGCTGTAGTCTCTCCAAAGTCACCAACGAACGGCATCTTGCAGCAATCAGGTGCTGCGCTTTGCACCTATTAGATTCGATGCCATCTGGGGGAGACGGTAGATTGAGTTAGATGACCACCCGAAGAGCCACTGAAAGCGTCCATTCTAATGCACGGAACAATCGCTCGTCAGGCGTCGAGGGTGCATCTCTCTGCTGTAAAGGCATGCGGCCTGTTTCCAGGCTGCAATCCGCAAATTGAGGCAGCCACTCGCTATCTAGGACTCCGTAATAGCTGCAGCATTAGCTGAGCCTGTCTTGTTCTAGCGGGCAGAAAGGCGCGTTCGAGGGAGCCGAAATGTGGGGAGCCAAGTCAAAGCTCCCACTCTTGGATGCAACCCCGGGCTTTTGGTCTCTCGCATCCCATCTTCTCTTCTCTTACTCTGCATCCACATGTGCTTTTGCTTCTGCCGTCCTTCGTCTTTCTCTGCTTCTGCTTCTGCTTCCGAGCCAGCAATGCTTCGCCCTCCATAAACCAGTATAAATACTCTGCCGCCGCCCGCATTTCGGTTTTATCCTCCCTCGAGCCATCCTCGCGTATAGTCTGGTTCCATTCTGCGACCTCAAGCCTCCCGACACCGACAACTGCGCTCAACTACGGCCCTTCTCATCTTTTTTTTTCTCTCTTCTTCTCCTCTTCTCGTGCCATGAACTAAGGCCGTCCACCCTGCGACCCGTCCGGGCCTGCTCATCTGCGAGGCTCAACCTGCGTTCCCCCTAGATTGAGCGCACCACCTCCAACTGGCAATTCCGCAACGAGCGAGCCCGACGCTTCCACGACTCTTGACCTCCTTCCACGCAGATTTCACTGCCTCTCCAGCTGGACAGCTACGACTCATACCAATGGCCGCGAACCCGTTCGAAACACCTCAACTCGGCACCGAACTCTTCGACCTCTATCATGAAAACGCCGCAATCGTGCGCACCGCCATTCCACAGCTCCCTAGCGGCGGATGCAACTTTGTGGACTTGACGCCCGGCGCCGGCGGAGCGCGATGCGGCTGTCGTCGCTTCTGGTCCTTTCAATCTACAGGTAGCCCCATCGTGGATCAGGTCGGATGGTGCATGTGCAACCATCATGCGTGTTTCCATGATGAGCGTCCTCGAGACCAGCCACAGCCGGCAGAGAGGATGCCAACTCCCAACACCGGACTCGACATTGAAAAACTACAGTCTAGGCAACGACTAGACCCCTTGAGCCCGACGACGGGCCTCATCTCACCTAGGGAAGCAACTGCAGTGCTTGGACCCGAACTTGTCAGCTTCACTGGAGCTCCCCCGTTATCCTTTCTCCAGAAATCTTTCAATGGCCCTTTTGATACTCTAGCTGCCGTTCCCACGCCCCAGCAGGCGCCCAATTCAATGCCGGATACAATGGCCTGGACTGATATCGCGCACCCAACCCAACCAAATGCCAGTGGTACACTACCACCTATTCCTCCTCAATGCCTCATGTCCCAGACGGCCTCGACGACTTCATCCATGCGAACCAGGTACCTCAGGCCCTTTGCAGGCAGAGGCTTGCAGACTCTCAGCAACAATAGTCCGGCCGGAGTGCCACAGCAATCCAATTATCAGACTGCTCTGCAGGGATCTCCCACCCAGCAGAAGACAGCGAGCGTCGAGGAGACCTTTGTCTTCGTAACTGCTGATGAGGAATCACCCTCAAGGCCGAACACAGCTACGACCCAAATCGAGCCCCGGGTTGCAGCGGCAGTGGAGGCTATCCCTCGCGAGACGTTAAAGAACCTCACAGACACTGTTGGTGCCCACGCGCAACGGCTTGATAGGTTGGAGACCGTCTCCTTCTCCAGCAACGCCCACGAAGAGTGTCAAGACAAGTATGAACACATGGACCTTCGTGTCACCGAGTTGGAGAGCAAAGTTGAAGACATTGAGAAGCGTGTCCTTGATGACAATGCGAGTCTCCGTCACGATCGCCAGGACGATGCTGCCACCCCCAGCGTGGTTTCGGTCAGCTCCAGTGCTGCCAACCGACCAAGCTACTCGCAGGAAGTATACAGTCAGCTCCAGTCGCTACAAGCCCAGGTCGACCAACTTCAATCCATCATCCCTTCTTGGAACAATCCGTGGGAGATTGAAGTTGTCTTTCTTCCCTTTCCTCTCAAACGGGTCTGGCAGCATATCCATCAATTTAAGACAGACCCCAATACCGAAAACGGAGAGGAATGGACTCAGCTCCCCATGACACTGAGCACGTCCACGCCCAGAGCTCAATCTCCATTTTTGAGCGAATGGTCCACGCATGACCACGACAGGGAATGGCTGTTCCCTAGGGCCTGTGGTAACAAGAGCGTTGCCGACGAGCGCCTGAGGAGCCGCGGGCTGGTGAAAAGGATATCAATAAAGTCGCCAGATGCAAGGAGCGTTAGCATGGCGATGTTAGCTGCCTTTGGAAATGTATTCCGTGATATGCAGATGCACACAAGACCTCGAAGCCCCGGCCTGAGGGGGCCCAAGTTCATGGGCCTGCAATCTTCATGGGTCCCTCTTCGCAAGATCCACAAAGATTCACGACTACGATTCCTTAGCCCCGACGAAATGATGACTCCAGCATTGTGGGATGTGCAGTTTCTGACTTCAGTCATGATGAAGGCATCAGAACCTAGATTGTTCGTTACCCATCCTGACGCATACCTCCAGGACTATCAAGCATATGACTCGGCCTGGACATGGCAGAGGCTAAAGGACGTGCCACCGGCGTATCCTGACGTTACAGAGTCGCAAGAAGTGCCCGAGGCGGAGTCCCCTGAAGAGTGTTGGGCGTGGAATGATCTGCTTGATGAATTAAAGAACGCGCAACCCCCCAACAGAAACCACCGCCAGGTGTCAATATCGCGCTCAGTGGAATACTTCTCTGCCAGTCCTTCGTGGCGAGCGACCAGCCCAGCTGCAGCTGCCCGCCTCCAGAGATCGATAACAAGGAGTCGAGAGTCGTCGGAGCCACCGTTTATCAGGGGAAGCTCGGCAACTATAAATTCCACTATTATCCAGAGCGCAAATCCCAGGCAGCGACTCTCATCCCGCGGACACAGTCGGCGGCCCTCACCGAGCATCCATGCCTTGCCTCAGGCTGGCGTTATGAAGAGGCGCCGGGATCGGTCACCTAGCTATCCTCGGTTCACTCCGAGGAGGACCGCATCGCCAATTTCCGCATCTATCCCCTATCAGGACCGGCAATTTGATCGGGGAATAACTCCTGGACGCAGCATAACTCCTGCTCGGGGCACTACCCCAGGTGGTGGTTATGCTACGCCGTACAGCATCGCTCCCCTTCAGGAAGTCCAAATGGAAGGAGGAAGCAGCGTTCATGAATCGCCACACCCGTCTGACGACGGTGATGACGAGGACGATGATATTGATATCCCGATTTACGAGAGCAGCGGCTCTGACCAGTCCTTTGTTGACGAGAATGGTGATGAGAATGGTGATGAGAATGATGGCGACGACGATAAATCCATCATCGCCAGCGCGCAGCCAGCTGCTCGGCCCCATCCCGCTCTTCGGAGTAGCTCCCCCACGTGGCAGATGCGGGATGTACCTTGGCCTTCCATCCAAGATCATGGCGATACCCACCGTTCGGATGGCGAGAATGTCGACCCCAACGTCATGGATGTTGAGCACGAGACTGACAACAGCAGTCAGCCGTCTGAGTATCCGAGCACGCAAAAGGCGTGGCCGGGCCAGCGCGAGGACGCATCATCGGAGTTTAGCATCCACCAAGACGAGGATCATTGAGCACTGTCTGTGGATACGTTTTGATCTTGTTCTTATCTTCCTCGCATCTTTCTTCTTCACAACTTATCCAAAACGTGGCTTGTTTTGGATGAGAGATTGTTCAGCTTTAAGGCAATGTTTGATTCGAGTACTCAGCTTCAACAAAACAGTCTTGAGACGGGATTTATGAGTATAGGTCGTATATAACGCCGGGTATTGGGTGCGACATTTGGGTTACCCTGGAGATGTGCAAAAATGGTGCGGCCAACGTGTTTAATATCTAGCTGATGGGATTTTTTCTTTTCTTTTCATGTCTTATGCATGGCGTTGGAGGTGTTCGTTTCGAGGCCGAGAGATCTATCTGGCTGGGCGGTTTTTGGAATACAACGGGCGGCTTTTCATTTTTTTTGTCTCATTAGTATACTATACTCTCTCCCCCTACACCTTTTGTTCGCTTTCTTTTGTGTTTGGGATACGCCCAAGTATAGGTACATGGGACTTTCGTGAATAGTTCTCATAGACAAGAACACATATACCGCGAGAAACTACTAAAGTAGCTCTCAACCCAGATACAAAAAACCGTCTCAAACTAAAGATATTTTCGGCGTGTGATTCCACAAAATCGCCAATGTCAAAGTGCCATTCAAAACCCGTCAGGTGCTAAAATGGGGAGGTGGCATATGACAGGCCCCACGAGACACACAGAATGCTACTACACCACAGCACGACCAAGTACAAGTACTGATTGAATATCTTTGCTTTATTTAATTTTTTTTTCATGTATTGACAAGTATCAGCTACCTATCTGGTATAATGTTTTTTTCGCGCCAACAAAAAAAAAAAAAAGACAAGTCTAAATCGGTAAACTGGGGGTAGCAAAGCAAAGCAGAGCAGAGGAGAGTTCTATATGGTGATGATGTGCGGCATATGATGATATGTCATGTGGATAATGATATAGTAGTAGGTGCATGTGTCTGTATGTATGTACTTTGTGTGTGAGAGATAGAGGATCGCAGCAGCGGGATCGGGTATCAAAGGCCCCCCCAGAACGACTCTTAAAAAATGCCCAGGGAAACTCCTCCCCCCAATCAAAACACCAGAAGAAATGCAAGGGAGAGAAGGGGAAAAAAAAAGAGGGAAATCGTCAGTTCGTCGGTGATGATCACTCGTCGAGAGAACCATTTGTAAACTCCAAGATGCAAAACAAACAAAAAAAAGGGGGGAGGGGGAGGAAATCAAGGTGCACAAATTGTAAAAAAGAGAAACAACGCCGGTGCGTTCTCACACCCGTCTAGAAGCGCCCGAAAAAAAATGCAGGACCTTTCGTTCCATTAATGCATCATTCCTAGATGCGTTTCAGGCTTCGAAAAATCAACCAACCACTTCATTATGATTCGGTCCCTCTTGGGTATCAATTCCCCATCTTTCATTGGGTATACTTCCAACCATGGCGAAAAAAAATGTCCAAAATATGTAGCAGAATGGAAAACAGACAAGGCAGTAAAGATTAGCTTTGTGCTGATGCATATGCCGAAATATGCATGTGTGTCTAACTGTACCAAGTACCTTTGGGATCAATCTCGTACAGCAGGCGGCATTTCCGATCTGGGCAGAGCGTTTGGCGCTCAAGATTCTTGAACTTGGGCCCACTAGGTCCGGTCACGTAGTGGTACTGGCCAAAAAGCCGCCACTGTCGCATATCTGCGAGAGTGTAAGTCTCATCGCCCCATCGGCCCTGGTAGTGCAGCCACGTAACAGGAGCATCTGGGTTAGACGCGGCCGGGGTGAAGCTGTGAGTATCGTGGGTGAGTCCTTGCTCTGCGATGCCGTCCTCGTGCTCGATGGTATCCTTTGGGTCTTCAAGTGTATAATCGTAGAAATAAGCGTAGTTGTTCAGTGCGGGATCCCATAGCGGACCCTTGTCCGTAACGTCCTTGAGCATTTTGAAAGGCAAGACATAGGGATGGTTGCCGGGCAGGGCATACATGGCGTGGGAGCCAACGGCCGAGTATATGACGGGCCTGTCGCCGCGTTTCTCAACTGCTTCCCAAGCATACGCCTGACCACCCTCGTGCTCTGAGAAGAAAATGCCACGGGGCACCCCGTTTTGAAAGCGCACCATGCAATGCTCCCAGTCACCCACGTGGTTTCCGAACCGCAAGCCAAGCACGGTTTGTCCAAGGTTGTAGCTGTAAAAGAAGAACCAAAAGGCATCGATGATACCCGAGCCCTTATCCACCAGGACAAGAGTAGCTGGCGCCTTGGAGTAGCCATCTGGGTCTGGCTTGTGACCGCGCGGAACGATGCGTTGCTGCTCTTTGCCAGGGCTGGGCGTAGGAGCATATGCGGGTACGCCTTTGTTTCGAGGATCCGAGATGCGATGAACGGGATGCTTCTTGTCCACGTCGAACCAGGTATCGGGCTCGCTATGCGGCTTCTTACCATTTCCCACAGGAGGCGGGGTAGAAGCATCGGGGTCGTCAAATGGGTTCGGCAGGTTATCGTGGCTATGGAGCCAAGCCGGTCGAGATTCAACGTCCTCCACGCTGTGAAGCGTAACCATCTGATTATCGTACTCGTTGAGCGCCTGCAAGTTGTGTAGTGATACTTTCTCAGTCAAGTTCAATAGTTTGTGGTCGACAGTGACAACCATGTGCTCGATGTGTTCGCGAATGTCGGAGGGCCAAAATTGCTCGCCAGAGTAGAGGTGTACAAGCGGGGCATGATCGAGAACATATTGGGGAACATCCCTAAGGGTCCTCCGTCGCTCCTTTGGGTTTCTCTTCAGATCCGATCTCTTGCTTTTCCGTAGTTCTGAATATGGTGTGTTAAGTTCGGCATCCTCCTCCCATGTACGGTCCATACGCTTGCGCAATTCCACTCGTCCCAGCTCATCTTCAGGGTCGTCGTCGAGGATAGGCGGGAGCACAGCAGGGTCCCTTCGCAGATGGTGCAGGCCGCACAGACTGATCCATCGGCAGGCCTGGCGATCCCAGAAGTAGGGACTGCTGCTGACCCAGAGTCGGTCACGAGCGCGACTCTCGGGACCTTTGTTTGAGGGATCGAGGATAACGGGAAGGTAGGTGGCCACGAAGATGATGATGGCCAGCGGCACCATCACTATGGTGAAGCGTCGCAACCAATACATGGCGGCTTCGATGCGCCGGAGCGATCGGCAACAACAGGTCGAGGTATCTGCGTGTTGGTCAAGGTCGATATAGATAGTCGGGTGGTAGACGGTATATAAATCGCGGTTGCCGGGGGCCCGAGACGCTCTGCTGGAGTAGCCGGGGCGACTATGATGCAAATGACGATCGTATTTGGTAAGGCTGCGGATCAAGGATGACGACGAATGTCTGCTGAAAGACGAGGATGAATGTCGTGCAGCAAAAACCTCATTGAACAAGAACGAACGACAGAAGTCGACAGGCCTGCGTTCCGGAAGAGGCGGGAGGTCCGGGGGGCGGTTGGGGCTCGAAGCGGATATAAGTTGGGAGACAGGGTGAGGAATGTAAGGCCTATTATAAGTGCATCACGAAGGGGAAACGACGCTGCGAAAAGCACTAATCACGGCGCCCCTGGCGACATGGTCGAGCGGATCACAAGCAATATCAAAGAGGAGGTGGGGAAGAATGAGGAGTGACAAAGGAAAAAGAGAAAAAAGGAAAAGGAAGAAAAGCCAAAGCGGGAAGCGTAGCCATCGACACGCAAGATGGTGGTTTGAGATGAGGGTGTGTGTGTCCCAGCACGGTACTTGTCCAGGTACATGCATTCGGGCGGCAGGTGGCTGCTCCACACCGGCACCGGCCAGGCATTCTGCGCTGTACGACTACAGTGAGAAACAGAGGGCACAGGTACCGGTACCTGCTGCCCTGCGGCTGGGCTGGGACTCTTTGCCACGCGGCGACGTGGTTGGCCCTAGGCGCTCATTTTAGCGGGCGGCGGCGGCGCTGATTGGGTCGGCATTGCTCGGGCGCTTCGCGGTACCTCGCAGTGCTGCCTGACCGCCCAGCACAGAGTACGAGTACGAGGGCTGTGAGGCCGAGCGCCGGGAGCGTGAGTACCTGTACATGTGCCTGTGGATTTCTGGCGGAGGGAAGGAGTGTCCGGCTGAGCCGCCCTGACAGGAAAGCCAAGGCCAACCTTCCGCGGCTGCCCCCTTCTCCTCCTATCATCTCGCTCTGTCATTCGCTACAACTCCGCACGCTTCGGCACCATGTGTTCTTGCCAGCGACGTTCATACCTACCTGTAAGCACTCAAGTGCTACAGGAAAGAGCAGGTACTAAGGTAGCAGTACATGGAGTGCTACGTGGAGCCTCGCCCGCCACTCCATTAGGATTGCAGCGGATTGCGCCTCTTATGTGCCAATTGGGTATAACGACCACGTCAGGTAGCCTGACGGAACATGTACAAGTACAAGCGTCGGGTCTCTCCCTCTCCCTCACACTTCACATGCGCATCAAGACAAGACAATAACCGACACTCTCCCAGTTTCTGCTTCACCTCCTTCATCCACCGCCTGTCTCCATGAAACCCCGCCAGCCGCATCCCGAGAGCCTATAGAATCGGGCTGATGCCGCATCGTGGGACGGTTCGTCGTGCTAACGGGCCTTGCGCATGTCATCCCGAAAAAAAAGAGAAAATTCTGCCACAGTCTGCCACAGTCTGCCACAGCCTGCCACAGTAATACCTAAAGGAGATGCCAGTGTTAGTGTCTTCGTAAACCACTAGTCGCAGCCCCAGGCTACCCTGAAATCCACACGATGGAAAAGGCAATGGCTATTCGATATTACGTAGTACTCGATATGCATATACAGTAGGTGCTCAATCAAAAACTCGAAACCCCTGTTGTTTGACTTCATCAAGCTGTTGTGTCTGGATTTACCGAAACATCACTACTCCAATCGACCTGATCGGCCTTTGCCCGGTACTTGGACGCTCCAACAAACCTTTTTCTGTCTTCCCTGTCAAGCATGCTACCCCAAAAACCTTAAACTGGTACGTCATCAAGCCATATCCGGAGCAGTCTGCATGAATTGAGCCGGCTTCAGTCTAAAACCAGAAAAAGAGGATAAAAGAAAAAGCCCGATCAAATGCCACAGCTCCGAATGCTGTGACAAGACGTGACGACAAGTAATTCATCCCCGTGCGTGTTTCTTGAGGCATTTCCTGCTGTATTCTACCCATCTGGCCACTAGTCAGCGTGCATACATCTTTTTTGCATCTTTGCAACAATCGGCGCTGGCTCCCTTCAACAACGGACGCCACTTTTTAGCTCCGACATCGTTGATGTCTCTCAACGGAGACTTCGTATGTGTGTACATGTACAGCTGGCTTACCTCACATATGCTATGCAAGTGCTAGTGGTTACGTGTATACGGCTGGCTTACCCGCATCTGCAGATTATCCTCGCCTGTTTATAGTTTGTAGTTCACAGGATTGATTATCTTATACTTTCATCCATCAATTACCTACATATAACACGTCTCACTCAAACCACAACGTTCGATTTGGCTGCATTATTAGGGTGCTTCGTACTCGTAAACCCCTGGTACGCACTAGCGGCCCTCCAGATGCTCAAAGTCTCGGTACATGGCATGGAATGGCATGTTTGAGCTGGAATCTGGTCTGTCCACGACCATGGTCACGGTCATGGCATGGCCGCCGCCATTGTCGTGAATGGCTTCTCTCCATGTAGTCCATGTTCATCATCTTCTACATTGCCGACAATTCCCACACCCTCCCGCGTATCGGCGGACCTTGGTCGCTGATATGGTTCTGGCCAATAGCAGTACATGATATAAGCATGCGGCAGTTGAAGGTCATCTCGACGATCGCGGGTTGGAACACAAGGCAATGAGCCATCCATGCAAACAATACTAGCCTCACCTGCTAGATTCATCCTGTGGACCCTTAAACTGCCAGACACCAAGAGATCGTCCCGTTGCTGCTGTGTCCTAAAACCCGCTTGTGTGTTAGGCGATGCAGCCATGTGTGGCGAACCACTTCTATAGAGGCGGCCACATGGCATCGCCAAATGGTCAGCATCACCCTATCATGGCTTGGCTGCTTAGACGTAGATATGCAAGGCTACCGCCAGTTGTGCCTGCTGGGCAGCTAAGGGTCACACATGACTCTTTGTCGCATTTATCCGCAAGCGAAAAACAACATCTGTGCTAGATGGTGATACAGTCAATGGCCCATCAGTTTCACTCCATCTCTTTTGCAGGGCTAGTCATGCATCACCCCTATTGCTGTTTGAACGCTTCTTGTTTTGCTGCTTCTTCGTGGCCACTGACAGAGTGTCGTGTCTGGGAATGGCATCCCGATTTGCTATTGCATTGCCCGTAGCTGGATCGAAATGTCTTGGGTCTCGGTCGTATCAGTTCTTTCAAAAGTTATCACATGAGCCCAATTCTGGGCTAGTATCAGTTTCATACTTCCAAGCGGTCTAGAGTGTAGATTTCGACTAGTAGAATGCAAGATGGCATGGAATCAACCGGCAATCACCACATAGCCGAGTTGCAGAGAACCCCCCTTTGTGAAGGTATCACAAGTTTTGCGTGATTTTCCATTTGAAGCAGCTTTGAGGATTAAGCGAGTTCGCAGGCTTATCAGGAGCCTGTCTGGATCCAGGGGGCGCGGGGCTACAGGTGCTCTCCATATCAAACCTAGTCAAGCATTGTCACATCGCCGTCGCCGTCGTCTTCGTCCCCATCGTCGTCCTCGTTTTCATCGTCAAAAGCCGCGCGCCTTCTTTCTGCCCCATCACTGTCCTCGTAGATGTCATTGAGGCTATCGTTATCATCTTCATCATCTTGAATCCCAAAGAGCTCGTCCCAATGACTTGGTGTTGGGGTGGACAGCGTATTCGAATCCAAAGCTGAACCAGCGCCCCTATCCGTTGTCGCTCCTGTGCCTCTCGCAGCAGATGCTCTCCTTCGTCTACCTCCTCTGCGGGCCTGACTTCGCCTTGTATATCGGCGTTCTCTTCTGTCGCTCTGACTGGCTCCATTGTTTTGATCAACACTGAGACTAGGCTTTTTCCTGCGAGGTTTGAAATCTGGTCCCTTTCTGTCGTCAAAATCTTTTCCAGGACCATCCATTGCGTATACTGTAACTTCATCCGCGTCCCCCCTTTTCTTCTTCAAGGCAATGAGATTTTCTAGGAAGCGTAACTGTTGCGCCCTTTCACCAGTCCTATCCTTCCCTGGTGGGATGCGAATGTTCCACTCCTCGCGAATAGCCGCCAAAGAGTCCTCCTGGGCCACCTTGGGTTTCAGAATCTTTTCGGTGGTCAAGATACGCGAAGAGCTGGCTCCCAGTATATCCACGCCACCAGGAAGATGGCGAAGAGCTGGCAACTGGGAGGCATCCTTAGCTTCACGATCGGCCAAGATTGCTTCTGTGCCAATAACCTCTGCCCATTGCCCCTCAAATACCCGGCCTCTGTAGGATATGATCGGATTGCGAGAGTGAAGTTCGAGTATCTGTATTTCTTCCAGGGGCTCGTTTTCTGACTCCTTGTCGCTTTCTGTCGCCTCTGGCACAACTTTCGTAGTTTCCACTTCTTTTTCTTTTCCCTTTCCTTTGTCCTTTTTTCCTGGTTTTGCCGATTTCTTAGCGTCGTTACCGCCAGCATCCCCCATGGCTCTTAGACGAGGATCTATGTTTGCGTCCTCTGCATTCTCCTCCTCTTCTGGTGCCTCCTCTGGTTCAGGGGCTCCACCTTCATCTTGACCATTGTCTTTACCGTTGCCATCTTCGTTATGATTGGGGTCTTGCTGGCCAACGGCAAGGTCAGGCTTGGCGTCCAATTTCAAGTGATCGGCGTACTGATCTGACCAGTTCTTGTAATACCCGCCACGGCTGTGATGATGGGCTTTGGCTGGACGATCCTTGAACTCTGGATATGATAGCTCAAGTGTTAGATAGTAAGTCTAATTGGTGGCATGGGTTAGCATCCAGTATCGCGCAATCGAGCTGTTGTGTAGAGGAGCGTAGACCTCACCTCTGTCTCTGTAGCTGAGTATTCGTACTCCCACTCATCCTGGTCATCTTGCGAGACCTGCTGCAAGATTGTATCGACGTTCAAGGCGCCAGCTTCATCTCCTAGCCATGGCGATGCCGTTGCTGCTGCTGCTGCTGAGGTTGCCATGGCAGCCGGCTACAGAGCTTATCCTGCAGACAGGCAATGCGCCGGGCAGCACGAATGGCAATGGAATATGATGCTGCAACGGAGAATGCGTAGATGAAATTGTCCCTTTGGTCGAGCTACTGAGGCACTGTAATTGTCGCGTACCTTCGGATGCATGCACTAAGCCAGTTGAGCTTCAATCAAACCAAGAATGAAATGCAGGAATAGCTGTAGCGGGGCCAACGTGCAAAATGCAGTCGCTCTCAGAAGAAGCTCTTGACAAGTTTAGGGCGTCTACTTTCGGCATAGCGGGCCGCTGTTCAAGCCTAGACCCCCGCTATCGCTCTCAAGTCCCGTTATCAGGGCTACGATAAGAATTTCGGATCTCAGTTCATAGTGGTTGAATGTTTCGACTCAGAGTCTTCTTGCTTGACTCATAACTCGCGGCAAAGCATTCCTCGACTGCAAAAATTATCAGGAGCACATATACGCTCTCTTAATAACACCATTCAGCACATGAAACAGCATAGCCGGGCTGTGTAACTATTCTCAATCCCAATCAACTTATTCGCTGAACCCCGCGGACTTTGTGCAGCAGCAACGGGCAAGATGCCCACGGTTCACCTCTTGGACTACGTCGCCGGCAATATCCGTAGCCTGGTGAATGCCATTGAGAAGTTGGGCTATGAGGTAGACTGGATCCGGTCTCCCGAAGATGTGCCCAAGGCAGAGGTTTGTGATGGTTGAGCCCTTGGAAGTGTTGCATCTTACTCACCCGTTGTGACAGAAACTCATTCTGCCCGGTGTCGGCCACTTCGGTCACTGCATGACCCAGCTCTCTCAGGCAAACTACCTGCCTGCGATAAAAAAGCACATTGAAGATGGCAAGCCCTTTATGGGCATTTGTGTTGGCCTCCAAGCCCTCTTCCAGGGATCGGAGGAGGACCCTGAGGTTCCCGGTCTCGGCCTGATACCTACGTTTCTCACGCAATTCGATGAAAGTGACAAGTCGGTGCCGCACATCGGATGGAACAACGCCAACACTGGAGGCAAGGTCATGTACGACTTGAGGCCAGACTCCAAATACTACTATGTCCACTCCTACAAGTCCCCTTACAGCAAAAGCGACTTCGAAGCCCAAGGTTGGACAGTTGCGACAGGTACCTACGGAAACGAGACATTCGTCGGTGCCATTGCAAAGGGAAACATTTATGCCACTCAGTTCCACCCTGAAAAGTCTGGCGTTGCTGGCCTCCGGACGATCAGGGCCTTCTTGACCGGCTCCGGAGCGCAGAACCTTGGAGCCGATCTACCATCTGAAGTGGCATCGGTTGAGCACAAGGACGGCCTCACTCGCCGACTCATCGCTTGTCTTGATGTCCGAACCAATGACCAAGGCGATCTCGTTGTCACAAAAGGTGACCAGTACGACGTTCGTGAAAAGGGCGCCGACCGCAATGTCCGCAACCTGGGCAAGCCCGTGGAGATGGCCAAGAAATACTACGAATCTGGTGCTGACGAAGTCACTTTCCTCAACATCACATCTTTCCGCGATTGCCCCCTTGCTGATCTTCCCATGCTGGAGGTTCTCCGACAGACTTCACTAACTGTCTTCGTGCCCCTAACCATTGGAGGCGGTATCCGCGACACCGTGGATACCGATGGCACAAAGGTCTCTGCGCTTGATATTGCCACCATGTACTTCAAGTCCGGCGCCGACAAGGTCTCCATCGGCTCCGACGCCGTCCTGGCCGCCGAAGAATACTACTCCCTCGGCAAGAAGCTCTTCGGCAACACCGCCATTGAGCAAATCTCCCGCGCCTACGGCAGGCAAGCCGTCGTCGTCAGCGTCGACCCCAAGCGCGTGTACGTCCCCAAGCTCGATGCCACCCGCCACGCCATCATCGAGACCAAGTTCCCCGGCCCCAAGGGCGAGGCTTTCTGCTGGTACGCTTGCACCATCAAGGGTGGCCGCGAGACACGCGATATGGACGTTGTGGAGCTCACGCAGGCCGTCGAGGCGATGGGTGCGGGAGAGATCCTGCTCAACTGCATCGACAAGGATGGCACCAATAGCGGATTCGACCTCGAGCTCATCCAACAGGTCAAGAACGCTGTCAAGATCCCTGTCATTGCGTCTAGCGGCGCCGGTAACCCGGGACACTTTGAGGAAGTGTACAACAAGACTACTACGGATGCCGCTCTTGGTGCCGGCATGTTCCACCGAGGAGAGTATACAGTAAAACAGGTCAAGGATTATCTCCAGGAAAAGGGCTTACTGATACGACAATTTGATGGGGAGCTATGATTAAGGGATACGGGGAAAAAAGGGGGGTGGGGTTAGGGTGGGTGGCTGGGCATAGACTATTCGCAAGACGCAATTGATGCATTTCATGTTAATGAATACGTAAAAGAATTGAGAGAGGAAAAGAAAAGTTTGAATCCATTCACAAACTAGCTACTATATGTTGGCAACTACCCGATAACTGCTTGGCCTAAACACCGTCGGAGTACTCCGTACAGTCTATCCCTGTTGATCGATGACTCCAAATGAAATGTCGAGACCCTCTTCATAGGCAGTTTGGCCAATGCCAAAAACGAACAACACCAAAACATGAACAGTCCCAACTAAAACTCCCGGGATGGTACTAGCTTCAAATAATAACAACGAGAAGCAGAATCATTGACCAACGCCCCTATGCTTTTTGATTGCGTTTCGATGCATAAAAAACGAATAGGCGGTCCCAAAATCGACAGTCTGATGTCTTTAACAAGTGAAACTGATTCCCCAATAACGAATGTGCAGAAAGAAGCATGTAAATCAAGAGAGAAAAAACTAGAGTTCCATGCCCATGAAAATCCACTGTTTGCTAGTCACGTCCAAGTCGTTGGCCCAGTGATCTAGTGTGGCCATGTCGAAGCCAACCCATTGAAGGCTCTTGATCAAATCACGAGCATTATCTGCAGGCAAGCGGCGATCGAGACATGTGACGATCTGGCTACAGGCCAGGGGACCATCAGCAAGCTCAATGAGCGCCATAAGACTATGTAAAGATATGTTAGCAATGGACTCTTAACCAACCGGCTGTCCTGGAACAAGGTTGCAACTTACGCCTTTTTCAAGTCTCTTCCGAGCACGCCTTCAATGTCGAAGAAGATGAAGAGAGACTTCTCCCTCCCATCGTCTGCCACAAAGGCGCGGAAGCTCGATCCGCCAGCGTAGTCCCAGACTTCCATCCAGGCGTCGATCCGCGAGCCAGCCGGAACTGCGTCCGGGCCCTGGTTGAATGGATCCGCGAGGTGGTTGTCTGGTGGCGGCGATTGTAAATAAGCACCTGTCAAGCCGGAGCCATGGATAGACAGGTTCCTCTCACCAAGGAACACGGTCTTCATGGACTCACAGAAGAATCTCTCACATTCTTCCCTGATCATGAGTGCTGCCCCCCCTCGTCGCTCCAGGCGTCTGCCTGGAATGTCGCGCTTCTTCTGCTTAGGAAGAAGGGCGAGCTGGTTGGACGAGGTCAATGCGGCGAGGGGGGGACTTGAAGGAGGAGAAGGCAGGCCTGAGGAAGGAACCTCAGGAATACCACTCCGCCCCTAGAGAAACGAGAGACATACGGTTAGAACAGGTCGACTTCAAGATGAGCAGATTGGGAGGAGGAGAAGAAGAGGACGAAGCTTACCTGTGACCCCCGTAGTGCAGTAGTGGAGGCCCTTGAGGTTGGCGGCAGAGTCAACAACGTAGCAAGAGGCAAGGACGTTGACACGGGCGGTCAACTCCTCGCCATAATTACTACTGTAATTTATATTTTGGTTACTCATTGGCGCCATTGCTGTCGGATTCCACGGTGATTGCTTGGGAGATCTGTTTCTTGAATAAGAGATGGAGATTACCGAGCCTTGGGCTAGGTCGACTGTGGGTGGCGAATGCTTGGTGAGGGATGTGCAGAGCAGCGGAGCGATCAATTCGGTCTTGATCGAAGTTGTGAAGCGGTGCTTTTGTCTATTGAGGATCTTGAGAGATGTATTCGGGTCGATTTCGCGATGCTGGTTCGTCGAGCTGATGGTCAGACGGCAGTTTGTCGAAGCGGTTTTTTGCAGGGAAATTGCGTGCAGGTGGGAAAAAGGGAAAAAGCGGAGGAGCACAGGAAATTCGGCAGAAGTGGTGCGCTTTAACGTTCACGCTTGCTGACTAGGACGCTTCCAGGCCGTTCGGCGGGACATTAGCAGGCCGCTTACAGCGCTTCAGGGCCTGTGGCCAGCGGAGCAGGAGGCGCTGAGGTGCCAATCATCCGGGCTGCCAAGCCCACATGCTGGCCCGTGGAGGTGTCCAGTATGACTGATGGATGGATGTGATTCACAGCTTCGGCTCGGCGTCTGTGGACACTGTCTTGGAACGCAGCGGCTGCGTGCGGTGGCACAGTGCGATGCGTCGGCCATGTTTGTCGCCGTCTGCGGCCCCCGAGCTTCCGCTGTCAAACGGCGCTGGATGACGAAATTTTCTCTTGCCAAGGCCGTGGCCTCGTACAGCATTGATCAACTACTGATTGCAGATTCAGCCCTCGTGTTTGACGATAGGGGTTTTGGGTCGAGCTGAGTTGGCGCTCTGTAACAGCCGTGTGCAGCCAAATGGGCTTCGGGTTTCATTTCAGGACATCTTGATTACATTAGGTGCAAGGTCTTAAGCCTTGTCCAGCTTAGCACGAGGACGGCTGCGAAGCTGTAGCTTTCAGCCATTGCGTCTTAGCTCTCTGTACCTACTACGAGGTAGGCAGGTACATGGATGCTGGAAGTGGGTGACAAAAACACTTTGCCACCGTGTACTACCACTTTCGTCTATGCAGCCGCGATTACAGTGACACCGATGGTGACAGTCTGTGCGCCTCATGTCTTGCTTAGGTCCAGACACTATGGAATCAATAATCTGGCCGTTGGCTTACTCTTGCCTCTAATGTTTAAGTGAAGTATGGGCTACTGACTTAGCAATGGACGAATGCTCACGACGAGACAATGAGACACTGTGAGACACCATGAACGCATTCATCTCCATAGCCACCCCATAGATTTAGACTCGTCGATGTATACATGAAAACAAACAAGGAAGAGAGAGACAAGTGTTTGCATCTGCAGACTTGTCGGCCGTCTGCAATGTACATTCATGTATGCTATGACCACTACTTACATCCTAGGTAGATGGGCCCTTTATCCATCTCGCTACCCAAACAACTTATCAGGTATAGATTTTAATAACCCTCTGAGGCCCAGTCATCACAAGGCATATATAATAAAACAAATTTGCCAGACCCTTTGTTCTGGCATATGCGCCCGATGTAAAAGAAAAGCAGAAAAAACGGAATCAAGACAAAACAAGCAAAACCAAAACCAATCACAACCCTTCTCCAACTCCTCCAGCTGTTCAGCCGTGTCTCGCACTGAGGCTTGCAAAGGCATCGGGGCTGTGCCGTCCATTCGTCCAAGCCATGTCCATACCCAGGTTCATGCTTTCTCTGCTAATCTTGCGATCTGTGGTAAAGGGGTCTGGGGCTACCGCTACAGGTCCGCTCTTCATAAACGGGTTGTTGTTTCCTGCCACTGGCTGCGTCGCGCTCAGAGGTGACTGCGCCGGAGCTGCTACAGAATGCATGGCCTGCATCGGCATGGGTCTGTCCTCCGGGATAGTTGGCGTTTGTACGTGTATGTTAGGATCAGAGACCGTGGGACGGGCTGCTTGCGGTTGGCCATACAGCGCAAGGATGGACGCCTTATCCTGACGCTGAGGCTGGTAAAACTGCTGCTGCTGTTGTAGTTGCTGTTGCTGCAGTTGTTGTTGTTGCAGCTGCTGTTGCTGAAGTTGCTGCTGTTGTCCATAAAACTGAGGTTGCTGCTGAACCACTTGCTGGGGGTACTGCACGCCATTGTTCAAAAAGGGATTCGTTCCAGTCAAGTGAGGCTGAAGTGGCGTTGGGCTCTGGAACATGGTCGGCAAAGACTGCTCTGGAATCTGGGTGAGAGAGGGCGATGATATCCTAGTCGGTGATCGCGTGAAGGGATTGTTCGCATATGCCGCAGCCTGGTTGGTGTTAAGCGATAGACTTTGTTGAGGTGCCTGCTGCTGAAACTGAGCCGGTGCCTGCGTGAAGAACGGATTGTAGCCCGTCTGCTGTGGTGCAATAGGCTGTGTGGCAGGCTGGGGGTATGTCATGCTATTCTGGAAGCTCAAGTTCTGATATTGCTGAGGCATTGACGGCGCAGGCTGTGACTGGTGGTACATCGAGAACTGATGGGGGGTCGAGATGACCCCACCAGTATGATGAGGGAAAAGAGGCTGAGCTACTGGAGACAAGGACATGTTCTGGAAAGCTTGGGTGACAAGGCTGGCTTGTTGCGCTGGTGTTCCATAGGGATTCGTCGAGTTTATGAAAGGATTGTTGGTTTGAAGCGTCCCGGTGGAGTGAGCCGTCTGGGGCTGGGCAGGCGGGAAGATATCGAACGGGTTCGTAGACGCTGCTGAAGCCGTAGTTGGGCGATCTGGAGTCGCGTCCTTCTGTGGCACGCTCAAACCCAGGTTAAGACCCGCAGCATTCGAGCCTACCGGTGTCAGCGATCTTGAAGTTCGCAGTGTCCGTTCAGCTGTAGGGGCGGGCCCTGGCGATCTGTCGCCCTCGCCAAGACGAACGAGTGCCTCAACAGCGCGCTCCAAGTTGCCGTTGACTCCCTTGAGAATAGTTGCATTTCGGTGGTCGTCCTGGAAGCCCATGTCTCGTAGTCTCGCGAGCTTCTTGTCTGTGTCGTCCTGACCGTAGTCTACCGAAGCTCCAAAGACTTTGGACTGTTTGTTCGCGTGGTTCGCATGGTTGGACGAAGAATTGGAGTTCGCAAGCTCCTGCGCAGCGGCTGCCTTGGCCTCCTTCTTCGCCCGCGACGACAATGGGAATATTGATGAGGCTGATCTGAATCCGAACTTGGAGTTCTTGGGCGGTAATGGTGGCGGAGTGCCCTCATCCAGCTGAGGTTTTTTCAGCTTCCCAGCCTGGCCTGAGACAGTATTGACATATTTTTGCCGGATGAACCTCTCCATAGCCGAGTCTGCCTCGTCCACGTCAATGGGGACTGATGCTGTCTTGTTCTCGGGGTTGTATATCTTGTTCGACGCAGTGTTGCCGACCTTTCGCATGTTCTATGGCCAAAAGAGATAAGTTTCCACACATTCATAACCTTATACAAAGGGGCGGCGCTCGCTCACGTCAACTTGCTCATTCGTCCATGCATCCATACTTAGCGACTTGACCTTGGATATGTGCGTGCCTAGTTTTCGATGTATCGCAGCGCAGCGCATGCATAAGAAGACGCCCAACTGTAATTGCACCGGTTAGCATGTACCATCTCGAATCGCAGCGGTGATGACCAGCAGAGGTTCATTGAGGGAGGGATATCGTACGCTCCATGATGCCCAAGCTGTAACACAGGTCGCGGTTAGCAAGAGGTTGTACGAGATGTGTGAACGGAGACGTAGATGCATACATGGATTTCGCGCGTGACAGTCGGCGCACTGGTCATTGCCTGGCACGGAATGTACCAGCTCTTGCAGAGTCGCCTCATTACGCGCCTGCTGGCGCTTGCTCAAAGGACCCGTCATGACGCTGTCGTGGCTGTCCAGCGATGTCTTGCTTCGAGATCAAGCGAGTGTAGCAGAGGCAAATGCGCGCGTGAAAGCTGAAGCGTAGGAGGACCGGGGTGCTCGTCGTATCCAGGCAATTGGAGACCCAACCGGGCCTTTTGATTTTCGACGGCTGGCTGTAAGATGAGGCTTTGGAATCAGACAAGGGTCATGGCGATGGAGACGGGCAAGGAGGGGCCGTGCGGGAGCTGGCAAAGCGGCCAAACGAGAATGTCGATGCCACCAGGCAGCTCGCAGATGGCGGACAAAGAAAAGCAAGGCACGAAGCAACAACCCGACCCAGGCAAAAAAAAAAACGAGACGAGGAGAAAGCACGAAAGAAAATGGTGCTAGCGAGGCAAGCGATTCATGGGTGATGCGATTCGATTTCGGACTACCCACTGGGGAAAAAGGAGAAGCATCGAATCATTACCCGACGTTGGTTTTAGCCTGCAGATGCCACACGACCAGCCTGGGCTAGCAGAAAGGCCAAGGCACCGCGCCACAGCGTTGTGGAGAGGCCCGAGTGTTCTAGTCTTCTAGAGAGGCGCTGGCTCAGGGCCTGCAGACGCCTGTTGAGACGCCTGTGCAGATGCCTGTGCTCAAGGCGAGTTAGCGGCCCTGGCCCTGCGCTTCAGCGGTGTTGGTAGCGCTGCATCCTTCGTATTTGGGCGCCAAATGGGTTAAGGCACCGACATAGACCCGTCGCGGCGGGGTTAATCGATAAGGCTGGGAGATTGCAAACAATAGTCTGGAGAAGAAGAACGTGGAAGCCATGTGCGGATGAATCACCAGGAGATGAGATGCCATGTTCTCGATCTGGCACAGGCAATGGACAGATGGCCGGTTTCGGGTGAGTGGCGTGGCTAGGGACAATTCCCCGGTCGCCAGTGGCTGGCAACTGCATTGTCCGTTTGTTTGTTAGCAGACCAGGTATATACATGTATGTATAAGTCATCATGGCTTCAGGATGATGGATGGCCCTCGGTAACACTCAGCACAAGTGCCTCATTGTTTCCTTCTCTTCATCAACGCAATGATTTAGAGGATTACTCTTTGTTATCGAGAAATCAGAAAGCCTTCATACCCACACTTGATCGCGTGGAGCTATTCCAAGCCCCGCAAACCTCATTCTGTATCCGATTTATCTTCGTCTGATGTCTTGAAGAGCAGTTTCTGGCTCACGATATACCACGGCCGTTGGCCACCGGGACACCCGAGTCCACATCCGGACATACTATCACCGCACATACAAATCACATATGTCCAAGCAGGGCTTTTAAACTCCCGTCCGCTGTCACTCACGTGCCCTTAACCCGAGGCTCCGGTCTTGCCGGCCCATTGACATTTTCGCGGTCGGAGTACAGGTTAAGCAACCTCCGTGGAGGAAGTCGGCCAGACCTTGCCTCCTAAGGTCTGGCCTCGGTACCCGTCGACGCCGTGGTGGTGCCACTGACGCAGAGGTCACCATAAGCCTGCTGCTAAGGTAATGCGATTCCAATTGCTAGCTAGGAGACGATATGAATGACAAAGGAAAAATAATGACCGTGAAGCCGCTGGCTGTTCCACGCGCGAAATTTGTCAACAGCCAACTGGCGGCTCGGATACATCCGCGACGCTGACCGTGCCTTGCGCCATCCCTCAAATCGCCGCTCTTGGTCCGTTTTCCAAAACGTCGCCGTCCGAGCCCAGCCGCCGAAAGGGCCGGGCTCTGCTCTGGCATGTCTGCGGGACATTTATCTAGAGAGAGACACCCAGCAGGGACCTGGATGCTGACAGCTGCCAACATTGTATTACTATTGCATGTCACTGGCGGGCTTACTGAACTCTGCTCTGCACAAAACAGCACCAAGGAGCGGGATTGGACCCTGAACTCAGCCACTGCATAACCCGCTGCTAAATCCCCAGCCACAACCCCGTGGGCGTCCGGCACCTACCAGCTAAGCCAAACACGTTGAGCCTGACAGTTAACGTGGTCTGTCCAGAGCTTCAGCTCATCTCGCCCAAAACCTCACCCTTAGACACGCTTCCCAGCCACAACCACCTCACTTATTTGCTCAGTCAGCTTGCTTCACCGTTGTCTGAGCCCCAACCGACGAACCCGACGGCATATCTGGAACATACAGGGAGCTTTGCCATGGAACAGGAGCTTTAAACCACGCAGCCTGTATCGCGACCCTCTGCTACACAACCGACGCCTGAGCCCTTGCGAGAGACATTTCAGGAGCAATGGCTGGCATAGAGAGACTAGAGGTCCATAGCAGGGTATGGCGTCTCTCAAACTTCCCTCCCAAGCATGCAACGCGCTGCAAATGGCTGACTGGAATTCTGTAGTCCTACATTGTCCGCTGGGTCAAGGTCGAGGAGGGGAATACCCTCTCCTGGAGCGTACAACCACATAAAAAGTCCATGTAAGCAGCTGCTGCTTCAGAGAGCCACATGCACCCTACCGTGATCCTAATTGACCGTGATATCATCTAGAAACTTTGGCATCGTCAAACACCCTGGCAGTGGTGCCACTGGTCTCTCTTCCACGGCCGGCGACGATTTCCACTCGAATTCCTCGCAAACACAAGAACTTGCCGAGGGCAAAGCGAGCCGATTTGCCAAGAGAGATGTCACGGCGCAGGACCTCCTTTCCAGCAAGGGCTTTATATCGATAAAATGGCTTGGGAAATGCGAGGCGGACAAGGTGTCCATGGGGGCTTACGACGTGCCCCTGGGGCAAACAGGCATGTATGGTCTGGTCTTTGACAACACATTTTCCAAGCAAACGTCAAAGACAGCCACATTTGTCGTCCTGACATATCCTACCGGCGCGGCTCCGCAGAGCGCCAATCACCTTCCGAACTTGCAGATGCCGAATGCTAGCCAGACCAGCTTGGGTATGCATGGCAGCCCGCCAACTCGAGAGGGGGATCCCGCTGCCTCTGTGGACAGCTTTCATAGCCACCCGAGCAAAGGCCATGCGCGCACTACATCCGAAGCTACTATGCCGGCCAATTACCACGTTGGAACGCTCTCCAAGAGAAGACGGAAGAAGGGGCAGGGCTATGCTCGCCGCTTCTTCTCCCTCGATTATTCCACCTGCACCCTGTCTTATTACTACAATAGGAACTCTTCTGCTCTTCGTGGAGCCATCCCCTTGAGCTTGGCTGCCATCGCTGCTGATGAGAGGAGAAGGGAAATTAGCATAGATTCCGGCGCTGAAGTATGGCACCTCAAGGCGCCCAACGACAAAGAATTCCAGGATTGGGCTCGAGCTCTTGAGAAGGCAAGCAAGCTGGCAAGAGGCCTTGAAAGCCAGCCACAGCAGCCAAAGCTTGGTTTGAAGGTCGATAATCGCACTCTACAACCGGATAACCTTGCCAGCCACCACGGAGGCCGCGACGAAGAGGTTGAGTGGCAGCAGGTTGAGACTCTGGTTAGCCGTGTTGTTGGAACTCGCGATGCGCTGCGCCGTCTGACCAAGGAGGTTGCGGCATTACCGAGACCGACGTCTTCGTCATCACACCACCTGCTAGGTCCATCATCAGGGAGTGCAATTGATGACAACGGCGACGGAGCGGAGAGGAAGTCCTTCTGGAAACGCAAGTCTAGCACCTCCGTACCGACTGCCCCGACGCTACGGCCGGACTCAGCGACGATCGAAGACCACAATGATGCGAATAAGCGCAAGTCTAAAGGAGCGATTCAGGAGGAAAAGTCCCTGCAGGATCATTGCGCGGCTTTGCTGGCTGACCTCGATTCTGTTGTCAGTGAATTCACCGTTCTCATTAACAATAGCAAACGGCGCCGATTGCCAGTGCCCAAGTCTGCCGATGCCGCCTCTCGTCTGAGCTTGGATACGACCTCTACCGGAGACGAGTTCTTTGACGCTGAAGATGCCACAAGAGTCGTCAAGATTGATGCTAGCGACGATGAGATGCACGAGTCAGATGCCGATGATGCCTCTTCACATGATAACTCATCTATTTCATCCGTCGAAGAGGAGGAGGTGAGCGGTGGCGGCACGAACGCGCTGTTTCCAGCCAAGCCGAAGAACCTTGTTCCCCTGCCTCTTGACGTCGCTGTTAGCCGGAGAACTGGGATACCACCAGCGATGGTTTTACCACCTAGTTTGATCGCGTTTGTCCGGAAAAATGTTGGCAAGGATCTTAGTACCATCAGCATGCCGGTTTCCGCCAACGAGCCGATTTCTCTGCTACAAAAGATTGCAGAGCAGCTAGAATATGCGCAACTTTTGGATCACGCTGCTAAGCGCGGATCAGTAACCGAGCGACTGCTGTATGTTACCGCCTTTGCCGTCTCACAGTTTAGCAGTGGTCGTGCCAAGGAGCGAGCCATCCGCAAGCCGTTTAACCCTCTGCTGGGAGAGACGTTTGAATTGGTCCGTTCGAACAAGGAAACCCCTGGCGGCTTCCGCTTGCTCGTGGAGAAGGTTCAGCACCGACCTGTCAAGCTGGCTATGCAAGCCGACTCTGCCAGTTGGTCGCTCTCTCAATCTGCCGCCCCAGGTCAGAAGTTTTGGGGCAAAAGTGCCGAGATTACGACTGATGGACGTGTAAGAGTCGTGCTCCGCCTGTCAGACGGAACTGATGAGCTCTACTCGTGGAACATTGCCACGATGTTTTTGCGAAACGTCGTAATGGGCGAGAAGTACGTAGAGCCTGTCGGAACGATGAACGTAACCAACGACTCGACCGGCCACAAAGCAGCCGTTGAATTCAGAAGCAAGGGCATGTTTGGTGGAAGGGCCGAAGATGTCCATGTGGAGACGTTTGGGCCAGATGGCGGCAACACGGGCAGTGGACTTGCTGGCACCTGGACTAACGGGCTCAAGACGGCCGGCCCTGGAAAATCAGGCGGCGAAGAGATTTGGCGTGTCGGCAGCATGGTGGACAACCCTACACAGACGTATGGCATGACGGCATTTGCAGCCTCGCTTAACGAAATCACAGAGATTGAGAAGGGCAAGCTGCCGCCAACCGATTGCAGATTGCGTCAGGATCAGCGGCTCGCCGAGCAGGGCAACCTGGACGAGGCCGAGATTTGGAAGGTTAAACTGGAGGAAGCACAACGTGCTCGTCGCCGTGTCCTGGAAGAGCGAGGCGAGGCACACAAGCCAAGATGGTTTGTCAAGGCGGAAGAGTCTCCCGAGGGAGAGGAAGTGTGGAGGATCAAGACGGGCAAGGACAGCTACTGGGAAGAGCGCGCGCGAGGTGCTTGGACTGGCGTTGAAGAGATTTTCAATGTGCCCGCGGAATAGAGCTTTTTCGGGCAGTGTTATTACTTCATTGGGTATAAAGACCATTGATGATAGAGGGGTTTGATATTGTTTAAAGATTATGAACTGTTTCCTCTCGGCTCTTTTTCTGCTGGGAGTTGGAAGAATAGATTGCGGGAAAGGGGATGAATGTGAATACGAATGTTATGACCTCTAATTTTGGCGTCTTCTCTTGTGACTACTTGGCATAGAGTTTATCGTTTGCTATGTGATGTAATGAAGGGGTGTGTGTCAAGTTCTTGGCAGATGATAATCTGCATCTTGAAGATTTGATATGAGGCTATAGAACACCCCCTTCTCCTTTTGAAGCTCACGAGACTTTCATAGCATTGCCCTATGCGGCATACAGTATCTTGAATACGGAAAGGATAACCAGGGGTTCTTGCATTGGCGCTCCATACTTCATCTACTCTATCTGGGAGAATCCGATGGGAGATTAAAGAGGCGCAAGGCGGGCAGCTGACGAGCATAGCAAGATCGCCACGCCGATTCAAATTTCCGCACCTCAGAATGTCTCTCTCGAAAAAAAGGGAAGAGGAGAGCGCCGTTGATCAAAAACCGGTGAAGCCTAGCGGCATTAACGGTGCCCTAACAAAGCTTCGCCGACTGTCTCCAGATAACAAGTGTCAGCTGTCGTTGAGATAACTAAAGATGGTGAAGGCCCCTGAAGATCAGAAGGTTTTTGTGGGTTTGGATCTGTGCGGCCAGGGAACTTCCCTGCGTGGTGGCGTTTGTTGGAGTGGGATTGATTCTTCCGGGGGGTTTATTTTGGTACTTTGACAAAGGCTTGATTTTGTTTCTAAATTTTCAAGGTGAGGACGAAAGAGGTAAGCCGAGGGGGGAGTTGGCGATGCTCCGATAGGGCAGCCTTTTTGGAGTATTCGATGTTGAACTGCTTCAGTACATCGACAGGTTGGGGGACCATGAACCTTCAGGCAGGGCATGCATTTTACTTGCATTAGCACGCAGTACGAAACCGCCGTCTATTTTATGCTTCTAGTGAACCGTACGAGTATAAATGAATCAACTGACCATACTGTATCTATTTTCGTTATCCACGGCAACATACTGTACTGGAGATCCAAGCCGTATGGGCTTCGAGAAGCAGACGGTGGAGAGTGGATGCGATGTGCGCGAGAGAGGGGCGTTTTGCAGGGGTGGTGCGGGAACAAATAACCTTGGAAGCCTTGTTTTGGAGCATCCACACACGACGACCAAGTTTCAAGTTTCCGCTAGTATTCGAGAGTGACGGTCCACTTTGAATGTGATGGATGTTTGGTTGTTATATACTTGTACGGTAGACAGGTGAGTAACTGTGAGGAGTTGGTTGTAACAGAGGCCTAGGTCCAAGGTAAAGCAATCATGGATGGGAAAGGTCTAGGCTATTAAAAGAACAAAACAAGCAACATAAACAAAGCAAAAGAATCTAGGCCAAGGGGACCGTGTGGATCGATGACGATGGCCGCATGTCACTGGATGCAACACGTACTCGTACCTTTGGCTATGCCCGTCCCAGAATCGATGCAGCCCTCTTCTCTCGTGTTAACCGAATCTCGTCTGCTCAGCCCGCCAATTGGCTGCAGGTCGGCGTAATACGAGAAGTAGGTAGCAGTAGCATCGCAAATAGACTTTGGCATCGCCCTGGACCATCCCAGAGCAAGCTTCACTCCAATTGAGTTTTTTCTTGTTTATTTTTATTTTATCTTTGGTTGCCGTTGCATTGAGCTGCGCGATTCTTACCAAACTCGAGAGCTGAGCTTGAGCTGAACTGAAGCTGATCTGCACTGGTTGTCACTCGACTCGACGGCCTCCGCGCAGTGTCTCACACTGTCTGCCCATCCCAACCTCGCGGCTTTCCATGCGCTCTCCCAATCTCCCTACATTTCAGTACAGCAAAGCAACTTGGAGCTGGCGGTTTTGTTTCGCCGTCGTAGTTCGTAGTGGCGTCGCCCAGTGGATCATCCACCTCGTCTGTCTCCATGTGGGCTCGCGTGCGACACTCTCGGGCCAGCCATTGGAAGCTTTGGCCCGTCTCTGGCGGCTTGATGCCTCGTAGCTGTGCGGTGATGTGCTGTGCGTCAATCAAATCGGATGGTGAATGCTCTGTGCCCCGACCGACTCAGTCAGTGATGGACAGTCCCCCCGAGGCCCGCTAAATGAGGGTCACGCAGACAGAGCAATCAAGTCAATCCATCCAGGTTGTTGTGGTTTCTGAGTCCGGTATTAATATTGGCCCTCCATTCCAGCTGCCCTTTCTCCTCCTGCCCTTCCCTCCCTCCCTCTTCTTTCCGAACCATCTTCTCCTTCCCGCCCAGAGCTTTTCGACCAACTTCTTTCTTCACTCGTTTCCCCAGCTCTCTCGTTATTGCGGCATCTCTTCGCTTCTTCCTTCTTTCTCTCCCTTTCTTCGTCTTTTTCGTTAGCCAGTCCATCGTATAATCCTCGACTTGACTCGACTCGATCCAGCTCTCTTCCACTCTTTACAGAGCCTCATCCATCTATCCATACGTTTTGCCTGTGTTCGTCTGCTGGCGATTTATCAATTTGTGCCATTTCTCCGTTCATCCATCAGTAATTGGCGTCACCATGAAGGGATTCGCTCTTCTCTCAGCCGTCGCCGGCCTCGGAGCCGTCATGGCTTCTCCCACGCCTTCAAAGAGCAACCCTCCATCCAAGAGGGCCTCGGTGCCCGCCGTCTCAGCCTCTGGAAATGGTTAGCAAAACAAAGCACTTCTTTCATACACTTTATTCGATTGGAATATGCTGCTAACATACTCGATTTCTCTAGCTTTCTGGGCCGATGGCAAGCGCTTCTACCTTCGCGGTATTGACTACCAGCCCGGCGGTGCTGCAGCCAACGAGGATCCTCTCGCTGACCCCAAAACCTGCACCCGTGACATCAAGAACTTTAAGGACCTCGGAGTCAACACTATTCGTGTTTACGCCGTCGACAACTCCAAGGATCACGACGAGTGCATGAGCGCTCTGGCCGATGCTGGCATCTACTTGGTTCTTGACGTCAACAACCCAGGCTACTCCATCAACCGTCTTAATCCCGGCACCTCTTACAACACCATGTATCTTCAGAGTGTTTTCGCGACCGTTGAGATGTTCGCCAAGTATGACAACACGCTGGCTTTCTTTTCTGGCAACGAGGTCATCAACGACGAGCCTGGAACTGACAAGTCTGCTCCCTATGTCAAGGCTGTCACCCGTGATATGAAGAATTACATGAACTCTCGAGGACTACGCAAGGTCCCCGTTGGATACTCTGCTGCCGATGTCTCCTCCAACCGCATGCAGACAGCCATGTACATGAACTGTGGCAGTGACGACGAGCGATCTGATTTCTTTGCCTTTAATGACTACTCTTGGTGCAACAGCGACTTCAAGACCTCTGGTTGGGACCAAAAGGTTAAGAATTTTACCGACTATGGCATTCCCATCTTGTATGTGCACCGCAACTCTTACCCGTTAACAATCTGCTAACATATAACCCAGCTTGTCCGAGTGGGGTTGTATCAAGAACCGCCCTCGCAAGTTTGAGGAGCTGTCTGCCCTTATGAGCTCGCAGATGAGTTCAGTCTACTCCGGTGGCATCATGTACGAATACTCCAAGGAAGACAACGACTATGGGATTGTCACTATCGACGGTGACTCCATCTCCAAGTCGGACGAGTACGATCTCTTTAAGAGCGCCTTGGCTGATAACCCGACTCCTACTGGTTCCGGTGGTGCTGCCAGCTCTAGTCACGCTGCCAAGTGTCCGCCCAAGGACTCCAGCTGGAATGTCGACCCCAGCCTGGTCCCCCAGATACCGGAAGCTGCCGCTAAGTTCATGAAGAAGGGTGCTGGTTCTGGTCCTGGCCTTGGTGGCGAGGGCTCTCAGAACGCAGCCGATAGCGGGACTGCCACGGCTAGTGTAACAGGCGGTACGGCTTCTCCTACTGGCACATCTGGGTCTGCGTCTGAGACGGAATCCGACAGCGCTGCTGGCTCCTTCTCCCACGGCCCTCTGGACAAGGCGCCATTTGTCGTGTCTGGCTTGACCTTGATGTTCACTTTGTTTGGCACTCTTCTTCTCTAAAGCTTTAAATCTTTATTGATTTGAAAGGTTTTTACGTTCTCTTTACTTTTGGTATTGGGGGGCCTTGTAAACCCGGCAATTAGACCAGGGGGCTCTGGTGTACGGTATAAAAGGAATTCGAGTTGGCCGTAATGTAAAGGCCAACGGTGTCTGGCTCTGCAAAGACTAGACAGGGACGGGAAGAATGATAATCTTACAGTCTAGGCTTTGGAGCCATTGTTTATACGCGCATCGTCTTCTTTTTCTTTCAAGAATCATTTTTGGTCATTTGTGTTGCAGTCGATGTGAAGTTCTCGTGATGAAGACTAATAATAGCCCCTACTAACTGTTGTATGCCTCTGTTTACACTTTTTAGTTGTGCGTCAATTCGAGAGACGGAGATTGGGTGACAACAAAATCCATTATTACCAACTCTACCCTTTATATCAATTCTAGGTGGTATGGAGGGCAGTCTGAGAGGTCCGGAGAATAGATTGGGCGGTTGTTTGACCTCATTGGACAACGTCCTGGTACGTATTGCTGCCCAGCCTTGTATATAATAGCCAGCCGTAGATGTCGGGCTGCGTCTTCCCCTCCGCATGTAATGGCTCATAATATTGAGTATTGTTCCCTTCTTGACACTATCGACAAAAAATGGAAAACTCTCGAAATTTCTCGGGGAATACAGTTGGAAACAACGCGATCGTCAATCAGGGCGATGGCAACCATATCACGGTCAACTTTGGTATGCTCTCTATGTCGACAATCAGGCATCATGCTTACCAGTGGCACAGCTACTTCAAACGACGACAAATCATTTCTCCAAGATATCAGCAAAACTGACCCCGTTCACGATAAAAAACGTATTCTTATGCTCAAGGGCCCTTTACTATGGGAGTCATTCAGTTGGATTTTTGGGCATCAAGAGTTCAACAAATGGCGCCATACCAAGCAGAGTGGCGTCTTCTGGATCAAAGGCGACCCTGGCAAAGGCAAGACAATGCTACTTTGCGGCATCATTGAGGATTTGGAAAAGGATTCTCAGTGTGAGAATCTAAGCTACTTCTTCTGCCAAGCCACGGACTATAGGATCAACAGTGCTGCCGCCGTTATTGGCGGGTTGATCAAGTCGCTGCTTAAGCAACATCCGACACTCTTGACGCGTATCCGAGAGAACTATGGAGACGGACCTAAGGGTCAACTAGATGGAGTTAACGCTCTCGCCATTTTATGCGATATTTTTGAGACCATAATCAAGGATCCTGCCTTGACCGACATCATCTGTGTCGTTGATGCCCTTGATGAGTGCATTAAGGACTACAGTCATCTCCTCAAGCTTGTCGTCAAAACAAGCGATCACGTCAAGTGGCTGCTATCTAGCCGGAACGAAAAATATATAGAAAAGGGGCTTGAGAAAGTTCCTCAAAGGCTTGTTTTGGAGTTGAAACAGAATGCGGAGCAAATATCTCTCTCCATTGATGCATATATTAGACACCACATTAAGGAAATTGGAGCCCTGGATGATGATGAACAACTTCAGCGAAAGACATTCGATACGCTAAAAGGCAAAGCTCAAGGCACATTTTTATGGGTAGCACTCGTGGTTGAGCAATTACACAGGACAGACCGTTGGGAGGTAGAAGACGTCCTGGAAGAGGTACCAAAAGATCTTGAAGACCTCTATGGTCTAATATTAGACCGATCAGAGAAATTGGGACGAAAGGGTCGAGAAGTTTGCCAAGTTTTACTTTCAATCGTCACGACGGCTAAGAGACCTCTTCACCTCGGAGAGCTGCTTGTTTTCATCAATTCGCATTGGAAGGACAGCAAGGGTTTCAAAACGACATACGATGTACGAGATGTACGAGACATGGCGAAATCCTGTGGATCTATTTTATCTATCAGAGAAGATACTGTCTACTTCATCCACCAATCAGCTAAGGATTATGTCGTGGAGAATGCGGCTCAGCGTATTTTCCCTATTCTATATCAACATTATAAAATGTTTGAAGCTTCACTAGATGCCATGTCTAATACCCTCGAATACGATATATATGGCCTGAAAGACCCTGGGATACATATAGACGATGTGCCCAAGAAGGACTTAGGCTCTGATCCCTTGGCGTCTATAAAATATTGTTGCGTATTCTGGGTCGAGCACTTAGTCTTAGGCTTCCAATTTGAAGGATTTGAACACGACAAATACCTCAAAGACGACGAAAGACTTCATTCCTTCCTCAAAGAAAAATTTCTTTGTTGGATCGAATCCTTAGCGCTCATGCGCAACTTTTCCCCACATGCTCAGATTGCTCTTCAGAAACTCAGGGATCTCATCGATTGCTATTGTAGTAGCAAAAGGGATGATAGCGAGACACCCCAAATCATGAACCTGCTTAGAGAAAGCGAAATGCAAAGCCTTAGACAATTTCTTGATGACGCCTATCGATTTGTTGAAAATTTTAAAGAGTCTGTGGCTTATTGGCCGTTACAACTCTACTTTTCAGCCATGAGTTTTGAGCAAGACAGCAGTGTCATCCGAAAAACTTTTGAGCAGACTATACGTAAAAAGTTTGGGCCTTCGCCTATCCTGGCGAGCTTGAGACACGCACAGTCCTCTTTCAGGTTGCAAAGCTCGTTCCGCGGTGCTAGGCTTCTGTCGAACTATGATGAGCCCAAGCCGTTGGTTTTCTCTCCCGACTCGTTGTTGATAGGCCAAGCGTCTAGAAATGGACTCAAATTCTGGAGAGTAGGGTCGAGAATATTGGAATGCACCTTTGAGATACATTCGAATGATAAAATTGCCTTCTTTCCTCACTCAAATGACTTCATATCTATATCTCCAGGTGGCATCATGAAAAGCTGGAGCGTAGACAAGAAAGCCCGCATTAGGAGGCAACCTCTGAATCTCAAACATCCGAGACCTCTATCGAACCCTCTATCAAGCGACACTTCAACCTCATGGTTGGATCTTCCTTCGGGACGCGTTATTGCTTTGTCACCAAAGGGAGACTTGGTCGCATCGTTGCATTTCAGATCAGTCTCTGAACTAGGGTTGGTCGGGGTCTGGGATACCAAGACGACCTGTTGCTATAGTTTATTTGAGTCTGGCAGAGCACCATCCGTGGGTGGAGTCTTTTCACCAAACTCTCAGCTGTTGGCTTTAGTGCATGAAGATGGCATTACAATACACAGCCCGAAGACAGGTGTAATGGTTCAAGATCTCAACATTAACGTCTCGAGGGAGACAATTAATGATTGGTTTGACCTATTTGGAAGAATGAAAGAAACCCAAAATATTTGTTTTTCTCCAAATTCCAAACTTCTAGCTACCATGGTGTCGGAAGGGCATCTCTGTCTCTGGGACACCCAGACATGGAAAGTGCTGCATACTATTGAATTGCCTCGGCAGCTCTGTCTCTGGGACACCCAGACATGGAAAGTGCTGCATACTATTGAATTGCCTCGGCAGCTCTGTCTCTGGGGCACCCAGAAACGGAAAGTGCTTCCTTCTATTAGATTGCCTCGGAAGCATGTTCGAAGACTGGCGAGTCTTGCTATCTCTCCCGACTCGAAGATCATAGCCACGAATCGGCATGATAAAATTGAGCTTTGGAGCATCGACACGGGAGAATTCGTTGCCAAAGTTAATGCTTCCTCCCAGTCTATGGTATTTGCCCCAAACTGGGCAAAGTCTTCGATTGTGGCATTACAACAAGAGGATGGCTTGATTCAAACTTGGTTCTTGGATATCAGTCAACCTGTACCTGAACTGCAACATATTGGCCATGTCTTTGACGACGTTACCATCTCTCCCGACTCAAGATTTGTGGCTTCAACACATAGACATGGTAGCCAAGTCAGCGTGTGGAGTGGAGATGATGGCCAATTAGTTCATGTTCTCGAAGGAGGGTCTATAAGTAGTTATTCACCCTTTAATCCCTTGATCTTCTCGCCAGATTCTCAGCTGCTGGCTTATGTTGGGGGAAGCATTCAGATATGGTGTGTTATTACAGGCGAGTCTGTTTGCTTACTTGAATGCCAGGATAGTGGAAAATTTTCCACAGCTGCCTTCTCGAGCGATCCCAAACATGTTGTTGCTAGCAGCAGGGAGGCTATATTCGTATGGCAGGTAGATTCTGGCCAGCTTATTTATAAATATGAAATTGGCAAGAGGGACCTATATGAGGAAGATGGTCTGAGGACTTCAATCTCTCCGAAATCTGCACACATAGCAGCATTCTGGAACTCTGAGCCACCTGAGGCGCGAATTTGGCACTTACATACGGGTATGAGTGTTTGGCTGGGGTCTGTGTATGTGCGGATCAACAGTGGGCTTCAAACAGTGGATCCAAGTTTCCAAATCTCATTTTCTTCTGATTCAGCAATTTTGGCTGCTGTCACAAAACGAATGGCCCAAGTCTTTGACGTTATTACCGGCGCTTGTTTGCAAAGCTTTAATCTTAACGACAATGGGCATCCACGGTCACTGTCCTTCGATCCGATAAATGGCCGAATTCTCACTGCTAACTCTGTATTTTATAAAACTTTTTCATGGGAACACTGGAGGGTGTGTCCACGGTTGGGCTACTCCTACGACTATTGCCTAGACGACCCCATTGATGAAAGGGGCATGTGGATTCTGTTGGATAAAAAAAAAAACTGTTACGTACCAAGTAACTTTAGGCTTAGGTTGTCATCAGGATTCAATGATGGCGATGCTAATATGGCCGTGACTGATTCCCTTTTGGCAGTTCTAAACGAGTTAGGAGAGGTTGTTATCATCAGGTTTCCCACTCGGCGCGAAGCACAGCAACAAGCAATCGGGGGGTTTGACGTCGGCAAAAGGGTTAAAAATATTACCTACAGTGTTGGTAGGTCTCTCCTTACCACGGTCTGGTGAAGAATTGATCTGGCTTGAGGGGCCTTAAAAGACAGGGAATCATATCTGAGGAATCTAATGGTTCGCCCCGGGACAAAGGAAATAATAAGAGAGGGCGATATTAAATGGAAACGGACGACGCCGCTAGAGTAGGCAAATACAAATAGCCAGGAGAGCTAGAGAAGTAGAGAAGATATTTTTTAGAATCTCAAAGTAGGAGCCTACACATTGATATGTATAGGTAGTCAATGCCTTTTGCATGAATTGTCGGCATATTAATCTACATCGAATTTATCATCATTTTCATAGGGCGCTAGAAAGTTCAAGCATTTATATGGTGTCATTGAGCCTAGGCATAAACAAGATGAGCTTTTATTTTGATCCCTATTTTAACTAACCCGGGTGTATACTATTAGGTGCCAGGGATTGTAGATATAGTCCAAGCCCCAAGGTATCTGCTAGCTTTTACAAAGAGCACTGTGTTGACATGCAGCAGTTGACTCGAATGACCAATCTGTTAGCACGGGGTGACTAGATGTCGAAATATGAGACTACGCGAGCGAAAGAGGCCCATTATTTTATTAAGAGAACAATGCTGCATGCAACTAGAAGAGACAGGCAATCGACATAATGATATTACATACAACAGGTATGGCATGGACCAGATCGCATTGAAGTGCAGAGAACAGATCCCACGATCAGAAGCCGCCTTCCCCAGATTCGGCGATTGGCCATGGCCCCACTCTGGAGCTGTGCCTCGGCTTGGATGGAATTACCGTAGAAGGACAATGCTCCAGAGTATGTACGAGGTAAGCCGAGATGCTTTTGACAAGATTCAAGATTCCTTTCAACTCTTAATTCATCTCCAACCGGATTGGCATTCATTATATATGTGGCTTGATTCTGTTTATTAATCGCCATATATAAAGTACCTGATTCCTCTAAGATTGAATCATCGTCTGCATCATTCATCTGCCATATCGCGCCCCAAACAATCCACCGCCAGCAATAGCATCAAAAAGATATTCAACCCTCAAGATGGCCTCATCATCATCATCCGGCGCAGGATCCCCCCTCGCCGCCTACTCCGCCTACAAATTCTTCACCGTCACCTCCCCCAAGCCCTTCGTAGCGCACGTGCAGATCCAGCGGCCAGAGAAGCACAATGCCTTCTCCGAGGCCATGTGGCTCGAGTTTGGGCGCGTCTTCCAGCAGCTGAGCGCTGATGCTGACGTGCGCGCCGTGGTACTGAGCGGAGCGGGCGATAAGGCATTTACCGCTGGTCTGGATGTGCAGTCGGCGTCGCAGGACTCAACCCTGATGTCGGATCAGAAGGATCCGGCCAGGAAGGCCAAGGGCATGAGAGCGCAGATTGAAGAGTTCCAGTCCTCTATTGGGGCCATGGAGAAGTGCGAGAAGCGTAAGTTATTTCATTCCTGTCTTCCTGTCTTGCTTATTTGAGAAAATGAGCTTGTTATTTGATTCTATCTATGAAAAAACCATCTAATGCGATTTTACAGCCGTGATTTGTGCCATGCACGGCATTGCCCTTGGCCTCGCCATCGACATTTCCTGCACCGCTGATATCCGCATCTGCGCTTCCAACACCCGTTTCGCCGTCAAGGAAGTCGATATCGGCCTTGCGGCTGACATCGGCACGCTTGCGCGTCTCCCCAAGATCGTGGGATCCACGTCCTGGGTCAAGGACGTGTGCCTAACAGCCCGAGACTTTTCCGCACAGGAGGCTCTCGCGGTGGGTTTCGTGAGCCAAGTGCACGAAAGCAAGGAGAAGACGGTGCAGGTTGCTATCGACCTTGCGGCTAATATTGCAGAGAAGAGCCCCGTGGCGGTGCAGGGCACCAAGGAGCTGCTGAACCACGCGAGAGACCACAGCACCGTGGATACCCTGCGGTATACACAGCTGTGGAATTCGGTGGCACTGCAGGGAGCGGATTTCCCGGCGGCGATATTGAGCGTGTTGAAGAGGCAGAAGCCTACGTTTGCCAAGTTGTAGAGTATTCGGCCGAGTGCGGATGGGAACGTATAATGGCTAGAATAGACTGCCTGGTAATGCACAAACTGGTCTAGTGAAACAAACAATAGTTTATATCGTTAAAGCGGCGTGATAGTATGAACAGGTGATTCTTGTAAGGCTTGTCGGTAATCGAGATGCACGGGTTACTCGGAGCCGGACTCGTCTACTGGAGGAAGATTCTCCTTGAGGCGCTGTGAAAGCCAACATGTGAGCAAAACCAAACGAACTCGAAGAGAAGAAAGTAGGGGTCGAGAGTTCAACGTACGTCCTCGAGCTTCTGTTTGAGGAGGTGAACCATGTTTTCCTTAACAACGACGCGCTCCTCGTCCAGGTCCTCGATAATGAAGTCGTGGTTCACGCTGTCGATGTTGACGATGATGGACTTGATCGAAGGATCGCACTCGATCAAGACGCCTGAAGGTACGTTAGCGATGGACTGAGGAGATCGGAAGAGAAGAGGAGAGGGTGTAGGAGTACCTCTAATAGCACGGGGCATGATGGACAATCGGTGGTGATTTGGTTGATGATGTTGATGGCTTGTGGATGTGAATTGATGCAAGGCTGCGCTAAAGTGGAAGATGTCCAGTGGTGGATTTGAAGGACTGCCTCAGGTTTAGGTTTACAGCATTGAGTTACAGGGCTCCAGTCCGTGGCTTTAGCGTCCGGCAGGCGGGCGGGTGGACCTTGACGGTTCCGGCCAGCGTCTCCGTCATCACTGTGGAGCGATGTTGAATTCAGTAGCAGCAATGGAGCACATTATTCTACATGTATATGTGCTACTATTGAAGGGATTTTGATAAATGCTGCTACAAGATTAGACGAACTATTATCGAGCTTCAAAAGTCCCATTATGCTATTCCAAATCACATAGTGCCACCCCCTCGGTATCCCTTTGCCGTCAACGCTCCCCGCACCTTGGACTGGAACCAGCAATATACATATGTAATCTTCATCCCAGACACCACCACTTGATCTGCTAACGGGGGGCTAAATTGCTCCAAATCAGTCAAATCAGACACGTAATGCCACTAGTTTTGTCTCTATCTGCTCTCGCTTGGCACACCACTACGGATAACTGGGGCCGTGGAAAGCCACTCCCTCCAGTCTTCTGCGACGATCTGCTCATGGCATTTGCAATTTGTACACCATGGCCGGCCCGCGGATGGATTGGGAGCTCCGGCGATGCTGAATGCGGATTGGGGGCGAGTGACGTCTGCGGAGAGGTTGTCCCGAGTAGTTTATTCATAAGGATTCCGTCATTTCGGGGTGTTGATTTGGGTTGCGTTTTGCTTCTTTTACCTTTTTACGACGCTGTCTCTTACATGTCACCAGTGCCTATTGTGTTTGCTTCCCATCCCATCTTTGGGACCTCATCTTGCCGTCTCTCTTGTCTCAGTTTTACCGTAGAGGTCGTGGCTCTGCGCTACCATTTAACTACCAAATTAGATCATATACGAAGCCTTCTAAGCAGTCGCTGAGCTTGAGGAGCTTGAGGACGATCATCGACGCAAGGCACAAATACGCGTACATGTATGTACTGGCGAGACCACCATCACCATGACCACTACAGATCAGTCGACATCGACGCGGCCCTTGACTTATGTCATCATCCCTCTCCTCGCCATCTTCGTCGTATGCTCAACAGGCTTGTTTTTCCATATTCGCCGCCGCCGCCGCCGCCTCGTCACTGCCGACGGCTGGGCTCGAGGTCGTTGGGTCACACGGGATGGGACCGTCATGTTCATACCGCGGCACTACAGGCGCAATCCCTGGGGCGGTTTTCACTCTCAGGAAGGCCTAAATGAGCTGGGAGAGGCGCCGCCTCCGTACAAGTTCAAGATCGTCTCGGCCGAAGAAAACGAAGCCGCAGCTGGACGGCCGACGGAACTGAGAGACTTGGAGGAGGGGAGGAGGCCGCCGGAGTATATTGCGGAGCCACCGCCAGCAATCACGACAGAATCGAGGAGAACTGTAGCGTAAGGGAGGCTTTTGGTGGGGGCCATGGCCGATGTGATTGAAAATCGTTTCCTTCTAAATTCATTTTGCGGCGTGCATGGCGTGAATATTGAGTTTTGCTTCCTGGTTTATGTTTCTTAGCAAGCAGATGCGTTTTGGAGTACGTGGACGATGCGTCGGATATCAATATTTAGCGATCATTTCTTGTTTGATGATGAATTATATGGTTCTTCCCAAGTCTTTATTCATTCTCAAGAAGTGAGATGGTCAAGATGTCTTGCGGAAAGAATATCCGTCGGGTGGTCTGATCAGGATTCAGTCTCTCCTCATCCGAGACATGGGCCCCCTTGACTACGATCATGGAGCTTGCGAGACAGGCCACCAACGTCTGAGACAGTTATCTGAAAGGAAGCAATTTTTTGCGATACATGACGAGCTCATGAGATCGACTTAGACTTATATTTCTTCATTCACGGCACAATACGAAATTTGGCTAATGAAGCAAGTATACTACCTGTAGTTTTGTATAACTTTTGGCCCCAAATAGGCGCGGAGTCATGTAGAAAATTCAGGGAGTGACTACTTAACACCCCAGGTTTGCTATTCAGCATGCCGTGTCTCAAATTCAGAGCTGCTCAGGTAATGGTATTAGCAGAAACTAGGGAATTGGTAAGTAAAGATATTTCCTCCGCGTCTTGTTATGACACTCGAACTCTTTGTAGTCGCTGAGATGTTGTATTATGAACAAGAACACTCGATTGTCTGCTGAACGGCATTGCCTCAGCTCGCCCCAGCTCATGCTTCACAGCGTTCGTGTCGGAGCGAGGAACTCGCACAGAATATCTGTTCGCTGCCGAAGGCGACAGTGGATGAGACACACAAACGAACCCAGCCGGTGTCACGAGCTAATGCACTTATCCAAATGACCACCAAATTCTTCTTTTCCATTCCTATACGGAGTACTTGTGTGCAGATACATGTGCCGGTTTGCCAAGGACCACACGCAGTCACACGGCCCTGGACTGCGAGGGAGGAAGACGAAAGATGAAAGACTTGCATGTAAGAGCCGTGTTTGCTTGAGGGGAAGCCATAACTTCCTAGTGCTATTACTAGAAAAAGTCGACTACGTTGGAGCCATCCATGTGTCAGATAGCATTTCGAATCGCGGAAGGCTTCCGGTAGTCCGACCAAATAAGGACTGCTTCGCAGCAGAGGCCGTATTTGGTAAAACGAATCACGGCAGTTCCGTAGCCACACACGCTGGAAGGACTCGGCAATGAGAATGAGCGTACTCCGTACGGGGTAGACACATGTAGGAATCACCAACACGCTGAACGAAGTTGGCCTGCGGCTCAGCCCTATCCATCTACTTAAAACAGCTGAGAAGTGACAGAACAGGCAGGGTCTACGTGGATACGCGCGCCATCGGCAACGAGAGACGAACTGACGATGCACGAAGATGGAGTTGATGTTTCGAAGCACGATCGAGCGGGTGCGAGTCCAGATTCCGTGCGTGTATCTGTGGGCTAATCTGCTGTACTGTAAGCGCTGCGGCATGAAGCAGCTGCCCATGCACATCACCTACTGTACATACAGCAAATTCCCACTTCAGCCCTTGGGGACTTCTGGTTCCTGTCCCACGCGCAGAAACCCGGTCAAAAGTGCGGTTTGGTTACCCTGCCAGCGTCAAGAAACGGCCGATTCTGTGGTCGCTGAGCCGCTATGGCCATTGTTTGGGCGGGTCGCGAGCTCGTCAATGGTACCTATCAAGCGGTGGACAAGATAAGCGGGACTGCAAATTGGCCAGTAAGACATGATTACTGTAGGACCGGGTAAGGAAGGAGAATCTCGAGGGTTTCTGTTCAAGTCCAGGTCGCCTTTTCTCTTCTTAGGTGCTATAGCTCTAGAGGTGGTAGATCTACTGATTCATATTTAGATTTGAGGTACTTCAACAAAATTGCTTGTTTCTTCTTCCTAGATCATACCAACTGCCAGCTTAACTATTAGTAACTTTTTACCTAGGTAGAGCTTCTCTTTTGGCGGTCCCGCTTATTTTTGTCTTTTCCATGTGCCAGGGGGTGGATGCGGTGCGGCTTGGGGAAGATGAGATGGCTGGACACGTCCCGAGTACAGATGCGGTACCTGAGGGGGACTTGCGCATGCCTTGACGTGCAAGCACTAGAGCATGCAGATGAGGGAATAAGCTGGAGCTGAGGCCACAGAGAAATGCGCGGGCATCAATCAGAGGAATCGGCATCAGATGTTGGGCGTCAACAGCTGTGGACGTGCGCCGTTCTGTCTTTGCTACGGAGTACAAGGTCTTGAAATCCTACCTGGTCGCCGTCAGCTCCGATTCGAGCTCTGAGCTCTCCCCTTTTCCCACGCTGACTGGCTGGCGTGCTCACGAATAACGTGTGGTAGCGCAGGCTCGTGCAAATGACGGCGCTGTATCACCAGCCTCGCCCTTTTTTCTCTCTTCTTCTTCTTCCACTCTTTTTTCGTCTCCAGCGTTTGATTCCTACTGCGCCACCGCCTATCAGACGCAAGGGGTTACAGACTGGCAGAGAGAGTGGAAACAACCTGAAAAGACGGGGACGAAGAGAAAAAGAAGTGGCTGGTGGATGGTGCAAATCAGTTCAGCTGTTAGCCTGCCAGCACATGGAGCGGCGCATGTACCGCTGAGGTACCCTGCTCGTGCCCTGCTCGTGCCACGCCAGAGTGCCCTGTACTAGAAGGTCTCTCTAGGCCCTCTAGGCCCTGCTGGGACAAGTTTAGTGCTCAGCTAGCACACCCGTCCAGCGGCACCACCCACCCCTGCCGGCCCAAGCGCCATTGGACCAGACACGCATCGGCGCCAACTCATCAAGCAGAGGCCCCAGCCCGCTTCGGGACAATAACAAGGCCTCACTCCATCTCTCTCCTCTTCCTTCGCCCGCATCGCATTTGCCCTGCGCCCCCTCGTCTCTCCTTCGCAAAAAAAAGAAGGGGGGTCAAAAGAACAAGAGAAGGCCTTCTTTGGGGAGCCTCACAGGCCACAGCAGACGCTTCCTTCTCGGTCCCCCACATCCTCGCATCAAAGCGCATTCGCATTCGCGGTCCATCTCCATCTCACCGACAGCCATTCAGCCCAAGCCCAATCCCGCCTCAGCTCTGCTCTATTACTGTACATATTACTTGACTCGACAGTCACCCGCACATCATACATACCTGTGCCTGTACCTACAGCCCAGCCCACAGCCTGGCCCTGCAGCAACTCCCCTGGCTCGGCAGCGTTCTCCTGTCGTTTGTGAGCGACAGCCTCTTTACCGCTCTGGGCCCTCTTCCAGGTTCCTTTTCGGTGCCTGAGCTTCGCCACTGGGTACAACTTACTGCCCTGCCCTCCCCGATTCCGCTTTCTCCTCTTTGGTTCCTGTGAGTTTGTTACCTCCAACCCCCCCTGTGTCGGGTCCATCTTGAGTGGTCGAGTGGGAGATTCGACTTTGCTCTCTCTTCATCATCTCGTTGTTCCCTTTGTTTTTGCTGACGTCGCTGTCAAGGCGCCGCCCTATTCTTCGCTGTAGCGTTGGGCCTTGTTCCGGATGTCTGCATAAATTTATTTGTTTTAATCTCTTCTTACTCGACCTCGAATACCTCCCTCCTCCTTCTACCAACCGCTAGGAGTAGGCCCTTGGGAGATACTTGCCGGCTTCATTCACGCCACTGGTCGCGCAACGAATAGAGGGCAAGGATACCGATTTGCCCCGTCCCAAAAATGAGTACCGTTAGCAGGAAAAGCCTTCCATTGCCTGCGCCGACCGAGACCGACGAGACGACCACTCCCACGGAGCTGACCGCCGACATCTCCAAGCTTGGCGATGAGAAATCGGGCTACTCGTTACAAGATGATGGCGCTCTAGGCACGATCAGCAGTCGCGGCTATCGCAGCAGCCATCAGCGCTCTCAGACGTCGGTGCTGATTGAGTATTTCGAAGGCAGCAGAACAGGGAGCTCGACCAGCCGCAAGCCTAGCGTTCGAGTGCGGCTCACCCCCTCCACCTCCAAAAGGGGGAAAAGGGATCATAGTATTAAAGTGACAGAGACGAAAACTTCCCGCAAAGGCTCGTTGACTCGACGTGTCCCCCTGGACGATGGAATCCCATCTCGTGAGCTTGAGATATCTGGGGTTGACGACGGTCATAGCGTGACGTCGTATGCTTCGGCCACTGAAGAGTCTACCGTCTCACGCAATCCCATCGACATAGAGATCACGCAAGAGAAGCAACAGCCCCAGCGACGTCGCCGCCCTGCCAGTCCTTTGATCCCAACTAGTGAGAGAGAATCTTATCCACCCGCCAATGGATCTGAAATTTCCGCCATTGCCACAGACAGCTTCTTGGATGGCTCCGGACCTGGAGGAGATCTAGGCTCGGGAGAGCACCTGGACGAAACTTTGGATGATTCTCGGGCCACCAAAACTCGATCTAAAGATCGTTCTTCCAAATCTTCGTCAGATAAACCCAAGGAAAAAGGAGAGCGAAAGCGGCGATCAAAGAGCCGGAGCATTAACGAGCTTCCGCCCGAGGAGACCTACACCTCCTCAAGGCGCCGCTCCAGTCGAAGTCGCAACTCGGAATCACATGTACCTCACATTCCTGCCGCCGACTCAAGTGTCCTATCGTCAAACTTGGCTCCAAGCCATCGCTCCATGGACACCCGCTCTATGCGCTCTGGGGCTTCGAAATCTTCAATCAACAACCCCAAACTGCTGGAAACGGTCGAAGATGCTATTCGGAGATTAATTTTGCCGGAACTGAGTGCCCTCAAGCGAGAGCAGAGCAAACGGGAAGGCCGAGAACGACGCGCCTCCTTTACTTCAACAGGCACTTCTGCCTCGAGAGAGGACATCACAGTAGACCGCAGGCGGTCTGCAAGCCAGAGGCCAGAGTCGACAAGAGATAAGGAACTAAAGGAGAATACTAAGCCCAAGGAAAGACGGAACCGTGAGGCTCGTCACGACTATGAAGACTTGCACAGCCCCAGCCTGG